GGACGTTCCCATTCTATAATGATAATTTTACTATTTATACCCCACATATCTTACTGGGTGTCCCCAGCCACTCTAGGCAGCTTCCAACATATATAAAAACATAATACAGTGGTACCTCAGGTTAAGAACTTAATTCGTTCTGGAGGTTTGTTCTTAACCTGAAACTGTTCTTAACATGAAGCACCACTTCGGCTAATGGGGCCTCCTGCTGCCGCTGGGCCACCGGAGCACGATTTCTGTTCTCATCCTGAAGCAAAGTTCTTAACCCGAGGTACTATTTCTGGGTTAGCAGAGTCTGTAACCTGAAGCGTCTGTAACCCGAGGTACCACTGTAAAATATTAAACATTGGGGGGGGGGCTTTCCTATACTGGGCTGCCTTCAAACAGCTTGGGGGGTGGGATAATTCCATACCCTCCAACATTTCTCTAATGAGAATAGGGATGTCCTAAGGGACGCGGGTGGCGCTGTGGGTTAAACCACAGAGCCTAGGACTTGCCGGCAAGAAGGTCGGCGGTTCGAATCCCTGCGATGGGATGTGCTCCCATTGCTCGGTCCCTGCTCCTGCCAACCTAGCTTTAAAATGGCAGGTGGGAGAACTTGCCTAAGGATTTGGGTATGTTTAGCCTGGAAAAGAGGAGACTGAGAGGAGATGCGATGGCCATCTTCAAATATCTTATGGAGGAGGGAACAAGCTTGTTTTCTCCTGCTCTGGAGGGTAGGACTCAAACCAATGGCTGCATGTTGCGAGAAAGAAGATTCCAACTAAAGCTCAGGAAGAACTTTCAGATGGTAGGAGCTGTTTGACAGTGAATCAAAGTGGAGGATCTACAGGAGCAGCTGGTAAAAATAATACTACCACCTTCAGCTTCCATGTTTATTTTCTTTAGACCCTGTAGACACGGCTTTGGATAGTCTCACCATCTGAACTTTTTGTTTCTGACGTATTATGGTGGTTTTTTATTGGTATTAATATTTTATTGAAAGAATTTCAATTATAAAGAAATAAAAGTGTTATAGAAAAAAATAAGAAAACAAAATGTAGAAAGAAACAAGTCAAAAATAGAACGTAACATGCGCATTGAGTTTGAGGGGTTTGAGGAGAGTTAACAGGACCCAGAATGACTGCAAAGGTTCCTTAATAGTCACTGGTAAAGTTGCCAGGAACATCTTCTGTTCGGGAAATTACTGGTACATTTACATATAGGTTTCACTAAATCTCTTGCAAAGGTCAAGTTTCATTCTTATTTTACAACTTCTTGAATCTCAGCATAAATCTTGACTTAGGTATCTCCAGAATGGCACTATTTTGTGGGAGTCAAGTGCATAATGGAACTTGTTTTCTGCTTTTGAATACTGCTTTTTCTGTGTGTTGAAGTGTTCTGTTGCCCTAATAGTGTAACAAATCCTCTACCACACACACAAACACACACACACACACACACACACACACACACACACACACACACAGAACTCCGTGTGGTTTGGATATTGATGGGGGAAATGCAATGAAAAGCGTGGGATGATCTAATAGATTAACAGGAAGTTGTGTAAACACCCTGGAAGCAAATCAAACCAAATGCTCAATCAATAAAGACTGGACTGATGAAAGCCAAATAAAGAAATCATCTGGAAGAGTCTCTAATATTTGATGGTTATAAGAAAAACACTGCTCCTTTTCCCTTATGGGGTACTCAAGGGCCCATATAGAGTCCTTTTGTAGGTTCTCTATCAGTAGCAGAAAATAACAGAGGCCAACCATAGCAGGGGTAGGCAACCTAAGGCCCGCAGGCCAGATGCCAATCGCCTTCTCAGTCTGGCCCATGGATGGTCCAAGAATCAGTGTGTTTTTACATGAGTAGAATGTGTGCTTTTATTTAAAATGCATCTCTGGGTTATTTGTGGGGCAGAGGAATTCATTCATTCTTTATTAAAGCTGTTGCAACAGGGTGCTCCCCAGCACACACAGGAGAGGGAGGGACCCAGAACAAAGGTGTGCAAGCCCTTATATAGACTTTGAAACTGCCCACCCTATGTAGCTCAAGACCACTCCCCAGAAACATCATACATACATCACAGAAGGGGTGTAGCCCAAGACCATCCCCTTTCAATATTTTAATGCTGTATTTTAATGTTGTATTTAAGTTGTAATCATTCAACTTGTTTTTATTATTGCTTGTAAGCCGCCTGAGCCCGACCTTGGCTGGGGAGGGCGGGGTATAAATAAAAAATTATTATTATTATTATTAATAATACATCAGAGAAGGGGCAGACTACAACAGAAATCTGAGCGCGTTGTTTTTTCTCCTGTCTGCTAGGTTACTTGATTGGATTACCTGGGCATCCTGGCCACTCTCTTGTTTTCCTGAATCCAGGTGACAGGCTCACCCTATTCGTATCTTAAATGTGCCCTTAAGGCAGGATTTGTGAAAAAGACAGTGGGGAGATCTCCCATTTCCTTTGACCTTGCAGAGAAATATTTGAGGTCATTTTGGGAGAGAGAAAATGGTTTCAGGACTTTTCTGTGGGTTTCAGACACGTGGTTTACATATTTGTATGTGTTTGCTTGGTACATTTACGAACATCTATTTTATATATAAAAGGTAAAGGGACCCTGACCATTAGGTACAGTCGTGATCGACTCTGGGGTTGCGGTGCTCATCTTGCTTTACTGGCCGAGGGAGCCGGCGTACAGCTTCCAGGTCATGTGGCCAGCATGACTAAGCCACTTCTGGCGAACCAGAGCAGCGCACGGAAACGGCGTTTACCTTCCCGCCGGAGTGGTACCTATTTATCTACTTGCACTTTTGATGTGCTTTCGAACTGCTAGGTTGGCAGGAGCAGGGACTGAGCAACGGGAGCTCACCCCGTCGCAGGGATTCGAACCGCCGACCTTCTGATCGGCAAGTCCTAGGCTCTGTGGTTTAACCCACAGCGCCACCCGCGTCCCTGTATTTTATATATAGAAGACCTTAAGGTTCTCATAACAATGGTAAATTTCAAAGTTACACACAGAAACCTGCTGTTCCTTAAAGTCCCTCCAAACTCTTGGTATTTTGCTTCAGTTAGCACTAGCTCATTTATTTTAAATTATTCTAAAGTAAGCCTTTACAATATATCATCACTGTAATGAGCTGTACAGCATGGCTTTTTTCACTCCCCATTTATCTGGCAAGCAGATCTGCAGACATTTGCAAGCATCCTACTCACGCACGCTCAAAATAAGTGTGACCTGCAGACCTGCAACACTGAGAAAGCCTGATCGTGTTGATTTGATTATTCCGATTCTTTGTTGCTTACAAAGAAGTTGATGCAGCAAGTTTGTCTTACGGAGGAAAGTGTGGTTGCCCGCAGATTCTTCCAAGCATAAACGTGATTTATCACAAAGAGGCACAAAACCACCTTGCAGAAACTTTTTTTAAAAAACAAAACTCCTAGGCAGCAGAAGGGGGGGAAATGCATGCAATAATACTATAGGACTGCTGGAACTGTCCAGCTTCAAAATGCTGGTGACATCGGCATGGTTAGCTTGGCTTGCTTAAAGCACTCGTCAGGGGAAAAACTGGTACTTATTCATGAATTCATGACATAAATTCTTAAGAGAGAAGAGTGTCGTACTTTATCGGTTTCCCCCACCCTTTTCAATTAAGCCTTCCAAAAGAACTGGAATAATTGTTGTTCATCTGCGTAAGGACATCAGAAGAATTCTGTTGGATCAGGCCCATCTAGTCCTGCCTCCTCTTCTCAAAGTGGACAACCAGAAGTCACTGGGAAGACTGCAAGCAGGACCTAAGCGGAGCAGTCCTCTCCTCACTTGTGTTTCCTAGCAACTGGCTTTCAGATGCATGACCTCTACTACAAAGCCATCGTTGCCCGCAGTCATTGATAGCCTCATCTGTGAATTTGTCTAATCTCATTTTAAAGTCATCCAAGCTGGTGGTGATTACTGCCTCCTGTGGGAGCAAGTACCGTAGTTTAACTATTTGCTCTGTGAAGGACTCTCTTATGTTTCTTGAATCCTCCCAAGATTCAGCTACACTGGATGTTCAGGAGTTCTAATACAGTGGTACCTTGGGTTACATACGCTTCAGGTTACATACGCTTCAGGTTACATATGCTTCAGGTTACAGACTCTGCTAACCCAGAAATAGTGCTTCAGGTTAAGAACTTTGCTTCAGGATGAGAACAGAAATCGTACTCCGGCAGCGCAGCAGAAGGCCCCATTAGCTAAAGTGGTGCTTCAGGTTAAGAACAGTTTCAGGTTAAGTACGGACCTCCGGAACGAATTAAGTACTTAACCTGAGGTACCACTGTACATAAATGAAGAAAGTGGATCAAATGGTTGCAGCAGAGAGGAACTCTGGATGCATAGTTAGGGTGCATGCCCCAATCCCTAGAATTTGATGGGGGAGCAGTATCTGTTGGGATGTGAATGCTGTGACTGCACCTACAAATATTTGCACCTACAAACAGTTAAGAAACCGTTGATCACAAAATGCTTTACCTCTCCAATGCTACATCTCTGAAGCCTCACAGCTTGGAGAACTGGGCTGTGGAAGCAACAAGATATTGTGTTTTCATGGTGCTTGAGGTTGAAGAAGACGGATAGTGCATTACCTCCAGAAATCAAGCGCTCTGCCCCGAGTCCTGGGGTTTTTTAAGACCCCAGAAAAAGATTAGTTTTACACACAAAAAAGCATGAGATGGGTATTGGGGCTCATGTTATGCAGTGCAGACCTGTCTTCTCTTTGCAAAAATCTAAGCATCGAGCATTCTGTGGAACTTCTGCAAGACCTCTCCTTCAAAGAGGCTTGTCTCAGACTCAGCATCGTAAGACGCAACAGCCACAATTTAATATTGCATCTTAATGGCTTGGAGCTCTCATCACACTTTGCAGCTCCCTAATCCTCTGGATGGGGCAGAGCAGAAGTCTAAACCAGAAGCATCACCACAGAGACTCTATGCCTCCACTGAAAACTGACACAATACAAGACACGCCATGGAATCCTAAAAAAGAGAGAATATTTATTTTGGTTGTAAAAAAGTGCAATTGCATTGTTGAATGAGACCAACCCAAGAGGTTGCCACGGAGCACCATTTTCATGCAACAAAAAATCTTTCACAAGGCTGAAAGGAGGGGCAGGTCTGAGATCCTCCCACAGCTCATTAAAAAGGAAAAGAAAGACAACCAATTAATTATAAAAGCTTTTATCGTTTGTAGTTGCAAAACAAGCAATTTTGCCCAGAACAATAATTGAGGAAATATACAATTATCTGTACTACTTGCAACCCCATTTATTAAGCAAAATGCAACTTTATGAGCATCATTCAGATTAAAGCAAGTCCCAAAATATCCACAACCTTCCAAAGTACAATCATATGGAAACTACCTCTGTGCAACGCTGGTACCTTTTCAAAGCCATACAGAATCTTGATTGCTCACCACCTGTCTGGCTGAGGAAAATGATGGTGGAGTTCATAAGAAAAAGGTTCACCTGAGCAAAGGTAGGCAGTGTTAAGCATCTCTGGAGTGATACCCTTAGGAGACTAGATGCCAAGGAGAAAGGGTTCTTCAGCTCTTAACAGTCAGTCCAAGACATGGGTGGAGAACTTGTGCCCTGCCAAATGATGTCACTGGCCAGGCTGTCAGGGGCTGATGGGAGCTAGAGCTCACAAGTTCTCATCCCTGGTCCAAAAGGAAGTTTTTTCTCTGGTTCAGCTCATGAGGTGTGAAGACAGCTGTGATGAAACTACTAAACCAGCCTTCACGCAGCCTGGTGGCATTTATGCATTTTGGACCAACTACTCCCATCACCTCCAGCCACCATGACCAAAATTCAGTGGCAATGGGAGATGTAATTCAGACATCTGGAGGGCACCATGTTGGGGAAGATGGTCTTAAAAGGAAAAGGATCCTTGCCATGTTCACATCTGGGTCAACCAAGCCAGCACTATTCATACCACTGTATGCTAAGAGAAACAGCCAAACCTTGGGACACCCAAGGAGGATCAGACTGAGCAAAACTGTGTGCATGTGTCTATTGCAGAGCTCTTTTCCACACAAAGAACTCTCACGAACCCAACTCCATCTTTGCACTGAAGGCAAGTACCTGAGAGCAGCTTCTGAAAAGCAAAGAGGCTGACCTCTTTATGGTTTGCAGAGTAAAGATGGTCAGTGCTCCTGGAAAAGGTGGATGTTCCATTCCCAAGCTAAATGCTCTTGAGCAAATCAAGAGAAGCTAAACTGAAAACATTTCAGCAAATGGAGAGTTTAAAAACCTCTCTTTTGCAGAGTGCCACAACCTGACGAGAGCAAGGGAATGACAAGGGACAGCTCCTGAAACAGAGGAACACCTGTTGCTTTCAGAGCTGTTCAGCTGTTGGACAGGCATGAAGTCTCCTGTCCAGGTACCCACAACAGTTCATTCTCCTGCATCAGCCTCTTTCTCAGAGTCAGGAAGTGGCAACACCTGCAAATTCTGTTTGCTCAATGTGGTCAGCGGAATTTGCAGAGGCCCAGAGCCAATAGGACGATTGGCGGGGGGTGTTCGCCTGCATCAATCTTTGTTCACTAGGCCAGTTTCTGGAGTTGGTTGCAAATTTTAGAAGGAAATGGCAGTGGATTTTCAAAGTATGTTTGAAGAAATGGGAGAGTAGAGGAACTTGGGGCCACAAACAGAGACGGTTCTGAGCAACTGCCCGTCCCCCACTACAGCTTGAGGTTTAGTGTCTTGGGGTTTTTTTTGCAAGAATCCTCTTCAAATACTGCTATGGCTGCCAACGTCTGAGAAAAACATTGAAATAACAGAACTGGGTGAAAGGGAGCTCATAGTTCTTTTCACACAACAACAGGTCAACTAGTGGCCCAGAGCCTAAATCTGGTCCGTGCCAGGAAGCTTCTGTCTATTTTATTAATTGTCAGGCTTGTATGAAATGATATGAGATGGTTCAGGAGCCTTCCTCACAATTTGGAGGAGAAAGGTGCTTGCTAGCTCTGCAGCCCCCTGCCTCCAATGCCACCAGAGCCAGCAGAAACCTCCCTGCCGAAAAGAAACCACCTTGTCAGCTGCTCTGCAGATGCTGGCAACTGATGCTCTACTCCAACATTAGTTGGAATTCTTGGCAGGTCACAGGACAAAACTGTTGCTACATTTTTAGGTAGCCTGCAGTCATTCTGATGCCGAGAAAACCCAAATTCATTGAGCAGGTGGGTTTTAAAATACTCCTCAACAGATATTGCATTGTTATGTGCATGGCTGTGGCTTCAGGGACAAGGTCCACTAAACAGGATGCTGAGGGTAACCGGAGAAAGCTGACTCTCCAGAGGCAGCCCACACTATGGAGAAAGGATGTATGGTACCAGTCCCTGTTATGCCCAAGTAGGAGCTGGAGGGCTGAGAGAAGAAACCAGGAGTTGGGAAAGGAGCTGGGATAGCTCAGTAGAGCATGAGACTCGGGGTCAAGCCCAATGCTGGGCAAAAGATTCCTGCATTGCTGAGGGTTGGACTATCTGACCCTCGTGGTCTCTTCCAATTCTATGATTCTAATCTGGTCCCTCCTCCTGCAAATGTAGCTTACTGAGAGACAGCTATGGAGGACCAGTTCCAAGGAGGAGGAAGGTCCAAGGAGGTCCTGGATTATGCAGACCCCTGGTGAACTTTTAGATTTTAAAAATACAGACTTTTAAAAAGCACTTAAGATATTATTATTATTATTTAAAAGAGGGTGGAGCTAAATGCAATGTACAGAGACAACTGGGATAAGAAGAGTTGGGGAAGAAGAATGATTCACAGTATCAGGCCAGCCCCCTGCGCAGCTGCATGGAGTTCTTCTGGAACAGATGACCAGACAGACAGACACCACTATTCTAAATTAAATGCAACAAGCTGAAAAGGGCCTGAAAACAGGAAGCAGAATGGGATCTGTGCCAAATCTGCATTGTACATTCAGCAGCTATAAAATTCACAAATACTTATTAGTAGGGCTGCAATGTTTAATCAATTAATGGGTTATATTAATCGATTAAAAACCCCATGCTTTTTGACAAGCGAAAAAATTGCAGCAGACTCAATTGCATCTGTAGCTTGTTATAAATTATAAAAACTGTATATGACAAGCAGAATCTTAAGAGGCATTTCTTTTATACCCCACACCCCAAGCATACATCTTTCTAGATGTTGTCTGCATATGTCATCATCTTAGTAGAGGTAGAGGCAGGCTGTGGGACACGTGTCCCCTCCGCCCCCCCCCAAAGCACAGCCTGCCTCTCAGGCGTAAATTCCCTCTGCTGGCCTTAAACCTTGGTTAATGTTAACCAGAGCCTGAAGTGACCTCCTGGTTAAGGAATATTATAGCTGAGCAGGGTGGTAGGAACTGAAGTGTCTTTTAAATGGCTAGAACATATCATGTTTCTAGGGACTTATTTCCTAAAGTTAAAAAGACAGTTCACATCTCTCTGGTGGCACTAAGTCATTTGTGTTGGGTTTTCAGGGACAGGCTTGCGGCCTGGGGCAACCAAGAAGCCACTGAAGGTGACCAGGCAGGCAAGTTTTGTTTTGGAAGCCATTAGCATGCCATTAAGATGTGTGGGCAGGCAGGCTACTGAACTTTTTGCTGGTGGGCTAGTAACTTTTGTGAACCCCTTTGCAAGGCTAACACACAGCCTAGAGGTTAAACTAGTTGCACAGGAGTTAAAAGGTCTCTGTTTAAGAACAGAATGAGCAAAGCTTAAAGAAACACTCTCCTGTGTAAAGGGGACGGGCGTGTCAGCATATCTTGGCTTCCCAAAGGCTACAAAGCTAGAGCGGATTTCACATTAACAAAATACATCCTGCATTCTGGGTACAGCTGTGAAAATTTTTAAATTTTCTCCTTTGGTTATGAATATATTTCCCACCCCAGTCACCAGTAAGGATCCAAAGGACTGCTTCTGATGCACCTGAACGTCTGCCAGGGTCCAGTGGGAGACAAGCAAACACTATGCCCCTTTCCCCTTCCCAAAGCCATTTCAAAATCTGCAGGGGAAGAGCGGGAGAAGAGCTGATCTAGTCCAGCATCCTGTTCCCACCGTAGCCAACCAACATAGCTTAGCTCTGGTTCAAAGGCGGTTTGCCTTTTACTACGGCAGCAGGAAGGAACTTTATGCTCTGCTACCTGCCAATACGGGTCATGTGGATGCATAAGTCTTAGCCAGTGAAGGCTGAAGCCAGAATCCCAAGTAGAAGGGAGACCAAAAGTCCAGTAACAAAATATAAAAGCAAGTTATATTTTACAAAGATGGAAATGCATTTCCCTTTTAACACATGGCTCTGTCCTCTCCGTCCTCCTCTCCGAGCCATGATGCCTGAGGTCAAGTTGCAGAAAAACATCAGCACTGCATATATTTTCAGTATGTTGCATTGAAGGAGTGCTTCTATTGCTGGGTGCAGATATCTCACTCTGCGTAGTTACCTGAGTTGGCTTTCCCGTTTGACCAAACCCAAGCACAGCATTTAACAATAGTCCCCCTTGGCTCCCCCCACCGCCACACATCTTTCTCAGCCAAGTGCCAAGGCCCCCCGATGTGCTGGAAGTTGAATCAACCACAAGGTCTCTCTGGGCCTCGGTAAGGCTTGGGCGTCTGTCACTTGAGGTCACGCTGTTGCCTTTGGTTAGGTTTCTGTTTTGTTGAGCTTGCGCATTGCCTCGGTAGCTTGTTCTGGCAAGCGAGACGGGTCAGAGAGAATGGAGGTGGTTATGCTCAAGTGGCGAAGAGTGTTCAAAACCACTAAGGATGGGAAGAGAAGCAAAAGAAAGAAACCAAGATTATTTGCCAAAAGAAGTGATGTAAGCTCAAGGGTGCTTTGCAGTAAAATTCCAACAAAGACACAAGTGCGCATACTAAGTGTGACCACAGCTGCACAACAGAGATTCTTGCAGCGGAACAAGTCTATCATAAAAGTACTGTATTTTTCGCTCTATAAGACACACTTTTTCCCTCCTAAAAAGTAAGGGGAAATGTTGTGTGCGTCTTATGGAGCGAATGCAGGGTGCACAGCTATCCCAGATGCCAGAACAGCAAGAGGGATTGTTGCTTTCACTGCGTGATCCCTCTTGCTGTTCTGGCTTCTGGGATTCAGAATATTTTTTTTTCTTGTTTTCCTCCTCCAAAACCTAGGTGCGTCTTATAGAGCAAAAAAATACGGTGCCCAGCTTGGGCTGTAATGGACCCTAGTCTATTTTATGCAACACAGAGGGTGTTGTAGCACACTGAACTGTGTATCACTCAAAACTATTGTGGACTGGTGGTTCCCCAGTCTGGAAGGTGGGCACACTACCTCTTCTACCGGGGGTTGAGCTCCCCGCAAAGGAGCAGCTGCACAGTTTGGGGTTGTTGCTTGATACCAACTTATCCCTAGAAGAGCAAGTGGCTCAGTCCTCTCTAAGGTGTGCCATCTTCCACCTCACCCCACATCCATTTTCTTTCCAAATACTTTTTTGTACTTCTGCCAACATTGGAGTTCCTCCAAGTCTGATGATACCTTCCCTCTTCTTTAGTCTACATAAGGATCCACAGTCAAAGAATGAGTTTGCTTTTAGCACATGGGATCCTGCTGTTCCATGGGGCTTCCAGTTTGGTTAGTTTCAGTAATGTAGTAAGATCCATTGTTCCCCATGATTCACTGGGTCTCGGAATACATACATTTTTGAAAAAAATCATGTCCATCATTGCTTGGTGCTAATCCTTCAAACTCATGTTTTTGCTCTCAAAAGCAATTTCCTTTTGACAACCAATTTGAGAGAAAATTTTGAATTCATAGATATTCAGAATCATTTGACCACTATCTTGCTTTTAATCGCCTCAGATTTTGACCCAAAAAAGCCAAAAAAACCTGGGAAAACATGCTCTCCATTTGTCTGATCTCTTCTATCTTTCCCAACCACCACAGGGCAAAGAAGGAAGTAAAAAATGATCTCTGTTAGGATATCTGAATCTGCAGTGTGTATAGAGAGGTTTGGGTACTGATTCATTGTGTTCGGATTAGTGAACTTTCACATACCAAATGTTCATACAGCAGGACCTGAGTGCATTCAAGTTGGCTTTTTTTTTAAAAGTGCAAACAGAAAAATCTCCCCCTAGTCCGGATGCTGCTAGACTAGGACCTTCCAGCTTCCCTGACCATCGGACGTGCTAATTTGGGCTGATGAAAGTCGTACTCCAAATCAGACTACACCGGACTGGCTGAGTTAACAGCCTTGACTGAGACTCTCCACTGATGTTTCAGCTGCCACTATGGTGCTCCAGGAGGGAATCTGTGATAAACACCCCCTTGGAAACTCCCAACTCCTTACTTACTTGGCCTCAGGACAGGCAGGGAGCAGTGCTGGTCTACCCATGCCAGTGCTGTCTGGTTCAACTCTTCTAAGCTGGTTGTAGAGACCATTCCGTTGAATGTTTCAAACAATGGGTTAATTATGATGCTGAACTGCACAGCAATGTGAGTTAAGGGGAAAGTAAATACACACTCGCATTTTTGCAACAGAAAAGCACAACAGGGACTGTTCTAGAATTCATCGTGCATCTGGCTGAGGGCAGTTCTGGCAGCTAAGTCTTGACAAAGGAAACACATTGCTTAAAAAATCCCTAATGCTCATGTGCTGTCAGTACTCTGTCCAGAACCATGAGGACTAGGATAATGCTCTTTTAACAAAAATTAAAATTCTGGGGTTCTTTGGAAGCCACTAAATTTTCCATTAGAGGCCACTTTCCTACAGTGTCCTGCTCTACTTCCTCACTTGCTCTCAAAAGGCCTTCATGCCATGCAGAATTGACTCATCTGAATGCCTTTTTATCTTTGTTATGAATGGTGGCTAATCAAATAAAACTGCTACACTACACATGGAATTCACGGCTATCAGATGCGCTGTCAGCTACTGGTGGCTTTTTAATGGGGTTGAGCAAGGTGATGGGCAGATCAGTCAACAGCGAATAAAAGCCACAGGCCAGCTGAATGGAACCTGGATGCTCAGAGGCCTGATAATTCAGAGCACCAGGCACAGGGGACAAGCCAGGGGGGAAGGCTGGCAGGGTCAGTGCCTGAATGAAGTGAAGAGTTCGCTGCCTCCTGCCAAAATGGGATGCCGGGCTGATGGTCCAACCCTGTATGGCACTTCTTGCACAGTCCACTACTTTGTAGTGGGGCACCCCCAATATGGGAAACACAACACAACGAGGCTTGGCTGATGCTTACAGCAAGAGCTTTTGGATACGAGGCAAACACCCTTTTATTCTCCCAGGCCTTTTAGAACTATGCTATTTGTCCGCAGAATGGATTGTTTCTACTGGACTTTAAACTCTGTAATTGATACCTTGTGCTGATCTGGGGGCAGGAAATTGAACTGCTCATTTCAATTTATGTTTTAACGTTCGTACTTTTAGCATTTTTGAACCTGGTACAAACCACCCATAGGACTCTGTTGACTGGGCAATCAACAAATGCTCTAAGCAAGGCATGGCCGAACTTGGCCCTCCAGATGTTTTGGAACTACAATTCCCATCATCCCTGACCACTGGTCCTGTTAGCTAGAGATGATGGGAGTTGTAGTCCCAAAACATCTGGAGGGCCAAGTTTGGCCATGTCTGCTCTAAGCAAATAAATAAGGAGATTACCCATCAGTTAACATTCTAGCCATGTTTGATGCTGATGTCTCTGCAGCTGTGGCTGGACCAATCTAACTGGTAGAAGCAGGAGCTGCTTGGGAAGCTGTAAGTCAAGAAGCAGCAACTGGGGACAGCAATATTAGTTTCAGGCCAGTCCTGTACGTAGCTATGTTCAAGGCTCAGACACAAACAAGGTCTTGAAATAGAAAGAAAAGAAAAGGTCTTGAAATAGAAAGAAAAGAAAAAAGCTCCCTTCCTGCCAGAGCCTTCCTGTCTGATATACATCACAGGAAATGAGAAGTTATAATCTTAAACTGAAGCCTGGAGAATCTCCTCCCATCTCTCCACTATGTCAAAGCATCAAGGCTTCCGATGAGTTGTCTCTCCCACCGACTCAACAAAATCCTCTTGGGCTTTTAAGGGAGTTCAAAACCTAGAGAGCGCAACACATCCTGCTTGCCAGTGTAGTTTCTGGATGACATGTTGCTTTCATTTTCAGGATGGGTGACCCCTTGCTGCGAAAGATACCAGCCTACTGCCGTTTCCATTAAAAAGAACCCCAGCAACCTATAAGTCACTTTTGAAAGTAGGAATGCTGGCAAGGCAGAAGGCAGGCTCACATGACCCTTAGGCTTGGGTGGATTTAAGGGACAATCTAGTGGCATGCCTTGACTGCTAAAGTTAAGCTGTAAATCTGCATCCTGAAGCAAGTGGCCTTTATCGCTAACTATGCACAAGATGTGGGTGCCAACAGCTGGCTGCCCTGGAAGCTCAATGGCCCTTGGCTTGCTGCAACAACGCAGTTCTAAGGGCTCTTATGTCATGCTGAGATTCTGCTCTTAATTCAGTAGCAGATCACATGCTTGGCATGCAGAAGGGCCCAGGTCCCAGCGGCTGCAGTTGAAGCCTTTAGGAGCTGCCTGTCTGAGTAGATAGTGCTGAGATCAGTGAACTGAGATCAGGGTCAGACCAACAACGGCAGGCGCTCATTTGCATGCATGGGAAAAGGATACGATCCAGAACTTCCAATTCTGCAGGGTCCTGCTCCTGACGTACTCCTCAAACATGCTCCGCATCTGATCAAACCTGTGCCGTGTGATGGGAACACCCGTAGCAGGGAGCTGCTGCTGACAAGAACTGAAGAATAAAAAGAGAAAACTATGAAACGCTTCCCTCCACTGTTAAGTCTGGGGGCTTCCAGGCTGGTGTTTATTGCGGGGTCTGTGCTGCTCACGCACACAAGTTTTTCTGCAGTGCTCACACAACACTGCCAGCCCATATTCCCTCATTCCCTTAATCTAAACTTATTCTTTCCATAAAAAATTCAATAGGCGTAAAAGGTCTGCAGCCAATGACCCATTTGTGATAGTTAAGTCCCCACCTGGAAGCACCAATTGAAAGAAAAATATAAAACCAAAGATCAGTTAGGACTAAATAGCAAGAGATTGCTTTGTTCTGTCTGAGTATTGTTGCTGGGACAACCCAGCCAGAAGGGCGGGGTATAAATAAAAATTAGTAGTAGTAGTAGTAGTAGTAGTAGTAGTAGTAGTATTGTGGTGATTTTCAGTAGCTTTATTCATTTGTTTGAAAACATTTTCAGGATCCTTTCTGGGCAAATGCCCATCCAAAGTGGCTTAAAGACAAACGAAAAGATAAAAATCGGACAAAATGTAGAACCCTTGACATAAAATTACAGAACTGGAGAGAACATTAATTGAGCCAGACAGTTGCCCAGTTAACAAACACCACCCCTGCAAGGTCTGTTGAAAAAGATGGGAGGGAGTTCCATAGCCATGAGGCCCTCGGAGAAGGACCCCTCCCTCGTGGACACCCACCTCACCAACCTGGAGGTGGGTGGAAGAGCAGGCACCAGGCTGGGAAGGCCAATGCAGCTGGAAACAGTTGCTGCGACAGAGAAAAGGCTTTCGGGTTGACCCAGCAGGTGGTATTACTTGAAGACAGAAGAAAGTGCTGCTACCCCTAACACTCAGTCCATGCTTGTGTACCAGGCAGCATTTACTGGGGTGTGCACTGGGACCAATTAAGTTTCTGCGGAAACACAGCTGTGGGAATTCACTTCCTGAATCCCTCGTTTAGTATTATTCTGACATGCCTTTCGTGCCTATACTGGCCCTGATGGGAATGGTCCCCTGTCTCTGTTAGAAAGGGAAAGAGAGAGCCCGTATGGCTTTCAACCCTCACATGATGGCAGCATTCAGATCCTCAATCTCTTCCCGGAGGCGCTTGGCTTCTTCTTGCATCTGGGATCTCTCCTGTTGAAGCTTCGCGATATATTCCACCGTCTTCTGGAGTGTGAGGGCATGGCTGATCTGCAACAGATACAAAAAGGCGCTCATTGTGAGTGAGCTCAGCAAACTTGAGTCTCAATGCAGTGAGGAGGGCAGAGTGTCAGTTCAAACCTGCACTCAACCAGGCAGCTGCCTAACCTTGAGTCAGTCCGTCAGTTGCCCTCTCGGCCTGGCTTAAACCTCACAGGGTTGTTTTGTGGATAAAGGGGTGGGGAGAGAACTATGTTTACTGTGCCCTAAGGCTACGTGCCTACAAAAGTTCAAGGAAAAGGAAGGAGGATGAGAAATCACTGGTGAATGTCCATTTGTGTGTGCGCACACACACACGCACACACAGCCATTTCTATGCCATGATTCTGTGGGAGTGCAGGAAACTTGAAGCATGTAGAAATGGGAGCAGATTTCAGCATCCTCAGAAGCATGTAAGAAAAGCCTGCTGGATCAAGCCAATAGCCCATCTAGTCTAGCAACCTGTTCTCAGTCGCCAACCAGATGGTACCCTCAAGGTAAAGGTACCCCTGACCGTTAGGTCCAGTCGTGGCCGACTCTGGGGTTGCAGCACTCATCTCGCTTTACTGGCCGAGGGAGCCGGCGTACAGCTTCCGGGTCATGTGGCCAGCATGATTAAGCCGCTTCTGGCGAAACCAGAGCAGTGCACGGAAATGCCGTTTACCTTCCCACCGGAGCGGTACCTATTTATCTACTTGCACTTTGACGTGCTTTCGAACTGCAAGGTGGGCAGGAGCAGGGACCAAGCAATGGGAGCTCACCCCATCGCGGGGATTCAAACCGCTGACCTTCTGATCAGAAAGCCCTAGGCTCTGTGGTTTAGACCACAGCGCCACCTGCGTCCCGTTCTAGTCTAGCAACCTGTTCTCAGTCGCCAACCAGATGCCTGTGGGAGACCCTCTAGCGGAACAAAAAAACTCTCCCCCACACCCCAGTTTCCAGCAACTGGTAGGGCAACCGTGAAGGCAGAGCACAGCCGTAATGGCCAGAAGCCATTGAAAGCATTCTCCATGAATCTGTTGAATCCTCTTTTAAAGCTATCCTTGTTGTCAGCAACCACAGTCTCCAGTGGGAGAGAGCTCCACAATTTAACTCTATGCTGTGTGAAGAAGTACTTTTATCAACAGTTTTCATTAGCAATACAAAACAAGCTTCTAGCCCTCACAGATGTAAATATATGATTCAAAGTGTGTAGGCCATGGCTGTTCAAATCACAGAAGCTAAAGGAGTGAGCCAGAATCAGATAACCAAGTGGTTAGGGCAGGGCTCCAGTTGCCTGAACAGCTCCTGCTCTTGTGACTAGCCAAACCAAAATAAATTACATTAATTAACTGGAAGAACATGTGAAGACAAAAATCACTCCCATCCCAAATGATGCACATTTGCTGAATTTATACAGGTTGCCAGACTGTATACGTTTATACAGAACTTCACGATTTGGTGGATGCTGCCAGCAGTAGTAGGTGAGAGAGATGGAGCAGGAGATGGAGGATCCCAGCACACAGCTTACCGATTTAGAGTTTGCTGACACCAAGCTGTTCAGGGTGCTAAAGCCGATCTTGATATTGAACCTTCGCTTCTGTTCTGCTGAAATATGCTTCATCCTGCGACTCTGTACCAAGTAGAAATGTGGCTCTTTTAGTTGCTTCCATAGATGCTGCCTTACTCTCACCATCAACCTCTACAGCGGAGCTTTGCCACAATGCCAGAAAGGGCCCCTTCCCAGTGCCAACGCCAACTTCTTGGCACAACAAGGTTAATAAAAGACCAGAGACCAGCAGCTGTGAACAAGCCAAGGAGCAGCCAGGCCACAGAAAAAGGTTGGTTAGGAAGGTTCAGAATTCGCTGGACTCAATGACAACCAGGGAGAAGACTCCAAAGCAGCCCTGTCACCCTTTTGGCTTAAGGCAGCCTTTGCCAACCTGGTGCCCTCCAGATCTTTTGCACTACAGCACCCCTTAGACTGTGCTGGATGGCACTGATGGGAGCTGCAGTTCAAAACAACTGGAGGGCACCAGGTTGGCAAAGGCTGCCTTAATGTAAATAAGACCAGGGATGTGTAAGAAAAATAAACCTTTCCCTCCACTTCCTCTGCAATCTTCATTGTACAGTGGTACCTCGGGTTACATACACTTCAGGTTACATATGCTTCAGGTTACAGACTCCACTAACCCAGAAACAGTACCTCGGGTTACAAACTTTGCTTCAGGATGAGAACAGAAATTGTGCTCCGGCGGCAGCAGGAGGCCCCATTAGCTAAAGTGGTGCTTCAGGTTAAGAACAGTTTCAGGTTAAGAACGGACCTCCGGAAGGAATTAAGTACTTAACCCGAGGTACCACGGTACTTTTATTTCTATACTGTAAGCTCCTTGAGGCAATGACCTGCCCTCATTCTTTGTAAAATAATCCTATTACTATATAAGCAACCAACCTTCAACCTATCCCAGGCTATCACATGCAGAACAGTGGATTCCTCCAGGCCATTAATGCTGTGATGGGTGAATAAAGGAACCACAAAAGGCCAAACCACCAACCTTAAAAGCAGTCATCTGAGGATCAGTTGCAGTTTTCCCTGAGCAGCTGTTCTGTGGGGACTGAGGGCTGGCACTGAGGTCCGAAGGGCATGGCGAGGCCTGACATTCTCGGCCTTTGAAAGAGAGGGGGGGAGACAACCCACAATCAGTCCAAGGGAATTCCTGATAACAGATTAAATGATCAAGCAGCAACCTCTCTAGGGATTTGATTGATACTCTGAAGAGCATTTTTTTTAAAAAAAAAATCTATTTTGTTTAAAATATTTTTATACCACCTTTCAAAGCAAAAGCCCTCTCAAGGTGGACAAGGAATAAAACCGTAACACAAAATATACAGATGCAAGTGCAATCAACTAAAGGAGCAGAAGCACTAAAATACAATTTCAATGCAATGGTCTGGTTCAGACATAATGCTAAAGTGAAGATAATGTTAACCCTAGTTTCAGATGAGGTACCTGGTAGACAAACGCTTAATCCTTGGTTTATTACATCGCAGTTAAAAACACCAGCCAGCTCTTGAGAGTGGTTTGAATTTGCTGCTGCTCTTTACTCTGTAGCTTTTGTGTTGGTGAAGACTCTAACCAGAGTTAAGAAGAAGGACCACATTCTCACATAATCCTACAACATTAATTAAGGTTTACGAACCAACTACAAACCTTGGTTAATGAGCAACCTTTAACCTGGGCTGGGTTCACACATTATGCTAAGCCAGTCTGATAAACCATGCTCTTGCATTATGTGTGAACCAGGCCAATCTGGGGATCCTTGGAATGTCTTCATTATTTTTTCCTCTGTGTCAGTAATAATGAACAAGTTTCCTCTAAAAAGGACACAATAACGGTCCTTTCCTCTGCCAGTGCACAACTCTCCCTCCCCACCTCTCTTCTCCCCCAACCTTAAACTGTCCACAACATCAATGTCTCGCACTGAATATAACTAATCTGTAGAAAGGACTTTGTGATCTGAAAACAGAGATGATGTACTTTTGAACCTCAAGAAAATCTTTAATAAAAACAATAAAAAGGCAACGAGTGACTGCTGGGTGTGATCTAGGCACAATCTTAGCTGACTCAGAGCAGGGGGAGAGTTCACTAAGCTTGCACTGAATGAACATGAGCCTGAGAACATGTCCAAGAATCCTCTGTCATTTTTCAGGAGCCCAAAGTGGATGCACAGGGGATAAATGATGCGGCAGAGTTTCCCTAAGACAGAAAGCTTGAAAGCCTCTTGTTCTACAGCAGCCATGTCACTTTATTTTTATTCACCAGTAGGCAGCCTGTGAGCTACAACAGCTCCTTTCCTCTACTCCCCATTCTCTGTTGTCCTGAGACCCCAGTCCTGGCAAGCATGCTCCTTTAGAATACTGGGCATGTACACATGCTTGCACGCACATAGTATCCTACTAGAACTCAAGAGACAAACCAAAGTTCAACAAAGTACATGCTGTTCACACAGAAAAGTTCTATGTTCTGTCCCTGCAGTCTCCAAGCAAAGGAATCTCTGGGAAAGGTTGCTCTCTGTCCAAAATCCTGTGTAAGGCTGCTACCAATCAGAACAGCAGACAATGCCTGGCATAAGGCAGTTTCATACAGTAATGACTGCTGTGTCTGGGATGGTCCTAGCAGTCAGAATGAAAACGTGTGAGAGGGAGATCTGGCCTGCCTAACGATTTATACACTTATCCAGACACTGATATCACCAAGAGCCGCTTCACAGCACTTCCCCAGTTTGGTTAGCTGGGCACTGACACTACCATTCAGGCACCAGTCAAAACATTTCAGCTTATCTAGATATTTTTAAAGATTTTGCCAATTTAGCCAAAGTTTAGTCTATTTTAAAGTGTTTTCGTGTTATGGTCATTTGTTTTCTTTATCTATTTATCTATTACAGTCATACCTCGGAATAAATACGCTTCAGGATAAGTATTTCCGGTTGCACTCCGTGGCGACCTGGAAGTAATGGAGTGCGTTACTTCCAGGTTTCGCCGCTCATGCATGCGCAGATGGTCAAAATGACGTCACGCGCATGCGCGGAAGTGGCGAAACGCGACCTGCGCACCCGCGCAGTCGTGTCTTACATTCTGTTCAGGATGAGAACGGGGCTCTGGAACGGATCCTGTTTGCATCCTGAGGTACCACTGTATTTTAAGGACCTTTTAAATCCACCCTTCATCAGTTTTTCCTGGGGTGGATTACATGTTTTAAAACAATTTAGAAAAAACAGTCCAACCAAAATAAGACTAGACCATAATCTAAATTCAATATAGAATAAAAATTCCATCACACCAATTCCAGCAGCAGTTTTAATACATGGCCATGCACTCTACTATGTAATGTAATGGGCAGTATTTATTTCAGAATGTTTTAAATAAATACACAAATATGTAACTCTTTCCACCCATCATTTGTAAGCTGATTTCTGCAATTGCCTTGTGGGATATCAATCACTTCATACTTTTCAGATCAGTGCCTGCAGAAGAACCATTTCAACAGATGGACACACCTTGAGGAGCAAAGCTCCCCACCACACACTGTGGCTTGAGGGCCTCTCTCCGTCTGTTATGGGGCACTCATGAGTTAAACAGAGCATTGCGGCAGGAAGAGTCCAGTGCTGAAAACAGAGGCTGCAGAGCAGGCCCTCAAGTTTCCCTGGAGCTGATCAAGCGCCCTCTGAATCTTTGCAGATGCCCATGCCCAAATCCTCTTGATGCACATTTGAATGCAGCAAGGGATGCTTCCATTCCAGGATTTGCATTTCTTCAACTTACTGGGTGAAGGCGAGGGGACCTGTGAGCAGGTCTTGTGGGAAGGGGCCTGCTCGCCTTTCACCAGCACTTCCTGGATTGCACTGGAAGAAAAAAGATGCGGAACAGCAGCTTGGACTGGCTGGGGGCTTGGAGCCTGCTGGCCTGGGCTGCTGAGCAGAATACCGCTGTGGAATTCTGTTGCTCTGGGTGCCTGGGAACAAAATGCAGAGAGAAAAACGCAAGGCATGTCTTGTAGGTTGGCACCTCCCAGCACCAGATGCCCTGCCTTCCCCCATTCCCTGCCCCAAGACAGACATTGTGCTTCTTACTCTGGCCATTCCAGAAGGTGCAATTACAACATTGGGCTGAGACATCCTTGGGGACCAAACCCCTTCTCTTTTCAATGGCGCTGGAGTTACAATCACAGCTCTGGACTGTCCCTGAAAGGCAGCTGAAAAACACAGCAGAAGGAGGAACCAGGAGAGGAAGAACAAGAGAACCACAACCTAGGGAAGGAGCATCCTTTGATGGAGCCACATTGGGCGTTTCCATCCAGCATTTAAAACGCACCATTTTAAGTATGACATTATTCTTATGTTTTCAACATGTCCACACATAAGCTTATCCCTGGCTAATAGTGAAAATTTGTGGTTGTGGAATTAGAACAGACCTGTTGAAATCAATGAGACTATATTCCACCTACTCTAATAGTCCACCTACTCCACGAGGAAGTATCGATCTAACCCAATGATTTTTGCCTCCTGTGCTCTGCACTGCCCTTCAGAACATGGAGAGATGGAAGTGCAAATAACTGGATTACAGTCCATGGCCTGGCATGGTACACTGGATATATGAGCCAGTTCATTTTGTGACACATGTGGTCCAATCCAGTTCAAGTGTATATAGACATAGTGTGAGTAGTAACCCCGATGTGGGTCAGCACTCATCATTTTTTGGTCACACCTGTACAACCTTAAGAACTGAGCTCAGGAGCAAATGGTTATTTCCATTTCTAGCAGACTAGCAGTTGGCTGCGCACGTCTGCCCTTGGCCAGGATTCAGCTCTGGCTCCTAGTGCAAGGCGCTGATTGACTAGATTCTGTGACAATCACAAACTACCACCTCAGTGGTATTTTTTAAAAGAATGGCAGATTTTTTAAAAGTTCCAGCTATTTAATGAGGAGAAATGGCACAAGTCTAGAGCATGAGGAAACAGATATAAAGAAACAGGAAATGAAATGCTGGAGACAGATAATTATGACACGGTTGATTAAATTAGTGTCACAGGAACAGGGTGGGTCTTAAAAACACACTCAGTTGTCAAAGGCCAGGGTAAAGACTATCTCACCCCTTATATACCCAATCAATCACTGCATTCTGCAGGTGAAGGCCTCCTGCAGATGTCAGGAATTCCCTCGCTTGGAATATTAGACCAACACAGTCTCGGTTGTCTTTTTGGTGCCTAGTGTAGACTTTCATCTTCCAACAAGCCTTTTAAGTTGAAATTTTCCCCAGTCTGCATCTGTACTGGTTTTAGTATGTTTGTCACTTGCTACCCTGGGCTTTTTTGGGAGAAAGGGTGGGAAATTAATTAACAAACAAATCAATAACAAAGAGGAGCATCTTCAGCACACATCAGAAACTATACAGTATAACCAAGGAGCTGCCACAGGGAGTGCCCTCTTATGGGCTGCTTGCATGAACTTCTGAGGGTGGTAGAACTACCAAGAGGATTTCCCTCTGCTGATCTTAACACCTGAGAATGTTTTAAAGGAGAGAGTTGGTCTTTCAGGTATTTGGGGCCTATGTGTGTAATTTAGACAAGTAAAGGAGTGTGTGTGTGTGAAAGGAGAGCTCAACCCACAGCAGGGCAGGAGGGAAGCTCTGGTTCCTGATTGTACCTATTCCTGACTGCAAGATCTGAACACAGGTTTAAGTATTTATTTATGTGAGGCACAGGGACTACAGACTAAGAACATGAGGTAGGTTTGCCATTTTGCCACAATGGTGCTCTATGGAAATCCCAACACAACGCATCTATCCCCGAATGCACCCTTTTGGAAACTAAAGCCATTACTGAAGTATCAAAACCATCACACTTCTCTAGGATATTTGCTGTGACACTCTACATGAAAAACAAAACAGCAAATGAGTGTTTGAACCGATACATCAGTCTTACTTATCTACTGCTTTAAAGTATGCACTTTAACATTGTGAAATCTCTGTTATTGTCAATTATCCAAAACAGTCTTTTAAAATAATACAAGTAATGTCAAAATTACAAAAAGAGAAGAACAGCTCCAGCTGATTAGCTGGCACCATCCTGTGGAGAAAGCTGAGATCTTAAAAATTATCTCTTTCTGTTCAGTTCAGGCTTTCAGGCCCATTAAATAATTAAGCTTTGGAATGTATCAGAAGCAGGTCAGTAGCCTCATGTTACAAGAGGAGGAAACGAGTCACAGACTGGGAGAGTTGCTTGCCCAGAGCTCTTGAATAACAAGGAGGCCAGCAGTGGCACCCAGGAGCTGGTGGAGACCCCCGGAGAGGCTCAGCAGTAAAGCCCCTGTCCCATTTTCAATGCCTGCCAGCTGCAGTTATGAACAAGGGCAGAGAAAGGCCTCTGCGGAGCCAGCTGGAGGACACTGCCCTGAGCAAGTTCAACTAATGTGGCCCCTTACCATACGCCAGCCTGGTGGCACCAGGCACCCGCGCCTATATGGCAAAAGGAGGTTTCATAAAGACAGCAAGAAATTGATGAAACTTGGGCATTTAAATAAAAATAACAAAATTGGACTGTGAAATATTTATTTTTAAAAATGACTTGCTTTACTCTTCCTGCATGATTGTGTTTACTCTTTGTTCCTTCTTCATGAACAATTTTACACAGAAGCCAGCAAAATGCATTTTTGTGGGGAGGGAGGTTATGTCCCATCCCAAGTGGCTGGGCTCAGCTACTCAAGGCCTCAAGCAGAGTCTGGTGGCAGCAACGCCAATAGCACTCCTGCCTGCAGCTCAGCAGAAAAGTGGCCTCCCTGCCCCTCAAGGGCCCTCACTACTCTGTCTCTTGGCATTACAGTGGTACCTCGGGTTACAGATGCTTCAGGTTACAGACTCCGCTAACCCAGAAATAGTACATTGGGTTAAGAACTTTGCTTCAGGATGAGAACAGAAATCGTGTGGCGGCAGTGGGAGGCCCCATTAGCTAAAGTGGTACCACAGGTTAAGAACAGTTTCAGGTTAAGAACGAACCTCAGAACGAATTAATTTTTTAACCCGAGGTACCACTGTAGTTGCCCTAGTGTTATTTTTCTCCACGCCTGATGCCACACTGTTAGTTTATAAACCTGGAACAGGAGCCAAAGTTCCATGTGACTAGTTGCACATGGCCAAGGAGGCTTTGTGTGTCCTGAGCAGTCGATTACCACCCCATAACATTGTGGGGAGTTTCATAAACAGTTTGCGATATGGAAGGGAGGGAGATGCCTCTGAAGAGTGGGTTCTTCCTTTCATGGCCTGCTTGTGGGATTCCTGGAGGCAACTGACTGACCTATCTATATATGACTTTTTCATCTTTACCAAGGTCTGCTATTTAAAAGTCAAACATCCCACTGTCTCCACACAGGCCCTTTTGAACTCACCTAAAACAGTATGCTGAGTATCTGAGGAATATTTTTCAGGATGAAGGTTTGTCCCCAGACTTGCAGGGTGCCTGACACACACACAGACAGACTGGCAAGCACCCAAACACCGTAACCCTTGTTTGCAGACAAACTGGTAGCACTTGTGATGCCTGACTGCACCTGGCCCCAACCCAAGGGGGCAGGCATTCCAGGACCACTCACCTGGGGCAATGAAGGCATCTTTCAAGACCAAGGAGACGGTTTCCGGCTTTCGAGCAGGCACGATCTTTTGCAGCTTCTTGGATCTCGTCCCGCCACTGGCCACTGGGAGCGCAAAGGTGGGACGTGGCTGCAGCAGAGGCTGTCTTTGTGCCACGGCAGTCTGGAGGGTCAGGCTGCAAGGCACTCCTCCCCCTGGCTGCTGGGTTGCCAGGAGGCCAGCCTGGCTCTGGCTGAAGGTGGTGGCTGGGACATTGTGCGTCGGAGTGGCTGAGGCTGTGTGAGTGATCACCGAAGACTTGAGCCCAAACTTTGGGACCTCTGAAGCAGCAAACATGGACCCCTGGGAAGCCATGCCGGCATTCAGAGGTAGCGCAGTCTGCTGCGGCAGCGTCTGCGGCAGCACGCCTGGCTGAAGGAGCGGCACCAGAGCCGGGAATGGAGACAGGAACTGTGGCTGGCTGCTCAGAGGGGGTTCAGAATTGAAGTTGGAGGGCTGCAGGAAGGAGTCCGTCCCACTCCTCAGGCCAAGGCACTGGTCGGCACCAACGTCCGTTGCAGAGGGAATGATAGGGGCAGGAACTGGGGTGGTGACAAGCCCTTCGCTGAGGTTCACTGGGGGAAGCGTGTTGGGCAAAGAACCTGAAGAGAGGTCGGATGTCTGAAAAAGAGAGGGAAGAGGCACGTTAAATGTGGCCAGATACCAAGTGGGATGTTCTATATTTCTAAACTGGTAAGTATTGGGGGAGAGAAAAAGGACCCAGATCGGACTCCACTGTTGGCATTACCCACCATCACAAGTAATTCTTACTAAAGTTACATGCTCTTCCCTGCTCCATTATTAGCTATTAAGATAAAACCATGTTAGTTATTACAGCCTGCCTGCTAGAGTGAATAGAGCAGAGATAGCCAAACTGTTGCCCATCAGATGCTGTTGGACTACAATTCCCAGCAGCCTTAATCAGAATTACAAAAGGTAAAAGATGATGGGACTTGTAGTCCAGCAACACCTAAAGGGCACCCATTTGCATTACGTCAGTTACCTAGCCTTCGACTGGGGAGATCTGGGTTCAAGTCCCTGCTTTATATGGAAACTTGTTAGGTGACCCTGGGACACTTGATCTCTTGGCCTAGCCTACCTCACAAGATTGCTGTGTAGATAGAATGGGAGGAATGGAAGAAGGGCAGAACAAAACTGTAAGTAACAAGTAACTTGTGGCCTGAAAGAAAAACGCACACACTCCTAACTTGAGTTACAAAAATGTCCCTGCTTCATCATCTGCGCCTACTTTTCATACTCACAGGTGATCACAGTTAGGACCAAACAGCTAGAGTCACACACACACCAGCTCATGTGGTAAGATCTATAGTTATATGAGTCCAAAATGGGCACCAACTCATTCTGAATTAATAGAAGCCATGCTGCTTAGAGTTATCCTAAGGATATTTTATAAATTCAGATAAATAAATAAAAGTCATCTGGGAATATTTGTTCAGATAAATATGCCCAGCTGTGGTGCTGACCGGCTGACAGCCCAAAGGCATCGAGAATGCACATGAAAATCAAAGACCAGACTACCTTGACTCTAGGAAGACTTCTTAGGAAACTGCTTCTACTGAGTCAGGTGACTGAGATCTACCTCACACAGTATTATTTACTCACTAGCTGTCAGCACCTATCTACCTTGCAGGGAGACTAAACTTTCCTCATGCAAAGCACACACTCTAACTGCCACTGAGCAACAATTCTTCCCCATCCTTACCTGGGAAGAATGGCTGCAGGTGTCTTCCAGGGCAGAGCTGGCAGTAGGAGTGATGGGGGTTGCATTGAAGTAACTAGGACGACTGGAAGAGAAAAGATCTGGGCAAAGATTGGGGGGGGAGGCAAATATTACAATCACTTCTGGATATTCTTATTCATTTTACAGCTGCACTTTGCCAAGCTGGATTTAAATAAACAGAAAACCTTTGTTACACACCAGGAAATAAAAAAGAAAAGAGCACCTTCCACACTAAAAACCTATTTTTATTTCATTTCTATTTATTTCAATACATAGTTGTCCTACTTTTAATGCAAGCTATCCCAAGTAGCTTAACCACTGTTACATATTTTTATTAAGACTTTCGCTCTGCCTTTCGAAAGGCTTACAATCCAACAATAAAACCCAAGTAAAGGTGGTGATGACGACGACCACAATAACAACAACAACAGGGCCATTCTACCCCTTCAGCATTCTTCCACATGTGCAGACCAATCTAGAGAGAGAGGTCCATTGCCCAGTGAGGGTACTGCTGCTTTGCCTACAGAAGGGTCAATGTTCCACAGAAGGAAGAGGATATAGAAGAATTTCTTAAAAAGTATGGACTACAAAAAATCTCTCACCAAAGTAAGGTGGATCTAAATCAGAGAATAACAGATCAAGAGATAGAGGGTGCCATTCAAAATATGCAACTGGGCAAATCTCCAGGACCAGATGGACTGACTTCCAGATATTATAAAGCTTTGAAGGAGTGGTTGGTACAACCATTAAAGGAAGTCTGTAATGAGATCTTAGAGGGGAAAAGGGCCCCAGAATCGTGGAAAGAAGCGTTCATTACACTCATACCAAAGACAGAGATTGAAAAGAATCAACTCAAGAACTACCGCCCAATATCATTACTTAATGTGGATTACAAAATTTTTGCAGACATTTTGGCAAAAAGATTGAAAAGAGTGTTGATGGAGAAGATTCATAAGGACCAAGCAGGCTTTCTCCCAAAAAGGCATTTATCAGACAATGTGAGGAACATAATAGACATTTTGGAATTATTAGAGGTGAACATAAACACTAAAGCAGTTCTGATCTTTGTAGATGCGGAGAAAGCCTTTGACAATATTTCTTGGAGTTTTATGAAAAAGAATCTTCATGGGATGGGGGTAGGTCAAGGATTCGAGAATGGTATGGGTGCCATATACACTGAACAAAAGGCTAAGTTGATTGTAAATAATGTGATAACTGAAGAATTTAAAATAGAAAAAGGGACACGACAGGGGTGCCCTATTTCCCCATTACTTTTTATTTCTGTTCTGGAGGTGTTGCTAAATATGATTAGAGATGACCAGCAGGTTAAAGGTGTACAGGTCGGAGCTAAACATTACAAGTTAAGGGCCTTTGCAGATGATTTAGTACTTACTTTACAAGAGCCAGACACTAGTACAAAAAGGGTGTTGGAGCTAATGCAAGAATTTGGCCAAGTAGCTGGATTTAAATTGAATAAACAAAAGACTAAAGTTCTGGAAAAAAATTTAACAGTCATGGAGAGGGAGAAGTTTCAGAATGAAACAGGTTTGACAGTGGTAAAGAAGGTGAAATACCTAGGGGTTTATTTGACATCTAAGAATTTGAACCTGTATAAAGACAATTATGAAAAATGTTGGTCGGAAATTAAAAAAGATTTAGAAATATGGTCAAATTTGAAATTGTCAATGTTAGGCCGAATTGCAGTTATTAAGATGAATGTATTGCCTAGAATGCTATTCTTGTTCCAAACATTACAAATTCTAGATAAGATAGACTGTTTCAAGAGGTGGCAGAAGGATATTTCGAAATTTGTCTGGCAGGGCAAAAAGCCCAGAATAAAATTTAAAATACTGACGGATGCAAAAGAAAGAGGGGGGTTTGCCCTGCCGGACTTAAAACTGTATTATGAAGCAGCAGCTTTTTGCTGGCTGAAAGAATGGATGCTCCTCGAGAATACAGACATCTTGGACTTAGAAGGTTTTAACAATACATTTGGTTGGCATGCATATTTATGGTATGATAAAATTAAGGTGCATAGGGCCTTTAAAAATCATATTGTCAGGAAAGCATTATATAACGTTTGGATAAGATATAAAGATTTGGTGGAAAGTAAGACCCCTAGATGGTTGTCACCTTTGGAAGCTACGGCGTTGAAAAAGCTTAATATGGAAGCCGAATGGCTAAAGTATCGGGAAATTTTGGAACAAGATGGAGATAAGTTGAAACTACAGAGCTATGAGAAATTGAAACCCAAAGTACTGAGATTGGCTCCATTATTATCAAATAATGGAGGTGTATAAACAAGACAGGAAAATTGGCTTCCAGGTGGAGAAATCAAAATTAGAAACTGAACTGTTAGAACCCAATACTAAGAACTTGTCAAAAATGTATAATTTGCTGCTGAAATGGAATACACAAGATGAAACAGTTAAATCAGCTATGATTAAGTGGGCACAGGACATTGGTCATAACATTATGTTTGCTGACTGGGAATGGTTGTGGAACACCGGTATAAAATTTACGGCATGCAATGCCATAAAGGAAAATATTATGAAAATGATCTATAGGTGGTACATGACTCCAGTCAAGCTAGCAAAAATTTATCATTTGCCTGATAATAAGTGTTGGAAGTGTAAAGAAACTGAAGGTACTTTTTATCACCTTTGGTGGACGTGCCCAAAGATTAAGGCTTTCTGGGAAATGATATATAATGAAATGAAAAAGGTACTTAAATGTACTTTCCTGAAGAAACCAGAGGCCTTTCTCTTGGGCATTGCCGGCCAATTGGTATCAAAGAAAGACAGAACTTTTTTTATGTATGCTACGACAGCAGCAAGAATACTCATCGCAAAGTATTGGAAGACAGAAGAACTACCCACCTTGGAAGAGTGGCAGATGAAGGTTATAGACTATATGACATTGGCTGAGATGACTGGCAGAATCCGTGAGCAGGGGGAGGAGACGGTGGAAGAAGATTGGAAGAAATTTAAAATATATCTAAAGAACTATTATAAAATTGAGGAATGTTAAAATGTCGAGGTTTGGAGAAAGAAAAGGAGATTACAGCGACATAAGATTAAGTTGAAGAAAAAAAAAATAAGAAAAATATATTTGATAACATTATTTAGAATTTGCTGAAATAATTTTGGAAATTGGGATGTAGGAAGGGGAGGTTTGGGGAGTCCGAGAAGAGAGGGTTATGAAAAAAGGTTATGAAACTATACATGTTTGTATGTCTTTTTATTTGTCTGTATTGTATAAAACTTGTTTGTAAAATCAATAAAAAAATTATATAAAAAAAAAAAACAGAAGGGTCAATGTTCATACCCCCTAAACTCTGAATAGAAGCAATGATGCTAAATGGAATGCACCTCTATTCTCAGTACGGTGGTGTTGCTGGTGATGTTAATCACACCCAAATGTTGACTGTCAGTCTAAAACCAGTGGAACAGTACATACCTCCTCTTGGAGGAACTACGCCTTATAGGAACAAACTCTGGATACTCCAAAATCCAGATATCAGAGGACAACGCAGCAAAACTTTAGCATAGCTTAATACTTTCAATATTCAGCTTCATAAACGATACCAGGGGAAATCTGTGCTGGCAAACAAGAGTGTGTAACCCCTGCAAAATTCTTACCTTGAAAAAACTCGAAAGTATCCATACAGTTTGGTTGGAGAGGGCTGAGTCCTGGCTGAATCATGTCAGCATTTCCTAAGTGTGCTGGAAAATTTCAAAGAGAAAAAGAGTGAGAAGGTGTACCGGAGAGCTTCTAGACCAGGGTGCTGGCCAGCCACAATCAGCATGGCCAATGGTCAGGGATGATGGGAGTTGTAGTCCTGCAGCATCAGGAAAGCACCAGTTTAGCTAACCCTGTTCTAGATTCTCTGTGGTGCCCTCTAATGCTTTGGAATACAGTTCCCATAAGCCCAAGGCAGCATGGCCAATGGCCAGGGATAATAGGAATTGTAGTCCACAACATCTGGGCACTGTGCTGAATACACTTAGTATGGAAGACTCTGGGAAACTGAGGTTGAGGGTGGTACAGGCATCGCCAATACTGCACCAGTGTGCCCAACTGCCCAAAAGCAAGGTGTGCGGGGGCGGGGGTTGGGGAGCAGGAGTTCTGGAGCCCAACAACTAATACCTGGAGTTTGGGCCCCCTGGGATACAGCACCAGAGTCAGGCCAACTTCCCTGTGTTTTCTGTCTCCTATTGCTACCCTCCCCATTTGCATAACAAGAGCAACACTGTGATCTGAAAAGCTGGGGAACTGATGGCAGCATGGTACAAAACATGGTCGCTTCCCCTCCGAGGCAGTGATGATCAAACTTCCTATTTTCAGGAAACAATTTCTACACTAATGTCAGATGCTGGTAGTGGTTGCTCGTGAGTAACCAGGCGGGGCTCCGACCTGTCTTTAGCAGGTTTTATTTGGTGCAAATTATTTACAGTGCAGAAACACAAAGTTCATGTCCGTCTTAGTCACTTGCAGATTCCAGGAGTGGCCCCTTCCAGTTTCTCCCCCAACAGAAGAACTTGGGACACCCCAAATCTCCGCCTCCCCTCCTTATGTTTCTCCCCTCTGCGTAAGCTGGGCGACAGAAACGGCGTCTCTGCATCCTGCCCAGCCAGGCTAGGTGAGGCGCTTGGGCTCTCAGTAGGATCTTCGCTTGTCTCCCTCCGTCCCACTGTGCTCCACTGGAGGTGTGGCTTTCCCCACCGCTGGACGAGGAGCTGCTCCTCAGAAGCGTCGGAGGCTCTCTGTACCCCACTGGCTCCCTCCCCTGTTCCAACGGCAGTCCACTGACAACTACCTAATATGTCCCCCAAACCCAAGGGGTTTCTGAAGATTCGGCAGGGTGTGTGGAAGACCGCATAAAGTAGAGCAGCTCACACAGGGCATGGGAGGGTTTCCGGACACTTTCTACCACCTCCTATCAAGTGAGAGCATGTCCAAGAATACTGCCAATGCTCCCCCTGTGCCTGCGTGTTTTGTGGGCGGATTGGAAGTAATGGGTGCGGTTTGCTAGGCACAAAGAAAGCTGCCTTTCTTTCCATGGAATCAGACCACCATCTGGGTGCCTGGAACCACAGTGCCTCCCCGCAGAGGCTCTTTCACTGAATCTCTCACCAAGGACTATTCTCTGGATTAGAAACTATTCCTCCAAAGAAAATAATCTACCTTGACCTCTAGATTCAAGACAAGGTTCTACCAATTTCCCCCCTTTCCGCGCCTCCCCCCCCCCAACTTAAGGAATGGAAAGAAATGAGTGTTTAATGTCTAAAGTGAGTGGGATTTGCCTGGAAGTTCTTCCCCTAACCTCTGACACCTACATGGGTGGGCCTGTGATCAAGGAAGATAATCTTAAAAAAAAATAATTAAAAGCTTACTGACATAAACTCATACAGAATACAATAAAAATGATGGATATGGAGAATAAAAAGAAATGTGAAACTAGAAAAAATAAAACACAGATACAGAAGAGATGTAATTCAAAGTATAGTTGGAGATACCCCTTTAAATGTTCCAAAGCAAGATGCTGTAGTCTTTTTTAAACTATCCCAATACTGGTGGCTGCTAGGAAGCACATTTGGAAGTAAGACTGCAAGGTACTTCCTCGCTCCCACGCCCACCAAAACAGGAAAGAACTTGGAAGCACTTGGAAGCCTATCCTGTGGAATTCCTTCTCCACAGATGATCCAGGAAAGGGCAAGCTTCTCTTACCTATCTCTCTGGGATTTGGCCAAGAGAGCGGCTGGTGAGACGACAGTGTGGAGAAGAGGGTGTCTGGCAGCTCTGACATAAGCATGTCTGTGCTGAAGAGGCAGTCCAGTTCCATAGGGACTGGTGTTTCCCTGCCGTATGTCTCTTTGTGCCAGAGGAACGTGTCATCATCCTGGTCAGGGGAGGGAGGGAAAAGTTAAAACAGGGCCCAGTTTGGATGTCAGTATTTGCAATTTTAGTGGGGACTGTCATGTTTTGTATTACTGTCTTTGCGGTTTGGATTGTACGACACCTTGAGTTTCTTTTAAAATACATTTTAAAACAAAAATAATACATTAAAAGAAGCAGGAGTGTCTGGAGCTGCACCCAGCTCGCAAGGAGCCACAAGGCATAAAACTCAGCAATTTCCTTTCTCTCTCAATTGAGAGGAGAGTCACAGAGCACATTCTGAAATGAGCAAATCTTTGGGGATATGGTTTATTTCAAGGAGACCTTGATGCACATCTCTCAGTTAAGTCATGGGCATCCTGGTTGGCTCAGCTGCAGCTGTGAGCAAGAAAAAACCAACTCATAGTGGATTTTCTATAGAATAATCAATAGGACCATTAAAGAACTTTGGAATGCAAAATGGTGCTCAACTGTAGCAATTCAGGGAATTTTAGTGGTTACAGCACCCCTCACTTCCCCTCTGACCTGCAGACTGCCCTGGTTTCACACCTAATTTTTAAGCAAAATAAGAAGAGGAATACCTTCTACTTAACAGGGCTGAGATTTCACTTTTTAAATACTTTCAGGCCTAACCAACAACAAACAAAACAAGAGCTAACTCAACACCTACCCGGACCAAGCTGGAGAGGTCTTCATCTTTATGTTTCTGCAACTGAAGAAGAAAAAGAGATTTTTTCCCCAACAGAATTACAACACAGTTCTAAAGTTACCATGAACTGGAGCTCCTATTTGTGTGAGGGATTCTTACTGCCTTGAAGCAAAGTATTTTATCAGTCAGAACTGGTCTGCCCATGAGGTAGGGTGAGGCAGCCACAAAGAGAGGCATAAGCCCAAGAGAGGCTGTGCCACCACAGGCTCTCTGCTCACCTGGCTGCCAGCAGAGAAATGCTTCAGGCAGTGGCACCAATTTCCAGCGAGATCTGGGCCATGAACAAGAAACCCTATCTAATCCTGAAAGTGGCCCTCTAGGATGTTATTCCAAGTCTATCATGAGTTTGCATGAGTTAGGAGTTTAAAAACAGCTATCCTTGAAGTTTCCTGGGAGAAAGGAGAAGCAAGGGATGAGAGATAAAGGAAGCAATGTCAACAACTCAACAAAGACCTGGTTGCCAGGGGAACAGGGATAGAAATGTGACATTAGAGGCTCAAAAGGCCTGGCCACCTGGGGCACCCCAAGGTACTGTATTTTTCCGTGTATAAGATGCCCCGATGTATAAGAAGCCCCTACTATCCGTGTATAAGACTCCCCCTAATTTTTGACATTATTTTTCAGGGGGGAAACCTAGTCTTATACACAGAAAAATACAGTAATTGCGGGGGAGCAGATCACAGTATGGAGCCATGCATGTTTACCATCCTATGACCTGCAATCTTTCCTGATGTATGTAGAAGGATGTTTATGTTTTAAGAATATTTAGAAGTTTTAGGACTCTCTTTGTGTGCTTTACCTATAATAAAAAGGTAAAGGGACCCCTGATCATTAGGTCCGGTCGTGGCCGACTCTGGGGTTGCGGCGCTCATCTCGATTTATTGGCTGAGGGAGCCGGCGTACAGCTTCCGGGTCTTGTGGCCAGCATGACTAAGTTGCTTCTGGTGAACCAGAGCAGCGCATGGAAACGCCGTTTACCTTCCCACCGGAGCGGTACCTATTTATCTACTTGTTCTAATTCTTATTAACTGGCCGTTTGGATAGAACAACTGTGTTGAGTTGAGCTCTGCCCTACTGCAATAGCTACAATAAATTCTGGGTTCTTCCTGGTTACTGGACTTGAATTCATTTCCTTGGTTGCATGTTTTATATAAAAGATCCCTCACCTGGGTTAACGAACAGCGTGGTATAGAAGCAAATTCTTGCCACAGGTTGGATGACCACCTGTCATGTATGATGCAGTTGGGATTCCTGCATCGCAGGCTAGATGACCCTCGGGGTCCCTTCCAACTCTACAGTTCGATGATACTTGGACTATTCAGGTGAACCAGGACAATTTGAGTGACAACAGAATGCACAAATCAGTACAAAATTAACATTTTATTGTCTGGGGCCAGCATATTTCTACTAATACAGTTGAATTACCAACCCTTTTCATTCTTAAGCCCTCATTGGTAAGCTGAAACTTTTCCTTCCTTTCTGGAGGCAATTGAGAAGATACTGATCTACTTCCAAATAGAAAACTGGGTGTGAAAAAACATACCCTTTTTTTGAAGTAGGTTCTCCACTTGTGGTACTCTCGGATTACTACTTCTATCCGCCGTTTCCAATACTTCCCTTCTGTTGCAATAGCCTGAGGAAGAAAAATGTTTAAAAAGTGGTACAGTGTGCCCGTCACTTGGACTCACATTACACACGCAATTGCAACCTTATGTGGGCACAGGGGGCAGGGAGGAATCAATAAACAAAGAGTGGGAAAAACCCATTCCCCACTCTTCATTTATTTCCCTCCCACCTACCCACTCAACAGGTTTTCCTTGTTTATTGAGCTCTGGGAAGGTTACACTTCCCAAAGAGGTTTAATAACCAATCCATTTCCCCAGGGAACTGTGGGAATTGTAGCTCTAAGGGGAATAGGGATCTCAAAATAACTCTTAGCACCCTTAACAAACTACACCACCTGGCCTCTAGCATCTGACACACCCTCTGCCTGATGGCGGGACCCACCTGCCCATTCAGAACTGAAAGGAAGCCTACATTCAAATATGTGCATTTGCTTATGTACTGATTTGTTGTGCTCCTTACCCCACTCTCTACCCCAGTGTCAAAACACAACAGAGAACTATGGAAAGACAGGAAGGGGCAGATAAGCAAAGGCAATTCAGGTGAAAGCAGCATAAAATGAGATTAGCCCACAGCATGAAGAGATATCCGCTGTACCACAGTCACATTTTTCTCTGCCTGATGTACCTCAGGGCGCCGGTGCTCATCTACCTCCACAGAACCATCCAGGGGAGTCACAAAGTGGCACACAGGGTTCTTCCGCTTCTCCAGATCTGCAACATAAACCAGAGCATTAGCAGAGCACATCTCTAGGGGGAGCAAGCCAGGTCAGATTTAACTGCCATGCTAAGTAAGCCACAGAGCAGGACTTCCACTGTTAAAGAACCAGGGATGTGCACATGCCAGATTCTGCACAAGTGTTAAGAAAGAAACAAAAAGCAAAGTGTGGCATGAGGAGCAGAATTCAACTACTGTACACGACAGAAATTCAGTAGGGAACCTTCCAATCTTCTCCATAAAGGGCTGGTTTTTGTATGCACACAGAGAGAGATCATAAGGAAGGCTGGAGGAGAAACTCACTTACCTAATTCACATTTCCTCAATCAATGTGTAAACCAAAACACAGCTATCCTTTGAAATCTGCAATTCTATGAATTTTGCTTTAGCGTTTTACAATGAAGAAATGCTTACAAAAAAGCATATAATATATAATTTAAATGCTATGCAGATGACTTAAGAGGTTTTCTTCACAATTAAGCAGTATATAAATTCTGTTAAATAAATAAAAATGTATTAGGAAAAAATTTGCATGAAAATTTGTGTATTAATGAAAACAATGTGCAGAAATCAGCATGTTGGGCAAATGTGCATAAAAATATTCACACATACCTGGATATATGCACGTGATTATGCACTTGAAGATTTGTGGGAATTTTTTTAAAACTGCAAACTGATTTAGAAATAGCAAAAACTGAACTTAAGATGGAAAAATGAGAAAGTGAAATTGACAGGAGTGGGGAAGGGCCAAAGCTCAGCGGTAGAACACCTGCTTTGCATGCAGAAGATTCTAGGTTCGATCCCCAGCATGTCTAGGTAGACAATACAGAGCTAGATGGACCAAGGGTCTGACTTGGTGTAAGGCAGCTTCCTAAGTCCCTAGAAGCAGGCCTCAGACTTATATGCTTCCTCTCCCAAGTCTCGCCTCACCACAGGCAGAAGTGAAGGACATCACGAGAGACCCCACATCACTGGGAGAAGTACTGTAGATTCCGGCGTATTAGGCGACTGGGCGTATAAGACAATCCCCCAAATTGGCAGCTGCCAATTTGGGGGGTTGTCTTATACGCTTCGGCAGCTTCGTTGGGCAGCGGCAGTGGGCGGCGGGCTCCACGCTGGGAGGAAGCCGCCCAGTGAAGCCGGCTTAGCATCGCCAGGCAGCTTCCTTCCGGTGCAGAGCAGAGCCCGCCACCCACTGCAGCCATACCCGGCGTATAAGACGACCCCCGACTTTTTAACCTCTTTTCCGGGGTTAAAAAGTCGTCTTATACGCCGGAATCTACGGTAGTGAACAACTGAACCAGGGAGACATCATGTTTAGGGTGTTTTCAGGTTCAACCATTCCCTTTTAATTTTATTTTAAAATGAAACCTCACCATTCAATTAAAAATGTTCAAGGTTACTTTCAATAATATTAAAATAAAAAGAACAGAGATGCTATCCACAGAGAGGAGAGGAACCAAAGGAGGGGCAGATGGCCTTGTTCTCACCACGGGCAAATTCCTAGGGAACAAAGAATGGGTGAGCAGGCCTTGGCCCCACATCCCCCTGCCCTCTAAAGCATGGAGGGGGTTAGAGGTGACAGAACCTTTCCAGTGGTGGAGCCTAAACCATGGAGCTTTCTCCAAAGGGAGACTTGCCTGCCGCTGGCCTTACTGGGGTTCCTAGGAAAGGCTGAGATTCTGATTTCAACTGGTATCTGACACAACAGAGAAGTTGCTCCCTCTGCCTGATTTGGCTATGGGATGTTTCTTCCTGGTTTTGTGTGACAAGATTGCTTTGTTGAGGCTTTTATATTGCTGCTTATATTGCCTGCACACCCTGAAAGAGGACAAGGCATATGATATGTAATAAACAATCAGAAGTCCCAGGCTGGCCACGTACTAATGTGTGGATTTTCCCAAAGCACCCAAACACATTTAGGATGGGCAGAACTTACACTGAATGTACCAAGCCCTCCAGATGGCGTTGTTGAGCCGGATTTTATCCCTACACTGAAGCTTCAGGCCTTTGAAATTCTTCCACTTGGGTGAAACCAACTTGCCGCTGCAACAAAGCAGAGAAGGTTCAGATTTAAACAACAATAATATACAATGTATTCTGAAGCAAAACAAAGCAAAGATCAGCACACCAGGCTGACAGCTTTGAAGGCTACCTAGTGTCCTCTGCCTGGGCCTGAGTTTTAATTCTGACCAGGCCTGAAAGCAGAGCTAAAGGGGACAAGTTGTGACTCATTGGGACATTGAAACCCCTTACTATAGTCTGTCTTGATGCCAGGGCAAACCCATGTTTCTACTCCAACCAGCCCTGCTCACATACAACTTTTTTAATTAGGCAGCAGATATTTAGATATTCTGTTCTGTTCTGTTCTGTTGAGGCGAATATGTGCCTTAAAAGAGCCACATCCCTTTTGATCACTGTGCTAGTTTCTGGATTTGGGGTATAGTCAGTGCTATTTTTCTAGAAAAAGGGGTGCCGGAACTCACAATGAACACCTCCCTTGTTCGCCTATAGGTAAGGGTAAAGGTAAAGGACCCCTGGACGGTTAAGTCCAATCAAAGGAGACTATGGGGTTGCAGCGCTCATCTCGCTTTAGACCAAGGGAGCCAACGTTTGACCACAGACAGCTTTCCGGGTCATGTGGCCAGCAGGACTAAAGCGCTTCTGGCGCAACGGAACACCATGACGGAAGCCAGAGCACACGGAAATGCTGTTTCCCTTCCCGCCACAGTGGTACCTATTTATCTACTTGCACTTTTTTGTGTGCTTTCGAACTGCTAGGCTGGCAGGAGCTGGGACAGAGCAACGGAAGTTCACCCCGTCGCGGGGATTCAAACAGCCAACCTTATGATCAGCTAGCACAAGAGGCTCAGTGGTTTAGACCACAGCGCCACCCACGCCAATAATGGCAATGGTGTCCACCTGAGAGGTGTCAGAATTGAGTTCTATCTAAAAAAAGAAAAGCCCTGGATATAGTACTCTGAAGCAGTGGCTTTAAAAACTGCCTTGTATAAGCTTCCTATAAAGCTTTACAAGTTCAGACTACTGCATTTGTCATTTTAACCTAATAGATGACAGCTCTCCAGGGTCTCAAGCAGGGAGGGATTTCTCCCATCCCATCATTTTTCTTAGCTGGAGATGCCATGAGTTGAACCTGGGACCTTTGCCCAAAACATGTGGTTTTCTGCTGAGCTATGGCCCCTCCCTAAGGAATGCTGGAATGTCCCATGAAAGCCCATCAGGTCTTTCTTTGTAAGGTAATTGCTGGTGAGGACAAGCTTCTCTACGAAAGGAAAGATAGCTCACCCACTACTGTGGATTACCATATTTTTCGCTCCATAAGGCGCACCGGACCATAAGGCGCACCTAGTTTTTAGGGGGGGGGGATCAAGGGAAAAAATCTTATCTCCCCCCCGCCCCAGGCCCAAAGAGCAAAGAAGCCAAGACAGCAAACGGGATCCATCCCGCTCGCTGTCTTGGCTTCCTCTTCAGCCGCGCGCAACCTCTCCAGCCGGGAGCAAGCGAGATCCAGCCTGCTTGCTGTCTTGGCTTCGTTTTTAGCCGCGTGCAACCTCTCCTGGCTGGAGAGGTTGCGCGCGGCTTTGGCAAAAGACTAGACAGCCAGCGGGATGTCTTGGCTTCGTTTTTAGCCAGGGGGCTGGGGCGGGGGAAGCCTGCCAGCACCCAAAACAGGTCCGGGAGCGGCGGCAAGGTTGCGAAGCCTTTGGAGCGCAGCGTGAGTTCCCGCTGCGCTCCAAAGCCTTCAGGGATAGCTGCCTGAAGCCTTTGGAGCGCAGCGCGAGGTCCCGCTGCACTCCAAAGGCTTCAGGCGGCTATCCCTGAAGCCAGGTCTCCCGGCTCTCATAAAAGGAACCCAAAGCCTTTGGAGCGCAGTGCAAGGTCCCGCTGCGCTCCAAAGGCTTCAGGCGGCTATCCCTGAAGCCTGGAGAGCGAGAGGGGTCAGTGCTCACCGACCCCTCGCTCTCCAGGCTTCAGCGAAAGCAACGTGTAGCCTCCGGAATGCGGAGGGAGCGCTCCCTCTGTGCTTTGGAGGCTTCACATTGATATCACTGAAGCCAAGGAGCCTGCATTCGCTCCACAGGACACACACACATTTCCCCTTAATTTTGGGAGGGGAAAAAGTGTGTCCTATAGAGTGAAAAATATGGTATCTCCTGTAACTGCAACCCATGGGGTGAGCCTTGGGATGTTCTATGACACACCCAGTTCATAAAGGGTAATGGTAAGAACCAAGAGCCTTAGAGGTTAGAACATGCCCAAGAACCCTTTGCAACATGAAGGGATTCAATGGTTGATGTGCAGAGGTTCCTTCTCAGCTATACTGCTGAAAGCATTTCCTGAGAGACTGCCTAAAAAATGAAGCCAATGCCCTGAGAAATCAAGCCCATCCAGAATCCTCTACAGCTTTAAAAACATCTTTTGCGTTTCAGGATTGGTTGTGTTCGGGAATTTTTCCTGTGTTGAAAGCTGTTGAAGATCAAGACTCAGAAAGTTTTTAAGTGCATTCCTGCAGGATGGCCTCATTACATGAGCCAAAAGTAGCCCTGAAGAGGCTATAAGGGAACTATTAACTCTGGCCCAGCACACATGGGGCATGCTTCAATCTCTCTCTCAATGCTGCCTTTCACAAGCAAATTCTGTGCAAAAAGGTTTTAAAGGTCACTGGCGCTTGCAACAGACAGCAAGCCAAGAAACAAGGAAGAAAAAAGAAATAATCACGTGGAAAACAACTTGTACGACAGAGGATAGACTTAAATATTAACCTCTTGACCATCTCGCCACACTTACCAAATACTATTGCAGATAGAGGTGAAAAAACATACTTAAAAAACGAACAGAGGAGCGTCTGTTCCAATTTAAAATGAGGAATGTGGTTGCTAGAGCATGGAAGAGACAGAATTAAGTGACGCCAAATGACCTCAAATGATCAGTTCATTCAAAGACAGCAGAGGAAGTCCATGTTTTGCTGAACCGCAGAACAGCTGATGGGGTTCATTGAAGAACAGCTATTTTCAAACTGTTTGTCATCATGAGAGGGACTGAAATGTGCCTTGAAACATCCAGCCATGATTCTTGATGCACCCACCACTCCATGCCCCTTAGAGCAGGGAAACCACATATAGTAGCCATTACACGCACACACATATATGGGCAGTGACATCATTCTGAAGGAGGAAGCAAGGACATGCGGGGATTCATTGATGCTGGCTACAGTGCAGCTAGCACAAGTTACCACCACTAGCCAGAAAGCACAGAAAACTGTCTGGACAAATGAGAGGGCAGGATGCCAAGAGGCAACACGAACTGTGCCGGGATATCCTGGGTTTCGGAAGCTGATCTAAGCCAGGGGTAGGCAACCTAAGGCCCATGGGCCACAAGCGGCCCATGGGGGTCGTTTAACCGGCTCACGAGCCGCCCCCAAACCAAGCCGCCTGCTCGGCGAGTCCCCACACGCAGTGCTAAACCGGTGCAGTGCAACATGGGGACTCGCTTCCATGGTGTCGGAAATCACATCTGAGCAGATGCAGACACTGGAAATCGTTTCTGCACAGACGCAGACGCCATAAATCACGGCTGCGCACGCTCATGTGCGTGCACAATCCGGCCCACAGAGGGATCTCCGCTGGAGTGAACCAGCCCAGGCAAGGCAAACCTTGCCAACACCTGATCTAAGCTGATTTAAAGGATGTGTGTGTGTGTTTGTATACTGAAGACAGTGTTCAAAATCAATCTGGAAGAAAATCGATGCAACCCTAATGAGCACTACAATCGATGGTTTCCAAGAGCGGGAGATGGATGGGCTTTTGAACTGAGTTTACAAAAGCCACATGGGATGTGGGACCAAAATGAGCCCTGCAGCTCTTGCTCCTTTGCCACCCGCCTGGCTGTATGCAACGTGATTTAGAGAAAGCAAAGCAACTGCAGGCATGAGAAGGCCCGCAGAGTCTTGGAAAAGCGACAGCTTTCCCTGCATCTAGTGCAGGGACAAAAGCCCTGATCTCTCACACCTGCTGGCCCAGTAACAGCTGCTTGCTTTTCCCTGGGATTGCCAGAGCTGGCATTATTCCCCAAATAATCCTGTAATGGCTCATGGCGACAACTGCGTCTGTGACGGGCTTAAGTCTAGACAGGGTGGACACGGCCACCTGGCTTCCTTTCTGGTCCACTGCTTGGGAGGGGGTGTTTGGCTTTATCTGTTTTTAAGCACTTTGAGCAGAATGGCTGATGACACATAGGACCTCTTTAATCCTTGCCATGCTTTAAAAGAAAATGCCTCGCCCCATCGGGAACACAAATTCACTAAACACGAGGCTCTCCCTCATTCTCTGATGTTACATTCCATTTGAAAAACCTCACACAAGGGAGCAACTACAATTTCTGGGGCAAAACAATGACATAGGAAATCCATAATCAGACTTCTTGGTGCTTTAATGTAAAAACTATCTTAAACTTAAAAGTTGCGCTCTGTCATTCTGACTAAACAGGTTGGTTAACTGCATCCTAGAAAATATCCAAAGTGAAGTTCATGCCCCTTAAACTCAAAATCAGGGTGGATAAAAATCAATGATTTTTTAAAATAAAAAAATCAAAAAATTGATTTTTTTTATTTAAATCAGATTTTTTTGATGTAAATCGGAATTTTTAAAATAAAATGCTTTTGGAGGAAAAATCTTTCTAAAGATAGCTTTCTATTTAAGTTACATTATAGTCCAAAGGCTATTCATCAGGAAATAAGAATTTGATTTAAGTTTTTCATATGTGCTAAAACTCAGTCTAAGGTGTGTGTTTTTAAAAAAAAATCGTTCAACCACATCAGTTAACAAACATGGATACATATGCTATAATGTTATTGTTTTAGTTAAACAAATCGTTTAAATTGTTATTAAGGAAATGATTATTTTTCTCCTTCCAATAAAGTACAGCAGGAAAGCTGTCCAAATATAAACAGTTAACTTATTAAACCTCACAATAGTTTCATAATTATCTGTCTATGTATTTCTAATAGTATAACCAAATTAGCAATTTTTGATATAACTGTAAAAACTACTCTGAAAATGTATTATTCCAAAACTGAAATCTTCATTATTAAGATCATACGAGCAAGAATGAATCTTTCTTACTGACTAGTGATTTAAATCCATTTGACTTAAATCAAATCCACCCTGCTCAAAATAGGTTCCTAAATAAGATTTTAGTGACTTGCTGCTGCACATTTTACAGCCAACCCACTGACAATTGCTTTGTCAAAAGTGGGTAGTAAAAACCTGCGGAAGGAGTTTGACTGCATCGAGATGAATATATACTGGCTTCCCCTCACAATGATAATGTCAGGTAACTGTTTAGCTTCTTCTGTATTGTGCTATTACCACACACCTGACCTATGCAGCTCCTGTACTTGCTTCCCTACTCCTTATTCCAGCCGTTGCCAACCTGGTGCCCTCCAGATGGTTTGAACGAAAACACCTGAAAGACACCAGATTGGCAAAGGCTGCTCCATTCCATTATATAGCAATGAAATATATAGTACAATTTAAAACAAACACCACGACCACCAAACACACACCATCCTGCTGGACACTGAAAAGCATAGACTTGAATCATCTGCTAAAGCAACTCTTCGTCTCCTGAGATTTCCAGGGCTTTCCAAAAGAGTGAATGCCCAAGGTAGACATAATTCTTCAGCTTCTTTTGTTGCCTTAACCCCGATTGCCTAACATACAATGAAACCGTAGCTACAGGGGTTCAGATATTCCTGGTGTCCAATGCTCAGTTTCCTATCAAGCAATGCTGGTGATGACAACTTCTGCATCTTGTGCATCCAAAACAGGCAAGAAATGGTTTGTGCAACAAGGGTATCTGTGTCTCCCACTCTTACAAGATAAGACTTCATGGCCTTAGCCAGCAATCCCAAGACACCAATCAACAGATACGGAGGGCCCAAATATATGATATTTCAAATGCATAGCGTGCAGCTTTGGCCACAGGTTTTTCTCTTGAATACAAGGCATGTGGGTAGGGGGTCCCTAGGAATGCAGAGTGTGGGGAACCCCTCCCTCTTCAGCTGCAATCTTGGTGACACCCCCAGCCCTGCATTAGCCTTGGACACAGAGGTTGAGCTATTTATTTATATTGTGGCTTTTTTCCTTTCAGGCCACAGACATAGTATAAATGACAAGCAAATGTATTTCATCAGATTTACACCCCACACCATCTTCAAAGGAGCCCAAGGTGGCAAACATACCAATACTAATAACAATTAAAACGTCTAGTAAACAACTGAAGACAACCTTCCAAAAATCAGTTTAAAACTCCCAAAAAAGGCTCCGATATGTAGTTAGGGTGGGCTAGTTAGATTTTTTGTATGTAAATGTTATTAGGAGTTATTAGCAAGGCTGGATTTAACAAATACTGAAATAGTAATCAAATATTGACAAACTTGTTTAAAAACAAAAGTAGCTCTACAGTCTGGATGTGTATAATGCACTCTGCTCTCTCTTGGCTGAAATTCTGGAGGGAGAGATTCAAGTTCTCAGTCCAAGTTAATGGTAGGTCAGATAATAATTAATCCCCAACCCAAGAGGCAGGCAATACTTTAATTAACCTGCATCGCATGAGGTGACTTTTTAAAGCTGCTAATTCCCAAAAGGTCATACTGCCTCCCTTTAATCCTGTATTTCCTAAGAGCAACGTGTTCTTAAAAAAACCCACAAACCTCTTGTGCCATTTATTTACAACCCCCCAGGGAAGATAAAACAGCACGGGAAAGATATGAAGAACATTTGATTTGAGAAAGCAAGCAAGCAAAGCTGAGTTCATAGTAAGTTCCTAAAGCAGGGAACCATCCATGGGCAAACTGGAGCAAATGCATCCTGGAAGATCAAGGAATGATCAACCTATGCAGCAGTGGAGGGAAATGTAGCTCTGCCCCCCAACCTCAGTTTGTTCTCAGCTATCCTCCCTACTATGGTTTTCCCAGTAATGATGTATGGAAGTGAAAGCTGGACCACAAAGAAGGCTGATCGCCGAAGAATTGATGCTTTTGAATTAGGGCGCTGGAGGAGACTCTTGACAGTCCCATGGACTGCAAGAAGATCAAACCTCTCCATTCTTAAGGAAATCAGCCCTGAGTGCTCACTGGAAGGACAGATCGTGAAGCTGAGGCTCCAATACTTTGGCCACCTCTTGAGAAGAGAAGTCTCCCTGGAAAAGACCCTGATGTTGGGAAAGATGGAGGGCACAAGGAGAAGGGGACAACAGAGGACGAGATGGTTGGATAGTGTTCGCGAAGCTACCAGCATGAGTTTGACCAAACTGCAGGAGGCAGTGGAAGACAGGAGTGCCTGGTGTGCTCTGGTCCATGGGGTCACGAAGAGTCGGACACGACTAAACGACTAAACAACAACAACAACAACATCCCCCCCCACCTGCCCACTTTGCTACTTAGCTACCAATCCAGGGGGTGGCACTGTCAGATTCCTCTTCTTCAGCCTCAAAATTGCCCTTGTAGAACTCAGAAGGGAGGAAGATGGGAACAAATCTAGAATTTATTGACGTTACCTCTGGCTCCACCTGCTGTTGGCTTCCTGTTTTACACCTCACCAGCCCCAATGAGCACCAGCCACCACTGCTGCACAGGACACTAGTGAGGCTTCCTTGTGCTACTAGTGAGGCTTCCTTGTGCTACTTTGTCTTGCAAACTGAACTGCTGCTTGGTGGTCACATGTTATGGTATAATCTGACTTTTTGTACTGATGTGTTACCTGCCCTTCACCATAATGTCCTAGGGTGGGTTAACCCTTCCCCCCCACCCCAGCTGAAACTTTACATCAGAGGACTGTGGTGGCTCCTATTAACTAAACCTAGGTGTCAAAGGCCAGGGTAAAGAGCTGTGCCTTCAGCATACAGCAAAAGCTATACAATGAAGGTGTTAGATGCACCTCTGTTGGGGGTGGGGGAGAGCGAATTTCACAGCTTAGGGGCTGCCACAGAGAATGCCTCTCCCAGGCTGCCACCCTGAGGATGATGGTATAATTAAAATTAATCTGGAATCCCTTGCCACATGCAAGAGATTACAACAGGAGTTGTTTATTACTGGGTGGCATTTGTGTCTCATGTGACTTTCTATTTAATTTTATCAGGTAAGCACCTGCGCAGCATCGCAGCTGTACATTAGGAGCAAAGGGGGGGAAATGCTCTGTGATGCTCCACAAGGTGCAGCAACACAGCTGAGTTCATGAAACAAAAGCAATTCCTTACAGCTACACTGCAGCAAAGGGTCGTCTTCACTACTTACCCAACGGCCATAAAACAGAGGGTCAGAAATGAAAATGGCAGGTTACTATTTCCCGCCCAGAAAGCCAGCCCCAGCGTTGTTAAAAACAACAACAACACAGGTTTTCAGGTTTAAGAAACCTCCCACCAGTGATACTAGCACAAAGCTAAAGCACACAAGCACTAATACAGAGACAGTGAAATAGCAGAACAAGAGTAACAAAACAACTCTGAAAAGGCACAGGACAAAGAGGCCGCAGATCGCTGGCCCTTAAAGTACTACCTGCAGAACCGCAGCAGGGGGAAACTCTTGTGTAGACTGTCTCAAAGACAGAATGAAAATTGATGTTTACTGCTAAACCAAACTTCAAGCAGTAAAAGAGCACATGAGCCTTGCAGATGGCTTCCCCTCTTTGCCTTGAAACAGGTGGGGAGAGTGATGCTACTGCACTTAGGTTCTGGACATCTGGGTGGCCATTCTGGGAACAGGATGCTGGACTAGAGGGACTACTGGGTTGGCTGCCTGATTCAGCAGGCTATTCTTACGTTCTTCATGTTAACTAATGCTTTCCTTCCCTGATCTGGTGCTCTCCAGTTGTGTGCTGGGCCACAACTGCCGTGATACCTGAGCTGTGGTCAAGCCGGCTGAGACTAATGGAAGTTGGAGTCAAAAAATAACTGGAGGGCGCCAGGTTGGGAAGAGCTGCTTAGTGCATTGCACATGCTGCTTCAGTGGACCACAGGCCCTGTGATTTGGCTGCTATATGCTCATTGCTCCTTTGCCCTTGAAAGCAACTATGCTCTGAATGACCGTGTGCATCTCATGTATGAGAATTTTCACACACCATTCCACCTTGAAGCAGACACAGACCAAGTAGCAAAGCAGTGATAATCATAGTGAAAGATTATTTCAGAAAGGGGTAGCCCGAATAAGGGAAAGGCAAAGTACTGTTGACAATACTATGCTGAATCAAAAGGCTGGGTTGTACAGTGGAGAAACCTGACTGCCACAGTTCAGACTGCAGCATGGGGTGGGGGGTTAACATTTTGAAATGCTCCTCTTTGTTTATACCATTTCCAAACCTCCCAATTAATAAAAATATATCAGAAAACTAAAGCAAGAACAGCAAATGTTACAAAAATACACAGAAGAATTAGCAACACAACTTATTAAAGAATGCTTCCTGGTATCAACTCCTTCTCCTTCTGACCCAAAACCTCTAAGCTTCCTGGCTCTTACCTAGGACACCACCCATTGACCTTGGCTCTCACCCAGAGCCTAAATGAGTTCAAAGATCACCCACAAGATCTCACAACAGAGAGGCGTCATGGAACGTGGTGACCTCACCCTAGGTCGCCCACAGCTTTGACCTACTCAGCACTGTCAGTTCCAAGCTACAGAAGAGTTGGATTGGTGAGTTTCCCAGAGAGTCCAAAGGATGGTAAATAGGGCACCCATCCGCTTATAGTCCTCTGCACTTCTCTCCTCTTCCAGTTGTCTATTAAAAAACCCATAATAAACAAATGGCCCCTTATGCCTGACCCTGCTCCCTGCTCAACCATGCATTATTTTCACATGTTAACACCCTTAACTGCACTATAATTATAGCTGATGGTTTATTTTATAATATCTGCATTATGTAAATAATTTTTATGTTATATAATAAACATTATATATATAGAAAGTGCAGTATATTGGTTTTAAAAAGAAAACTAACTTTTAGTATGCTAGTTTTTATAACTCTTAGTATGCTAGTTTTTATGGGCAGACATGGGGAAGTATGAAAAAGTGATTATCTCCCACCTGTAAATCTGAAGTGGTACAGTGCATTCAACCATGTTGGCATCTACATTCTGTATGTAGAAAACACAGCCAACAACTAATTGTATTCTGGCACCGAGTCACTGGTAAATCCTTGTAGGAGATGAGTGGTGTCTTTTTGTTGCGACTTATTCAATTCCTAGTTGGAACTCGGTCATAAAACCGTTAAGTGATGATACCCATATTCTGCTACACTAAACAGACTTTTAAAACAATTAATCTGAATGCACAATAATAAAACTGAGTAACTTAGCACTCCTAAACCTAATTCTCAATACACATTCAGTTACCTAGCCTTTTCAGTTCAACTGAACTAAACAAACCAGTTTTGACAATGGCTCACACTTTCTCCACATTTCTTTATTGTTAAAAGAAAATTAATCTAATCTCTTTTGTGGGAAACTGGACGCGTGAATTCAGCTCTCTTCAAGCCAAAACTAACAATATTTTCTCAAACAAAGGTTCATTCAGAGCATCAGATAAGAACGCTCACTTATTGTGCTGCGGAGCAAAAAGGCAGACATGCAGGACAAAAACATTCCTGTATTGAGCCAATAAGAATTGTTATTTCCCTCCTGTCTGGGCGGCTTCAATGAAGTCCAAACTCACCCACTGACTTGTTTGTATACAGTTTTCAAAATGGCTAGAAAGCAAATCCCCAACTGCCCTTGAAAGCTTCAAGCACAGCCATCGGCTCACATCAAGGAAGGACACATTTAACTCTGGCCTAGTGCCCTATTGCCATGAAGAGGAAAGAGCTAAATTGGAGATCATATTTAAGGGTGTTTTTGCAATCTTATTCCCCTTACCAATAGGAGTGGTTGAGGTCTTGTGAGACTTGCTGAAGCCAATCAGGAGTGTGTACAGTGCCTTTCATCAGTCTGTGGTGGTACTCTAGCTGTGACCCTACCTGCATAGAGACAGGCTGGCTTTGGTAATCCAGTCTCTGGTAATGTGCACAACATTGCGGCACCATAAAGACTTACATCCCCCTCCCCCCCACATGTTTTTTGTTATTAGTGAGCTGCCGAGCTTCCTGTGTCAAGTTATGGATATTGTTTGCTCTCCTTTTATGGTATCATGTATTTATATTGATGTTTTAATGCGTTATAAGTTGCTTGGAGACTTTTGGGTAATAAGCATCTAACAAGTCTAATAAGCAACAGCAGGTGATAGCTATTATTATAATAAGAAGTGACTGAAGAACCTGCAATGGGAGACTGCAACATATAACTGCAATCATCAATGCTGTGACTGACTCAGAGCAAGAACAATTATCCCTTCGGAAACCCATATTTTAAAGCAACCTGATGAGATCAAATTGTTATTTTTTATTCCTGTGGCAGCGGGAAAGCAAGGGGAGTTCTGCCATATTGACACTTTATTTGGCAGTGCCATAATTTCTTCTACATATTTGACAAGCTGGTGGGGTGTAAGGATAGAGAACAGAGAGGATGCCCTGGAAGAATTTTTTATTTATCTCACTTCCTGCCTCTAAAAATAACCTTTGTGACGCCTGCACCCAGTGCTTTTTTCCCACCATGAAGTTGTTATAGTAAGGGCCACACTTTTTAACAACAAAAAACAGAGGTGCTGGTACTGCGTACCCCTGAATACCCCCAGAAAAAAAGCAAAGGCTGTTCTCCTTCCTTTTCTGCACTACCTTGCTAGAGCTTCATGAGTGCGGAAGAGGATGAAGGTTTAAGTGAGGTGCAACAGAAGTCTGTGTGGAGCTGGTTTAACACAGAGCACTGGACTACAAAGGAATGTTACAAGAGATCAGATACAACTGGGAGCAAACTCTTGTCCTCCTTTAAGTTATCAAGGGTTTCTTTATTCCTTTTATTACGGCTGGGATGGACACGAAGAGAGGGGACAACGTAGCTCTGCCACTGTTACCATAACAAGTTGCAGTTAACATGCTCAGCTGCACTTGTGCTTGCCCCACCAAAAAGGTTCAGCCAGGGGCAAGAAGACACCAGCTGGCCACAACAAATGAGCATGGAAGACGGGACAGAGAACTGGATTGGAGTTCAAAATCCCAGTTCAACATGGGCTAAACTGGGACACACTTATTTGTCAGTTTGTAAAATTGTGACTAAAAAACGACCCAAGTCACAGGGGTGGTTGCAAGAGACATTAGACTTTAAAATGCAAAGCCAATCTGGTTTAGCAAGTACAGTGGTACTTTGGAAGTCAAACGGAATCTGTTCCGGAAGTCCGTTCGACTTCTAAAACGTTCGGAAACCAAGGCGCGGCTTCTGACTGGATGCAGGAATCCGTGTTGGATGTTTGGGTTCCAAAGAACATTCGCAAACCAGAACACTCACTTCTGGGTTTGCGGAGTTCGGGAACGAAAACATTCGACTCGCGAGGCACGACTGTACAAAGAAATGGAAGATTTCAGAAAATTCAGCTTCTCTCCTGCCGATGGTATTGCAAAGGCTGGGAAGATTCACCTGTCAAAATTAACTCAGCTATTCGGCTATTGCATTTCCAGGAGCCCTGTTATCCTAAAGATGCGAGAACTGTTTAACAATGTGATGTGAGTCATAATTCCGGCTGAAGTTGAAGCATTTCCAAAAATAACTGCCAAGCTGGAAGTGTCACCTTATGGTTCCTTCCAAGTATTAAAAATGACCACCCAAACCAAGTAACGGGTGCTGGCAAATAATCAAATGCTTTGGGATTCTGGGGGATTCCAAATTCTGCAAAGCCTTTAAGTCTAAGCAGCAACTCCAGGTTGAGATGATGTTTTGTTTATCAGCAGAGCTAACCAAGATGGCTCTTGTGAAGTACCTCAGAACAACCTTATTCCAATTATTTATTAGCCTGTCTCTTACCCTAGATGAACAGGAGCCTGGGGAAGGTTTACTGATTTCATAGAACAGTGAGCTGTTTACCACATACAACAGGTGGAGAAACCTGAAGCTAGGCTCTTCTGTCACCAAGGATAATGTAGCATTCCCCACACAACATGACAAGCCTATAAATACCCTGAAGACTACAAGGATCTTATTCTAAACAGTCTCCTCGGTGTTCCAGAAAAGAGCATTTTGGAGAACCAGCTCACCTCTCCCACGCTGAACCTGTCCGCAATGCAAACCCTCTCACACAATGCAAAAACAGTCCTTCAGTTACAGCTCAAAAGCTCATCAACAGCACCTGTTTACTGTTGAAAGCGTTAAACTGAACAGAAACCAGGCAAAACATTAATCACAGAAAAAGTTAGTCTAGAATAATAATAAGTTGTAATAAGTTAGTCAGGAAACCCTGTGAAAGCCAAAAGACCTCTTTCATAGCCTAAACAGGATTTGCATCAAGTTAAAATGAGATAACTTTTCAAAGTGACCTGTATCACAGCAGCCAGATTTTAAAAGTATGTCCTTGGAATGTGTTATCTTAATTCTAGAAGGTGCTTAGAAAGCAAAAGCAAACATCTCTCTTTTAAAATTCATATCACTGGCTGCAGAAAAATTACAGCACTTGCTTACAGGGCAGACCTTTTATGGAGGGGAAGGAATGTCTTTTAAAATGCTTTGCATGTTTGGCTTGCCTCATCATATTTGCCACTCCTGTGTTGGCCAACAAGGCCTGAAAAAGCCACGTCAGTTCCTGGTTATTTAAGGGCACGTAGCAGAGGGAGGGGCCACCCTTTTGGCACCTCTTGCTGTCCTGCAGTTTGAAGTTTCCCAATTTATCCTCAGCAGTGGATCTGGGGTGCCATTAAGGGGAGTGAAGTTTCACACTGATGGATCTGGCCTACATGGGACAATCCATCTGTGTGTTCCCAATAAGACTGGATTAAGACCAGGAAATGGCAGCAAAAGGGATTTTAAAATCATCCTAGCATGGAGATCTTTCAGTCCCCCAAACTTTTCCACGGGAAAGCTTTTGCATCACCATCTCTCTAAGCAGCACAGGAAATAGTATTTTACTGCACCAGACTCGGCTGATAAGAAAAATTATTCTTTCAGATACATAGACAACTTCATCTAAGGCAGATTTGCAAAGGTTTTTTCATGGTTTTTTTTAATGCTTTTCAGTTCATAGCTCATGAATTTAGCCACTACACACTTCACCAAATAGCCAGGCATTTTGAAAAATTGAGTCTACCTGGAAACAGATACAAGCTATTTTCTCCCATACCCCTGATTCATGTCAGGAGTGGGAATAAATGTAGGAATGGATTATGCTGAAAATGAACAGCTGCTGCAGGTTTATAAAAGACAATTAGGTCAGCTTGATGGCTTCTCTAGGAATGTAATGATACGCATATACATGCATAAACCCACACACACACCATAGGTCAAGAACAGCTGCTCCTGATCCTTTCAGAGCAACCTCTGATCATTAAAACAAAATGTATGGTGCAAATGCAATTGAAATACTCACAGTTCTGGTGACCTCACTTCAAAAAGGATACTGTAAAGGTTTAGAAAAGTACAACCAAAATTTTCAAGGGGATGGGGCAAATCCCCTATGTGGAAAGGGCTTATTAAAGGCTTTTTTAGTTCAGAGAAAAGACAAGAGAGAGAAAACTTGACAGAGGTGTATACAATTATCCATGATGTGGAGAAAGGGGACAGCAGAAAGTTGTTATCCCTCTCTCATAACATTATGTCATTTGCTCCCACAAGAGGCAATGATGGCAACCAACTTGGAGGGCTTAAAAAGAGGATTAGTCAAATTTATGGAAGATAAGGCTGTCAAGGACAACTGTCCATGCTGACTATGTACTACCTCCACTGTCAAAGGCAGTATGCTTCTGAATACCACTTGCTGCAAAAGACAGGGGAGCAGAGTGCTGCTGTGCTCCAGTCAGGTCAGGTAAGCGAGCTTCTCACAGGATCTGGCTATCCACTGCGAGAACAGGATGCTGGACTAAACTGGCCATTGGCCTGACCCAGCAGGCTTTTCTCATGTTCTTAAAGTGAATATTTAACAGTAGAAAGTATAATACATATGTTACTGCAGTAATCATCTACCTACAGCATCTTAAGAGTTAACACAAAGCTGGCTGTCGTCTTCTTTTTCCACTGGGAGCAGCTGTACACAGCCAAAGTCAAAGGCATCTCATCTAAACATTTATCCATATTCCGTAGACTGATGCCAAAGGAGATGAAACGAGGAAAACAATGAAAAAGAGGGGCCAGCACACTGGAGAAAACATGAACCATCTCATCCAAAGACACAAAACTAGAAGGGAAAAAAACAACAACCTTTCATATAATTATTTTCTTACTGAAGACTATATTCTCTTGCTCATATAGAATAACAGAATTAATATATTTGTAGAGTTGGAAAGAACCCTGAGCGTCATCTAGTCCAACCCCCCCTCCCCCCCGTAATTTGTGACAGAGGGCTTAAAGACCTCCAAGGAAGGAGAGTCCACCACCTTACAATGAACAAAAGTGTCATTCCATAGTGTCTCTCGTCTTTTTTGGGGTGGAAGCCATACCTGACTGACTGTACATAGTGAAGAAAACAAACCATGTTGCATAAAAAGTAGTGCTCCCCACCACCACTTCAGCATTCTTGTTGCAAAGTCTTAAGTGTGTCTATAAGTATTAAGTTCAAATCCGTGTGATCCAGGTTTCAAAGAGGTCCACATCTAGGCACTTCCAATGTCTCGTGATGACTAACTTTGCAGCTGTTAACAAGTGTAAAATTAAATTCTTATTAATTAAATTCTGGGGGTTGATAATTAAGCAACACCACTTTTGGGTCCAAAATGAACTTTTGTTTTATAACCTGATTGATCAAATGTTGAACTTTTCCCCAAAACCTTCTATCATTTATTATTTTAACTAGAATAATTTTTTATTTACATTTAAATGGCTTGGGAGAAAATCTAAGTAAAGTACTAATTGCTGCTCATTTGAAAGAAAGTTTTTGTAAATGTGTGAATGATATTTTACACCATATTAAAAAAAACAGATTAACAAGTTGTCTCAGGATAATTGTTGATGTCGAAAAGTTTACACAGATTATTTACATTTATTTCTGAAATGTGATTCCTAGTTTTCAGTGGTTTGCGTTGCATTATATTAAATAGATGACTGGCTATATTCCAAATGAACCAACTGGAATACTATTGAATTATTTGGAATGATGTCTGGATAGTACAAATGTTGAGATGGTTACTAACTTATTGGTAGTGGCAAAAATGTTATTTCCCAAGTACTGAAAGAAGAAAAGTAGAACCTCTGTTATCAGAATGGTTTATGGAACACAGCTTTAGTGTATAACATATCATATAAACATATGATATTTGGGTTCAGGATTTTCTACAGATAAAGATCAATTTGTAAAGAAATTGTCACTCTTTATCAATTTTTTTAAAATGATATCATTTGGTGATGAAGTGCAATCTTGTTTTCATTGGTTTAATAAACTGTTTGGTTGATGGGTTAAGCAAACCAATATTTTTAAATCATGTGATGAATTATTTGGAGTTTTTTGTTTCTCTTTTTCATTGTGTTTTCTTTTAAGAAATGTTATATTGTTTTATGTACTGTATTTCATTACCATTTTATTATTGCAAACCACTGTGGGACCAAATGGTGAGCGGTCTCTAAATTTCTTAAATACGTAAATAAGTGCTACAAAGGTGTTTGGAAACTTGCGTAACAGGCAGGTAGATTTGTCAAAGACATGGCTTGGGAAAAGGCTCCCCCATTCATGCCTCTGCTGAGTGGTGAAAACCACATTTGTGGCTGGCGTTCATCTAAAGAAGACATACAAATGCTCAGAAGAGACGCCTTGAAATGGCTGCTCTAAATGGAACATCAGGGCTCAGCATGAAAAGTCTCCGACCTGGAGCCATTCTTCAGCCACTGGGACAGAACAGAGTGATGAGAAGTCAAGTGCTACCTCACTTAGCACATCAGAGCAGTTCGCCTTATCAAGTGGCACTTAATTATCCTACAATGTGGCGAGTGCTGGTGAAAGGAGTGCAGTCAGCCCGCTTGTACCCACGACTGGCTTCCAGGCAGCCAGCAGAGAGGCGATGGAATCAAGCTGCAAACATTGACACCTCTGACAGGCTTGATAAAAGGAGCTGCCATCCACTTATCTGCTTAACAAAGGCCATGTAAAAGGATTATAAATACAAACTTTCCCTTTGCAGAGACACTTTGGATTTTATAAGCCTTCCAGCTAAGCAGCCAGCTTTTGATGTGGAAGCAGGGGTGCTTTTGAAAAGATTTTTGGTCACGTACAGAGCAAAATTTAAAAATTAACAGATGCAGCTTTCGTTTGTTAGCATAGGATTGCTGGAATACCAAAGGCAAATCTTGAGCAGTATTATGGCTGACAGGCAAACTACATATTACATCAGGGGTGGGGAGCATGTGCCTCTCCAGCTGACCTGCCTGAGATGACTCCTTCCATCTCTACAGTTCTATGACCATGGTGGCAGAGACTGAGGAGAGCTAGAGTCCAACAGCATCTGGAAGGCCACAGATTCCCCACAACTGCATATAACAGACCTCCAACTATTCTATTTCAAATGAAGAGAAAACGTGGAAGGCTGCAATTTTGAGCTAAGGAACAGCAGGTGGGCTGGAAGAACTAGGGGTTTTCCTCCCTGGCCATTTCTCCCCATTCATATATATCAGGGGTTGGCAAACCTGGGCAGGTTCACGGTCCCACAGACGTCACAGTGGGCTGGAGTGTACGCATGCACACGAATGCGCAAATGCTATTTCCGGTGCTCCTTCCAGCACGGAGGAGGTGTGCGCAGCTTCCCATTGGCTGCAGGAGCTTCCTGCAACCAATGGGAAGCCAGTCAGCTTCACGGAAGGCAGTCCCTGCTCTGCTCTGCACCAGTTTAGCACGGCGCACGAGAGCTGACCAAGCGGCCGGCAGGGGTCCATGGGCCAGTTAAACAACCCCCATGGGCCGCACGTGGCTCATGGGCCTTAGGTTGCCAACCCCTGATATATATGAAGGCAGCTCTGCTTAGCAAATATTTTAATGTTTGATGTTTTATCGTGTTTCTACTATTCTGCTCAGAGCCGTCCAGAGGTGGCTGGGGAAACCCAACCAGATGGGCAGGATATAAATATTATTATTATTATTATTATTATTATTATTTCCTGCCAAAGAATTTTAGATGAACGTCAACAAGTGTAATTGTGCATCTGAAACCCCATGTTTTCTCTCAACTGTGGCTTTTTACAGAATGATAAGCTTTGCAAGAAACAAACTGTAGGAAAAAACTCAAGGAGAGCTCCTGTAAATGCTTCAGCAACATGAATTTTGCAAGGGATCAGCAGCAAGTGGGTGGAAGGCAGGTGGAGAAAAGAGAAGACATTTAACATCTACTTACAGGCAACTGTTTGTTTTGGGTTGGTTAAGACTGAGATGGTAAAGTTTGAGAAGTCCTTGCTTAAAGAATGCAACGCAGACCTCTCAGCCTTTGTTGACCTGCTGCTAGGGACACAGCCCATTTAGTATTGTGAACTTCTTGCCTTGGTTTGTTTTAGCATAGAAACACAATCCACAAGCACCCTATCAAGAGCAACACTTTTCTGCCATTGGGAGAGAGAGCAGGCAGTTCTGTCAGCACACAAGCAGGTACTTTCACAAAGGATTCCAACTAAGAACATATGCAGACTTTACATGAAAATGTTAGCTATCTGATCCTATACCCACTGAAGTGTCTCTCTAACTACCCATTTTGGATTTATTTCTATTAAATAAATCAAGGCATGGTGTAATGTGTTGTTATTCATCTGAGGTTGTATTTACCTAATTTTAAGACCTGCTAAGGAAGAGATGATTGTCATTATGCCCTGATACGTAAAACCACAGAATTCAAGGAGGGTGTACTTTCTTTTTTCCTTGACTGTATATATGAAACATGTAGCAATAACAGTCAGATTATGCTTATTCCAATTCTAATAGTAATCATCTGTGTAGCTACAGAAACAGAAGTGCCTATATTTTCACAATATGCTAGTATTGACTGAGCCCTCCTCCCAGAAGGAAATGCAAAAAATTTGCCTGCTAATAGTTCTGGGAAATAACTATTGCACAAGCAGGAAGAAAACACTTGGAGCAGCCCCAGCAATGCAAAATGGAACTCAGCAACAGCAAACCCTGTGGTACCAGACTTTGGGGGCAGAGGTCCAAGACCCTACTTAGGAGAATGAGCAGGTGGGACCCCAAACACAGCAAGGCTGCCATTTTGGAGTAGGTGAAGTCAGCATTCAAAATTCCCCAGGCGCACTTTGCAACCAAATGAAGACGCCCGGGCCTGACATCTCCACCATCTGGGGATACATGCCTGGCCTGGGGATCCTTGGATCTTGACTGTTCTCACACACTAGCAACACATCCTGTAGAATTTTATTCATTTTATTTTATCTGCACAATCAGAATGAATTTCAGGAACCAAAAAGTTGTATTGGAAAATATAACTTTTGAGTCGTCTGGCCAAAAAATGGGAACAAGGCATTCCATTTTGGTGACTGAAACCCTGGTTTAAGGAGCCATTTGCTGCCTAGCTTATATATCTGAGTTTCCAACAGTAGTGAAGTACCGTATATTTTGCTCTATAAGACTCACTTTTTCCCTCCTAAAAAGTAAGGGGAAATGTGTGCGTGTCTTATGGAGCGAATGCAGGCTGTGCAGCTATCCCAGAAGCCAGAACAGCAAGAGGGATCGCTGCTTTCACTGCGCAGCGATCCCTCTTGCTGTTCTGGCTTCTGAGATTCAGAATATTTTTTTTCTTGTTTTCCTCCTCCAAAAACTAGGTGCGTCTTGTGGTCTGGTGCGTCTTATAGAGCAAAAAATATGGTAGTACCCACCTACTGTCTGAAGAGGGGCATTCCAATAAGGCAATCAAGTCCAGAGTCTAAAATTACCTAACTGCACCATTTTCATTTACTACTGTTTTCATTTCATACTGTAGTCTGAAAACAGATGGGCTCTGGAATGATATGGAATGACAAGCTCCACTAGAAGCAAACATGTCCATTACAGCGGATATAACAGCTTCAATAAACAATGTTGTGATTCCTGTGTTACGCAACTTTTTCCTTTTCAAGCAGCCACTTCATCCACAGGGAGGATACTGCTCAGAATTTTGATGCTGTGTTCTCATGCCAAGGATTCAATCCCATCAAACTCAGGTCAGGAGAACTTGGTTCCATGTAAAAGGTAAGGTAGAGGTAAAGGACCCCTGGACGGTTAAGTCCAATCAAAGGCGACTATGGGGTTGTGGCGTTCATCTCGCTTTCAGGCTGAGGGAGCCGACGTTTGTCCGCAGACAGCTTTCCGGGTCATGTGGTCAGCAGGACTAAACCACTTGTGGTGCAACAGGACACCATGATGAAAGCCACAGCACACAGAAACGCTGTTTACCTTCCCGCCGCAGCGGTACCTATTTATCTACTTGAACTGGCATGCTTTCAAACTGCTAAGTTAGCAGGAGCTGGGACAGAGCAACAGGAGCTCACCACCGTTGTGTGGATTCAAACCGCCAACCTTCCAATTGGCAAGCCCAAGAGGCTCAGTGGTTTAGATCACAATGCCACCTGCGTCCCCTTGGTTCCGTGTAAAGAAGCATAGAAACAGGATGTGTATGAGGTATCTAGAGTCTGCAGGCTGAAATCCTACTTTAGGGCTGCAAGGAATTCAGGCATGGAACTGTCAACAGCACTTCATCCTAGGCAGGATGCAAACTGATCATCCAGTGCATGTCTGTGTCCTACACAGGACCTTCTGTACATAAAGCATTTTCAACAAATGGGTGTCCAAATTGTCCATGAAGATAGCTGAATGAGATTATGCACTGTCTCTAGGAGGCTTAGCTCATTGATGAACTGCTCTTACAGAAGGACACAATTTCTGTTTAATAGAAAACAATCTTTCTGGAGCATACAATCATTTCTTCTTGTTCACTGTTGCCCCTTCTTGGACCCTAAACCACAGAAACGCAGGCCTTTTCATTTCACATGCACTATAAACAAGTCCATAGTTCCAGCTCTGTAGGAACACAGAAACGAGCCTGACCCACAGCTGGATGAGACAACTAAAGAATCCCAATATAATGCTCTAAGCTCTTTGGTGAGAGATTGGTAGGTACAAATGTACCCAAAGTAAATAAATGCAACAATAAGGCTAATGCTTGCTTGGCACAGACTCCAACCACTGAAAGGTAGAATGATAACTTTCTCATACCCCAAAAATGTAATATGAACAGTGCAATCAACTTTCTTTCCTTTTAGTCAGATCTGCTGCTTTCTATTATCTTTTTAAAAATATTTACTACAAATAAAATGCTCTGCTAGTCTTTTAGGCTGCTTCCCAAACCACTTCCTGTGAAAAACTGCCCACTTCAGGGGTTAATGCTTTGTCTGTTAATGACAGATTAATCTCCCAGGGGTAAGCTGGCTAATCAGGCAGGAAAAGTGTCAGTCAATTTTTCCAGCATTACCTTCACCTTCACCAGAAGGAGATAACCAACCACATGATCCAATGGTTGGTTTCACGGAGACCACTGTCCTTGCTTTTCTACTGCTGAATCCCCCTTCTGTACATTTTACAGGGCTAAGGTTGGTAAGCTGCTCCTTTTACAGGGTAAAAGATGAGGCATACCAAATCCAGCCTTGTTCCTAAACTGCACACAGGAAAAGGAACAAGAAGAGACTGTTCTTTTTTATCTTACCTACTAGCCTCAAGCTGTAGCAGCCTTACAAATAAGTTCACAAAAATTACCACACACAAAAAAGTCACTACAGTGGTACCTCGGGTTAAGTACTTAATTCGTTCCGGAGGTCCGTTCTTAACCTGAAACTGTTCTTAACCTGAAGCACCACTTTAGCTAATGGGGCCTCCTGCTGCCGCTGCGCAGCCGAAGCACGATTTCCTGAAGCAAAGTTCTTAACCCGAGGTACTATTTCTGGGTTAGCGGAGTCTGTAACCTGAAGCGTATGTAACCTGAAGCATATGTAACCCGAGGTACCACTGTAGTTCTATTATTCCATATAGTTCTAAATGCTAGTTATTTATTAACTAGAAGAAAAGGGAAAAGAGACACAATCAGCCTTTGTGATACTTCCCTACCAAACTACTTGAAAGCAATTCTTCTTTGCTCCAAGTGGCCAGGGGCATGCAAGCAAAACTATCCTACACAGCTTTCATACTGAAAACCTCCATAAAGTTGAAGACTTCAGACCAGGACTTCGAAGGCCTGGAAGACCAGATTTGTTTGTACCTGATGGGGGGGAAATATGATATTTTCATTCTGTTTATATATTTTATTTAAGTACAGGATTCAGCTTTGAAATCTACTTCCTTGGAAATTATGTAAAGATAAATTTTAAAAGAATAAGCATAACCTTGAAGCTTCTGTGGGCAGCAACAATTGGGCATGACAAGTTATCAACGTTCGTTTCGGAGCCATTGGCCTTTTAGCTCTGAAGAATTTGTTTCCAAATAAAAATGTAAAGGTAGCGGGGGGAGGAGTAAGAGTAAAGTAAATGTGCCTTTTTCTGCACATGTTGAACAAATAAAAAACTGACATGGTAATATTATATTACAACAATGTCAATGGTTAGTATGCAAACCTGTGAAGAGTCTACATATCCTTACCCAGTGAATGTTGATCTAATTAAAGTATTTTACCCATTTTCTAATTTCCCGGAATACGACGATAGAAGCTGCAACAGCAAAGGGTCTGTACTAAGAAACTATTGTGGCATATGCTTCTGTGGACAACAGGCCACTTCCATAAGTTGCATGAAGTGTTATCCTGAGTGATATATAGATATAGATATAGATATAGATATAGATATAGATATAGATATAGATATAGATATAGATATTGATGATATAGATATATATATGGTTTGAATTTCATTTTCTTATGACCATGGCTATAAGCAATTAGTCTTTAAGGTGCCCCAATGCTTGTTCCCGCCCTGCCCTGCCCCACCCCCAATATTGAGAATTTTCTGGGAAGTTATGCATTTCATTTTTTTTAACCCACCCTCACAGCACTGAAATCAACAACAATAATCATAAATAATAATTTCACACATCATTTTAACCCAAAATTTATAGGAGCTAGGTTTTGTTGATATCCTGGTCTGGGCAACCTCAACAGACAAGATTCAGAGGGCTTACACTGATTAATCCCAGTGTTAACATCATTCCTAAAATATAACCATCAGCCACACATCTATCTTAAGCAAAGTCTCCTTAACAGATAAGATCGCCTCCAAAGCACGCAAATAGATCAGCAAAGTAATTTCTGCTCGCTATATGAACCTGGTACGTTACTCTAACTCAGTATAGGTCTAACTCAGTATAGGCTTCTGTTTTCTGCATATTCTAAAAAGAGCTTACACAAATCACAAACAATATTTACACACCTGTGTTAAGAACAAGAAGGGAAAACATTCTAACAATATTTTGTGTCACTTAAACATTACTTTGCCTCTAGCACTCTCTTTCCATAACAGGAGGAAAGGAAGTAGTAACACAATTTCTATGCGTGCATAGTTTGGGTAAATCTGAAGTTAACAGAACCTTTCACAAAATATCTTGCAAGTTTTCATTAACTGAGGGAGAATCACTGTTGAAAAGCATTGTGAGACAGTGCACACCTACAGACACCTATCTAATCCGTATCAGTCACAATCTTTGATCCTGTTGTGATACTTTGATCTTTAGGCAGTGAAGGCAAAGAGAACAAAATGTTCCTGCAATACTTTGTAGAGATAGATAAAGACTTTCTAGATCTCATTACTGTAGCAGATTGAATTTAGCACACAATGCACAATTTGTGTACTACAGTAACTAGCTTAGAAAAATGAAGCATGTCCCTCCTACAACAACAGGACGGTTTCTCTTCTGAAACACTAGCCCACTTAGAAACAAAATTCAGCTGTAGCCCTAATAGTCCACCTGACACACTGTGTTTTGGTATTATTGAAAGCAAGTTTGCTTTGTAACTCACTGCCTGGAAAGCAGCCCCACAAACTGGTCTTGAACATCAGAGCAGCAGTGCTGGATCAGGCCAAAGGTCTACCTAGTCCAGCATCCCTTTCCCCATAGTGGTCAGTAAGACGGCTATGGGAAGCCCCCAAAGGGACCATGTGTGCAACAGCACTCTCTTGCTCATGGTCCTCAGCAACTGGTATTCAGAGGTAAGCTGCCTCTAATGCCGCGCACAGCCATTATGACTAGTAGCCATTGATAGCCTTATCCTTCCTGAATTTGTCTCGTCTCTTTTTAAAACCATCTCCATATCTTGTGGTTGCAATGTGTGAAGTTTTGCTTTTTGTCTGCTCCGAACCTCTTGCAGGAAGAGCAGCTTTTATCCACTTCCTTCACATCATGCACACAGACCTTTACAGTGGCTGCACACATTCCTTAGTTCTCTTTCTCCAGAGCCCCAAACATAAACTTTCCTTGCAAGGAAGTTCACCAGTCCCTTCATAGCCCTTTTCCACACCCTGTTTTTCTAGCTAGATTACTGGTTTATGCGCCAGCTCCAACTTCTGAAACAGACAGTCTAATGGCAGACTTTAAAAAAAGCAAGCAGACACTGTGTTTTAAAGTTATAAAAAGTTTGCTCATAGTAGTATGACAACAGACCTTCTTTGTAGGGAACAGAATGCTGAACAAGACAGGCCTTGGTCTACGCCAACAGGGCAGCTCTTGCATTTGTTACCACATCCAATTAGCTTAGCACAAATTTACATTGCAATGTTGAGCAAATCATGTTCCTGAGGCAAGACAAGGAGAATTACCCAAGAAAAAACAGACTGTAATGTAAATTCCCAAAAGTTGTTTCCATTCTCTCATGGAATTCTGGACCTCTATCAACGTAGCTTTTGACACTTCAATCTCTCAATTAAAAGAATTAATGCATACAAAAGAAAAAGCATGGTAAAGAGAAAGCACACTCTTTTCTTGCAATGGGCAAAATAGGAGTGGAAACCAAAACAACATGCTGACTTGGAGGAGCTTGAGATTTTCCACCATAAACTTACTTTTATAGCTCTTTCTGCAAAGAAGATTTGCCGTTAACTACTTTGGCTAATTTGGGGTCACACCCAAAGACAATTGTTGATACGTACTTGAAAACTGCTACCATGCAAAAGAAGACAGAATCTCACATTCTTTGCAACACAAATTCAGTACATTTTTTTAACGTCTCCTGCTACACTAAATCAGCCCCCACTTGCCCCTCTCACAAGCCTCCAGAGCAGGCTTCCTCAACCTTGGCCCTCCAGGTGTTTCTGGCCTACAACTCCCATGATTCCTAGCTAGCAGGACCAGTGGTCAGGGATGATGGGAATTGTAGTCTCAAAACATCTGGAGGGCCGAGGTTGAGGAAGCCTGCTCCAGAGAATACAGGCTTCCTCTCCAGTGCAACACATCTTCCCCTCACAGTTCCTGGGTAGTTACAGCAGGCATAGGCAAACTCGGCCCTCCAGCTGTTTTGGGACTACAACTCCCATCATCCCTAGCTAACAGGACCAGCGGTCAGGGATGATGGGAGTTGTAGTCCCAAAACATCTGGAGGGCCAAGTTTGCCTATGCCTGAGTTAGAGCCTTGGACTTGAATCTGAATGCCCCTACTCAAGCACAATTTGAATATGATGTTAGGACAGGCACCATCTCTATAGGTCTCTGTCCCTTACTTTTTATGACATGCATTGTTTTTACGTGTTTATAGAGGGAGGGTTGTTCAGCTAATAAGGGTGAGGGGATTATGGAGCTGGGGACCATGGATTTTATGAAAGGCCCCCCATTGCCTTCTCCGCTGCTCATCAACTGCCACTGCTAACCTACCTCACAGGGTTGCTATGAGGATAATCCTACCTCATAAGGGCTGAGTATGGGGCAACCATGCTCCAAGTCTTTACAGGAAGGGTGGGATTTATTTTTTAAGCATTTATATTAATAGCATTAATCAATGGTGCAGAAGAATGGAAGCACAGCTCCATGACTTTTTTCTGAACACGGCAAATGATATCATGTGACAGAGGGCAAGGGCAATTGGCAGGCAAGGGAATGAGGTGATGATGAGGCTTCCAAGTTTTACCTACTTTTTGTAACACATTAGCACAGAGGAAGTGAGAGCATGAGAAAAATAACCAAGCCGAGACTGGACTCCAATTCCCATCAGCCCTAGCTAGAAAGAGTAACAGCTGAGGATGGTGGGGATTGCAGTCCCTGGCGTTCTTTGTACAGGCAATCACAATGTGCTCCTAGGCTGAAAATTTACCACAGCATGGCATCTGGTATCCATTTATAACCAACATTTTGATACATAAGCTCTCTATGAAGTAGTGAGCACCCTATTAATACAAAAAAGCACACTCAATCAATCAGAACAAAAAACCCCAGTAAAATCGCTTCCCAAGATTAGGACACCCCATGCCCAGTGACATGGTTAACTCTTCTCCACAGGAGTTGCACGCAGGGCGGCAGCACTCTGGACTCTATGCTGAAGGGGTGACATTAGAAGGAGATGCTCTCGCCAACCCTACCTGCCTCTTGCACCTTCTGCACACACATCCACTCACAAGCAAGCCCCATTATCTCCAACTTTGGTGGGCCAGTAACCGTTTCTCAGCCTAGCCTACCGCACAGCTGCTCATTCGACCACTTCAACTGGCACTACTGTAGGTGCCACTTAATGCTTGTTTAAGGCAGCAGCACCTAAACTTTGGAACTCCCTGCCTATTGAGATCAAGCAGGCGCTTTGATCTCTGACTGCAGAGGCTAATAAAAACATGGCTGCTTAGACAAGCCTATCTGGATGGCTTAAAAGGTTGTGGTGATTTTAATCTACTTTTAGGATTTTAACTTTTGTACGTTTTCACAGTAGCGTTGTGAGTTTTCCCTCGGTTTTACCGTTTTACCTTTCGTAAACCGCTTTGCGAAAGAAAGAAATTTAACCGTGGAGCTGTGCTGAAATCTGATGAGATAAATAAATAAATAATCGCCACCAGGTTGTTGTGAGGATCAAATTGGGGCGCCTTGGAGAAAAGGTGGCTGGAAACTAGACAACAAACAAACCGAAGCTTGCTCCAACTAGCCAAAATAAGATCAGTAGCAGTAGTAAATAACAGAGTGTCCCTATTCTCCCAGATTTACAGAAGCCATCCTGATTTCTGATTTGATCCCGCAATGACCCTCTTTTCCTCAGGACTTCCCTATTTTCATAGGGAAAACGTTGGAGGGTCTGGAGTTATGGGACCCCCTGAGCCAAGGCCATAAGTAACTATGCACCCTTCAGCAGGCAGCTTTCTCTCGTTTAATGTTTTATTAACATTTTTATATGTGTTGGAAGCTGCCCCGAGTGGCTGGGGCAAACCAGTCGGGTGGGCGGGGCATTTATTATTTATATTTATATTGTTGTTGCTGCTGCTGTTATTATTATCATCACCCCTCTTTCCATCCGAGGGTATGCAATGCGGGCGGCCTTCCCCGGGCGCCCCCTCCTCACCTGTAGGCGAGGCTCATGCACTCGAAGAGCTTGGTGAGCGAGGCGTCGATGCTGAGGCGGCCTCCCCCGCCGCCCTCGCCCGCCGCGCCGCCTCCCCCGCCGGCCCCCGCGGCCGCGCCGAAGCGGTACGTCTGGCAGGTCTGCTCGTTGACGGTGTCGAAGTCGTAGCCCTTCTTGGGCGGGTGCTCGCTGTGCGGAGACGACACCATGAAGTGGCCCGAGTGGATGATCTGCGCCGCGACGCCCGACCGCTTGCCCGGAGCCCGCCGCCGGCCCACCACGCCGCAGCGCCCGCGAGGGGCCGCCGACACGGCGCCGCCGCCAGAGCCGCCAACCTCGTCCTCGCTGTCCTCCGACGAGGAGAGCCCGGCCGCCTCCGCCCGCCGCGACAGGGGCGCCGCGGCCCCGGGGCGGGAGAGGCCGCCTCCAGCCCCGGGAAGCGGCCCGCCCGGAGGAACACGCCGGCCGCCATCGAAGAGCAGCTGAAAGAGGGCCGCCGCTGGCCCTGCTCGCCCCCGCCGGCTCTGTCTGCCCCGTCAGGCCCGGCGCGGCCGAGTGGAGCTCCTCGGCCGGCCCGCCCCGCCTGGCCCCGCCTGCCTCCCGGGCGGCCGGGCTGGGAAGGGGCGGAGCGGGGCGCCTGGGAGCCTCGTCGGCTGTGCGCGCCCTGCTGCTGGGCCTCGTTCCTGTCAGGCGGCGAGTCCTCGCCTCACGCAGCGAGGCGGCCGATAGGGATTTGATTTCTTTATTAGACTTGTGTATGCCGCCCTTGCTCCGCGGATCTCAGGGCGGCTCACAGCACACGAACACAAGAGGGAAACACGAACGAAGCGGACCCATCACCTCCCCGCCCCCAAAGCCAGCCAGAAGCACATCTGCAACTCCCAGAAAAGCGACTGTAGATGGAAACAGGCGGATGGAAGCCACACTTGCCGGCTTGGGGGGGGGGGGCAGCTTGAATAAATTGTTTTTTGGGGGGTGGTAAACTCCGCCCCACATAATCGAGCATATGAAATGGTGCACACACCCCATTTGAACAGCAATGTCCATCAACTGGGGGGGGGGAGGCGGCCCCCTCAAATATTACCGTATTTTTTGCTCTGTAAGACTCACTTTTTCCCTCCTAAAAAGTAAGGGGAAATGTGCGTGCGTCTTATGGAGCGAATGCAGGCTGCGCAGCTATCCCAGAAACCAGAACAGCAAGAGGGATCGCTGCTTTTGCTGCGCAGTGATCCCTCTTGCTGTTCTGGCTTCTGAGATTCAGAATATATTTTTTCCTTGTTTTCCTCCTCCAAAAACTAGGTGCGTTTTATGGTCTGGTGCGTCTTATAGAGCGAAAAATACGGTATGTTGGAATTGGCTCCTATGATTGCCAGCAGCCCCACTGAAATAGGAGGACACGCAGCGTTACAACATTTGAAGCATATTCAAAGCCGTGTCTTTCCCGCAGAGAATCCTGGGCACTGTAGTTTACCCCTCATGGGGTCGCAGCTCCCAGCAACCCTTAAGCAAACTACCATGCCCAGAGCTCTTTGAGGCAGGGAGGGGAGACTGTGCATGCCGAATGTGCTAACTTAGCGCCATCAATTTTAATGGGTTTGCTCAGAGTATGACTTTGGCCCCATCCGCATCATACATTTAAAGCTCTGTGATTCCACATTAAAGTTACAGCTCTCTTTCTCTCCCCTCCCCGCCCCCCATAATTCTGGAAACTTTGTGAAAGGTGCTGGAAATGGTTAGGAGACCCGTTTCCCTCCCAGAGCTACAATTTCCAGAGTGGTTTAAGTGTCAGCCCCCCTTTCCAGGAAACTGGGAAATTAGCCCTGGAAAGGAACTAGGGGTGTCCTAATCACTCTCAGCACCCTTCACTACAGCTCCCAGAATTCTCGGGGGGAACACTTTAACGTGGAATCATAGCACCTTTTAATGCATGGTGTGAATGTTGCTTTAGTAAGACGCAACCCAGCCAGATTAAAAAAGACACCAGCTAAATTATAACACAGGAAGGTTGTTGGCCTAGAGCAGAAGATCCTATGGGTGGGGGCTAAGCTATCTTGCCTGGCCAAAGAATACCATCTATTTTATTTCTGCTGTGTGAATAGGTCCTGGTGCCATTATGAATGTGGAAAGTGCTTTTATTTGTAGTATTTAAATTATCGTTATTTTATTGTATTTTTTATTGTGAATCACCCTGAAGTATGCTTGTGTGAAGCATATAAAACTTATAAAACATATAAAACTTAAATAAAATATTTAAGTGTCTCACTAGGAGGAGTGGTGTTTGCAAAGCAACCTCTTCCAGTTGTCAAGAAGTTCGTGCCACAACTCATGGGACAGTGTTCCACAGAAGCGGCTTTGTTAAGTCTATTTGCAGCAAAAAGGAAAGGGACATAGTGGCTTAGAGCACCTCAAAGGGTAATTTATTAAAACACCAATTTTAGTCCCCCAAAGCTTTCAACACAAGCCTGCCAAGGTGCCACAAGACTTTGAGTGATCTGTACCACCAACCTACAGATAGCCTTATAGGCCTGGTCAACACTGAGAACCTAGGTATGTTTACTCAGAAGTCCCATTGGGATAAATGCCTTACTATCAAGTGCTTAGACTGCAGGAAACTGCCTTAATGTAGCTAGACCACAGGCCCATCTAGCTCAGTTAACCATCCACAGAATGGCACCAGCTTTTCAGACCAGGTTCCTTCCCAGCCGAACATGCCAAAGACTGAATCTAGGACATTCTGGATGCAAATAATGTTGCTGTATGTTGCTTTCTACAGTCCTTTCCTAAAGCACGTGAAAGCTATCACACTCAAACTTTTGAATCAACTAATTTCTTATTCAAAAGATTGTTCACACAGCATTTTGTGTTGTGACTTTAAAGTTTATTTTTTTAATGAAACCATTGTACATTGTACAAACCATAGCTACTGATGGAATAAATAAGTGAAAAATGATACTGCTGTACAGCACACAAAATCATTAAGATGGAAAAACAATTAGGTAATGAAATAAACCCACAAAATTCTTTACACCTTCTAGCAGGGCTTTCGATATAAAGAACATTCTAAAACATGACAATGTTTCTGTATGAAGCAAGCTACCACAAAAGCCAGTAATTTTTATGCTGCCTCACTGATTGGTTGTCGTTGTTGTTGTTAAGTGCCAGCACTTTTTGGAATGTTAACGATTCCCCCACCCAGAAGAACTCCAAAATGAACAGTTCTGCTATAAAATGTTTTGACTGTGTAAACTGCCCAGCTAGAAGGCCTCCCTCCTCACCCCATAACCCACAAAGATCAGTTACCTTGCTAGCTTATGTATACAGATGTAGTTTGAGAGTAACTGAGTGTCCAAATGCCCAGTGTGTCGATAAGGAAGCACTTCTTGATATTCACGCTATTTCTAAAAAAAATGTCAGATTCAACCCACCAACCACTGATGCTGCTTGACCTCCACTGAAATGAGCACAGATTGCACAGCTGTGTGTGTGGTGGACACCGTCTATTGCCTGCCTGAGAATTTCCAGTCACTGAGATGCAAGATGTGTTGACTCGCTCTCTCTCCTCACCTCTTCCCCACTGCTATCAATACAGGCTTTTCCATGCAAGCCCATAAAACAAAATCCCTAAAGAGGCAGCAAACCAAGAAGCTGGACCCAGTACCAAATCTCAAAGGTTGCAAGATCCCTTCCTTGCTGGTTGAATTTAAACTAACTTTCAAGCATTAAAAATGTGTTTTAACTGCACATCCAAATGGCCTATCAAAAGGCAGTTACAGTGTGCACGTTTTTAAATTTCTGCATACCAAACAGAATCAAGATCCTCCTCCATCCTGATAAATGGGTGCAGACTGACACTAATGGGTGCAAAGAGTCCAATTCCATTTGCTTTTTCCAACCCCTATTTGTTGGCAGAGGATTCAAATATCTAACGTTGCAAATCAAAGCAGAGCCACTAACCACTGTGGTTATGCTGGTTTTCTTTTTCTTGAGTCATGGAATAGCAAAATGACTGCACACTTCATCAAAGGCTACTGCCACCCATCTTTCATTTGCAGGTCTCAATTCACAAGTCAAGCACAAGCAAGCCCAACTGAAAGACACTGGGAATTGTGTGGCAGCAGCAGGCCTTAGTGAATGGCTGACACATAACTGAAGAAAGAAAGTACAGTAGGAATTAAGAAGCCAGTTTCATCACGAAGCTTATCAGTGTCAGTAATGCCAATAAACATTTCTACCTAATGAAAAAAATTGAGGTATTTTAGTGCTATTTATATTTTATTAAGTACAGGATTCAGCTCTGAAATTTAAAAAGCCTATCTACTTCCTTGGAAACTGTGTAAAACAAATCAAAAACACACAACCACAAAATTGAAGCTTCTACAGACAGCAACTACTGGGCATGACAACATATCAACAGTGGTTTCCAACCCACTGACATTTTAGCACTGATCAATTAAAAGCTACATAATTACAATTTTTTAAAGTTCAAAAATATATTTGTCTATGTCATAGATCAGCCAATATGTTTTCAAAAAAACGAACCCTGGTTAAATATGGTTTTAATGTCCATACCGATTGCCATTTAACCAGTCATAACCCACATTTCTGAAGCAGATACACAATTCAAGGGGTGGGGAAATCAGTTTACCATTTATGTATACTGTGCAAATATAACACCTCTTTCTGATATTAAATGAATTTTGTGATCGAAGCACAAAGAGACTTTGGAGGGAGCACACTGCTTTCATGAACAATTTGCAACCAATTTTAATTTTGATGAGATGTAAAATGTTTATTTCAACATAAAAAATATATCAGCCTTGAGTGTATAGCCAGTTTCTTTGCAGCTTAACAAATGTTGTGATGGAAGGTCAGAATTGGCACCTCCACCTCTCCTAACTTTTCTCAGAATTCATTGCAAATGCAATACAGTAGTTAAAGCTCAAGCCATTTTCACCGCTGGAGAAATCAGAAATAAAGCTTAGTAAGTGACTTTTATGCAGTGTTTTGATTGGAGGCAGGTTTGTTTTCCTTTAAAAAAAAAGGTCACCCAGTACATCCATTATAAATTAAATGCAACCACATTTACAGCTGCAGGTTGCAGTTTCATCGTTATCAAGACGCATTGCTTCCTTATGCCACCTCTGTGTTTTCCATTCACACACATATTTTCCCCAGCCTTCAAATGGAGGTTTAAGGACTCAACACCTCTTTAGATGTGCAAAACATAACAAGACGAACCCATCAAGTTCTAGTCACAATTAAGCCCCATTGGGAATGTCTAAAATGTTACAACTAAAGCTGCACTGATTTCAGAAGGAACTAGTCATGACCGTGTGGTTCTACTGGTGATTACAAGTAGCATCAAAGCATCTGATATAGATAAGATGGTTCAGCATATTCACTGGCCATGTAGCATGGATAAGATTGACACAGTGCCTCCTGCCAAGTCAAACATGCAAGAAATAAAACTGAATTTTTCAAAAACTGAGAGATGTCTGAAGTTGTTTTGGAAGTAACAAGACTGCATTTACAAGCTACTCTTGAAACAAAAGTAAGCCTCAAGTACAGTATTGCCTGGAGTATCAGTAAACTGATTGTAAAAGAACAGTACAAGGAAATTCATTTCAATCAAAACTACATCTGTCATAACACATATGCCTATTTGTACCTGTATTTATAGTTGACCCACTTTTAAAAAAAGACTTAAAACGCATAATTTGCTTCAATACTTTTCCAAACCAGCACCAATTTAAGTAAACAGCAGAGCCTGTTCACTTTAGGTATATCTGTTTTAAAAGTCTACATTATTCAGCCAAGGGGAGGCATGCCATCAGGAAATTATTCAAAGCTATGTTACTGTGTAACTTGCATGCATTTCTGTGGAGGTTGCCAGAAGAGGGTCTTGGTGGCTCAAATTGGTGCATTAAAAATAAGTCATCCCTGTGGATGCAGAAAAATCAAGTGTCAGCTGTATGGTTCTCTCTGGACTCCAACAGTGAAAATGGCTTCCTGATTTCTCTCACAATAGCTCTTATGTTAAAATAGTAAGCACCAGGGTATAAAATAGAAACAAACAAACACAATGAAAAGTTTCCTATATGGCATTGTACAAACCGTAGGCCACTCTGCAGAGGAGAGAACTGTCAAAAACAAGTTTAAAAAATTAGCACTGGTTTTGTTTTTTTGTTTTGGAACACAAGGCACACACAAAAAAAGAAAAAAAGCAGACATCACATCAGAAGGATGAACTTCACATGAGAAGACCTGACCTGTACCATCCTTAAATATCTTATAATGTTAAATAGAGAATGTGATAAAATACAGCAGCAACATAATTGTAATTTTGACATTAGAAACAGTGCGTAGACCCCTCCTGAGTTGTTTACTCCAACCATTTCAGAGACAGTAACTTAAATTCTCAACGTTTTGCTTCACAGAAAAGAAAAGTTTTCAGTGTCTGAAGAGATGATGCCTTTGCTTGGTTTCTTGGATTTTTGCTTGGTAACTTGAAAAGTTTATAGGAGTTCTGTCCTCATCCAAGAGAATATACGTAAATATGGTTGTTCTATATAATTTAGCCCACTGATGTACCTTACATAAAAACTGGCCAGGAAAAATCTAGTGTCTATATTTCATCAATGTTTTGTTGAGAGGGACCCTCTACTTTCATCTTTTTAGAAGGTGGCACTCCTTCAGAGTCCTTAACAGGAGGAGAGAGAAAAGAAGAATCAGCATCAGTACTGAATAAAAGCATAATAATGTTATTGTGCTCCCAAGGTACAAGAGAACCCCAGGAAGCAAGTGTCATGGCCACAAAGCAACACGAAAGCTGCCATCATAGTTACCCATGTAAGTCCTAGTTCCCAAAATGGCAACACACATTCACCTTATAGCCCCACCCCGTAAGATCACACACACCAAGACATGTGAGAAAACATTCTGACAATAAGAGCTCATTGATCGTGGAACAGTCCCCCCTTGGGAGGTTGTGGACTCTACATCCTTGAAGGTTTCTAAGCAGAGGGTGGATGGCCATCTGTCATGGATGCTTTAGCCAAGATTCCTGCATTGCAGGGGGTTGGACTAGACATCTCTTGGGTCCCTTCCAGCTCCACAGTTCTATGATCCTTGCAAGGCATACTAAGACAGGTATCAATAAGCACCTGGGAGACATATTTGCAGCTTGTGGACTGTTAAGGCTATATCAATTCCCAGACACACAGGGAAAGAAGGGATAATGTGAGGACTCCAAAGATAATCGAGGCTGGAGTACAACCTTCAGACCTTCTGGCTGGGATTTTAGAAGAAAAGGAACATGCTGCTTTACCTTGCCATAATTTGTTCACTTCAAACTGGTGACATTACCATCTTTCCAGCCTATTAAAACTTTACATGGAAAGGAACATACAGTCCTAAAAGGATCACCTAGCAATTTACTAGAAGGATCATCACGGTTTACTACGGAACATACTTCAAATATTTTAACAAGTTCTCCCATATTAATGACAACTTGCAAGTGCAAGACCAAGTGCAAAGCACAACAGCTCACTGTCAATGTTCAAGTGGAAAGAAATCAAAGCATTCACAGAATTAGAAAGCATGGAACACATAGATGTTAATCCAATAGACAAGACAGGTCAAACTTTCATTCGCACTGTTGACGATACCTCTTTGCTTATCTATGATTTTGAATTACCTGAGAGTTTTTAGATGCATCTGTGGTTATATCATTTTCTGCCAAAGGTTGAGTTTCCACTTTCTCTGAACTATTCATGGAATTCTCCATTGAAGATTGTGAGTTCTGTTCATCAGAAGCATCTGAAAGAGTTAAGAAGGTTGCACTGAATCACCGATGTATTACAGTACCTCTCATTAGGGTTCTCACCAAATTAGAGATTTTAACTAAATTAATTTATCATCATCAAACCTTTTATTGGCATCACATACAAACCTCCATAGCAAAGTAAATTAATTTTAGTTTATTTAATCTGCATAAATTTGCATGCTGCCAAACAATAGTTTTGAAGAAAAAGATGCACTTTACTTGTTCTTAGAAGATAGATAGATTGATGGCATATTTTGGGAAGGATTTCCTTCTGTATAAGAATGAAGATGGAACATCTTTAAGGCATTAAAAGTGCAGATAGCAGGCTATTAAATTATGTTTTCCAAGATGTGCTGGCCCAACTTTAAAAAGGGCTTTAAAGTCAATTAAGCTAACCAAGGTTGCTAATCTGTTTTCCACCCAGCTATAGACTACTTACAGATTTGTTGTCTTATCTAGAAGGGAGACATAATGATTTTGGATTAGAACGCAAGGACGCCTGGGCATTGGAGCAATCTATGGACTTTTAAATGGGGCCTGTTATGATTATTATTTTATTATGATGCTGTGTATTGTGTTGTCATTATGATGCTGTGTAAATTATGTTCTTGATGCTGTACATAGCTCTGGGATCTTTGGCTAAAAAGCAGTATAAAAATGAATTATTACTATTATCAGTGCTTTTTTCCTAGAAAAAGAGGTGCAGCAACTCCCACCTTCTTTGACAGACAACCCTAAGCTGTTGAGCTTCCTTCAGGATGACGCCAAACTTGTTGAGAGCGCACGCTTTAGAGAAAACACGCACCATGTCTCCTCCCTTAAAGGGCTTCTTTCGGAAGAGAAGCAAAGTGCCAAAAATCGCTCCCGGTCCATCCAAATTCCTGCACACGGAAAATGTGCCACCTGCCCAGAATGATATACACAGAGAGGGTTTGCCGGAAGAGGTTCCGGCTGGGGGAAAAAAGCCTTGATTCCTCTTCTTCAAGCAACATACAAATGAAATCTTGAGCTGGCCACTAGAGGGAGGCCAAGACCACATGGATATGGGGAAGGATCCAGACAGTATTTATGGGACATGGAAAAGCCTTTAGCAGAGCACTGCAAGGTGTGTGTGTAAGCCCCTCCAGTATTCACAAGGCTGCAATGTAAGAGCTTGATCTGAAAGCACACCTAAGCATACCTGATCACACTAAAGGATAGATTTGCATTAAAAGGGTTTTTAAGTACACACTGTAGTATCTCATAACATGAAAGGCTTTTGTATTTCATGCAGCTTGCTTAAAACACACGCTCCATAATTGGATCTACGCAGGAATCCAGCCACAGCTTATAAACTTATAAGCAACTGTCATCCTACTAGCACATACAGGAGGAATCTAAATTCAGAATCTGAAACATTATGTACAGAAGACATAGCCTAAGTAAATGCAGTTTTATACAAGTTAAGAAAAACTGCGTGGATTTCTCTGCCAAAACCTGAACAAGGTGTCTTTCCTTATTTTCAGATTAAAAACTTGATAATTTAGACCTTTCCTCTGAAGAGGAAGAATCAATCTACATCCATATTATCTGACCTATAATAAATGTTGAACTATGAAAGTTAAAACAGATGTCACAGCTTACTATCTGAACGAGTGCATTTTATAAGGCATGCTTTAAGGTTCAATTTAGCCCCCAATCTGATGATAGGAACCCCGCCTATTGACATGAGGCAGGCGTCTTTACTGTACTCTTATTGGAGCCTGTTAAAAACATTTTTGCTGAGACATGCCTAGTCAGAAATGTAGAATGTTGATTTATGCTTTTCCTTTATTATTTTGTTTTTTATTAATGCTTTAAACCAGGGGTCAGCAAACTTTTTCAGCAGGCGGCCGGTCCACTGTCCCTCAGATCTTGTGGGGGGCCGGACTATATTTTTTTGGGGGGGTGAACAAATTCCTATGCCCCACAAATAACCCAGAGATGCATTTTAAATGAAAGGACACATTCTACTCATGTAAAAACACGCTGATTCCCAGACCGTCCGCGGGCCAGATTTAGAAGGCAATTGGGCCAGATCTAGCCCCCGGGCCTTAGGTTGCCTACCCATGCTTTAAACTGTGTTTACAGCCATTTTTTATCTTTAGAAACTGCTCTGAGGTTGTTGTTTTTTACAATCAAACATTGTATACATTTTATGAAATATAAATAGAATGGGAAAGCTGGACCATAAAGAAGGCTGATCGCCGAAGAATTGATGCTTTTGAATTATGGTGCTGGAGGAGACTCTTGAGAGTCCCATGGACTGCAAGAAGATCAAACCTATCCATTCTGAAGGAAATCAGCCCTGAGTACTCACTGGAAGGACAGATCCTGAAGCTGAGGCTCCAATACTTTGGCCACCTCATGAGAAGAGAAGACTCCCTGGAAAAGACCCTGATGTTGGGAAAGATGGAGGGCACAAGGAGAAGGGGACGACAGAGGATGAGATGGTTGGATAGTATTCGCGAAGCTACCAGCATGAGTTTGACCAAACTGCAGGAGGCAGTGGAAGACAGGAGTGCCTGGCGTGCTCTGGCCCATGGGGTCATGAAGAGTCGGACACGACTAAACGACTAAAGAACAACAACAAAAATGGAATGGGAATTTTAGCTGAGAGAAAAGACAAGATGTTCAGTCCTAGGCATCTTGAGACCCCTATGAAGCATCCAAGTAGAAACAGAAAAGCACTTGGAGAATTGGAATTGGATGAAGGAAGAACGTTCTGAGCTAGAGTGGAAAAGCTTGGTACCATCAGCATAACAGGCACCATGGAATATTGTGTGCTTACACGGGGCTAACGAATCTAGAGAGACAAGCATGCAGGACTAATAACAGAGCCCTCAGGGATCTCAACCAAGAAGGAGAGGACAGATTAGAACAGCAAACAGGTAGGAAGAGAGTAAGTCAATGGAATCAGTGAGTTCTTAGATATAAAGGTAATCATGTAGAAAGTAATCAACTGAATTCAAGACAGCAGAGGAGTCAAGAAAGATGGAGCAAAATATATATTTTTGGAACTGGCACTAAAGCAGTCAGGTAATTTAATAAAGCTATCTGAAATTAAGGGGTAAATGTGAACAGCTTTCAGAACTGAGCTGTGCTTTACATTCAGCTCAGTGAAAATTTATCTCCAACAGTAATTACACAAAGCGAGAATGACTTATTGTTTGCATATACAGTATCACTAACCTAGGGATAGGGAACTTCTAGTCTGTTGGTCAAATATGAGCCAGCAGTCCATTTTACCCCCAGCCTTGCCCACACCTGACACCATATGATACCAGGTGTGAGTAGGTAAAGCTATGGCTGCAAGCAGGCAGAAGCCTTAATGTGAGTGTGCTCCCAATTGTTCTTCGGCAGGCAGCACTTGCATTCAGCATGTTTTCAATTTAAACTCCTAATTGGAGTAACTAAGTGGAGCTGATGTCTGCTGAAATTTAAAATTCAGTGCCAAATGCAATTCCTGCTTTTGGCCAGAATCTTTGCCGTCGCAACCTGGATTCAAACTTAAGAAGGAAGAAACTCTAAACATGCTCCAGATTTTAAAAATCTGAATGACCTGGTGGCACATAATTTAACAGGCGGGTGGGTCAAGTTCCCCACTCTTGCATTAAGCCAAGGGTTAACAACAGCACTACGTAGACAAGGAGCACATCAGGAACAGTAGTCATACCTCATGCTACGTTTACTTCATGTTATGTTTTTTCAGATTGCGTCCCGCAGTAACCCGGAAGTACCGGAAAGGGTTACTTCCAGGTTTTGCTGCTCGCGCATGTGCAGTTGCACTAAATCACGCTTCGCACATGCGCACAAGCGCCAAATCACGCTGCACACCTACGCAGATACCACACTTCTGGTTGCGGGCTTTTCGTGTTGCGAATGGGCCTCTGGAACAGATCCCGTTCGCAACAAGAGGTACCACTGTATTTCCACTGACTTTTGCTTTGCTTTCAAATTATCTATTCTCTGGTTAGTGAAATGTACAAACTCTGAATCATGGTATATAACAAACAATGGTTAGTTAAACAAGCCAGCTTCATAAGATATGGTTTGGAGTTGTTTAGCAGTTAACCATTGTTTGTTGTAAATCACAATCCCTGTTTTGTACATAAGGATTTGCTGAAAGCAGAAAGCATGCCTACACTTGACAGAAGTCCTTCCCTGACTGCATGGAAGGGAAGGGAAGCTTAGGAGTCTAAACACTTTCCTTGGTCTTATGGAGGCTCGTCCACATAGAACTACAACATGGTTTAGCATTGTGTGAATGTGGTCAGTGAAAGCAAAAAGTAACTAAGTGAAAACGGAGTGTCAGTTTTCAAAGCAGTAGGAAGGAGGGCAGATCTTAAATTATAGTTACAGTCATACCTCCGCTTACGTAAACTTCGGGGTACGTAAGCGGCAAACCTGGAAGTATATTTCTGAGTTTCTGCCACACGCGTGCATGCGCAGAAGTGGTCTCTCCGGTTGCGAAAACCTCAAGATCTGGCCAGACCTCCGGAACAGATCCCATCTGCAACCGGAGGTACCACTGTATCTCCTTCTCAAGTGGGAGACACAGTGGGTCTGCTAACAAATGAAGTTTATGTGGTGCACATGGAATGCCAACTGTTTACCTACCAGTTATGAGTAGGAAGATTTGTACATGAATTACCTTCTGAACCAGGCTCCTCTTTTGCATCTGCTTGAGTATCGTCAGATTTTGTTCCAGGGCCATCTGCCTGCCCTGTGGAGTTCTGCTCTGGCAGGGGGCTAGAGTTGCTGCTGTTCTCTTGTTTAATTGGTGAAGCATCAGCTATGGAACTCTGGTTGCTGTTATCATCTGTAAATAAGAGACAGGCTTGCTGAAAGCGATGAACATTCCCAAAATTGTATTTACATGTTAGGGGCTGCTGACCTGCCAAGCCCTCCACCCCTTTCCACCTCACCCAACTCCCCCAACCCCTCACTTCTTCAGCCTCTCATGGGTCCTTTTGGCCCCCCATCCCTTCCAACCGCTGCCTCTCACAACTCCCCACACCCCTGCCTATCCACCCACTCACTCTTGTTGCTATTCCCAATCCCTTCACAGCTCACTCCGATCCCAACCACCACTCATGGAGGAGAGTGGGGTGAAGAGGATAAAGTATTCTGCGGTAACCTCCTTTTTGGCCCCAAGGCTGCTGGCCTGCCAAGGCAGCTCCTCAACAACCATCTTGCTTTGTAGCTGCTTTCTTCCTCCCCAGCTGCAGATGCAGAGACCAAAATGGCTGTGTCAGGTATACAATGGCAGCAGAGGAGGGCAGTTTCTGGAAACCACCCCTGTCTGTCCTGACTGTTCCCCTGCAGCTCATCTTGACACTTCCTTGTATGCCTGCTTGCTGTTCTGTTGTCATATTGCACTTGACATGGCCACCTATTGGCAGCCAGGCAAACTGCAGGATGACAACTTTTTTTCTTACGAAAATATTATACAGCAAGATAATGCAAGGCTACATTTCTGACACTTCCCAGTATTCCATATCAAATCCATACAGTGGTACCTCTGGTTACGTACTTAATTTGTTCCAGAGGTCCATTCTTAACCTGAAACTGTTCTTAACCTGAAGCACCACTTTAGCTAATGGGGCCTCCCGCTGCTGCCGCGCCGCCGGAGCACGATTTCTGTTCTCATCCTGAAGCAAAGTTCTTAACCTGAGGTACTATTTCTGGGTTAGCGGAGTCTGTAACCTGAAGTGTCTGTAACCTGAAGCATATGTAACCCAAGGTGCCACTGTATCTATGTTGGCAACTCAAACTAGACCAATATAAGGGTTAATTACTTGAGAGATCTTTTTGCAGATCCTTTTAATGTCACAGAAAAGCAACCATGGCTGCCTCTGTTGCATCTAGTTTGTACTTCAAGTATCAATAATCTGTTCACTGACTCTTCCCAGCTGTCTAAATATGCAGAGAAAGCTGAAAGAAGCTGCCTAAAGTTTGGGATTTATCCATTTTTTAAAAAGTAGAGGCTTAAGTGATGTACAAGGTGTTCTAAATCTGTGGTATTGATGGGGACTTCATACTGGCTAATAGTCAGTACAGTCATGCAATACTTATTATTCTTGTCAAAAATATGACTATATAATATGCTGATGTCACGCTACTCACATTATAGCAAAATTCTCCAAGGAATGGTGGAGGGAGAGAGCAAACATAGTGCGAGCTGGCTCACAATTACAACAAAGGAAAGTGAAGTACTTTTTCCACCCACAAGCACATGTCCTACCTGCTCCACTGCCACAGAATCTGGACATAGAACCATACAATTGAAGAGTTGGGACCCAAAGCTCCAGTGCAGGAATCACAGATAAAGAATCCCTGACAGGTGGCTATACAGTCTCTGTTTAAAAGCCTCCATTGACTGAGAGTCCACCACCTTCCAAGTTAGACTTGTTCCACTGGCAATCAGCTCTTACTTTCAGAAAGTTCTCCCTAGTGTTTAGAAGTTTAGAATCTACTTTCTTGTAATTTGAATCCATTGGTTTGGATCCTACCCTCTGGAACAGCAAAAAAACAACAACTCTGTTCTATCTTCCATGTGACAACCCTATAGATATCTGCAGATGGCTATTGTGCCACCTATCAGGCTTTTCTTCTCCAGGCTAAACATACCCAACTCCTTCAACCGTTTCTTAGATGAGCGTTCTTTCAATTCCTTCATACAAGTAATTTATAAAGATGTTGAACAACACCAGGCCCAGCACAGAACCCTGAAGCAACCCACTTGTCACTTTTTTCCAGGATGATGACAAACCACTGGCAAACACTCTTTGGGTTCAGTCGGTCAACCACGTTCTCCACAAGAATATCATGGGGGACTTTGCCGAAAGCCTTATTAAAATCAAGATGCACTACATTCACAGCATTCCCTTGACCCACCAAACTTTTAAATCATGACTTGTTTTTTCTAAGTGCTCATAGACCGACTGTTTAATTATCTGGTTCTAGAACATTTCCTGGTATTGACATCAAGCTGACCAGCTGGTAGTTCCCCGAGTCTTCTTTCTTCCCCTTTTGGAAGATGGGGACAACATTTGCCCACCTCCAGTCTACAAGTTCTCCATGAATTCTCTAAGCTTATAGTCAGAGGCTCTGAGATTACTTCTGCAAGTTCTTTCAGTTTCCTTGAAAGCAGTTCAGCAGGTCCTGGAGATCTGATTTCATTTAAAGTAGCTAGGTGTTCCCTTTCCCCCTCTCTTCCTATCCTGGGCTGCAGCTCCCTCTCTGCATCGTTTATTTTATTCCATTAACACCAGGTTGGGCACTGACGTTGAGCAGTTCTGCCTTCACCCTGTCCCCCAATAGCATTTTCTCCATATCCTTCATGCAGAGGACCCACTCTTGCTTCAAACATAGCCAAAAAAGTCACTAATTATTATTTATAACCTCTCTTGCAAGCCTGAGCTTGTTTTGAGCTTTAGCTGCCTGACCTTCTCCCTGCAAGTGTTGGCTAGTCCTTCTTTCATGATTTGCTCCTTCTTCCCTTTCTTATACATGCAAGGAATGAACTGCATTGACCATTATTGACAAAAGGACAGTCACAAATACTGGGATGCACAGGAAACACGGCTGCTACGAAAGTTAGTAGCTCCTCATTCATGGGGTAAATGCTTCATCTAAAAAGCCACTTGAAGGAGATCACAGTTATGGAGTAAAATCCAGCTGCATCTCCTAAATTGCATCAGACAACGGCATGCACCTAAAATGGCTAGTTCAATCAAATCTGCACCAAGGTAAATGCAGGTAATTAGATTTCAGGCAAATTCATCCTTCATTCATGCCAATAAACGTCTAGTCAGCGCTACATGGCTGTGTATGCACTTAGCTAGAGAGATTTAGACCCATTCCAGATGCCTGAACTTGCTTATAGCAAAGAGGACCAATTCCACTCCACCCTGGTTATGCAGACCCTCTCCAAGTGCAGCGCTCCTAGGGAAAGGATTCACAACTGAATATGGGGAGATCCCATGATTTATTTGTACAAGGTCCTAAATCTAATCCTAATCATCGCCAGCTAGAAAAATATGGTAGCAGGTGGTGAGAATGACCCAAGGGTCTGAGATCTTAAAGAGTAGTTACTAGTTATGGGAGACATTGCTGCGTGAGATGGACCAATGATTTGACTCAGCATAAGGACAGCTTCATGTGATGCTCAAATAAAATACAGGGCAACTTCATATAGGTAAGAAAGAGGCTTTGGTCACAGCTACCAACTGAAAAACTCCTCCATGGAGTTTCAACGGTTCCCCACACTCTTGATGAAAGATGCTGGCTAATAAAAGCTATCGCCTTACCTACTTTGCCTCTCACCAAGACATTCAGAATTGGAAAATTACAGATTCCACTGATGGTAGCCATGGTAACATTTAATGACTCACTTTAAGTGTTAATCTGTCAAGTACATGCTTCTGGAGAGAAAACCTTAATTCTCCAGACTCTCTTTTGTCAGGTTTGAAGGCTTTCCAGGGACACATATTACAGCAGGAAAGCACCCCCATGTGACCTAGAATCTCTTCTGACATCAGATGAGAATCTGAAGCAGTATTATTCACAAGGCAACAAAACTGAACCAGAGTGAAACCAGTGAATCAAGTGAGGTGAAATGCTGTGTTTCCAAAAACGACATTCCATGTTCTTCAGAACATTACTACGGTGTGCTTATTTAACTGTTTTTCATGCAAAAAAGGAAGAGTAAATGGATATAGAGTACAGAGAGACAGATTTAAGGGGAAGCATTCTCAACCATGGTCTAGCAACTGGAGAGGTGCCCTAGGAAGGCTGCACAATCTCTTCAAAAGAAGGCTGAGCAGGCTATTTCTAAAAATGCTTTGAGTCAATATGCCAGAGGGTAGTATCCAAAATAATCTAGAGGGACCGTAAATTCCACTGAGCTTTTATCACCAGTCAAAGATTGCAGCTCCTTCCAGTGCTCCTTCCTGAGAGAGGGAGTGGTTTTGCCTGTCTTGGAAGAACTTATTGTGCCTCAGAGGCCCAGCATGATGGAAGAACCAGCCCATGCTCTCTGCTGGACAGAAGAAAGGCAAATGAATCTCCCAAAAGAGCAAGACAAGATTCTCCCAAGCTCACAGCAAGATCTGGGAGACACCCCCATCCTTCTTTTAAGCTAGGAAAAATCTATCAGGCCTCACACTGACTTTGGAAGTCCTTGAACCCATGCACTGCCTTGCTGCTTTCAGATCTTATCCAATATTTTATGCTTTAAAGAAAACTGGGTATGGAACATGTGAATTCAGGGATATAGGAGATCAAAATTAATTATCACTCAGCAAATGCTTTATATAACTTGCTTCAAGATTAATTTCAACTTATGGAAACAATGCTAAGATTTCCTTCCCTTACACCTTACTTATCAAATGATATTTCCCCTTCCTACTGCATCATTTTCTATGCCAGACGAAAGCCAACCAGCATTACCAAACCTACCAGCACCAATTCAACACAAAGCCAGCCTGAAAAATTTTCTCTCTGAAGCAGCTGCTGCCCAGCAGCCTTTTAGATTATACTGCTTAATCTGCTAAACCAGGCATAGGCAAACTCCGGCCCTCCAGATGTTTGGGACTACAATTCCCATCATCCCTAGCTAACAGGACCAGTGGTCGGGGATGGTGGGAACTGTAGTCCCAAACATCTGGAGGAACGGGGTTTGCCTATGCCTGTGCTAAGCACTTCAAAAAGTGGTCCACAACTGTGTCTGGTGATAATAGGTATCAGTAGGGACCCCAGATCTCAGCCATGCCCATGTGGGTTCTATTATATAGCCAAACACTAAACCAATGTTGGTTATCAATCCATGCGGAAGTCAAGTGGCCATGTCTGGAAGCCCCTCTCCGCACCACACCTGCGGCTGCTGAAGCTGGTACTGTCTCCTTGCTCCACTCACCATTCATATCCATCATCCCAGGAGAAGAGCTGTTCTCTGGAGTAGTAACCTCAGATCCACACTTTTCATCTTTACCTTTTTTCTTGTTCTTGGTTTTCTGAGAAGGGGGAAAAAAATAAGTCATGAAATCGTGTGGCCTCCACTGCAAGGTCCAATGATCAGGGATTTGGTGCTTTTACCCATTCAACCAAGGTTCAGTTCCCAGTTACTATATGTGGTTTGTTTTATGAACTGAAACTTTAGTTTAAGCATCTCTTGTGCAACAGTGCAAACCAGGCATCCCTCAGTGCCACTGATTTTAATCAATTAATGACATACTGTGGTACCTCTGGTTACAAACGCTTCTGGTTACAAGCTCTGCTAACCCGGAAGTAGCTGCTCCTGGTTGCGAACTTTGCCCCAGGATGCGAATGGAAATCGTGCGCCAGCGGGAGGCCCCGTTGGTGAAAGCACGCCTCAGGATAAGAACGGTTTCAGCTTAAGAACAGGCCTCCAGAACAAATTAAGTTCGTAACCAGAGGAACCACTGTACTGATATCAAAGAAACAGGATCCAAAATGGTGTTGCCCAGTGGTTTTCAACCAGTGTACCTTGAATAATGGTCAGGGGTGCCGCAGGCAATACTGGCCTGTCCCTCTTTCCTTCCCTCCCTCCTCTGATGCCCTCTCACATCTCTGCCTCCCCAAGGCTTGTGAAGCTGTTTGTTGTAGCAGCCATGGCTACAAGTTCCCCAGGCAAATGGTGCCTCTGGGGCTGGTTACCAGATCGCTGTGGGGCAGTTTGAGGAGGCACCTCTATTTGGGGCAGGGCAGCTCAGAGACCAGGGACGGCAGCATTAGCTGCCCGGAGGACTCCCAAGGAGACAGAAGGGGAGAGGAGGGAACTGGACTAGATGTTCCTCAGAGTCCTTTCCAGCTCTACAATTCTATGATTCTATGCAAGTATATGAATTCTCCTTCAATCCTGAAAGCTGTGGAAAAGGTTGTCCAATTACATCCTGTTGAAGATGCTTGTGATTATCAATGCTGATTTTCCAGTCTGATGAGACCAAGGTGTATTGATTTAAATTTATTTAATTTAAACTGAGGAGGAGAAACCTATTGAGGGGGGGAAACCAATGTTTGACTCAAGCTTCTGATCTGTACTTCACACAACTCCCTAAGTTAAAAGTACAATTAGCATATTTACAACTGGGAAAATCCCAGTAAGGAAGGTATGTTTTAGCTATACAATGTCATATATATATATATATATATATATATATATATATATATTCACTACTTTAGAAAATGATACAGAATATATTGCTTAGAACTCTTTGATCATAATTTGAGTTAAACTGCATGTGTCATATCATAGTTAAAACACATATGCAGTCATACCTTGGTTGATGAACGCCTTGCGACTTGAATGTTTTGGCTCCCGAACGCAGCAAACCCGGAAGTGAGTGTTCCGGTTTGCGAACGTTCTTTGGAACCCGAACGTCCAACGCAACTTTTGATTGGCTGCGGGAGCTTCCTGCAGCCAATCAGAAGCTGCACCTTGGTTTCACGTTTTGGAAGTTGAACAGACTTCCAGAACGGATTCCGTTTGACTTCCGAGATACGGCTGTAATTATTTCAAATCATGGATTTCTGATCATCTCATTGTATTTGCAAAAAGACCTGCGCAATGCCACTTTCCTGCAGACCAATGCCAAAATATTTTGGGTCAAGGGCCGTAACTCAGACGTTACTTTGTATGCAGAAGGTTCCAGATTCAATCCTCCACATCTCCAGGTAGGGCAAGAGGAGAACATTGTCTGGCATCCTGGAGAGCAGCTGCCAGGCAGCATGGACAATACTGAGCTAAATGGACTAATGATCTGAGTCCGTGTAAGGCAGCTTCCTGTATGCCTAAAACTCCAAATACTCTTCTCCGCTGTGAGATGGGAAATAAAACTACACATTTTCACAACTCATAGCAAAAACTGCAGAGCTTGCCTCATTAAAACACATATTACTATTTAAATCTCTCTTCTGCTCTTCCTCCAAATAGTTCAGGACAAGGGACATGGTGCTGCTTCTTTTTTTCCTCAAAGGCTGCATCAACAGAAGTCTAGTGTCCAGATCAAGGTAGTAATAGTATCACTTAAGTCTGCCTTGGTCAGACCCCACCTGGAGTACAGGCAACTCCCCATTTATGCACTGGTTACATTCCAAGACACCACATGTTTAAGTGAAATTGTGTATATTTGAAACACCATTGAAAAAACCTTCAAAAACCCTGCCCCGCCCCTTTCTCTGCTGTATTTGTGTTATTTTCAGGATTGGCACAATGCACACATGCATAGTTACACATATCTTGGATGTGCCTAAAATAGTCTCTGCCTGTACTGTGTCCAGTTCCGGGCACCACAATTTAAGAAGGATATTGACAAGCTGGAATGTATGCAGAGGAGGGCAACCAAGATGATCAAGGATCTAGAAACCAAGCCTTATGAGGAACAGTTGAGGGAACTGGGTATGATTAGCCAGGAAAAGAGGGGACTGAGAGGAGATATGATAGCTATCTGATGGGCTGTCACATAGAAGATGGCACAAGCTTGTTTTCTGCTACTCCAGAAAGGAGGACCCAAGCCAGTGGATTCAAATGACAAGAAAGGAGATTCTGCCTAATATTAGGAAGAACCTTCTGAATGTAAGAGCTGGTCAAAAGTGGAACCGACTACCTCAGAAAGTCAACGGAGGTTTTTAAATAGAGGTTGGATGTCCATCTGTAAGGGATTCTTTAGCTGCAATTCCTGCCTTGGAGGCAGCTGGACTAGATGAGTCTTGGGGTCCTTCCAAATCTACAATTATATGATTCTGTAGTCATCCAATGAACTTTGCAGCAGAGAGGAACATGAAACTGGCTTAAGAAAGGAATGTAAGACTAGTAAGTTCAGAGAAATAAAGGACAGCTTCAATGTGTTTCTGAAGCTAGATCTTACACCTGCCACAGCTTTCTTGTTCTTGGTTTCCATTTCCAAGCCCACAATTTGTTGTAATCCAATCTCTCTCACACTGGATTTTATATATAAAACATATACATTTTACATACTTTATGAATGTATCTATATCTATATCTCACAGTCTTTTGAATGCTAGAGTTCAAGCAGCTTGTTCCTTCTATAGGAAAACCACTTTTAATGCACTTAATTCTGGTCAATATGTTTTATAGAATGTTGTGGATTAAATTCTAGGAGGTTATATAAAATATACTCTATTTTAACATGTTTGTATTTAACTCAGATTTAATTTACTCTTTTATAGTTCATACCATTACACAATTTTAAATGAATAATTAAGATATCCGATTTGGGGCAGGGGGAGTATTCTTATATACGCTGGTGCAGACAACAATAAGATCAACGTGAAACCACAAACCTAATCAGATGCTACATGGAGCACGATCCATTCCCTCAAATGCTAACAGCGCTACAGAAGCTAAAAAAACCAAGTGAGGGATGATAACATCAACCGTGTGAAAAATCCATGTATGAAAAAGGATGCTGCATTTTCAATTAGAAGGTGACGTAATTGGTCTCCTAGGAGAAAGTGACAGATGCACTGCTCTCAAAGCACACTCAGTGCCTGCGGAGAGAATGAGAAGCCAGATGCTTGAAAGGGGGCAAAGAGAGGGGCAGGGCTCAGAGATGAGAGCATTAGGGTCAGGCAACACTCTAAAAAATTACAAGCAGATGGCCAGATGACAGCCTATCGCTACAGAAGGCATTGACTCCATGTTGGGGGTTTTGCTTTTACCCCCATTTGTGTATGTCTGTTGAGACAAACAGGTGAAAATGTTGCAGTCACACAAGCACCATAGCTATGCAATCAGTATTGTAGACACAGCCTACAAAATGATTAAAGGACGCAATTTTCAACACTGCAATCTCTAAACGCCTCTGCATAGACAGAATAGCAATAATGAAAAATGGAGGGTATCTTTCCAGGAAACTTTTGAGTTTAAAATAAACTTTCCATGATGCTAATGTATCATTAATTGTAAAGTTGCATGTTAGGTACCCGTTCTGGAGATCTCATAGCCAGTTTTTTTAAAAAATATAAAAAAATACATTAATAAAGTGGTTATAATTACAGCAAACAGTCATTCTGATGCAAGCATTCCAATTAAGCGCTGACACTAGGCAATACAATATTTTGCAAGTTTCATTCCAACAGGAATTCTTTTTAGCTTCTGATATTTTAAAACACATGGTTAGACAGAAGTCCAAAAGGAAGGGAAAAATGTGCTCCCATTATTCCTATTTAGACACACGCACACTCAAGCCTAATCAAGAGGCTATGTGTTTTCTAGCTTTTTTTCACAACTTGGTCAATCTTCTTGTTTTCTGAAGATTATTATGCATTTCCTCCAGTTATATGCAAGGCATATTGAAATCAGTGTTCGAAATTAAGCCGTCACCAGTAGTTTTTGCAACTCAAGAGTACTACCTAGCGACCAAGCTGAGATTTCCAGTAGCCTGAAATAAATCTCCACTGCAGAAGACCTAGGGCAGCTGTTACCATCCCGTTTTGTATGCTACTTCCCTGAAGCCTTCTGATATGCCCAAGAGACTCCATTGTGGTACTGCTTTCATAGGTAAACAAACTGTAAAGTATTCATGTCATTTCAGGCCACCCACGCCCACCTCTCTTAATTGTGGCATCCAATTAAGAACTGCTATTAAACATGTGAAATTAACAATGTGTCACTGAACTGTGTATTAGTTCATGTATTTAAAAATAAAAAAATTAAAAGTGGTGCTGCATTTGGAGGGGGGCAGATGGCAACTAGCCATGCTGTTTTTGCCCCTATAAGCCAGCTTCCAGGAGCCATTTGGCTCCTGGATTTTATATCTCAGTTTCTAACATTGCTTGAAATACTTACATCATCTACTTTGGGCTCTGTTACTGGTACCCATTTGTAAATCCTGAGGGATGTGTCACCAACTGTCACCCATTTCTTCTCCCTACAAAAAGATAACACATGTTAGTTTCAAAATAGCACATTAAAAAGTGGCGTGGTAGTATATATTGTGGAAGGTCTGTAACAACCTATTCAAATTGGTTGTATGTTCTCTAGGGACCTGAGAACATACGATGATGTGTAGAGTTGTCTGCATTTAATACAGGAGACATGTTATCTTTTAAAACCAGCAGATACCTTTGCCATTTTGCGGGTTCTTGTTGGCACAGCCCAACAAGCAAAAGTGACAAAGCAAGCGAGAGAGAGACCTACCCATCCAGAGAGCACATGCACTGAACACAATCTTTTGGTCATTTAGTATGTCACAACAGCAGATAATATCTAATTTGAGGGGAAACGTAACCGAAATCAATTTTAAGTGTTTCTCAAAGTATAAAGGTATACCAACTAACTCCAAATTCCTAGAGACAGGAATACCACATGGCAGCATATGTATGTCCTCCAATCCCCTCTGCAAAATCCAAGCAGCTGGTGACAGCTGGAGAGCTTTTCTACAATGGGAGGCTGTCAGGCTTAGAAAGGAAAATTTTGGAAGGATACATGACACATGAAACTCAAATGCTAAACCAGAGCTTGCCAGTTCAGGCAAATGAGCAAGCCCTGGTACGCCTCAAACCAGGTAATCACTTCACGTGAGGCACCCAAACCCAAAACTGCTCACTCTTCACTCAATCAATGCCAAATCACTGTCTTGTGTTATGTCTGAAGCACCCCGTTAAATTTCCGCATGATATAGCACACATACATGTACAGTTAGCTGGAACTCAACTCCTTGCAAGTCCCAGCAAGTATGAGTAACAAAAGCAGCTACACTGGAAGGGGAGAAACAAGATTCCCTGGTGGGCCAGAAGTATTAATCTGTAGAACATAATGTGAGAGGTTTAGTGGAATTTTAAGAACAACAACAGAATGGAAAGAGGTCCAAATTATCTTTTTATCATTTCTGTGATATCACTAAGCTTGTTTTTGTTTTTAAATGAGAGACACTTATGAAAATTAGCAGCAATCCCTCCATAGCTTTATTTCACCTACTAGCTATTCATCATAGAGAAAAGGGTGAAGACAAAGACTATCTAGAAACAGGGGCCATCCACATCATAAAAGTGTATAGTGTCTCACAGCAGCATTTCTTACAATGGTGTTTCTGAAAACATGTAGTTTATATATTATATCAACATTCTGATCCAACAGAGCCATTCTCCATTCCTAAAGCTCAATGCTCTGAAATGTTTATCAGTGCTCTGAAATCCAATGCACTGACCTACTACTGAAAGAAAGAAAATCACTAAAGTAGAACGCACTCTAAATTTGAGTTCTAAACATAATTTGTTATTTAACAAAATTTATAGACCGCTTAATCAAAAAAGAGCTCTTCAGCAGTTTACATAAGGCTGCATGTGTAATGTAATTAAGCAATTAAGCCAATGAATGAACCTATCGCTGTTCTCTTGAACACAAGACACCTGTGTAAGTGTTTCTAGTTATAAAAACAACATTTAAACGGAATCTGTTCCACAATGTATTAGAGATGCTGCATTTGAAAACCAAAAGTTCAATATACCTGTTAGCATCTCAAAGCAGCCACAAACAGCATCTTCACTCGATCAACTGTAGAATACAGGAGGAAACCTATGTTAGTATTTTTTATTAAAAAAAAAAATCTAGAGTGAAATTTATCCCTGATATTTGAGAGTCTTCATTTAATTATGTTGATTTGACTCTATTTGGCCCAAGAGACACATTCCCTTGTGGGCAACAATCTGGGGGTCACCTGCCAGTGCAAGGGGGAGCTATTTTACCCATTGGCTAGTCTACACACTCACACATCCCTCTCTATCTTCCTTCCAGGTAAGCAGAGGACATTATCAGAGCTCCTGGACACATTCCAGCCAGGCAAAAACACTCCAGGAGGAGGTGAAGAAGGGGCAGTGAAGGGTGTGGCTAGGAAGAGTGACAAGGGCCTGGAGGGTCACATTTGGGCCCCAGGCTAGAGGTCCCCCACCACTAATGTAGATGATCAAGAGCACTGAACTCAGGCCTACATATGTTGAAAAAAACAAGATTTAACAAGCTGCCTGAGATGTGCCCAGCAGACTAACGTCTTCTTCTTTGAGTACCCCACGCCTCTCACTACAAACCTCTTATGAAACTTCCTTAAGATTCAAAAGCAGTTTCCCATTGCCTTATTAAGAAATACAAGTCCAAAGTCCCCTTGAGCATGCAGTGTTAGCGGCACGGTTCTTTGGGTTTGGGCCAAGGGACAGAACGCTTGAAGAATCAGGGAACCTGAGGGAATAGAGATACTGGTAAGGATATGGAATAGAAACACTATGTCCCAGGACAGTCTGTTCGACTTCCAAAACATTCCACTTCCAAAGCATGGCTTCCGATTAGCTGCAGGGAGCCGCAGAAGCCCCGTTGGACGTTTGGCTTCCGAAAGAACATTCGAAAACTGGAAAACTCACTTCCTGTTTTTGATCGTTCGTGAGCTAAAACGCTTGACTCCCAAGGTGTTTGGGAGCGGAGGTACGACTGAACAGTATGTCCTATTCAGCCACTATGACAGCTTACAAACTTTAGCAAATAGATAATTAGTTCCTCCAGTTTAGCAATGCTGCTTCACTGACCTGTCCTTCAAAAAGCAGTATCTAATTGGAAGCACTCTATTTTAATTACAGTTCCCCATTCCACAAACATTTTTGATATACCAAAATCTGCATGGGGTAGTATGCATGGAATAGGGCTTGCTCAGCGCAATATGGATTATAATTTGTATGAATGATACTTATTGACGCATATGCCTTCTGTAATCTTGAATAATAAAGAAAAAACAGGGAAAATCAGCAGTTTCTTCAAGCAGGATTAGGATTCTACTTCACATAGGTTGCTATCTGATCTGTTTTACTATTTCCCATGACTACTTAAGATGGGTATTTCTTCTTTTTACCTACCATCACCATCAGTATTTTAAAATTAACACTTTCTAATATTTTTTCCTCCCTGTAAGCATTTCACTTGGCAGTAGTACCTCTGTTTCTTAGTTTATCTCGACCTTTCTCTATTGTGTTGTGAATGGCCTATAAGGGGGCACAATGACATTTGTTTTCTTCCAGGGACGCTGGAGGAGGCCAACTAGGGTCAGGGACTGCTACACTTGTGGATAAAGATTTTGGGGGGTGCACTAGGATTAGGTATGCAGCAGTGCAAACAGATCGGGTTGCACCTCTTTTGCACAGAAACTGACCCCCATAGATCTGGCTAACTGCACCACACCATTTCAGCAGACTAGTCCAATAAGTTTTCACGTCTTGGTCAAATTAAGCTTCTTTAAAATCGGGGCATGTTTTAATCTCAAGTTCAGTTATGCATAAAAAGCGACATACTTTTCTAGTTTAACACATTATCTTAATATGGACCTAAGCAAAAGGTAGATTAATATAAAAATCCTTCTACAAACTGGTTATGGACACAAGCCAGAGTAAATTAGATATGCCTAAGTATCACTCATATCAATATGATTAAGCACATTGTTAAACACAACTATTTCTACTAGTAATAGGATCACCTGGTTTCTCTGGCCTGCACCATGCATATACATATCAAATAAAAAGGTGAACATAACACATACACATGAGAAATACTCAACAGGCTTTGGCACTGAAATAAATCATTTTCATCATAGGTTGCCTTCAAGGCCCTATTTAACCTCATGCCTAAGATACGACTTTAGAGTTTTCAAAGGTATAGCGTATCCATCTGATAAACAGAAGGCTGCATCGCCGACACAGATGCACACCTTGAACAAGCAGAAATCCAGGTGCCTCAGAAGGAAAAAAATATTTCTCTAATCATCAAGCCACATACAATCAACACCATCAAACCACATGAATACTGAACAATAAACCTTTCTGTCTCAAGCAGATGTTTGACTGGAGGCTGAAGAAACCAGTGTCAGTAGCCAGGCTGATTGAGAAGGACCAGTCTGTTCTCAACGGTTTAGGACTGAATGAATGCAGAGAGCGATCCAAACACCTGAACCATCAAAGGTAGCCAATGACTGCTGAAACTACTGGGTTCCCCAAGTTTGCCAGCATTCATTAACCACACTTGGTAACAGCAATGGAATAACTTTTTGTAGAACATTTTGCCTGCAACAACCTTCCAGTGAGAGATATATGTATATGCCTGGTCTATTTTGCTATTTTCCCATGACTGCTTCAGGCAGGTTTTTCTTCCTCCAGCACCATCTCTCTCTCTCATTCTGCATACACGCGCGCACATGTGCATGCATGCACAGAACTGTACCCAACGTATAATAATAATAATAATAATAATTTATTTATTTATACCCCGCCCATCTGGCTGAGTTTCCCCTGCCACTCTTGGCGGCTTCCAACTGAATATTAAAAACAATGCAGCATTAAATATTAAAAACTTCCCTAAGCAGGGCTGCCTTCAGATGTCTTTTAAAAATAGGATAGCTGCTTATTTCCTTGACATCTGATGGGAGGGTGTTCCACAGGGCGGGGGCCACTACTGAGAAGGCCCAACGTATGTTGGGACCCAGTGCCATACCACGCAAAGTGTCTTCAGCAATAGCAAGCTTGAAGTCTTCAATACAGTGCAGCACACAGAAGGCATGTAAAGACATTAAATTTCATGCCAACAATCTTTCATCTCAGAATACAGAAATATCCACAACCTATCACTGTACATTAGTAAAGGTTTGTACATTTCTTCTTGTTCCTGTTCCCCAATGGGAAAAAATAGAGGGGGGGGGTCCTACATTGTTCATCTGAAGAACAAGATCTACATAAACTTGTGACATGAACAGTCCTTTTAAGGATCTGACTAGGTTTCCCACAGCAACTGGAAGGCTGCTATGTCAGGATTGAAGTCTGCAAAATTTCTATGGCTTTCCCCATCACTCTGCTCTTGGAGGAACGAGCCAGTGTGATCACCTGTGCATAGTTGCTATGACAACAGAAGATGCTGGCAAAAAAGTTTCACTTGACTTATTTGTTAAACAAGAAGCAAGGCTCCAATTTTCTCTTCTCCACACTTTTGGCAAAGAACGACAAAAGGAAACAAGACGCACACTTGCCTTGAAAAAACAAATGGAGCATCAAGCACCCAGCTACAATGATGCTGACAATGAGCATCACCATCTCTCCCTGCATTACGTTAGGCTCCTAAAAGTGCGTGCCAGCGAAGTGCATTTTCTTAAGCGCACAACAAAAGCATTATTCCTAGAACTTTGTACTATCATAAAGACTACAAGACTGGCAGTGTTTCGGCTTTTCAACACAATGGCTTGGATTTCTATTTTGAATTCCTCTTCTCAGTCTGCATCAGAAAAGACACTTTTTAGCTATTTGCCCATTGCAATTTGAACTGGACTGCTCACAAACATCACAGCTTTTAAAACTGCAAACATCTACTCTGGGAAGAAAAGAAGGATACTAACTGATTTTTCTGTATTCTGCTTGTTTATAATATATACCTATAGAAGAACTATTTTATCCAACACAAAACCCTTGAATCCAATGATTTCTGCTTTTTATGAGCTGTGCATTGGTGTAACAAAAACTCAATCACATTGTTTTACAAAATAAGCCTGTCTTGAATTACATTCATACTATGTTATCTGATCCAAAAATACCAAACTGCACACTGATTGCCTATTGTGCTTCAATAACCATTTCGCTGTATTGTTTAGCTGTGCCACAATGATTTTCACAATAAAAACTACACAAAAACCCCACAAAAGAATAAAATGCTAAAACGTTGTAAAGATTTAACAAAAGAGGGCAATTCTACCAAGGTTACAACCTTTAATTATATAATTTCAAACAAATTCAAGTAGCAATTACACCCTCCCTGTACAGCTCCACTCAGATTTTAGAATTAAACAATACAAGCTGGAACCAATGTGATTTGTAGCACAAAACTAAAAATCTTTAAAATACGTTCACTTGGTTGACCCATTCCCATTAAAATATCAGAACACATACACATTCTAAACTTTACCTAGGATTTCAAGAATTATCATTTTTAAGATTTTCCTCTGAAATGTGTGAAAAGCATTTAAAACAACCATTCACACTTAAAGGTGCATGAGGATTTTGAAAGAAAGATGAAAGTCCAAGTCACATCTGATGCCTGCCTATTCACCATAATATACTCTCCCTTCTGAATTAAAAATAGAATAAAAAAGGAAATACCCACAGATCACAATTCACAAAGCACATTGTTCTCTTTCTCACCAACCAAACAAAAGCGCAAGGGAGCCAAGCAGAAGCAGTACTACACTTCAGGGGGTATCAGAAAGAAGGTGCACAAGGATAAAAGGAGCTGCAACAGCAAATGATCATTGGAGTGTGCAGAAGAGGGATCTGCTCCCCCCCCCCCCCAGTGAAGTAGGAGACAGCTCACCAAGAGGATATTGGGAAGGTGCTGCCATGCACACACGGAACAAAGTGATGGTAAAGAGTGTCTGTAAAATTCATGGTAGGGAGAAGAGCTCACGAGATACCTGCAAAGGCTACAGCACAGTCATGGGCCCCAGATTCAGTCTCTATCCAGTTAAAAGGATCTCAGCTACAGGGGGAAAACCTCTGCCCAACACACTGAAGAGCCTGTCCTGGGCTAGATATAATGCTTCAAATCTAGGTCAAGGGGCAGTTGGGAGGGGAAGAGGTCATATTGGGTTCAAAGAGGAAAGAAAAGTTTGGAGAAAGAAGTCCTCCTCTGCCTCCTGCCAGATTCAGCCAAACAGGATGTGGAATGGTGAGAATATCGATCTATCTCACACAACAGGGAGCACGCACAGCCAGTGGGTGTGGGAAGCATCACTTGGGGAAATATACAGTGAGGACAAGAAGAAAGTTGACAGGAAGAAGATGCCTGCATGGAGGCCAACCAAGGAATCCATCCCAACGCATTTGCCAAATGGATTTATGGCTAAAGGAGCAAGGGAGAGAAGGGAGACAGGTGGAAGGAAATACATAAGACCAAGGGAGAGGTTTAAGAAGATCTAACAGTGAAAAATTGGGAGGGGGGCTAGACATGGGTAAAGAAAACCTTAAAATAATTACAATGGAGGAAAATAGGAAGAAATTAGGAAGGGGAAAGACCCAGGTATCTGTAAAAGAAAAGGCACCCAAATTGCACTAAGATATGATACAGAGGAACAGGGATAGCTCAGTCCATAGAGAAGGAGACTCTTAAACACAGGGTTGTGGGTTGGAGAACCCCACATTGGCCAAAAGATTCCTGCATTGCAGGGGGTTGGACTAGATGACCCTCACGATCTACTTTGCCATTCTATGAAGTTAATCAAGGAGTTGAGGGTGGGGTTGCTGAGCAAAAACCATCCAAGGGTAAGGGATGGGACAAAAACCCAAGGGACTGGGGGGGGAGAGAGAGAGAGAAGGACAAAGAAATATATGCATAAGAAACTGAAGTCAGAAAAAGAACTGAAAAAAGAAAAAGGAGGTGCCTGGGGGACTTCTAGCCGACCACAAGGGGAAGACCACAACAAAGGGGAGGGGGTCCAAGAAGTAAGCCTGCAAGGCTGCCTTGGAGGGAGTCTCACTGACCAACTCTAGGGGATCTATAGAAAGAAGACAACCAATAAGGGGCACAGCACCAAGAGGCGAAGGGGGAAAGCCAAGGGAAAAGGAGATGGGAGAAAAGCCCTGAGGATGTGGGGACGCTGCTGCGGAGTGTGCTCAACTTATGTGCAAGAGGGGAGAAGCCTCCCAAGAGGATGGAGCTGGGAGGAGCCCCCAAGCTGCCTTGGGGGGAATAGATGGGGTGGGAGGAAGGCGGCTCAGGAGGGAAAGCCCTAAGGGGTCTGTACTAGGAACTGGGTAGGGGGGAGCCTGGGGGTTCAACAATGAGCGGGCGGAGGGGCGAAAAGGAGAAAGCCCTGAAGGGTATCTGGTGGAAACTGAGGGAGGGGAGAGACAGAAGACATGTTGGAGGGGGGGTTGGGGGGGTAAGACATATTGGGGGGGAGAAAAGATGAGTAGGCCACATGCGTGGGTGTGGGTGTTTTCACAATGGGACTCCCACCCACCTACTCGGAGGCAAGGAGAAATGTTGGCCTGTCTGGGAAGGGAAGGGGGGGAGGGCGCCGACACCCCCTCGCCGCCCCTCTTCCTTTATCCCCTTTCTCCTTCCCTCACCCCACACGCCCCCCCTTAAAAAAAATAAATCTCGAGACAAAAACAAAGCCTCCTCCTCCTCCTCCCTGCGGCTCAGCCTCGCTCACCATTTGCGCACTTTCTCGATGGCCGCCATCACCCGCTTGATATCATCCTTGGCGCGGCTGCGGGTCTCGGCCCGCACCGACCGGCCCGACATGCTGCCGCCGCCGCCGCCGCCGCGAGGGAGAGCCCGGACTCCGGCTGGCTGGCTGGCTGGCTGGCGCGCTCCCTCCCGCGCTCGCTCGCTCCCTCTCGCACTGCTGGGCCCGCACCGGCAGAGGCTGGGAGCGGGAGGAGGAGGCGGAGGCAGCTCCGTCCTCGCTCGGCTCGCTCCGCGGCAGCGCCCCCGCACGCACGCACGCACGACGGAGGAGCCTTCGCTGGCTCCGCCCCGGAGGGAGGGAGAGAGGGAGGAGGAGGTGAGCCGAGCGGGGCACTGCGCAGGCGCCAGCCCGGCGGACGCGCGCCCTTAGCTCCACCCCCGAGGCGAGGGGGGCGGGAACGCGGCTGGGGCGGAGGGAGGGGCGTTCCCGCGCTTTTGTCCTCTGAGGGAAGCGGCGCTGCGCCGCAGTTTGGCATGAGGCGAGCGCTCTTGGCCGGACGCGGCGATGCCTGCGCTTTCCTCCGAAACACTGGGGCAGGCATAAGCAAACTCGGCCCGCCAGATGTTTTGGGACTATAACTCCCATCATCCCTGAATACTGGTCCTGTTAGCTAGGGATGATGGGAGTTGTAGTCCCTAAACATCTGGAGGGCCGAGTTTGCCTATGCCTGCGCTTGGGGGTTTCCTCCCGCCCCCCCACCCCTTTTGTGTCCCACCTGGCTTCTTCCAGCTGGATGAGTTTACCTCAGAATTTATTTATTTCCTTCATAAAATTTATACGCAGCTTGATTGTAAAACACAAACACAGACAGTCTTGAAGCGGGTTTAGGACAAGGGGTTGCTTCATGTGGTGCCTGTTTCGCTTTTAAATGCACTTTGCATTGTCCCTGTATCCTACTGAATTTTTTGTTTTTCACTCACAGTTTCTTGTTATATACATCATCGCCTTAAGATTGTTGAACGGAAGGTAGCTGATGAATGAACTAAAATAATGCCTAGATCTGGGAGATTTGTGCTGTATAGAAACTGCTTGTCAAGTCAGTTTAATAAGTATGCAGATTAACTGTGTCCTTTGAGGCAGTGGTGTAGCATGGTTTGCCAGGGCCAGGCAAGTATTTTGCACCCGCTAACCTAGGCTCATTCATGGTTCCTTGTCATCCTGGGGAAAGGTGGGATGCTGCAGGGTTCTGTCCTGGCCCCGTTGTTGTTCTACATCTTTATAAATGACTTGGATGAAGGAAATGAAGGTGTGCTAATCAATTTTGCAGATGATGCCAAGCTTGGGGTGCATAGCTAATGCCTTAGACAGAATCAGAATTCAAAATGACCCAGATTGGAGGACAAAATGAATTTCATGAGGGACAAATGTAGGGTTCTGCACTTAGGCAGGAAGAACCAGATGCACAAATATAGGGCAAAGGACACCTGGCTTACTAGCAGTGCACGTGAAAGGGACCGAGGGGTCTTGGTGGACCACAATCTTAACATGAGTCAAGAGCGTGATACAGCTAGGTGTTCCCTTACCACCTCTGTTCCTATCATGGACTGCAGATCCCTCCTTGCCATCATTTATTCTGTTATCACCAGAAAAAATCCTTCACCTTCCATGACCCTGGCTCTGATAATTTTTATTTCAAAAGAAAATACAATTTCTAAAGGGATGCAAAAAAATAATTTTTTAATGCAGCAATGTGTTTTCTTTTTAAGGCTTAAGAACAATCAGAGGCCATTAAGATTTAATGATCAGAGTGCTGCTCCCAGATTCAGGTTCATTTGTGGTCTTCGTTGTTTCCGTCTCTGTCAGTCTCGGCTCAGGAATTGGTAAGTCAAGAATGTCTGTTATGAAGTGCTTCGCTGTGATTTCCTCTGGAATTTCTTCCTCAATAAAGGCATCTGCACCTGAAAGGCGAGGGGCATTGAAATGGATGTTAGGATTCAGGACAACGGAGATAATGATGTTGCATCTGCACTGGGCTTTCCCCTCAACAGCTTACACTAGGCTGCATACACATCATTCTAGGTTATTAGTTGTCATTTTGCTGATGTTTTCACAGTAAGTGAACCCCAGGAAGGTACAAAGTGGGGGGTGGAGGGGGGTGACAAGATGGCCCCTGCCTCCCCCCAGCTGTAGAGTGGTCGTACGGACTGTGCATGTGCGATGGCCGTACGGGATGCAGCACATGCACAGTCCGTACAGGATACCGCACGAGCGGCAGCCTGTACAGAGTGCGCATGTGCAGCACCCCATACGGGCTGCCGCACATGCGCACTCCATACTGTTGCCATGCAAGTGGCAGCCCATATGGACACCGTGCAAGCAGCAGCCCATATGGACTGTGCATGTGCAGCAGCCTATACAACCTAAACAGCATGTGCGGCAGCCCATACAGCATGAGCGGCAACCCGTAAGGAGGGGGGGCACTAGGGGGCGCATTGGAAGATGGCCGACAATACCATCTCTCCGACCCACACGGGGTAATTAAGAGGCTGTTATGGGAGTAGGCAGCCTCCCTTGTTGCCCCAAGGAAATGAGGAACACTGCCCTTGCCTGCTGTGCCCATAAATCACCCCCTAATTCGAAAGAAGGGGGTGAGGGCCCTAGGCAGAATGCCCCCATGTGGACCTCGGCTCTCCTGGACGCTGTCTCTGATCGCACACTAGCTGCAGCAATTTGGAATAATTAATCACAAAAGAAGCAAATGCACATATTTCAAGTGAAGAAGGGGAGTGAAGTCTGCTAATTTAAGTGACCTCTGCGAAAGAAGACGACGGGTTGGAGAAACAGGAATATTTTACGATGAAGATACACCAAAGGCTGGGTATGTTGACAACGGGACTGAATGGGGGGGGGGACCTTTTTTACTTTCCTTCTATGTGATTTACAAGAACCCCTCCTCATTAGTATCGTCGGTTGAACTGACCCAAGCAGGATGATTAAGGTCTGTGTGGAGATAAACTTTAACCAAAAGTATGCTTTATGGAGATCGAGAAGCAATAAGAGCTTTTGGAATGGCGCAGCAATTAATTCGGAGTCGCCATCTTGCCAAAGGATTTATAGCCGGGAGGAAGAACGGACTTGATTTCAGACTGCATTCCTGGTGAATCTCCTCAGAGGTTTTGAGAAAGGAGGCAGATTGGTGAAGATTAATGACGCTAAGACTGTTTTGATGTATGGAAGTGATGTTATATGGAAAACGTCTGGATATGGCTACTGGATAAAAAAAATAATATCCACGCAGGATTACAAAATGTTCTAACCAGCTTGCGGAGACTATCAGAGGTCACAAAGAGAAAGGAAAAATATATGAAATTAACAACAAGAGATGTGGAAAAACAATAAGAAAGGACTGGATAGTACTGTGAACATCATAAGGTTAGATTTGTGGACATTAAAACAGCAGTAAGAAGCAAGAAGTTGATTGGATCCCCTTCGGAACTTGAAATATGGGTACCCCCAACAAAAAATTAAAATTCGGCTGTGTAATTTGGAATTTATGTAATTTGGTTTGATTTGATGTGATTGGTCGGTTAATAAAAAAATTATTCTTAGGGCAACCCGTAAGGAGTGTGGCATCCCGTACAAACTGCACATGTGCGGCATTCTGTACGGAGTGCACACGTGCGGGGTGCCACACATGCGCACTCCGTACAGGCTGCCCTGCCCCAGGAGCCAGAGAGGGTTCCTCCACCACTGCTGTAGCCAAGTACCTGTAGCGTCGTAGGTGCCAACCTCCGAGCGGCCCCCCTCAGGATTTGCGCCCAGCAAAGTGGTGAGGCACTCTGCTAGCTCCTCTTCTGTGAAATGCTCTCCTGGGTCAAATAAGGTAAAAACACAACCTGTTAGCTTTGTGACAAATCCGTTTTGGGGCCAATGCTGCCCTCCTCTGGGTTGAGGCCCACCTCTCTGTTGTAGCAGCAGCAGCAGTTCATCCCTACTAATGGCCACCTCGCTGTTCTCATTCTCATAGCCCAGCACTTGGAAGGCATTTTCTATTTCTTTTAGTGAGAGCCCAAAGGCAGGCCGGTGATTCACATACAGCTTGATAAAGTCGCCTAAATTGATGTCGGTAACTTGCATGCCCGTCTCCAGATATTCACTGAATTTGACTTCATTTAGCATGTCTTCAATCTAAAGGAATAAAAATGTGCCTTTGTAAACGGAGATACTGACGCCACTGGAATGCTTTGACATTCTGCGCCAAGGCAACAATAAAAGACATTTCATGGCCACTGAAAAAGGAACACTTTGCCGCCTAGAGAGGTCACATTTCCCAGCCCTCCAACCCATGCTCAGAAGGATTGGGAATAAATGGTTTGCATGATGTTCCCTCTGAGTCTTAACCATTTGGCTGCCGCTGTTTGCAATGATGTCCAAATATATATTTGTTCCGTTTCTATGCCATCTGTGTACCAAAGTCTGCTGGGTGGTTTACAAAATCAGTAAAATATACAAATACAATACAGTTCAGTTTAAGCAAATTGGTTTGCTGTTACATCTGAATTGACAGACCATTGTTTCTAATGTTGCTCCACGCTTGTGGGCCACTGTTTGGAGCAGCATCTGAGAATTGTCCAGAAAAGCAGAAAAACCATACAAAGCATTGTTTGCACAAACGGCCTTTTTCAGACATAAAACTAAACCATGGTTTAATATTACGGTATAGGAACAAGCAAATGCTGTGTGGAACCTCTGTTTTAATTCTGCTTCCAGATAATTGTGGGGAAACCATACTTCAGCAGTGTTAAAGAGCTCAAGGGGATGCAAGCTTGGAAGTCATGTACATGCATTAACAGGCATGAACCCTAGAGAATGATGCACCTTCCATAACTAGAGATTTAACTTTTAGAAACTTGGGTATTGGGGTAGAAGCTGAAGAATTGCTTCTCTCTAGTAACCCGCTATATGCCCACTCAACTGCTTCAATCTGCAGAACTGGCACTGTTACAGATGTTCTGAATTTATAAGGAATCCAAATTCTAGTGTGGCAGCACCTACATTTTGGGACCCCCTGCATATTGACATCAGGCAGGCACTGTCACTAGACTCTTTTCAGTACCTGCTAAAAACCTTTTTGTTTAGAGAAGCTTCCCCAGATATGTGGAAAGTTGGTGTGCATTTCTTTAAAAAAAAAACAATTTGATGTTTTTCACAACCATGTGGCATATATGTTTTAAGAAACCAAATAAATAAATAAATGCACACACCCCTCAATAAAAACCTCCTGAAAAGGAAAAACAGAGGTGGTGATTTACCAGCCACAGATACCAGATAATCAGATCTGGTCCTGATAACACAGATTCTGTTAGGAGTGAAAATAGATTTATGAATGAGAAGGAAGAAGAGAAGTGACGCCACTTGCAAGGCTATTATAATAATTACTGCTCCCGCCATAAAATTAGAAATATCAGTTTCTCTTCACGACCCTCATCATCCCCAAGAAGCATTTCCCCAAGGATATGGCATGCACAGGGAGAAAGGAGTCGCAAAGGATTAGTGAGGTGGGGAGAAGAGCTGGTTCTCTTTTCACACCCTCTGGCTGTTTCATAAAAGTGGGGCAGCTCCAGCGCTGTTCTTATTGTGCCTGCACATTTCTGCTCAGCGGAGGGAAGTAGGCCATGAACCCTCCCCGCTACGCTACAATGCGCAGGGAACTGGGCTACATGTTTGGTCACCCTTGAAGAGCTTTTCCTGTCCTTCTGCCACCCACAGGCACCTTCTCTTCAAAGCACACACAGAGCCTGCAAAAGGAAGATGCTGCTTGGGCTGAACTGTCTCCACAGCCCTGTGCAATCCTGAAACACAAGGAAACTTTTGGCTCAGTGGGGCTTCCACAACGTGCACCTTGTTTTGCTACTATTCCTGCTCTGTCCCTGTCTTTCCCACCCTCAGGACTACCCGCCAGCAATGCCCTTTGGTGGTTTCCGCCATCCCTAAGTGACAGAAGAGATACAGCTGCAATCATTGACGCACACTTTCATTGCTTCTGAGCAACTGCCTATAGGATTGCTCTGAAAAAATAGGCATGCACAAGAAAACCTACAAAGGGAGCTTCTGGGTCTCCCTGGAAACCCCTTCTCTTCAATGCAGTGCCATCTGGCTCAGTACATAAGCTGCTGCTTTATGCAGAATCAGACCGTTGGTCCATCTAGCTCAGTACTGTATACACTGACTGGCAGTGGCTCTCCAGGTTTGTCTCTTTCAGCCCTACCTTGAGATGGCAGGTATCTGTGCCAATTTCACATCAAAAATATATCCAACCACTCAGTACTCTTTTTTTAAGGAAAAAAGTTGTCAGTACTCAGCATGAAGTGTTGCAGTAAGTGCCACACTTTTAGCACTGGGGGGTGGGGAAGGTACCAGTACTGCGCACCCTTGAGTACCCCCAGAAAAAAAGCACTGCAATCACCACTGCTTGCAGTACCTGAACAGTACCTTTGGTGGCATATACCATATTTTTCACTCTATAAGATGCACATTTTCCCCTCCAAAAATTAAGGGGAAATGTGTGTGAGTCCTATGGAGCGAATGCAGGCTCCTTGGCTTCAGCGATAGCAACGCAAAGCCTCCGCAGCGCAGTGGGAGCGCTCCCGCCATGCTCCAGAGGCTTCAGGTTGCCTTCACTGAAGCCTGGTCGATGCGCACTGACCCCTCTCGCTCTCCAGGCTTCAAAGATAGCCGCCTGAAGCCTCCAGAGCGCAGCGGGAACTCCTACTGTGCTCCAGAGGCTTCGGGTTGCCTTCACTGAAGGCGAAGGCAATGTGGGAGAGGGAGAGCTGTGCAGCGCCCCTTCAGCGAAGTGGGAGGAAAAATGGAAGGGGCTCCGTTTCTCCTGCTGCTTCGCTGAAGGGGCACTGCGCAGAGAGGGGAAGATTTTTTTTCCTTGTTCTCCCCTTCTAAAACAAGGTGTGTCCTATGGTCGGGTACGTCCTATAGAGCGAAAAATGCGGTAGCTGGAATGGTGGAATTTACGGCAGGAAACCAGCACAGGGCCCTTATATGAATCATTTCCCCAGTCTTCAGCTCTCAACGTTTCTGACTACTGTCAGTATATGTATGTATACGTTGAGAAATTTAGTGCAAATTTCTGATCGTATACATATTTTAATAGGATATTTTTCATGCTTTACAATTTTTTGCAAGCCATTTCCCCATATATAATACACCCCCCCAAAATAGGGGTGCCAAAACTTAGGCCCCACACGGTGGGTGCCCAGCACGCCCCGCAACGTCAGGACACAGTGACACCGAGTTGCGCCCAACATGGGGGGGGGGGGCATTGTGTGGGGAGAGAACCAAAATGGACGGATTCTTCCATTCTGTTCCTACGTACAGGTTTGTGCAACTCTCCCCCGTAGTAATACTGACCTGTTCCTCAGATGGGTAGAAGCCCATGGCGCGCATGACAAAAGGGATTTGCTCCAAAGGGATGTGTGTGGACACCTTTCTGGGTTCCATGGTGTCGATACCTTGATGACGCAGCTGAGCATAATAAAAATAGTCTTCCAGCTCCTGGAGGAGGGGGAAATGTAATACACAGCCCATGAGGAGAAGGTGAGGGAGCAGAGTCTGTTCAGCCTGGAGAGCACATGGTTAAGAGAGGTAACAGGGTAGCCACCTTCAAATATTCATTTACTGCCACATACATAATGGAGCAGATTTCTTTTCTCTTGCTCCAGAGGGTAGGAATGGAACCAATCAGCTCAGATTGGGATATTCTAACATTTTGAAGGATTTCCTGGCTTCATGAGTTGTTCGACACACTGCCATAGAAGATGGCCAACTTTCTTTTTCAGAAGCTTTTAAGCGCAAGGTTTGATAGCCCCCAATTAGGGATTGTGTAGTAATGGGTTTCCTGCATCAGCAGCGGTCTGTGGGTGTCAACTAGATGATCTTTGAGATCCTTTCCAGCTTTGGGATTTTATGAAAAAGGCACACGGAGTTTTGTGGCATGGAAAACCCAAAAGGTGATGAATTAGATAGCTAGATAAATGATATCATTAATAGCCATTTCCTTTAAACTTGAACCCTGACATTCGGTTCATGTTTCATCTTTTAAAAAACATGTAGTTGGGGGGAAGGGATCAAGTATAAATGGTAAAATGCAATGACCCCATGTGCAAAGCAACCAACTGGATATGCAATAATGGCTGGATCTTGAAACAGTGCTGGCTCCAGGGTTCTGGGGTCCTTCAATGGGGCACTTGGATCTGGGGGAGGTGAAACATGGGGCTGCCTTTGAAAAGCATTTGGAAACTGGTGCAGAATGTGGCTTGCTAGTGGGACCCAGCAGCAAGGAACATATTACTCCAGCATTCACTGGAAGCACGATTTGAAATACAATAGTGCCTCCAGTATCTGAGACAGCCTCTGAATATCAGTTGCTGGAGAACATGAGAAGGAAGAGTGCCATTGTGCTTCTGCTTCGCTTTTGGGCTTCCCATAACGAGCATCTGGTTGGCTCCTTTGAGAACAGGATGTGCCTTGGGTCTTCTCCAGGAGCCAGGCTCCTCTGATATCTTTTGAACTTTAAAATGGGAAACAATATGGGGGGGGGGGTGAGGTATCTAAAGGAGCACTTTCTTTCAATGAAGCTTCCCACTGATTAGGAACTTCGTCAGGGACGTGGGTGGCGCTGTGGGTTAAACCACAGACCCTAGGACTTGCCGATCAGAAGGCGACGGGGTGAGCTCCCGTTGCTCAATCCCTGCTCCTGCCAACCTAGCAGTTCAAAAGCACGTCAAAGTGCAAGTAGATAAATAGGTACTGCTCCGGCGGGAAGGTAAACGGCGTTTCCATGCGCTGCTCTGGTTTGCCAGAAGCGGCTTAGTCATGCTGGCCACATAACCCGGAAGCTGTATGCCGGCTCCCTTGGCCAATAAAGCGAGATGAGCGCCGCAACCCCAGAGTCGGCCACGACTGGACCTAATGGTCAGGGGTCCCTTTACCTTTTACAAAAGCCTTTATCTGTGTATACCTGTCTTCTGAGCTTAGGAAGGTGGCTGCCGGAGAGTTTTCTCTACAGTGGTGCACAAACTGCAGGAAGCTCTTCCCAGATAAGTTTGCTTGGTACCACTTCCGTTAGCGTTAAGGGGTCAGGCGAAGTTTATTTTCTGCTTTAATTATAGTCACAGTCCTTTTCCTTATTTTTGACTGCTGCTTTCACCTGCTGACTCACCAGGGCTGGCCCTCTCCAGCGTGAAGCAGCAGGCGCATGGATGGGGTCAGGAAGCCAAAGGAAGGGGTTGGAGCACTGGGATAAGATTCAGCCACCAGTCCAGTCAGCTTCTCTGCATGGAACGAGTTGCTTCAGGCAGCATTGCATCTTGGGCTGATGCTGGACTCTGTCACTTTTTATCTATGTGGTTCTACTGCTGCTTTTTGGTGATATGTATTTCATTTATCGACTTATTGTAAGCTGCCTTGAGGGTGTGGACGTGGAAAGGCAGAGGAGCAAAGCTATAAATAAGGAAAGCATGCAAGTCTTACCTTGAAAAACTCGCCCTCTCTGCCACCTTCCAGAAGGTTGTAGAATGGGATCAAATCTTCACCCCCCAGAAAAGAAGCTGCTTCCAGAGCACTAGGAGGAGCAACAAAGACACGTCTGGAGGAGAGGGGTGAGACAGGAGCCCCACACATCCCATTGCCCCTGCCACCTACTGCACTGAAAAACAGGTCCTTAAAATTAAAATTATCCCGTGCAATTCCAAAAAAGCCTAAAGGGTGCAATCCTATACTTGAGTTTTGCTGTATGAGGAGGAGCTTTGAGATATACCGGTACCATAAGCATGACGGACATGCCAGCAGAATACATCAAATATACAGGTGGAACCGCTGAAAACGATGGGGAGGAGCACCACCACGCTGAATCTTCTACCCCTTCAAGCCACACCCTGTTGGGGGCGGAATTCTGCACCAGCCCCAGAAATGGGCCCAATTTCCACCCCTTTTACAGTGGTACCTCGGGTTAAGAACTTAATTTGTTCTGGAGGTCCGTTCTTAACCTGAAACTGTTCTTAACCTGAGGTACCACTTTCGATAATGGGGCCTCACACTGCCGCCGTGCGATTTCTGTTCTCATCCTGAAGCAAAGTTCTTAACCTGAGGTACTATTTCTGGGTTAGTGGAGTCTGTAACCTGAAGCGTCTGTAACCTGAAGCATCTGTAACCTGAGGTACCACTGTACTTTGTTGCCAGGGATTCAAAAGCTGAGTGGGACCATGCTGTTTTCTACCACCTGGGGGAGCTTGAACCTCCATCTTCTCATTTCTGACCACATGACCAATGCAGTGATTGTTGCCTCTCCCGGCCCTCCCCTTGGCTGCTTGGCAAAAGAGTCTTGCCACCCCTAGGTGGGACTTGAACCCTTGTTCCAGGAGAGCTGGGCCATGTGGGAGCTGTGTGGGTCCTCTCGCCTTCCTGGTACTTCATTTAGGGGGGCAGCTGCACACCCCCTGGGTGTACGATGTCAGACACATGTACGTGAAATCGCATAAAGTGGAGAACATCATCCAGACCTCTGGAAATCTACAAAAATCTTCCAAACTCCACCATAATCGCTCCCTCCAAACCTCATTTCACAAACTCCAACTTTCCACATGTCTCAGAGGTTGGTGCAAGGCCACAATAGGATTATAGTTACAAAGGCTCCTGGGATTGCTAGCTCTTTTCCCACGGTTTTTGCAGTTTCCCCCCTCTTTCTGGACCGTTTTTGCCCTTTTCAGACCTTTTCGCAATTTAAATCAATTTATTTATTTATTTCCCAGCACCACACATAGAAGGAGGTTGAACGCATGTATGTGGGGAGACATCTGTACACACGTATATATGATCTATTAAAAACATACTGACAATCACAACAAAAACAGAAGCTTCTGATTGCTTGCTACAGGTAGTATTTCCAAGGAGGCTGGGGGCATAGGATAGTTTTGTGCTGATTTTGTATTTTCCAGCTGTGTGCTTCCCTCCTCCCCTTCTGGTCTGAGCACATGAAATAGCAATCCCTCACCCCCATAAGACACAAAAAAATAAATATATAAAAGAGTCCACATGTCTCACTCTAGGCATCACACACACACACACCTCACACAGAAATAATGAAAGCCCTCAATTCCCGCAGTTCAATTTAATTTAATTTAATCCTTCAGCCTCCAAGCCCATCCCTGCAGGAGCCAAGGCAAGAATCCAGTTCGCGCTGCCTTCTTTGCATCTGAGCATCTCACTGGAGACACTAATGAAAAGGTGATAACTGAACCGGGGTGGAGCCTGGGCTGCTTGAAGAGTGCTTCATATCCCCCTCACCACCTGATGAGGAGTTCTGTGCAACTAAAATCCCTGCATATCCCAGCATGATTGAATATAGCAGGGATGGAGGATGTTTTCCAGCCCAAGGGCCACATCCCCTTCTGAACAACCTCCAGTGGGCCAGATGCAGAAGTGGGTGAAGCAATAAATGTGGGTTTTACCTTAGTAGTCTGGTTCCTACACAAACACACGTCCCTCTCTACCCTCCATCCAGACAAGCGAGAGCATGACCAGAGTTCAAGGACGCATATTCTGGTCAGCCTGAACCCACTTGTCCTGGCTCTCACTCTTCGCTTCAGGAAACCCAAAAGCTTCATTCAATAAATCAGCACATGGTCTCAGCATTAGCTCAAGTTAGACAAAAAAAATCATTGCAATTACAAAGTGTAAATTGCAGCAAGGCTTACAAATTATTTTTGTATGGTTGTTTGCAAGCCTTGCTGAAGTTCTACACTTTGTAATTGCAATGGTATTTTGCCCTGCTTTATTGTAAATTTATTCTCCTTATCAATATGTTGTCGTTCCAGTCCTGCCCACGCTTAACTAACAGCCATGCTTAACCATGGTTTGGTTAGTGCCCCATCCCAGACATTTGCCAAGCTGGAAAACAAACCATGCTTTGGGGAAAGAAACCTTTGCCCACCTGCGTGAAGGTCTGCAGCTTGTTGAACAAACTATAGTTAAAACAAACCACAGCTTGGTGTCATGCATGCACAGAATGATTTCCAATATTTCCTCTTGCTTCAGCCTCAAAGAGCAGCATAAATTTTGATCCATGCGCCTGCACCCTGGATGTGGCTGTGCCTTCTGCGATCAAAACGCTTGATGCTTCTCTATATAATTAAGTTAAACTTGGACATTAAATATTGCAGACACACAGAAGATGCCAAAGGCAGCAGTAAACCACTAATTAGCTCATAAAGCTCCTTCCTCCATAAACAAACTACAAAGCTGTTCAAAACTGCCTGGACTCCAGCCAACAATTACAAAGAAGGATCATTTATATTCTAGTGCCTTCGTTTAAATCTTGCTCAGGCTGGACCTCCAACCGATTAAGTCACATAGACAAAGAGTGTGCATGTATGCACCTGCGTGGAGAAAATATTACTAGTACAGCTGTCCCACTGCAATTGTACTTTTTCTGCTTGCTCTGATGCTAGTTAGCCAGATGCCCTAAAGCAGGGTGCAGAGAGGGAACCTGTGGCCCTTCAGATGTTGCGGGACTTCAGTTCCCATGACCCCTGGCGACTGGCCATGTTGACCAACCACCTATCGGGAGCCACAAGTTCCCCACCTCTACCCTATAGCAGTGGCCCCACAGCTGACTGCCAGGAGTGTCCTGGGGAGCATTTTTACCCCACTCCCACCCCAAGTGGCAAGCATTTGAACACCCCCTACAAAAAACACACCCCAGAATGCCCGGGCATAGCACACACAACCTGCTGAAAATATCCTACAATTCCTGCAGTGCTTTCAGCTACCACCTATCCATAGCTAGGGGATGCGCAAGGGGTGGGTCGTCCTGGGCAGCACTGGGTCCAAGCTGCCGTGTCCCTCCTGAGTGCCCTCCAGCAGGAAGGTGCCTGGGAGGGATGTGGCAACTCAGACTCCCTGCAGGCCCAGCGGTGCCCCAAAAAGGGTCTTGCTATGCCGCTGGGGCCCATGTTCTCTAATAGCAACTCTCCAAAATCTCAGGCGGATAAGCAGCCTTCCTAGCCCTGCTACTCGAGATCCATTTAAGTGGCGACTGGACTGGCAAGGGAATCCGACTTCAGTTCTGGCAACGAGAGGGTTTCCCCTGCGCTGAAGGACAGCAGGTTCATGATGTGGGGGAAGGAGAGACCATACACAGCTTTGTCCTCCAGCAGGCGGGTACAGGAGTAGAGGCTCAGGAAAGAAACAGCAAGGGGGCTGCCCCCACGGCCTGAGGCAGCCACCTCACTTTGCCTAATGGTAGGGTTGTTGTTGTATTTTATTCTGTGAACTGCCCTGAGGAGATCTTAGGATGAAGGGCAGTACAGTAGTACCTCGGGATGCGGGATCTATTCCAGAGCCCCGTTCGTATCCCGGATGGAACGCAGGACGCGACGGTGTGTCTGCACGTGTCACGTTTCGCCACTTCCGTGAAAGTGCGTGATGTCATTTTGAGCGTCTGCGCATGCGGCGAAACCTGGAAGTAACGCGCTCTGTTACTTCTGGGTTGCCGTGGAGCGCAACTCGAACACGCTCAACCCGAAGCACATTCAACTCAAGGTATGACTGTATATACATTTAATAAACAAACAAGTAAGTAAATAGATAGGGCCAGCCCTGCATCCTAGACAGTTTGGGATAATGCCTTTTACCCACACTCAAGAGCACTCTCAGGTGGGGGGAGGGACAATTCAGTTTCATCTCAATTTCTCCCAGTTTCTCATTTTTCAAATATAAGTTCACTTCTCCACATTTCCACATCAGTTTGCATTAAAATAATTTTTTAAGTCCTCATCAGCATTTCTTGTGGATTTCTTCTAATAAACACACTTACACTAAGCACTTCCCTCTAACTGAAATTAATATATGTATTTTAATTAAGACATGTATTTTAATGCACACTTTACCCTTGTGTTTACATTTTTGTGCACATTACTTGGCCGTAGAACTGCACTGCAAAATTTGGAGAAGTGAAAGTTTCTAAGGATGGCTGTGTTTCGATAAGTGTGAATTAGTTAAGTCCCCCTTTAAATGTAAATCGGACTGAATTGCTTCCCTCCTCCCAGAACCCTCAGTGGTTTGCTCTGCAAGTCAACCTTGCTGGCCATCCCAGCATTGATCAGGGGAAGTGAAAGCTCTGCTGCGACTTACACTAAATTAATGTCCCACTTCATCACAGTTAAGTCGTTACCCCCCGTCGTGAAGAGGTGGCACCCGTCGTAGGAGCACTCCAAGTTGGTGACGCCTGAAGGGTGGCAAATGAAAGCTGAGGACTTGTGCGGGTTCCCATCTATGGGCAGCATCTGCAGGCCGACCTAGGGAAGAATCCAGAAAACCTGATGTGACTCTCCCCAAAGACTCACCTAGTCCGCCTCCCCATTCCACAGCCTAGAGTATACACCAGGGATGGGGAGCCTGCCACCCACCAGATGATGCCAGACTACAGCTCCCATCACCCTTGGCCACTGGCCGGGCTGGCTGAGGCTGATGGGAGTTGGAGTCCAACATGGAGAAATAGCTCAGTTGGTTGGTGCTGAGAATGCCAAGGTTGCAAGTTCAATCCCCGTATGGGACAGCCGCATATTCCTGCAATGTAGGGGATTGGACTAGGTGTTCTTCAGGGTCCTTTTCAACTCTACAATTCTAGAATTCAGTTCTATGTATGGAAGGCCAGGGATTCCCCCATCCTTGGTGTTAAGGCCAAGGAATTCTCCACTGCTGTTCCCACCATAGCAGGTAAGTTGAGCGAGAAGACCTCTTTGGGGAATTTAGAGGCCTACCAAGGGCAGCTGAAGATTGCCACATCTTTTTGGCCATCTGTCAGCAGTTCAGGAACTGAGGGGACAGTTGGAGTCGTGCAACAGGCCAACAAAAGCCAGCAGATTTGGGTATTCCCTGCCATAATGGCTTTGAAAAAGGAGCCGACTGGGTTGGGAGAACCTGGGATGTCACAACAATGTGCCTCAAAGCATATGACTTTGACAACAATATATGGACAAAAATAAGTAGTTTATGATAAAGACAAAAGATCACGGCAATGTTCCTTGTAGCACTTTTTGTGGTTGTTCTGTGCAACTGTGCCTGGGATTGTGTACAATAATGTGCTCAACACCCCACGGCTGTTCCTGACCCATCGCCAATGTCGGTTGCAAGCCTCCCTAATTTTTGAGGAGGGCAGAGGTCGAACTGGGAGCCTATCCCAGGCCTCGAAGGGACTCAGGATGGGGCTGGTCCAAAGACCTTCACCTGCCTTGTCTTTTGTAATGTAGGCCAAGTACCGTCTCTGAGGATCATGTCCCTCTGCGAGTGGAAGCACCAGAATCTTCTCCAGGGGGGAGCCATAGGCTGGTCCCACAACAGTCTTCCTAAAATAAACAAAGCAACAACAGGAGCGCTTGAGCACCTGACCTTTAACAAATTAATCCAGGGATCACACCTAAGGATAGTGAAGGATAGCAGGCATTCCACCTTCTCCCCGCCCCCACAAAAACATATATTTGCCATTGCCCCACGTATATTAAAATCCTGTATTGTGGTCATCTAATAAATCCTTGGCACCCCTTCACTCCCCACAGACTAGTTTCTCTTGAGTAACCCCTGCGCTACCCAATCTATTAAATATACATTAATATATGCATATCCGGGTATAGAATGCATTGTTTTTGGAGATAGGTCAAATTAACTCATAACTTAATAAATATAAACTACCATTCCATGTCAGAAGAAAAGGGTAGGCAAAGCCTGGTATCCAGCTTTTCATTCCTTGCACTAAAGTAAAAAAGGAACCACATGCTCTGAACTTTCCTCCCTAATGATAACAATGGGCTCCTACTTATTAATCAACTGAAATGTCAGTTGATTAATCTACAAATTAAAGCTTACAGTCCTAGTTAATGGAGGAAGGAGTTTCAGCACTGCGAAAGGAACCTGTGGACAGGGATGATGGGAGCTGGAGTACAACCACATCTGATAGACCTCAGGTTCTTCAGACTTTGTCTAGGGGATAAGGTACCAGGGTCCACAGGGAAGCTAGTCGTCAGCAAGCTGTGTGACCAGGAAGGAAAGGGTTGTGTTTCAGAAGCAGCTATGAAAGGTCAGATGGACCAGAGATAAGATATTGTAGCTCGGGGGGGGGGGAGGTCAAGCTCAAGAAGACTGCAACTGAGCAGGTGGCAGGGCTGACACTGCAGCTGAGGTGGGGCCATTGCTGCATAGAGCTCAATCGGCTTTGTGAAACAGTGCATTGGTGGGAGTGCAGGTGGCGAGATGGTGCTGGACCCTGGTTGTCTGGAGTTGCACTTGGAAAGACACACAAACACAGCACTTACAGGGAGATAGGAGTGGGATAATTGCAGGAGAGACGGAAGAAATAAACCAGAGATTTACCAGGTTACCTGCACAATCTTGTGGTTACATTATACATTTTCATTTTGTACTGATCGTTGGCAGTGAGGAAAAAATATTCTGTGGTGAGAGGTGGGTACCAGGTGATGCACCTGGGGACGGCATGTTGTTCGATGCGGTCCCTTCGGATGACAACCAGCTCATCCTTGACACTCTTCTCCAGGTCATATTCCACCTGGAAACAAGGTAACAGAGACCCAGTGATGGGGTGTGTGTGTCCAAACATCTGTGTCCATCACTTGGTTTCCCTGAAGCTGAATGTGTGAAAGTGACTCCACTGGGGGTGTGGAGGAACTGTGTTCGAACTAGGGACGTGAGAGAAATTCGATCCAGTTAACGTTTAAAGATGAATCTAGCAAATGTACATTTTCTGAAACTGCAACAGAACCCTCCTTCAAAATTTGCACTTTTCTGGATTTCATAATGCAGTTCTCCAGCCAAGTAATGTGTATAGAAATGCACGTGCCAAAGTAAAGCATGCAAAAAATGCACAGATTAGTGAAACTAACAAACCATGATGCATCCTTAGGAGGGAAATGTCATGGATTTGTTGGACAAAGAGGAATGGTGGGAGGAGCAAGCTGGGGAAGCCCCAAGGGAATCTCCAAGGGAGGATGGCTCAGTGCCTGGGGACTGGTGGTGGGACAACGATGGGTGGTCAGAGGGAGAAGAGGAAGAAGACTGGGAGGAGGAGGTGTCGAAAACTGAGGAGGTACTGTAACTGGGCTTAGTGAGCTGGGAGAGTCTGTGGCAGAGAGAAGTCCAGAATCAGAGTTAGAAGCTGAAGCGGGGGAGGAGCGAGGCCATGAGGCAGAGATGAGTTGGGCTGGTGAAGAGTCACAGTATCTTCCCCTCCTGCTGCAACAAGCTCCCCTCTCACTTTGTCTCCCAGAACCATGAAAAGGACAGATGAGAGATTGGCGACACACAGACACAGTGATGGAATCTACACACATATAAAAAACGTTCTGAAAATGCTTTTTTTAAAAAAAAAAATATTGAGTTTTCCAACACAGGAGCCAGATATATGGAGAAACGTGACTCAAAGAAGTAGGAGGCCCAAGGTTCGCTCTGATTGTTTAGAAATACACAATCGCTTTGAGGTCCTCTCCCCTAGCATGGAAGACGAAGAGCAGACTCCATTTGAGGATCTCTCCTCATTACAGTTGATCAGTTATATGAAGACGAGCAGCAAAGTCAGTCCTCAGGGAATGTGCAGGCGACCTTGGAACGGACAGCTCACGGAAGAACCCCGACCAAACCTAAGAGGAGGCGTGTAGTGGTGATGGGGATTCCCTACTGAGGGGAACAGAAGCAGTGATCTGTGGGCCTGACAAGATGTCTCGGGAAGTGTGCTGTCTCCCCGGGGCTAAGATCCAAGATGTAACTGAACGACTGCAAGGAATCATAAAACCCACTGACAAATACCCCTTCCTCTTGGTTCATGTGGGAACCAATGACACTGCGAGCAATAGCCTCCAGAAGATCAAAAGAGACTACGAGGCTCTGGGCAGGAAGTTGAAGCAATTAAATGCACAAATTGTCATCTCATCTGTCCTCCCAGTTGAACGACGTGGCCCAGGGAGAGAGGGGAAAATAGTGGAAGTGAACAGCTGGCTTCGCAAATGGTGTAAACAGGAACGGTTTGGATTCTTAGATCACGGACTGCAGTTTCTTGAAGATGGACTTCTGGCAAGCGATGGGCTGCACCTCACAACGGTTGGGAGGAATGTTTTTGCCAAAAATCTCAGAAACCTCATCAGGAGGGCTTTAAACTGACTAATGTGGGGAGGGAGACAGTGCTCCTGAAGGTAGGAGTCTATCAATTGATGAAGATGATCATCCAAATGTCATAGACCAAATGGAGCAAACAGCACACAGACCTAGTGGTGGGAGGAAAAATCCTTAAATAAGAAACACGGGGAATGATTAATGGACTTCAATGTCTGTACACTAATGCGCAAAGCATGGGAAATAAACAAGATGAGCTTGAGCTCTTGGTACAGCAAACTAAATATGACATAATAGGCATCACTGAAACCTGGTGGGATAAGTCCCACGATTGGAATGTAATAATGGGGGATACAATCTATTTCAGAGAAACAGACCAGACAAGAAAGGAGGAGGAGTGGCGTTATATGTCAGGGATGTGTATACCTGTGAAGAGATCCAAGATTTAGAACCTCAAAGCCAAAGTGAGAGCATTTGGGTCAAAATTAAGGGAGAGAAGAATAACAGTGACCTCGTTGTGGGAGTTTACTATAGATCCCCAAGCCAAACGGAGGACATGGATGATGCCTTCCTGGAACAGATGGCCAAGCATGCAAAAGGAAGGGAGATATAAGTAACTGGGGACTTCAATAACCCGGATATTTGTTGGATGTCAAACTCAGCCAAGAGCATAAGGTCAAACAGATTCCTCACTGGCCTTGCAGACAACTTCATTGTCCAGAAAGTGGGAGAAGCAACAAGAGGAACAGCCATTTTAGATCTGGTCCTAACCAATGTTGATGACCTGGTTAGTGGGGTAGAAGTGGAAGGATCATTAGGCACGAGTGATCATGCTCTTCTGAAGTTTACTATACAGCGGAAAGGAGCAGCCAAGCATACTAGGACTCAATTTCTTGACTTTAAGAAAGCCGACTTCATAAAACTTAGGGAAGTGCTGGGTGAGATCCCATGGACAATAATACTAAAAGGAAAGGGAGTTCATGATGGCTGGGAGTTTGTTAAGAGGGAGATACTAAAAGCACAACGTCGGGCAATACCAATGAGACGGAAACATGGAAGGTGCCTAAAGAAGCCAGGGTGGCTATCTAAAGAACTTTTAACTGAGTTAAGATTAAAAAAGGATGTGTACAAAAAATGGAAAAGGGGGAAACCACCAAAGAGGAATTCAAACAAATAGCCAGCACGTGTAGACACAAAGTCAGAAAAGCTAAAGCACAGAATGAACTCAGGCTTGCTAGAGAGGTTAAAAGCAACAAAAAGGCTTTTATGGGTATGTTCGTAGCAAAAGGAAGAACAAAGAAACAGTGGGGTCACTCAGAGGAGAAGATGGTGAAATGCAAACAGGGGACACAGAAAGGGCTGAACTCCTCAATGCCTTCTTTGCCTCAGTCTTCTCCGATAAAGAAAACAATGCCCGACCTGAAGAATTTGGAGCAAATGATTCAGCAAAGGAAACACAGCCCAGAATAACTAAGGAGATAGTACAAGAATACTTGGCTAGTTTAGATGTATTCAAGTCTCCAGGGCCAGATGAACTGCATCCAAGAGTATTAAAAGAACTGGCAGATGTGATCTCAGAACCACTGGCAGTCATCTTTGAGAATTCCTGGAGAACAGGCGAAGTCCCGGCAGACTGGAGGAGGGCAAATGTTGTCCCTATTTTCAAAAAGGGGAAAAGAGAGGACCCAAATAATTACCGCCCAGTCAGTCTGACATCAATACCAGGGAAGATTCTGGAGCAGATCATTAAGCAAACAGTCTGTGATCACCTAGAAAGGAATGCTGTGATCACCAATAGTCAGCATGGATTTCTGAAAAATAAGTCATGTCAGACTAACCTGATCTCGTTTTTGACAGAATTACAAGCCTGGTAGATGAAGGGAACGCAGTGGATGTAGCCTACCTTGATTTCAGCAAGGCATTTGACAAGGTGCCCCATGATATTCTTGTAAAGAAGCTGGTAAAATGCGGTCTTGACTATGCTACCACTCAGTGGATTTGTAACTGGCTGACTGACCGAACCCAAAGGGTGCTCATCAATGGTTCCTCTTCATCCTGGAGAAGAGTGACTAGTGGGGTGCCACAGGGTTCTGTCTTGGGCCCGGTCTTATTCAACATCTTTATCAACGACTTGGATGATGGACTCAAGGGCATCCTGATCAAATTTGCAGATGACACCAAACTGGGAGGGGTGGCTAACACCCCAGAGGACAGGATCACACTTCAAAACGACCTTGACAGATTAGAGAACTGGGCCAAAACAAACAAGATGAATTTTAACAGGGAGAAATGTAAAGTATTGCACTTGGGCAAAAAAATGAGAGGCACAAATACAAGATGGGGGACACCTGGCTTGAGAGCAGTACATGTGAAAAGGATCTAGGAGTCTTGGTTGACCACAAACTTGACATGAGCCAACAGTGTGACATGGCAGCTAAAAAGCCAATGCAATTCTGGGCTGCATCAATAGGAGTATAGCATCTAGATCAAGGGAAGTAATAGTGCCACTGTATTCTGCTCTGGTCAGACCTCACCTGGAGTACTGTGTCCAGTTCTGGGCACCACAGTTCAAGAAGGACACTGACAAACTGGAACGTGTCCAGAGGAGGGCAACCAAAATGGTCAAAGGCCTGGAAACGATGCCTTATGAGGAACGGCTAAGGGAGCTGGGCATGTTTAGCCTGGAGAAGAGGAGGTTAAGGGGAGATATGATAGCCATGTTCAAATATATAAAAGGATGTCACATAGAGGAGGGAGAAAGGTTGTTTTCTGCTGCTCCAGAGAAGCGGACACGGAGCAATGGATCCAAACTACAAGAAAGAAGATTCCACCTAAACCTTAGGAAGAACTTCCTGACAGTAAGAGCTGTTCGACAGTGGAATTTGCTGCCAAGGAGTGTGGTGGAGTCTCCTTCTTTGGAGGTCTTTAAGCAGAGGCTTGACAACCATATGTCAGGAGTGCTCTGATGGTGTTTCCTGCTTGGCAGGGGGTTGGACTCGATGGCCCTTGTGGTCTCTTCCAACTCTATGATTCTATGATTCTATGATTCTATGATTCTATAAGGCTCACCATCGCCATCTGATGTCACATGGTATATTGCACTTAAAACGAACATAAAAGGTTTTATTTGCAGCTGTATAGCTGAGTCCAATCTCTGATTGCTTGGGGAAAAACCTATGAGAGGAAGGGACTAAGGTAGCTCCAGGGAGGCAGGGACCTTCAGTCTCAGCAATTGCTTCATGGGGGCAAGAGCTACCGGAGATACGTTGCTGTGCTCATTAGGCCTGACAGTCCTACGCAGATCCTGTTTCTGCTAATAAAGAGTTAACGCCCAACTTGCATGGTGTGGCTTACTGCTGGCTTGCTCCTGACAGGAAATGATGCTTTGCAGAAAGGTATGTATTACGAAAAATGCATACAGTGATACCTCGGGTAAGTACTTAATTTGTTCCAGAGGTCCGTTTTTAACCTGAAACTGTTCTTAACCTGAAGCACCAATTTAGCTAATGGGGCCTCTTGCTGCTGCCGCGCCGCCGGAGCACGATTTCTGTTCTCATCCTGAAGCAAAGTTCTTAACCCGAGGTACTATTTCTGGGTTAGCGGAGTCTGTAACCTGAAGCGTATGTAACCTGAAGCATATGTAACCCGAGGTACCACTGTACTAAAATGCGTGCATTAGGAGAAATGCTGATGCATTCAACCGAATGTGTGGTGGAATGAGCTTGGTATTCTACCCTTGCTGAACCTCCACAGGGCTGAAGTTGAAGAGTGGAGGCCAGTCATGGCCGTTGGGCAACCTGACTTGCACCGCTGGCTTGACCTCCCAAGTCCCTGGTTCCCAGCCTCCAATGGCTCCGCTCTGAAACCTTTCCAGGCTGACACATCTCTATGCAACTATGCAGCCTGACCAGAAACTGTGTCCTGCTCACAGCACCTACCAAGAGTCGATCTTCGCCAAGAGTTAAGAGCCAAGGCTCATCGCTGTCCAAGTGAACCCCAAAGAGAATGGTGCGAATGGGCTTGTAATGGGAGTGCAAGGCTGCCAGGCGGTCCCAGACTTTCTTCCCCTCAACCATGGTTTGTTTGTAAAGGTTCAATGAAATGTTTTCATCCTGAAAGACAATTAAAGAAAAACCCCACTTTGTATCAATGAATCGTTTCCTTTCGTTTTTCCTTTGCCACAGCAGCACAGCTGTTTAGAGCAAGGGTCAGCAAACTTTTTCAGCAGGGGGCCAGTCCACTGTCCCTCAGACCTTGTAGGGGGCCAGGCTATATTTTAGACAAAAAAAAGGAAGAAATTTCTATGCCCCACAAATAACCCAGAGATGCATTTTAAATAAAAGTACACATTCTACTCATGTAAAAACACACTGATTCCCGGACTGCCCACGGGCTGGATTTAGAAGGCGATTGGGCCGGATCCGGCCCCCAGGCCTTAGTTTGCCTACCCATGGTTTAGAGCGTTGGATTTTGATAGCTGCCCTATACTGAGTCACATCACTGCTCCGTGTACAGTGGTGCCTCGCAAGACGAAATTAATTCGTTCCGCGAGTTTTTCCGTCTAGCGAATTTTTCGTCTTGCGAAGCACGGTGTCGGAAAAGTTTTGGAAAAGCTTCAAAAATCACCAAAAACCTCAAAAAAGGCTACCAACCGCGTTCTATGAGTTGCTCCTCGAAGTCAAGTCGCAACTGTATTAACGGTGTTAAGAAAAAGGAAACAAACTTGCAAAAAACGCAAGACATTTTCGTCTTGCGAAGCAGCTCAAAAACCGCAAAACCCTTTCGTCTAGCGAGTTTTTCGTCTTGCGAGGCATTCGTCTTGCGGGGCACCACTGTAGCTCAGTACTGCCTACATGGACTGGCAGCGGCACTTCAGACAGGGGTCCCTCCCAGCCCTTTCTTTTTTTTTTTTTTAAATAATTTTTTATTAAGGTTTTAAACAAAGAAAAAAGGAAAACAACACACACAAAAAAAAAACAATACAAGATTTAACAATAAAAACACAAAACATAACAATTAAAAACAAACTCTCTTTTCCATTCCCAATTTTAAATTACTTATTTTCTGGACTTCCTCATACCTCCCTCTTTTGTATTCCAATCTGCATTATTTGTCCAGCAGTTTCTTTTCCACTTTTTTAAACCCAATCTTTAATTTAATAAAATATTAAAATATATAACTTCAACTTTTTTAAACATAATCCTTGTTCTTAATGTCATATACCTTTAAATTTTTCCCTTTTATTATCAAATTTCCATTTCTTTAAACATCTTTAATCTTGATCTTTAATCTTAATCTATCCTTAACTTTAACCTGTACAGCTGGAAACCACTTATTTTCAATCCAACATCACTCTAACATTCCTTAATTTTGCAGTGTTTCTGAAGATAGTCTTTGAATTTCTTCCAGTCTTCCTCCATCGACTCTTCTCCCTGGTCACGGATTCTGCCAGTCATTTCCGCCAATTCCATATAGTCCATAAGTTTCATCTGCCATTCCTCCAGCGTGGGAAGTTCTTGTGTCTTCCAATACTTTGCGATGAGTATTCTTGCTGCTGTTGTTGCATACATAAAGAAAGTTCTATCCTTTTTAACACCATTTGGCCCACTATGCCCAGGAGAAAGGCCTCTGGTTTCTTGGGAAGGTATACTTAAATACCTTTTTTAATTCATTATATATCATTTCCCAGAAAGACGTTATCTTTGGGCACGTCCACCAAAGGTGAAAAAATGTACCTTCAGTTTCTTTACATTTCCAACATTTGTTATCGGGCAAGTGATAAATTTTCGCAGCTTGACTGGGGTTATGTACCACCTGTATATCATTTTCATAATATTCTCTCTTAAGGCATTACATGCCGTAAATTTCATACCAGTGGACCATAACTGTTCCCAGTCAGCAAACATAATGTTATGTCCTACGTCCTGTGCCCATTTAATCATAGCCGATTTTACCGTTTCATCTTGAGTATTCCATTTCAGCAGCAAGTTATACATTCTTGACAGATTCCTAGTACTGGGTTCTAACAATTCTGTTTCTAATTTTGATTTTTCCACCTGGAAGCCAATTTTCCTGTCTAATTTAAATGCCTCCATTATTTGATAATAATGAAGCCAGTCTCGCACTTTGTTTTTTAGTTTTTCAAAACTCTGCAATTTCAGTCTATCTCCGTCTTGTTCCAAAATTTCCCAATATTTCGGCCATCCCTCCCAGCCCTTTCTGGAGATGCCATCGGGTTTGAACCCAGGACCTGTGGCAACGGCAGGCAAGGCTGGTGCTCTGCCCCTGGGCTTCCAGCATGGAGAGATATGGCTTCACATCCCTTCTTGGCCGTGAAAGCTCATTGCGGTCACTGGCCTGTTGCAAGGTTGTTAGGGATATAAAATGGGGGCAAGGGGGCAGGGTGAGAGAACCACGGACGCTGCTCTGAACTTCTCGGGGAAAGGGCCGAATTGTATTTGCAGTAAAACATTGATTCCATTTTCCCTCAGACTGCTTCTGTGTTGTGGGGAGATACAATAAATGCTTCTGTAGGAGTAAAGCGCTATGTGACTCACACATAAGGGGAAGGAATACTCACAGCAGTCGCAAGATACTGGGAGTCAGGAGAGAAGCTCATGACGGTGATGGGAGTGCTGGAATATCGGAAAGGCTCTGGACAGTCGTTTTCCAAAGATATAGAATCCAAAATGTAAACACTTCCATCAATGAATCCGGCTGCCAATAATGAACCTAAAAAGTGCATGGGAGAAATAGTTGTTCCGCAAACTTCTCATCCCAGCAAGATTGGATGATCTAAGGCAGCCGACCCCAGCCAGGCTTACTCCAGATGTTTTGGACAACCACTGTCATCAGCTCTGTGCTGGTGAAGATGACGGGAGCTGCAGCACAAAACCTCTGGAGGGAACCAAGTCAGCGATGGCTGGTATAAGGCAACATCTTTTTCTACTGGTGAGAGGGTGGTTCCTCACAATTAGGTGGGAAAGAATTAAAATGTTGGTTTCTCGTGGCAACTAATATAATGCTATATTGGCATGGACAAGATCTTTCCGTAGGGCTATCTTAAACATTATTGCTGTCCAGCAATTTTAATTAAAAACTGCCTACTTGTAATTTCTGACTCTTATTTGCATTCTGTTCAAGAGATAGAGCCATCACCAACGAACCTACGCTTCATCCCTCCACAGGGAACAGATAACTCAAAGGGCAATTCTTCAGCTATGTTGAACAGGAAGCCTATAGAGGGAGACTCCACAAGGAAGAAGCTTCTGATTAAAGGCACAGTAGCCCTCCAAAAGCTCAGTAGTTTGGCCCTGCAAGTACACTTATTTATTTATTTATTTATTTATTAGTCAAATCCTGCAAATCAGGTTTGAAAAATTATGGGAGGGCAACACAAAGAATGCTAGAAAGCAGCTAGCTGGAAATAATGCTTTTTAAAAAATGTGAATTAAAAGGATTACAATTCCAAAAAAAAAACCCTGCTGGTGCGGAAGCAATTAGAACAAACAAAAACCACTGTTAATGACCAGCAATGGGGCCTCTTCCCTGGATTCTTCCTTAGAAAGAGTTAATCTGATTCTGAGGATCCATAATTACAGAACTAGCATTGCTTAAGCTGTATGCATGCAAAGAATTATTGCAAAGGCATCAATAGACTCAAACTCTCCCTTCCCTTCAAAAGAAATGAACCCTGTACCCCCAACCTGCCAAAAATCTCCCCCGTCCCCAGACTTCTTTTTGCAGGGGCGAAACTAGGCTTTCTTTCACGCAGGTTAAAGACCCAGTTTGGCACACCCACACCCAGGCATTTGCATGCACAAACACAAGTGTGGAGCCTCAATGGCACCCCTTTGGAGGCTTCACACGGGGCAAAAAGCCTGGCTGGTCTGCCCCCACCCCTGTAGCTACAGCTCTGCCTTTTGCAAAGGAAGGAGTATGGATCAATACCACTGGAGTCATAGCAGAGGCTCTGGATGCTTTCACCCTTAAAGATTCGGCTAATGAGGTATTTATTGATCTTGTAGTTCCACACTTTCAGGAGCCCGCAGAAACTCCCCTTGGCCATGAGAGGTTTGCTCGGGTGGCAGCTGACGGCATGGACGGCCTCCTTGGGCTCCTCTAGGCACTTGCTGACTTTTGTCCCTTCCGTCTTGACGTGGATCACCAACGCATCCGCCGTGGAAATAATAAAATTCCTGCACCGTGAAAAAGAAACAAAATTTTGATTCATACTCCAGAGCAGGCATAGGCAAACTCTGCCCTCCAGATGTTTTCGGCCTACAACTTCCATGATCCCTAGCTAGCAGGACCAGTGGTCAGGGATGATGGGAACTGTAGTCCCAAAACATCTGGAGGGCCGAGTTTGCCTATGCCTGCTCCAGAGTAACATGCTGAGACAGTGAATATTATATTTACTGAATGCCTACCATTGATCTCAGTTTTTCCATACGGTTCGTTATATAACTTACCTCTTTGTGACCGATATATACACAGAAAATGAATGCGAAGCTGCACAGACGGCCTTAAGTGGTGGCAGCTTTTGGGACAACATCACCATGAGTAGAAAATAGGCCTGCAGGGTGGGACCAAACCCGATTCTCTTCAGTTCTCACCTGACAACAAAGGGAAGCCCTGCTAAAGTGGAAGAAGTGGGGAATTTGGTGGTGTCCTCAGGACACACAGGTTTCTTGGAGAAGGATATGGATCGGATGCGTCCCAGTTTAAACTGGCTGTACCAGTGAAGAAGCTGAAGGTCTCCATCATAGAATTTCACATGGCCTTTGACATCACAGGTTACAAAATTCCTGAAAGGAAAATCAATTTGTTGTTGAGATATGGCATCACATTGGCCACAAAGAATAATAATAAAACCTAAAATAGGTAATATACTATTGCTCTGGACTTGCCTCTTAAAAGAAAAACCTAGCTACAGGGGTGGACCAAAGACATTTTGCTTCCTGGGGCAAAGGACAAGGTGAGGGGAGTGCCTCAGGGGGCAGGATCCACAGGTTAGCAGATTCTGAAGTAGATCTTTACCAACCGCCCCCCCCCCCCGTTACTGATGTAGATCTTCATTCATCCCCTCTTCCCTGGCAGGAACGGGGGCACCATTTTGTGGGTCACCCCAGGTGCCACAATGCCTTGGCAACCATTCTCTGTATCCAAGTCAGCAAGACTGCAGCTGAATGCCCAAGACAAGCAGTGGGGAGCATCTCTGCCATACCTGAGCGCAGCACACCAGCTCAGAGGGGGCAGAACAGGGTGCAAGACACACACAGCTCTGCTCCACACCTGCTGCCTGCAATCTGGACAAACATAATGTGAATGGCTTCTACTGGCAGCTAAGGGCCACAAAATAGGGAGCACAGGACATTATTATTATCAGGACCAACGTCCGTCATCAGAAAGAGCTCTACCTCAACAGAGTATTGAAAGTAGATAGGAAAAGCCATAGCTCAGTGGAAGAGCACCTGTGTTCAGATGGTCCCAGGTTCAATCCCCAGTGGTGATGTCCCCTGCCCAAAGCCCTAGAGAGCTGCTGCCAGTCTGTGTAGACGATATAGGGCTAGATGGACTACTGGCTCAGCATAAAGCAGTTTTTTATATTCTGTTATACTCATGTATATTGTTCAGACCATGTCTGTCTTTTATCCTTTGAGGGCCAGCCCCGTCATTAGGAAGAGTGAGGCAGAAGCTGAGGGTGGCGAACGCTGCCAAAGTCTGAGAAGATGTGTTGCCTGGCCAGCAGCTAATGTCACCACTTGGGAGAGAGGGAACCATCTTGCAGCCATTGTTGAGGCCAAATTCAACAGTTTTGGTAGGTGGGATGGAATGACAGCTGCCATCTCTTCCTTCACCTCAGGCAGCAAAACGTCTTTGGCCAGGCCTTGTTTTGAATGAGGCAGGTGTGCTTTGGAAATCTCATTCCAAATATTTATTTCCAAGGGAGAGGGAAATTTGCTGGCAATCAGTTAGTAGAACCACAGAGAAGGAGGAGAATTTGGCAAAACAATTCCTTGCTCTTGCACTAAACTATGTTTCTTGGGATTCTTTGGCTCTCTGAGGTTCAGTTAGCAATTCAGATCCAGGGAGCCCATGTCACAGATGTTGAAGCTCTGGCCCTTGTGACAGAGGAGGTCCCGTGATAAATCATGTGTTGCCTGCATTGCCAGGGCAGCTGCTTGGCCTGAAACCACATCTAGTGCTGCCTTGGTCTTCTCATAGAGCTGCTGCACTGTGTGCTATTTGTGAGACAGGATGGCAGGTCTCTTGTGAAGCCCTTGATACAACCAACCCTTTCATGGGATGCAATCCATCCCTTGCTTTTGCACTTTTCTCTGTTCCTGAATGCAGCAGTGCCCTCTGCTGGGTAAAACTGGGGAACTCCTCTTAACACTCACCAGGTGTCCCATAAATGACAGCCAAACTAAATACAGTACAGTAGCGCAGTAGTGGAAGGAGGGGTGAATCGGATCAGAAGAGTGGCAGGCTGCATTTGGACTGGGGTTGCTAGGTCAGCAAGCATCCAGACCCTAAGATTTCAGGGCCCAAACCTGAGACCCCCTGATGATGTCATGGGGCCCCAGTGATGTCATAGGGGGTGGACTCTGGAAAGTCTGTGCAATATGTGTAGAGATGGGGGTTAATGTGACAGGGGAAGAACAAGGGAAGGAAGGCAGACCCCGTGCCCTGAGAGTCAATCCAATAATTTGCAGCTGGCTACTGCTGGGCTGATGCCTGCAAGCTGCACACGTTGTCTTCCTATTTAATAAATTACATTACATTACATTACATTACATTACATTACATTACATTACATTACATTACATTACGGGCCCTTTCACCCCCCTGGAGATTCAAGCCCTCCTCCTGCCACCTGGAGGGGGCCAGGCAAGCCCCAAGGTTTCAGGTCAGCCCTGGAAGGTCTGGCAACCCTAACTGGGGCTACTGGTGACAGGTTCTCCCCTCCCCCCCCCCCGCCCGTAGGGGTAGGATGGGCCTGTTAAGATGGCCTTCTCCCAGAGACATATGGAATCTAAGGATTTGCTGAATACTTTTGTGGATTCTCCACTTGGCCTGGCTGGTCTTCCATGGATGCGCTCATGGTACCTGAAGATCTAGCATGGTCACTTGATGCCCAGGCGACAAGGCAGATGTGATACGTAAACCTGAGAGATAAGCTGCTCACTTGTCTGTGATGGCCAGCACTGTGATCCCATCCCGCTGCAAGTGCACCAGCTTGATGGCTTTCATGTTGTAGGGTTTGACGCACACAGCAGAAGACTTGGAGGGAGGGCAAACGGCATCCCAAACCACCAGCTTCCCTTCCATGGTCCCAGTAATGGCTTGAGTAGAGCTGAAGTGGAAAATGGTCTGGCTGAAGATCCCCACAACCTTGTTGAATGACTGGAGAAGGGAGAAAGGGAAAGATGCCCTTCGCCACCAAGCAAAACACAAAGCAGCCAGCAACAGAAGGGCTTTCAAATGCATACAAGTGGCAGAGAACAGAGATCGAAGAATGTGAGCTCTCTCTCTCTCTCTCCAGTTCTCTTTTTTTCCAATTTTAAGGTCAATTTGTACCCCATTTCTGCATCAGTTGGCGAATCTTTATTTTAAAAATTCTACAGCTGCATTTTCCTGCACAATCCTTCCAAAGGACACATTTTTGCAAGCCAACACACCACATTTTGCACATCGCTTTCAATAACATACACGTTCTTATGACCTGTGTCCCATAATATGTGAGGTTTTTGCTTGCCAAACTGCATCACCTAATTCAGACACAAGCACGTTGTTTCAGTTTGCATACTGCTTCAGGGAGTGTGAATTAAGTGGACTTGCATTAGAAGCAAATTCCTCACCTGTCCCTACCAGAGAATAAGAGAGGGCAGGGTGGGTGGGTGTGTTTTTGGTGGTTCTCACCCCCACCCCCAGCACTGCACAAATAGCAAGCACAGCTCCTCTGCCCTATCCTAAGAGAACTAAGAGAAACTAACTAAGAGAAACAAAGGAGATTGGGAACAGGTGGAAGAGAGAAAGAGAGGGAGGAAGGAAGACTTGGGCATAGGCACAGGGCACAATTTGCACAAAACATTGCATATGCTAGTTTTTATGTGAAAATACAGATTTAAGCCTCTGAGCCAACCTAATGTATTACTTGTGCATTCCTTTGTTCTCTTTATCTGGAAACAGTTCCTACCTCCAATATCCTCTAAAATTGTTTCCCCTTCCCTCTCCCCAAGGCACTTTCACGTACATTTGTGGGGAAATGCCCTGTGTGATTTATAAATGTTAATTGTATTTGTTGTGCTGACTGAAGGTTTTATTTAACTAAACTGGAATATACTTTTATTCACTGGAAAAGGAAATGGGGTGAGGGCTGTTGAAGAAGAGAACACACTTTTGCTCTCCTTCAGCAGTTATCAAACACACATGCTTAATTTTATTATATTTGCTGTACTCAATGGAGTCAACCATTACTTTAGGTTGTTCATATTTATGAGTTTGCAAGTTGAGAAGAGCTGTTTAGGGCAGCCCTGTTTAGGGAAGCTTTTAATGTTTAACAGACTATTGTATTTTAATATTTTGTTGGAAGCCGCCCAGAATGGCTGAGGAAACCCAGCCAGATGGGCAGGGTATAAATAATATATTGTTATTGTTGTTGAGATGTTGTGTGGCTGAAGGCATGCTCAAGAGCCCTATAAGCAAAGTTTTGTTTGTTTGTTTTGTTTTTAAAAGGCAGGATGATAGTGGGCAGGAGCTCCGAGGACCAGGGCAAAGACCCCAGGCCACCCCCTTACGACACTCCTGAAAGAAAGAAGGAAAGAGGGAAACATTAGAAAGGAAGAGAGGAAGAAGGAGAGACTGTCATATGCTAGTGTAAGGTAGTGGTTTGAGTGTTGGACTAGGATCTGGGTCAACCAGGGTTCAAATTCCCACTCAGTCACGAAGTTCACTGGGCGGCCTTGGGCCAGTCACTGCCTCTCAGCCTAACCCACCTCACAGGGTTGCTGTGGGGACTGAAGGAGAACCATGTAGGCCACCTCAAGCCAAGACATTTTGGCACTTGAGGTGAGCCACAAAAGGAACCCCCCTCCCGCCAGGGAACAAGGGGTGAGTGAAGCTCTCCTTTGGGAACAAGGGTAGGAGGAGACCAGCAATGCCTCCTATTTGCCAAGGGGCTGCTGAGGTGGTGGCAGATCTGCCCTTCAAAGCATGTGGCGCAGCCATCGCTGCCACTGTGTCGGCAGCAGCGGGCAACACGTTCCTTTGAGGCCAGATCAGCTGCCCCTGTGAATCCTGCCACCTGAGGCAGTCACCTCACCTCGCCTCATGGATGAGCCGGACTTGCCTTGAGCTCTTTGGAGGAAAAGGTGGGATAGAAATGCAGTTAATAAATAATAAATAAATAAATATTGACTCAAGGTTATGAAAATGGAGGGAGGGGAGAGAACTTTCTGGCAGTAAAAGCTATTTGGCGGTGGAACGGACACCCTTGGAAGATGGTGGACTCTCCTTCCTTGGAAGTTTCGAAGCAGAGGTTGGGTGAGCATCCGTCATGGATGTTTTAGCTGAGATTCCTGCATTGCAGGGGGTTGGACTAGATGACCATTGGGACCCCTTCCAACTATACAATTCTATGCTTCTAATTAATCTCCGGGTTCCCAGCAGCACAAAGCCCTTTGTTCCGACTGCACAAAATGTGTTGAGCTGCCGGTTCAGAATATATTCTGGAGCACAACTGCAGAGTATTTTTGCCCTCTTCTGCTCTCCGCAAACCCAGCCAAGCCCCTCATAATCCATTTGCTGCTGCTTGGCTGGGCAGGCTGATGGGCAGAGTGGAACGCCCTCCCATCAGATGTCAAGGGAATAAACAACTACAGTGGTGCCCCGCAAGACGAATGCCTCGCAAGACGGAAAACCCGCTAGACGAAAGGGTTTTCCGTTTTGGAGGTGCTTCGCAAAACGAATTTCCTATGGGCTTGCTTCGCAAGACGAAAATGTCTTGCGAGTTCCTGCGGGGTTTTTTTCCTTCCCCCCCCCCTTTTTCCCAAGCCGGTAAGCCGCTTATCAGCTGATCCGCTAAGCCGCTAAGCCGCTTAACAACTGATCGCTAAGCCGCTTATCAGCTGATCCGCTAAGCCGCTTAACAGCCGATCCGTTAAGCCACTAAGCCGCTTATCAGCTGATCCACTAAGCCGCTTATCAGCTGATCCGCTAAGCCCACTAAGCCGCTAATAGCACTAATCCGCTAAACCGCTAATGGGCTTGCTTCGCAAGACAAAAAAAACGCAAGACGAAGAGACTCGCGGAACGGATTCTTTTCGTCTTGCGAGGCACCACTGTATCCGACTTTTAGAAGACATCTGAAGGCATCCCTGTTTAGGGAAGTTTTTGAAGTTTTTAATGTTTGAAGTTTTATTCTGTTTTTAATGTTCTGTTGAAACCCGCCTAGAGCGGCTGGGGAAACCCAGCCAGATGGGCGAGGTAGAAATAATAAATTATTATTATTATTATTATTATTATTATTATTATTATTTGTTCAGCAATTACACATTCAAAACAGAATGAGTCAAATGACATGAACACAAGCAGCAGGGTTGGATGGGACGAAATACCCTCCAGTTTAAAGGTTTGCTTTCAGTTTAATTGCGCCATCAAGGTACTAACAGGCAAGTCTTTAAACTGTTTACAACACTGGCCTTGGACTGGAGATAGCCAGGGTCAGCCAATTGTGTGAATTGGCCTCTGGGTGTCTAGCCATGGTGAGTTTGCACACAGATTGTCTGGTCACCTGTTTTTGCTGAAGGACTTTGGATTTGCTTGCTGCAGAACCGTAACACAAAACATAGGAGCCAACTCCTAGGGACTGCGGTCCCTTTGCCTCCCCATAAAATATTTGAGCCCCACCCCCAGTTGATGGGTGGTGCTGAGGAGGAGGAGCAACAACAGATGCCACTGCGTGCTTCCTCACTGGCTCTCTGCCTGGCAAGCAAGCAGGGGGCACCATGCGAAAGAAGAAGACAACGACGGGCAGCAGTTGGCAACAACAGTGGTGGCGAGATAGAGGAAGAGTAGGAGGGCGCCTTGCCCAAAGGCCCTCCAAAGGTGTCAGTTCTGTACATTCCTAAGGTGATCAATGCAATACTCACTTTATCTGTCAGGGGCGGAGCATGGTAGTGCAAGATGTCGGCATTCTAAGAAGACATGGAGGAAAAAACAGAATCAAATCTCAGACACCACCAAGGCCTGTCTCCCAGCCCTCCACTTCACTGTGAGCAGCCCATTTCCAGTAAGCTTATTATTCTAAGAACCTTCTAACATCATTTTCTTCTTTCCTCCCCATCACTTTTTCCTTTCATGCCATGTCTTTATATAACAAGGGCAGGGCCTGTGTCTTGTTTTTGTTGATCTACAAGCCTTCTGGGAACCTTTCCAGCTGATGAATGGAGGGTAAATGCATTGGATGTGTTAATGAATGAACCTGGGACCTTCTGCGTGCAAACCAAAAGCTGAGTTATGGCCCCTCCCCAACATTTTCAGAAGTGCTGGCACTACCCAGGCTAAAGGCAGCCTTGAACCTTGGCTGGGATTTCCAGGAGGCTGAATTCTGACCATTTCTGTGTTGGAGCTGTGCAGTCATAAAACAGAGAACACCTACATCCCCCGTGGACTTATTACCGGCTAAAACAACATACCAAAGTACAGCAGACATTTTTATTCCAACTTACCCATATGTAGAAGATGACTTGAATTTTACTGTTGCTGACCAGTTCATTATGGTATCGGGAATTAAAGGCAATGTAATCCTGGAAAATGAACAAGCTCAGAGGTGACAGCAGTAGCAGAATGACACTTTAGCTCAGGGGTCAGCAAACCTTTTCAGCAGGAGGCCAGTCCACTGTCCCTCAAACCTTGGGGGGGGGGACCGGACTATATTTTTGGGGGGAATGAACAAATTCCTATGCCCCACAAACAACCCAGAGATGCATTTTAAATAAAAGGACACATTCTACTCATAAAAACACACTGATTCCCAGACTGTCCGCAGGCCGCATTTAGAAGGTGACTGGACTGGATCCGGCCCCTGGGCCTCAGTTTGCCTACCCATGCTTTAGCTCATGGCACTTATAATTTCTTCTCATTTGGAAGCCTACATAGAGTTTGACCCCTATGTCAGCCTTACTCAAATGGATGCCTCCCTCCAGATGTCTCAGACCCCAACTAAGACCGTGTGGTCAATGGGCAGGAATGATGGGAGTTGTAGTCCAGAACATCCGGAGAGCTCCAGGTTGGGAAATGAAATCTGATGCCTAAGTATTAACTAAGAGTCAGTTCACACACCTTTTTCTGCTACACTGATGAATTGTTGTTGTCTCTACAGGTAAGGATTCACAGAATCCAATATAGTGTGTGAATGCACACAAATGTCCACATCTATCTCACCAATCATACATAAAGGTAAAGGGACCCCTGACCATTAGGTCCAGTCATGGCCGAATCTGGGGTTGTGGCGCTCATCTTGCTTTATTGGCCGAGGGAGCCAGCGTGCAGCTTCCGGGTCATGTGGCCAGCATGACTAAGCCGCTTCTGGCGAACCAGAGCAGCACACGGAAACGACGTTTACCTTCCCGCTGGAGCGGTACCTATCTATCTACTTGCACTTTGACGTGCTTTTGAACTGATAGGTTGGCAGGAGCAGGGACCAAACAACGGGCGCTCACCCGTCGCGGGGATTCGAACCGCCAACCTTCTGATCGGCAAGGCCTAGGCTCTGTGGTTTAGACCACAGTGCCACCTGCATCCCAAAATCTGCACTTACAGACTTATAAATAGGTTCAATGCAAATTGCCATCCACTTTGGTCTCCTTGCCTGCCTATGAATAAGCAACAATATCCCTCTCAGGACAGCACCTTCACAAAGCCAAAGTTTTGAAAAAGAGTGGGGAGAGGGGGTGTCCAGCTGTGAAGACCTTTACAGGTTATACACTTTCACTTTGCTTTAAGTGCTTGCAAAAATTAAATACTCCTAGGCTCTGTGGTTTAATCCACAGCGCCATACATACGCAGTGCTTTTAAAAAGAACGAGAAAAGCCTGTATGATGCAGTGAATGGAGGATTTGGAATGGCGAGACCTGGGCTCAAATCCCCAGGTAGTAAGCCAGCGGCCAGGGGCATGTCACCGCCTGGTCTATCTCACAGGCTGACAAGAAGCTAAAGGTGGGGGGGGGGATCCAATGTACCTTGCCTACAGCTCTGTGGAAGGAAGGCTGAATGCAAAGTAAGCAAGGAGGATGAAGGAGTCATCTAAGAGATCCTAAGAACAGCTTCACCACCACAAACAGGATACCACGGCAGAATTGCTCAGTTGCTCTTAGATGAAACGCTTTTACTTTGTTTTTGCTTTTAAATTGTGGGTGTGGGTTCCCTGGAGGGGAAGGGGTGAGATATAAATCCAATCCACCCACCCACCCATCAATAAAACAAACCAAACTCATGTCTCACCTGGAAGCCAAACTGCGGCTGGATTTCTACGCTGCAGACAGGCTTTGTCTCAGGTGAGGTCCACCTCCAAATGCAAACTTTCTGATGTGATGAAGAAAGCACGATTGTGGACAGGAGTGAGGTTACACTTTGTCTCAAAGACCTGCACTGACTGCCCATTTGTTAGGTCTCTGAGGCCCTTAACAGCTTGGGACAAGTTTGTTTGATGGATTGCCTCACCCCAAAGGGTGCATACTTGTTCTAATACTGCCCCCAGTGCTTTTTTTCCAGAAAACGGGTGCCAGAGCACACTCCCTTAGAAGACCCACCCCAGGGCCCCACTGGTGGAAGAAGAGGGGTGCAGAGGGAGCACACTGCTCCTGGCAGTGTGATCCCAGTGGGGTGCCATTGTGGCTGCCCGCCCCTGCAGGTGGTGTGCCACACCCCCAGGACACGCGCCAGCCCCGCCCCCGCCTGGTCTCCGCCTCCCCCCCCCCAGTGCCAAAGCCTGAAGCTCCACCACTGCAGAGCCCAAAGAGTCCATGTTCTGGGAAATCCTGACCGCTTATAGCCCCTTAAACAAAACTGTTCATGCCCTCCCCTCCCACCATCGAGAGTGCCTCACTTCTCTCCTTCACGAATTCGAGGCACCCTAGTTAGAGGATTCAGCACAGGAAATGCTTCCTTTACCTGCACTTCCCCAGCCCCGATGGTAGCCAGAAACTTGGAATCATGCGAAATTGCGATGGCGCAGACTCCGCCCTCTGGGTGGCTGTCAAATATGGTGTGCACAGGAATCCTGGAGAAGACAGCACACACTGAACACTCTGAAACTGAAGCAGGTTCACTTCTGCCCTGGTGGGACAGATGCAGCCGAGACCTTGGCTTTATGGCTGCCCAATTACCCACCAAGTTTTAAGAGTCGCGACACCAAAACTATTGGCAGCTAAGGCCAATGCGGGAGAGGTCTAACGCAGAAATAAATGGTTAGCAAACCTCCTCCACCAGATGCTTACGCAGAGTATCCGTCCCAAACAGTCACCATGCTCTGGGGGCCCCTGTCAGCGGTTGCTATCCACCTTCGGTCTTCACTTATGCAGATGCAGGAAATGCAGTCTGTGTGTCCCTGGAAAGTCAAAGGAAGAGAGCGAGCCCTGCAGAGGCAGCTCATGGGAAATCTCACTCAAGCCGGTATGCTAAATGTTGGACCCTTTTTTTATTGCGGACATAACCTTGTGGGTAATCTGTCAAGGAATGCATCTCAGTGGGGCCACTGCCAATGGCAGGTGCATACTTAGGGCAGCACACCAGGTTTCCCTACATGGGACACAGGGGGGCCTTCCCAAAGCCTAGTAAGCGCTGTACTTTGGGACGGAGGCGTGAGGGCTCTGACAGGGGCCTGGAGTCCTTACCCCAGCCTAGTTAGTGCTTGCCCAGCTTTGGGAAGGCATTGTGAGAGGTGCAGGCCACAAATTTTGGCCTCAAACAGAGCTCCATATGACCAAGGTCCTCCCCTGCCGATGGCCAGCGGCACCAGAGGGAAACGTGCTCAGGATTAAGTCGTCTACAGTAAAACCCTCCACCCTTCAGTTTTCATCATGGCATCTTCAGATTACAGTTCTCTCTGTTAGGCAAGATGTGCCACCAAGCAGGCAGGTGGTAGGGCAAAGCGGCTGAAACAAGAAGAGCAAACAGGAAAACCCCTTCTGACATGGGACCTTTTTCGCCTGTGGTACAGGGCAAGATGGCGCCCCATCCAGTTTCATGTGCAGAAGCTGAGCAGACAGAAGCGCTGGCAGCAGGGAAACTTCCTCCGCTGTGCTTGAGGGCTGCATACTAGCGGAAGGAACCTAGTATAGGGCAGCCGGGGAGTGGTGTTGGGATGATGGAGAGCTCTGTGTGTGCCCTGAAATCTGCCCAGCTGCTGCCCTGAGGGGTAGCACAAGATGGCTGCCCTAACACCAGTATGGAACCACGTCTCAGCTGCCCGTTTGGTGAGCTTCTGTGCGAAGAACGGGATGGGGCGCCATCTTGTTCTGTGCCTCAGGCAGAAAAATCTCTCAAGTTGGCAGAGCAAAAACAAAACAGGCCACATGCCACACTCAGCTCTGTCCTCCAGCATCAGGTCACCGCTCCTCCTCCCCTCCTGCCATCTGCCTCTGCGGCCTGAAGCCTCCTCCTCATTTGGCCTGATGGGAGGAGGAGAGGAGAGAACAAATGGGTTCTCCAGCACCGATACGGAACTGACCCCTACCTGGAGGAGATATTGCCTGTTCCTGAGGACATCATGGATCACGGCCGTGTGAGAGGAGACATATAAGATCACTCGGTAGTCTTCATCAAGCAAGTTGAAAACCGGGAGTTCGCTGTTATAGCCAAAGACCCAAGACAAACTCTGAAAGAGAAAGACAGAGCAGGGAGGCTCTGCTTAGTAAAAAATAAAAAATAAAAAATACACACACACAAACACACCCCAACATCATTTTTGACTGAGGTAAGTAAGCCCAACAGCACAACTGGTGCAGGTAATGAGTCCCAAGGAAGCATCATGGAGGGGCTGGTCAGAGCAGGACAGCGATGGGGGGGGGCTGAAGGAGCTGCCTGTTGGCAACTCTGGGGAGGGGGAGCGGCTGTGCCAGGGAGAGTGGGGGGTGGAGGGAGGGAGTTACAAATGATGAGTCAGATCACATCATACAGCAGCAATATGCTAAGTGTTTCTGTTGTAAAGTGTGCACAGCAGTAAATGGAAAGTGTGGAAAGGCACCCCCCCCAGCGGCAATCAAAAACATATTGTGACCACAAATGCCATAAATTAAATTTGCATGCAACCATGAATTTTGTGCCCTTCCAGACTGGTACTTTGTTTTTATTTTTTGTTTTTTGGTCTGGGTGTCTTCTGCAACAACATTTACATTGTGGAATAAATGCGGTAGAATAATGTAATGACAACGTAGCTTATGTAATTTATATAATTAATTGTGTAAATTAAGTCATTGCGCTACAGCAGAAAACGATACAAATAGAGTAAGCCCGCAACTTACACAGGGGTTACGTTCCGGGGATCGCACCTAAAGCAAAACCGTGTATAGTCAAAACACACTGGCTGTGATGGAGGGTGGGATTGCCAAATATTTTCCCCCTGCACACTCACCCCCTTTCCGCCTCCTTTTTAATTTTGCCAAGTGCATAAAGCTGAATGTGCACAAGTTACATGTGCTTACATTGCGAGTGTACTCTGACATCATTTTTGGCAGTGGAACAGAAACTGGGGGGCGGGGGGGATGCAGGACAGAATGGAGAAAGATGCCTCCTTACATCCCATCACAGATCATGAATGCACAACTTTAAAATGTCTAGATGGGCCCTTGAATGAAACTGATGTTTGACTGGGTGACTCCCAATAACGCTTGTACAGTACAATCAGAATTTTTTTGGCCAATTAATTTTTATCGATTTTCGAAAATGTTCAGTACAACCGGATCTTACACTGGGGTCATGTTCTGGGTGTGGTGCATATATGCAAAAATGCATACCTTTCTTTTCCAGAGCTGGCAAACCACATGGGCCTTGTCTCCCAAGCAAAACAGAGAGCTTTCACTGGGCAAGGCCCGCTCAGCCTGCCAACTTGGCAATGCTCTCGCGAGATCTCACAAGGCTGCCCGAGTTCCCACAAGATCTTGTTGTGCAAACATCCCCACAGTTCCAGAGATAGCACAATGAGATGGCCTGTCCCAGTAAGCAGGACAGAGAGCTTAAAAGCTCTTTTCGCACAGTGAAAACCCTGCCTTTATTCAATTTTTGGAATTCAAACTGACCAGCCTTCAATCGTGCATGCGTGAAGTCGCACAAGTTTAATGTGCATAAGATGTGATTGTCTTTTACTGTGTAATAAATGAAAATCTGCTCTTATTCCCTTATGGGGGACACAAGAGCCCTTGCAGAGTCCTTGGTAGGTTCTCCATCGGTCGGAGAAAATAACAGAGGCCAACCAGAGAATATTGAGAAGCAAAGCAGATCGTAAGCCTGATCTTTATTGAACTGTTGCAACAGGGTGCTCCCCTCACACGCAGGAAAGAAGGAGGACCCAGAACCCAGGTGTGCCAGCCCTTATACAGACATTTTAAATTGCCTGCCCTGGAGTTCAAGACAAGCCCCAGAAATATCATACATACATCACAGAAAGGGTGGTCTACAGCAGAAATCTGAGTGCGTTGTTTATCACTTGTCATTGTTTATCTCCTGTCTGGCAGGTTACCTGTTAATGCTTACTTGACTAGATACCCTGGGGAGCCTGGCCAGTCTTTTGTAGTGACAAATACTTAGTTCCTGAGCCAGGTCACAGGCTCACCTTATTCATACACAGATATACCCTTAAGACAGGTTTTGTGAATTAAAAGACAATGGGGAGGCTTTTCTATTTTCCTTTGACCTTGCAGAGAAAACATTTGGTCAGTTTAGGAGCCAAAATGGCTCCAGGACTGCCCTCCTGTGCTGCCTCATACATTTATGTACGTGTTTGCCTGGCAAATCCATGATCATTTTATATATATATATAATACTCACAAGTGGGTGCGCCGAGAGTGGCCTGCTGGTCTCCTCTAAGGTCATGCCAGGGAGGGCCGAAGAGACAGCGGACTCCTCCTGCCCCTCTGCTGGAGTCAGGCTGCTGGCTGCAGTCGGTGCTTGGGAACGGCCACTCTCTCCTTGGGCTGTTTTCACCTCCGTTTCCCGGCTGGCCCTTTCATCCTCACTTGAGGGTCCTGTGCCTCCAAGGGCAGCATTGACTTCGTGGCTCACCTCGGCCTCGGCCTTTGTGGCCGGACTGCCAGGCCCACCACTGCTTGCGGAGCTTGCAGCTTGTCCCGAGGCAAGGGGCTCTCTGAAACTCACTGCTGCCTCTCTGGGGCTCCCGGCTTCCTCTCTCCTGGCAACGCTCTGGGTGCGCATGAGGCCACGTCCTTCCAGAGCAGGAGCAGGACCTGCACCTTGGTCATCTGCTGCTGCTGCTTCTTCCCTGGCGGGGGACTCCTGAGTCTTTTTGCTGCTGGTCTCGTCTTCTGGGACTCCAGGCTCTTCCTCCTCTGAAGGCTGCTTAGCCGCTATTTCCTAAGAGGCAAAACAAAGTTTTGGGTTGAACACCATGCTTTGCAGAGGAGAGCTCTCGATTTAAATTGTCAGAGAGGGCTGTTCTCTCTTTGAAACCACCAAGTCCAGAAAAGAGGCAAAAGACGGGACAGGCCACAGCTCTTGACACTGACCACCAGAGGTTCCCTGGCTAGATTTCCCCACTATCATGAGATGTTTTATATTCCTAGTATTATCATCATTGCTACTACTACCAGAAGTGGCCCAGGTGCCACACAATGCTCGTTTCGCAGTTGTAAGGAATCAATCTTTAGAACTCCCTGGCTATTGACCTCAGGCAGATGCCTTCACTGTACTCTTTTCAACAATTTTATTTAGCGAAGTCTGTTCAGACATGTAGAATGCTGACATGCGTTTTTATTTGCTTTTAGATTATCACTGATTTTTAAAAATGTTTTAGCTGTTTTTATTGATAATTTTATTGTTTTATTCCTTTTGAAAACCACTTGGAGGTTTTCTTGCAATCAAGGGGTATAATCATATGACATAAATAGATAATAAATAAATAAATGTTAGCAGAGTACAAATGTTACGATAAATAGATAAGTATATAATAGGTTCACGGGGGCGGGGGGGGACCAATGCTATATACATACAAATGCATGAAAATGGCCTAATAATTCATTCTAATTTGTATTTCTATTTAAGTTATGGCAATCATTCCTAAATCTGCACTTAAAGGTAAAGGGACCCCTGACCATTAGGTCATCGTGAATGACTCTGGGGTTGCGGCGCTCATCTTGCTTTATTGGCCGAGGGAGCTGGCGTACAGCTTCCGGGTCATGTGGCCAGCATGACTAAGCCGCTTCTGGTGAACCAGAGCAGCACAGGGAAACACCGTTTACCTTCCCGCTGGAGTGGTACCTATCTATCTACTTGCACTTTGAAGTGCTTTCGAACTGCTAGGTTGGCAGGAGCTGGGACTGAGCAACAGGAGCTCACCCCTTTGCGGGGATTCGAACCAATGACCTTCTGATTGGCAAGGCCTAGGCTCTGTGGTTTAGACCACAGCGCCACCTGCGTCCCTAAATCTGCACTTATAAATAAGGTACTTGCAAGTTCAATGCAAATTGCCATCCACTTTGGTCTCCTTGCCTGCCTATGAATAAGCAACAATATCCCTCTCAGGACAGCACCTTCACAAAGCCAAAGTTTTGAAAAAGAGTGGGGAGAGGGGGTGTCCAGCTGTGAAGACCTTTGCAGGTTATACCTTTTCAGTTTGCTTTAAGGGCTTGCAAAAATTGAATAGTTTATCAATTTCATGTGCAGGAGCCCAAACTGCAAAGCCCTGAATCTCTGCTCCCTGGTGTCCACCCGGCAATACTCCAAATACTTCCAGGCCTATCAATACTTTCATGAGAACTAGAAACATGATGTTTTTATTATTAGTATTTCAAAATGAAAGGTGAGCTTCCTAGGACGCTGCATGCTGTGTGCCCAACTGCAGAACAAAAAGCCCCGTGTCTTTGGTCCACTGGGGCACCTCTGCTGATTTATGGGACTCACCATGACAAATGCTTTGTGTGAATACTTACACCAGGTAAACTGGTGGCAGCAGTGTTGTTGGAAGTTTCCAGTAGGTTCGGAGAGCTGCTGGTTTCTGCTGGGAGAACATCTTGCACTGGTGTCTCCCTGTCAAAAGTGACTTCCATGGGTTCTGCTGAAAATTGGGGCTGCGGACTGGGCTGGCTCTGAAGGCTTGGCTCCGAGTCCATAGCAGCACCCACAACCTCCATCTCTTCTCTTGGTGCCTCAGTCGCTTCCTCCGATCCTTTTGTCCCCTGAGAAGGGGGTTCCGTTTCATTGGTGTCCTCCTCCATCTCCAAGGAACTTTACTGGAAACAAGCAGTCTTGTGCCCAGTGCGACTCAGGACCTCTTAAGAAACAAATAAATAAATCAGTGCAGTTTTGAAAAGCACAATCTACCATATTGGTTCTCAGTGGTGCCCATTTGTATCCAAACACGAACAACAACTTGTTCCTTGGTGTCACAAACCTCCATGCAAAGTTTGGCCATCATCTCTTTAAGAGGTGTCCATAGGGACAGAGAACAGAAAAACGACTTTGTAATATATACAGTATATATAGTATATATAATTATGAAGCAAGCACCTGAGATTGCCCACTAATGAGGAACAAAATACTCTAGGCTGCTCTTACGTCTTTCATATTCTAGGCAACAATCTTAGCCCCACTTACCAAGGAGAGCAGAGTGTGGGGAGAGCCAGTGAGGCACAGTGGCGAAGAGCGCCAGACTAGAACCCGGGAGGGTAAAGGTAAAGGACCCCTGACAGTTAAGTCCAGTCGCGAATGACTCTGGGGTTGCAGCGCTCATCTTGCTTTACTGGCCAAGGGAGCCAACGTTTGTCTGCAGACAGCTTCCAGGTCATGTGGCCAGCGTGACTAAGCCGCTTCTGGCGAACCAGAGCAACGCATGGAAACGCCATTTACCTTCCCGCCGGAGCGGTACCTATTTATCTACTTGCATTTTTTGGCGTGCTTTCAGACTGCTAGGTTGGCAGGAGCAGGGACCGAACAACGGGAGCTCACCCCGGCGCGGGGATTCAAACCACCGACCTTCTGATCGGCAAGCCCAAGAGGCTCTGTGGTTTAGACCACAGCACCACCCACCAGGGTTCAAATCCCCCACTTGGGCACCACTTTGCCCACAGAGTGAGGGCCTCGGGCCAGCCCTTGCCTCTCAGCCTACCCTACCTCGCAGGGTTGTTGTGGCGTGGGACTGGAGATGGGGGGGGAGAACCACCCCGTGCAGGGGATCCCCTTGAGCTCCTTGGGGAGAAAAGGGAGGGGCGCGAATATGCAACGCAGTAGAGGCAGCAGAGCGACCTACCTCCTCCGCTGCCCCTTTGCAACAGACCCCCAGGAGCCCCGGGCCTCGTCAGCCGCCGCGTAGCTGCTCCAGCGGCCCCGGCAGCTGTTTGGCTTCCTCCCCTTGTTGCCATAGCGACCGGCGGCAGCCTGGTCCCCTTCCTTTCGCCGGCGCGCGATGGTTGACGGGCGGGGCTATGCAAATTAAAGACCAATGGCGGTCCGAGAAGAGGAGGAGGGCGGAGCTTAACGTTTCCCCTTTCGGAGGCTGCGCGAGCCAGGTGCGCTTTGCGGAGCGGGGGAAGCGCCGCTCGCGGCTGGCAGGTGCGCCGGTGGCAGCGCGCAGGGGCTCGTTCGCACCTGGAAGGCGTCGGGAAAGGGGACCTGGGTAACTGAGGAGGAAGGTCGTGGTCGCTGCTCCGCTTTGTGCGAGGGCTGAAAGTCCGCTCTCTTTTCTGCAGGGGGGGCAACTTGAATAAAATACTTGGGGGGAGCCCCAGGTGAGCCCGGCTCACGTAATCTAGTGGCAATGCCCATCCACTTTCGGGGGGCGAAGACCCCTCGGGCCCTGGGAGTTGGATCCTATGGGGCCAGACTTCTCGCAACACCTCCTCCACTTTCCTGCTTTTCCTTTTTTTTTTAAATAATATTTTCATTCATTTTAACATATAAATTATAAAATGTACCACAGAACTTATCACTTATACAATCTTTTTGGACTTCCATCAGCACCTCTGATGATCCACCGTTTTAACCACTTCTTATGCATTTCTTAACTTTATATTGCCTTTACATCTCTTAACAAATCATCCTCCCCCTTATCCATTTTTACAATACTTCTACTAATACTCCTCACAAAACTTCTTGCAACCCTACAAACGTTGTCTGTTCTTCACAATTACTTTTCAAATAGTCCATAAATTTACTCCAGTCTTCTGTGAATTTCTGGTCTCGCCAGTTTTGAATCCTTCCTGTTAGTTTATCTAGTTAGTTTATCTTTCCTGCTTTTCCAGGCTTCGAAGGGCGTTGCTATTCCAGATGTGGGCGCAGCTGGACAGGACGCCTCCAGCTTGAGCCCCTTACTATGCTATGCTGCTTGTTTCTTACCTTTAGCTCACAAACATGCATCTGTTGAAGGTTGTTTTTTATTACCTTCTTTTCTGTGACGAGCCTGATTTCCTTGAGAATTCTTCCCTGTTCTGCTGTTTATTAGCATATACACATCCACAATCACAGAGGGCATCTTCTCCACTTTTGCCATTTTTCCGCTTTTTTGAAATACGTCTGCTTTCTGCCTATACGCAGCTCCCTCAGCCCATGATACAAAAGTTCTATATGGTTATCTAATTTTATTGTCTGCGTGATGAGTTTCATTTTCTTCAATAATTTTACCTGTTTTTTTCTAACCGTTGGCATGTCACTCTGCTTTGAACTTGCCTGGCATCTTGAAGAGAAGCTCAAGGCTTTTCTCCCCTCATGTGTCTTTATTCTCACCCATAATTTTCGTTTTGAATAGTTTACTTCATCACACCATAATTTTTCTTGATTACACTTCACAATATTTATATACTGCATGACAAAAGACACTCTACTTTACCCTGGTCTTGGGTTGATGCGTTCTCAAAGTAAAGGAAGGAATGAACTCTGATTAATAAGAATACACACAGAGGCTTGAACCAGCAAGACTCTGGGAAGGGTGCGTATAATAATCTGTGTCCCTCTACCCCTCAGGCCAGGTCGGCCCAGGTTGTTTTATTCACAAAGAACTTTTTACAGAGTGTTCGTAAGAACCAATCAGATTTCTTCTGAGCATTTCAACAAACCCCACTTGGGGACAAAGTTAAACTAGCAAAACTAATTAAGCACACATATTTCTGGGGTAAACAAAACAGAACTACAAAGGAGTGCGTCTGGCAACCGGGAGGTGATAAACAAGCAATATACATGATAAGAAGGATGGCCAAGAAGACAGGATCATTATCACCTTCAGGTGAGATCTGTTTCCTGGCCCTAAAATTAACATCCTAAGATTAACATATCAGAAAAGCTACATCAAAGAAACTTTCCCACTATCTTTCACAGCCCAGGATGCATGCCTGGTGAAGCAGCTAGCAGCTGGGCTGTGTACGTGACTTGTCAAGCAAGAGAAATGGACTGTAGAGGAAAAATGGCATAAATGTAGAAGCTTATGGGATTTAATCAGAAATTATTGTCAGTACGTTAAACCCAGTCAACACAATGCATTCATTGTGGACACAATGGCTTGATGTATATTTTATAATTCCTCACTGTAATCCCATCTGATCACTACATGGGTACTTGAGATTCTATAATGTCCCACTTTAGCAGTCATTTTAAGTTAATTTTAAATGGTTTTTAAAGTTGTATTTCCTATTGTTCTGCCCTGCTGTTGGATCTTCTGAAAGCAGGTAATTAATTAATTAATTAATTAATTATCCTTCTACTGCAGACCTGAGCTCCTTGACCTAATTTCAGCCATCATTTAGAGGACATGATGGTTCTTCCCTCAGAAACCTGACTGGACTAGCAGTTAATTCTTTCTTCAGCTCTGGTGACAAGATAGTGCCCTCTGCAGCTGAGGCAGCCCAGGGCAGTCCATGTGACATTTACGTCTTTGTCCTCCAACAGATAAGGTGGCCATTTTTATTTTTATTTTACAAAATAATGTCTGAAGGGCTGTTCTGAGGGCAGTCAGTCAGTCATTCTCTCTCTCTCTCTCTCTCTCTCTCTCTCACACACACACACACACACACACCCCCAAAATGGCAGTATGCAGCATTTAAGAAACCTTTAAAAACAATGCAGAACAGTCATTAAAAGGCACCCTCTAGATGCAGAACAGCTTGGTCCCACTCTGGTTAACAAATAAAAATAAAAGCCCAAGAAAGAGAGCAGGCAGAACCTTGAAGCTGCCCTTCCTTCAGCAGTGAGCTCCTGGAACGCAGACTGAACAGGCACACAGGCTATCAGGCCACGTACTTTCTCACAGAGATGGTTTGTATTTGTCTATATAAATTAGAACAGTTGGGTTGTGTCCACTGCTAGTTAGAGCGTATCGCCTCTGCAGAGATTTTCCCAAGTATGCCTTTGTGCACAGGGCTATACTGCTATTGTGCACAGGGCTATACTTTACTCTAGGAGCAAAGAAAGCTGCTTTATACCAAGGGAGGCCTTTGGTCCATCTAGCTCAGTATTGGCTACAATGGCTCTTGGGGGTTTCAGGTAGGGGTCTCTGCCAGCCCTACCTGCAGATGCCAGGAAGTGCACTTGGGACCTTCCACATGCAAGGCAGGTGCTCTGCCACTGAGCTTATGTCCCTTCCCCGTCTAAGCTGGAACATGCAGCCTATTTTTAAAACTTTATTCAAAATGACCTGATAATACAAAGTACAACATGAATTAACATTCCAGGTCTGACAACAGATATGCCACAGTAAACAAAAAAGAAAATGGAAAGACACCATGAGAACTGGTGTAAAACTTTTATTGGCAAATTCCCAAGCAAACCAAAATGTTACAGAATAAGTCATCCAATTCTGTAAGAAAGCCACAAGCTCCCCTTTCCAACTTTTATTTACAACAGGGGCAAACACCATAAGAGGAGGACTAACCAATCCTTTAAATCCGTACTCTTTCAAAACGGCACCTGTGTGTCAGATTCAAAACCCTTTTGACAGCCAACACCAAAACCTCAGCATTTGTCTTTCCACATCCTGGCTTCTTCGGGTAGATGTTACCCGGGTAGATGTTCGGGTAGGGGTTCAAACCCAGGTTGAGATGCCATCAAGTACTTTGGAGCTTTTTCACTGAAAAACCTCATCTTTGCAGAGGGACTATATTGCAACTTGGGGGAAAGAAGAGAGAAAGATATGAGACCTTCTGCAATTCTAATATTTTGATTATAAGAAATCTCAGAGGATCATACTTCTCAGACATGCACTTTTTATTTGAGGAAGGGTTGTAACTCACCAGAAGAGCATCTGCTTGACAGTTGGACAAGTAAAAGGAGCAAGCTGGACAAGTAAAATGGTTGGCAAGGCTAGTCAAGAACTGCAGATTCTTGTTAAAAACCGGGGGGAGGGGTTATTTCCCCAAAACAAGGGCAGGGAAGGAAAGAAGTGCAACACGCATTCTAGACCCTGGACTGGCCAGGACACCAGACCCCTCAGGACTCTCCCTGAGAAGGGGGCTGCCAGCAATGGGAAAAAACCCTGGGAAATTCATGCAAGAGGCAGCCACCAGATTGTCCAGAAACAGGCTGCACACAAACTCCTACACCCTGGGCTAACCTGATGCTCTCCAGACCTTTTGGACTACAACTCCCATCAACCCTTGCCCGCACAGGTGGGAGTTTTAGTCCCAAACCCCTGGAGGGCATCAGGTTGACCAGGGCTACCCTCCTGCTACATGCAGAACCCAGCTTTCTGCACACAATGGCCAAGATTGGTCAGAAGCTCCTTGTGCTTGCAGGATGCAATTTTAGCTTGCCTGGAGAAGGAGAGACAGACACAAACAGCTGCTTCATTGGGGGGGCAGGGAAAGTCTCCCTGGGTATGGACCTCTAGAGCAGGTAGGGAGGGGAAGCTGTAGCCCTCAGGACGCTGCTGGACTCTAGTTCCCACCCACCCCAAATCAGTCATGTTGGCGGGGGTGATGGCAACTGGGAGCCCAACAGCCCTTCTGGAAGGCAGGAGTATTCTCCCTTACTCAGTTATTTACATCCCACCATTATCTCAAGCTTCGATTCATCAAGGCAGCTTCAGACATTGAAAAACAGCATTATGAAATGCACAGTATTTGTCTGCCCCTTAGCTGCCAAAAACCCGTCTGAACAGGAAGCCTAAGCATAACCAAGCAAGAGCCAGGTTAGCCTCTCTGAGGAGGGACAGCCCTCTCTCTTTCACCAGCAACATGTGAAGGCTCTTAGCACCTGGGCAGGATTGTACAGGTAGGCACATGTGTCACAGGGGAGGAGGAGGAGGAGGAGGAGGGCCCTCTCCCAACACGTTCCCCTTAGTGCAGCCAAACATCAATGCACATGGAATGGAGAGGCAGAGGTTCCAATCATTGCTGGCCAGTTCAGAACTGAGGTTACAGAGTGATGCAGGACCGGCTACAGAGGTGTTGATGTCAGTTCTGCCTTTGATTTTTGGATTGCTTACCCCAGAAGCCCTTTTCCACTCCAGCGTTTCGGGGTGAGCCCCAAATGAAGCTTCTGACCATTGCGGATCACGGTCACACTTAGCGGTTGCTGCAGGGGGCAGAAAATAAACAAAAGAGTCCTCACTGCACCCAAGACAGTATTTGTAACTGGCTGAATATCTTGTGGAATGCCCAAGGGAGCTGTAGGTGCAGGGAGGGAGGGGAGACCCCCATGTCCTCTGTGCCTCATTGCTGGGCTTATGGCATAGCCAAAAGTGGGGACTTATTAACATCAGGTAGGGGCCCTAGCTGTATCATTTTAGACGCCTGCTAAAAGATCTTGATTAGGGAAGTCTACCTAGACATGTCATTTTATTACTTGTTTTTAAGTTTCTTTCTCTCCTTTTAATGGTATTTTTAATAAATATTTAGCTCTACTTTTCTTTGTCTCTTCTGATTAAGAAGCAAGTAAACTTGATTAGATAAAAACATCAAATGATTCTATGTCATACAAATACACACACAAATCAACAAATCATACAGCCACAAAAGTAAAGGGCAAGGGACTTTATAGGATTTAAAGTTCTGAGTCACTTGGTGTTACATTTCACGTTACTGACTGATCACAGAACCTTTACTCAAAGGCTTCTAAATAAACCACTGCTTTGTCAGCCTAAATGGCATTTAAGTTTTAAAAGGCTTTTAATAACGTGTTCAGGTGGGGTTAGAATTATAGACCTTTGTTTTAAAATTAAAAAAAAAAGAAAAAAACATAAAAACACACACACACACACACACACACAAATTAACCAGCCACAGAAGTAAAGGGCAATGGACACCACTCCCCATGCATCCTGGTAGACCTGCTTGGGACACCAATGTCTATGATTAGTCAGACTGTGGTGCCTTCCCAGGTGGGAACTGTGTCACTGGTGCCTCCAGGCTGGGCTACAGATTCACAGCAAGTGCTGGAGCTGTTTTCCACCAGCAGGTCATCACTGAAGGGTCGACTCCAAAGGGAATAACCCCCTTGATTCAGTGTTCAAAGGAGCAGCCGCATGGAAGCCCCTTTTGACACCAGAAAGTAGGTGTGACACAAGTGCTTTAAGGAGGACGGCAGCTATCAGTCTCCTGCCCTGTTGCAGCATCAGCGAGTGACTTCAGGCAAGTGTCGCTCTGCTCATGCTCCATACTGTGGCTTGGTTTGCCTTCTGCCTGGTCACTGATACTAGCAGGCTCTGTGGGCATTTGTGGGGATGAAGGCGAGACCTCATTTCAGACACGGAGGGAGGGGGGAAAGCTGCTCACCCCTTCACTGTGCTGGACCACAATGGCAATATTCTGCAGCGACTGGAAGTTGTGAGTGTTGACGGAGCCAAACTCGACGATCTCGTCGTCAACTTGCAACCCCTTCAGAGAGAACCAAAGAACACATTATACACCCTGGCTTCCCCTTGGGAAGGAAGCCAAACTCAGTACCCGGTACTTTAGAATTGTTCTAAGTATAGCAGGGGACCGCACAAACCTTAGAAATTTTCAAAACAGCAAGATTATGATTGTTTGGGATACAAAAGGAGAAATACAAGCTGCAGACACCTGAAATCCTGTACACAGCTCAGCAAGGATTATGGCGGGGGGGGGAGCTGGTAGCAGTATTGTATCCCAAATGAAAATGGCTGAGTAACAGGTGGAGGGGGGCAACGTGACAGGTGTAAATAAAATTATACATGGTGTGGACATTTTTTCTCCTTTCTCATCATGCCAGGACCCAGTGGGGTCATCCAATGAAGTTGGGGATGAAAGATTCATGGCAGACAAGAGGAAGGAATTCTTCACACAGCAGTGAAGAGCTCAATTACAAATAAGATGTGATAAAGTCCACCAGCTTGGATAGTTTCCAAAGCAGATTAAACAAACTCACCAAAGAGGGTAAGACTATCAATGGCTACTGGTCCAAAGCAGCAGGGTTCTACTTCGCCAAATAACAAACCCACAGAGGTCTGGACGGGTGAGAGAGATGCAATACTTGCCGAGAAGCTCGCTGGAGACCCCTGCGTGACGGCATTCACCCTGGCAAAAGGCTGGGGCAACACCTGACTCTGGCTCCTGGCTTCAGCTCGCGCTTCCGCCTCGTCCTTTTCGCGCTTCTCCTTCTCCCGGGCGTGGAGCTGGTGCAGAGCCTGTTCCACCTGGTGCATCAAGGCTTTGTGATCATTCTGCAAACCTGAAAGCAGAGGGAAGCTCCTGTAAGCCCAAGATGTATTTGCACAGAAAGCTGTTCTCTGAGTTATTATGGTTCTTTAAGCAACGTCATCCACACACATGCGCTTGGGGATGAACACGCATGAGGGATCCCTGGCAGGAAACGGAGGGGAGGGGAGGCAATGGAAGAATAGGCAACGATTTCAAGTTGGCTTGAAATCTGTACTGAGGCTTCAGTACAATAATGTACAGTACAGGAATGAAAAGGATTAAAGGAGAAATGGCAGAGTGATCTCAGGAAATGGTCTACAAGCAACAATCACAGAAGGGACTCAAAGGGTCCATATAGTCCAACATCCTGAAATGCAGGAATCACAGCTAAAGACCCTCTAGAAGAGCGCCACCCAACCTTTGCTTCAAAACCACCACTGATGGCTGGCCAACCACTTTCCAAGGGAGTCCATTCCACTGCTGAACAGCCTTCACCACCAAGAAAGTTATTCTTAATGATTACTTAGAATTTCATTTCTTGTAATTTGAATCCATTGGTTTGGTCCTGCCCTCTGCAGCAGCAGAAAACAAGCTTGCACACTCCATATTAATAATAATAATAATAATAATAATAATAATAATGTCTCTAAGCCACCAACAAATCTATAAAATACTGCTGCTTAGAGATTTTTTTGGTGCACAGTGATGAATAAACATGATAAAATATTAATCATTTGTTATATATGATAACAAAATAATATTTAACTCAAAAAATGGGAACAAAATTACTTGAACTGTACATCTGATCAGAGAACAGCTGGATTCTCCCAAGATAGGAAGCTGCCTTGTACCAAATTTGATCTGGGTCCATCTGGTTCAGTACTGCCTACACCGACTGGCAGCAGCTCTCCAGGGAATCTTCCCTGGTCACAGGCCCCCCTGGAAACGCTGCCACAAAGGGAACCTGGGATCTTCAGCATGCAGAGCAGATACTCCCCCATGGAGCCATGGTCTTTCCTTCAAGGTTAGATAGATGCTCTACACATTAGATCTTGTCTGCACTTGTACCAGAATTACAGCATTATCCACAGGTTGCTGATCTTAGGCTTCTTTTTATAGAACCCCAGGGCTGCGCAACATATCGTCCAAAACCCGTTTGAAGTCCGTACAGTGATATTGGTTTCGTAATTTTTGACCTGGCAATATATCATGAATCATTCTCTCTGTGTGTATGTGCTATGCAAAAATCACAACGTGGGGGAAACTGTGAAGCCAGCCAATGCTCCTCTCGTTTCTGTAGCCCCTGTTAACTCTTGCCAGCTCAGCTCTTCCCTGCCTCATGCAGGGGGCAGCAAAACAGAAGAGCAGGTGCCAGCAAAAATCATGATACAGGGAAAAACATGAACCAACTGAGGCCTCTGCATAGCTCCATCCTTATTTCAGACACTGTGATATATCGGTATATTAACTGGGGATATAGCACAATGCTGAAAACCAGATATTGTCCAGCCATATAGAACATCCCACCCCATTAAAGTAATATCTTCCTTTCAGGTTGGTGGGCAAGCCAATCTAAGCCCCTCTGAACTCATGTGTTGTGGCTGCAATCCCAAGCACTGAATGCTACCTGAGAGTAAGCTGCACTGAAAACAGTGCAGCTGACTACTAAGTAAACATACCCAAGTAAACGTACCCGGGCTGCAAATCAATTAAATTGTGGACTGTTGCTTACAGATGATGTTGTGCCTTGCCGTCCGGACTTGATAGACATCCACATCAGCACGTGGATAGCCTTCAACATCCACAAGTGGTTCGTTCATCCCGACACCTTTTTGCTGCAGCATAAAAAGAAAAAACACAATTACCCCTTTGAGACCTTTTCCTGAATAGGGCAGCTAATGTATTAGCTTAAAATCCTCTTTCCTTTACAGTACAATCCTACACGTGTCTACTCAGAAGTAAGTTCTATTGAGTTCAATGAGACTTCCAGATAGGTATAGCATTGCTATTAACAGAGATCTTAGTTTGCAAGTTTATTATTATTATTAATAATAATAATATTCATACTGCCTTTTATCCGTAGGCCTCAGGGTAGTACACAAGATTAAAATACAAGATCAAAACACATAATAAAAACAAGAGGTGACCACGGTAGCATTAAGAGACACCAAGCGCTGCAAGCGCTGCAATGTTACAGGTACCCTAATGGAACCATCGGGTTGGAAGGGATCCCGAGGGTCATCCATCCCAACCCCCGGCAATGCAGGAGGGAAACACAACGGCGTGCAGAGGGCAGGGCGGCAAATTCACCAGGGCAATGAGGGCGAGTCCACGACGTCGCAGCAGCTCCCCGGGTCGCCCTAGGATCGCCGAGACCCCGGGGCGGAGCAGGGAATCGAGCGAGGCCCCAACCCGCCCGGCCCGGGAGTTGCTACTCACGTCCTCCAGGACCCCGTAATAGGCTCGGATCTGGGCCTCCAGCTCGTCTTTCTTCCGCAGCAGCAGCTGCACGTCGCTGACGGAGATGCCCTTGGGCTCCGGAGCCTCGTCCGGCGCCGACATGGCGGGAGGAGGGAGAAGCGCGGCTCCGCCAACCAGGCCCGGCGAGGGGCGCCTCCTCTCCAGACGCGGCAGCCACGGGGCGACGGAGGAGCCGAAACAGCCTCGTCACGGCCGGGCCGGGGGGCGGGGCCTCTGCAGGAAGAGGCGGGGTTTGCGCGTGGCGGCGAGGGGCGGGGACCGGTTCACACGTGACGACCGCAGCGTCCGGGCGGAGAGGGCTCTGTGCACGTGTGAAGAGGGCCCGGGAAGGTGGGTGCGTCCTGCGCAAGGACTTCCCCGCCTCCTGCACCCCCCCCATATGCGGAAGTGAGGTTGCTCCATATAGACACGTGTCATGCGCCGGCGAACCAGGAGATCCCGGGCGGGTATCCTCTGCCCGTCATCAAGGGGCTCTCAAACTTTTCTCTCTGGAGCACACTTTCAAAATAAAAATTTGCTCCCGCCACACCAAAATCTTTATTGATAAGAAATAGATTGAGAAACAAAAAACTGTTGATTGATCTATATAATATGGAACACTTTATAATATGATCATGGGACATTCACATGAGTGTAGCCAGGATTTATGGGGTTTGGGGGGGCAGAACCTCAGTTAAGTTTTTCTATTTACAGTGGTACCTCGGGTTACATACACTTCAGGTTACATACACTTCAAGTTACAGACTCTGCTAACCCAGAAATAGTACCTCGGGTTAAGAACTTTACCTCAGGATGAGAACAGAAATTGTGCTCCGGCGGCACAGCAGCAGCAGGAGGCCCCATTAGCTAAAGTGGTGCTTCAGGTTAAGAACAGTTTCAGGTTAAGAACAGACCTCCAGAATGAATTAAGTACTTAACCCGAGGTACCACTGTATTTACTTGATTTAATGGGAGGCAGCTGCCTCCCTGCCCCTCTTTGGCTACACCCATAGACAATAAAACAATGCAGTTACATAAGTACATGAATCATCTCCAAAATATAATTATAAACGAGCTTCTTACTTAACTATGTATACAGATTCAAAGAGAGGTGTGAGGTTGCTTTGGCCAGGTACAGTTGTACCTCAGGTTACATTCGCTTCAGGTTACAGACTCCGCTAACCCAGAAATAGTACATCAGGTTAAGAACTTTGCATCAGGATGAGAACAGAAATCGTGCTCCAGCAGCGTGGCGGCAGCGGGAGGCCCCATTAGCTAAAGTGGTGCTTCAGGTTAACAACAGTTTCAGGTTAAGAACAGACCTCCCGAACGAATTAAGATCTACGCTCCCAACGGAGCTCCCAACGCTGCTCTAACGGGAAGCCCCAAAGGAAGAGCTGAGCGCAAGAGCCCTTGTCCCTCTTGTCAGCCCCAGCAGGTGCCATTCAGAGGCACCTGCTGCCTTCAGCAAGGTAACATAGCCATTGGGACTGGTAGCCATTGACAGCCTTTTGCTCCAGGAATTCATATTTTTTAATTTTAATATATTTTTACTGATTTTCAAGGTACAAATACAAATATGAAGAAAGGGGCGGTCGTGTGACTCATCTGTACAGATAGCACAGAGGAAGTTAGCCATGTTGACCAGTAAGAAAAGTTCCCAAATCCACATTAGGGCTACAACACATTTATTACGCTAATGAAAATGTCAAAAGTGCAAGCTTTCAAGTTCTCCAGAGCTCTTCATCATACAAAAATATAAGCAAAGAAAGGGAGGTGCAGACTCCACAGCTTCACCATAAACCAACTCCTCTCCTCACTGCCATTGCTCTGGTTACCATCTATAACATGGGTAGGCAAACTAAGGCCCAGGGGCCGGATCTGGCCCAATTGCCTTCTAAATCAGCGTGTTTTTACATGAGTAGAATGTGTCCTTTTATTTAAAATGCATCTCTAGGTTATTTGTGGGGCCTAGGAATTTGTTCATTTTTTCCCTTCAAAATATAGTCCAGCCCACCACAAGGTCTGAGGGACAGTGGACCGGCCCCCTGCTGAAAAAGTTTGCTGACCCCTGATCTATAACAATAAAACAATGGACAGGGTGGTGATACAATGACTACTGCAATTGACACAAGATAATATCACCAAGGCAACTACCGTATTTATAAACAAGATAGAGGACAGATATACCCCTGCTTTAAGTTGTTTGCATACTCACTGTCTTCACTTGTATATTGTTTACTACAAAGCTGGTAAATAATGGTACTAAGAGCCATCACAAAATTGGTGAATTAATTGAAAGGTAAAAAATTGCTCAGAAACATAAAGAGTAGCTTCCTATTTAAAAGGTCAGTCTATTGACGCTTATATAGTGGGACCTTGGTTTAAGAACAGCTTTGTTTATGAACAGCTTGGATTAAGAACGCTGCAAACCCGGAAGTCGGTGTTTTGGTTTGTGAACTTTGCCTTGCAGGCAGAACATGTTTCGCTTCCTGTTGAGTGTGTTCCATTTGTAAATTGATCCCCTGCTGCTATGGGAAAGCACATCTTGGTTTAAGAACGCTTTGGTTTAAGAACGGACTTCCGGAACGGATTAAGTTTGAAAACCAAGGTACAACTGTATATTGAAATAAGTGTGTTGAATCAAAAGTCTTAACAAAACATCCTTAAACAATGAAAAGGCAACACTCATTTCATTTCCTACACCCTTTATTTTACACCACTGTAAATTGTAAAAAAAAAATAATTGGTGTTTGCTATTTAGATCAATCCGTATAGCTCATTGAGTAGAGCACGAGACCCTTAATCTCAGGGCTGTCCTTTGAGCCCCACGTTGAGCAACAGATTCCTGCAGGGGCTGGACTTGAAGACCCTCGTGGTCCCGTCTAACTCTTCCATCATTCTGTAATCTAAGGGCATTGCTTTCAAGTGAAATCATTCTCGACGCACTCAAACACAGTTCAAACACATTCAAAGGTTATAATAAAAAGTAATCTTTATTAAAAAGTTTTCCAGATGAAATACGTTGTTTCCGAGAGATTTGCATGGGGAAATTTTTTCAATTCCTCAAGAGTAAGGGGCAGTGGGGTGAGGGAGGCCAGGGCCACATCTACACCATTTCATGTGCTATGAAGCCGATTTAAACACTCATGGCTTCTTCCCCCAAAGAATCTGGGAGCTGTAGTTTGAAAAGGGTGCAGAGAGTTGTTAGGAGACCCCCTGTTCCCCTCCCAGAGCTACAATTCCCAGAGTTCCCTGGTGCTAACCCTTAACCTTTAACTAGAGCTACAATTCCCAGAGTTCCCGGGCAAGAAGGGAACCCTAACCCTAACACTACCCCAACTCAACCCTACCCCTACCCCTACTCCTACCCTAAGCCTAACCCTAAGCCTAACCCGCCTAACAACTCTCTGTCCCCTTAACCACCTACAGTTCCCAGAATCCCTGAGGGGAAGCCATTCCTGTTCAAAGCGTCTTCATAGCACTTCCAGTGGACGGTGCGCCTAATGTGGCCTAATGTTTCCTCCCTCGTTTTCTTCTCTCTCCCCACTGCCCCATCACTTGCAATGCAGCAGATGTCCACCTGCAGTCTTCCTTCAAAGCTCCTTCTCTCAGGTACGGCCACCGCCTTGTCCATTGTTTGCTGCCAGTATTTCACATTCATTTCTCCAATGTAAATAGGGACGTCCTGCGGTTCTCTTCATGACTTTGAAGGCTGGACTTGGGGAAAACCTCACTGGCTCCGGACATCCCTGTAAGGCAAAGGCAAACAGGTGAGTGGGATGGCCCCTATCCAACAGCGTTCCCCCAGACTCCTCCTCTGTTTGGCTGCCTGTTCACAAACAAGGCTTCCAAACCAGTTTGCATCCATCTCAGCCAGCGTAGCCTCACGGCATCCACTAGCCTGAATGCAAACTCTTCCGACAACCACCCACCAGCTGCAGCCTCGCCAGGTCCATTGCCAGATATCAATCAGCTTCAGAGCTGAATATCCGTCGCCTTCAGGTAGCAATCCCACCAGCAAGTAAACTTTGTACTTGCCTTCTCCTTGCTCCACAGCATCCCAGCACCAGGCGATTGCCTCCTTCCGCTTGCCAGCTTCTTTTATAATGTGGGATGTAAAAAAAGGCCACCGTACCCCAAGTATTTGTAAAAGCCCTTTAAAGCCAGTTAACACACAGTTACCTAAATGCAAGGGCAGCTTCTCACTGCCTTGCACCAGAGACAGCGGCAAGTTGGTGAGGCAGTGCTGGACAGAACTCGATGCTGGCAACCCAATCCTACACTTTCTCCATGACAGGTTCCTGATAGACTTTGTGCTTTCTGCTGAGACAGTTCATTGGCTTTACTCTCTTCCCAAATACCCTTTTAGCTATGCTGTACCGCTCATTGCAATGCCTTGGATACAATTCGGCTGAGGAATGGTTGGTTTTCTTACTCTAAAGCTAAGAAGCTGACGCTCATGTTTTACTGTGGTTTTATAATTTGTTTTATAACCATTATTATTATTATTATTATTATTATTATTATTCTACCTCTGGAGCACAGCAGGTCATATTTTATTCAGGTGGCGCTTTAAGATGCAACACTTAAAGAAGTGGCAAAAGCTCTGCCCCCAAGGAGCTTGGAAGGGTGCTTATCAGCCTGGCCCAGCCAGGCCACCAGTCCCTGGCACTGGGTCCCCAGATGCTCTTCAGTGGCAGTGTCGCTTCTGATAAGAAGCCAAGCTCGCTCCCATCCTCTCAGGCCACGGATCCCTGTGATGAATTCTGAGTTGCGTAAAGTAGTGGGCAGCTGACACGGATGGGAGTCCAGCTGAGGTCCCATTCCAAAGCGCTGCCTCACATCCATCAGTGAAGGACACCCAGGGGCCACTGGGAGGCGGGGAGCACGTGACGTGGTTTTGCGGGGATGGCAGTTGTCAGCACCAGGCCAAGGGCTGATCCTGCCCTGAGGGGTGGCACTTACCTGACATCAGGGTTGCGAAGAGCAAGGCGCATGGTGCACAGGCCGGTCCCTCCGATTCCAATAAAGATGAACAGAGGAATCAGCTGTGATAAACAGAACGTTTTGAGATCAAAAGCCGAAGTTGAAAACCGGAATAAGTCACCTAAGACAGTGTGCGTGGGAGAGGTCAACTACGAATGACACCAGATTCAGGTGGAAGGCCATGTTGATCTGTCATAGTCATAATAAATAACAAGATGAAAATATCTTTTTTAATAATTCCAGTGGCACCTTAAAGATCAACTCAATATAAGTTTTCAAGGTATGAGCTTTTGTGTGTATTATACACTTCGTCAGATACTTCAGCCTTATAACTGTTGAGGAATGTTATGGCCAGTTGGTTCCACAGGGAAGGGCCAGGGATTCTTAAAGGGATAGATGACCAAAATTAGCTTCTAATTGCATTCTATACAAGATCTTAAGGTAGCTGTCTTATTGCAGAAGAATTTTAGAAATACACTTGAAAGAGAAGTTGCTGAATTACAACTCATTACCAAACTAAAAACTATGGAGAGACCTGGTCTGAATGGATATATTGGATTCATGTCCCATTATACATACTAAAGCTAAATTACTGGAATTATTAAAAAATATCTTTTCATATTCCATCTTGTTATTTATTCCGAATGACACCTGCACACAAACAAGCAACTTCCTTGGGCAGACAACATCTGCTCCCAGGTTGCTAACTAATGCTTTTTAAGTCTCCCGCTGCATTTTTTATTTATGAGAGAATTTCTAACCTGCCTTTCTTCCAAGGATTCCAAAGGAGCTTACATTATAATAAAACGCAAGAATAAAACCGATCCAACACTGCTTATACAAACAGATAAAAGCATAGCACGCTCCATGAACCACCTGGACTTTCATCTGCAGCAGCAGCAACAAAATCCCCTTCACCTTCCTGCCCACCCAAAAATCCTAGGCAAACAGGTTCTTTTGCGCAGGATAGCAATGCAGATGCTGTTGGAATCCACCTCCCATCGGCATAGCCAACGGTCCGAGATGATGGGAGTTGGGCCAACAACATCTGGAAGGCACCAAGTTGGGGACGGCTGCTGCAAGCCTCTTTGCTGGGTCTCTTTTGGCAGCGGGGGCTAGCAAAATTAAGGAGGTGCTGGCAATAACACAGCGCTGCTGACAAACCTGCCTGAGAAAGTGGTCTGCACAGGCATTTTAAGAGGTCAAAGGAGTCAACATGGTAGAGGCCAAGAGACGGAGGGGAAGCAGCTCCTAGGCTCTGCAAAGCCCAGAAAGCTAAATAATTCATCTCTGACCTAGAGGAATCCAGTCTTTTCTAAACCACCTGTGGAGAGGGGAGGGGACATTGCCCTAAAAAAAGGTGCATCCTAACCCCTTAGACTAAAGCCTGTTTGCTCATTTATCTGGGCCTATTATTTATTGACAAGTTTTATATGACTTATTGTATGTTAGGGTTATCTCTCCCGCTGCTGCAGAGAGGGAGGGCGATTCAGGAGTGTTGCTGTTACTTAAAAAATAAAACGAGATTCTTTGCAACCTGCTTTGGTCTTTCTTGTTGTTGTTGTTTAGTCGTTTAGTCGTGTCCGACTCTTCGTGACCCCATGGACCAGAGCACGCCAGGCACTCCTGTCTTCCACTGCCTCCCGCAGTTTGGTCAGACTCATGTTTGTAGCTTCGAAGACACTATCCAACCATCTCGTCCTCTGTTGTCCTCTTCTCCTTGTGCCCTCCATCTTTCCCAACATCAGGGTCTTTTTCAGGGAGTCTTCTCTTCTCATGAGATGGCCAAAGTATTGGAGCCTCAGCTTCACGATCTGTCCTTCCAGTGAGCACTCAGGGCTGATTTCCTTCAGAATGGATAGGTTTGATCTTCTTGCAGTCCATGGGACTCTCAAGAGTCTCCTCCAGCACCACAATTCAAAAGCATCAATTCTTCGGCGATCAGCCTTCTTTATGGTCCAGCTCTCACTTCCATACATCACTACTGGGAAAACCATAGCTTTTACTATACGGACCTTTGTTGGCAAGGTGATGTCTCTGCTTTTTAAGATGCTGTCTAGGTTTGTCATTGCTTTTCTCCCAAGAAGCAGGTGTCTCTTAATTTCGTGACTGCTGTCACCATCTGCAGTGATCATGGAGCCCAAGAAAGTAAAATCTCTCACTGCCTCCATTTCTTCCCCTTCTGTTTGCCAGGAGGTGATGGGACCAGTGGCCATGATCTTCGTTTTTTTGATGTTGAGCTTCAGACCATATTTTGCGCTCTCCTCTTTCACCCTCAATAAAAGGTTCTTTAATTCCTCCTCACTTTCTGCCATCAAGGTTGTGTCATCTGCATATCTGAGGTTGTTGATATTTCTTCCGGCAATCTTAATTCCGGCTAGGGATTCATCCAGCCCAGCCTTTCGCATGATGAATTCTGCATATAAGTTAAATAAGCAGGAGACAATATACAGCCTTGCCGTACTCCTTTCCCAATTTTGAACCAATCAGTTGTTCCATATCCAGTTCTAACTGTAGCTTCTTGACCCACATAGAGATTTCTCAGGAGACAGATGAGGTGATCAGGCACTCCCATTTCTTTAAGAACTTGCCATAGTTTGCTGTGGTCGACACAGTCAAAGGCTTTTGCATAGTCAATGAAGCAGAAGTAGATGTCTTTCTGGAACTCTCTAGCTTTCTCCATAATCCAGCGCATGTTTGTAATTTGGTCTCTGGTTCCTCTGCCTCTTCTAAATCCAGCTTGCACTTCTGGGAGTTCTCGGTCCACATACTGCTTGAGCCTTCCTTGTAGAATTTTAAGCATAACCTTGCTAGCGTGTGAAATGAGTGCAATTGTGCGGTAGTTGGAGCATTCTTTGGCACTGCCCTTCTTTGGGATTGAGATGTAGACTGATCTTCTCCAATCCTCTGGCCACTGCTGAGTTTTCCAAACTTGCTGGCATATTGAGTGTAGCACCTTAACAGCATCATCTTTTAAAATTTTAACTAGTTCAGCTGGAATACCATCACTTCCACTGGCCTTGTTATTTGCAGTGCTTTCTAAGGCCCATTTGACTTCACTCTCCAGGATGTCTGGCTCAAGGTCAGCAACCTCACTGCCTTGGCGTGGCGAAGGGGCTTGAAGAACTCAGAGAAGCTATGAAGTATGCCGAGCAGGGCACCCAAGATGAACAGGTCATAGTGGAGAGTTTTGACCAAACGTGATCCACCTGGAGGAGGAACCGGCAAGCCACTCCAGTATCCCTGCCAAGAAAACTCCATGGACAAAGACAACAGGCATATAAAAGTTATGACGCTGGAAGATGAGCCCCTCAGGTCGGAAGGCGTCCAACATGCTACTTGGTCTTTCTAGCATAGCTAAAAAATAAAACAGAATTTTGTTGGCACCTTGGTTTCCCCCCCCTTTGCTTAACGAGCTCAGATTACAGCTGCTCTCCCCCTCCTCTCTGCCTTCGGCTGCTAAGGGTTCTCTCCCTCTGCCTGCTTCTTCTCCTCCTGTCAGCATCTGAGCTTCGCTGACAAGAAGTGACTGCCGCGGCATTCCCTCACAGGATGGCATGGGCAGGGGAAGGGTTTATATACTGGGTAGTAGATTGCAGCCTGGTCTATTGCTGTCATTTTATGGATCAATGGTCTCGTTAGTTAGTAAAATTTATGTAAAATTGCTGTTTTAGGGGTTGTTTTTCATCGTCTGGAACGGATTAATCCGTTTTCCATTACTTTCTATGGGAAAGCATGCCTTGGTTTAAGACTACTTTGGTTTAAGACCAGACTCCAGAACGGATTAAGTTCGTAAACCAAGGTACCACTGTAAGGCTAAGCTCTTTAGCAATGAAACGTTGGATTACCAGAATGACTCCTAGCGCTGAACCACTGGTATATTGCAAGTGAATTCTTTATTTACTGTGTTTGCTACTGTTTGAGATAAAATCTATTGGGGACACACACCTATTTTTGCCATTTTTCTGGATGTTTATTGTCACCATCTAGGCACACTGAGAGCTCTGGAGAACTTGAAACTTTGCACATTATTTTGTAGCATTTCGGTTGACCTAATAAGGATAAAGGGACGCGGGTGGCGCTGTGGGTTAAACCACAGAGCCTAGGACTTGCCAATCGGAAGGTCGGCGGTTCGAATCCCTGTGATGGGGTGAGCTCCCATTACTCAGTCCCTGCTCCTGCCAACCTAGCAGTTCGAAAGCACGTCAAAGTGCAAGTAGATAAATAGGTACCACTCTGGCGGGAAGGTAAACGCCGTTTCCGTGCGCTGTTCTGGTTCGCCAGAAGCGGCTTAATCATGCTGGCCACATGACCTGGAAGCTGGACGCCGGCTCCCTCGGCCAATAAAGCGAGATGAGCGCCGCAACCCCAGAGTCGGTCATGACTGGACCTAATGGTCAGGGGTCCCTTTACCTTTAATAAGGATAAAGTCCCAAGAATGCATTTCAGAACTTATGTTTTTTCTTACTCCATGGCCTGATTCACATGTAACTCTAAACTACAGTTTATCATTGCATGCACAAGTTTCAGGGCTGCTCCCTCTCCTCTCTTCCCCCACAAGTGTGCACCGTCTTTCTCAATTCTGGTTAATAAATATACCTGAATCCAGATAAGTAGTGGCTGCTGGCTTATTTCAACAACAGCTCATGGTTTATGACGCTGACTTGTTATCCTAAAGTGCAAGCAAAATTACACAAGTAACCAAAAGTATGATCTCCCTGCTCAGATGCTTTAGAGGTGCATTTTATCGATGTTTTAAAGTCTTTGTGGAGTGCGTTTTTCACATTGGTCAATGCTCTGGCTTCTCGTGGGACAAAGGGTGGTATAAAATGAAATGAAGTGAGGGGGGCTAGTGGTCAGAGCGTTGGTCCAGGACTTCAGCCTGGAAGCTCCTTGGTCAGACAGACAGTCTCCCAACCTAGCCCTACCTCACAGGGTTATTGTGAACATAAAGTGGGGTGAGGGAAGGGCCATGTATGTCTCCTTGAACTCTCTGGAGGAAATGGGCGGCGTCAGTGGCAGGCGGTAGAAATGTAATAATAAATGAAAATAAATAGAAGATTATTTCGATGATTTCACATATACACAGATGAGGTCTGATCTGGCAGTGACTGAGCAGGAATGGCATCATGGAGTCACGGAGGGGAGCTCAATGAAAGCAGAAGACTTGACAGGTTTCAGGGGCTGCTGGACAAGCTCATCCCCTCCAACAGTTATCTGGTGAAAATAGGGATGTCCTATTCAATAATAATAATAACAGCCAGTGGTTTTTTAGGGACACTTGGAGTGTCTGCAAGCTGCCTTCTGGAGGGGGGGCATCTTGGCGTCACACACACCCCAACACTTCTGCATCTGACTGGCTGCCAAGACCTGCTCAAGATATTTTGCTGCCCGAGATGAAGAACGTCATGGTGCGTCCACTGTTATAGGCGCAAAAGCTTACTAGACTGGCAGTTAATTCAATGCTGGCAAAGCGACCACGTCCTCCATCACACCTGAGGGCAGCAAACTCCCCTGGGGAGGGCAGAGAGCAGACTCTGGAGCTCACACAGCCTTCGCTGCTCTCTGCCCATCTGCCACCTGAGGCAGCCGCTTCACTCTGCCTTGTGAAGTCTAGTTGCCTGAAATGAAAACAAGGGGTGACAGCAGCCTTGGCTGCCAATGCAACACTTTGCCCCCTAGAGTGCCACACTGCCTCCCTGGCATCCTTTAGTGCCTCATGGACAGCAGGGACATGGGCACAGACCCCGTAGTCAGGGCCGTCTTTACCCAGGGGTGCAAAGGGCACCCAGGCACTGAATTCTGGGGGGCACCAGGCACCCACTGCTGAAGCCGCCTAAGCTCTTAACTATCTACCTGTTATGAAATAATAAATAATGCTGATCAAACTAGAAAAACAAAATACATATATATATACCTAGGTATTACAGAAATGTATACCTACGGTTTCACTAAAGGACTTTCAACTTTGTGCGCTCATTTACCAAAGACATGCCACGCTAGTGGCGGCGCTTGTAATTCACAATGGTGCTGTGTATGCAAAATTAACTCTTACATCAAAATATTATGTTACGTATTGTATTGAGCTGCTATGCGGCAGCGGGGTCACCGGCACCTTTGACCCGACTGATGTTTCTCCTAAGTAGGTGCCTAGACAATACTTATAAGTTTATTAAGTGTGGTGGTGTTGTATACTTTAGTATAAGTGTATTGTAAATAAATAAGCAAATAAAAATGTTTGTTTCTTTTTCCTTTCGTAAACAAGAGATAAAGTGTGGTGTTTGACATAAGCATAATACAAGTTAATTTGGGGGCTAAACTAAATTTGGGGGCCCTGGGCGGATCTTTGCACCCCGGCGGCGCATATGCTAAAGACAGCATTGCCCATAGTCCAGCCCCAAACTGCAGCTGCGTGAAAACGTTGCATTTTGACCCACACACTGACTTTGGAGTCACTTGGTCCCTGCCTTTTCTCTTGGGTCACAGATAATGCTTGCGAGAAAGACAGCATATAACTGGGGTTAAAGTGTTTAAAATTTCCATCTGGAGTAGGAGGAGTGAGGGAGGAGCTCGTCCTCCCATGTTTGCTTTAATAAAAGCTTCGGATACTGCCCCTCTCCCCGTCTCTCTCTCTCTTTCTGTCTCTCTTTCTCTCTTGGTGACATCGCTTTGCTGCCACAGAGAAGAAAAAATGGTGAGGCTTCATAGCTCTTAATCAAATTATATATATATATTGTTGCTGTCACTCTGAGGGTAACAAGAGGTGTTTTTGACCCTGTGAAATTTGCAAACAATTCCTAGTTGTTCACGTTTGGACTGTCCTGCAAACATCTAAATCAGTGCATGAAAACCAAGCAATTTCTTGGAGTGAGTGAATATGCTGTGAACACCTAATTTGTGCGGACAGTTAGACATGGGTTTATATTTTTATTTTGATTTCATCCCTCTAGTATTAGTGGTGGTGTCTGATGTATTGTTAAAACTCTCATGACTTGCATAGAGCATTAGTTTTGAGGTGGGTTTTTTAAAACTTCTAGAGTAACTTTTTGCAAAATTAATGTCTCTGTTTTATTCTGTTTTGATCCTTAACCGCTAGACGACTTACTCGGATAAAGGGGTGAAGGTAAGATCACAATGCAGTCTAATATCCATGCACCCACCCCACCCCAAATATGGTCTATGATGTCAATGGCATTTTGGATTAATGTCTTAGGGCATAAGCTGACGAGAAGGACCACGGCAAAAGCCTTTTTGAAATGAATATTCTCTTGTTGCATAGAAGAACTGGGCTGTGCATTTGGCAAACACCCGATAAATCTGAAAGCATCGTACAAAAGCCATATTCTTACATTCTACAAGATGCAATTGTTTTGTATTTTAACTGAATGATTGTAATTCTTAAAGCAGAAGTGTGTGAGTCTCATAGACTCACACATTACTTAAGGGAAACCTGGGTTAGCCAGCAAGTGTACTCTCATTCCAGGTCAATCCCAGCTGCCTGTCATGGGTGCATGTATGATACAGGGGTTTGCAAACAACGTGTTCACCCTTTTTGGGTGTTAACGTACTAAATATGCACCAATTTCTTGTCTAATATTTTTTGATATTTCATCATAGCTGACAAAAGTGGTGTATTTAAGAAACAAAAGCTCCCCCATCTCAGCTAAAAAATAAAACAAAACAATGAGGGCAAAGTTCAGCCAACATTAAGCAATTTTCAGCCTCATTAAAATGAGAGGGTGGTTAATTTTGGCTAGTTGGTGCCTTATGTTCTCAATCGATTAAGAAAAAGTGGTACATTCACTAATTACTGTGTGTGCCTGGTCCATTTGCCCAAGGCTATGATCCTAAGCTACTAGAAGGGAGTTCCATTGAACCCAATAGGACCTGCTTCCAAAATAAACCTCATTGCCCCCCACAGAGGGTAGCTGTGTTAGTCCGTATCCCAGCAAAAACATTAAAGGATCTTTGCCTTTGCCATCCGAGTTCCGATCCTGCCTCACCTGGCTCTGTTGAGAGGGCTTTGAATGATCCTGCCTGCAGTGGCACAGCATGTGGGGGGCACGGGGGGGGGGAATTGCCCCAGATACAAAATGGTTAAGGGTGCAACATTTCAACACCTGGGCTCTGTTGAAAATGGCTTCTCCTTGCAAATCAGGACAGCGGAAGACTCTTCTTTTCTTCTCTCTACAGCTGCAATCTCCTGGGGGATGCGGGTGCTATTAGGCAGCTGTAACCATATGCGTGCTCCGTCCATTTCACTCCCACCCCCACCTCTGCACGGCCCTGGGTGCTGGGACCCTATGCTACGCTACTGCCTACCTGTATTAGGGATACTGGGCTGCTCTGCCTCTGAGTGTGTCACATACCGTAATAACCAGCTACCTTTTCTCCCATTCAGCCTGAAAGAGGCCGGTTCCTTCACTTCCATTCCTTGACGTTTTGGGTTGGTAATGCAAAGCAGGTGAGTGTGCTGATAAAACCAGGAAGGTCTGCCAGGGCGGGTTGGGGGGGGGGTTGACTCCCGAGAAAGGATGAGAGAAGAAACCAGTTTGGCTCGGATTTCAGAGCAGACTTACCTGATTCGCAGTGCCCGAAACAAGATGCTTACTGCAATGCGGCAAAACTTTGAAATGTTCACTTCTCTGAATTTTGTGGTGTATACAAAATGTGTACATTTGGGGAATGTGTTATAAGAATGCAGGTGTTTAGTGAAAACCATGTATGGACGTGCATTGTATGGGGTCAAATTGCTTGCAAAAAGGAGAAGGGCCTCGTGAAATGTGGCAGGTTTCCATGAGTACTTTAAAAGAAAAGTTCACATGTGAGATGTGGCAAGCAGAACAAAAAGCTGGGAAAATGAGAAAGAGGGGGAAGCCAGACTTGACAGAGTCCTTCCTCTTAATGTTGTTGGCTTTGCTGCTGTTGCCCCCTTGTCCCCTTCCCAGGCACCTCACTGGGGCATCTGGTTGGTCTCTGCGAGAACAGTGTGCTGGACTGTATTGGGCCCCCTTTGGCCAGATCCAGCTGCAAATCTCTTCCTGCATTTGTTTGCAATACGGAGGGCTGTGGAGGGGATGTGCTTCAGGCTGTTGCGCTATTGGATGCTGGAGACGGGGTGGAGACCCATCTGAAAGGCGGGGTGGGAGTGGGGCAGATTTCCTGGGTAAGCTGCATTCAATTAATGGCTTGTGCCTTGCTGGCTATGGGGGATGGGGCATTGCACTCCGAGGAATGTGGAGCTGGAATGGTCTTTGGACCAGCCTGATGCAACCGAGAGAGGGGAGAGGGGAGGCAGATTCTTTGCTTGGTTGGCGGGGTTAGGGAGGTCCTGAGCCAAACACACACCGTGCACAGAGGGCTCACCCACACCCTGGCTGAATGCCCACATTTCCCCATTCTGAATTGTGCACTGTAGCCCCCTGTGCTTCCACACCTCCCTGGTTTGTTTGCTGCCGCAACATATCTTTCTACAAGGACCAGAGGGCTGCTGCAGCCAATCCTCACCCCTCCATGTGGCTGTTGGCATCCGTCTGTCTCGAGAGACAATGGAGTGCAGCTCCTGGGACGGAGTCAAACTGCTGTGCCAGCAGCACCAAAGTGACTTCCCTGAGGCATAAGCCTGGTCAGTGTATCTGGAGGTCCTGGGCTGCCCAGACAACATTAACCTCGCTGATGTGGTCCAAAGGAAAGGAAAGCAATATGCTTGACACTGGCTTGGCGGCAGGAATTGCCAGAAAGAGTCATACAAGATGTCACCCAACCGCCTTAGGGACTCCACTCCACATTTGTGGAGGGGTTACCCCTGAGCCTTTCATTCTCGCAAAGATATGCAGGCAGCAGAAGTTTAGGATCAGAGTTTTGCTTCTCCTAGATGGGCTACCTTCCCAGGTTGATGAGCCCCGTCAACCTCATCTTTCCTCCAACAAACTGAAAGTGATGTCCCCCACCCGCCATTTTGTTTCTTAATGATGTCATTTGCAACTGTAATTCAATGGAAGATGCCCCCAGAGTGGTCTATTGAAGCAATACCAAAAGAAGAAGTCAGGATCTGTTCTCAGGCTTGCAGTCTGTCTGGAATGATGCGGCGCAAAAAGGGGAAAGGGGTGAGGCAGCTCCCTAAGGGATTTAGCCTCCTGGGCAAGTCTGAGGGGCAGAGTGGGGATTTGAACCTTACTCCACACCCAATATTCTGACCATTATGTCACACTGGTTCTTGCCATGTGTCATGCCAAGATTTAAAACATCACACCAGTAGGATAAACAGGTAACGCTGTACTCAATGTTGCACTGAGCAGTTCGTTGCACAGAGCAAGGGTTTCTCCTTGTGCAACAGAACCATCTCCCCTCTGTGTCCCCCACCTGATCTGGGGGTTTCCCCTCCCTGCAGAGTGGATTTGAGGATGGCGTAAGATGTGCCGGGGGGGGGGAGGGAGCTGATTATGGCCCATAATCTTAATATTATGTCTGGTGACTTACTGATAACATACTTTTTTAAAAAGGCTATTTTGCTTTTTTTCGCCCATGTGTTTTAAAGGCTGCTTCATTTTATTGCAACAAAATGGGGTTTGAGGAACTGGCCTACAAAGGTCTGGAGACGGGAAGCAGAGAGGTGGTGTCCCATGTGGTCAAACAGGACAAGGTAAGGAGGAAAGAAAACTGCACTGATGTAGGCTGGGGGGGGGGGTCCTAGGGTTGCCATATTGCAAGAAGTGAAAATCCGGAGACAAACAAATTGTTGACCTTTAAAATTTCCTGTGGAGGTAGAAGGTGTGAGAACAAGCTTGCAAAACCAGTCCATTTGTCTAGGCAACAGTTGTAGCTGACAACTAGCACCATGATCCACATGCCAAAGGGATAAGCTGAGCTGCAAGGGCTACAACTAAGTGATATTGCCCTCTGGGCAAATGAGTGGATCTCCCTGTGTCCCCCCCCCCAGCTGCCAGGGGAAGGGAGCAATAGGCATTGCTGGGCAGAGGGCAGGCTGAAAAGCTGGAGCCAGAGACATGCTTGCTCTGCACTAAATCCAAGCTGTGACTCAAAGGACAAGCAAGATCTCCTGGGGTGTTCATGCTGTGAGCCTCTTCATTCTATGCTCAGGTTATATATGTGTGTAGATAAAAGGTAAAGGGACCCCTGACCATTAGGTCCAGTTGCGGACAACTCTGGGGTTGCGGTGCTCATCTCGCTTTATTGGCCGAGGGAGCCGGCGTACAGCTTCCGGGTCATGTGGCCAGCATGACTAAGCCGCTTCTGGAGAACCATAGCAGCGTACGGAAACGCCGTTTGTCTTCCCGCCGGAGCCGTACCTATTTATCTACTTGCACTTTGACGTACGCTCGAACTGCTAGGTTGGCAGGAGCGCCGACCTTCTGATCGGCAAGCCCTAGGCTCTGTGGTTTAACCCACAGCACCACCCGTGTCCCTTGATGTATGTAGATAAACCATCTATAAACCATATATTCTAAAGACCCTCACTCCAAGTAAATTGAACCTGGAACCCTTGGACTCTCTTACCCTTTGGAGAGTTGGGCTGGAGTGTAACAGTATTGTGAATAGGGGAGGGGGACCCACAACTGTCTTGGGTCTAGCAAAGAGAGACCAACTCTCTAAGCCAGCCTTTTCCCAACCTGGTGCCCTCCAGATGTTATGGAATATTCCTGTTTTTAGCTTCCTGTTTGTTGTCTCAATGATCTTGGATATCAACATTTTAAATGAATGCCAATGTCAGCATTTCAGCCTTTGACTCATCACTTAACCTTGTCATAAAGAAAACGAATGCTTGTAGTTATTCTGATTATTATTCTGATTACCAACAGATCATATTTATCTTCTCCTCGGCTCTCAACCCTGGAAATCAAGGTAATTCAAGAGTTGGTCCTGTTGTAACTTTTCTTACCAAATGAGTTCTTTTTGAAACCCTGGGAGTTCTGTGTCCAGCTCTGGGAGCCACATTTTGAGACAGGTGTTGGCTCCACGCAGGTCAGGAGTAGGGCGAACAGGATGGGGGGGGCGGTTCTGGACTCTCAGTAAGGAATGCATTAAATTGCTGGCTATGCTTTAGTCTGGAGGAGAGAAGTTTAAGGGGAGACGTGAAAGTGGTCTGCAGATATCAGAAGGGTTGTTGCATCAAAGGTGGAACAGACTTTTTCTGATTCTCCAGAGGGCAGGACTTGAACTAAGGACCAGGAATGGCAGAGAGGGGCAGATTTTGGCCAGATATGCAGAGAAAGTTCCTAAAAGCAACTGCACCTGGACAGTGGGAATGTCTGCCACCTCCCCCTATTTAAGCAGAGGCTGGGCAGCCATTTGTAAGGGGCTGCTGCAGGACTTGTGCCTTGCATTGCAGATTCTGCTCTGAGCATTGGGGGGTGGGGCTCAATGACCTCCCAGGGTCTCTTTCAATGCAGTTCACTGGTTTATTTTACCATGCTTCAAGTTAGTTTGTATCCCAGTGTTACATAGATCATCTCGTCGTTTCCAGCCCAGGTGTGCCATCTAGGGGAGCTGGGGGGCCGAGGGCTCCACCCAAATTTTCAAGGGGTGGGTTGGGCCCCCTCAAAATTCAGTGACCCTGCGCACTGAAAGCTCTCTGATGGTCTCTGCCAGGGGTGTGGCAAGGCAAAGCATCTTCACCCTGGCATGTCCTTTTGAGAACTGCCCGGGCCCCTTCCCGGAAGACACCAAAACGAGAGGCTGCATAAAAAAGTAGGGTGGGGGCAGGGGATGGCAGGCCAAGTTGGCATGTCTGGGGGGGGTGTATGTGTGACGTCACGCATGCGCGATGCCCTCCCTCCTGGCAGTGTTGGGCACAAGTTGGTGCCTCTGTTCCAGCCTGTAGTGTTGGCGCATTTTGCTCCATGGAGCCATGGAAGCTGCCTGCATTGTGATTCTTAGCTACAATGGCTTTGTTCTCCCTCCAATGTTGAAGGCAGCACACCTTTGTTGGGAATCCCAAATGGGGAATTGTCTGCTGTGCTCACGTCCTGCCTTCAGGCTTCTTGTAGGCATCTTGGTTGGCCGTTGTGAGAACAGGATGCTGGACTAGAGGAGTTATTGGCCTGATCCAGTGGCTAGGCCCTTCTCATATTTCCATGTCCTTCACAACCCATCAGCGGTGCCATAGGTGCCCTCTCGCACCGAAGATTGTGGGTGCCCACAACGAAGGGCTTCGACTTCGCCCATTGACTTTGGAGTGGCTCAGTCCCCCAAATATATTGTTGTGGGTGCTGAAGCACCCACGGCTCCCTAGAGTGAGCTCCAGTGAGTGGTTCTTTAATATCATAAGGACTGATCCAGCCAAAGGGATACCCTGTCCAGCCCCCAGCTTCTCTTCATGGCCAACCAGATGCCTCTGGGAAGCGCTCAAGCAGAGTCGTCTTTCCCATAGGGCTTAGTGGTCCGTTGCGCCAGGGCGCCAGCCTCTCAGGGGCGCCCCAGCGAGTGGAGGAGCTGCGTGGCTTTCCTGGCAGCCTCCCCTTTCCCTGCATGCCCGCCAGCTGGCGGGCGTGCAGCTTGCCTCCCAAGCCTCTGCAAGGATTGCTCTCCTGCAGCGGCATGGGGGAGAGTTGCGCCCCCCGATGGCTGGCAGTGCACAGCTTCAGCCCCCCCCACTATCTGTGGTAATTTGGGGGTGCTGGGCGGATATTTGCACCCTGGCACCACATCTGCTAAAGACAGCCTTGCCCTTGAGCAGCCTGCCATGGTGGCTGTGGGCCTCTCCCTCCTTTTTTCTTTCTGCGTTCTCTGATGGGCCTTGAAGGCTGGATTCAGGGTCACCACGTCTGCCAGTTCCTCAGCTGGAGTTTTTACCAGGGTTATATGCAGCCCCTTGGCAGGACTTCAAATGTAGGCTTCTCCTTGTCTCAGGGGGGAGATGGAGTCTCCTTTGCTCTTAAAGGACAATGCAGTTAATTCACTAGCACAGGTAATTTGCTGTGCCTAACTAAGGCACAGCTGGCGTTCCATGTTCTGAGGTACACTGCCTCTGACTATGGAGGTTTCATCTTTTTTGGCCAATAGCAGTTGACAAACTTCTCCTCCATTAAATTGTCTTGGTGTTTCCTCTTTCTCTCTCTCTCATTATGCAGAAATGGGAGCACACTTAGTGAAGCATGGGGACGGAGTCAAAGATGTTGCCTTTGAAGTGGAGGACTGTGATTTCATCGTGCAGGTGAACCTCTGCTGAAGAGGGTCTCTGTGTGACTTGAGAGGCTTGCTAGCCTTTCGCCTTGCTTCATCTAGTAGGTGCTATTTTTATTTTCCCCACTCAGAAAGCTAGAGAGCGTGGAGCTCTGATTGTTAAAGAACCCTGGATAGAGGAAGATAAACACGGGAAGGTGAAATTTGCAGTCGTTCAGACGGTAAGAAAGTGAGGGCTTTCACCTATAAACTGCATTTGGAGAGACTCAGGAAATGATAATACTAATAGGCAGCTGTTGTTAGACAGTGGAACGGACTGGAAGGTAGAGGTTAAATGGTCATCTGTCATTGCAGGGGGTTGGACTAAACTCTACGACTGTGATTAATAAATAGGATTTATGTAGCATGTTTTCTAGGCACTTTGTTTTTATTTTATCAGAAACCCTTAAAACAAGCCTATCTTATTAGCCTCATGTTTCTGAACTGGAGACTGAGAGAAATTACTAGACTTCTTCAGCCTCAAGAAGAAGCTATGCATTTAGCCAAAGGTAGTGATTAATGTACAGAGTAAGAGGTCCTGTTTGCCATTGCAGTATACTCGGAGTCCTGTAGTGACTTCATGCTCTTTATTGCAGCTTGTAAAACAGTGATTGAATTTCCCCCCAAACCTCAGGCCTTTATAGATATTATTTACACAATGAGTCCCGTCTGATTGGCTGATTCTGCTTCCCTCCTGGAGCCTGATTGGTCTTTTCCTGCAGGCCAAACAGTTGTTGCATTCTAGGATCCTACCAGCCTAATAGGTTGGTTAACTTACTCCTGGAGCCTGATTGGTCTTTGCCTGCAGGCCAATCAGTTGTTGCATTCTAGGATCCTACTTGCCTATTGTTCTAGGATCCAAGCTTAGTACATAACACCATATACATTTAAAACAGCATCATGGCACTTTAATTAGTCATGGCGCCCTCCCCCCCAATTACAAAAGCATCCTGGGAAGTGTAGTTTAAGGGTGTTGAATAGCTGTTTTGGAGGTGCCTATTCCCCTCACAGAACTACAATTCTCAACTCTACAATTAAATAATCCCTCCCTCTTCCCATGGATTTCTGGGAGTTGTAGGCCTGTGAGGGGAATCAGAGTCTCCTCATACGTAACTCTTCCCCTGAATGCGAAGACAGGCTCTGGTGAAAGGAGCAGACAAGGCCAAGAGTGGCTCCAACAGTCAAGAAAGTGGTTTCTGCACATGCTGTAGAGGGAAGTGAGGGGAAGGGGGGAGCAAGGAAGCAGCTGCCCCCCCCCAAACAAGTAAATAAATAAAAACACCTAACTAAAAGTAGAAATTGTGGAAAGATTTTGACAGATTTTCCTGAGCACTTGGGGTCAAAAGAAAGTCATTTAAAACAACTGTTGCTGAGATTTGGCAAAAACCAATAAAACAAGTTTTGGGGGTGGGGAGCCAGTGGGATCTCTCAGCTCACTAGAGTGATATTAAAACGTTGCACTTTCCTCTTCCTCCTCCTCCTCCTCCATCTAGTATGGAGACACCACACACACCCTGATAGAAAAGAGGGGCTACAAGGGGCTTTTCCTGCCTGGGTTTGAGCCACCCATCTTCAGGGACCCTCTGTTGAAAAGACTGTAAGTACCCAGCCCTTAATGCTCTGCGTAAACTCTAGCGTGAAAGATCTGATTCTCATTTTAGACTGGGTGCCATTCCACACACTTAGATTTGCCACTGGGATTGTTCAACCAGCAAGGAGCTAGTCCTGGCCATTTCTGAGTGTCATTCGCACATTACACTTTTAGGTAAAAATAATCTTTTCTTTCTCTTCCCCTTCCCACTGCACACAGATTAGCAGAGACCCCACTGGAAGTTGTTATCCTTCAAGGTACACACTTCAGACAAGCTTAAGCATACACCTGAATCAAAACAAAAATCACGCTCAAAGAACCTTTGGTGACTTTCATCACAGGGAGTTTGATGTCTGATTTTTATTTTTTTTACCAACAACCAAACACAAACAGTGAGACCCCCAGGCGGCTGATACATTGGGTATACATAATCAATAATAACATATTCAAATCAACCATATGTACAATTTTATATACGTTAACAGTCCTCCATCCACAAGGTTTCTTTAACTTTTAACATTTTAATTGCCCCAAATTGTTCAAACCTACCCAAATAATTCAATATCTTCTCAAACCAATCCTCCTCTTTCTCACTGACCTTAAACCCTTTCATGCTATATCTTCACAGTTACTGTAGATATTCTAAAATTATAATATTATTCAGTTTTTTTCCTCCATTGGTTCACCCCAGCTCTTCTGCATTTTTCCAATTACTCGCTATAACCTGTCTGGCTGCAGTTACCATCAATTTTACCCATTTACATTCCTCTTTTGTTTTTAACTTGGTGCTACTCAGACTAATAAGAACCATTAATTTAGCTATCCCCACCTTCCTACCCACAATTCCTGATATTTCTATACCAATCTGTTTCCAAAATTCAGTAACTAACGGACAATCCCACCACATGTGACTGTACGTTCCCATCACTCCACATTTCCTGTCTGATTTTATTTGTTTATTTATTGCATTCGCATCCCACTTTTTCTCTCTCTAAGGAGTTCAAGGTGGCATCCCTTGTTCTCTCTGCTGCTCATTTAATCCTCACAACCACCCTTTGAGGTAGGCTAGGCTGAGGGGAATGACTGGCCCAAGGCCCCCCAGGGAACGTCATGACCAAGTTGCTGGACTCCCAGATTCTTTGCTGACACTCTAGCAGGACACCACACTGGCTTATGGGGAACCCTTTGTGTAAAGGGAGATTAACCCCTGAAAGGTGGACAAGAGCTTAATTTGCAAATGGGTTGCTGAGATACTTCAAATGGGCCTTTGGCAACAGGCTTCTCTTGCCTATACGTTTTTCTCTGGAAAGAGTTAATGGGGGTGGGAGGATCTGAAGCCAACTTGTCTGCATGAGAAGTACTCATCCCACAAAAAACACCAAACCCCTGACCTCACCTGCCTTTTCTTTCTCAGGCCACCTGGGAAACTGAACTTCATTGACCATATAGTGGGGAACCAGCCTGACCAGGAGATGAACTCTGTGGCAGAATGGTAAAGATTGCTTTTGAAATCAACTTAAGGGAAGCATTGCTTTCCTTCTAGAACATGAAATTTCCTCGATGATAACACAGGACATTTAGAGCAGCCATGGGGACCCCAGATGTTGTGGGCCTGATCAATCTAAATCCCTGATTCAGAGGAACTGATTTTAGGACATTTATTATGGGCGGCCTTTACTACGTACTATGTACGCAAACACGCATCCAGGGGGTGGGGTCCCCAACTGAGTCTTCTTCGATCCAGATGACAGAAAGCCTCATTTAGGCCCTGCTCATAGACCATCCTCTCCAGGGGCTTTGCATACCCACCAGCTCAGCATGTGGGGGGTGGGGAGGAAGGAAGGGGGGCTGACCCTCTCCTTGGCTCTGCTCAAGGGAACGTGGCCCAGAGGATGCAGGCAGCTGGGCCTCGGCTGTGGCTTTATCAGCGGGGATATCAAAGGGCAATAGCTATGATGGCTAACATTGATCTCCAGGTCCATCTACTGTATGCCTCTGAATGCCAGCTGCTGGAGACAAGCAGCTATTGGCTTCCTGTCCTGCGTGAGGACTTCCCAGAATAATCTGGTTAAATGCTGGTGGGACCATTAGGTTGGACAGCTGTGCTGCCTGGGGCTTGATGGGAGTTGCAGTCCAAAACATCTGGAGGTTTGGAGAAGAGTGGACTACATGGACTTTCGATGTGATCTCGCTTAGCTGCCTGGAGATCCACCCCCCCCCGCTCCCCCTCCCATTAGCTGATTTTTAAATGGAATTTCCAAGACAAATGCAATTATAAACACCCACAGAGCAGATCCCCTCTCCCTTCCTTCTTTGAGCTTCCAAGCAAGCAGCCTCCATTCCAGCCATGGTTCCATAGACCCAGAGCTGCAACTCTGCAAGGAAGATCAACAGCCTCTGTAGACCATGGGCCAGTCTCCCTCTGTGCAGTGGCCGGCCGTGGCTCTCCAGGGGATTAGATGGGAGTCTTCCCCAGCCATATCTGACGATACTAGGGATTGAGTCTGGGGTCTTTGTAAGCAAAGTGTGTGTGGTGCCTCCTCTAAAAACAAAGGAGGTCTCTAGTCCTCACTGTTCTGAATAAAGGATTGAATTAGATAGAAACTGCTTTCGACAGAGTTAGACCGTTGGCCCATCCACCTGGCTTGGTACTGTGCAACCCTGACTGGCAGTGACTCTCTGCCTGGACATATCAGGGGTTGAAGGTGGGTGCAAGAGCAGGTGCTCTACACCTGAGCTATGGGATCTTCACAAAAGAAACAGATGGATGTCAGAGCAGGAAGCTGCTCAGGTAGCTCTTGCTACCTTGCTGCATCTCCTTGTTGCAACTTTTTAATTCTTCAGTCATTAATTCTTCAAAATAATGTTTGTGAATGCATCTAGATTCCACCCAGGATGTTCTTTAAGAATATAATTGTGGCTAAAGCCCTTGGCCTACTCATTCTGACATGTGGTGCTTCTTGCACATCCGCAGGTACCAGAGAAACCTCCTCTTTCACCGTTTCTGGTCTGTGGACGACAAGCAGCTACACACAGAGTACAGTGCCCTCCGGTCCATTGTGATGGCCAATTATGAAGAGACCATTAAAATGCCCATCAATGAGCCTGCAACGGGGAAGAGGAAGTCTCAGATCCAGGTGAAAGCCGAGACTCCCTGGGTCCTTTGTGTCAGGGCTGAGTGGCCAGAGTTGAGCCTCGAGCCAGGGCAGAGGAACAGGAGAGACACACCAGGCCAAACAGGAAGCCTTTCAATATCCTCCAGTGGCCAACCTGGGGGGATGGTTCCATCTTGGTGCCTGGGAAGGCGTTGCCACCTGCAATTCCAGTTGTGTTCTACCAGGTGCAGCTGCCCGCTAGAGAAGAAGGTGCCAGTTTCTAACTCCAGTGGCTTGTACCATAAATTTGTTTTAGGGGGTACCAACTGCATTGGGGGGCTCTGGGCACTTGGCATGCTGGGGAAACTCTGGGGTGCAACAGAGAGAGAGAGAGAGATGCATATTCTATTGGCTGCAATGGAATGCCTCAAGCCTCATTTAATTGGGGGAGGGGGACCCTTTGACACCCCCCCCAGGAAGGTCTCTTCGGGCACATGGTGTGCCATGCTGGTGACCGCCTGAGTTATTTGGCCTCTTCAGTATAAGCCCTGCCCATCCCAATGCATTTGCCTATTGAATCCTTCCTCTAAGGAGGTTGAGACTGTGTTGTGGTGTAGATTTCCTTTAAGCAAGGAGTGTTGACTTTGTGGACTGCTTCTCCCCTGGTGCAAGGTAGAAACATTTCTCGATAATTGGGGCTTTGGCTGATTGACATTCTCTAGCCAGCGTGGTGTAGTGGTTAAGAGCGGTGGAATCGTAATCTGGTGAACTGGGTTTGATTCCCCGCCCCTCCACCTGCAGCTGCACCTTGGGCCAGTCACACTTCTCTAAAGTCTCTCAGCCCCACTCACCTTACAGAGTGTTTGTTGTGGGTGAGGAAGGGAAAGGAGATTGTTAGCCGCTTTGAGACTCCTTAGGGTAGTGGTAAAGCGGGATATCAAATCCAAACTCTTCTTCTCTTATTCTTCTATAGCCTTTTAAATGTGTTTATGGGAGGGGGTTATTGGTTTGATTTTGTTTTATTAGGTATTTTGTGTTCTCATCTTGTATTTTTATGCTGTAAACTGCATGTGATTTTAAGATGAGGGCTGTGTGTGTGTTTGATTTGATTTTTTAAAAATCCACAATACGGTAAAAATTTCCTGTACTGTGAAAATACAAAAGAATCTGACTAGAGCAGCTGTCATTAGTGATGGCCATGTAGAGATTCATCAAAACAGTGGTAAGAGCACATGTTCCCACCCTACCACTCTGGGTAAACCCTGTTTCTATTCCTCCCGTGTTTGGATGCAGTGAGACAAGTGCTAATCACAATGCAATCCAGCACACTTCTGCTCAGAAATAAGACCCACTGAGTTCCATGGAGCATACTCCCAAGTAAGTGTGTCAAGGATTACAGCCTAGGATTACAAGAGGGTAAGGCAGGAGATGAAGGCTGTTAAAGACTACTACCCACAATGACGTATTTTTCTCTCCTCCCCTCAAGCTCAAGGTGGTCTACATAGTTCTCCCTCTTCTCACTTAATCCCCACAACAGTCTTGCTAGGTTGAGGTCGCAAAGTGAGCTTCATGGCTGAGTTGGGATTTGGACTCTGGTCTCCCAGGTCCTGGTCTTGGCCTGGTGTTTTTGTGATGTTGTTGCCGGCGGTTCACCACTCACATGGTGCCTTCCTGCGCTCACTGTGTGCTTTTCTGCTCTGCAGGAATACGTGGACTATTACGGGGGCCCTGGAGTCCAACACATCGCTCTGAATACCTCGGATATTATTGCTTCAGTAAGACAGTGTATTCCCTGATCAGTCTACCAATAAGTGGCCACCTTTGGGAATGTGGCCTTTGTCATTGCTGTGTACATTTTTGGGTTGCAGGTCACAAACCTGAAAGAACGTGGCACGGAATTCCTGGTGGTTCCCCCCACCTACTACCAAAATCTTAGGGAGAAATTGAAATCAGCCAAGATCAAGGTGAAGGAGAACATGGATAAACTGGAGGTGAGTTGGCTACCAGGGCTACCCTACATCTTGCGGTTTGGCTTAGTGGCCAGAAGGTTGGTCTAGACTGGGACTTCATCATGCAGTGCATCGTTAAACTATGGAACTTGCTGCCACAGGAGGCAGTGATGGCCATCAACTTGGGTGGCTTTAAAAGAGGATGGGACAAATTCAGTGGCTACTAGTCCTGGGGGCTGAACCGGAGGCTGAACTAGATGGCCCATTGGCCTGATGAAACAGGGTTTTCTTATGTTCTTACTGACTGGCGAGGCATGAAGTCAAATCCCTACTCATCTGTGAAGCTTGGTGGGTGACCTTGAAATAACCACTAGCTCCAAGTTGTGGTGGGAGCAAAACAGAAAGGTCAAGAACCAGATACTCCCCTTGGAGGATCTTGGATAGAAATACAATACAAATGCAACCAAATACTTTAGCAGCTGCTCAACTTGATGAGTTTCACATTGGGAAGGGGGTTGTGGCAGTTCCAATGTAATGTGCAAGACCACCAACCTTTAAGGTGGGGCTGGCTATCCTGTGACCCCCGTCCCAAGGCCCTTGGACTCCAAGCTCTCACCAGCCCCAGCCAGCACGGCCCAACGCTGGAGAGAGATGTAAGATGGAGTCCAGCAACATCTGGAGGGCCACAGGTTAACCCCATACCAGCTTTGAGGGCATCACTTCCTGGTGCAGCTGGCGTTCTCCATGACCCTTTCCCTCTGCAGGGAGGTGGGACTGATTTGGATGGTCAGACTCTGCCACTTAATGGATCCAAATGGTTTCCAAAGGGTAGTAGGGGATGTTTTATCCCATGTTGATGGCCTTTTTAGCTGACTCCCCGTTGGCCCGCTGGAATGCAAAGTTAACCAGGACTATTGACTATCTGGTTCCGAAGCACCCTCTCCAATTGTATGGAGTCTGGACAGCCCTGTGGTTTTTCCCAGAGCTGAGGGCGGTAGCGGAAAACACATTCTGAATCAGACTGAACACGGGTTAGAGCTCAGTGTCAAGCCTACCAAGTGGCGATAGCGACGGCAAAGAGGACATTCTTCACCACCTCTATTGCATCTGCAGAAAACAGCAGCAGCAGACTATTTCAAGTGGTTCGCAATCTAGCAGAACCACCTCCACCATCAGGGCCTGGTGGGGATCCCAAGATCTCCTGAAATGATTTTGCAAAGTTTTTTGCAGATAAAGTCGCTCAGATTCGGAAAGAGGTAGACTCCACTGTGGGAGCAGGGCCGGGGTGAGAGAGTGCTAGAGTCCTGTCCAGTCAAGTGGCATGGGATCAGTTCCTATCAGTTCGAGGATGTGGACAGGCTGCTTGGATGAGTGAAACTAACCACCTGTCTCCTTGATCCTTGCCCATCCTGGTCTTGAAATGGGGTAACTGTGCCCCTGAAGGACCAGGTGTGCAGCCTGGGAGTCATTTTGGACTCACAGCTGTCCATGGAGACGCAGGTCAATTCTGTGTCCAGGGCAACTGTCTACCAGCTCCACCTGGTACGCAGGCTGAGACCCTACCTGCCCACAGGCTGTTTTGCCAGAGTGGTGCATGCTCAAGTTATCTCCCGCTTGGACTACTGCAATGCGCTCTATGTGGGGCTACCTTTGAAGGTGACCCGGAAACTGCAACTAATCCAGAATGCGGCAGTTAGACTGGTGACTGGGAGTGGCTGCCAAGATCACATAACACTGGTCTTGAAAGACTTACATTGGCTCCCAGTGCATTTCTGAGCACAATTCAAAATGTTGGTGCTGACCTTTAAAGCCCTAAACAGCGTTGGCCCTGTATACCTGAAGGAGTGTCTCCACCCCCATCATTCAATCTGGACACTGAGGTCGAGTGCCAAGGGCCTTCTGGCGGTTCCCTCACTGTGAGAAGTGAGGTTACAGGGAACCAGGCAGAGGGTCTTCTCGGTGGTGGCACCTGCGCTGTGGAACGCCCTTCAATCAGATATCAAGGAAATAAACAACTTTCTGACTTTCAGAAAACATCTGAAGGCAGCCCTGTTTAGGGAAGTTTTTAATGTCTAATGTTTTACAATTTTTTATGTGCTGTAAGTTGCCCAGAGTAGCTGGGGAAATCCAGCCAGATGGGCGGAGTATAAATAATAAAAATTATTTATTATTATTATTATTATTATTATTATTATTATTATTATACACCTCACCCATTCCCTGGGCAACTTCTATCATTGCCCTTTCATTTGCTTCTGCTCTAAAGGAACTCAAAATCCTAGTTGACTTTGACGAGAAGGGATACCTGCTTCAGATCTTTACAAAGCCTGTTCAGGACAGACCGACTGTCTTCCTTGAGGTCATCCAGCGCCACAATCACCAGGTTTGTTGGGCAGCTGGGGCTCACCCCAAGCTCAGTGGAAACAAATCAACTCTCACAGATTGGTGGCTTTCTGTTCTACCCTGCTCAGTTTTTTTAAAAAAACAACAACAACCTTGCATGATAAAAGTTGGGAAATGACCACCTTTTTAAGGCACAAAAGGGACTCAACTTGGATAATCCATATGCTGTATTGCAACCACTAGAATGAGCTGTTGACCAGATTTTACTATGCTGCAGCTAATTGTCAGAGGGTAATGGGGCTTGCAGGCTAGATGATCTGAGCAACCAGTAGGGCAGGCATAGGCAAACTTTGCCCTCCAGATGTTTTGAGACTAGTTTCCATCATCCCTGACCACTGGTCCTGTTAGCTAGGGATGATGGGAATTGTAGTCCCAAAACATCTGGAGGGCTGAGTTTGCCTATGTCTGCAGTAGGGGCTTGGCTGACTCTGTGAATAATTATTGTCTCCTCTTTGTGATCAGTTCATTGCTACTAACCTCACCACCTGCCCCTTGAAAACAGACTACCTGCCTCACTTTGGCTAGGTACCTGCCTCTGGCCTTCCCGATTTCTGAGTTTACTGCTCTGGAATTTGGCATTAGTCTACTCTGAACTAGGGACTTAACTCTGCGCCTTCCAAGTTCCAAGCGGCTGTCTGCAGGCCTGACCCTGACAACCCTTATTCAAAAGACAGATGGAATAACAACAACAATGTTGCTGGTGTGGCTATTAAATCTGAGCTGATGGGAATGAATCATCATCACCATCATGCTTCTGTGTTCATATGAGGCACATTGTGACTGATCTTTGGCTTCTCTGCCGTATCGACCATTCCATCTGAGGTGGAGTGGAGATCCCACCTGCCACGGAAGAGAGCTCCAGCTGGGGTATCGGGAAGAAAGTGCTTGCACTATTTACACATTTCTCTCTCTCCTGTGGCTTTAGGGATTCGGTGCTGGAAACTTCAAATCTTTGTTTGAAGCTATTGAACTGGACCAAGATGCCCGGGGAAACCTCACTGTCCTGACACCCACCGGAGAATCAGACTTTGTGTAATGCTCAGGAGGAAACAGTATGGATATATACAGAAAGTGGGATGCACTATGCAAAAAAGGATTGGAATAATTCCTCCCAGTTCAGGCTTTCCTGAAGGCGGTTCTAAAGTCTTCCTTTTTCCCTCCATTGGCTATTTTTTTTATAAAAAAAAAATTAATGCCATGGGAGCCTTCCTCCATGTCCACTTTGGAGAGATCCCTCAGGTTGGCTGAAATAAACAAACGAAATTGAATTTGTCTGTTCCTGATCCCAGTATTTTGCATGGCACTTGAAAAAGGACTGTAACAGCTACACAGTTTTGGGGCTATGTAAAAACTGCAACTTTTGAGTCATGGAATCAGAGAGTCGCAAGAGACCTCAAAATGAATCAAGTCGAAACCCCAGGCGATGCAGGAACCCTTCCTTGTGCCATTTTTGTTGATAGGTGTCTACCAACATGCCACCGAGTGCAGCAGTCTGCTTCCAGCAGCAACAGCAGCCAGCTGCAAGATCCAGATGCTCACAAGCCAGGGATAAGTAGCCTTTCCTATTATGGTTTTTGCCCTTGTCCAATGAGGCTCTTGTTATCTGCCATGTCTGGAGAGCAGGGATGGGGAACCTGGTACCCTCCAGTTATTGCTGGACCCCAAACTCCAATCAGCCCCAGCCAGTATGGCAAATGGTATGGGGTGATGAGCACTGTAGCCTGCCCTACAACAGATGGAGGACTGCAGGTTCCGCCACCTCCTCTGTAGATGAACTTGGCTTCCCTGAGATTTGCGTAACTTTTGCTCAAAGCCCTTTAAAACTTAGTGGCTACCTTCACATCATTTATTAAAATATTGTTAACCCAGCCTCTGTCCAAAGGTTTCAGGTGTACCAATGAGTAAACAAAGCCAGCTACAAGTCAGGATCAGATAATAAAGCAATAAATAATCTTAAAACACAAGCAGTCCTTGTACGACATTATGTTAGATGAATCAACACAATGGTAAGTATGTCCTGGCAAATCAACATGGTACAGTGGAACCTCGACTTACATACGCCTCGTCTTGCGGACGTTCCAAGTTGCGTCCATGGCAAACCCGGAAGTAAACACTGGGTTTGCTGCAATTCGTGCAAGTGGCTTCTGCCATCTGCACGTGCACAGAAGCAGCCGCCGCATGCACATGCACTGCACACAAGACGTGTCTTCTAGCATCCTGTTTCGACCAGTGGACGGACCTCCAGAATTGATTATGTCCGTAGTAGAGGTTCCACTGTATTATGAGAGAGGAAGATGAATTTCTCTATTTACAGCTCCCACAGTGCTTGAGGAATTACATTTTTTTCATACTTCAGTACAAAGTGACCCAATCTGTACTTCTTGGACTAACACAAGGATGGGACTTTAGTTATCCACAGGCTTTTGTGCTTGCCAAAGTGTTATTGGCTCAAAAAAAAAATCAAATGTACGTTTCAAGTAAAAAAATGCATTTCAAAATATAAACACGATCCTGCCTCTTCTAAGGAGCAGGGTGCCTCTCTTCCCCAGAAGAGACATGACTAATTTCAGAAGGGCCAGCAGCACACATGCAACTCACTGGCCTCCAATACTATGCTTCCTATTTGAACCAAGCTGCACAGATATCTGCAAAGCTTGATGGGCTTCATTGCATATTTTATTTCAATGCACTCCCCACCCCCACCCCAGTCCCTTATCTAGGACAGGAGTAGCAAACTGTGGCCCCTCAGATATTGCTCATCCCTGACCATTGGCCATGCTGACTGGGGGCTATTGGGAGTTGGAGTCCAACAGCAGTTGGGAGAACCAGAGACTCCTGTCCCTGTCTTGGTGCATCGCTTAAGGTTTGAGAGGTTAGCTGAGGTGCTCACCTGCCCACCACACCTGCACAATCCCATCACACCTATCCTGTGCTGTTCTGCCTCTTGTATATACTCCACAGTTATACCCTGCTAGGATAAAAACTTTTAAAAAGCAAGTTCTTAATCCTTATGGGGGGCAGTGAAAATACGCTTGTTTAGGATGTAAGCCGTTAAACATATTTTCCTTTCTATATATTAAGGGCAATGGTTATGTTAGGTCTGTAAATGTTCTCTGCATAAAGATTAGGAAATCTTTCAGGCTGGTAGCAACTCATTCTCCAGCTGCCATCAGTTCAGTGGCCTGAATAGCACGATCTATGTACAAGACAGAAGTAGCAGCAGCAGGTTCAGGAGAACCCCCAGCTTTGCAGGAATAAAAAAATACTGACGGAACAAGACCAAAATGGGGAGAAACCCAAAGCAGCTTGGTAAGGACTGAACAAACCCAGTGGCCCCCATAATGTTAGGGTGGAAAGCAATGGGGAGTCTTGTCTGAAGCCAGGTGCTCCGGAAGAATGCGTGGCTGGCTAGCATTCCGAAACTGAGAACTCCACACCACATTTTGTCGCAGGCAACAATAAGAGAACGTATTGGATCTGGTTGAAAGGTCCACCTGTTTTCCTCACAGCCAGACACTTCCAGGAAGTTTGAAGCAGAGCGTGAGGGCAGTGGTCCCTCTCCTGTGCATGGCTGGCCCAGGATATTCTGAATGACACAATGGACAAGATGGCCCCTTGCTGCAGCCCCAATCCCGGCACTTCGGCAGTTGCTGGCGGTCAATGTCCTCCAGGGCAGAAAGCAGGCCGAGAGGGCAGAGGTTAAGCCACAGGGCATACATGGCTCTACTTTCCAGTATCTTGCCACTGCTCTGTGTCATCCCAGCTTGCACCACCGTAGCTGGCTGCCTCACAATAATTTATTACTTATATGCCACCCATCTAAGTGGGTTGCCCCAGCTACTCTGAGCGGCTTCTAACAAAAAACAGTAAAAACACAACACAGCCTTGCTTCTGCCTCCCATTTCCCATGACTAATGTAATGCAAGTATCTCAGAAGCCCATGCAACCATCGCGTCATTTCCAGAAGCTCTGCCATATGTGAATCTTCTCTTTGACAAAGATGCATGTTCACACATCACATCTTTGTGGATATTTAGGTATTTTCAAATACCAGTTTTCTCTTTCTATGTGCTTCCAGACAGTCCTCAATAACAATTCCTGGAGCCTAATAAACCAAACACACAGCTCTTCTGTAAGAAAAGTCAGTATATTTATGGTTTGCTTTATAAAAGTTACTATAATACAATGGTACATAGTATTCAATTCACAAAAAAATTATGAACAAATATTTACAGCATGACATGCCCACAAAAAAAAAAAAAACCACGTTCTTCTAAACAAGGTATACTGAAGACGGAGCACAGAACAGTCCCAAACTTATACAGCTGTTCAAAACAAAAGGGAACAAAAGGTTTAAAAAAATCCCAAATCTCAAAAGCAGAGATTTAATTTTGTCTTTTTTTGTTTTGTTTTAAGGAACATAAAAAATAGATGCCATTTATTGCAAACCATTTTCCTTGCCCCTTTTAAAGGAGCTCTTTATTTTTCACACTGCGAATTAAAAACCGGTATTTTTACAGAATTCAGGTACAAGGACTAAGGTTTTCCCCTCCACAGTGTTTCATTTTAAGAACTAACTCCCAAATTCATAGTATCCTTTGTTCCCCACCACTGCCTAGTCCCAGAAGCTCCAGTGAGGCGAGAGCTTCATGAGAACAGACAAAGCTTCGGATGAGCAGGACTTTGCTGGCTGGCGAAGACCCTGTTCATGTGGAGCAACAGAGAAGCTCTGGAGCACCTTGGAGCTCCAGACCGTGGCTAATGCAATTTTCTTTGTAACCGCTACAAATACTACGTTGGTAATTGAGAAGGAACGTTATAAAATAAAATTGCCAGGGGAGGGTCAAAGTTATAGATTTGCTTAAATACATTTTAGGTTGTCATTAATAGACTATACACATTTTCTTGTCTGAAATAAATAGATTTTGCACATTAAGGTATCAGAAAGGCAAATTTTAAAAAGCCTTAACTTGGCAGGGTTTTTCTTTTAAATCTTCAGCTTCTTAATGCTTCTAGTTTGATCTACGTATTTGACCAAAAAAAAAGATATTTTGTACAGAATTTACATTATACATAGCTTGACACAAGCTGTAAATGGCGCCAGCTCCCCTCCCCCACCCCAATCTCCCACTCTCTTATTGAGGTCTTGGGCTGACAATCTTTTAAAAAAGAACTCCAAACTACAATAGTCACTTTTAACAAATTATTTACATGCTTCTGAAGTACAAAGAAAACAGCCAAAAACATACAAAACAAAAATCAACATGTTTCTACAAGAAACAGTGTTTGAAGAGAAGAGTTTGAACGGCTGCTATGCACAGATGATGTGTCCATTTTAAATGTCAAAATTTCATCTCCCCCACCCTTTAAAAAACTTTTTATACAGAAATGCACTGAAATGATCCCTGAAAATAGGTCACAAACGACAAAACTGAAACAGCTCTCCATCAGAGTTTACAAATTATTTTCTCCCCCATTGTATTAATAAGCTGCTTTGACAATATAAATATCTGTCAGAGTGAGACATCACTGGCTCCTTCCAAGATTTAATCTGAAACTGGGAACTAGAGTCAGGGAAAATGATTGTATGAAACCAAGCAGGCTGGGACTGAAAGCACAGGAAAGTTCGTTTCTATTTGCTAGATAATACCAGTGTGAAAACTCAACGAAAGTCAAGTTGAATCCCACACCCACCTTGCCCGGCCCTCCATTTGGAGTGGACGAGTCAAGGCTTGTGGGTGGGCCGACGAGACTTTGGCACTGCTCTTGGGTGGCTGGGGTTAGAGTGGAGACTTGTAAGATCAGGATTGTATCTCTAGACTTAGACTGGAGCCGTTATTCCTTCCAGAGATCTGCCTCTCTTGTTTTAAGGAACATAAAAATCCTCCCCTCGTTTGGAGCAGGGACAGAGAAGCTGATCACCTTTGCCCAAAAATTATTTCCCTTCAATGCAGAGCCTTTCAAGGAACAAGAGAATAACCGGATCGGGAGCAGTCATAATTTAAAATTCCGACCACGCTTGTGTATATACACGCTTGTGTATATCAAAGAAAACACTTTTGAAAGTGTGTGTGTGTGTATAGTTACAACTTCTATGCCAGGAAGTTGCTTCAAGTTCCAAGCTAAGGCTATCCAGCAGAACCTTGCTGATACGAGTAGCTTTAGTATTGCTGTACTTCCTTAAGAAAACAATTCACTTAACACACACAAAAAATATGCAGGGTTAATAAATACAGAGAGGTCGCATGAGGCATCTTTCCTGCACATGCCCTTACCTACATTTCCAGCTGGTGTTTCTGCAGGAGATGTGAGATTATACTCCTGGTATGAGAGAGAGTATGGGAAAGGGTAGGAGCCTGTAGATAAGGCAGCTTGCTTACGATGTTCTGTGTTACATGAAATGGATGTGGCTTTCTCAAAAGGTTGGAAGCATTAAAAAGCCACACCAAAGACATGCCAAGGAGAACCTGTAAGGAAGCAGGGGGACTGGCAAAAGAACCAAGGTCACTGCCAACCTTCTGCCCTCCAGTTTTGGACCACAATGGGAGTTGTAGTCCAAAATAACAGAAGAGCCCCAGGTTGGGGAAGGCTGGGATAATCTAACCAACTGCACACATGGTCCTCTGTACTCAATGGCCAGAGTTTGTTCAAGCTCCTCAACCCACAAGGCCAGTAGAACCACTTTGCCCAGAAAGACACACCAGGCTTGCTTCTTCCTTTCGGCTTCTGAACCTCAAAGGGTGGAAAGCCACCGACTTTTAGATGTTATATCCAGTAGGATATAACTAGAAGAGGCTTGCAAGCAAAATTCCACTGCCTTACTATGGAAGCCATCAAGACCACACACAAAATGCCAGAGTAACTAGGTGTGGGTGCTGTGGGAAGAAGCAAAAGGCCTGACAGAGAGTATCTGTGCATCTTCTGGTTCCTATTTTTTCTCTGGGAAATTAATTCTTAGTACAGCCAAGTTTAAAGTCCAGTAAATTTTATCCAGGAGCAAAAGACTGAGGAGTACTGAAGATGAGCATATATTTCAATATTTGCCCGACTCAACACTCTTTTAACAGTTTTGAGACTTTTTTTTTTAAGGCACACCCCACACACTTTTCTTGCTGCAATGTTTGCTTGGGTTTTAATCAAAAAGAAGAACCCCCACTAATCTCTCCAGTGCAAACAAGCACTACATAATTATAGGACAGGCATTTGAGAATGAGGATGTAGTCGGACCAAGAAATCTGCTTGCTACTGAAAATAAGCTTTGACCACAAAAAAGTGCTGCTTTCTCAGGCCATAAAACAGTTGCTCTCCACACACACACACACAAAAAAACCACACAAACATCCACACCCCGTGGGGACCCTCCCTGCCTTACTCAACCAAACTAAGCTAAATGAGGACTAGGCTCCACTCGGCTGAGGCAGGCAGGACCTGGTTCTTTCGTCAGAAGTCTCTTCAATACTTGGGAAGGAAGAAACCTAAAAGATTGTCATTTAAGGACAAGAGCATTCTGCCAAAGGGGATGGGATGATGAGGGTCAAAAACCAAGGAGATAAAAGCAGCCGCTGACTTGGGTAGGACAGATCTTGTCCCAGCTCACCCCCCACTTGGCATCTGCACAGCCTCTATGCATTTGGAGGGGAGGGAGATGTTTGCCCCGGTTTCCTGTGCAAGCCTCAAGTGTGTGGAGGACGTATGGAAACAGGGCTTGGTGGAGCACACTCAGAGTGCTGCCAAACCAACAGTTTCTACAACACAGCAAGTGCTACAATAGAGAGGGAAATTTGGGGGGGGGGGGAGAAGGGATCCAGCTCTGCTTTTAAAAAGAAAAGGGAAGTGGGTTCGTTATTGGGTTCCTAAAGCTATAGTTCCCCCTCCCTCCCCCACAAGGACCAGCAGTGTGCAGAAATCCCAGGTGGGCACCAAGGTGACAGCAACCACAACTCTGATCCACAGAAGGGAGGAGGTATGTCCTTTTGTGCATCGCAGACCCAGACAGAATTCCCCGCCTGCTTGAGAAAGCCTCCACTTGACGTCGGTGTCCCAGCGCTCACTGCAGGCGATCCCAGCCAGCTTCCATTCAACTCATGGCCTCTTGTGTCTTTAGTCTCTGCTTCACATTTTTTGAATGTCTTTCTCCTGACCCTCCACAAGACAAAACTAATGAGTAAAAGGTAGCAGCATTTTATGGAGAGAGGAACGTGTTTAAATGATAATAAGGGTACCTTGCTCTACCCATGAGAGCTACACCATAAAGGAGCGAGCAGAGCAGGAGGCGGGGAGAAGAGAGAGTGTTTTGATTTATGGTGCCACTGAGTAAGGGGAACGATCACGAGGGGCGGAGAGAGGTGGGGTTGTGAATCTGAAGATGAAAAGCACCTGCAGCTTGAAGAGTCCTAGTGTGCGTGTCTTCAATTTGCACTTCTCCTGACAGAAGGATAGAAAGTGCCATATAGGTTCCCCTGTCTCTTCCTCATTTTCCTTCTTCCACCTCATCTCTCTTTTTTTCTTACTTTTTTTTTTGTTTTTTGGCAAAAGTGCAACCACCCTCGGCTACCACAGTTTGGACACAGCCACCACGTGGCAAAAACCTTGGGCTTTAATTCAGGGTCCCTCTGCAATTCTCGGAGCCACACAAACAGGGGATCTTTACATCCTCAATGGGGAATTTGTAGTCGTATGTAATTTCCTCATTCACATTGATGTACTGCTTCGAGTAGATGACAATCTTCTTCTGAGATTCCACTGTGATGACTTTAGCGTAGCAGTTTGGCTAAAACAAAAGAAGCAGTTAATTAAAAGCTTTGGCTTAAAGATTTTGATTCGCTTGTTTAGATTTCAGACCCATCACTGTCTTAGTATGTGTGTGCATGTGTGTGTTCTGTGTTTCTGGGAAGGGAGGCTGAAGAAACAAAACAAAAAATACTTTCTAGCCACCTTTTAATATACTTGAGAAGCACATATGATAAGCACAGCATTAGGCACAGAGAAAACTTAAAGAAGTTGGAAAGATCACTGGTTTAAGGTGCTAGCTTTAACCTTTAAAGCTCTATGCGGCCTAGGACCCACGTACCTACGGGACCGCCTCTCCTGGTATGTCCCACGGAGGACCTTAAGGTCCACAAATGACAACACTTTGGAGGTCCCAAGTCGCAAGGTGGTTAGATTGGTCTCAACTAGGGCCAGGGCCTTTTCAGTACTGGCCCCGACTTGGTGGAACGCTCTGTCACAAGAGACTAGGGCGTTGCGGGACTTGACATCTTTCCGCAGGGCCTGCAAGACAGAGCTGTTCCACCTGGCCTTTGGTTTGAACTCAGTCTGACCCTTATGTTTTCCCTCCCCTTACGGTTTCTGGCCGGGGAGGGCGGGGTATAAATATTTATTATTATTATTATTGATAAACAGGTATGAGGAGCAGGGGAGGGAAATCAAAACTGAAGAGCCAACAATCAGTCACCTCCTTCCATAAGACAGCATGAGCCTGAGGATTGCGGGAAACAGAGAGGCCACTGGAGTGGGAAGGTCCACTCACCCACCCACCCACATGGACTCTCTACCCCTACAAGTTTGTTGCCCCACTGTGATGACAGTTGGAGCCACCAGGGGACACAAAAATGAATTGGGGGGCGGGGAGGTGACAGGGGCTTGGAAAGGGGAGACGCTGCCACGACCCAGGTGACGCCAGGGAGAAGCGCCCAATTTTGAATGGATCTCTCAGGGCCATCCACTTGCCCCTGCCTGCAGTTGAGATAAAGCCAGGACACAGGGTGAGCCTGTGGCAAAGCGGTGGGTGTCTTCCATCCCTCTGCACATGGGGATGAGGCCTTGCCACAACAAGATTGTGGGCTTGGCAGCAGCAACTGCAGTGAGGAAAAAACCAGGACCAGGGTAGCCCTCAGCAGCTGGTAATGGAGAGCAGAGGAAGAGGTGGTGTTGGGGGTGGCAGCGTTGTGTCCTGGAAGCTTTGCTTTGATGACACCCCCCGCCTGCCCCTGCGAACAACAGCCCTAGTCTGGATAGCAGCAGCTGCTGATGCAGTGAGATCAGTGACAATGGTGGCTCCTACTGCCTGGGCAGCAATGAAGGAAGCCCAGATGCAGCCCTGTTGCCACATCACAATCGGACCAGGCAGGGCTGGCAAGGGGAGCAAGCAGAGAGCAAAAGTACTTCTCTCTTTCTCTGTGTGTGTGTGTACCTACACACCCTTTCACATTTAATACAGGAATAAAGTCTGATGCCACCAAGTGAGTGATGGAGCTTGTAAGGCCAAGTAACACTTACATTGCAACTGTGGTTAATAAACCTGGCGAAGTTTCCACACTTTGTTGCATCTATAATCGTGTCGTGGTCAACCCTGAACATGTAACTGCTGCCAATGCCTTCGTCCTCATACCGCTTCTCTCGCATGTCAGCAATTACCTGCAGAACAAGCCAAAGGTCACAAGAGCTACCTTCCAAGAGCAGCCACATTAAGAAAGGGAGAGAAGGACTAAACCAAAGAGGTGACACCTGTCAGAATTTTGCTGCTCACCATTTTAAAAAGACCCTCCATGGCTGAAAGTAGAAAGATTTCAAAAGGTAAACAGAGAGCAGCATTTTCACAGGGATACTGGCACAGGAGAGGGCAATACAGCCAACTCACAAGTTGTGTGCATTTGACTAGTGTGGTTGCAGTTGTATGTGCTTGGCAGCTGGCCTGAACTCAACCACACAAATTAAACACAGCAAGGCAGACAGCATAAAAGCTCTTTCCCTGCCAATCCCATGCAATACCTTCCCAGAGCCCAGGGAGCAGGACTGAAGCAGCCCCTTTGGACTGCAAAATCTTGTAAGGTGGCACCCCACCCACCCAGCTCAGGGCTGACAGCAGCAGCTTCTGATTAGAACTCTCAGAACTCTCACAACTTCTCACAGAGCTTGTGAGATCTCACGTGAGATCTCGCGAAAGTTCTGCATCATCTGGTGAGATTTCAGGTGAGGGGCAGCACCTTCCTGTTTCACCTCAGGTGTCAAAATGGGGTGGGCCACCCATGCTGGTAAGCAAGGCAGAAAGCTTAAAAGATCTCCACTTTGCATGGGGGGGGGGCAAGGCCCACTTGGAAAAGAAAGAATGGCCGAAGGGGGCAGTTCTGGGGTTGTCATTGCTGCTGTACAGAACAACGCATGTATCAGACCTTCAATCTGTAAATAAAGCATTTTAAACTTACTGAACGATGTGTGGTCTGTTTATTGCCAGAGGGGCAAAAAGAAACAGAGTGCTGTAAGTGGACTAAATGGGATAGAAGGGGAACAGTATTGCCCACCTGCAGGCTGACATGGGGCAACACATTCTGCCCCCTCGCTCTGCTGTATGTGCAAGGGGGCTCAAAGGCCACATGGGGCTCACGCCACTCCTTACAAGCCACTCTATGGGTTGGAACTCCGAGGTTTCAAGGAGCCAGCCCAATGCCAAGAGCCCCTCTTACCTGCCGGATATTCTGCCCCACGTACTCAATCACCATCTCGTCAGCAGCAATGGGCTCCATTGCAAAGAGTCCCCAGTCGTGAATGTGACTCTTGCAGAATTTTAGCTTTTTCTTCCGGAACTGTGAGATGGGGAAGAGAGACAAGAAAAAGGGTGCCTGTAAGTCATTCATTCGAAAACCGGCACAATGCTGGAGCGGACTGAGCACAGCGGGGCGTACAACGCAGCAACATACCCTTCAGCAGATCCATTTCTAAATAAGCCGAAACCACGTTTTAGAGGTTGCTTAGCTTGGGCCATGGCAGCCAGTGCCCCTTCCTGCCACACTTCCCATTTTAATGCTACTTTATCAGAGTAACAGAAAACAGAGAGACATGTAGAATATAAAATAATGGCAGAGTCCGTAAAAACTAATATGGAGTTACTTGAAGAGAACAGGCAATCCTGTTTGATATAACTTGTTCTTCACAGGCCATCTCCAGGGTGTGAGGAACTGCTTTAATGCCAACATGGTAATTCGGAACAAAACTACAGTCATGAGTTTTCTAAAGTCATTTAGATTATTTAACTGCCATTTTATTCCCTGCTTGTGTAAATAATAAAACTGTTGGTTCAAACATTTTTGTCCTTTCAAGATTTGCAGCCAAGTTGATCAAGGGTCTGGAAACCAGGCCTTATGAGAAATGGTTGAAGGAGCCGAGTATGTTTAACTTGGAAAAGAGGAAACTGAGAGGAGATAGGGTAGCCATCTTCAACTATCTCAAGGGCTATCATATGGAGGAGGGAGCAAGCTTGTTTTCTTCAGCTCTGGAGGGAAGGAGTCAAACCAATGGCTTCAAGTGACAAGAAGATTCTGACTAAACAGCAGGAAGAACTTTCTGACAGTATGAGCTGTTTGACAGTGGAAAGGACTCGCTTGATAGACTCTCCTTCCTTGGAGGTTTCGAAGCAGAGGTTGGATGGCCATCTGTCATGGATGCTTTAGCTGGAATTCTTGCATTGCAAATGACCATTGGGATCCCTTCCAACTCTGCAATTCCACAGTTCTATTATTTTGGGTGAGTTTTTCATTTAGGGCCCCTGCCACACTTCAGTATACAAATAAGTTGAATTGGAACTCCTTTAAAGGTAAAAGGACTTCTGACCATTAGGTCCAGTCATGACCCACTCTGGGATTGTGGCGCTCATCTCGCTTTATTGGCCGAGGGAGCCGGCATACAGCTTCCGGGTCATGTGGCCAGCATGACTAAGCCACTTCTGGCGAACCACAGCAGCGCACGGAAATGCTGTTTACCTTCCCGCTGGAGCGGTACCTATTTATCTACTTGCACTTTGACGTGCTTTCGAATTGATAGGTTGGCAGGAGCAGGGACCGAGCAACGGGAGCTCACCCCGTCATGGGAATTCAAACCGCCAACCTTCTGATCGGCAAGCCCTAGGCTCTGTGGTTTAACCCACAGTGCCACCCGCGTCCCTGGAACTCCTTTAAATCTCTCCAAATTTTGGCAACCATCATTCTACTTGCCACAAATGTATCTCCAATTAAGTTTTATTATGCAATTCCAAGTAAATGTAATGGTGGCAACTGAGGGATTTTAACCATTCATTCTCCAGCTACTTTTCTCAATTCCTGGAATTTCTTGAAATGTCACATCCCAGAATTCCTGCTACCCTTCAGGCCTTCTCTCAAAGGGACTTGCAGATTCCTTCTGCAAAGCTTGCCCCAAGACTACAGCAACATGATTTTAACCCTTTCCTGCCATTCCTCAATCAAATACTTCGTCACTTGGAAGGCAGACAAGTTCACTGACCAGTAGGGGTTATAGTGAATGGAGGCTTCCAAGAGGGAAGCTGCACAACTTACCTTGAGCTGGTTGAATTTGAGCAAGTCACTGTCGCAACTGCCGGGTAGGGAGGACAGAAGCCTGCGTTGCTCGGACCTCCTCTCGGAGCCAGCCCGGGTGGAAACGTGCACCTGGGCAGGGATGCTCATTCCCTGAGGACCAAAAACAGGACAGCAAAGCAGTTAGCAAGCAGCTGAGTGGAACTGGTCCCAGGCAGGTTTAGCCTCAAGGCTGGGGTGAGCTCAGTGACACAGCATCCGCACGCTGAGAAATATTTTTGCTCAAGATCCCAGAGAGCTGCTCAAAGATGGCAGACTGGTCCATAGCCAAGGGGCAGTGCAGCCCATGCTTATCCTGCAGAGGGCGCCAGGCTCAATCCCTGGAGCCTGAAGGAAGAGGGAAGGTGGCGAGGAAGACCAGGGCTGGATGCCCATAGCCAGTCAGAGGAGCCAGTAGTGGGAGAGGTAGAACAATGGCCTGACAAAGCATAAGCCAGCCACCCACCCACCAACCAACCTGGTGCTCTCCAGATGTTTTGGGCTATAACTCCCATCACCCCAAGCCAACACAGCCGTGTAGTGGTCCAAAACAACTGCAGGACGCCCAACTGACAAAAAGTGGTGTAACGTAAATTCATATATTATTGTTTTTTGCTGACTTGATCATAAGGCAGTTACATACTAGGCAAAAGGTTCCTGCATTGCAGGAAGATGGCCCTCAGGGTCCCTTCCAACTCTACAATTCTATGATGCTATTCTATATAGAGAACATTCTATTCTTTTAAGTGAGATAATAAAATATATTAAATCCTATTAAAAATTAACCCCCAAACTGAATGCTCCCCACCCACCCACACGTTTGTCCTGCCACCTTTTCTAGCTCTTTTTCTGCTCCACTCTTCTGGCAAGGGAGAACGCACCCCAGCTGACTTGCCTGCCACATTGTCCCATTTATACCCCCTAACATCTCATATCCCTGCCTGCCACCTTCTCCAGACGGTTACAATTAATTCAGCAACTCAAGGGTGCAATTCAAATGCCATGTCTTTTCTGCCCCCAAACTGTAAGAAGGTTCAAGTGGACTTCAGGGAGGAAGGAGGTAGGTGCCTGCAGAACTCCCAGCCAGACACACAGAACGGGACAGCAAGGAGAAGGAAGAGGGGACCCGTTCTTTACCTGCGTGTCGGCAGGAGGCTCCTCTGCAAATGCACGGCTGTTATTGAGGTATTTCAGTTTGTCCTTCTTGTCGATCTTGTAGTAGCCTTCGCTGCGGGCACAGCCTGTGACGTGCTCCCGCATCCCATCATCCCGTTTTTTCTTCTTTGGAGTAGAAAAGCTGGTTGGTGGACTCCACGTTAAGGAAAACCCCAGGAAAGATGTGGGCTGCAAGGCCCTGCAATTATGCCAGCAAAGCTTGCTGGGCCCTTGGCCCTCAGCCAGAGATGGGCAACATTTTCTAGCCCAAGGGCCTCCTTGCCACCTGGGCCACTTTCTAGGGCTGAATACCAGTGGTGGGCAGGGCCAGAGGGGAAAGAGGGTGGAGAAATAGGTGTGGCTTTTACCTTTGCAGAGTCTGCTACATTCTGGCCACAAGAATCTCTCTCTCTCTCTCTCTCTCTCTCTCTCTCTCTCACACACACACACACACAAACAAACACACACACACACACACACACACACAGCCTCCATCTAGGTAAGCATTAAAAACTTTCATGATGAAAATATGTAACAAACAAGCGAGTTAAAAATCAGAAGAGGTAAAATGATTGCCTACCTAGGGGTGTCTTCAATACCTGGTGGAATGCCAGTCCCGATGGGGCCTCTTGTTCTTCAGCAGAGAGGGCATTCCACAACACTGGAGCCACCAGAGGAGGAGCCCACCTTTGTGCTACCACAAGCCAAGCACCATCCAGCCATGTCAAAGCTAGCTGGGTATCATTTGCTGATCTTAATGCTCTTACCTAGCAGTGGAGGGGAAGATGCTTTTTCAGGCATTAGCTAGAGGAATCACTCCAATATGTATTTGGTAAGGGAGTGGAATTTCCCATTTTCTCTGTTAGGCAGATCACTATGTAACAACTGCCAGACACAAAGCATGTCAAAAGTACCGTAATCTTCCACTGAACCATTGGCAGAGGAGCATGCGAGCCTGTTAAGTTTGCAAACTCATCAAGCAGAACTGAATTGTGCCTGACAAAGAGTTCTGTGAAATGCTAGGGTTGCATATCATTTTTACTAAACAAAATGATGTCAATAGATGGTACTAAGCAAACAGTTTTAACTTAGTGTTCTGCCTTTATCTTTTCATTATTATATTTTTTGGGGGGAGGGGATGTTGAATTTGTTGGTGTTTTAATTATGTATGGATTTTATAATTTATTTTAAACTTGTAAACAGCTTGGAAGCCATTTTGGCATGTTAGTGGTATAGAGATATAATTAATAATAATAATAATAATAATAGTACCAGAATGGCTACAATGTTTAAAATTTAGTAATGCTTTTAAAATAAAAGATGCTGCACTTGCTTATTACTAATCATTACCTGTATTTTGAATCAGTTATGTTATTAATCACTGCTTCGGTTACTACCATAACAATGCTTAGCAAAAATGATTTATGTCATCGTCATCAGCACCATTCCATTTCTAAGTCTGCAGACTAGCAAAAGGTCTGAATGTCTGGTCCAGTTTCAGTGCTCCCAAGGAGGCCAGCACTTTAAATAGGGGTTTTAAATCTTTGCCACAGCAGGCGCCTCTAAAAACTCTCCCTTTAGTATGAAACAGTCAACTCAATTGGCAGAATTGTTAAGTAGAGCAAGCGGTTTCGCTGTGGTGTGAAACAGGAGTTCAGCACACTCCATGGGACAAGGGAAGACTAACCTCAACAGGATGATATCAACAAATGGGATGTATTAGGAAGTTTGGGGGCTTAATGTCAGAACTGCTTTTTGAGCCCCCCAGCCCGTTGCACAGAAGAACCTTGAAATTCTGCAGACGTGTGTAGTAAGAACAAAAGCAGGTTTTCATGCGCTTATAGAAGCTACAAGTCATATAAAATTTAACCCAGTATTTTAGGGCCAAAAATACATTTGTATCTGATGACTGCAAATAATCATTACAGCAATGCCCAACTCTTTTTATGTAAAAGGCCCTTTACAAGAATGTAAGAAGAGCCTGCTGGATTAAGCCAACCAATTGCCCATCTAGTCCAGCATCCTGCCCACACAGTGGGGAACCAAATTTCTGTAGTAAACCTGCAAGCAGGACCTCCTGTGGTTTCCTGCTATTGTTTTTGACTATAGTTATGGCACTGTCAGTTACGTTCAGGGAGTCTAGCCATACACCTTTAGAAACAGGGCTTTGCCCAGTCAAGGGGGTTCAGGAACTGCTGAGAAGCCTGCTCATGAGTTACTGTTTCTGCTCCTATAGAGGAATAACTGGGTCCTTTTTTGGCCAGGATGGTAGTCTAGTCATTGCTGAAGAGACCTATTTGCTGAATGACATTAATAAATAGGAAATATTAAAAAGTAGTCAAGTTTGGTATTTTAGCAACTAAACTTAGAAAGGATTTTGTGGACAACAGTGCATTAGACTAAGTTCTGTTTCTTATTCCACTTTCTAAACAGTTTCTGGAACTGACCTGTTATTACCATATGCAGTGTATGTATTTTTATATTTTTTCTGCAGTATTGTTAAGGCTTATTGCTTACAACAAAATTACCAACCAAGTACAGCAATGCCCAATAAAACCAGCTCCTCAAAAACAATACATTCCCGAGGAAGCCCAATCTGGTAATCCAGCAAAAAAAGAAAAAGGGGGAAAAGGATATGAGGATGGTATACCCAGAGGGTATCATTGAGCCAGTCCATGCCATTGTCTTGCTGCAACAGGTGATCGTATGTAACACACAGGAAATGGATATCCTCTTCGTCAATGCCCCCATTCCAAATGTCATATAAAATGGTCATCTCCTCAAACTCAGAGCGGGGCCTGAAGTGATACTGATGAGGGGAATACTCAGGGGAAGGAATTGTTGGAACGTCCTCCGGCCTCTTTTTCTGTCGCCTCCACTGTCTTTTGGATTTCAGGTAGGCCTCTTCTTCTTTCAAGTCCTCGTTCCACTGGTTCTCCAGCTCCTTAAAGGGAAGCTTCTCAGCTAGAACATCTGGGGTGAGCTTGTCATGGAAGCCTTCATTCCGGAAATCCAGGGTCACTGCTTCCGGATCTTTCAGGGCATAGAAAGCCTCTGGGTGGCTACTCAACAAATCTTTGCTCACAGCACTTTCAGTCAAGACAACTGGGATGGGAAGAAGAGGAGGCTCAATGGGCTTGCCAGAATAGGCATCCAACAGAGGGCCCAAAGGAGAGGATCGTTTCGGCCGCCCTGGTTTCCTTTTGATGGACAAGACAGAGGAGGGAGGCTGAGGCAGGAGAGGAGGGGAAGCCACAGAGACTTCTGGGTAGGGCAAAAGGGGCCGTGCCTCTGTGGTGTACTCCTCTAGAGGCATCTTTGAGTCCACAGAAAAGCTGGGGAGAGCAGCAAGAGGTACTGGCTGGCTAGGGGGCAAGTCGAGACGTGCAAGGAAAGCTGGGACAGGTGGACTGGCAAAGGGAATGGGGGAGGGAACACTGTTCATGCCAGCCAGTAAGGAAGCACCAAGAGGTTCTTTAAAGACTTTCTCATCAGGTTCGTCTTCAGAGGGCTTCCTGCCTGACGAAAGGCAAGGAAGGGTAGCACCAGGCTCTGGGAAAGTCGGGGTGAAAGTGAAATCCCTCCCAGGCGTCCGAGGAATGCCGCCACTGTTGATCCCGGGGGACTGGGATGGGTAGGAAAAGGGGCTTCCTGGGACCTGAGGGGAACTTAAGGTCAAGCTGCTTCCTGTGAGAGGAGCGTCATTGCCAGGGGTGGCTGGGACAGTGTCCGTGCTCTGGGACTTGGAAAAAGTGTGAGAGCACTTGGCTGCAATGTCCCGCCCAGGAGTCCGAGGGAGCTCTTCTTCCAGGGCTGGTTTGGTCATGCTTAACTGATCCGGGAACTGCTCTGGAAGGAGGAATGGCTCCTCTTTACCAGATGTGCCTGAGGGGAGGGGAAGCGAAGAGGGTGGCACCACACTGAGCGGAAGCCCAGGAGACTCCAAGTGAGCCTGCCGCTCTCCCCCGGGAGTCCAAGGGAGACGGTCCTCTTCCTCGGCTGAGCGGGACTGTCGGCTTTTTGCTGGGGCTTCAGAAATGCTGTTGTCCGGCTTGGTGAAAAAGGCGGTACTGCTGGCCAAAATGTCTCCAAAAAGCCCCACCGGCGTTGGTGGACAGAGGTTTTCTTCATCCTGACTCTCTGGCTGTGGGCTGACCAGCGCCTCAGGCTCCAGCTCGACATCGGGTTCAGACTCCTCCTCTAGAAAGAAAAACACAGAGGAGCAAATGACACACCTTAAGGAAACACACCGTGGTTACAAAACTGCCTGAAGACTGGAAGGGACGCAAAGGGCATTTACCCCAAACATCTGGGGCTGGGAATGGAAACAGGATCTATACAGGCGGCAGACTGAAGGATGTTCACGGAGCACCGAGGTAAGAACCCACTTGCAAACCCCTGCAAAGCTCCACTAAGTCTTCAAGGATGCAGCTAACACATTTTCAAATTCCTGTCTAAAATCACAATGGCTAGAACTGTGCCATTAAAAAAGCAAATTTCACGCCAGATACCCACTGGTATCTACTTGGGCAGTCAGCACAAAGTGCACACAATCCTAATTTTCAGCAGTTTTTCTACATCATCTTTGCCACCACATAGTGACAAACCCAGTGGACAGAGAAGCCAGGCTGAACGAGGAAGTGAGTTGGGGGAGGAGTTAGCAGCCAACAGCAGTTCTATTTAGCTGATCGGAAGACCTGTGAACAGGGGTGTTTGAGAGGGCGCTTTGAGGATGAAACCTGGAGTGCTTTCTCATAGAGCACGTAGAACCATGTGGTGGGGTAGGAGAGCTGAAAATAATGCCAATATGTTTCACATCTGACAACCAATGCACCCCTTGGGTTTCAGATAATACATGGGTAGATGAGTCTTAAAAGCCCAGGACACAAATTTTTACGGCTCTCTAACAGCTATGGTTGCTTGACGCTTAGTTTGGTCAGATTAGAGTAATAGACTTCCAGAGTTAATGCTAAATACATTACTTCTGGTAAATGAGCCACCATATGATCGGACTTGTGTGTCCTTTCCCCTCTCCTACCCATGTGCTTATTCCCTTCCTCTTTCACAACAAATTGTGAGTTACCATTACATTTGAACTAGCAAACCATTGTTTATGTGCAAACCACATAACTGGAAACCATGGTTCTACAGCAGAAACCAGGCTGAAACTCATTTGCATAAATGCCAAGCCACATTGCTACATCTGAACTGAGTTCATGTTTAAAAAAGTAGCTGGAACAACTATTATGAATTAATTGACATGTCACTGGAACATCACAGTGCTATCAATTACTTTGTTTGGTCTTAGAACTAGAGCTGGGTGCTATATTGATAAATTGTCTGAAACTGGTTTGGTGTTCAGATCACAATACTGCTTCCAAATAGTTTGAGCTGGCAATACATTGCACCAGCTCAAATTGCCTGCAGACAGCAAAGGTGCAGGCAGACAGGCAGAGCACCTTATCGGACTCCATCTGCCTGCCTGCACGTGCCTTTGAGGAAGCCCCTGCACTGCCCCTCCAGCTCACATGAATCAGAACAGCATCAGGGCTCACTCAGCTGAGGGGCGGGAGGCTTCCTGCTCCCCCCAGCTCATGCAAACCAGAGCAGTATCAGGGTTTGGTAGGGCTGGGCAATGTATCTCAGCTGCTTCTACTTCCCGTAAGGTGGGTAGGAAGAAGTAGCTAAGATACATTCCAGAGTCAGACATCATGAGATATCAGCATATCACAGTATTTAGTTGCTGATATATCACAATGCTGAAAACCAGATATTGCCCAGCCTTGAAAAGCAGCCACTTGTATTCAGATCAGGAACTTGAACAAGAAATCCTAAGAGAAGGGCTAAGAGAGGCCTTTAAATCAAGATGCTGTTGAACTAGACAGAATTTGAAACCAGCACAAGACACATTAAGGCTGCTTCTGATGTGATCCTGTTCAGCCTTAAATCCCACAAGCCACTCCCACATCAGCACATGTGCCCAAACTTTATTTCAGAATTAACTACACGTTCAGCTGCTCTGTGATTCACAGGTCTTTGTGGAGCCAGGGGCATTTTTTCATGACAGGTTCTGCACTCATGCAAGGCCTACCTCCAAATATTTTATCAGCTTTCCCCTCCAAAGGTAGGGACTCCTACTCCAGGAGGAAAGGCAGGAGCAGAGACAGGCTTTCAGAGCCCTTACTCACCAGATACTGGGAGGAGAGAGTTTGCAAAACGGTCAAAACTGCCCCTCACCTGGCACACACACTGGTGACAACTGTAGCTTCTCCTCCTGGGCTCTCTCAATCACCACCAGCACTTCAGCCACAGACTGCTGGAGGAGTTCCCCACTTCCCTCCTCTGCATGCTTGACTTCTTCCTTCTGCTCCTCTCCTTCTGGCATCAAAGGCTCCGGAAGAACTAGAGGAGTCCCTTCAATGTAATCGTCCACTGGAAACAATTCCAGGATGGTCTCCTTCTGATCATCGTCTTCAGACTCTTGAGTGAGAGACTCAGGGGCCAGCTGGGTAGGCAGGGCTTCTGTTTCTTGCTGCAGAGACACTCTTTCTTCATCTTCCACCTGCTCCTCATAGTCCTCTTCCTCTTCCCCTTCCTCTTCCTCCTCCTCCTCCTCCTCGTCTTCATCAGAATCAGAGCTCGTCCCAAATTCTGAGGATTCCTCACTTTCATCAGATGACTCAATCTCTGCTCCAGAGGAGGCAGGACTTCCTACATCTTCTGCTGGAGCACAAAAAACACATTTTGGTCAAGAGAAATTAATTAGAAGCATAAGATTTCCATTTGCTTGTTTTTTCTCTCCCTCCCTGTCACATATCCATGCTAGAGAGCTCCCCAAGTCTTTATAAAACCATCTGTTCTGGTAGCCATTGAAATGGCCCAAAGCAATGTGCTGTGTGAAAACACTTTTTATCCTGAATGTACCATAGTTTACCTGGACAGTAGAAGGTTCAAGGGTTTTTTTTAATGTAGGAGTAAAAGAAGAGAAGCTGTCTTCTCAACATACAGAATTTTACCTGCCCTTAGTAATTTTTTATCTCATATTAACAGCCCTAACTTCTTGTACATCTCTCCGTAAGACAATGTTAACCTCCCCACTTTTAATTTCAGTTGCTTTAAGTGAGTATTTCATGTTCTGCATTTCATTCTTACTTTTAGGTGGGACACCTAGAAGTGCATATGGCATTCTAAACTTGAGTGCCTGTTAAATTATACTATTATATGACAATACTTGCTGCTTTATCTTCAATCCCTTTCAGGATAGCTCATGAAACTGAGCTTGCCTCACACCTTGCAGGAGGTCCTGCTGAGCTTTTGTTCTAATGAGCACCAGTTAAATATTACCTGGAGATCTGGACAATGCCTCATCTAGTCAGCTAGTCAAAACATCAAGATCTCATTTACTTAGAGCTAACAAGAGACCATACCTTCTTCAGAATCTTGTTCCTCTTCCTTTCCACTTGTTTCTGCTTCAACCTCTTCTTCATCATCGTCTTCGTCATCATCATCTTCATCTTCTTCCTCCCCTTCCTCTTCATTGAGGTCTTCCTCCTGTTCCTTGAGAGAGAAGGCATTTTAAAAGTGCAACAAACTCTCGTTTTTTTGCAGGTGGGGAGCATGTTGACCGAGGGCTTATATTATTACATAAGAAAGCGGTCCAGTGCCATTGTGGCACATCTGGTATAATGTCTAGATAAAAAGATAGGCTGGTGGACTCAGGACATGCAATATGACACTTCTTTATAGAATGGAAGACACATTTAAAGTTTTTTTAAGGGGGGAAATAAGCTACAGAAATATTTCAAAACTCAGAAAAGCAACACATATGAACATATCTAATCAATTGTAGCTACACAAAGGGATATCCCAAACAGGGCTGGATTAACCATTAAGTGAAATAAGTACATGCTTAGGGCATCAAGGGAAGGGGGCACCACAGGCATTTTCCACTGCCAGATTTTTAACATTAATGGTCACAAACTGCTCTGCTGAGCATCAATTTTCTCAACTGAAGTGTATTAAAAATCCCAACGGAACAACTATGCAACAAGAGAGGCTGGATGTCTTATCTTTACTAAGTATAGAAGCTGATGTGTTACATAAGATTAGTTTTTAGGATCTGATCAAAGCCTTTGACATTAGTAAAAGCAGGAGAAAATGTTTCAAATATAAAGTGAAAGTAACAAAAATAAATATTCTTTTCCATCTTAATGCAGGTTTTGTTCCATTCTGAAAAATAAAAATTTAGTTTACCGTTTATTATTTTTTATATTTTGAATTAGATATGTGGGGGGGCACCAGAAACTTTTAAGTGCTTAGGGCCTCTAAAGGTCTTGACTCAGCCCTGATTCCAAGCAATATCTAGAATGTAAGCAAGGAAGAAAGAAAACTTTGTGGCTAGGGGGTAACAGCCTGCCACAAAACCCATCTTTCCCTTTGACTTAGCAACTTAGCCCCAGTGGGGCTACCTTTGAAGGTGACCTAGAAACTACAACTAATCCAGAATGCGGCAGCTGGACTGGTGACTGGGAGCGGCTGCCGAGACCACATAAAAGACCTACATTGGCTCCCAGTACGTTTCTGAGCACAATTCAAAGTGTTGGTGCTGACCTTTAAAGCCCTAAACAGCCTTGGTTCAGTATATCTGAAGGAGCATCTCCACCTCCATCGTTCTGCCCGGACACTGAGATCCAGCTCCGAGGGCCTTCTGGTGGTTCCCTCGCTGCGAGAAGCCAAGTTACAGGGAACCAGGCAGAGGGCCTTCTCGGTAGTGGCGCCCACCCTGTGGAACACCCTCCCACCAGATGTCAAAGAAAAGAACAACTACCAGACTTTTAGAAGACATCTGAAGGCAGCCCTGCTTAGGGAAGCTTTTAATGTTTGATGCATTACTGTATTTTAATATTTTTTTGGAAGCTGCCCAGAGTGGCTGGAGAAGCCCAGCCAGATGGGTGGGGTATAAATAATAAATTATTATTATTATTATTATTATTATTATTATTATTATTACTACTACTACTACAAGAGGGAGGTGCTGGCTTTCACTCACACATACACATACACAGCCAAGAGAAAAAAGCCCAGGTTGGTTGTGGGACCTACCTTGTCAGAAACGGATTTCATCACCCCTTCCCCTTCCTCTTGCTCGGCCTCCTTTTCAGAAGACGATTCCTCCTCCTTGCCTGAATCCTCCTCTTCTCCTTCACTGTCTAGTTCCAGCGGCCTTCCGGGTCTCCTCCTGAGGCCGACCACTTCACCATCTTTCTTGGAGAGGTCAGAGGCTGCATCCGGCAGGTCTCGATCTCGTTCTGATTCTGGGAGTGTGGAAATGCATGAAAAAGTTGAAGAAGCAGCCAGCCATGACATTCCCAAAGTGACAAAAATGGATTCCTGCCTTAGAAAACTGAAAGTAGGTGGGTTTTTAAAAAGTGTTTTCTTTCGCTTGCTCATTTGTTAAATAAATAGATTTTAAGAAGAAAGAAAATGCAGCTAAGGAAATGTGCTCGATACTTGTGTCACCTTGAAAATATGTTACGTGTTAGGAGAAACTACATACTTGGCGTTATTCTATCTCCCATGTATATAACACACCAGAGAAGTGGGAGTCATTATGATGGGCCCTGGGTTTAGGTGGGAAAGGAGCAGCTGAATGCCACATTGTACCCCACATCCGAGTTCTCTCTCTAGAAGAAAGAAGGCAACCATGGAAGGAGGCTTTGCTATCACTGCAGCAGTGTCCTCAAGTCTAGCATTTTGGCTTTTCCTTAGGAGTCTTAGGGGCCGGTTAAATCTCGTGAAGGTTAGTTATAGAAGGATAAAGGGACTCACTCCAAAGGCTTCACAGAAAAGGTGGTTTTTGAGGGATGGAACTGAAGGAAGAGGGTGCCTGTGGCGGATGGAAACATTTGGTTCTTCTGTGCACATGGGATCTGCATCTCTGGACATGCACCCTATGCAAGGATTTATTTTTCAAGACACCATTTCTGACACATTAAGAAATAGGGGAAGAAATCTCCATCCCTCAGTAGCCGAATGTTTGGGAACCTCAGAGCTTTTAATCCAAAACATTCAATGTGATGAAATGTTTTCAGTGCATTAGTGGCACGATCCAGTCCATGCTAAAAATTAACCACTGATTACATTTAGGGGCAAGTAAGCCTGTGCTTATTGCTTCCACCAAGGTCCATGGGACTGCAAAGCTTAACTTGGCCGGTTGCACCCTATGAGTTTAGGAAAAAGAGGTTGAGAGTGGGCCTTGCTTGTTAGCTGCAATCTGGCTTCCTTAAATCTTTCAAGAAGATGGTACGCAATCTAGGAAGAGTTAAGTACACCAAAACTTTATCCCGGTCAATAGGGTTTAAATGCACAGCAAAGGAAGGAACTCCCAGTTTCTCTTCCTAGTTAGGTTACTGAACTCCAGTCAGGCTATGTCCTTCCAAAGCTGGCAAGAAATTGGTGCTTGAATACTGAACAACTGTGGGTGCTCAGAAAAAAGACAAGAAAACAAAAACAAAAACAAAAAACTGTGGGTGCTCAGATTAATGAAGTGCACTATGTCAAGATGACTACTACTTAATTAATTATATTAGTCATATAATTATTATAGTAGTCATATAATTAATTATATGACTAATTAATTTATTATTATTATTATTATTATTATTATTATTATTGGCCTTCTCCAAGGAGCTCTGGGAGGGCAAAGCATTTAATGACAATTAACAAGAACTGTGGGGGGGGTGTCTTTCATTTCATACTGAAATAGCATTAAACCAGTTATAACACTGAACAGCTTGTTCTTTCCATGATACAAAAATATTTTTACCGTGATTTTAGACATTACTTAATGGAACAGTGCCCATCTTAACTGCAACACTGAACACGGAGTCTTATCTGTGTTACAGATTGGTCCCACATATGACATTAAATTGCAAAAATTAGGACAAAGAGAATTTGGAACTCTTAGTTTTGTATAGAGTGTCCAGATTGAGAGACAAATCACCAGCGTGAAGATTAGAGGATTCAGCAGTGTGAAACCCTTACTGTGTTTTGGAGGAAAATATGGCTTCACAAACCTTCATCTTCATCATCTACCGAAGTAGAGGGACGGATTCTCTTCTGGTCTCCAGTTGAGGCAGCTTCAGGTGGCTCCTTTCTCTTCACCTGCAGAAAGGACAGAATTAACCAATTTTGGGAGATGTACTGTATTTTTCGCCCCATAGGGCACACCGGCCCATAGGGCGCACCTAGTTTTTGTGGGGGGGGGGAATAATGGGAAAAAATTATTTCCCCTCAGGCGCGGGGCTGGAGCGGGGGAAGCCCGAGCTTCCCCCGACCCCAGCCCCCAGAACAGGCAGCTCTCCACAAGCCTAGGGAGCCCAGCGCGAAGTCGCGCCGGGCTCCCACGGCTTGCGGAGAGCTGCGCGAAGCCTGGGGCTCGCTCCGCTTTGCGCCCCGGGTTTCAGGATGCAGGCTGCTATTCGCAAGCCTAGGGAGCCCGGCGGGAACTCCCGCGGGCTCCCCAGGCTTGCGGATAGCTTCCTGAAGCCTGGAGAGTGAGAGGGTGCGCACCCCTCTCGCTCTCCAGGCTTCAGCGAAAGCCTGCATTCGCCCCATAGGACGCACACACATTACCCCTTCATTTTTGGAGGGGAAAAGGTGCGTCCTATAGGGCGAAAAATACGGTACTTGTTTTTAGATTTACAAGTGCTCCCCACTTCACAGCATACAAGAACCTTACTCCCAGAAAATGACTATATGGGAGTGCCAATGTTTGCTTTCCTTTTTATGTTTGTGAACACATTTTTACTTCAGTTTGTAATTTAAAAGGCAACAGAACAATTAGACCAGTGTGAACATCAATATTGAAATTGTGTGAACATCAAAATTGCCATTGAAGCCAGTTCAAACATCTAAATACACAGAAGTGCAAACATGTGAATTAGGAAAGTTGGAATAAGACAGAAACCTTAAAGACTTATCACCTCTTTTATTCAATCTATTAAAGGATTTCTCATAAAGGTGATGTTCTTCATTACAGATCTCCAACCACTTTCCATGTTTGCATGCTTTCTCTAAACAACACTCTCCCCCCTAACTTTTCCCCATCCTTCAAGTCTTCCAGTGTGCTCTCTAAAACTCACATGGGGATAGAGGCAAATGCACCATCATAAATCAGCCAGTAATAGCATTGGTGGTGGTGTGAAGAGCCAATACTGGGTTATTAATCATTTCTGTAAGGTTAGAGAGCTAAAAGTACAGGCAGTTTATTGGGCAAAAAGTGTGCAACAGCTGAGACATTAAAACTGTGACTCAATTTTAACATTATTTACAGTACTATAGGAAAGCAGGGTTCATATTATGAATAACTAGATATTGAAGGCTGCTCTTACCTTGAAAGATGGCAACCGGATGGCCCCGCGTAACCCAATGCCCAAGCCAATCCCCTCGTAACCCAGACCTTCTCCTTTGTTCCAGTTCTCCAGAAGACAAGATGTGATGCGGTCCTTTGGTTTTGGCTTCTCCTCATCTTTATGTTCTCCAGATTTTACTGGAGTAAGTGATGCCTATGCAAGACAAGCAGGATTAAAAAAGAGGACACTAACACACTGGTGCAGACGCTAAAAATTGGGTGCTTGAACAAAGCAGCAGCATCTACTCATACGAAAGCTCAAATTTCCCTGAACAAGTACAGACTTAAGGTGCTCAAATCCATCAATAGCACTTATGGAACATCCCTGCTTGACTTCCATTGGAAAAGTTCAGCCTGAACAAATTCTAGGGAGGAGGCAAATGTCAAAAACATCAGAAGGATGTGCCTACTTTCCCTACTGCAGAGAGTCTGTCGATTAAACTGCAAACTCTCCACCTTGCCTGGCAGAAAACAACCTTAATTTGGCATGATCCTTTTGTGGTGCAAAAACCATGTAGGTTTTCTCATGTAGGCTGTAGCCTAATATCCACACTGGGTTTTAGGAATTTGTGAAGGTCAGGCAGTGCTAAGTACACTTTTGCCATTTGTAAAGACGTGGACATACTCTAAGCCAGGCACAGGCAAACTTGGCCCTCCAGATGTTTTGGGACTACAGCTCCCATCATCCCTAGCTAACAGGACCAGTGGGAATTGTAGTCTCAAAACATCTGTAGGGCCGAGTTTGCCTATGCCTGCTCTAAGCCATGTCTGAAGTCACACAGAAATCACACACAAACATACACAGAGAGCTGCCTCAAATGGAGTCATGCATCTAGCTCCATACTGCCTACTCCAAACACAGCTGACTCTCTAGTCTAAGGTTTCAGATAAAAGACTTTCACACCCTTACACTAGAGATCCCTTTAAAACAACAACAATAGCCTTGAGCGATAAGGAATCAGACCTGTGCTCCTATACATGCATGCATGCACTAAGCTTTGGTTCCTCCTATATAGTGCATGCATCTATCTATAAGAAAATATTTGTGAACTCTGAAGTTATTATTACTGCCTTGCCATACACCTGTCATGTTACTTGTTTTATGTATATCCAAGCCCGAACTAGGGGAAACACAGAAAGATGCAAAGAGGCAGGTGGTGCAAACTGTCTGTCATTGAAAAGCCATTGGAAAAGAGGGGTGAGATTTGATGGTTACCTTTGCCAGACGCTCTTTCTTGTCCCACCAGTCATCAAATGCCCTGAAGGCCACCACCTCCACCATCTTCCGGTTTAAATCCCTCTTCATTATTGCTTTAAGTTCCTTCACAATCACCAAGAGGACACCATCCACAGTGGCCTTATGCGGATCTTCCTTCTTGGGCTGGTAACCCGGAGGAGGAACCGAGGGGTCAAACTTGGGCAAAGGGGGCCACTGCTGTCCACGGTTGATAGCTGCTCCCATGGAAAAGTGTCGGTAGGGAGGAAGGTTGACAAACTGCATCCGGTTCCCCATGAACGGGGGGTACTGGTAAGTGTTCTGCCCTTGCATCAAGCGGCTCAGCATTTGGGTTTGCATTTGAAAAGACATTGACATGCCTCCCCATTGGTTGCCCAAGACACTGATCATATCTACTTGCATGAGGGGAAACATCCCAGGATGGAACGGAGGAAGTGGAGGCAAGATATGAGGGGGTGGAACCCCAGGAGGCGCTGGGAGGGGGGGAGGCGGGACGGTGACTGCGGGGTGAGTTGGGGGAGGCGGGGGAGGGAGAGGAGGAGGAGGTGGCATTGGGAAGACCGGCTGGGGTGGGGGTGGGGGAGGCAGGGGAGGAAAACCATGGGGAGGCATAGGAATTGAGGGAGCCATCACAGCTGAGTTGCCAACAGAAGTATTCACCACAATGTTTTTGGCACATTCTGTGCTTGGAGATTGGTTCATTTCATCATCGGAGATCTCCATGTCTTCCCCTGAAGACTGATGACACTGTGAGGAAAAGAGAAACATATTCTGCTTAGTCTAGGATTACAGTCCCATTAGCAAAACAAGTAAATAAAAATCAGGGAGGGGGAGTAACTTTGTCTCCTCAAGACATGTGCATCCAAGACAACTTAGTATTTTCTTGGGAGACATTCAGTTCAACAAAACATGTAAAATCACATCCTATGAGGTGCTCAAACTGTCAGGGGTATTTGTATATTAAAACCTGAAGAACTTTACCACAAGGTCATCTTAATACTTACTATTTGGACCCTTCCCCCTAACTATGAGCATTCCCAGTTCGAAATGTAACACTAAAAGCAATCCAGAAATCTAATCTGGTTTTCATCAAGTATCCGCTGATCAATTTACTACCACCAGAGGGCAGTTGCTTCCAAAAAGCAAAGTTTACAGAAAGAAATGTGCTCTTTACCAGCCTGTGGCTAAATGAAAAAGAACATGGGTTTAAATCAGCAAAGGACAGCATATAATCACAAGAAACTCTCCTGTAACCCTTACCTATTCTTGATTCTGCTTAGGAACAACTCAGGAGTCATAGGAAGGTGAGAGAATATAAAACTGAATATGGAAAGAAGCCACACAGAGCTGTCAATGGAAGTTTCATCTTGGATGGAGAAGTCCCAAGATTTTGCCCAATTTTGCCCAAGGCTACCTAACAAGTTCAGGTTAAGAGATGCTCTCACTCAACTTCAGTTTGTCCCCCACAAAAATGGAGAAACCACCCTTTGCTGTTTCTTGCAGCAGTAGTCTATCACAGGCATGGCCAAACCTGGCCCTCCAGATGTTTTTGTGACTACAACTCCCATCCTCTCTAGCTAACAGGACCAGTGGTCAGGGATGATGGGAATTGTAGCCCCAAAAGATCTGGAGGGCCAAGTTTGGCCCTGCCTGGTCTATCATGTCAGATCAAAGTGCAATGAAGTTGGCATGTCAGCTTGAAGATTAAAATGATAAAATAGCAGTAAGAGAGGAGAAAAGGCACATTTGCAAAAAAAAGGTGGGTTGCGCGTGTTTGTTGCTCAGTTCAACAAGCCCTTTAGTGAACATGCTGCAAACACTACTAGAATGGGCCTGTCCCTGGAGCAAGAACACGGCGCACAGAGCCCCACTGCCTCTCTTCCTTTTCATGGCACCCCCTCCTCCTTGGCTTACTTTCTGCCACCAATTTAGCAGCAACAGTCTCTTTCACACATTTCAACCGGTGAGTTCCTCTGCTTCTACCCTCCCTGCCTTGCTCTAGCAAGAGAGGAGGTGGAAAGTCTCTTGAGTGAACAGAAAACGGCAGGGCCACCAGTCATGGCTCTCAGTGCCAGGAGAGAGTGGGATGGTAGGACCCAAACGGCTTCAAGTTACAGGAAAGGAGATCCCAACTCAACACCAGGAAGAACTTTGATAGGAAGAGCTCATCAACAGGAACAGGCTCCCTTGGGAGGTGGTGGACTCTCCTTCCTCGGAGTTTTTAAGCAGAGGTTGGATGGTCACCTGTCATTGATGCTTCAACCGAGATTCCTGAATTCCAGCGGGTTGGGCTAAATGACTGTCAGCATCCCTTCCAACTCTACGATTCTGTGAATATAGGGCCTGGAGCAATCATCCCTATTTGCCCCCTCCAGGGATGGCCCTGGGTGGGAAAAAAGGCTCCGTTCATCTCTGCTGGAAAGTGGAACTTGAGGATAACTTGAATATAGGAAAAGAAAAAGCCTGGATAACATGCTCTGATACACAGAATGTGGGTCAAGAAACAGAAAAAGACACATCTTCCTGACTTATTTTACTTATGCTATACTCTAGATTGGTTCATCTTTGCCTCTCTCTCCCCCTTACAAAAAGTTGTGTCTTTTTTTGGCAAGATCATAATGTACCAGGTGAAGCCCAGTGCAAAACTGCTGGCCTCAGTCTATGAGAATGCAACCCTTCCCATATAACGCATGGCAGCCAAAGTCCACCCCAGCTCTGTGGGCAGCTCAGAGTACCTTGGGGCATGGGAAGTGCACAGGAAATATTTTAACCAGTATTTAAATATATGGGCATATTTGCCATTTGTATTCTGAAACAGGAAATAGGAATCACAGATGGGTTGAAGGCAAGTTGGGTGAATTAAAAGCTACCACCAAAACCTTATGAACTTTATGCAGAGGCAACATTGCAAAAGCCCCTTGTGCCTCCAACAGCTTCATGGCTGGAAACTGACCTGCATGCATGGAGGGGACAAGTTTTGCAATCCAAAATTTATTTTAAGCAATACATTAGAAATATGATGGGGAAATGGGAGAGGAAGCAGGAGTGGGGAAATATACCAAAAATCAAAAGAAAGCCAGCTGGAAGGAGGAGGCTGTCAATTAAGGAGGGTTCAATTAAAATAAAATTCAGAAGGATAAAAAGCTTGTTCAAGACAAGAGAAATCATGGAGAGTAAGAAAGAACAAATGCAGAAAGCAGGGTGTAGCCAGGGAGGAAGAAAAACAGGGTCTAGGCAGAGAGCGAATGTAGAAGAAAAATGCTATGGCTTAGCTTTTAAAAATTGTTTTAACTGAAGATTAAACTTTCAGTTCATCAAGTCCTTTTAATGGATGTTACATTCAATGTGAGACACTAATGTTAATGACAGCATGAGGTTAGAGGGAGAAGAGAGGTGGGGAAGAGAGGTGGGGGGATAGAAAATTTTTCATTATTTTACATAGTGTATGTGCCTAGTTTTGCCCCTGCAGAAAGGCCCCTGTAGTAGAGCATAACAGAGTATGGACTAGGACCTGGGAGACCAGGGTTCAGATCCCCACTCAGCCATAACTCACTGGGTGGCCTCTGGCCAGTCCCTGCCTCTCATCCTAACTTACCCCACAGGACTGTTGTGGGGATTAAAAGAGGAGGGGGAGAACCATGTGCACCACATTGAGCTCCTTGGGGAAAAGGTGGCTATAAATGCAATCCATCAATCCTGGCCCACAGCCATCCAGTGAGCTTCAGTACAAGGTGGGGGGCCAGAATGCAGGCCTCCCTCAAAGTCCAACAAGTCTCTCTGCAACTTCTCCAAGCTGATGCCTTCCAGTTACACCACAGCTCCCACCATCCCTGCCCACTGGGCCACGCTGCCTGAGCCTCATGAGAGTTGCAGTCCCAAACATGTGGAGGGTGCCAGGTTGGGGAAGCCTGCATTACATTATCCAGATATCAAATATATTTTGGCAGAGTACCTATTGGTGAATTATGGTGCTGGAGGAGACTCTTGAGAGTCCCATGGACTGCACTGCAAGAAGATCAAACCTATCCATTCTGAAGGAAATCAGCCCTGAGTGCTCACTGGAAGGACAAATCCTGAAGCTGAGGCTCCAATACTTTGGCCACCTCATGAGAAGAGAAGACTCCCTGGAAAAGACCCTGATGTTGGGAAAGATGGAGGGCACAAGGAGAAGGGGAGGACAGAGGACAAGATGGTTGGACAGTGTTCTCGAAGCTACCAGAATGGGTTTGACCAAACTGCGGGAGGCAGTGGAAGACAGGAGTGCCTGGCGTGCTCTGGTCCAGGGGGTCACGAGGAGTCGGACACGACTAAACGACTAAACAACAACCACCACCAATTGGAACCATGCAGCAAGAAAACAAAGAAGACCAGCAGCTCCTTCCAGAGTAGATGTTGCATCGAATATCTGCTGTTTATTCTCCAAGAAGCAGCCAGACAGTGTGTCCTCTCCGTCTAGGGTTGTTTTCACCAGTGCTCTGAAGCACACCGGCCCTCTTGAGCCAAAGCACATGGTTTGCAACTGCCACCGGCCATCTACCTACAGGGCTGGGCTGCTGCTGCTGCACCCCAATCCAAATGCTTGTTAAAATACAATACTACACCTTGCTGGAAGGAAAGAAAACTGAACAACAAAAGGCCTCGTTTACAGTGCTTTATTAAACTCTCACGAGAGGAAATTTAAACTGAGCTTTCCAGACGCAGAGGGGTGGAGGGAGATATTCCCCTGGAAACTGCAACACAGTCCCAAGACTACTGGCTTGTAAAGAAATGCCACCGTGCTGGTGTTTGTGCCACACAATGTGGCAGGCTCAGGTGCAGCTTCCTAATTAGTTATCGCCTCTTACCAAGAGAAATTGGTAAAAGGGGCAAGTGAGAAAATGGGGCCGGTGGGGCGGGGAGCAGGGAGAGAATCAGTTGATCACAGCGGGGAACTTGCAGAGAGAGCAAAGCCACTCACCTCTCTCAAAAGAGGGAATTTCCAAGGGATGCAAAATGCCCCTTGTTCGTAAACAACAACTTTGTTTTGCACCAGAGGCTCAAGCAAGAGGCAGACTTTTAAGACTCTGGTTTGTGGTCCATGCCCTTCTTACACCTGTTGTTCTGGAGAGGAGATATCCACACTCCTGGGGATGACAAAGCCCTTCTTGAGGGATAAAGAAGAGGGAGGCGCTCTAATTTTGGCCATGGGCCATCCTCCTTTGCTCTAACGTAACAGAATTAACTGGCACCTTGACAATGCTACGTGGATACCCAGGGACTGCACATAAAGACCAGAGAGCACGAATGGGGCATTCAGAGCAGCTAACCAAAGGAAATGCAAAAGCACCAGAATTGCCTTGCTGGGGCAGACCTTGTTTAACAAAGATGGCTCTGTCACATTCCTCGCCCCCCCCTTCCAGGGAAGGAAGGCAACCCCCCCCCCCCAGCTGCTTGTTTCTCAGCAACTGGTCTTCAGAGGTACTCAGCACCTCTGTCGGATTTTGCTCTTCCTCAAATCCGTTTTTGATTTTTAAAAACTTTCTAGGGGTTGCAACATTTCTTTTTAAGAAACTGAGGCAAAGCATACACAGACCCTCCCATTGCTTCTGAAAGGGATCCAACAGGCTCCAAGTCAAAAGGGCAGAATTTTAAAATGAGCCATTTCATTTGCAGAACAACTTCCAGCAGACATAGGCTTGCCATTCATCAGGAATATTCCCGACACGTTCCGGTTTTCAGGTGTAAAAATGGTGGGGAGGGGGATGTGGCAAAATGTCATGGAAAACCTGGGTGTATGGCAACAAACAATTCTGGTGGTTTCCTTGAAAAAGCTCAGCAACTTTGTGGGTGTCAGGAAAAGCAGACAGCATTTCATTAAGTTCTGGAAAAGGATAGCAAGAAGACCAGCAATGAAGGCTTGCACATTTGCAAGATGATTTGCGACTCAGATTGTGAAGTCGATAACAAGACACTTAGGATGAACCCCCTTCAGACGAAGAAGTATCTCAAATTCTCAACCACAATAGCCTCTCAGCATTGCTGCTCTATTGAGCCATGAGAGCTGGGCAATAACTGCGCTTCTCTGCAAAAAACTGCCATGCCATTAACATAGGATGGGGCAAGGCAATATTTAGCACTTGGTCTCCTGCCACCCCATGTTTTCCTAATTTGGAACCAGGTGACAGGAACAGAGGAAGCCTGCAACTTTAATACCATATCCCTGTTCAGATGCTGGAGGAGTGGAGCCTTGGTAATATTTGCCCCCGCTAAAAAAATCCCCACAACAATGATAATAACAACTATTCCTTCATTGTTGCTACATTTTAAGCCATGGGTACTCAAGTGAAAAGAACACTCTGCTTCACATACTCTGGTTTCTCTGCAGATCGTATAAAAGAACACTCTGCTTAGCCATAAAACCAGTTTCCTCTTACTAGGTTTGCAAAAAATCCAAACGGACTTTAGGTTTGGAACCTATTCTGTGTTACAAGGCGCAGACTCAGAATGATGTCATAATAAAAACAAGTATGCTCCTAAACATGTACAGAGTGTGGTTCTCTCACTACCACATTGTAGCCCATCATGCACCAGATATAAGGATGTCAAGGTCAGAGGATGCAGTTTCCAATGAGGTGTGAGCCACGGTGGTGTCAGACCTTCTCTTGTTAGAAACTGAGCCCCCACACCCAGCAAAATAAGATTCCTTGACACTTCTACATGGAAGCAAGTTTTATTGATTTCAATGGAACTTGTACTCCAGGGGTGACCTTGAGATCACATTCAAAAGCTCTGCTATCTGGATTCATAATAATCTGGGCTGAAAGTAGATGAATAGGATGGTCAATGTATTTGTGACAAATTCATTTCTCAACATATGCTTAATATTATTTATAAAATGAATACATACATCCAAAACAACTAATTTAACCAAATGAACAAAAAAATCACAGCAAGAACAATTCCAGGGATCACTACCCTCAAGCTTACTTAGAATAAAATTTCTTAGAAAAGGCAGAAGTGATATGTAGCCAACACTGCTGCTTTCTAAGAAGGTACAGTAAGAAGACTTTGTGTAATATGCAAACTTTGAAAGCCTCAAAGTCTAATCTGGCACCTGAGAGCGAAAGAGGTACTCTTGCCTACAACCACACTTTCTACACTTTCTACAGTTAATATGATAGAAGAGAGCCATCCTCCTGTCTGCTTCATTGCTGAGCAAGTTCTTCCCACTTTCCAATCCTGTAGCAGCAATAGTGCCTCAAGTCTTATCTGGATTAAGCTTCAGTTTAGTGGCATACTGATGACTCCAAATCTACAGAAGATCCCGACCAGTTTTATGCTGATGTTAAATACTGTGGAGCATAAAAGTGAAATCCTACAACGATGTCTCCACAAGGCTGAACAACATCCCTCCACCAACTTTCATGGTCACTCCAGAAGGACACCCTGGTATCGAAAGGAGTCAAGAGATCAAGGAGAACAGGGTCACACTCCCCATCTCTCTCCTAATCACCAAATTCTTGTATGTTCTTGCCTTGCTCCCTCTTGCTAATAGAATGGATGTAAGACAACCCACTGCCTGAAGCCAATCCTGTAAAATTTTCACTGGGGGAGGGGTGAGCAAGAATCCCACTGTGGAAATTAAGTTTGTATGAGAAGGGCACTTCAAAAAGCACACATGAAGCTTTAATAGATAAAGATAGTCTATGCAGAAAGAGGAATCTATTACCAAAGAACTGAAACAACCGATTTCAGAGCAGAATTGCAGCAGCTGTTAAACAGCATGTAATGACACAACACTAAACAACAGGAGGCAAAGAGAGAATATCACATGCATTTGGAACTGCAAAGGGATAACAGGGAGGCAGAACACAGAGGGAGCTTCATCCAATATAGCTACACCAATTCCTTCCAATAATAGATGCAACTTAATGGGGAGCACTTCCAAGTACATCAAAATGTGTGAAGCAAGTTCACTGGCTACTTGGCAGACTTTTCCCATAGACTGTGGCAATGTCCATCAACACAAATACATGGCAATAATAATTTTAAGCAAAGTGAGAGATATAAGTGGATGAAAGAATGCATACGAACCTGCAAATTGAATTAGTATAATATTTGAAAGGAAGAGCAGGAATAAAAATGGTGATATGGAATTCAGCCTTATTTGCAAACTGCTACAGAACCAGGAATTGTATTTAACCAGTAAGGCAGGAGGGCACCTGTACTGAATATGTACAGTTAAGATGCTGACAGAGAAAAAGTGGACCTTGCAACAAAATATTGCAGTGCCATATGTTCCTGCTCCACTAAGCCAGCCATGCCCTCCAACAAGATACGCCATTCCATTCTCCCTGTTTTCTTGCCACAACAAACTGTTCTGAGGCCACTGAGCAGGCTCAGCCCTAACTTTTAGGGTGGCCCCCCCCAAAAAAAATCTGTTGTATTTCTGCATATTTGCCGATTCCTCATTCCTGTGTGTGACTAGTGCTATTTTGGCTACATAAGTAACGGCACCCACAGTCTGAATATAAATAGAGGGCATTACTGCATACAACAGAGGTCTGCTATTCTTTATATAAATCGTTATAATACCAATCATTTTGTATTATTTTTATTTATTTGAACTCTGTTTTTCCAAAACTATTTATTTCATACAATTATATATTCCTTGATTGTTAAAAAAAATCATTGTTTTAAAAAAGAATAAAACAATAAAAACTGCACAGTTAAAAACAGCTATCTGAAACATTCAAATAATAATTTCCAAAAAAAATTTAAAAAAAATCCATTATAAGCAACTCCAATAAAAAGTACATTGGCTCCTGCAGACAAGAGGCGGGGCTATGGACCTAGCAAGTAGCATCCATGGGTGGGAAAACTCTGGCAGTTCACAGCTAAAGAAACCAACAGGAGCTCAAACGGCTTTGACATTGACTGATCCAGGAGGTGGTGTACTGAACTCTCACCATGCTGCCTGCCACTTGGTTCAGACCAAAAGGGCTCCCACACTTTGGGGCATTTGTCTCTGGTCTACTGAACCAGGGAGACAGGACCACACCAGTCCAGCATAAGGGCTGGCCACCCATATCCTATCATATTAATTTCCTAATTCCTTGCAAAAATAACCATTACTGCCAAAATTCAAAGCAAGGTAATATTCCAGGAGAGTTTCTGAAGTACAGATCTCATGCAGTTCACAGAGCAACTAGTACCAAGCACTACCATGTAAAAACAGATAAACAAGGAAGGAGTCACCTCTGATGGAATCATGACTTTTTTTAAAGGGTCATACCTACTTTTATGATCTGTTCAACAGATCATGCCACCTACTTTAGCCAGCTTCCTTCCTGGTTGGGCAAACCAAACTGTGTTGGAGCAGGTCATCCAGGACAGCACATGGGGAAACCTGAGGATATTGAGCCCCTGCCATAAGGGAGCCTAGAATAACCTCCTATGTAATGGTCACCATTTTAAACAGAATCAGTAAGCTGTAATAGTGCAGAATGGATCATTTATTGTCCAGCCTAGCATTTTAGGGTTATTTAGTTAATCATTTCTTTCAGAATGGTTATTTCTCCTAATGTGCATATTCAAGATGGCTTAGTTCTATCTCAATATGTGACTACATAGCTCTACATAAAAAGGACAGTTACAATGGACTCCGCAAGTGGCAATTTTAACACATTTGCCATTGTGACTGGATTTACTAACACAGAATAAAACATGCTCCCACTTTTCCTTCCTTTGTCGTTGGTTCCTTTGTTGTTGTGACCCCCTCCTTTGGCAATCCTCACAGAACTCTAGCCCAATGGTTGCCATTAATTTGATTTGAGCTGATGTTATAATGAAATGATTTTAGAATGTTGTATTACTTTACTGTTGTTAGCCGCTCTGAGCCCGGCTTCGGCTGGGGAGGGCGGGATATAAATAAAATTTTATTATTATTATTTTCCTACATACTGAATCTCTGTGCTTCCTTAAACACAGATGCTCCCTCTCTTAACCTTAGTTACTACAGCATCCATTTGACCAAAAGACACTTGTGGCCTGATCTAGTGCATGTTTATTCAGAGGCAAGTTTCAATGAGTTTGATTGAACTTACTGCCAGGTAAGTATGTACTGGACTGGAGCCTCCAGTGATGCTATTTCAGGGATCGATAACAGGAATTTTAAGATGCATACAAAGAAAGGATCATAAAGAAAGTCCACTACATGGTCTACTTCCAGAGCTGAATGTAGAGCCTCTTTGCCTTCTTGGGAGCCAGGTTAGAATCCAACTCTTAAAAAAATAAACCAGGTGGTCAGTTGTAGAAAAGCCCCGTGACCTTTGAGCACAACAGTCTGCTTAACTGCTGTAACATTCAGGGCCAACCCAGGGCATTTTGACACCTGAAGCGAACCACAATATCGTACCCCACTCCCCACCAGGGAAGAAGGGGTGAGTGAAAATCTACATCAAGAAAAAGGGGGGAAATAACCATCTGCATTGGGATATGCTGCCCCTGTGGATTCAGCTGCCTGAGGCTGTCACCTCACCTTGCCTCATGTGTGGGCCGGCCCTGGAAGCAATACTGTACATAGCTTATGAAAAGAGTGTGTGTGTGTGTGTGTGTGTGTGAGAGAGAGAGAGAGAGAGAGAGAGAGAGATTGGTGTGGAATAGACCATTGGCCCTAGATATGGTAAGTATATATTCTGATCATCTATTGGCAGCAAATCTCATTGAGTGGTCCAAAGAATGACACCCTCTCTGCCTATCAGACAAAGCAACCTCAGCCTCTTGTTGCAAGGATAAACAAAATTAATACTAGAATGCAGGCACTGAGAAGAAAACCTGGTGACTTTGATTTATCTTCCCACCCTTCGCTCCAGGGATGTCTTAGAGGCAGCACACAGGAAGGTGCCTTACACCAAATCACACAACTGGTCCATTTTGCTTAATATTGCCCAAACCATCAGGCAAGGGGCATTCCCAGTCCGATCTGCAGATACCAGGGATTGAACCTGGGACCTTCTGCATGCACAGCAAATGCCTGGCCATTGGGCTGCAGCCCCTCCCCATTCAGAATATGCCTGTGAATGCCAGTTGTTGGGGGAACATGAGCAGAAGAGTTCCTATCTGGCTGGCCACTGTGAACTGGGATGCAGGACTAGAAGGGTCATTGGCCCAATCCGGATGCAGGATGCTTCTTGTGGCAATGTTCCTGTTCAGAAACAAAGCTCTGAAAAGGCATGGGATGGGTCATACATAGGAAAGAGAATTACAGTACCCCACCCTGGGGTTGCTATGCAATGAAGAGTGGGGCTATAACTTCAACAAGACAATAAAAATTGCACCCCAATGCTGTTACTTCATTTTAGAATAACATATCCTAGACGTCACAGCCAACACACTCACAGCTACAGAAACTGCTATCCACAGAAAAACTGCAGCATACATTTCCTCTTTTATGTGAATTATGAAGAAGACAATGCAGATTGTGGAATCTCCTTTTAAAAAAACAGGAGAAAGAAATCTCCTTTTGGATGGAAAGGTGGAGACACTGAAAGTGCCTACCCTCTTTCCTACCGCGTCTATCCCTGCTTCCCTCCGCTTGCTGAGGAATTCTCTGAAAGCCTGGCTATGAACAACAGCCTCACAATAGGCTGAAACATGAGCCTCTGCTTTCCCAGCCTCTTCATAGGCTAAAGCTTGGCACTCCTCTCCATCTCATTTGCAAGCTGGAAAAGCAACAGCTCACATTTCTACAGGGGTAGTACATCATTATTTCAGATTCAGTCCCACCAGAAAGGGGAGGGGAGATGACAACAACAAAAAGCAAACTATTAAGCTGGAATCTGCAATCATTTAAAAAGGGAGAGCTCACTGTTTTTATTTCACTTTTTATATGATTTTGCATTCTTGTGTTACACAGACAGCATCATTTTCAAGACAACCCTCATTACAAGCTGGCAAATATGGAACTAAACAAAGTTCAGGTAAACACTATCAGCGTTCTTTTAACTCATGTGTAACTATACGCATTCTATGTGCCTATTTTATAGTTTTGTTTGTCATCTTTTAATTTTTATCTTTTGTAATTGTTCTCAGTTTTATACACATTTTTAAATGAATTTTTAAAAAGACCAATTGCTCATATTTAATTATGGAGCAGGAAAGGTCATAAGCCCCTGTAGAATGACTGAGAGACTCAAGGAGAAGGCACAAACAGCAACATGTTTGAAAAGATACTGCAGTGAGGAAGAGTGCATTTCATGAGATCCAACTCCGAAGCAGATGCACAACTGAATCCTATGCATGACAGCTTAGAAGGAAACTACTTTAATATCTCACAAGTTTAGCAGATAACAGACAATATTACAACTCCAGGGAGCCTAAAAACATTTACAACTTGACAGACCAAATGCTTGTTGAAATAAGGTGGTGGCTTCCAAGTGACAATAGAACAACCTGGCTAAAAATTGTTTCCCATGGGAGATTTAACAGCAGCATGGAAAAGAGACAGCAGCAGGTCCCTTCTTGTCCCAGCAGTCAACCCAGCTGATGTGGAGAGGGAATTTTCAACACAAGGCCTCGGATCATGCACCACACCTTCTCTGGAATACTCCTAACCAATTCCAATACAAAGGAATCACATCCATGCAGGGCTAAGTCTCCCATCTTACAAATTAAGCACATCTTGTTTTATAAGTTAAACACTTTATAGCACATGGGTGTTCACCACAGATGCACACAGGCAACTCCTGGCCACCGTGCACTTCAGCAGGACATGCATAAGTCTGCCCAGCCCCTGCGCAGTGCGGGAAACGGCACACGCGTGCCCATCGTGCACAAGTGGGTCAGAGCCTGTACACAATTCTTGGGCTGAGAATTGGAGGTTGCACCGGTTTAAAATCAGAAATGCAAAGCTCTCCACACCGCTTACACATATGTAAGTAAGGCTTATCTGAACCACTTACCTCTTCCATTTTTTCTGGAGTTGGACTATCGTTATCAGGCAACATTTCTTTAGGTTCAGAGGACTCTGTTTTGGAAGTCCTACTCAGCTGGTCAAGGGGAGTCAGGCTAGCATCAGGCATTCCTTTTGAATTCTGAGAGAGAGAAGTTATTCCAAGTATTGGCTCCTCATCGTCAGAATCCGGCAATGGTGTTGGACTAATGTCCTCTAAGCCTGTGCTGGAAGGACGCGAGGAAGGGGTTTGTGCTCTGTAGTTGGGCTGAGAGTTGGAACCAAATGTTGCAATTGGAGAAAGCTGGGAGGAGGAGGAGGAGATGGGGCTACCTTCCATTCTAATCTCATTGTCCGAGTCATGCTCATTGAGAAAATATAGCTTTGTTCTCTGCTCTTTTAAGAGCATCTCAATTCTTGAGTCCAAACTGTTGTGCTGAATTTCAGATTCTGTGGTTGGGGTGCCTGGGGTCTCGCTCCTTTCTGGAGTCTGTGTGAAGGGTACCACAGGTGGTTCATTGAGACTGTTGGGCTCAGGTGGGGCTGGGGGCTCCTCAGGTTTGTCCTTCACAGGAACAAAGTCAACAGTGGCAGCGGCGCTACTTTCAACTGCCATCTCCGTTGGTGTTGGTGGCGGCCGACGGTACTCAGCATCCCTAGAAGTTTGGGGAAACTGCGGCTCTTCAGGCTGGGGAAACGTTGTGGGTGCCTGGTAGGGGGAGAAAGCGGACTTGAAAGTCGAAGAACCTGTGTGGCTCAAAGGAGGAGTGTGGGAAAATTGCACAGCCTCTTGAGGGTGGGATTTGAATGCACTGAACTGATGTTCTGACCCTCGGAAAACACCAGCTGAATTATGAACGTAATGGTGGCCTGGGCGTCTGTTATAAGCATCTGTAAATTTTGTTTCATGTCTTCTGGGTTTATACCCAGAGTCCTGACTAAAGTGGTACGCAGGTGTTGTCTGACGACTAGAGTACGCAGAATCTTGGGAAAATGGAGTCCCCAGGCGTGGGGTAAGAGGGGTTCCTTGGGACTGAGGAGTGAATTGGCTGTAAGAGTTTGGGGTATCTTGCCGACAACTGGAAAAGGCGGTATCATGGGAAAATGGGGTACCACTGTTTGGGGTAGCTGATGATCCCACAGAAGAAGCACTGTTGTCTTTTAATTGTTTCAGAGTTTCAGCCAGCTGCAAAAAAGGAAAACAGAAAAATATGCATACATTTCTGAAGTGCCATTGGAAACATTAAGACTTGAGCAGGGGGCCTAGCTATGCACATATCCAAGGAACACTTAAGGAGCCACTTGACAAGCATACATATAAACACTGCTACTGCAAGATGATCAAGAGTGGCAGGGATCAGTACTAGCCCTACAATGGACAAAGGTTCCTGAAACCATCCTTTCATCTAATCTACCAGTTGTTGTTTTCTAACCTCTAGTTCATGTTTGTGTGGGGTGGGGTGGGGTTAATGAAATGTACCAACTATAAGAGAATTTGGCTGAGTTGTAAAAAACAAAAAAAACCAAACCCAGAATCTTTGAACAAAAACATGTTCAAAGCAGCTGGAATTTTTCCAGCTATTGATTTTTTAAGAACCACATGCACAACCAACTGATCACTGTCAATTAATAGTTACTTTGAAGTCCTCTTCAATTATTGTAAATAGACCATTTCCAAGTTCTGAAGTTCACAGAAAAATAAAATGAAAGGTTCGAGAACTATGACGACAGTAAACCTAATACATATTCGACCAGGCAGTATCTGTAAAAAATAAATGACTCTATCCCCATCTTTCATGAACGGCCATGGAATTGATCTTGAAGTTAACATGGCAACAGTAAATCCATAGCCAATATGATCAAACACTAAAAAGGAATCAGGACATCAAGTAACCGTGGGAGTCAGCAGAAAGGACTTGACATTGTTAGCCCACTGTTATTCTCAGATGAAGAAACAAATGTCTATGATTAGACCATCTGCTTAAGTGGTTGTTGCAAGCGGTGGATGGCGAGAACTCCCTGCAATCCCTGTGTAAATAAACCCAGTGTGTGGTGGCTGATGCAGATAAATCTGAGGGGGAGTAAAGAGAAATGAACACTAGCGACTGATAAGGGAAGAACACAAAGTGAGGGAGTGCGGCATGGCTGAAGGATCAGCTGCCCACAATATAAACAGCGACAGGCTGGCACATGGCTGGCTGATCGGCATCACAGGGCACCTTCCAACGCTCACAGCGCAGCCTCCAGCTGCCTTCCCCTTCCTGCTGCGTAGACAGGGCTCAAAGAATGCAAGCAGGCAGTGGTGCCAGGGTCAAGAAGGGAGTCCCAACCCCTAGCAGCCCATTCAGAAAATCTTCTGAGTCATAATTTGTAGGATCAGGAATGAGCACTGTGCCCAACACACTCCGCCTGTACCCTCACAGGCAGGGCTTAATTTTTGTACCACTTGATTTAATAATGCCAAGATTTGTCATTATGTCCAAACCAAAAACAACCAGTATTAAAGCACTGTTAACAATCCTGTAGTTTGGAGGGCTCACTCAAGTTTGTGGGTTTGGATGTAATGGTGAACAATGGACAAAGTAATAAATTATGATCCCTACACAAGAGAAAGGGGGAAAGGAATACTGATCAGAGGATTGTCTGAATGCAGCCTTTAATTTGTGACATTACTCAGGACTGTAGAAGAAATGCCATTCCCATGTCAAGAAACAAACAAACGTGAACATTCCCTAAGTTCACTTGATGGATTTCAATGAAAGGCAGAACCTTGCTCAAGAGAGGGAGCTCAGTGCCACAAGCTGTAGATCTATTATGGTGCAATCATTACAGCTTTCTTATTCAAACATCCAAAAGAAATGTTAAGGGAAACAAAAGTGATAATGAAAAGGAAGAAACCAAAAGCAAGCAGATTTCTTTTATTTTACATTTGCCTGATGAAAATAAAGGTTATGAAATTTAAGTATTCAGAGTAAACAGACTGAGCAAATGACAGAAAATGTCAGCAGAGAAGCACTTACAATTTTGGGCAAAATACACTTTACTGAACTAGGAAGTAGGTTCCTAAATAAAAGCAACTAGAAATGAATGGATATTTCAAGGTACTCATCATATGCCTCAACAGAAAATGTTTAAACACTTATAAAGGGCACAGTGCTACAAACGTTTACGAGGGAGCACATCCCACAAAACTTACTTAATTTACACCCGCATCAGCTTGCTTGACTGCACTGAATGGGGCTTTCCGGTACCGCAAAATAGTCTATGCAAGCAGGCCAGACAAGCAGCCACATGGATTAAATTCAAACTCAGCCACTTGTGCACCTAGAACTCCCCATGTCACAAAATCATATTCTGTTTGTTCCATTAGTAGAGATTTTTTTGGAACATGACAGAAATTACTCAACAAGAAGTTTTAGCATTTCATGCATTCTGTCTTTGTTGGCATTCTGTGCCAAAAACTGAACCCGCAGCATAAAATTTCAATTATTAACTACTACTTAAATATCACTGAGAAATTTCCCCTCCTCCTCCACACAAACAACTTGATCTTAAGGGAGCAAAATAGGACATTGGGAAGGAGGCAGCCTTTACAGCTAGTTCCTACACACCTATTTCAAGTCTCATGAGTTCAAATGTCCAACAACAGAAAGAAGCCAGAACAGGATCTCTAGTTTTATTATTTCTTTCTTAAATTTTATATAGCACCTTTCTGCCAATGCACCTAAGGTGGTTTACAATTTTAAACTACTAAAACACAGTCCAACTGGAGCAGGTCTAGATATTGTCTCTGCGTGCCTCTCACCCTCGCTGCTTCCTTCCCACAGGGGAAGCTTGTGGACTCTCCTTCCTTGGAGGATTTTAAGCAGAAGTTGGATGGACATGATTCCTGCATTGCAGGGGTTTGGACTAGATGACCCTCGGGGTCCCTTCCAACTCTACAGTTCTATGAAGGTTAAATGTAAAGCTTACAAATTTGATAATCAAAATTATTATTACCTGGGTCATTGTTACTATCTTATTTTTCATTTCCTGTTACATTAACTCATCTGACTCAAAATATTTAAATAACACATGAAGTCCTAATAAGGACAAACAGGAAGCAATCCAGCCTGCCAATCTCCATACATAGCACCTACACACAACTGTCATGTCCAGAATCAGACTCCAGCTTCGAACAGTTCCATGGATCTAGTAAAAGGTCTAGCGGTATCTGGAACTTCACAAGGACTTGCCCTCCATTCAAGAGCCCCCTGAAAAGGAAGGCTGGAGATGACAGATGTCTGGACAGGAATGTCAAGAATGCATTTCTTGAGGAGACGGACAACAGCAGGCAAACTACCATTTGTTGTAAATGAATATCATCTCAGAATTCCCCAACAGACGCAGTGTGTGCCATTAAATCACAAGTAAGTGAAAAAGTACCTGCGCAGTTTCATTCACGGTGGGCGATACGTCCGGCTCATTCTCCACAGGTAGAGTCTGAGGGGTGTAGAGTCCATTCACAAGAAGTTGATAGAAATGCATGCGCTTTTCACCTGGACAAACAGCAGCAACTTTATTAAAAAGAACACACTACAATTCCATCTAGAATCCACATTTTACCAAGTCTCTCTGCAAACCAAGCCTGAACAGGCGCCAGCTCTGACTCTCTTGAAGTATTCAGTATCAGCTTGTTAGGCCAAGTGAAGCAAAAAAAAATGCCTCTTTGTGGTACACATAAGCACAAGAGTGCTTCATTGATTGATTTTCATCTTGGAGCAGACTTGGAGCAATGTCCTTTTCTCATTCTATCCTCACAACAACCCTTCCAGGTGGAGTGAATAGCCCAAGGTGATCCAGTGAATTTCATGGCAGAGCGTGAATTTGAACCTGGGTCCCCCCAGTCCTAGCCTTAAGTCTCTAATCACTACACCACTCTGGCTCCCTACTTCCAAAGGCAGATGACCCAATTCCAGATCGCCTGCTTCAAGAGTGGGGAGGGGTAACAGAACACAAAGTAGTAAAGGAAAAGGGTTAGACAAGACAAAGTTGTCCCCTCTTTTATTGCCATGTTGGTGCATTTTATCAAGGAGAGCATGTGTCTTCAACTCAGGACTGCGTCTTCACAGAACTGGCCTCCCTCTCCTCAACATGTTCTCAAGGGAGGAGAAATAGTTTAACAGCTGTAGGGATAAAACTATTTTATAGCAAAAATGTGTCTGCATTCAATGGTAAAATGTGATATATCTTCAAACTCCACAAGCCCAGCTCACTAGGAATCAGACATCAAATCAGTTTTTCTGTAAAAGGCACATTGTATGTGATCAGTAAAAATGTTATAATATTTGTCTTTTTTTAAAAAAGGCATCTGCTTCCCCTGACAGTGCCAACTAAGTAAATACGTATGTATTTTGATGAGCTTATTGATGGTTTTGCTATTCATCTATAAATTCAGTTGTTTATTTTACGCTGTCCTCTTCCCTTGTAGCAGTGTTGACAAAAGATATATCTTTATTTATTTATTAAAATGAAGTCTGCAATCCTATGCACACTAACCTGGGAACAAGCCCTGCTGAAATCAGCATGACTTACTTCTGCATAAAGAACATGAATAAAGTCAGTCTGCACAGCTAAACAGCTAGCCTTGTTGTGCAGCCAGCAAACTATTGCCAGAATTTTAGGGTCCAAGACACTAGCAGCTCAATCCCAGGGTCGGCTGTGCAAAGAGAAAACAGAGCAGGAACCAGTTCCTTCTTCAAAGTTATGGTGTTATACAGACAATAACTCAACCCAGTACAACCGGAACAATGCCATTCAAGCAGCAGAGCCGTGCTGGGGATGAGGGTACACACACCATAACTAAGCACAGTTCTATTCATGTCAGCAAGAAATAAAACTGTCAATATTGAAGTGCATTTATTCAAATTTATGGTGTAGCCACACTTGGGAGTATTGTGGACAGTTCTCTTTGCCACTTCTCAAAAAGAATACTTGTAGAGCTGGGAAAAGGTGCAGGAAAGGGCAGTGACAATTATTTATTACTTATTTATTTCACAATACTTATCTAACACTTGACTGTAATAAAACTTCAAAGCGGCTTACAATAATGATCAAGAGGACAGAGCACCTTCGCTATGAGGAAAGATTACAAGAGTTGAGGCTTCTTAGTTTAGAAAAAAGGTGTGTAAAAGTAGGACATGATAAAGGTTTATAAAAGAGTTAAGTTTTTGTCCCTCTCTCATACTTCTAGAACCCAATGGGATCATCTAATGAAGCTGAATGGTGGGAGAGTCATGGCAGACAATAAGAAGTACTTCTTCCCAAAATGCATAACTGAACTGTGGAATTCACTTCCACATAGTGTGGTGATGTCCATCAACTTAAGACAGCTTTAAAAATGGATCAGACAAATTGATGGAGGATAAGGCTGTCCACGTCATGATAAGGCTGTCCATGTCTTACCTCCAGGGTCAGAATCAGCATACCTCTGAATCCCAGCCACTCAGGAACAACAGTGCAAGAAGGCTACCGCCACCATGCTCTGCCTAGGAGCCTCAAAGGCACCTGGCTGGACACAGCGGCACTAGGGGGCCTCAGATGTGAGTTAACAGGGCGGTTTGTATGCATCCACTGGTGCATTGTTGCAGTAATAAAACAGGAGCATCCAGTGCCCCAGGGTGCAAGTGCTGAACAAGCTAGTAGTAAAGCAGCCCCCTGCAGGCACCCAGTGGTTTGCAGTGTAAGAACCTGTTAGTAACCTCTGTTTTGGAGGTTTTGCTGTATTCTTCTAGCCTTTACTGCAAATCACCCAGAGAACTTCGTTTATTGGCTGGTACAGACGTGCAGTAAATAAACTTATTTATATTGCATGTAAGTGCTCCATGGGCTTCACATACATTATCTTAGTTATCCTTTGGCCAGCATTCTTATCCCCATCTTGCAGCTACAAGGACTGAGGCTTGGGGAGAGGGTGGGGGAGGTGTCTGCATGATTGAATTAATTCAAGTGGAGATTTCCTTGTTTGTTGCTTGGTCCCTCCGCCTACACTAGCTCCTAACACAGTTAAATTATTTGATCCTGTGTTTTAGTTGTAATTGGTAATTACTACCCCAGTTACAAAAACTAAGGTACAACACAAGAGAGTCCTTATCTCACACAAAAAGCAGCAACAGCAGCAGCAGCAGCAAAGCTCTTAGACCAAGGTCTAAATTTCACCTCACATGACTCACTTAAAGCTACAGAGCTTTATTCTAAGGCCTGTGAACAGAATTTATGTTCTCTAGGATTTAGTCTTCTGAGTTCATCAGATCACAGTTAAAGTAGTCGTTTAGATACCATGTACTCCCTTTAACATCAGGTTTTCTTTTTAAAAAAGGAACTTTATAAAAGAGTTGGCTAGAGTGGGCCAAACAGCTGTTCATCTATACCTCTGCTTTTTTATATCTAGTATTACATGTAAACAATGGTAGTCTGGAAACTAGTTACCGGTAAGTCACAAATAGTGGAAATGTCAGAAATTGAGAAGGATGTGATCATAAGGATTTCAAAGGCTAGCACTGGACGCTTACAGAAAACTTGTTAAAAATACATTTAAAAATCAACACAGGTTTTAACACAGCTGCAGCTCAAACTATAAAGCAGTTATGTTAAATTTTCCTGATTCTCAACTTGGCTGTAAGCCTGACTGAGTTCAGTCAATTATATTTCCAATAAAATTTAGGATTATACCACTTTACAGATAGTTAAGCTGTGGTTCTCATGCCCTGATATGGTAGTAACTCAGAATAAATGTTGATAAAAGACTGGATGATAACTGACCTGTTCTAACAATTTTTTCTTATCATTTTATTAATGACTTTATCTAACATGCATAGATGAATCCTCATTTCACAACATAAGAAACCATGCAGAGGAACATTTAACTGCAGCTGGAGATTCAGCAGTGCACTAACTAAAAAAACAAGACGTAGTCAAATGTGTTTTGGAGTTCAGAACACTTGCAGTTTTAAAATTTTAGCATAAGCACTTTTAAAGATAAGGGACTAGAAACTGTCCCATTGTGCATAACATGTTATTTATTCATGCTTTCCAAAATGTTCCTTTAAAGGGTTAAAATAGTTTTAGGGTTTTTTTATAATTAAGCTGCAAAACTGAAAGGTGTCTTATGGCAGAGGTGGGGGACAAATTAGCACTTATATGCTAAAAGTAACATGCTGGTCATATATGCTTCACTGCTTTAGCAAAAAAGAAAAATACAGCAAAAAAAGACCCCAAAAAATTAAATGTTGAAGCAAACCTAACCATGCCTTCTTAGAAGTCAGTTGTGCTGAATTCAGTGGAGCTTACTCCCAGGTAACTGGGGTTAGGACTGCAGCCTCAGTATGGTTTGAAGAACTTATAAATAAAAGCTGAGTTCATAGCTACACTGCTTCTGTCTGAAGGTATTAGCACTACAGACCAGTTACTTTCAATATCTGGAGTGTTACTGTCCCTTTAAGAGTCAATGGAAGAAAAAAAACAACACTTTTACAGAGCCTCTTGTACATATGTAAATGCCCGCAATGGGATGATTAAGTAAAAACAAGAACATTGCTGGAATCTAATTTAGAGTATTATTTTAGGATAAATTTCAGGCATTTTCTAAAATGATTTTTAGCCTCATTTTTCTATAACTATAGGTGTGGGTGGGTGTGTTATCAGCTAAGTGCAAAAGGTACTTTTGGCAAAGGGGCAAAGGGGGACCATTTGGCAAGCCAAGTGTCAGCATGAGTGACTGAGTGAAATGGAGAGGATGGCAGCATTTTGTAAATTACAGGACTGTCTCCTAGCAACAGACAACACATTCAGCTCCACGTGACTAGCAAAGGCCCAGAGAAAAGCAGAGAGATTGAGGGGGAAATGCAGTGACAGTCATTTAATAGCTTCCACCACCACCCTTAAATTAATTACTAGCCCTCCCCATCCAATCTGCAAATGCATCTCACTACGGGACAGGAGAGAGGCGGGGAAGAGGAGCAAACAGAAGGAAGATGATGCTCAGAACCAGCTCCCCACCTTTCGTATCCAGCTCCACGTGGATGATGTTGCCCATGACCGATGTGTTGTGTAGATGCTGCACTGCATCCCGGGCTCCTTTGACTGTGGCAAAGATCACTTTGGCAATTCCCAGGTGCTTCTTGTTTTTAGGGTTGTAGAGGATCTCCACTTCTTCCACTTCACCGTATTTTTTGCACATGTCAGCCAGGAAGTTTTCACGGATGTTGTCATTCAACTTGGCAAAAGTGACTTGTTTGGGAGGAACCGGCCCCACATAAAACTCATCGATCTGTAGGTTTGTTTTTGCACACAGTGTTGTAGGAAATTAAAAGCCAGAGAGAGCAAAGTTAAGGACTGTAAGCAATCACATCACCTGGAGCAGAGAGGGTTAAGAAGCAACTACTGAACTTTCAAGGTATTTCCCTTCCACTGCAATTTACAGACAAATACTGAACTTTTGCCTCAGCAATAACTTTTAAAAATTTGTTTTAAATAACTCCATTGAGTTATTAATAAAACACACTTTTGACAGGCAGAAAGCTCAATTGTATTTTGCAACTTTATAACACCGGTGAATGAATTATTCAACAATATGAATAAAGATGCAATTAGATTTATATCAAGGACACCACAGTTCTCAATGCATGTACCTTAAATTTAGGGACAGAGAGTTCCAGCTCTTTCGTTTTGGTCCATATTCGCCCTATCCTTGGATCTCTTACACAATCCACTGGGGCAAGACCCGGGTTCTGAGGAGGAGAGGGGAGTAAATTGAATGAAGCTTGAAAAAAGACACAACCCACGGATGCAACAAAAAACCAAAAACCCCATGAAATTTGGAAGTTTACTCCACAGCCTTTAAAACTGAGGAGAATGTTCTCCAGGCAGGGCAGACACACACATGTCAAATAGCAATTCTGCAGGGAATCACAGGAAAAGAAAGATGCAGGTTTTATCTTCTGATTATCTTCTGATTCTGACAGACTACATTGTCAGGGGGTGTAACTTTAATATGTTTCCTGAACATTTTGTAGCAATCTTCATTTTTCAGGTCATTAAGAATTCCTCCTTCCCACCCTTTAGAAGGGCGGCGAGGTACTAGAATAAAACAAACCAGGGTTGGGGGAAGAGAATATCACAATACATTTCATTTGTAAAAAATAACGACCGCTTACAGGAATGCTAAAATGCTGCCCATCGTAACGATAGAGTTTGTGCTGTCCTTTTTTCAGAGCTGGGTCAATAATCAACTTGTAACTTTTCCAATGGTGGTTTTTTTTCTCGGCAGAGGTGCTTGCTTGGGAGCTGCTCTCCATTCCGTTGATCCAACCTGAGGAGAAAGCAAGCGGGGGCAACCAACGAAGTTAAAAAAAAAAAAGACATATATGAAAGATTCCCGTTTCAGAACTGCTTCCTTCCCCCCCTCGCAATACCGTCAAGCTGGGTGGGGGGAAGGGAAGGGAAAAGACCGCACATCCAGACGCCGAGCCGGGGTGTCCCCCCTCCCGGGTGCAGGCAGCGAGACCAGAAAGAGAGCGAGGGAGAAAGGAGGAGGAGAGAGAGAGAGAGAGAGAAAATACCCATCTCACTTGAACTCTGCTTTTTGCCATGGTCTTCGGGGTGCTTGGCTTTTTCTCCTGCCTTGATCTCTTTGAAAGACATCGCTGTTCGGTGCCCGACCGTCTCCTGGCCGCGAAAGGCGAGCTCCTCTGCTCACATTGGGCTGGCTACATTACATGGGTTTTGAAAGCCTCCTGCCTCCTCGCTCGCTCGCTCTTTTTTTTTTTTTGCGAGCCAACACATATTGTGTGTGTGCTTTCTGCTTGCTTCTCAGGCATCCCACAATTCACCGCTATGGAGCTCGGCTAATGGCTAACCGCCCTCAACCGAATGCACATTCACAGCAGCTGCATCGCGCTGCAAAGCCCCCAGCCCGGCCGCCCGGCCGCGCCTCCCCGCCCCAAATAAAGGGCCATGCATTTTTCCCAGCAGGATGCGGCCCCGCCGTGGCTTTTCCTCCCAGTTAGCGGCGGGGCCAAATCCCCTTGGAATCTGCTGGCTACATTTACCTAAGCGCCAAACTGTTCCTAAACAAGATGGACATAGGTGGGACAAGCCCCCCCCCCACCGCCTTTTTTCCCCTTTTCTTTTTTGGACGGGGAAGGGGGAGGGAAATAAAAGAAACCCCCTCCCCACAAGACACCCGGCGCTCCAAAAGGCTCAAGCTTTTTTTTCCCCCTCCCCTCCCCCTCTCTTTTCTTTTCTTTCTTTCTTTTTCCCTTTTTTCTTTTGCAAGTTACATCCCAGGGAGCTAACCGGGGCAGCGCGCTTGGCAGGGATACTTTTGCAAGAAGCCGCGGCAATGTTTCCACCTCCGATGAATGGGGAGAAGCGGGGGGCGCCCCCGTTTTGTTACAATTTGTCAATTTCGGAGGAGGGAGGAAGGAGAGTAGCAGCTTTGCTTATTAAAGGTCCTGCGCAGCCAATCAGGTCGGACCTTCCATTTTGTTTCAGCTAGAGGCTCCCTTGGATCTCTCCCCCCCCCTCTCATTTCCCTTCCCTTCTCCCTCTTTCGCCTTCCTTTCCTCCCGGGGTCGCCTTGTTGGGGCTTCGTGTTGTTTTAGCTCGACTTGTGCTTTTGGTTTGTAATTTGGCCGTGCTTAGGTAATTGGCTGGTTAAAGGCACCAGGCGGGCGCAGCCAATCAGCGCGCAGCTTCCATTGGGCTTGAGTTATTAGACGCTGATCTAAAAACATCCTTCAGCAGACAGCTAAGGAGAGGCCAACAGATCAGGCAGCCATTTTTCTGCAATGGAATTAAATGGCCAACTGGGTTTTCCTTTGTTCCAAAAGGGGATACTTGATTTGAATGAATCCACAACCATCCATTTCAGGACTTCTCAGTGTCTGTGTTAATGTCTGACAACATTTAGAGGACTAAAAGGAAGAAGGAAGATTTTATAAAAAGATCTGGATTTTTCCCTTTGATTTGGAACCCATCTTTGTCTTGTATATAACTAGGTCATGGCACGCCCTTATGTCAGCAGTAACAATTTTGAGTTACCAAAAAAGTAAATACATATGTATTTTTGGTGTTTGTTTTTGAAAGCTTTTCTTTGCCTGAGCAAATACATCTCTAGATGTAGCTTCCTGTATTAAACACTAAATTCCTGGCCATCTTTTAAGTTAAATCCTTTCCTGCTAACAAGGTAATGTTTTAAATATAGATGTAGGAAACGTGAATTCTTGCAAAAAAAATCATTAGGAAAAGTTTTTTTCCTTTTACATTGTAAGTACCCAATCCATTCTGTCCTTCTTGCTAAGTGTAGTTTTTCATGTTAAATGTTACTGGAGTTCTCCTTTAATTTATTTTTCCAGCCTTCATCTGCATGTCATTTTTTGTCTTGTTTATCTAAACCAATTGCTTCTGAGATACTTTTTAAGAATAAAAAATATTTAGCTAGAGATGCTTAAAATGTTTACATACAGTAACTATTAACCAGGTGTATTCACACTAACATGTAGCGATTTATGTTTGAGATCATGTTAAAAATGTGAGTGGGAGAGGGGAGGGAAAGACATGCAGCGTCCTTATGTGCAGAGTAAATCTGTCAGAGGAATTTACCGATTGAAGTCCGGAGTCTTTTTAAAAAGTTAACTATATGTTATTAGTCGAAATAAGTAAATGTATTAACTTATTTTTAATCAAAAGCCATACAAAAATCTGAACGAGATCGAATAACTTGCAAGGTTATAAAATAGAAGTGATGATACAGAACTTAACGTATACAGTATTTAGAAATTTATTTATCCCCCCTCCCCCCAAAAAATCCCAACCCCAGACTCCCACAACTTCACCTTCAGAACTGCATTCAACTATGGTGTGCGGGTAAGTAAAGCCTTTTGCCCTTGCAGTGAAACAGAGCAGGCCTATGCAGCAAATGTTTTCGTCCAAGGCGGATATCCGAGTTACTTTCGGAGGGGGGTAAAGGTAGCTAACGTTCTTGTTTGAAAGTACATATTCAGAATCTATTTTTTATATCTATTTCCAAAAGCTACTTCCTTTCTTTAGCCTCCTGTAACAAAGTGCTTTGCTTGGCTGCATCCTTGTTGATTTCAAGAGCTTCTCTCTGCAAATCCATAATGGCATTACAGATATGCTAAACTGTTCCCCTAAAGTCAATCTGCAGGCAGAGGTGGGATTTTTTTTAAGGCAAACCAACAAATAAACGCAAGTGGTAGAGAACTAGTTTGAAGTCTTTCTCCCTCTAGTTACTGCAGGCTTTTTTTTCTTTTCATTTTACAACAGAGGCGTTTCGGGGACAACAGCAATTTGAGCAGTAAAGGGAGACCCTGGTTTGCTAATATGTACTGTAAAGGAGTTTTCTTTTATCTTGAGAGGCTCCTGGTTTGAAAAACAAAATCCAAAATGGAGGTTTCTTTTTCCCTGCACAAGAAGAGTCGCTTGGCAGCCTTGTACTGTTTTTGTTGGGAAAGCTTGTGACGCGCTTGCTATTTCACAGCAGCAGATTTTTCCAGAGCTACAGCTACAACAGAACTTCCAGCTGGCTTTGATAAGAGAGATTTAATTTGCAGAAATAGCCACTGCCTCTTGCACCCAAGTCACCCCTTGGCTTTGGTGCCGTGAAAAGAGGCTCGTTTTCAAGGCAGCCTTCGCTGTTCCTGCTCCATATTGAGGGCGAGCAAGCCGGGTTTCGTAATGGCGGCTGTCTTCTCTCTGCTGCGGCTGTTGCTTTTGGGGCAGCACCAACGCTTGATTTCGCCAGGGCTGTTTTTATCGGGCAATGCAGGACAGAGCCCTTTCTCTCTCCTCTCTCCCGCCCCCCCGTTTAAAAACGTGTGTGAGGTTTGTAAAAAGTAAAGCAGGAGTGAGAGGGTCGATTTTCTTCTGTCTGCTTTCCCCCCCTGTTAATACTGGTGGGGGTGGGGAAGAGAGAGAGAGGACGGTTGCCATTTCGTGCAAGTGCTTTTGCAGCAGCGAGGAGAAACGTAGGAGCGAGCGCGAGGCTGCGTGTAAGAGGAGATCCTGGCGCGGCTCCAGCTCCTGCCTGCTGCTCTGCTCGGCACTCCCGGGGGTGGGTGGGGGAGGGAGGGAGGGGGAAGACGGTGGGGGGGGGGAGGGGAGGCCAGGGGCAGGCGAGCAGCCCGGCTCTTAAAGACACAGGGCGCTCCTGTGGTTTAGCAGAAGACAAAGGCGGCCTTGGTCCTTTGTGTCTAGAAACCTGAAAACGGGCTTTCCCCTCCTCTTTTGCATGCGAATAATGAAGACTATGGTGGGCAGGCAGCTGCTGCATAACCCAAGCAGCTCGATAAAGGCTCTAAATCAGTTGGTAAATGCAAAGAGCGGCTTTCTGCAGTGCAGTGAGACTGTTTTCTCAGGCATGGCGTTGCTGGTTGGATTAGTGGCTGGAGAAGCCGCCCTGGGACTGATCTCTTGAACAGGTCTCTAACTCCTTACCACGTGTCTCAAAACAGGTCTCCCGGCATTGCTAATCTTTTCTTCTTTTCCTCGCCCCCCCCCCATGAACCCTAGAAAGGGTGAGCTCGACGATGATCGAGGAGGAGGAGCTGACAAGGGAATGCGTGGTCTGTTGTCAGACGAGAGTGGGCTTTCTGATGGCATCTCTCTGCTTGTTTACAGTAGGTAGGGTTTGCCAGGCATATTTCCGTTTAAATGGCTTTGCTTTGCTTAAAGGATTTTCCTTAACACTGCAGCACCACCCCCTCCAAACAGAGTGGGGTTGGGTGTTGCTTTTTTCAGACAGTTTGGGAGGCTCTCCTTAAAGAAATGAGCCGACAGCCCTGACAGGAGATACTGAAGACGTTAGGTTGCTAGTAGTTTCCTTGCTGCATTGTTACTCGAAATTTTAAGAAAACAATCTGGCAAAGCCTTGAGTTCCTTTCTGGGAAACTTTAGTGCAGCATTATTAAAAAGGCTAACCAAAAAATTACAGCTCTTTTTTAAAGATGTATTATCTGGATGCCTTGATTTAAGGGGGTGGATGTCTTCTACTTTTAGTGGAAATATATAAAGGTGAAATCTCAATTTGTGACATTCCTCTTCCCCACCATAGCAATAACCCATAATTGGTGGTTAAAATATTTGGCTTATTATGAGTCTCCTGTTTGCTGGCTTATTGTAAAATATTCAGCAGCAGGAGGCGGGTGTTGTCTTTTCAGTCTCTGTGGAGAGTGAAGACATTCCATTCCACCACCATGTACCAAGATTTGCTCCAACAGTAAAACCTGTTTTTCAGGAACAAATTGGAGGAGCGGACTGCCTGTTAAACACTGAACAATGTCATGCTTCTGGTCTTTGTGGGAGGAAAGAGCATAAAGAGATTGCCTAAGTGAAGTGCCTTGCCATTTGCTGGCAGACTAGGGAAACAATCCTAAGTATCCCTCCTATGAAGTAAATGCTACTGATTTGTGATATTACTTCAGAGTAAACACTTGCATATGTGTTCTTTGTTCTTTTAAGGTGGTGATGGGAAATGGCTTTTTGTGTGTGTTCTGAACTAAATACGTCAACTCTGTTGAACTGCAAGCTACTTGATTACAAATAAGTATTGGAATACAGACGTGGTGAATGTGTGTACTTCCTAAGACATCTTAAACTCCCTGGCTACTTACCTTTCCCTCTCAGTAGGTGACTTAGTGAAAAATGTCCGTATATATACCTTGTTAAATAGCTGATGTGGCAACAGGAGTAAGGTTAAGTCTGCCAATTGTGGGCGTCTGTATCCCTGAGATTCCTGCTGCAATTGTGTTTTACAATTGAAGTGGTTGGCTTCTTAAATGCCTTTCAAATGAGTACAAAGGAGGCACAAGCGGTTGCTAGAGAGATCAGGCTTGCTCTCGACATCCTTCCCAAAGCCAAATCCTGTGTGCACATCCTGCCTCCTTTCTCCATTAGCATTACAGTCAATATAATGTAGGTCACCATGCATATCCTCCTTGTGTTTCTGGCCAGGAGAATCTTTTTCCTTTACTTGCTGGATTTGCATCCCTTTTGAAGGATACGGAACATTATCTACTGTACTTTTGAAATTTTGTATCACTTAATGTACATGCTCAGTAATCCTTATTACAGCCCTATACAGGTAGGCTAGTATTATACCCATATTGCAGATGTTGGGGCCTAGGTTGAGAGATAGTGGGTTGTATACAGCCACGGTGACTTCAAGACTGAGCTTAGATATGAACTGTGGATTTCCTAGCTTGCAATGAACCACTGTGCTACGCAGACTTGTGCTACAGGCTTGTATCCTGTTTTGCTCAAACGTAGACCCTTTTAAGTTAATAGACATGACTTAGGTCCATTAATTTCAATAGGTCTACTATGTGTAGGACTATCATTGGCTGCAACCCATTGTGTTTGGACTTCCCTATAGATTTGCTTCAAATGGGAACCACCGAGCTGCTAAAAATCTTTTGTTTTGTCATAGCTTCAGGTGGAAGAAGCTATATAATTTGTTTAGTCTCTTGGTATATTCTCACTGTGGCAAATGATCCTCAGCTTATGAAAATGGACTTTTGGGGTTAGCTCCATATATTTAGCCCGATAGTTTGTTTCTTGGCATATTTTAAAGAAACAATGCATAACTGAATGGAATGCTTGAATTGCTTTGAATATCTTGCAGCTTTTGGCGGGAATCTTCAGGAGGAAACTTGCTGATTTGACAGAATGTTAAAAAGCATTAGTGCTCCTCTTGTCCCTGGATTACAGTAATTTAACCCTTTAATGTGGCTGGCTATTTGCCTGTAGCAGATAGTTCAAAATATCAAGTGTGTTTCACTGCATTCAGATTTTAAATTCAGCTTTCTGTTATGCAAAAATTGCAAACAAAAGCCACTCACTCTTTAAATTAAACATTTTGTGGGTCAGTCTATGTGTGTAGAACATCTAGCACTATCCAACTAACTTAAGATAACTAACTTCTTCCCCATTCTTGCCTTCTCTTCCTGGGTTGAAAACATGCAGTGGTTTTCTTTTTATGAACTGTAATCATGCTTTCCTGAAATCATGCTTGCTCTGAAAAACAAAATACTTTAAGCTGCAGGTAAAAACTCCTGAGCTTATCAAATTCAGTCTGGACCTTGACTAATTGCAATTTTGAATTGATGGTTGGTATAGAAATGTGTTAAAATAATACTTGAATGCTGTGGGTTAACAATAGTTTGGGGAGTCCTCTCTTCTCACTCCTACATTTGTTAATCTGAAGACTTAAAAGAGACATTGTTTTCTTAAATCTTTACATTTTCTGAGTCATTAAAATGTTACAAGATGGGTCTAGATTAAAGTTTCAAGAATTATTTGCTCTTGAGATCATAAATTTCTGAAGGTAAAGGAGATCACAATTTTTCCTCTTAGGGTATTTTTCTGTGAGCATACCCATCACCACACTGCTAATTTTCCAGTGAGAAGGACTGAGATGCATTCCTTGTATTTGTTCTATATGTGAAAAGGGCCTTTTCTAAATTACTTTTAAATAATGACTACCATTGTGTAAAATGCTGGGTTTTGTTTTTGCCCTTGTAATAACATGCAAGGAGACTGTAAGGCTGCAATAAATTCATGTGGGTTTTGATTGCCTGTATTCAGCTCACGAAATATTGTTTAGTGCTTTGTGCCCATACTCAATGGCTTAATGGTCAGTTTTTCAGAAGACCAAGTGATTTGCAAATGAGCTTCTTGTGAGGAAAGGGAAAGCTGTCAGTTCAGCTGGGATGGTTTTCTTATATGGGAGGTGGCTGAGAATTGGGAAAAGGACCCAGGATACAAGATAGTTACAGAAACCTGGAGCTCATAAGGACAGGACTATTGTAATGTTTTCTTCATAAGGCTGCACTTGAATATGATTTGGAAATTTCAAATGATCCAAAATGCAGCAACCATAACTGCATGATAGTGCTCTCTTCATATTGCATTTTGGACCAGTTGAAGTTTCCAAATCACTAAAGTACCGTAGTTCCATCTTGAGGTTACTAGAGTGGAATACAGTGTCCAAATAATTTCAGCTGGCAAACCAGACATAGCCAGAAATAGGCACCCCTAGCCTCTCAGGCTAACTAAGCCTCTAGGGTCAGTGTTGGGTTAAGGAACATTCCCCAATATAGGAATCTGCTCCTTCTTGGGAGTGCAACTCCGTCCAAAACAGGCTGTCTCCCCACAACCCAGACTTCAGAACTTGCAAACTCCTATCTTGGCCCAATTTGAGGTACTCAGTTGGTGTCTAAAGCTCTAAAATATTTGAGCCCCAAATATCTGAAAGACTGTCTCCATTCCTACTGATGTTCTTTGGTGTTAAGATCTGCGGAGTGGGCTCTCCTGGTAGTTCTAGCACCTCCAGAAGAGGGCTTTCTCTGTGGTACCCCTAAATTGTGGAACTCTCCACAGTGGTAGTTGCACAGTTTTTAGTTTTGTGGGACTCACCTCTTTTGTTCAATTTATACAGTTCTGTTCCATTTGGAATGGTTTTAGGCTTTATCATTGTAATGGTTTAGCTGTTTTTATCATTGTTCATTTCTATTATTGTAATCCACCCTGGGATCTTATTGTGAAGGGCAGGTAAGAAATCTTCTTCTCCTTATGGGAGAAGGCTTTCCATCACATAATTGGGGCCCAAATCATTGTGTGTCGATGTCAACAACTTAAATTGGACTCGACAGTCAATTGGCAACCATTGCAGAAGACTGGCTGGTATGATGTGTGTCTGACCAGAAACATCCACTGGCAGTCTCATTGCTGTGTTGTGCACTAGTTGCAGCTTCTGAACAGTCCTTAAGGGCAGCCGTGTAGCATAGGTAGGCAAACTAAGGCTCAGGGGCCAGATCCGGCCCAATCACCTTCTAAATCCGGCCTACAGACAGTCTGGGAATCTTCGTGTTTTTACATGAGTAGAATGTGTCCTTTTATTTAAAAGGCATCCCTGGGTTATTTGTGGGGCATAGGAATTCATTCATTCCCCCCCAAAAAATATAGTTCGGCCCCCCACAAGGTCTGAGGGACAGTGGACCGGCCCCCTGCTGAAAAAGTTTGTTGACCCCAAGTGTATTGCAATAGTTCAGCTTGGAAGTCATCAAAGCATGGATCACTGTGGCCAGGCTATCTCTGTACATGAAGGGCAAGAGCTGGAAGTAGGTAGTCCTAGCCACCTTGGCCTCAAGTGCCATAAATGGATCAAGGAGTACTTCTAAGCTACACATCTGTCCCTTCAAGGGGAGTGCAACCTATCCAGAACAGGCTGTTTCCATATTTCCTGGATTTGAGAACCTGCAACACATGGTATCTCTATCTGCAGTCCACTACCAGCTCCACCCAGTGGTTAAGCATGTGAACAGTTCCTAATTCTGATATGAAAATATAGTGCTAGGTGTCATCAATATGCTGTGGCTGGAATCTTTCACAGCTTCAAGTCAAAGGGGTTTGAGTGCTTTTCCTTGGTATGTAGGGCTTTTCCTCTTCAACCAAGGGAATTAGATGACACCTTTCTCCAGATCCACTGATGACATCCTCCAACAGCTTCATTTAAATGTTAACAAGCTTGAAAGACAAAATTGACCCCTGAGGGACCTCACAGGCTTAACGTCCAAGGCGCTAAAGAATAGTCTCTTGTGGCTATGCTCTCTTCGGAGAAGAATACTGCAGCACAGCGCTCCCGATTCCCAAAGCTGTTCCAGGAGGATACCATGGTCAACAGTATCAAAAGCTGCTCAGAGGTTAGAGAACTAACAAGCTTGTGCTCCCTCTGTCCCTTTCACTTATAGGTCACTGACCAAGGCAATTTCAGTGCCATATCCTGCTGTGAAGCTGGATTGAAATATGTCTAGATTATTTGTTTCCTTTGAACATATTTACAGTTGGGCTGCCACCAGCCTCTTCAGCATCTTGCCCAAAAAGGCCATTGTCGCTACGGGCACTAGTTGTTCAATAATTCTGGGTTCAGGGTAGTCCTCTTGAGTGGGGAATACACCACTACTTTCTTTTCTTTCTTTTTTTGCAAATGCTTTTTATTAACTTATTATTATAGCACATACACACAACATTTAGAAAACAAACTACAAAAGAAAACACCACATAAATGATAAACATATATCCATAAATCCACAATCTGCACACAGACTTGTGTTATCCAATCTTTAGTTCTTATTCTATTCTAATAGACTTCCTTCCTCCTCAACATGGGTCTGATTTAAACTTGATAAACTGTTTCTTTCTCATTTCATCTTTTCTACCCTTCTCCATATATTGTATTTGTAAACTATATTTTGTTTTGCAAAAATTATTCGAAGCAAGTCCAGGTTTTAATTTGAGGGCACTGTTTTTTTAAGTAATCTCTGTACTTTCCCCACTTTTGAAATTTTTGTTTAGACTGTCCCCTAATTGCATCCGTCATTTTTGCCAATTCAAGGTAACAAATACTCTCTCTTGCCACTCTTTTTTGTTGGTACTATTTCACTTTTCCAGTTTTTTGCAATTAGTATTCTTGCTGCAGATGTTGCATAAAGAAATACTCTCTTATTTTCATTTGCGATGTCTAAATCTACTATGCTCAATAGAAATGCTTCTGTTGGTGGTTTTTTTTTAAACAAAAGTTTGTTTAAATGTTTTTTTCAACTCCTCATATACCATTTCCCAGAAACTCTTCATTTTGTTACAGGTCCTCCACATATAAAGTAGCGTCCCCTCTGACTGATCACACCTCTAATACATTTTAGATTTTGTTTTATAGATTTTGGATATTTTGGTAGGTGTTATATACCACCTATAAACCACCACTTTCTTTAGGGCCAACAGTATCTCCCCCTTTCCCACAATGAGGCGTTCACCACTCCCTGAACCCACCCAGCCACACCCCTTTGACTCTTTTTTTATAAACTATAGTGGGCAAGAATCAAGAGGAAATATGGCTGTTCACATCCTTGGACTGCAAGAACTGAAACTGATCCAAAGTAACTTGACTGGACACTTCCTCAAGGCTAGTTCTAACTGTCACATCCAGTTCCATGCTAATTTGAGCAATTTTATCCACAAAATGTGGTGTACATTTTTCACTGCAGACCACCACCTCCTTTGGACAGAAGATACTAGTCAATTCACCAGTCAGAAAAGCTCTGCTGGACTTAAGGTAAATCTTCTGTACAACCACATCGTAAGCAAAATAAGGTGCCCAATCACATTCATACAAGGATTTATTTACATCACTTGTGTACCAGCTACCTTGTGTACCTAGATGCCACCTTATCGGCACAACATTGGATGGACTACTACGCAGAACTAGTTGGAGAGCAGACAGGGCAACCAACAACTGCTGATGTGACCATTGATTGGTCAAAACTACTGGAATGGCAAGTAGTATTCCCTGCTGAAATAAAATCACTCATAGAAAAGCCTGAAATTAAATAAAGGGCCAGGTGAGGATATGATGCCGCCGGAGCTCTTTAAGGCACATATGGACTGGTGGCAACCCATCTTGGCTAGGCTTTTCACACACATAAATAATACAGCCCAAATTCCAGCAGGCTAGAAACTGAGTGCTAGAAATTGTGCCAATTCACAGGAAAGGGGATAAAACTCCCCCCCCCATTACTGTCCTATTAGTTTACTGGATGTTCCCTCCAAACTCTTATGCTAAACATCTGCTTATCAGCTATTGATCTTCCTGCTTCACTGCCCATAGTTCACTGGAATACAAGGAAGCCCTATGGGCTCTGCAGTTGGCAACGGCACTCAGCAATTTTATTGATGAATCTGACCAAAGCAATACCAGTGTTAATATGAGTGCCATGTCAACCAGAAAATCCCCATGAGTATTCAACTATCCTTCAGATTCTGTAAGTTTGGGGGTGTCATTCACCCAGCATCACAGTGGGGAGAAGGGAGTGGACAAGTGCTGCAACAAGTACTTGAAGGGATAAAGCTATGTGAATACTGGATCCCTGTTTGTCTACCTGACTCAATAATGATTCCAGGTTGGCCTACTTATCCACAATCAAATCATGGATAGTTGTTGGCTTATACTGTACAGACCTGGCATATGGTAACACCAACACCAGACTAGGATGGCTGGCATGCATCTAGCTGCATAGCAGATCCTAAAGAGGGATAGCTAATAATAATTAATAATAATAATAATACCCCACCCATCTGACCGGGTTGCACCAACTACACTGGGCAGCCTTAATATATTCTATTCCTTCCTGGGACCATACACAACTGCCTATACAATCACCATACATACCTCCATGCAAGGTGTTACAGTGTAAGCAACACTAAATATGTCAGTAAATGCAAACAAGATAGATTGGAAGCCAGTGATCATGATGCTAGGCCTTCCTAGGCTTCCTTCATGCATCTGGTTAGCCACTGTGAGAAGGAGGTAGAGATTATTCTGGTACAGAAGACCACCTGTTCTTATGAGTTGCAAATAGGGCTGAGATTACACTGTGAGGAGGGCCTAGTGCCTTACAAGGGAACTCTTACAAGTATGGCTTTTATCACTGTAGCACAGTAGCTTGACAACAAAAACTTGGGGGTGGGAGGAGCAGAATTTGACATCATTCCGCTCAAAAATTATGTAAATATTTAGATTTTGACTCTTTATCTGCTTTCAATCATCTTTTTAGTTGGCGTTACATTTTCTGAAATAAGTGGAGAATACAGTCACCATTTGGGCCACCCTACCCTTGGATAATTACTTGCTTCTTTCTGAGCAAGTCCTCCCTTCCCTTTTAAAATCAGTGTTAGGAAACTTCTTTGCATAAACACCTGTGTATTTGTAGGTTGGAAAAACCTGTGGAAGACTGAAAATACTGAGTGGTAAAATCACACACACTTGCTTTAGAATGCCTGCTTTAGAAGAATGTCATCTTGTGACATGTAAGCAATAAATGAGGAAGTAGTGTGATCCAGATTGCTTAATGTAACACAGGAAACTTGGGGCCCTGCTCTTACATGCTTTATGATAGAGGCCACAGCTCATTTCCTGTGTGCTCTATTAGCACTACCCTGAAACAAATGTATCTCATGTTGTTTAGTTATCATTGGAAGTAGCATATTATAATACCTGTATGTATTAATACTATGATTTTAGGGCCTGACTATCTTAATTGTTAGGACCATTTCTTCTACTATTGGAATCATTGGAAGCTGATTCTAATAGTGACCCAACTTTGTGTATCCAATAGAAAAGATGTGGGAAATTCAGCTGAAGGAACCAGCTAGTATGGAAGAAGAAAAAGCATACTACTTGTACTATTGGTATGATTTGTGCAACATTTGAATTTTCCTAATATGGGTTAATGATTGAATGGTGTTACTTTAACGGAATGGAAGCAAGCGTGACATGATACAGGCAGCCCCCATTTACACACATTCCGTATGTGTTCAACCATGTATTAGGGCTGAGTGATATATCAATATATTGTCCAAAACTGGTTTGAAGTCCGTATGATATCCGTTTCATAATTTTTGACCCGGCAGTATATTGCAAATTATGATGTGTGTGTGTGATACAAAAATCACAACGTGGGAAAAACTTTGAAGCCAGCCAATGCTTCTCTTGATTCCTGCAGCCCCTGTTAACTCTTGCCAGCTCAGCTCTCCCCTGCCTCATGAAGGGGGCAGTGAATCACAAGAGCAGGCACCTGCAAAAATCATGATGCATAAAAAACAGTGAAGCCAGCCAGTGCCTCTACATAACTCCATCCTTATTTCAGGCATTGTGATATATATTGTGATGTTCAGCTGGTGATATATTGCAGTGTTGAAGACCAGATATCACCCAGCTCTACCATGCATCACACCGAACCTAGAAGCGATCCAGAAATGTCATAAAGACAGATGTTTGCAGGCATTTTCAGTTGGTTTCAATTATGTGTGATTTCATTGACACGTGTGGTGCCTTGGAACACAACCTCCGTGTAAGCCGGGTGCTGCCTATCCTGACTCTGAATGAAAATAGTTGTAGCAACATAACCAAATGGGATTTCTACAGCTTCTTGTATTCTTCCCCCATTTTTCTAATAAAAATATTTTACTCTTGAATTGCCTCACAGACTTTGTTAAAATTGACTCTATGGCTAGTCTCAAGTGGTATTAACTTTGGTGCCTTTCCACTAACCCTATGGAGATGGTGAAAAGGACTAGACTTTCAGCAGTGGACTCACGGCTGTCCTAAAGCTGCAAAGTTGGAAGAACAGGATGGAACAAAATCACATAAAAACTAGTCTCTTGTGAACTATTATTTAGAATAGACCTGATGGCTGTGTCAGTTATCTCCTTCATACATGCACAGTATAATGAACCTCCAATATATTTTGGTTACATGTAACACAACAGTGGAGCAATGCAAATTGAATAACTAGAGTTTAGCTTTGTAGTTTTTGTTTTGTTTTTTTACAAATCAGAAGGCCTTATGTACTTACGCTGCCTGTAAGTCGACTTGTGCCAAAATGTCCTGTTTCGAGAGTACTGTAAGAGTAAAGGAGGGATGAGGGTTATAAATATATTGTTATTGAAGGCTAGGTTTCTATTAGTTCTCATGATTATATGTGCAATATCATAATTTGTATCATAATTCGTAAATTTATTCTAGATTGACGCTAAGGGAAGTCCCTCCCCCTCTATTTTGAATGAGATCTGGATTATATTGATGGGTTTTATTTATTATGAAGAGCAAATAAAACATTTAAACTTTTATTTTGCCGGTTTTGAAGACAAGTATTTTCCTCTGAAACCAACTACTACATACTACATAGATAGTACCTGTAGGATTCTAGCCCCTATGCAGAACTCAAAATTGGAGCACTTTAGGTTTTGTAACTAAAAGCCTATCTATAAAAATAGATTTGGGGGCTCTAAATTCCAATTCTAAGAACTTGTTGTTTCAAAAATCCAACATTATAGCTTCATGCTTTAGGAGTTGAAAAAACAATGACCAAATATTTTAAGGCAGATATTGGGAATCTTGCATTTCTTTATTTCATACCTAAGTACAAAAAATATTTCTGAAGGTTGCATCTGTGCAGGCTGATGTCTCTGTTTGTTCTGGAAGTGATGCCACTGAGTTCACACTTAAGTGTACATATGACTGTAACCTCCTGAGTATTTTAAAATATCAGTCCTTTAAAAAATGCTTCTCAAAAACAAGGGTAAGTGAACATCATGAATTTGGTCTCCATATTACCAATATTGAATAAAAAGTGCAGCAGATTCACCAGCTGAAGTTTGCAAATTTCCTTATATATAAATAAAATTAGGTCAGCTGCTATAATGGTGGTGGGCTGTATTGGCTGAGGACCCAACATGAGTAAATGGCCCATTGCTCTACTAGCACTACAACACTTTGCATGTAACGTGATACAGATCAAAGTGTTTAACTAGGACTGGGAGACCTGAGTTCAAACCCAGTCACTCTCTGCCTAAGCTTCCATACAGGGTTATGAGGATCAAAGGGGTGGTAGGCTCTGTCTTACACTTTTTCTCCCAGGGTCTTAAAAGTGTAACACAGAGCCTACCACCTCTTTTATCCTCATAACCTGGTGCGGAAGCTTAGACTGAAAGTGACTTGGCGAATATCACGTACTGAGCACAGATGCATTGAGATTTGAACTCGGGTCTCCCGGTCCTAGCTGAATACTTTCATTCATTTCTACATGCTATCTGCAAAGTGAATGGTGGTTCTGGTAGGAAAATTGGCCCTTTACTTATCTTGGGTCCTCAGCAAATTGCAGCCCACCACCACTATAGCATTTGACCCTCTTTAGTTTATAAGGAATGAATGATACATGATACTGTACTGGAAAAAAATTGCTTATGCCTGTACTAAATATTTCTCTATAAAAACTCCAATTGGTGAGGCAAAAAAAGAGAGAAGTGTTACTCATTTTACTTTCTATCTCTTTGCTGTTACTGGAATCCAAACGGCATACTTATGTGTGCCAAATAGATTTTTGACAAATACTATAAGCTGGTTTTGGAACCCCCTGCCCCCCAGCAAAAAAATCAACTGATTTGCATGCTGCTTGTGGAGCAGTTCTTCAAGAAAAACAGGTCTAAAGCCCCATTGGAAAAGTACATAGTACTTTGGATTCTGGCCCTTTGCTCTTTCTGGACAATTAACATGCTCCTTTGCCCAGGTACTACCTTTTTTTTTTTATTGAGTTACCTGTCAAAATAGACTACAGCTACCTGTATATGAGTTTGGGTGTTTTTGTTCAGATCTAGAAGGCCATCTAGTGGCACAATCAAGCAGAGAGAAGTATAAATTATATACTAGAAAACCATGCAAGTCTAGATTTTTAAAATGAGAGATAAAATGTCAGGGTTTTAAAGAATGGCAGATTGCATGTAGAAGCGGAACATGCAAACCCCTAATGTTTTATCTGTTAAGGAGAGAAGTGCTGCGTTATTTCATATTAGGCAGGATTTTATTAGTAATAGGCTGGGCTTTTTTCCCAGCCAAAACTCACTGGAACTCAGTTCCGGCACCTCTCAGGTGGGCACCATTGCCATTGTAAGAGAACAAGGGAGGTGTTCACGGTGAGTTCTGGCACCTCTTTTTCTAGAAAAATAGCACTGGAGTAATTAACAAATCTTTTTGAATGTGTGTGTAGGTATACGACCTAATATGCATACAGTTGCAATTGAAATTATTCAACCTCATTGCAAATTTGGTTTATTATCAAAATTTACAGAGTTTCAGCTGTTTGCAATCAGCAAATCAAAAAGCAATTGAAATAGCTCAACACAATGGACGCTTCAAATGGTTTCCCCAAATTAAGCTAAATTGCAACTTTACACTGATTTATCCAGTCTCACTATTATTCAACCCCTTCATGACAAGCATCTTTATTACTTAGTAGAGCAGCCTTTTGCTGCTGCAAACGAGATGCATAGCAGACAGCAGCTTCCGGCAGCACTCATGAGGTGTCTGAGCCCATTCCTCATGAGCATTGGCCTCCAGTTCAGTAATATTCTTGGGTTTGCGTGCTGCAGCTGCCTTCCTCAAATCTCACCAGCTGTTTACTATGGGGTTCAAGTCAGGTGACTGTAATGGCCACTGTAGAACCTTCCAGGACTTCTTCTGCAACCAAGCCTTGGTGGAATTTGAGGTATGCTTGGGATCATTGTCTTGTTGGAAGGTCCACTGATGCCCAAACTTCAACTTTCTCACAGACAGCATAATGTTTCCTCCTAGGATTTCCTGAAACTTCAATGAATCTATCCTGCCTTCCACATACTGCAAGTTTTCAGTGCCAGAGGATGCAAAGTAGCCCTAGAGCGTCACCAAGTCACCACCATGCTTCATTATAGGCAATGTTCTTTTCAACAAATGCTTCATTCTTCCTCGACATAGGGCTGATCCATGGGGCCGAAAAGTTCCCATTTTGTTTCATCGCTTCACAGAACAGAGCCTCAAAACTACTGTGGCTTATTTATATGATTTTGAGCATATTGGAACCAACTTTTCTTGTGCTTTTGGGTCAGCAATTTCCGGCTTCTGCTCAGACACGATTTTTGGCACCATGAAAGCAAGTCCCTGTGGTGCGCAGGTTTAGTGCAGCGCGCGGGGACTCGCTGAGTGGGCAGCTTGGTTTGGGGGCAGCTCATGGGCCAGTTAAATGACTCCCATGGGCCTTAGGTTGCCTACCCCTGGTCTATATGAACATGGAGTGCCTTCACTATCTTTTTGTATCCTGCTTCTTGTTTGTGAAGGGTGATGATCTCTTCTCTTACCTTCTTGGACCATTGTCTTTACTTAGCCATATTTCTAGCAGGCAGCCAAATTTGACACTCTGCAAACCCCTAGCCAGCTTGGGTATTTCATGTGTTACAGCTCACACACACCTGGTGCAACTAATCAAGCCCTTGATTAGTTGCATCAGGTGTGCTTGAGACATTTATGCTGTTATATTTATGCTGTTGTGAGGGATTCTATTCAGGGGGTTGGATAATAGTGGGAGTGGAGAAGCCACTATAAGTTGCATTTTCAGCTGAATTTGGGGAAACCACTTGAAGCATCCGTTGTGTTGAGCTATTTCAATTGCTTTTGTTTGATTTGCTCATTGCAAACAGCTGAAAGTCCGTAAATTTTGATAATAAACCAGATTTGCAATTGGGGTTGAAAAATTAAAATGTCACTTGCAACTGTATAAGCAACACATAAGACTCTGGATTGTGGCTAGAATACATTGCTGCTTGCATTTACCACCTTTGCTGTTAAATTGTTGTGATTCAGAGAACACATATGCGCTTATTCACAATGTATCTTCATCAGATTGTGACTACAGCATCAAGTTAATAACATGATTAATTCAGCACTTTCAGCACCAGTGATCAAAATGTCAATCTGCTGTCCCCATAAAATGCAGTATCTTATCAGCGGAGTCTGTTCATACATGGAGCTGCCAGTGATGCAGAGTAAATCAAGTACAATACACATATGAAGCCAGGCAGGGCTGGGTTAAGGGACACCTCTGCCCCATCCAGACTGCCTCCAGCACAGCAAACTGGGTGGCTAAAGTGAGTCTTTGCAGCTCAGAATTCACTTAATTCATCTGTTTAAGAAGACTTATTTGATAGATGCCATCCCAGAAGACCCCTTCCCTGGTGTGAGACTTGAAGGGAGGGCATGTTTCTATGGTGCCATCCTATCAACCAATCTTTCTTTAGACAAGTGATTAAATGCGTTCTCAGCAGTTGACTTTCAACAGTTTTCATAAATAGTTATATGAAAAACATAGACTTTTAAAGTTCCTCAATTCACCTGGGGTGCCTTTTTAATAAATTAAGCAGTTTTAAAATCGATAAAAAGGTTGCAGCTCCAATTCTGCCTAATGAGTGATCCTCTAACGCAAAACCTTAATTATTTTTATATTATTAAAATATTTATATCCTAGCTTCCTGCGTTAATAGGAACATCAAAGAAAGTTAACAATAAAGTCAACCTTTAAATACTAAAATGCAAGCAATAACAAAAATTTCAAGAAAGCAAGGGAATGTACACAATTAAATGTGTTCCAATTAGGTCTAAAGCCTGCTGGAACAGGTGAGTTTTGAATGCCTTCATACTGGGTACTAGCCTCCTTGAGTAGGAAAAAGCCTCATGCATTCTGACCAACTGCATCCTGGAACTTACCAATTATTAGGTGGTTTAATAAAATTAAATTGCCTCAAACACTGCATATATTGCAGAAACAGCATGTTAGAAATTCCTATACTGAGAAATGAGACAACATACATCTGGGTTTTCAGTAGCGCTAGTTTGGATCACTACTGTTTATGATCCCAACTACCCACCACATAGCTGAATAGGTTCCTAAGTGACCCCCTGTGGAAGTTTGAGTAACTACAGAATGGTTGGTGCTTTGTCAAAGTTATGTTACCTTCTGTTGCTGAAGAAATAAAAAATATATTGGCGCATTGGTATTTTAATGGTGTGAACAAAAAGTGGCTAACAAACATGGAGAATGTAAATGTGCACAATTATTTTTACACTCTGTTGGGTGGTGCAGCTTCATAAGAAGTGTGATTCCTATTACCCCCCTTCCTGCCTGCCTATTATTTCAAGAGTACAAGTCTGGACAGCTTCCAAAGGTAGCTGCCAACCAATGTTTCTGAAATCTGCAATTTGTGTTTTCAGAACTAGGGTCTATTTTTCCTGTAGCCACTACATAATATTTCAGTGTTAACAACTTCCCCTATTTATATTATTATCTTGAACAGTTAGAGATTCGGAATATTTGGATTTGTGAGGAAGTCTTCCAAAGGGGTAAAGTTAATTTTACAGAGAAACACATATGGGGATACTAAGTCCCTTGTATATCACCTCCCCAACTATGAACCTGTTTTCAAAGCAGAGCAAGCCTGGTGAGTGGTTCTCACAAATAAGCACAAAGAGAGGCCCATCCTGTTTTAATCCCAGATCCACTCTCTTGCCACACTAAACAATGAATTTACTTGAGTTCATACATTTATAGCCCACCTTTCTATGGAGCTCAAGGTGGCACACATGGGGTTTTCAAGTGGTTTCTCATGCAGATCAGATCAAGCAAGGTGGAGTCACCAGTTACCTTAGTTTAGATAAACATGTAACAGTCACAGATAGACCTCAATGAAATTTATCTTAATCCTTATTGAAAGCTAACTGTGCTAGTTGTCATCATTACATACTGTGGTCAAACAGTTCCACAAATTAAAATGATTTATAGATGGTACTTTACACCAAGTAAACTAGCAAAGATGTATAGTCAGAATCAGGTATGTGTTGGAAATGCAGTGGACTTGTAGAATAGCTAAGGCATTTGGGGAGATGATAACTTAATGAGATAAAAAAATATATTTAAGAGGACACCCCCCCCCCCAAAAAAACCCCAGCTTTTCTCCTAGGGATAACTGGACCAGATGTACCAAAGACTCAAAGGAATTTATTTCTGTATGCAACTACTGCAGTGAGAGTGCTATAAGCCCCCAAATGGTGGGAGGATGCAGTACCTATAAAAGAGGGGTGGCAGTTGAAATTTATTGAATATGCTGAATTAGTAAACTTAACTAGTAAAATTAAGATGAAGCAAGATGAGACAGCCTTCAAGGATGATTGGGTAATGTTTGTAGGTTATTAAAAATATTAATGTAAAGATGTTAAAACTCTAGTAGGTTTGGTGTAAGCTCAACAGTTACTGTTATTCTGAGAATAAATCGGAGGGGGAAAAGGTATAGCTTAATTATAATATGCAGCAGCAATAGATAATTTTGAGGAAACCATGCAAGGGAAGTCGATTACTAAGGAAACGTATATTGGAAAATGTTTGACTACAGTAATTGTATTTTATTTTTGGAAAATTTAAAAAAAATCCCACAAGTTAGTTACTCTGAGCATGTTAAAAGTGCTGCCGCTAGCTAAAAACAAATTCCACACATTTAATGGGCTTCCAGGTATGTGGGCATACATTTTAAAGTGAAATGCCGCTTACCGCTCACCTCCATCTCTCCAAAGTCGCATTTACACTGTAAGCTCCTCGGGAGCGGAGACTTTTGCCTTGCTGGCGTTTTTCCCTGTGCGCATTTGGGGCCGCAATGTCACACCACCAACAATAAAACTTTTTCCGTGTGTGTGTGTGTGTGTGTGTGTTTGGGGTTGCTGCTAATGTGTTTTTTAGCGGTTGAGGCAAGAGCTGCGCTGAGGGAGAGGCCGCCCCGCAGAAGCGCCGAGGGCGCCTGACCGCATCCTTCGCCTCTTCCTCTGAGCCGGCAGGAAGGACGGCGGAGCCGGCTTCTGTCATTGCCGGGCTGAGGGAGGGAGCGAGGGACGGACGGACGGAGGGGCTCCGCCGGGCTGCCTTTCCCTCAGAGAGGCGCCCCTTCCCTCCCGCGCTTCCAAGGCGTGCGGCGTGAGAAGCCGCCCCATGGCCGAAGGTAACGGCTCCGTGCCAGGAGGGGACTCGGAGGAAGGCGAGCGCCCGCCTGCGGAGGGTGGGAGCAAGAAGAAGAAGAAAGAGCTGAAGGTGGTGGTGGTGGGCGACGGGGGCTGCGGGAAAACATCCCTGCTCCTGGTCTTCGCGGAAGGCGCCTTCCCTGAGGTGAGTAGGGGTCCTCCCTAAGCCAATCGCAGCCCGCTCGCCCTTCCCGCCTTTTCTCCCTCTCGGGTTCCAGAACTTTCCGCCAGAACCCCCCTCCGCCCCGCGAGAGAACCTTTTGGACCAGGCAGGTCTCGCCCACGGGGCCAATAGCAGGAAAAGTGAGAGGTGGAACCTTCCATTAGGGTCTGGCGAGGGGGGAGGGCTACCTTACCCAGCTGCCCAAAGGCCAGGATGGATGGGCTGCAAGTTCACCGTTGGGGGGGCGGGCAAGGGAGACAGGGCATGTATTAGAAAAAGTTTTTTTAAAAAACCAAACCCAGCTTTTGTCATTTAGCAAAGTGAAAAAGCTGCCCCGAGAAGTGGGTGACGAAGAGCAGAATGTATGACAAAATGTTCTAAGAAAAGGGAAGCATTAAATTCCACACACATCTCTTCTCCCCCCCCACACTTCGCCAACCAAAATTTTGAGTTTAATAAAAAAAGTAAACACGTATATCCAATATTTATATTGCAATTAATTTATTTCACCCTGAAAGAGGGTTACCACAAAAAAAGCACCACAAAAAAACCCACGCCACCAAAAGAGGGGATGGGGGGAGAGAATAAAAGAGATTAGGAGACTGATCAAAAGTTGAGAATATCCACAATTCGCCAGCCCAAACACCTGTGGAAAAAGAGGAAGTGGGTCCCTTTCCCCCCAAAAGGTGTGTAGCACTAAGATGTACCCCTCAACCTAAAATCTCACATCCTAGACACCTGCCCAAAGTCAGTCTTCTATGGAAATCATTCTTCAGGGTTAGCAACAAATACAGTGGTACCTCGGGTTACAGACGCTTCAGGTTACAGACTCCGCTAACCCAGAAATAGTACCTCAGGTTAAGAACTTTGCTTCAGGATGAGAACAGAAATTGTGCAACTGCGGCGCAGCGGCAGCGGGAGGCCCCATTAGCTAAAGTGGTGCTTCAGGTTAAGAACAGTTTCAGGTTAAGTACAGACCTCCGGAATGAATTAAGTTCTTAACCAAAGGTACCACTGTCCCTTCAGGTACCTCACTAGTCCCTCCATCCCAACACCTCACTAGTCCCTCCATCCCAACACAATTCAGGTAGATTGGAACAAGCATAGAAGTAGATCCCTCGTGCCCACAGGATTAGAGTTCTTTATGTCCTTTCCAGTGCCAGCCCACCATACTTGTCAGCTTGGCTTGCTTATGGCATCTGGTTAGACTCTGATGCCATTACAGATTGTGGCACAACGACACAGAGCTCCATAGTCCGCAAAGTGTTTTCTGGTCATCTCTTTAAGTATTTCAGAGGTGTTTGGACATCCTGATATTTTCTAACGTTAGCAAGACTTCTTGAAGGCCTGGATCTCCATGGATCTGGTGAAGCCTGTTTTTTTTAAATAGTTTATTAAATTTTTATACAGCCCATCGTCCATAGATGGCAGGTCACGGCATATTTTCAGCTGTTGGCAGAGAAGTCTGCACAGTAGAAATGCGAGTGAGTACATCTTTACGTCCTTTTCACTCACAAGCGTCAGTGGCCGTTGTGGAGCTTCATGGGAAAGTCTCTTCTATTAAGGAAAAATTAAGTTGCACAATTCAACAGACATCCATTCTGAACCATGTAGTTGTCATTGCACTCCACCTTGTTCATGGCTACAAATACATCAGCACCAACCGTTGTGGGTTTGTCAGCCTCATTATACTCTTGAGATTGGGCCTCTGGAAATAATGACCTTTCTTTTTCTGGTCTCCCAAATAAGGACGTGGTGGATTCTTTTTATACTTTTTTAGCTTGAGTCTGAAAGATGGCGGCCAGTGTTTTGTCATGGTCTATTGCATAAAGTGCCATGGATGTCATCCATTTACGACGACGACACTTTTTGCATCTCTGAGACGAGTCACCTTGCTTCGAACAATCTCAATAGCACTTACAATTGCAAATGGCAAATACCGAAAAGAATCTCCCATGTGATAGTAAAATGCTGTTTTTAAAAAACACTTCCTGCACTGAGTTTCTTTAGCTGGGCAATTCCTTCTAATATTACAAATATTTCCACATCCTGTGTATTCACTCTGAAAGAGTGGGCCTTTTACATGTGCAGCAACTGCTTCTAATGTTTCCTGGAGTAGATGTTACTTCCACCAGGTCACTTCCCCAAGTTGTATTTTCTCCCTGTCCTGGGTTTTGATCAACTGGTTGCCTTCCCATCTTTATGGCTTTGTGGCTGCGTTAGCTACATCTTACACTCTGCTTCAATCTCTGAGGTGCTCTTAATCTTTTTTTGTAAATATATTTTTTATCTCATTTTATAACGTATATAAAACAGAGAGAATGTTCATAACATTCATTTAAAAAAACTAAAAGCCCCAAATGTAACCTTTCCATCACCCATATTTGTTGGCTTGGCTTTTGAAGGCTTGTTTCAGATGGGAAAATCCCTTAAACAGAGCAGTTAAATAGCTTGTGTTAGGGCAGTTAGTCTAGTGTATCAGCCTTTGCCAACCTGTTGTTCTGCAGCTGCTTTGGACTACAAGTGCTATCCGCCCCATGAAAAACAACTAGAGAGTACCAGGCTGGCAAAGGCTATTGCATAGGATGGCAGCCAGAATTGCAGCTTTCAGTATAAGTTGGGGGTTTTCCGCTAGAGTTGGTCACAAGAAGCTCTTCAACTCATATCTAAACCACATAGTGGCAGGATGTGCAGATGACGTCCTTCCTGTCATAGCTTTAGCTGTTAGCACATTTGAAGGTTAGAGTTGCGTACAGGCGTTACAGTAATTTTCAGATGTCACAAAACCCTTCCCAGCACTGCTTCCCCACCCTAAGGACATACTGTGCCAGTTTGCAAGCTACATAAATAATGGTTTTTGCAATAAATGTCACTATTGCACAATTTGGTGGGTTGAAGGAGGTCCTGATAGTAATAGAATAGTAATTTCAAGTTCAAAATTCACTCCATCAGCAAATACCCAGAAAGTCTTGCTATGTGTCTTTCACAAAATGCGATGAAGGCTGCAACCCAATAGAAAAACTTCTCAGGCCTATTGAACCCAATGAAATTTAGTCACAAGTAAATCCGCTTAGCAACCTTTTCCAACCCAATCCCCTCCAGATATTTTGGCAAATGTCAATGTGTTAAAAAGACCCGATGGGAACAATAGGTGAATGAGGATAAAGATCCTGGAGGCCATAAAGTGTGTGAAGGAGGTTATGCTGAATTCCCAGCTTATTTATTTATTTATTATTTGTATACCCCCCTTTCCTTCCAAAGGAACCCAGGGCAGCAAAGAATAAGCAATAGGACAAAAATATTAAAAACAATTCCAGTGCAGAGGCAGACTGAGAAAGATCTCAACTCAAAAGTCTTATTGAAACAGGAAATTCTTCAGTTGGTGCCGAAACAACTGAGACTGTGTGTGTCTGGAGTTCAATGGGAAGGAATTCCAAAGGGCAGGTGCCACAACACTAAAGGCTCAATTCTGCATTGTGTGGAACTGACCTCTTGATAAGGCGGTATCTGCAGAACAGTTATCAATAAGGTATATAAAGGCTGAGATTAAAGAGGCAGAACCAGTGTACCATGCTATGGCCTGCAGCCAAGGCTTACGCCAAATAAAGGAAGAGGAACACCATGCGGGATGCAAACTCACTTAGCCCCTGTGCATGTGTGGCTCTATTTTAGTCCATAGGAAGCAGCCACCTTCGCCTCCCCTTTGAGGGCGTGCTCCTCTGCCCAACTTCTTGTTCTCCCTGCAGGCCAACCAGAGAAAGCTGCTGTTTATCTTGGCAGGAGGGGTACTTTGGTCTAGAAATCTGCTCCATTTCAGTGCCATGGACATGTGATTCCTAAACCTAAACACCCAAGTTATATCCTCAAGAGTGATGCTGAGGATCTGTTGAGAAAAAACAGACACATGCAGCATATTGTTTTCAGAAACTCAGTTACTATGGTTTAAAAATCTGGATGAGATTTTTTTCCCCCACAGGCCCATATAAGTTTAGCACAAACAGTTGGGTCTGGTGAGTATTTAAGGTTCCCAACCCTAATCTGCGGGTTGCCATCTGATTGGATTTTATTCTGATCCTGATCTGATTTTAAGATGTACAGTATTTTAATTGATTGCCTGATTTTATACATTTGATGTTAACTGCTCTGAGCCCGGTTTTGGCCAGGGAGGGCGGGGTATAAATAAAAATTATATTATATTATTATTATTATTATTATTATTATTATTAACTTTTGCAAAAAAAAGAAGGAAAATATGGACTTTAAAATACATTGCTCATTAAGCTAAGCAGGGACAGGTTTGTGTGGAACATCACAATATTTACCAACAGCACTGTGCTTCCCTTTCATTGACAGCAATACGCTCCTTCAGTATTTGAGAAATACACCACCAGCATCACTCTGGGCAAAAAAGAGGTGCTCCTACACTTATACGACACTGCAGGTAATCTCACCCCCCCCCAAAGCATGTATCAGCACAACATCAATTATTTCCTGCTGTGGCTGAAAAGAGATCAAGAGAGGGCTGGTGGGAGATGATGAATGGCTGGGGAAACCAACAGGGTTCTCACTGAGGATTTCCTTGGTGCAAAGCCTCTGGTGCAAAGCCCACGTTCCAGTGGTCATCCTATGTCAAAATCATGAAGCTCCACACCTTAATGTTTGTGTGGTGCTGGCATGCACTGGATCTGCAATTTTTACTGTGCAGTGTACAAACTTGAATTTTATGGGTTCTGGCAACACCCTGTGTAATATAATGCAAGTCCATGAGCTCTGTTTTAATTCTTCTGGATCCAGCTTTTACCCAGACCCCACAGAAAGCGAGAATGAATGAGTGGTGCATATGTGTGCTAATAATCTAGGACTGTCACGAACAACTCTGTGCACCAAGATCTCTGGCCTGTGTGTCAAGCTTTATCTCTCCTCACCATCATCTTTGCACCTCTTGCTGCTGTGAGGCCAATGACCTAAAGTGGTGGAGTGGGAGTTGCTGCTGCACACAGAGTCGGCTTCTACTCAACTTATACCCTGATCCACTGGGCCGATTACCTGGGTGGGGCTTGGTGCAGCCTGGGATGCCCATGCATAGCCTCTAAAAACAAGCAGACAGCCATACAGACCCCATCAAGGTAAAACCCCATGAGCTCTCAGCCTCTCGCTGCTAACATTGGCATTTTGTACAGCTCTGTTCTGAGTGTTCAAAGAGTTTTGCTTTTTCTCAGTTAAACCTTTCAACAGCCCTGCCAAGTATTTTCATACTTGCAAATGAGAGAACTGAGGCAGAGAAGCAGTGGCTTCCCAAAGGCCACCTAATGAGCTCCACAAAAGGAACTACTGCTGCAGACTGCATGCATAGAAAGGCGGACAGAAGCATTTTTAGTAACACCTAACAAATGACACCCTTAGGGCAGCTTTCGCAGTGTTTGCCAATAGCTGGAAGGAGGATGGTCCTGACCAATCTCCTTTCTCCCAAAATGTGAGCCTTCTCCCACTCGGTGTCCACTGGCTGTGGCGGATTGGGCTTGTAGACCAAAACACCTGGAGGACTCCAGGTTGGGAAAGGCTGTGCTATGCTATTTACCTCCTGCTATAACAGAGTTGTGCAATTTTCACAGATTACACGTTTATATCGTCTGACCTTTGCTTTCCTGCTGACTAAGCTAATACAGCATGGCATGGCAGACATAACTTGGGGCTTAATCAAGGTGGAAATAAAAGCTCTGTGCTATGTGCATATCTGAAAATCAAGGAAGGCAAAGTATTAGTCACAGGAGTGGGGGAGAGCAAGCAAGAAAGTGCTTTGCTTTGCTTGATTTATGTTGCTGGAATTCCCCATACCCACCTCAATTATTATGCAAAAGTCTGGAATGGGGAGGACAAGAAAAGAGGAGAGGCACGAGGGACCTATTTATGCTTTCTGTAGAATTGGCTTGTCTCTTGGTTGACTCTGCAGGGCAATTTGTGGGTCTTGTGGAGAAAGCTACTCACCTGCTCACCTTCGGAGGGTGAGAACTACCTTCAGGCAACCAGGCAAAGGGAACTTCAGAAAAACTGGTTCTAAGCCGAGGATGTGGAACATGTGGCCTTTCAGGGGATGCTGTACTCCAGCTTCCACCATTTCTTATCATTGGGGGTGATGGGACTTGTAGTCTCATCTCATCTGGAAGCTGAAGCTTCCCCATCCCTCATCTTAAATCCCCAAAGGACTAACACAAGTGTACATGGGCACCGATGCAATTTTGCCTGTATTTTGTGCATACTGTTGTTCCGCGGAAAGACTCAGCAGTGGACGCACCCCCGGCCTGTGGAATTGCAACTTTCAGAGCTTCATAGGAACACAAAGGAAATAACATACCTGGTAAATGTTTTTCCCCTCCCCTCCTTTAATTGCTTTAAGATTTCACTGTCTGGAAATCTTAGGATAGCCTCAACTGATCCAACACAACACACACAGCTTCAATTTCTACAGTAATTTGCCACTGTCAGTGGTTGGCCAACAGAAGTTGTCTTCTGTGTTTGACATCACAGTGATATCACATGTTAAATCATTTAGGGCAGCTGAGGAATAATTACATGAGGCAGTTACCTCCTAGTTTCCCCTACAATCTAGGGCATGGGTCAGCAACCTTTTCCAGCCGTGGGCCGCTCCACTGTCCCTCAGACCATGTGGTGGGCCGGACTATATTTTGGAGGAAAATGAATGAATTCCTATGCCCCACAAATAACCCAGAGATGTATTTTAAATAAAAGGACACATTCTACTCATGTAAAAAACATGCTGATTCCCAGACCGTCCGTGGGCCGGATTGAGAAGGCAATTGGGCCACATCTGGCCCCTGGGCCTTAGGTTGCCTACGCCTGATCTAGGGACTCTTTGGGCAATATTTTTAGGTTACCATAAGGGGGAGCTTAGTAAAGAATACAATTTATTTGTATTCTGACTCCATTCAAGAAAGAAGAGTTTCCTTTTACTCATTCAATTTTTGTGTAGGCTACATCCACCTTAGTCATTGTTACCCCTAGGGAACCCAGGGAACTGTAGTTTTCTGAATATTATATTGTCTTACAGCTCTGAAATACTCCACCCATTCCCTACAAACAATATTCCCAGGTTATACTTGAGTCAGTTGGTATTAGGAACACAAGAGAAGCCCTGCTGGGTCAGGTTGATGGCCCACCTAGTCCAGCATCCTATTACCACAGTGGCCAACCTGATGCCTCTGGGAAGCCCGTAAGTGGGACCCGAGAACAACAGGGCTCTCCAGCCACCTCCGGTACTAGAGGTAGTATGCAGCCACTGTGACTAGCAGATATTGATTGTATCACCTTAAGTTTATAAAGCCCCAATTGCTCATTTTCAGGTCTATTTATTTTATATAAACGGGTTTTTATACAGCTTAACTACAATAGTCTCCAAATTCTTTGCAAAGGTACAATACAAAAACAAAAATTGGTTAAAACTATATAATCAAACCACAATTAAAATGCATGCTGGAAGAAAATTAAATAAAAATAGGTGGTGCCGGTTCAGTAAGTGAAGATCAGTGGCAAAAGCCACAGGGAGGATTAATTATAGATGCCGCTTCCTGCTTTATGATATTTCTTACTATCCCTTAGAGAAAGTTAAAAAAAGAGCTATTTACTTCCCCTCTCTTTCAGGGCAGGAGGATTATGATCGCCTACGACCACTTTCATACCAGAGTACCAATGTGGTTTTAATATGCTATGATGTCATGAACCCTACTAGCTTTGATAATGTATTAATTAAGGTAAGAGACCTGTGTTGTAGATGGTTCTGCAGTTAGTTATTTGGCTACTAGCTTTTTTTAAAAATAATAATAATAAAGATTTCTTAGTTTACAAAAGTATGTGCAATGTCTCTTTTTTCCAGTTGCGGTTTCTACAGATCAGTTTCATTTGTTGAGAGACATTAGTGTTACATTAGGAAGGCAAGGGGGAAAGAGGGGGAGGGGACAATGGTGAGTGGGGTGGGGCCAGGTGGCAGTGCTTCTATTCTTATACTTAGTGTATGTGTGGGGTTTTGCGTCAGCGTCATTTGTGTGGGTTCTTTTACTATTTGCTTGTTATATTTCCTTGGTGGCGAGAGAGGTTGGGTGTGGCCTAGGGTGGCTGTAGTGAATTTGTTTGTATGTGAGATTGGGGTGGATTTAGAGCACCAACTTTATGAGAGAGCGCATTTCACTGTCAAACAGTGAAGGTTCATGCTGATGTTCAGTCAGAATCTCCTTTCTTGTAACTTGAAGCCATTGGTTTGGGCAGATTGGGCTCCTCAACCTGGGAAGGTAGCCCATCTAGAAGCAAAACTCTGATCCTCTGCTGCCTTGTGGGACAGCTTCAGGAGAAGAAAAGGCTAAGGAGTAAACCCTACACAAATCTGGAGTCCCTAAGGTGGTTGGATGACATCTTGTATGACTCTTTCCTGCAGCCAAGCTGGTGTCAAATATATTGCTCTACTTTCCTTTGGAACACATCAGTGAGGCCAAGAGGGGGGTCTTGACATCTGGGCAGCCCAGGACCTCCATACACACTGCCCAGGCTTCCAACCTGGAGAGGTCACTTCAGGGCTGCTAGTGCAGTGGTTTGACTTCACCCCCAGACACACACTCCATTGTCTCTTGAGACGGATGAATGCGAACAAAAAATCTGCTGTCTTATTTTACTATTATTTTGATGGCTTTTTTACCAGGTTGTATATTTGTTCCTTACAAATTCTCCTTGAACATATGCCTTCTCTCTGTGTCTCATGGCTCAGCATCAGAAATGTTTCCATCTCTATTTACAGTTTTGTTTGTCACATCTAGCTGTTTAAACACTTTGATCTCTCTCTGCCAGTGGTCCCATGAGGTGAACCATTTCTGCCGTGGAATCCCCATAGTACTTGTGGGCTGCAAAACAGACCTTCGGAAGGACAAAGAACATCTACGGAAACTCCGCTCAGCTCAGCAGGAGCCAATCACTTATACTCAGGTAAATACAGCTCTGTAAACTAGATTCCAAACCTGTTGGCTATATATATATGTGTGTGTGTGTGAGAGAGAGAAAGAGTGTTATCTCCTTGGTGTTTACAGCAGTAGAATACGTAACATTTGCAGCCGGCAAGCACCAAACAAAAACAGTTCTACAACTAGGCAAATATGCAACAAGCAGACACACAAGCTCCCTGTTTGTTATTAACATAAAAACTCAGTTAAAATAATGCATATTTCTTATTCTGGTTGCTTACCTTCGGCCTGACTCCTTCCTGAAATCCTTTTGTTACTATTACCTTTCAGGGTGAAGAAGCTTGTCGCCGGATGAACGCAGACATTTACCTCGAGTGCTCTGCCAAGTTTCGTGAAAACGTTGAGGATGTTTTTAGAGAAACAGCTAACATTGCACTGAACGCTATCAAAAAGGCAAAGCGTCAGACAAAATCGAGGCCATGTTCCATATTATGATGTTATCTGGTATTTTCAGACTACAGAAAACAAAAGACTGTTTCTTCAGTATTTTAAACCCTTCCCCCTTACCTTTTAAATTGACTGCTCCTGTCTCTTTACTTGGATATTAATGAGAAAATCAACTTGTTTTCATGCTGTAAGTTCTCCTTTTTGTTACACCTTCTCTTCTGAAGGTTGAGCTTTCAGCTAACTGTGGAACGAGCTCTTCTGTATATAGATTCTGGAAGAAATTTCCAGGGTGTTTCAAATGTACTTGTTGAGGAACAATTAAGGTAAGGTATTGTAGGTCCAACTTTTTGCCATTTTTAAATACACAAGTTCTTGCTTGCTTAAAAACAACAACAACCAAACAAAAACAAACTAGAAATAATGGGTTGTAGCCGTATATGTTCTACTCTGCACAGACCTACTGAAACTAATGGACCCAAGTTAGTCATGTGAATTAACTTCAATTGAGCTACTCCGAGCAGGACTAACATTGGCTACAACTCAGTCTCTGCTCTGATAAAACAGCTGTAACATTTGCAGAATTAAACAGTTCATTTTCTACCCTTTTCGTGGTGGCAACATTAAAGGTACTGTGGTTTTTTTAGCGGCCACAACCTTACCTTGTGGCATATTGGAAACCCTTCAGAAGAAGCTGTAGCAAGATTCCAGCTATCAAAGAACCTATGTGGCTAAGTAACAGATTACTCAGGTCCAATGAATGGTCTAGGACAGGTATGGGGACCCCGTGGCTCATCCCATAGGATACTCTTGCAATCCACCTTCTGTAAACCATAAATACCGATTTTTGAAATTGCTTTTGTTTATTTCACTTTGTACTGACTATCTACCTCAAAATTGCCCTTCTAAAAATACAGCGCTGTCTTAAGTTGAAAGCCAATTTGGATTCTTCACTCTCCCTTGGTTTCCTTCTTTTTCAAAAACTTTTAACTGGAATATGAAATGGGGCTTTATACAGTGTACCAACAAACAGTTGTATTAATCTGAAAGGCTGGTGGTGTTAGGGAGAAGAAATGAGTAAAGCTGTAGCAGGTGCGTCACTTAATATCCTGGATAAGATTATTGTGCCAGAGGGCAAAAGTCGGCCCCAGTTTATACCGTGTGCAGGGAAGAGTTCGTTAAAAGATTTCAGTCAGCATAATTCAGCTAATTATATCTAGCAGGCATGAGAAAACAGGGAGTATTTGGGCTTCTTACAATGGACAAAGTTGCTTTTGAAGCAAAGAGTTATCAGAAGCTTATCAGCAAAAGGCATAGCAAAATATTTTCCTGAACCAGCCTGTCAGTTGAAGGGGTTTCCAGGATTTTGTCTCTGATGCTGCTTTCACCTGTCATTTCCAGAATGCCAACCCCTAAGTGAAATACTTTTGTCACTGCATCCTATTTTGTTTTCACGGTACCCTCAAACACTCCTGTGGCCATGGCAGATCTCCCACTCCACGTTTGAACATCATTAATACAGAGCTCCTTGAAAACCAGAAGAATTGGAAGGGGCAGGAACATTGGAAGCTGCCTTCAACCAAGGCCATCTGAGCTCAGTACTGTTGACACTGACTGGCAGCAGCTCTGCAGGTTCCAGGCAAGGTTTTTCCCCATCCCTATCTGGAGATACCAGGGGTTGACCTATCGGAGTAGGTGGACCCATATGCGGACTAGGTAAACTGACTGCTTGCCATGAGCTTCTGAAATTAGGCCAAGTTCCCTACATGTGCGGACCGCTCTAGCCCCTAAATATTTCCTATCAGACCGTTCTGTCAATATTCTCCCCTCTCCAACTACTATACACCAGACACAGGCAACGGGCTCCTTAACCCACCCACCTGGAAAAGGAGCTCCTCTTTGGTAGAGTTGATTCCCTTGGGATGTGGAGGGGGCACCATACTGTGGGCCTCCAGAAGCTGTGGACTCCAGCTCCCATAAGCCCCAGCCAGCATGATCAGTGGTCAGGTCTGATGGAAGCAGTAACAGGCAGAGAGGGTCATAGCTTTGCCACTCCTGCCTTCGAACAGCCACTCCCATAATGGCAGCCATGAAACAGCCCTATGGGGGAGAGTAGATTGGGTGCAAGGGCCTCTGTAAACCCACAGAGAGAGTTAACAAACCTGGTCAGTGCCTCTGCCTATGTGGGACTGAACCAAGCCGATATTGCTGGCTCACGGTTCAAAAGATGTCTCCCATTAAAAACTGGCTGCCAACAACAACAGCAACGCTGAAAAAAAGAATATGATATACTGCAGATTCTATTTCCTGAGAAAATGTCCTGGAGGAGGGAGCCTTCAGCTCTGCTACTGACCTGCTTCCTCTCCCCCACCTCCATCTACCTGCCTATTATTTAACCAGTGGCTTCTCATCCTGTCCACCGAGGGTACACTTTGCCCCTACCAACCTATCTACAAGCCCCTAAATGCACGCCAGTGGCTCCTTTGGTCTTTCCCCCTTGCAACTTGCTTTCTTAATCAGACGACCTTCCAAGTTGTCTGTTCTCAATGGTTTGGCACTTTTGCAAAATGACCAAGGAGCCACGCTGTCAGTGTTCACCTCGCAACCCTTTCGCAACACCCACAGCCAGCGTTAAAATGCATTTTAAACTAAGGATATATACAGAGCCAGTCCTTGCTGCTCAATGATAAGATGGCGCCCCCTTCCCCATCCCACATATAGAAGCCGAATAGACTCCAGCATTGGCCACCTGAGGCAGCTGCCTCACTTTGCCTCATGGCAGAGCCAGCACTGCATGTATATAGTTTGTTGACGTATCACAAACTGAGACAGTGAGAGGAAAGAACTGAGGCAGCTCCTCTTTATTTGCCACCTTTTCTTCTTCCTCCCCCTTTCTCAACAGATCTGAATGCTGAAAATGAAACATTCATTCAACCTTCATGCCAACAACGCTCATGACAAATTAGGGTATCATCCACTGGATTTCAGTCAAGTTTTCTTCCTGTGTCTAGTCTAGCTGGAATAGGTTACAGTGAAGAGTACCCGCCCCCCCAAACACACACACACTGCCCCCAAACAGATGCGCCCACTGAAAACATTTTCAGTTGGTTGCAAGTGAAGAACGGGTGGGGGGGTCTAGCAACAGATTGGCTCCCCCTGCCCTCCAGCCTTCACCAATGTGATGCCCTCTAGCTGTTGTTGGACTACAACTCCCATCAACCACAGCCAGACTGACCAAAGGTCAGGGATAGTGGGAAGTGTGGTCCAAAACATTGGGGGCGGGGGTAACCAGGCTGCCTTATCAGCTTCCAAGATGGGCTCTGAAAAAAAGCAGTACTCAGCACTTGGCCCCATGAGAGACAACCTTCACGATCCAATACCAGGAACTTTAAAGAGAGTATTTAATCAAAGTTTGCTTTATTCCCGAATAGTTCATCTCTTTTTTGTTCTCTCCTGAGAATCCATCTTCTTCCTAGAATGGATCAACCTCATGGCTATATCCCAGCAAAGGCCAGAGGGGCTTTGGATTAAATTAAATATAAATAGTCCGGTTACCAGCTGGAGAGCGCAAGCACTCGCAAGTCTGATGAGGAAGACTTCACAGTAAAACGCAGGTGGAATTTCCTCCATGGTTCCCTTATTGCAGGGCCACTGGTGAAGCAGGAGGACTGTCTGGAACATGAGTCTAATCACAGCAGAGAAAAAAATGAAACCAGATCTCAAGTTCTAGCATCCAGCATGCACGACTTTCTGTCTTCACAATTTCTTCATTTTGTTCTTCTGAAATTTAGCGTGCACAACTTTCAGGGTGGTGAGGAAGTTTCCAAGGAAGAGCACCAGAAATGTGAGTGCAAGCACAAAAACCTAGATGGGACCAGGAGAAAAATAAAGAAATCAAACTCAAACCTATGCACTTGGCAGATGTTATATGAGGACATTTTTTAACTAGAGACAAAAGCAGCCCAATGGAAAAGCTTTAAGGCTGTCTCAATAAGGATACGGTGAAATAGGCCAGGGGTAGCCAACCTGGTGCCTTCCAGAGGTTATGGACTAAAACTCCCATCATCCCTGACCACTGGGCCATGCTGGCTGGGTATGATGGGAGTTGTAGTCCAAAATACCCAGAGGGCACCAGGTTGGCTACCCCTTAAATAGGTTAACTCTATTAAGAATTAGCTGCCAGCTAAAGCAGCTAAGTGTATTGAGAACCAGCCATTACTAGAATGGCACATACAGCTTCCTTTCTCTACTGTAAGATCACTTGTATGAGTACATAAGAACTTAAGAACCACCTGCTGGATCAGGCCAATGGCCCATCTAGTCCAGTATCCTGTTCTCTCAGTGGTCAGCCAGATTCCTGTGGGAATCCCTCACATGCAAGACACCAGAGTACCCCCCTTCCACCGTGGCTTCCAGCAGCTAGTATTCAGAATAGGCACTTCCTGCCTCCACCTGCGAAGACAGAGCAGAGCCATGGTAGCTGTTGGCTTTGCCCCTTTCACAGTAACACAAGATATCCATGGGTAGTAAAATGTGGATAGCTATTTTCTCATCTTCTCCATCTGCTACCTTTTCCCAGCTGATATAAGGGGATTCAGTCAATGCCCCCCTCCCCGTTTGCCGAGATTTTGATTGGTACTTGAGGGGAAAAACCACTTACTTGCCATTCTTTACATTTCTTATGTCTTGACAGTTCAAAAAGTGTGATAGCATTGTAGAGCTGCCAAAACTTAAGGAAAGGGAGGGGAAAGAAGAAAGGGAGACTTAAGAAAGAATCTGCTAACTTTGCAGAAAGCTAAGCAGTTATTCTTAGTGAAGATCCAGAAGCACTAATTTTAGACCTCGTAGATGCCTAAATTGGCATCTGCTTAAAACGAGCACTAGAGGACACCGAAGCAAACAAAGGGCCTGAGGATCATGTTCACGTTAGTTTCCTCTTACACTGGTCAGAATGAAGAACCACAGAGAGCTCTGAGGCAGAGCAACAGCTTTGCTTCGACAAGGTTCTGGACTCAATCTGTGGCAGCTCCACTTAGAACAGCCTTTGCCAAACGGGGGCCCTCCAGAGGTTTCTGGCTGGGGCTGGTAGGAGGTGGTTGAAGTGCAAAATGTCTGGAGGTTGGCAAAGGCTGAGGAAGAAGGATCAGCTGATGGGAAAGGCCTTCTGTGCAAGAGACTCTGGTGTGACTGTCAATCAGAGTAGATGGATGTCTGATTGGACAGGCCAATGCAAGGGGGAGGTACTTGCAGCGGAGGACAGTCAAAGACCACTTCGCATGGAGTTCTGTTCCCAGGCCCCATACGTGTTGGCAGAGTGCATATAAGCGCACCCCGCCGCCCCCGTTATATCCTTTTAGTGACGTGTTTTTGGGTCGCTGCCGGTACTTATGTTGTATGTTATTTTTATTTTATAAAATTGATATACTGCTTGATTCTAAAAAACTTAACCCATTACAAAAATAATTTTAAAAATGAAATTATCAATAAAAACTATTTTAAACATTAGAAACTAAATAAAATCAATGATGAGCTAAAAGCCAGATAAAAACACCCGTCAGCACACCATATATCTGGGTAGGCGTACCTAAATGAAAAGTGTACATATGGTTGATTTGAATATGTTATTATCGAATATTGAATATTATTGAATATGCATATTATTGAATATTGTATACCCAATGTATCAGCCGCCCTTTATTCCCTTTATTTTTTATTTTTTTAAAAATCTAAATGAAAATGAGTGCAGTGAAAGTGCTTGCCTGGTGTAAATAAGCAGGGAGTTCCAAACTGTGGCTGTTGCTACACTAAATGTCCTTTTTTTAAAAAACAAATGCAGAACAGATATTGCATAAGCAGTTGTAGCGGAGCCATTTCAGCAGACTGAAGTGGTCAAGTGGGCATCTGGGGAATGCAGCTTCATAGAATGAATGAAGCTGAACAGACAACCTTGCCTACACGTGTTACAATGAACAGCAAACTACTACTCTCTTTGGTTTCTCCTTATCTTCTGACAATGCACTGGTGAACAAAGCTCTGATGTCCAACTTACATGCCCAAAGAACAAGAAGGGGAGCAGAAAGGTCAGCCCTCGCCACATCCAAGACTGAAATCCCTCTGGGAAGAAGGAAAAAGCACAGTCAAGTTACGCAGCGGAGACGTGATACACCAATGTCTCTCGCATAAAGTACCTATAAATATTGGTATTTAAATAAGCTGTCACCATCCTGATGTTCTCCAGGTCTTTGGACTACAATATGGCTGTGATGCTGCCGGGGGCAGAGTTGTAGTCCAAACCATCTGGGGGTGGGGTGGTGAAGGCCAATTTTAATATAAAGTTTCTTAAGTACTTTGAAGAGGTAGCCTGACCTAAGGAAGCTGAAATTGCTGCTTCCGTTCATGAAAACGAAAGGCTAGCATCACTGCAAAGACATAGTATAGATTTTTCAGAAGACAGATTATATGAGGGGGAATCTTGTATCTCCCTCTTAGATCTTTTCAGCAGAGAGACATAAATCCACTTTGAAAATATTATTTCCAAGTTTAAAGCCTTTTTGCTTATTTCCTCAATGAAAGTGAATCCAAAATCACTATCCAGGCATAAAGGACAACACTGGGTTCATCCTCATGTCAAGCCATTCAAAAAGGCATCCTCTGTGTTCCATCAGCAATTGCAGTTAATTTCTCCGGTGCTGGCAGGTGGGGGGGGGGCAGGCTAACAGGTGCCAGCAGGTGCTAGCAACACACTGCACCTTCAAATAAACTGATGTGACGAACAAGAGACACGACTCACCCACTGTGAGATCTAAGTGGTTTCTTTCCCCTAATGCACGGAGTCTGTAAAGGCAACCACTTTGATAATAGTATTGTAGAAACTGGACGCAACCTGGAAGAAATAAAAGGAGTTGCTTTACTTGGCAGGGTTGCAGGTACCTGTAAAGTGTGGCATGCTCAGGAACACAGAGAGCTGCCTTACACCATCTCACATCCTTGTTCCATCCAGCTCCATACTGTCTTCTTTGACTGGCAGCAGCTCCCCAGGGTTTCGGACAGGGGTCTCTCCCAGATCTAGCTGGAGATGCCAGGAACTGAACCGGGGACTGTCTGTATGCAGAGCAGATGCTCTACCTGTGAGCTATGGCCCGTCCCCTTTTAAATGCTCTCCTCCTGCACGTTCCAAATTTGCCACTCTACAATTTGTACACCCCCTAAGAAAACCACATTGCTGGAAGTTTTGCTAAAATCAGTAAGAAAAAATGAAGATATAAAAGGGGTGTCTATAGGGAAAAATGAATACAAAGTTAAAGCATTCGCAGATGACTTGGTATTGACAGTAGAAGAACCAGTGGAAAGTATTGAAAGAATCTTAGAAGAAATAGAACAATTTGGTCGAGTTGCAGGATTTTATCTCAACAAAAAAAAAGATGAAAATCATGGCTAAAAACATGAATCAAGAACTAATTGAGGAAATACAACAAAGGACAGAGATAGAGTGGTGAACAAAGTGAAGTATTTAGGAATATGGTTAACCCTCAAGAACATTGACTTGTTTCAAAACAATTACTTACCTATGTGGAATCAGATAAAAAGGGATTTGGAGGTGTGGGGAAGACTGAAATTGTCCTTTTGGGGGAGAATATCCACGATAAAAATGAGTGTGCTACCAAAGATGTTATTCCTTTTCCAATCATTGCCGATAATTAAGGGGGCATCAATTTTTAAAGAATGGCAAAAAATAATTTCAAGATATATCTGGCAGGGTAAGAAGCCAAGGATTCAGTTTAAGTTATTAACAGATGCAAAAGAGAGAGGTGGCTTCGCCCTGAAAGATTTGAAATTATATTATGAAGCATCATGCCTCTGTTGGATAAAGGAATGGATTAAATTAGAGAATGGAAAGCTGTTAGATTTAGAAGGATTTGACAACAGATTTGGTTGGCATGCTTACCTATGGTATGAGAAGAAAAAAATTCACAAAGGTTTTGAAAACCACATCTTCCGAAGATCACTGATAGAGGTGTGGGAGAGGTATAAAAACTTGTTGGAACCTAAACTCCCCCATTGGATTTCACCATTAGAAGTGATGAGTGTGAAAAAAATTAATATGAGGGGGAGGTGGATAACATATGGAGAATTGGTAATAAGGGGGGGGGGATGGAAAATGAAAACTTATGAAGAGGTGAAAGAATTTGTTTATGACTGATTACACTACTTTCAGATTAATGAAATGTTTAAAAAAGATTGTAAAATGTGTGGGTATGAAGGTAAAGAATCAAAATTCCAAGTGGAGGTATTGAATAATGAGTATAAAAACCTGTCTGAAATGTATAAAGTGTTGCTGGAGTGGCATACAAAAGATGAAGAGGTAAAAGTAGTAATGATACACTGGGCAAGAGACTTTGGTTACAATATACAGTATGATGATTGGATGAAATTATGGAATGAAAGGCTAAAATTTACGGCATGTACTGCGTTGAAAGAAAATGTAATGAAAATGTTTTACAGATGGTATATAACGCCAGTTAAACTGGCCAAAATGTATACAACATGCAATAAGTGTTGGAAATGTAAAGAAAAAGAAGGTACTTTCTATCATATGTGGTGGGAGTGTCCAAAGGCGACAGACTTCTGGGAACTGATCTACAATGAATTGAAAAGATGTTGAAATATACGTTCGTTAAAAAACCAGAAGCCTTTCTATTAGGAATGGTAGGAAACGAAATCAATAAGAGAGACTGTAAACTGTTTCAATATGCAGTGACTGCCGCAAGGATACTTCTGGCCCAAAGATGGAAACAGGAAGAAATTCCAACAGTGGAAGAATGGAGAAGGAAATTGACTGAATATGCAGAATTGGACAAATTGACTGGGAAGATTCGATACCAGAAAGACCAAAAGTTTATCGAGGACTGGGGGAAATTACAGAATATCTGAAAAATATATGTGATGTACAGACAACGCTTGTTGGTTTTGAAGAGACTCTGTGAAATAGTAAGAAATACTGCAAAAAAAGAGAGTAAGAGGAAAAGGAGTGGGGAAAGGCAATATTATGTTTAGAAATGCGTCAATAAATAGAAATTTTTCGAAAGATTGACAGAGAAACTGAGGGAAGTCAAAAATTGAAGCATGAGTGTAAAACAATTTGTTGATTGAATAAAACTTGTTTGGAATATGAATAAAAATTATTTTTTAAAAAAAAGAAAACCACATTGCTCCAGCCATCCTTTGTTCAGCACCAATAAAGCACAGCCCCCTTCCTCCTCTAGGCAGGGCAGGGAGAAGCCAGGAGGAGGGAGGGAGGAGCACCTTCTTTACTTTGCATTTAATTTGAGCTTGTCCTAAAGCAGGAGCCAGCACACTTTTTCAGCAGGGGCTGGTCCACTGTCCCTCAGACCTTGGGGGGAGGCCACCCCCTCAACTCTCCCCTCCCTTCTCCACAGCACCGGACAAGCCCTGGTAGCTGCTTACCTGTGTCTTGCAAGCGGCAGGGGCTGGCGGTGGCAGAGGGATGATGAGCGGCACACGAAAGGGCTCCGGAGAGGGGCTGCTTAAAATGGCAACCGCTCAAGCGCTGCTGCTGCTGGCACCAACAAAGCCCAGCCCCCTTCCTCCTCTAGGCAGGGCAGGGAGAAGCCAGGAGGAGTGAGGAGGTGCCGCCGCCGCCGTGTGAGGGAGAGGAAAAGAACGGACACGCTGGCAATCCACACAGCGATTCCTGGACCGTCCATGGGCCGGATCCAGAAGGCAATTGGGCCTGATCTGGCCCATGGGCCTTAGTTTGCCCATGTCCTGAAGGCTGTATCCGAGCCATCCACTGGCTTACAATGCCAATAAAATCCCTAAAATGTAACTTCTCTTTCCTGGGACACTGTCAGTGCTTACTGGTGGGAACTTGCCTAAGGCGGCCAGTTTGTGACCCTTCCCGGTTTCAGTAAAATGCGCACTGCTCTCCCCACACTGAAATCTGCTGCACAGCTTGCAGCATTCAAGGCATTACTCCAGATAGGATGCAGACAAGAAAACACTGTGCTTTAATATAGATACTGAAAGCATACTTACTCTGAAAAATTGAAAATGCTAAAAACTGATTGCGGAACATTTGGTACATGAGACCATCTGGCCTGTGTGAGTAGGGAGGGGGAGGAAGACAAAAGAAAACAGAAGTGATGTTTTCAACACACACACACACACACACACACACACGAGTGCCCTTCTGTACCCCAATATAGGAAATTAAACAAACGCATCCAAGCCAGCCTAATGCAGGATTTCCTTCATTCACTTCCACAAAGGCAGAAGGTATCCTATAGCAGTCTACCCTGGACTGGACTGAAGCAGGCTGCAGGTGTCAGAGATCACCTGCAGCCCATGTCTTGTGGGGTGGGTGGGACAGAATACATGGAAAGTTAGAAGAGGGCTAACCCACCCCAGCATCCTGGCTCATTAACTTACTCATTACAGAGTTACTTCAAATTGGAGGATCAGACATGATCCCTCCCTGCAACCTCTGAAGTGCAGTGGTCCAGGAAAGGCTGGACTGCATGACACTTGGAAGTCTCAATGCACGTTTTTAATACAGGGACTCATTTATCCTACAACCCTATTCTTTATTGTGCATCTAACTATATTCAAACTATAGCACTCTGCTGATTTCAAACACTTAAGCTATGGAGAAATGGAGAAACTTACCACGTTAACATCACACCAGATAGAAACGTAGAAACGTAATGATGAGATACCCACCAGCCCTTAATCCTGGGAAGAAAAAGAACACCTTTAATGTGTGCACTTTCACACATTAAACCGAGGCAAACCCAGAAGGGAGTGGCTGCTAGATCACAGCTTCCCATTGCTGCCTGTTTGGGACACAAGCTAGCAAACAAACGTGTTGCATATGAACCTATAAGCCCCCTTGAGGTGTACTAGCTTAGTATCAACTTCACTCACAATGGGGAAATGTGGGAATGAGAGCTAGCGCCACACCCCCGTCCCCATTCTGACCGCCTTCCAAGAACTGGAGACTCTCCTGCAGCCATGGAAGTTCCCTGCAGAGTCTGGAAGCTTGGAAAAGCAAGGTTCTAAATCACGCAGGAAGCCCCTATGGGCACAGAAGTCTCCCTGTGTCAGACAGTCGCCCTCCAACTTGCAGAGGAAAATGGAAACAGAAGCCAGAGGGTTTTGCACAGCCCAGCCAGGGTGCTTGATCCCAGTCCCCTCCCCTTGCATGTTAAGTTTTAGCACAGCTGGAACGCCTGAAGAAGGCCCAAGTCGGGGGTAATGCAAGACATTTTGTGGACACCTAAATCTAATGAATAACGTATACAAAATATCTGTTCCCTGACATTTTTCATGCTGTTTCGTATGGTTTTATTAATTACACAGTTTGGAGTCTATATGTAGTTAACTCCTCCTCTCTGTTCTTTCCTTTTTCTGATGTACTTTGTCTCAGAAAATAAACATAGGAAGTTTGTAACTAGTGGACATAATTAAGAGCACACAAATGTAATTAAGCTATCGATTCAGACTGTCTATCCTACCATTTTGTACTGATAAACAGGGCTCCGTTAACTGCTTGGCTGAGGGCAGCGGCAACCGTGCACCCCTCATCAAAGCAGTTTCACAGAGGCCGCCCCCCCGCACATGTGCGCCGGTGGCAAGTGGGGGCTCCATAAAACTGCTTGGCTGAGGCGAGGGCAGTGGTGTACTCCTAAAACAGGCAGATTAAAGAAGCAGAGGGAGGAACAAGCTGTATCAGCGCCTGTTTCTCCCTCTGCCGGTATGAGCAGCAGACAGAGATGGTGGTTTCACCCAGCAGTATATCACTGGCAAAGCTGCCGCCGTTCCTGAGCACCTCTGCCTCCAGCAATGGCTGAAGCTTGTTTCTCCTTTGGCGCGCTGGGCGCTTGTAGCAGAGGGACTCAGGAGGCAGCAGTTTCACCTGCGATATACCCCTGAGTGAAGCTGTCATCACGGTCTGCCTTAGGCAATTTATGGATATATCCCCTCAGCCTACCTTGAGCCATTGCTGATGAGGATGCTCTCCCTTATTGTCAGTGTGCAGTAATACCAAACTAAGAGGAAGTTGAACACTTCATCCGTCACCCTGAAAGAATAATAAAAAATGGTAAGAGTTTCCAGCTTCATTGATCAAGTACACACACTTCAAAACTCATTAACTAAGGTGAAAGTAAAGAGTAATCTTAGGTAACTAATACTGAGGTTCTGATCTTGTAAATAATCAGCTGCTTTATAAGCTGATGTGGAGGGATGCGGGTGGTGCTGTGGTCTAAACCACAGAGCCTAGGGCTTGCCGATCAGAAGGTCAGCGGTTCGAATCCCCGCAATGGGGTGAGCTCCAGTTGCTCGGTCCCTGCTCCTGCCAACCTAGCAGTTCAAAAGCACGTCCAAGTACAAGTAGATAAATATGTACTGCTCCGGCGGGAAGATAAACGGCGTTTCTGTGTGCTGCTCTGGTTCGCCAGAAGCGGCTTAGTCATGCTGGCCACATGACCCGGAAGCTGTACGCCGGCTCCCTCAGCCAGTAAAGCGAGATGAGCACCACAACCCCAGAATCGGCCACAACTGGACTTAACAGTTGAGGTACCTTTACCTTTACCTTTAAGCTTATGTGGAAAGATACCAACAAAGGTGCACACATACTCTCGTCAACTCCAATTTTCATACTTGGAAAACCTCAGTCTACTAGAAGCCCAGACTAAGGCATTGTGGTTAATTTGAAAAGCTTTATATAGCAACTGTTTTTGTCATGGCCTGTGCACTATATATTTAAAGCAGTATCATACCACTTTAAGCAGTTATGGTTTCCGTCCAAGAATCCTGGGAACCGTAGTTTGCTAAGGGTGCTGAGTCTTGTTATGAGACCCCTGTTCTCCTCACAGAGCTACAATTCCCAGTTCCCGATTTCCAGGGTGGCGCCATCGGTAATGGCGGACTCCCTCTGAACTGGAGGGACCAGCTCCATGGGAAACGGGTCCTTTCCGCTACGGCGAAGCGGGGACCCATTCAAAAATCACAGGCGGATGAAGCCTGTGACCATGGGACTCGGCGGGCACCTTTAGCGCCCCCCCAACCCGCAAAGGAACCCACTAATGGGCTCCAGAGCGAAGAGGGGGAAGTGGCGCAGTGCTGAGAGTCAACTGCTTCTTCCGTGGAGCGAAGCCGCACAGCCGTTGCCGGAGAGCGCTGCCTTTTTCCTGGGACAATTTGGCTTTTAAAACAATCACCCGTGAGTACTTAAGTTTCGGACAATTGGACTCTAAATAAGGATTTGTGAGCTGAAAGGAAAATTGGACTTAAAAGTTTATTTTAATTTGGCACTGAAACGGGAAGGTCTAAACAGGAAGTCAGCCTTCCGTTTCTTTGTAGATAGACATGGCAAACTAGAGTTCTGAAAATCGTTGGTAAAGGATTAACTTTCATCATTTAAAATTGTTGAACCCCCTTCGGAAGCAGGAGAAGAGGGGGGATTTTTTCCGGACTGTTTAAACCTGCAGAAGTGAGTGTAAAGCAAAGTAACTTTCCACCGTCTTGATCCTGGAGCGGGGTGTCAGGACTGACGTTTTTTGAAGCTTATTGACCAGAGACAAACGTTTCTGACAGATAGCCAAAGGAAGAGAAACATAGTGATTCCATTGTTCCCCTTCGCATTTTAAAGGAACAAATATTGACAAAATATCTAAAAAAGGAAACTTTGTTGTTAGATCTGTTTTTAAAAGAAAAGAACAAACAGAAGTTCTTCCCCTAGAGGGAGCCTGTGAAACTGTAACCAATTTTGAATCGGGGAGCTTGCAGCTGTTACAGATTACGATCGTGGGAATAGACTTCTGACCTTGCAGGACAATGTATTCAGAAGCTCTGTTGTGTGCTTTCTGTAAAACAAGTGCCCTACTGGAACAGCTACATGAGAAGACGGACTTTATGACTGATGCGATTAGAAATTTTGGACAGGCAGTGGGATATTATATAGAGCCCACCCAGGAATTAGATCAGGAGTGTGCCCTGACAGAACAGATGAGGGAAGAGGATGTTGCTGAATCTTGGGCGCCAGAGATGGAGGGAGCTGCGGCCCAGCAGGAACATGAATTCTTGGATTTGACAAATGAACTTGGAAAAAGCCAGATTTGGAAAGATAAAGTTTGGTTTGGTTTGGAAATGGGGGGTTGGATAGACCCCCCTATGCAGGGAGGTTTGGACTTTTCAAGTCTGGCAATGGGCCGTGAGATGTTTGGGGTTGTGGGGGCTCTTAATTTTGGAGGGACTTTGAAACATGTTCTTAAATACCACATGGAGCTTAGTGTGGACTATGGAAAAGGGGCTGATTTGTCGAGAAGGGTCAAAAGCATTGTCAAGCTGGAGTTCCCAAGAGTGAAAGAAGCAAAATACAGCTATAAATATGAAGAAGAGCTGCGGAAGGGACATGGAAGGGACTTAAGGGCCTCGGACATAAGGTTGCCAGGTTAATGCGCTAGATTGATGGGATAGAAAGGACTGACAAAACCCGGGTCCAGGAGGAAGAGACGCTGGATGAAGATTGGATTGGTTTTTTTTTTATTTCTTTTATTAGGATTGTCTTATAAAATTGATGAATGTTAGAAAAATGTTGGAACGAAATTATTTGGCTTTAGCTAAAATGTTTACAGAATTATGTAAGAATATTATGGTTATGAGAAATTGGTAAAAATAAGATTTAAATTTTAAGTTTTAAGGTCTTCATAGTAAAATAAGATTAAAATAGATTAAGGTAAAGTACTGACAGAATATTATGAAATATGGAAAGGATTTGCTGCGACAATTAATAACCAGGATACAAAAAAAGGGAGGAGGAGGAGGTCAAAGAAAGAAGGTAATGACAGTTAAAGATTTGAGAATATTGGATTTGTTTTTAAATGTTTGTGGTATATTTTTGTTTTTTGAGCGTGTTGTGCAATTTTTTGATTTTGATTTTTATTAATCTGTATTGTTTGATTGTGGTTTGTTTTCTCTTTGTTTTCTCTTTCCTTTTTTTCTCTTCTTTGTTTCCTTTTGTAATTCTAAAATTTTCAATAAATATCATTTAAAAAAAAAACAATTCCCAGTTCCCCAGGAAGAGAGCTGGTCTGTTAAACCACTCTAAGAAGCTCTGCAAGGGGAATGGGCTCTCCTAACAACTCTCGGCAACCTAAACAAACTAACTCCCAGGATTCCCAGACAACGCCATGCCTGTTTAAAGTGTAGGGTGCTGCTTTGAATTTACAGAGCAGAAAGGGCCCAATTTCACAAATGAAGGGAATCCCTACTGTAAACAATACCCAAGCAAAGAGACGTCACAGTGCTGTTTTCCAATATGGCTGAACCAAATCTGCTCTCTAAAATTGTCCCGCAGTCGCCGTGCTAAGGGTCTTCCCAGGAGTGTGAGGCCCACTTTTGCCACACCCCCCTCACCAAGGTTTGAAGGAAGAGGGCAAAGCAGAGCCACGTAGTTTAAGGGACTCCACTTAGGAACTCGCTGACACAAAGCTCCCACGCAGGCAGACAAGTTTGCAAATGCAGCGCTAATTCCATCCGAGGGAAAGGCCTTTGGGCCAGAGGAGATGCACATGATCCAATTTGCAGAGGCGCCTCAGGACTAATTCAGCGAAAGGATTCCATTAGATCTCGATAAATCCAATCAACTGGAAAAGCCATACTGGTGGCGGTGAGCCTTGAAGTCAGCGGAAAGCATCACAACAATGGCCAAGTTTGCACGACGAGACAGGCAACAACAAACTTTTGACAACCTCACTGTGGGGCAATCAATTTCAAATTGTTTTCTAGGAATATGGGGACCCTCAACATTTTGCCAGGATTTCTGGTAGAACGGGTAGCATAGCAGCCTTGCAAGGAAAAGGCATTTTGACACCACCAATCCTGTAGTTAAAGGAAGAAGATGCTTGATAACACATCCATTTACCCACTTGGCAGCTAATTTTAAAGAACTATTTTAGCCCACTCATTCCCCCTGAAGACTGGAAATAGAGGGAGAGTGACATTAAAACAGCACCTCCTGTGCACAAGAGGGAGATATTTGTTCACTCAGGGGAACCCCAAGGTAAGAACAACTACAGAAACGCTTTGGAAGAAGAGGAAAAACAATTCTAAGGTGGAAACCACGAAGACAACCCAATGAGAGCCACGCATGGTCAGCAGCCACAACACGCTGAACGACAAGGGGAGGGGGGAAACGGTGGGAAACCAGACAGGATGGGAAAGGGAGAGTCCTGGAGGACACAGCAGGCTGACTGGGCAATCCTAGGCATGTCTGCTCAGAACTTAAGTCCCAGCGAGTTCAATGGGGCTTATACTCAGGTTAAAAGGGTGCAGAACTGTAGCCTTACAAGCTCTCTACAGAAGTAATCCACACTGTGATGTTCTGTTGCAGGTCTCAGCACAACGTTTCCCTGGTATCTATCTACGCTTGCTGGAAAACAGTTCTCTAAGCTCCCAGGCAAACACCTTTCTCTGATCCTTTTAACTGGAGAGGCTGTCAGGGATTGAACCTGTGACCTTCCACAGGCTCTACCACGGAGCTATGGCCGTCCCCTTACAAGCAGCGGGCAGCTCCTAGATCTCACAAGCCCGACCAGTGTCACATATGAACCCAGTGTGCACCTAGAACATTTGCAACGTATTATAGGGGAAATGTCTCTCCAGCAACAGAGAACTTTTGTGTATGTAGTCAGGGAAAAAATCTGCATCAAGACTGGATTAAGTTGCGGAAGCAGCAGACAACAAATGATGCTTTTTGTTCACATTAAGTGGAGTCCAGATTTGCTTGCAAGCAGAGCCACTTCAAATCCACTCCATGGTAAAAACGGATAATGTTGCTCGGCAAACAAAGATGAAGTCTTACCGGTAATGAAGAACGAATCGGCAAGCTACTGCTCCAAGGAATAAGATTATTGTCAAGTACAGTTTGAATTTTTCATACTCGTCTTTGTAGGCAAACCTGGAACAAAAGGATTAAATCAGGGAATAATAATAGTAATAATTTTATTATTTATACCCCACCTGTCTGGCCTGCTTCCCCAGCCATTCTGGGCGGCTTCCAACACATATAAAAACATAGTAAAACATCAAGCACTAAAAACTTCCTAATGCAGGACTGCCTTCAGATTTCTTCTGAAAGTTGTATAGCTAGTTATCTCCTTGACATCTGAAGGCATTCCACAGGGCGGGCGGGTGCCACTGTCGAGAAGGCCCTCTGCCTGGTTCCCTGTAACTTCACTTCTCACAGTGAGGAAAGGGCCCAGAAGGCCCTCAGAACTGGAGCTCAGTGTCCAGGTTGAACAATGGGAGTGGAGACGCTCCTTCATGTACACTGGGCCAAGGCCATTGATCTGGTTCACACATAATGCTAAACCGTGAATTATGAAGTGATGTTTTCTAATAGCACGGCTTAACATTATATTCAAACTCTACCCAGCAATTTAACTGTGGTTGCTAACAAGCCACAATTTAGTGCTACAGTTTGTTGTTGGCTTACAAATCTTGGTTTGCTTTAAATAGGGCTGAGCACTGCATGAGAACTCTTCTCCCCTTCTTAACCATGGTTTATTTGCCTACCTGACACCAGATTCTCACCAGTTTACAAACGCAGGAGGCAACAGCAGCTGAGGGGAAACCATGGTTTGTTTGATCAACTATGGGACAACTTATGGCTTCACCAAACTAGGGCTTAAACAAATCAAACCAGAGCTTGAATCTTTGGCGGGGGGCACCATTTTCTGTCACTAGTCAGGGGCTAGATTCAATGTGTGCTGAATTTTGGCTGCAAAGGAAGAATCGAGAGCATGCTGCTGGTTCCTCCTTTGAAGCTGCAACTTGAAATTTTCCACAAGCAACATCACACAACATCAGATACAGGAAAGATGGGGGTGGCTTGCCCCAAATGGATGATTGGTCTAGTCAAGCCTGCAGGCCAGAGCTCCCTGACCAGGAGGAGCAAAGCAATTGTGAGCTCCTATCTGGGAGCCCAAACGCATTCACAGGGTCTTGCTGAGCCATAGGGCAACATTCTTTCTGTTATGCACTTGTGATGCTCCTGATGGCATTGGGCCAGTTATGCATTCAATACTCTTTGCACCTGCAAAGGTTTGAGGCAGATTTACTGTTTCATTTCCACCCACCGCATGTCCTGTAGTTTCCTGTTGAAATCCTGTAACTTTTTACACCACAAATGTTCTGAGGATTTTGTTGTTGTTGCACTATAGCACAAGAGCCCCCCACACCCAGCAAGACAGCAATAATGCAGGAGAATTGGGGAAAGACTGCAGAATGGTAAGCGGGTGGCCCAGTATAAACGCACCACTCAAACACTCAAGCAGCTCAGAGAGTCATAGAAGAGAAACAACTTACTTGGCCTGATTGCTTAGAAGAGTGACATTCACGTTCCCCAGCACGAGATTTAAGTACAAACTGCAAGGAAAAGGGCAAAACACATCAGGCCTTCACAGGGGTAACTCTTTTTTTCATTTGTTGGTTGTCGTTTCTGCCCCAGATCACCCATTTCAGCTGCATTTGTAGCAAGGCGTGAGCTGAACGAAAGACTCCGCCGGAATCTTATCGCCAGATGTTCAGATGACAGCTTCCTCTGCTTTTGCCACAACGTGCAGAGGTCACAAATCCCTCTTCGTGCGACCTTCTCAAACCGTAGTCAGCACAAGCTCAGCAGCAACCCTATACACTTACCTGGATGTAAGCCCCACTGAACTCAATGGGGCTTACTTCCAAGTAGACGTTTATAAATGTCACTGTCCATCAGTTAGCCTAACAGACTTAACTTTGCAATCCTGATTCAAAATTCTGTCACTTCTGGGGGTCTTTTGTGTAAATAACAGGCAAGTAGCTCTTGACCTCAATTACGCCTGTTTTACTGCTGCTTCTGCTGGGGCTGATGTGCTGGCCTGATGATTTCATTACTGTTGAATTTTGTTTTATCTTTCTTAGAGGTGGCTAACCTGCAGCCATTCAGATGTGGCCGGATTATAATTCATGTTGCACAGATATCATGTTACGCAGTGACATTTGTTTTGCATGCTATGAGTGGCCATGTGGCCCTTTTGGCAAAAGGCAGTATATAAATTTAATAACTAAAACAAACCAATCTCGGCAGTCCTGGCTCAGATTTAAATTTCTCATCTGCTCAGGGCGGGGGAAAGAAAAGACCCCCCCTCCTCTGTGTCACTGGACCTTTCTCCTCCTCTGCTAATAATAGATTCCCAGGATTGTTCTCCGGAGCTATCACCTCACCAAGATTAACGCTGGAAACTATGTGCGTGAGTGTGACACGCGGCCTGCATTCAGCTTCTGAGCCAGGCATTCCCAGGCAAACGTTTCACTCTGTGCCAAGAGGCCGGCAGGTCGGCCCCTGAGAGCGTGCAGAGTGGATTCCAACAAGAGGAGTCACATGCTTCCATCTCTTTAAGAAAAGCATGTCTCCTTAAGAGACCAGGCTTCACACAAGAGGGCATGTCGGTTTTACAGAAGCACCTACCCATTCTTCTTTGGCAAATAGGCTTCCATGTCGAAGAAAACATTCTGCCGCTCTTTGATCTGGCTACCGATTTGTTGTATGAGCTCCGCTTCCTCCAGGCTGCAGTCACGCTTGCATCTGCAAAGTTGCAGGGGCAGAGAAGAGGAACACAAATGCAGATAGTTGAAAACAGATGACCCAGGAGCCAAATAGCTGAAAGACAGGCCCCTTCCCCTCTTGGGTGTGAAGAGCAGCAGAGGGGGCCTCCCGGTAGCCCCACTGCCCTCAGGAGGCTCGGGGGGAGGAATGCTATGGATGGCATTCTCTGTGTCAGCCCCTAAATTGTGGCGCACCCTCCACACAGCAGTGCATTACGCCAAGCAGCCCCAGGAACCCTCACCATGCGGGTTTCGTAGGACACTGAAGATGCTCCCCTTTACCCTGGCCATTCAAAGTGTTGGTGCTGACCTTTAAAGCCCTAAACGGCCTCAGTCCTGTATACCTGAAGGAGCATCTCCACCTCCATCATTCAACCTGGACACTGAGGTCCAGCGCCGAGGGCCTTCTGGTGGTTCCCTCACTGAGAGGAGCCAAGTTACAGGGAACCAGGCAGAGGGCCTTCTCGGTAGTGGCGCCCGCCCTGTGGAACGCCCTCCCATCAGATGTCAAAGAGAACAACAACTACCAGACTTTTAGAAGACATCTGAAGGCAGCCCTGTTTAGGGAAGCTTTTAATGTTTGATGCATTACTGTATTTTAATATTTTGTTGGAAGCCGCCCAGAGTGGCTAGGGAAGCCCAGCCAGAGGGGCAGGGTATAAAAAATTATTATTCTTTTTTTAATGCATTTATATTCCACCTTTCCTCCAAGGAGCTCAAGGCAGCCTACACAGCTCTCCCCCATCTCAATCGAGCCCCACAACAACCTGTTGAGGGTTGGTGACTGGCCCAAGGTTACCCTGGAGGCTTCATGTCCAAACGGGTACTGTAATTTGGGTCTCCCGGGCCCTAATCCGGCACTCTAACCCAGCCTTCCTCAACCTTGGGTTCCCTGGGTGTTGTGGGACTACAGCTCCCATTGTCCCTGAGCACTAGGCCCTGCTAGCTAGAGAGATGGTGGGAGTTGTAGTTCGACAACATCTGGGGATGCAACATTGAAAAAGTGTGCTCTAAACATTACACCACACTGGCCCTGGACATCTGGGATGAATATTTTTAGGGCCCAATCCTATTTTTGAGATTGTAATTGATTTTAAACTGTTTTTCATGTTGTACTAAAAATGGTTGCAACCTGGCCTGAGACCTGGCGGGGGGGGGGAGGGGGGGCAGCTAATAAAGCAAAACAGCAACAGCAGTTGCCTGACACCACAGTAACACTGGCCGAGGGACAGGTGGATTCTTGCGCCCACCTGCGGTTTGGCGACAGAGAATAATCTTGCACCCTTCCAGCAACCTCATCCCACTTTGGTTAGAGGGGAGAGCAGGCAGGTCAGGCAGCTCCCAGTTCAAGCAGGTGACCAAGTGCTGTGCTTTGCCATTACCTCTGGAAGCTGTTCTGCAAGTCTTTCAGCCCCCGCTTCTGCTTCTGTATGGAGCTGCTGCAGGTGGCCTGCAAGTTGTTCAGTTCCTCTAGCTTCTGCTTGTAGACTTTGTGAGTTTCCTACAACAGATAAGCAAAAAGGATGAATTAAGTGGCAGGAAATTAAACATGGGACAATACGCAAACAGAACACCCACGTGCAGCTGAAAGTGCAGGTTATGTAGTTTCTTCCACAGGAAGGGGAAAGTTCCACCTTAAATCGCCTGGAAAGGCCTCAGAAAGTGCCATGCGCTAAGACCATTGAGTGTACTGTCCCTACACTGACATTATTGGCTCCAAGGCCTGTGATTTTCTGCTTGCAAAGCAGTGCTTTACCTGTGAATGATGACCCGCCCAGGAATGCAACACAACACAGAGCTAACTATAGCACTGACCACATGCATATTTCGGTGGGTAACGTCGCTTAACGCATCTTATTTATTTAATATTGACCTGCCATTTAGGACCAAGCATCATTAAGAAGCATTATGAATTAAAGTGTTAAAGCAGTGTTAAAAACAAAGACAAAACAGTGCACCCCACTTTTTTAAAAAGCAATAAATTTAGAAACAGAGCCAGCCGCAAAGAACCCTAAAGCAGCTTAATGGCGGAGGGAAGAGGCACTGTAGAGTTCATTTAAAGTGTTTACATCCTGCCCTCTCCCTCTCCTGCGCCCAAAAAGCTGTCCCAGGACAACTCACAAACAATGCAGCAGCACAAGCAAATCCAAAAGCAGCAGCAGTGGCAGGACAGAAGCACAAAGTTGAAGATTAAAATTTCGCATCGAAAGCATCTGGGAAAATAAGGTCGAAACGTCCTCCAGGTCAGCCAACCTGGGGAAAGCCTCGCACAAAGAGGAATTCTGTCTCTGTTTCTGTGCAGCTGGAAAGCTCCCCAGAGGAGCTCATAGGAGGAGGCAGAACTCGCCTACGGAGGGGTGGGATCTGGGCTGCCTCACCTGACAGCTGCTGCCCAGGCTGCCGCTCCATTGGAAAGCCTGGGCCCATGTCAGCTCTGTGTTGGAGGGCAGCGTCTGAATGACAGCTATCATTATTATTAATTACCCACCCTACACCCTCTTGTCCCAGTTAAAATGCAATGTCAAAAGCAGGTTAAAACAACCTGCAATCACAAAAATAAGGTGGGTACTGGAAATATACAGCTCAGGTGACAAAAGCCACGTAAAGAGGTGTGTCTTCATCCCTCATTAAAAGCTCTATAATGAAGATGTGAGGTGCACCTCTGTGGGGAGAGCCACAGCTTAGGGGCCGCCACAGAAAAGGCCCTCTCCTGCCCGCCCCCGATTCAGAGAGAGGGGGAGCAACCAAGAGGGTCCCCTGCCATCGATCTGAACACCTGAGTGGGACTGAAAGAGGGTGGCCTTTCAGATATTGGGGGATGTTGTGAACTGCCCTGTGATCTTCAGATGGAGGATGCTATACAAATTTAATTAAAAATAATTCAGCATAATCAGCTGCGTTCATGCGCCAACTACCCCCTAGAGACGCTGCCCTTCATAATTGTTTGTAGCTACAGCTGTAGTTTGATGGCAACGGCCAACACAAAGGCCAGTGCAAGCCTTGAGCCCGTTCCTCCATCAAAGTGGATTTTGAGCGGCTACTGTAGATGAATATGGATTATGGAAGACGGCCACGCTTTCCCAAAATGCCAAATAGGACACAAATGTCCTCCTCAGCCGCCACCCCTCAAAAATCCCCAGAAAGCCCCCATGGATCCACTCTAAGCCGCTTTCCCCCTTTGCTCGGCCAGAACCTCTGACCCCATTCCAACTTAGCCCTAATCCCACACGGCACCCACCATCTGTTCCTTTGGAGCAGCTGGTGAAGCAGCCCCTCCAGGACAACTTTGCTCCAAGAGAGGCCATGACCACATGAATAAATGAATAAATAGCTAAATGAATAGGAAGACATGTCCAATGACTTTAGGAGACTTTTTTTTTTAAAGCCCCCTATTCAATGCTCATTGAAAAAGCTTCTCCACGTGAAGCAGGGATGGGGAACATGCGGCTGCCCAGATGTTCTTGGATTCCCAACTCCCATCAGCCTCAGTCAGTGGGAGCTGGAGTCCAGCAATATCCAGAGGGCCTCAGGCTCCCCATCTCTGCTTCAAAGGTACCTTAGATCTTTGGGAAGTGGGTGTGCAAGCAAAAGGAATTGTGCCATCCCGTTACACCAGCATCCCCAATACACCTCATGCAAGGAGGCAGTGTGGCCGTTAGAGGGCTGGACCAGGACGTGGGAGGCCAGGATTTGAATCCCCACTTGGCTGTGAATAGGCTTTCAACACTGTAGTGTATCACCAGTCCAACATCGTGGTTTGGCAATATACTGCAATGTTGAAACAAGTTGCATTGGCCCCAGCCTGTAAGGTGCCAGGGGACGCTTTCACCCCTGTGCCTCGCAGGCCAAGGCCAATGCAGTTGGACCCGGCCCGCTGCTAAGCTGGGGGTTAGGAAGGTTCCTGCCCCCACCCAGCTAAGCGAGCCCACCGACTCCCCAAGACAGAGGGTGCCCCGCAATGGAGCCTGACAGGCTCCGTCTGCCTTCTTCGGCATGTAGTCCGAAAACAGCTGGAGTCCCAAGCTTGGGGAACACTGAACTAGATGGAGAGGAATGTAGAAAGCCGCCTTGTTATACAGAGTCAGATCACTTGCTCATCTAGCTCAGTGCCGCCTACACAGACTGGCAGCAGCTCCCCAGAATTCCACACTGGGGACATTCCCAGTCCTACCTGGAGAACTGAACCTGGGGCCTTCCGAACGAAAGACAGTCGAAAACTCTGCAGATCTCCCTCTTATCGCTCCCTGGGAAAGGGGTGGTCAGGGTTGTTAAGCACTTCCAACACAGACAGGACCCCAATGAAGGGCCTAGTCAAGAGGCAAAGCACCTGCTGTGGGTGCAGAAGGACTCAAGCCCAATCGCCAGAACCTCCTGGTGGGGTTGGGAATATCCTGCCTAAAAGTGTGCAGTGCCACTGCTGCCAGTCAGTGCACGCAACACTGGGCTAAATGGGCCAATGATGAGCCTGACTCTTATTTCCTCAAAACGGGCCCTACCTCTCAGCAAAATCCCACTAAAAACAACCAGAGGGGCGTAATAAAGAACAGCATGCCACCCCCTTTCCCAGTACCCATTCAGTTCAACAGGAAATGAAATTAGGAAGGGACAAGCCAGTTACTTAATAAAAGGCCTATTAAACATTAACTAAAACCCTTTCTCCTTTTACTTTTGCAGACAGCACTTTTGATGCTTGCAGTTGCAATAAAACCAACTTGCTGATAAAAAAGGAGGGTTGGGGGGGTGGAGAGACCATTTCAAGTAAGCTGGACCCAGATCCAGTTCAGCTGCTTAACCAAGACTGAACTCCTTCACCACACAAAGTGGATCAGTTGAACAGATCAAATCCACACCAGCACCCCTTGAAACGAAACAAAATGAAGGTTTGATTGCAAAGTTTTATTTACATGTTATTGAAAGGTCAAGCACTCGAGAGCGACTGTTCTCATTGAGGTGGATAAATGACTGGGGGCGACGCCGCTGGGGAAGGCGTCATCTTCCAAAGGGCAGGCTCATTCCAAGGGTTTAGCTGCAAGGCAACGTGGAATTTCCTGCAGACGCTGTAACTCTGCATGCCAAAGACGGGCGCCCTTGCTTACGCAGCAGATTTGGAGGCACAGAAGAAGGCACTGCCAGGGCCAGGGCTTAGGGGGGGCCTTGCCAATATTGCGGGCCCCTGCCCACCATCCTAAAACTCCAGCAGTGCTAAGTTGGGCTCTGGCACAAGGAGGGACATTTCAAAATGGGGGGTGGTGCACACAGCCGGGCACACGCTGTGGGGGGACTCATCACCTGGCATCCACTGAGGGTGTCTGCAGTTGGCTGCTGGTGCCAGCCCTGCTCCCGAGTAAAACTGAGCGAGTGACAAGAGAAGACCAGCATTTGTGGCATGTATTGCGTTGAGAGTTATACTCAGGGGTCGGCAAGGATTACCAGGCATGGGCCTGATCACTCCCGCAGAGATTCTCAGTGGGCCGGGCCGGTGCAGCGTGGCGCCAGAAATTGTGTCTGTGCATGTCCGCGGTGCCGGAAATCGCGCCTGCACAGAAGCAATTTTCAGTGTCTCAGCATGCGCAAGACATGATTTCCGGCACCACGGACATGTGCAGATGTGATTTCCAGCATTTGCAGAAGCGATTTCTGGAGCCGCTTAAGCGGCACAGCACGGTGTGGGGACTTGCTGAGCGGGCGGGTGGTTCAGGGGTGGTTCATGGGCCAGTTAAACGACCCTCCGCAGCCGCTTCCGGCCCATAGGCCTTAGGTTGCCAACCTCTGGTTATACTCCTGTCTGCTCAGCATCAACTCCCTCCTAGAATTCTGTCTCATTGTACTAGTTTTCAGCCCTGTGATGTGGAAATACCTTGGCTAGAAATTGCCAAATACAGTGGTACCTCGGATTACAGACACTTCAGATTACAGACTCTGCTAACCCAGAAATAGTACCTCGAGTTAAGAACTTTGCTTCAGGATGAGAACAGAAATCTCACGGCAGCAGCAGTGGGAGGCCCCATTAGCCAAAGCGGTACCTCAGGTTAAGAACAGTTTCAGGTTAAGAATGGACCTCCGGAGCGAATTAAGTTATTAACCCAAGGTACCACTGTACTGGCCCCGTGTATAGGACTATCGTTGCACTCTTAGTATGCACAAGTCTGGTCTGTTGCCCTGGCTGAAAAGTTAATTTGTCACAGCCAGAGGCAAATCAAACACTTTGTCTTTTTATGCAGTATGGCTACCACTTATTTCCCTTATGTGCCACAAAGACCAAACGAAAAGGCCAGCTCAAACGCATGGAAACATGGAGAGATCTACTGGAATAAGGACTCAAATTATCACTGTCTGTCTTTCACAGGTCTATGAAGATACCAGGCGATCTATTGCAAATCTCTTGACAGAAGGAACTATCAGCTGCTTTTGTCTTGGTTTGCAGTTTATGTTTATTTGTTGTTACATAGGTTTGTTACAAGCTGTGATAATAAAATAAAAACAAAAATAGGGAAAGTCTTCCCTAGTATGGAAATTCTAGAAAATTTCCCAAATGGGATATTTGTTTTATGCCACAGCCTCCCATGGAAGCCATGTTGTGACTGGCGCCCACAGCACTCTCTCAAAATTTGAGATGTGCCCACTGGTTGAAAAGGGTTTGTGACCCCCAACATATGTTCTTAAATATCCAGAGAAAGACTCTATACAGCAGCTCAAAATTCTCTTCTAAGTGCTGCTTTACTTATTTATATTCACAAATAATAATAATAATAATAACAATAACAATAACAACAACAATAATAATAATAAACATTTTTTGGAAGCCAGGACATTAGCAGGCCAAAGTATGTTGCAGAAGTACCACCCCTCCCCATATTAGTAATTTAAAATACTTCATTATCTATAGCAATAAAAACTGAACTAAATGTAGCCATATGCATATTTTTTCCACTGAAAGAGTCCATACATATTATTTTTTTAAAAAACAGAAATGAAGGGAAATGTTGAAATTAAAACAAAAACATGACATTTTCAAAAATAGCGTTTCTCATTCTTTTCGGCAAAGGACCCCTGACCGTTAAGTCTAGTCGCGGACGACTCTGGGGTTGCGGCGCTAATCTCACTCTATAGGCCGAAGGAGCTGGTGTTTGTCCACAGACAGCTTCTGGGTCATGTGGCCAGCAGGACTAAGCCACTTCTGGAGAACCAGAGCAGCGCACGGAAACGCCATTTACCTTCCCGCCGGAGCGGTACCTATTTATCTACTTGCACTTCGTGCTTTTGAACTGCTAGGTTGGCAGGAGCAGGGACCGAGCAACGGGAGCTCACCCCATCGTGGAGATAAAAACCTCTGACCTTCCGACTGGCAAGCCCTAGGCTCTGTGGTTTAGACCACAGCGCCACCCGTGTCCCATTCTTTTCGGTACTACAGGGCTAACAGGAAGAATCTTCCTGGTTTAGAATCTTTAACTAAATTAAATCCCTGTTAATAGTTTTAGAACTCTGGGAAATGATTGAAAATCCTGTTTTCAATCAGATAGGAAGGTAAGGAGGAAGATAAAATTCAACAGCCAGGAAAGAAGGGAAACATAGGGGAGAAAGGTTGTCAGTTTGTATCTGAAAGTAATTAGGTATTTTTGACACCCACATCAGTGAGCGTCAAGAGTTCCGTGCGCAAGCCAATCAGTGCAATCAGTTTTTGCCACACCTACAGGGCACTCATATGCCCACATCCACCACCTGTCTTACATAACTACCCTGGGCTCCTTCAAGAGGAAAGGCAGGATAAAATTTCAACAAATAAAAGCAAGTACTCAGGTCACCATGGAGGAAGAGGGAAAATCACGGGGCTGTTCACCAGCCCTAAAGAACTAAGCTTGTTCTCCTATTGTCTACCAGGCACGGGACTGTTTGCACAAGTTTAGTCCAAAGCAGTTATCTTTAAAACCCTTAGCAGAGTAGGGCCATCTATCTCTGCATGAGCCTGTCCACACCAAATGCTAAGCCATGGTTTGTTTAACCTCAATATGGTTTGTTCAAACAGGTACACCCAGGCCAGTGAACCAACCATGGCTTGATTTCTACCAACAAACTGTTATGTGAAACCATGGTTAGCTGTTGGCTTACAAACCACAGCTTGCCTTAACTATGGTTTGCCATTGTGGCAGAACCCAACAGCCTTGCATTGCCATGGTTTCCTTGCCCACCCGCAATTTAGATGCTTGCCAACGACAGAAACACACAGCAAGAGAAGCCAGAAAAGAAACCAAGCCTTTGTTGATTTCAACATAGCCACCAAGGTCACTCAAAGTGCAGTGGGAGGCAACTGGAAACACGTCCTGCTCAGTGGTGGCCCCTCTGTTTATGAAACACTGTCCTCCAGGGAGGCTTACATTGATATCCTTCAGACACCTTAGCAAAACCCTTTTTTTTCTCAGAGTCTTGATTGCAAATTTCAGTCCAATCATGACTAGTTTTATCCTGATATTTTGATCTGCCGCTTTGTATCTGTAGTGCTTTTATTTATTTACTTTCCTACATTTCAGTCCTTTCTTCCTGCACGGAACCCAGTGGATCCATGTGCTTCTCACATGGTCCCCCATCCAGGAAGTGACCAGATCCAGACCTGATTAGCTTCAGCAAGGCAGCAGCCTCATGCGTCTTCTGACTGTATCTCTCCCTTTAGTCTGCTATATAAACCACCCTGGTTAAGTTCTGTTTCAAGGGCAGTGTTATAAATACATTCTACTTACAAGGTACAAGTAAAAATCCTGCGTCAGCATAACTCAAAGCCCACTATCACAAGGATGTTACAACTTGTATAAAACACAATGACATGGATTTGCTTTGATTTTTCAACAATTTACGTTGCTTCTACTTACTGCGGGGTGAGGGGCGCAGGGCTCAGCAACAACACACCCACACCCGCAAAGAGGGGCACCTTGTGACTCACACACAAAATCACCTGAGTGGGTTTCACATCACAAGCACAAAACCTTGGCAGGGAAGGCAGAGGCAGAAGAAACGTGATCAGTGGCCTCAAAAGAAAGTTCCCTGTCAGATGGAGGTGGGGCACGCGGCCGAAATTGATCCACAAGAGAAATAACTGGCAAAGGCAAAGGGCAACAGCAGCTCAGCAGCTTTGCCAGGAGCCTGCTAATGTTTAAGGTGCCTCACTGTGTGGCCCTGCTCTCCTGGGTCTCGGAGCTGTTTTGAAAAACAAGCATGTTCCGATGCAGGCAGAGGCAAAACAGCTCCAGCGTAGCTAAGAGTCATGGGATACATCATGTGCCCTGCCTGGAACCATAATGGGCATGAGTGCATGTGCTGCGATTTCGCAGAAGGATTTAAAGCCATAGAATCCGGCCAGTTCTTATCTGGGACACCCAAGATGCAGGGACAGATGAAAGAAAGGACTTCATAATGTGGTGCTTAGTGAAATGATGGAATTCGCTTCCACAAAAGGCAGGGATGGCCACCAACTTAAAGGTAAAGGAACCCCTGACCATTAGGTCCAGTCGTGGCCGACTCTGGGGTTGCGGCGCTCATTTCGCTTTATTGGCCCAGGGAGCCGGCGTACAGCTTCAGGGTCATGTGGCCAGCAGGACTAAGCCACTTCTGGAGAACCAGAGCAGTGCACGGAAACGCCGTTTACCTTCCCGCCGGAGCGGTACCTATTTATCTACTTGCACTTTGATGTGCTTTCGAACTGCTAGGTTGGCAGGAGCAGGGACTGAGCAACGGGAGCTCACCCCGTCGTGGGGATTTGAACCGCCGACCTTCTGATCGGCAAGCTCTAGGCTCTGTGGTTTAACCCACCCACGTCCCTGGCCACCAACTTGGGTGGCTTTAAAAGCAGACTAGACACATTTATAGAGGATAGGCCTGTCAACAGGTACTTGCCGCAATGGCTATGTCCTAGCTACAACATCACAGGCAGTACAGCCTCTCAGCACCAACTGCTGGATCACAATCGGGGACAGAGCTGCTGTTCCACTCTGGTCCTCCTTGCTGGTTTCCCACAGGCCTTTGGTTGGCCACTGTGAGGTAAGGAAGCTGAGCTAGATGAGTCATTGGGCTGACCCAGCAGGCTCTTCTTGTGTTCCTAGTCCTTATGATTATGTGCTTCAAACCACACAAGCCAAGAATGGGGGCTTGTAGCCTTCTGGCGGTTCCTGGACCTCCATCACCCCTGGGTCCTGTCTATTGACTGATGGGAGATGAGAGGTCAAAAGCATACGGAGGGTACCACCTTGGCCACCCCTGCCCTGCAGTCCCTATGACAGCCTTGCATACCTGGAGTAACACTAATGCTGGTTTGAAACTGCAGGTCAGGGGAAAAGGGAGCAGACAGGTCTACAATTGGCTTACAATCAAACCAAAGCATTCAAAATCTGGACAGAGATGTCACAGTGGTGTTTGTCATGCCAACCACTACAGGTTTCCCAAACGTCTGTAATTTATTTATTTGCACTTGACACTAGGTATCTGATAGGCTGTTAGCTTTGACAAACAGAACGCCCTCTCAGGTTCCACCAACAGCTCCACTCTGGAGGGTCTTGGCCTACTCTTCCAACATCCTGCAAATGGTTATCTTGCAAATGTTAATAAGTAAGGAAATCTGTTACTGGATCACCTCACCCTGTGCCAATCACATCTTCAGTGGGAGCTCAACTGGGTTGCCCTCAACACGTCAGTGAGGTCCTACAGGTTCCTCTCCCTTGCCTGTGGGACTCTCTGCAAGGTACAGCCCTTCTTCCCAGCCTCCTCAAATGCTCTTGCCCGACTGGAATTGTGATAAATCTATGACGTTGCATCTGTCTGACTCGAGAGGCAATGAAGCACACCTCCAGGGGTGAAGCCAAACAGCTGTGATAGCAGAACCAAAATGACTTCTCCGGGGCACAAGCCTGGGCAGGGGGCTGTCTAGACAACAAGGCCCCCTCCTCAGCCTCACTGATGTGGTCCAAAGAAAAGCAGGGTCATATGTTTGGCACCAGGAGTTGCTGGAAGGAGTGCCATCCATCCACTCCAGATTTGTGTAGGGTTTAAGTTTGAGGATTGGGAAAAACTATGGAAGGAAAATTTAAGATTCACTGCTTGTACGGCATTAAAAGAAAATGTTATGAAAATGTTTTACAGATGGTACATCACACCGGTAAAATTAGCAAAAATGTACAAGACGTGTAATAAGTGTTGGAAATGTAAGGAAAAAGAAGGAACGTTTTATCATATGTGGTGGGATTGTAAGAAAGTGAAAGGTTTCTGGGAGATGATATATAATGAAATGAAAAAGATGTTAAAATATACATTTGTAAAGAAACAGAGACCTTTCTTCTAGGGATTACAGGAAAGGAAATAAGAAGAAAGGACTGTAAACTTTTCCAATATGCAGTTACAGCATCAAGAATTCTACTGCCCCAGAAATGAATCATAGAATCATTTAGAATCATAGAATCATAGAGTTGGAAGAGACCACAAGGGCCATCGAGTCCAACCCCCTGCCAAGCAGGAAACACCATCAGAGCACTCCTGACATATGGTTGTCAAGCCTCTGCTTAAAGACCTCCAAAGAAGGAGACTCCACCACACTCCTTGGCAGCAAATTCCACTGTCGAACAGCTCTTACTGTCAGGAAGTTCTTCCTAATGTTTAGGTGGAATCTTCTTTCTTGTAGTTTGGATCCATTGCTCCGTGTCAGCTTCTCTGGAGCAGCAGAAAACAACCTTTCTCCCTCCTCTATGTGACATCCTTTTATATATTTGAACATGGCTATCATATCACCCCTTAACCTCCTCTTCCCCAGGCTAAACATGCCCAGCTCCCTTAGCCGTTCCTCATAAGGCATCGTTTCCAGGCCTTTGACCATTTTGGTTGCCCTCCTCTGGACACGTTCCAGTTTGTCAGTGTGCTTCTTGAACTGTGGTGCCCAGAACTGGACACAGTACTCCAGGTGAGGTCTGACCAGAGCAGAATACAGTGGCACTATTACTTCCCTTGATCTAGATGCTATACTCCTATTGTTGCAGCCCAGAATTGCATTGGCTTTTTTAGCTGCCGCATCACACTGTTGGCTCAAGTTTGTGGTCAACCAAGACTCCTAGATCCTTTTCACATGTACTGCTCTCAAGCCAGGTGTCACCCATCTTGCATTTGTGCCTCTCATTTTTTTTGCCCAAGTGCAATACTTTACATTTCTCCCTGTTAAAATTCATCTTGTTTGTTTTGGCCCAGTTCTCTAATCTGTCAAGGTCGTTTTGAAGTGTGATCCTGTCCTCTGGGGTGTTAGCCACCCCTCCCAGTTTGGTGTCATCTGCAAATTTGATCAGGATGCCCTTGAGTCCATCATCCAAGTCGTTGATAAAGATGTTGAATAAGACCGGGCCCAAGACAGAACCCTGTGGCACCCCACTAGTCACTCTTCTCCAAGAAACAAGAGGAAATACCGACGTTAGAAGAATGGAGATTGAAACTGACTGACTATGCAGAATTGGACAGACTAATTGGGAAAATCAGATATCTTCGAGACCAAAAGTTCATCGAGGACTGGGGGAAATTTGTTGAATATCTGAAAAGTATGTGTGATGTGCAAACAACGCTAGTGGGGTTTCAAGAAGCACTGTGAAAGTTGAGATATATTGTTAAAAAGAAATATAAGTGGGAGGGAAGTTTAATGGCAATATAAACAGAAGAAATGCGTAATTGAGAGGTAAATATGGATGATTGTCAGAGAAGCTGAAGGAAGTCCAAATAGAGTTAAATTTGTGGAAATTTTGATAAGACTGTATATTTGTGCTGAAAAATTAATAAAAAATATTTATATATATAAAAAAGATTTGTGTGGGGTTTACTCCTTCGCCTTGGCTTCTCCCAAAGGCATCCCACAAGGTAGCAGAGGTTGTATATATAAAGGTAACATTTACATTCGTTGCTCCACTCGCGTTTGCCTCTGGCCCAAGAAGAAGGAATGTGAGTTTGGGGCTTGTTGCTATTGCAATAAGCAATATTCTCCAAACCTGGTAAAGAGGAATATTGAGCAAGACAGAGCTGTTAGAAGGCAGGCTCCCATCCCCTTAGGGCATCCCTGCCAAGTGAAGCAAAGCAGGCAAAAGCAATAAGCCTTTTCCGTGGTGGCACCTGCTCCCTTCCCAGGGGACCTGCCTGGCACCCACTCGGCTTCACTTTTGGTGCCAGGTCTTTTTCTTCTCCCAGATGTTTACATGGTTTTCAAGGCAGTTTCTCAGCACCTGCTGAATCAAACCACCAGCTGGGTTTTACTGTCGATCGTTTTCCAGCGAGTCCTTGTGCAGTACAGTCATACCTCGGGTTACAGCCGCTTCAGGTTGCATTTTTTCGGGTTACGCACCCACCAAAACCCAGAAGTACCGGAACGGGTTACTTCCAGGTTTTGGCAGTCGCACATGCGCAGAAGCGCTAAATCACAACCCGCACGTGCGCAGACGCGCCGCTGCGGGTTGCAAACGTGCATCCCGCACGGATCACGTTCGCAACCCGAGCGTCCACTGTACAGGGTTCACTGCTATTATTCTTTCGCTGGCAGCTGCCTTGGAGAACAGTTTTGGATCATACTGTTTTGTGGGTTCTGTCACCAGATAGTTACCCGGCCCTGGAATATACCTGTTGGGAGTCGTTTGACCACTATTTCAGATCCCGGTTTAACCCAAACATACGTTATGGCTTTTACTTCTAATTTTTAAAGCCCCTTTGGTGTACAGTGATGACACTGGCGAGACGCCCTAGAGGTCAGGAAGCAACTCAGTCATGGGTCCTGAAAGGGCTTTCTACACTAATAGAAAAGCTTTAGGTTAATACATTTGTAGACCAATTGAATCTTTTCTATGCTATGAGATAGACTGCAGAGAAAGAAAAGAGGGAGAGCAATTGTGGGCTGTTTCACCACCACCCACATAGGAGAGCAGGTGCATAATCTGCTGTTGGCACTGGCAACTGCAGCCTCGCAGCAAACCAGCCTCTCCTCCTGCCCCCATTGCCAAGCCCCTCCCTCTCTCACCGCCCAAAGCATTGGCTAAAACAACCTGCACAACTCTGGCACCCTCCAATTCCCACCAGTCCCAGCCAGCATGGCCAGTGGCAAGGGAAGATGGGAGTCGAAGTCCAATGACATCAGTCCCCCACCACTGACCTAAGGAAGCTTTGCAGAAAGGACACAGGAGGAGGATGTGGGCTGGCTCCTCTTTCTCCCTCAGATACAAGCCAGTTCCTTGTCCTTAGGAGGATGGATCAGCCCCATCTCCACCTCCTTGGAGAGACAGGCGGATGCAGGGAAAGAGCCTCTGTCCCTTCTTGAAACTAAGCATGAATACAGACCTCTGAAATAAAGAATCTTTCCCCCATTTACTCTTCAGCCTCTGCTCCCTGCACTTGAATATTAGACTGCAAAAACCTTGGAGCAGCCCCTTCTTCGTATTTTATTTATCTACCCAACAAATATTATATGCCTTACTCAATTTAAGTCCTATAAGCAATTTGCAAAGAAAAAAAAAGAGAGAAAACATTCATTTAAAAAGAGAGAGAGAGAGAGGTGCAAACATTTAAAAGAAGTTAAAGCAATTTTTTAAAAAAAATGTAAATTTGAGCCCGCAACTTTAAAGAAATTGTGTAGAATAAAATTAGATGGGGAAGCATCACATACTACTGACAGTTCCAGAAACAGTCGCCATGAATAATGGCTGTTTAAATCTGTCTCTGTTGCTGCTCAAGAGCATAACCGCTGTGACCCCTCTAGTCTACCTCCTGCCCAATGCAGGCAATGAAGGAGCTGAAGCGTCTCCAACTGGGGCCTGGCCAGCCTCTGCCTGAAGACCCTGCAGCCCCAGGGAGCCCCACCCTCCTCTAAGGAACAATGCCTCCTTGATCAGGGGCCAGCAAACTTTTTCAGCAGGGGCGCAGGTCCACTGTCCCTCAGACCTTGTGGGGGGCTGGACTAAATTTTAAGGGGGGAAATGAACAAATTTCTATGCCCCACAAATAACCCAGAGATGCGTTTTAAATAAAAGGACACATTCTACTCATGTAAAACACACGCTGATTCCCAGGCCGTCTGCGGGCCGGATTTAGAAGGCGAATGGGCCAGATCCAGCCCCTGGGCCTTAGTTTGCCTACCCATGTCCTTGATGAACTGCTCTCACTCTCAAGATGTTTCTCACAATGTTCAAACAAAATCTTCCCTCTTGTAACTTCTGCCTATTAGATCCAATTCTGTCCTCTGGAGCAACAGAGAACGAGACTTTGCCTTCTTGTCTGTGGATCTGATAGGCCCTCCTCCGCCCTTCAGTCATGTCTTCTCTGGGCTAAACACCTTTGGCTGGTTTTACCTGCCCTCACAGGACGTGGGTGGCGCTGTGGTCTAAACCACTGAGCCTAGGGTTGCCGATCAGAAGGTTGGCGGTTCAAATCCCCGCGACAGGGTGAGCTCCGGTTGCTCAGTCCCTGCTCCTGTCCACCTAGCAGTTCGAAAGCACGTCAAAGTGCAAGTAGATAAATAGGTACCGCTCTGGTGGGAAGGTAAACGGTGTTTCCGTGCGCTGCTCTGGTTCGCCAGAAGTGGCTTAGTCATGCTGGCCACATGACCTGGAAGCTGTCTGTGGACAAACGCCGGCTCCCTGGGCCAGTAAAGCGAGATGAGCGCTGCCACCCCAGAGTCGTCCACGACTGGACTTAATGGTCAGGGGTCCCTTTACGTTTACCTGCCCTCACAGCAGCTGCTTTCCAGGTCAATGACCATCTTTGCTGCTATTCTCTGAACCTGCTCCAGTTTGCCTGCCCCTAAATGGCAACAAGAACCCAAGTACATCGGAAGTTGCCTTCAGTTGCACCAACACTGACTGGCAGCAACTCTCCAGGGACATTCCCAACAATACCAGGGTATGCCATGGGCTGAAACTGGGGCCTTCTGCATGCAGGGAAGATGGTCTATCACTATGGCCCATTTTCCAAGGGGGGAAATTACTTCTTCCCTTGACTTGAAAGTGGTGGCTGTATCAATGATGCGTAAAATCCCCCGTGCAAAAATGCCAGTGTTTTTCTTGCAGCTCCCCAAGGAAAAAAACAAAACAAAACAGAGCATCGCAGAAGAGCAAGGGGGTGCCACCAGAAAGGAAGGATTGCAGTTTAGTAAAGGAGCCCTGAGATGCATCAGTAGAGATGGGCAGGGGAGTTACCCCAACCCTCCCATTCCTTTGCAAGGTCCCCGGAGGTGCTGGGGCGACCACCCTGGGATTCCCCGCAAAGCTACGACATTGGAAAGGATTCTGGGACGCGAAGGCCCCTTTCCGACCGCAGCGCGCGGTGGCTGCTCGGGGCCACCAGACCACCCCGGGCCTCCTAACCTATTGCTCCTCCGCCCCCGCCAGTTTGCTTTGCTTACAGCGCGCAACCCGAAAGCGCCGCTCGCTTCCCCGCAGCCACCGGCGCCCCCTCCCCGCCGATCTGGCCCCGAGAACCCCCGGGACTGCCAGCTGCAGCCAGCGCCGGGAGGGGGGCTGCCATTGCAAAGGGCGCCCTTCCCAGGGGGAACCCCGCGGGCAGGCGAAAGAAGCGCATCCCTCAAGCAGCAAGGAAATCCTACGAAAGACCTCTGCACCCAGACAGCGCAGAAGGAGCCTATTGGAATGACAGCACGGCAGGCGCGCCTGGGGGTCATTCCGTCGAAGCCGGCTCCCTTCCGCCGCCCGGCATTGGCTTGCCTTGGCCCCCCGGGAAGCCCTCGCCCGGCCCCGACGGCGCCCAGTTACGCAGGGGCGGAGACGGCGCCCCTTCTGCCGCCGCACCGGAGGAGGGGCTCCAAACTCCCCGCGGCGAGGCTTCCCCGGGGATCCCGCCCCGTCCGGATTACGCAGCAGCGGAGATCGCCGTCAAAGAGCAGCGGGAGGAACAGCCCCCGCCAAGGGCCACCCCAAATAACGCGGCGGCGGCGGCGGCGGCGGGATCGCGCCCGCCTTACCTGCAGCTGCTGGAATTCCTCCTCCAGGGCTTGCCACTCCGCGCGGCACTTCTGCAGGGGCTGCGCCATGGCGCCGGGGCCCAGCGCGCTCCTCCCGCTCCCGCTGCTGCTGCTGCTGCTGCTGCCGCCCGGGCGAGCGAGCGAGCGACGAAGCCGAGCGAGATCCGCCCCCCCCCCCTCGGGCCCCGGTCCCACGTGCGCGCCTGACGTCAGCGGGGCCGGAATCCGCCTCCGGCTTCGCCCCCCCCCCGCCGCGCGCTCTCTCCCGAGGAGCCTCGGCGCTGGGCAGGCGGCCCCCGCGGGAAGCCGGCAGCTACGGAGACCCGACCGGGCAAGGGCGGAGGCGGCCCCCCTCCCGGGCCATTGGCAGGCGCCGCAGACCGGAGCGCATCGATCCCCGCCGGTTGCGCGCGCGCGCGCCCTGCCTGCTCTGGCCATCGCCTCCTCGCCTCCCATTGGACGAAGCCAAGCCCGGCCTCTTCGCAGGCTCCGCCCCCCCAAATCTCGCCCTCCCCCGCCCAGCTGCGCTTTCCGTTAACCCGTTCTTGCCCGGCTGCGCCCGACTCAGAAATGCCGGAGGAGAGCAGCAGCCCCTGGCGGGCTGTTGAGGGATCGTGACGCCTCCCCGGGGCAGCTTGCCTGCCTGCCTGCCTGCCTGCCGGTTTGGGCCACCCCCTCTCAGACCCCGCAGACAGCCGGCGAGGCCTCGGTGGTGGTGGCACCGCCTGGCGCTGCCCTTTTGATAGTGACCCACGACGGGGTGTTTGTGCAATGCCCTCGCTAGTGAGCTCCATCTGCCTCCCTGGCTGCTGACTTTCAGGAGGAATTTGGAAACATTCCTGTTTACTCAGGCTTTTGGTGGCAGAAAGGAGGAAGCATCGTTCCCGGCAGACTTGAGGTCGCTGGTGGAGAATGTCTTGAACTGTTTTTAATACCCTCTCTTTGCCATGTCTTCCACCCTGAATTCCCTCTGCAAGGGTAAAATGTAAACCATGTCAATTATACACACACACACATTTATTTATAAATGGCAGTGACGTCATGTTATTACAGTAATCCTTAAGGTATTTTTTGTACATGACGTCAGTGGCAGGCCTTGAATGACTTCTGTGGTATGATGGATAATTATAAGAGAATATAATATTGATGAAAATTAACAAAAGAAAACGAAAATAAATAGTACGCTAAATTAGAAACACAAGAATCATGTATTGTGATGTGAAGTAACAAATATTACCATTTTCTTTCCTCTGGATAACCCTTTTGTTTGTTATTTCTTTTTAATCTCAATAGATCAATTTAAAATATTTATACATGGCAGGGGAAGCAAAGCAACTTGCAAAATTAGCATGGCTGTATTTACTGTATATGGATTTTTTATTATTATTTGTTAGATAATTTTTATCTTGCCATTCTAGTGAAAATAGCAAGCCACGGTAGAATGATCTTTATTCTATATTAAGCAGCTTCTGTGTGCCTAGTCCTGTGTAGAGCATAAGAGAAAAGTTCCCTGCCTCCAGGAGCTGAGGACCTATGAAAATCTGGCAAAATAGCAAACGAGCTTTCAAGTTCTCCAGGACTCTTTTTTCAGACCAAAACTATAAAAACATCTAACATTTACATAGCATTTTTTTAACTGTTCAAAGGGTTTCACATACACAATCTGTCACAATGTTTACAGAGGTGTCAGTATTAAAATATTCATTTTGCAGATGGAGAAGTTTAGTCCACGTGGCAGAGCAGAGGCAAGATGCAAACTTGGATTTTCCTGATTTGCAACTCAGGGAAAGAACTGCATGTTTCAGCCCATGAGAACAAAACTCACAAGGCCAGAAAGAAACATAATTTATTAAGACCAACCTAGGATGTTCATACAGAGTATAATGTGTGCTTTCAGGTTGCTGCACTGGTTAATTATGTGCATAATATACCATAATAAAACCGATCCAACATTGCTCATACAAAACAGATAAAAGCAGAGAACGCTCCATGAACCAGCTGGACTTTCATCTGCAGCAGCAGCAAAAAAATCCCCTTCACCTTCCTGCCCACCCAAAATCCCAGGCAAACAGGTTCGTTTGCACAGGATAGCAATGCAGATGCTGTTGGAATCCAACTCCCATCGGCATAGCCAACGGTCCGAGATGATGGGAGTTGGGCCAACAACATCTGGAAGGCATCAAGTTGGGGACGGCTGCTACAAGCCTCTTTGCTGGGTCTCTTTTGGCAGCAGGGGCTAGCAAAATTAAGGAGGTGCTGGCAATAACACAGCGCTGCTGACAAACCTGCCTGAGAAAGTGGTCTGCACAGACATTTTAAGAGGCGTTCAAACACATTCAAAGGTTTTAATAAAAAGTAATCTTTATTAAATAGTTTTCCAGATGAAATACATTGTTTCCGAGAGATTTGCATGGGGAAATCTTTTCGATTGCTGAAGGATAAGGGGCAGTGGGGTGGGGGAGGCCAGGGCCACATCCACACCATTTCATGTGCTATGAAGCCACTTTAAACACTCATGGCTTCTTTCCCCAAAGAATCTGGGAGCTGTAGTTTGAAAAGGGTGCAGAGAGTTGTTAGGAGACCCCCTGTTCCCCTCCAAGAGCTACAATTCCCAGAGTTCCCTGGCAAGAAGGGAACTCTACCCCTACCCCTACCCCTGATGCTAACCCTTAACCTTTAACCAGAGCTACAATTCCCAGAGTTCCCTGAAAATAAGGGAACCCTACCCCTACCCCTGACGCTAACTCTAACGCTAACGCTAACCTTTAACCCTTAACCCGAGCTACATTTCCCAGAGTTCCCTGACAAGAAGGGAACCCTAACCCTAACACTACCCCAATTCAACCCTACCCCTACCCTACTCCTACTCCTAACCCTGCCCCTACCCCTACCCTAAGCCTAACCTGCCTAGCAACTCTCTGTCACATGCTGTGATCACACACACCAGGCCTTCCAAAGCTGAAGCTTATTATTCTTCCCACCAAATGGCTATTATTATTATTATTATTAGCCCATCTTCCGTAGATTTCAGGGATGGGGCTGATGGGAGTTGGAGTCCCAACAATCTCTGCTGGACACCAGGCTCCCCATCCCTGGCCTATAAGATAACCAGCATCATAACCCTAGTTAAGTATTTCCGACCATACCTTAAACTGGTCGTTGGGTCACAGCTTGTTCCAAGGCTCTGGGTTGCTCTTTTTGTCCCAGGCAGGCAGAGAAACGTGACAAGAGGCAGACAGCAAGGAGTACATCTTTGTAAGAAGAAGAAAAACATACAGCATAAAGCGTAACGCTCTGCCCAACTGTTGGCACATGGTTCCCACCAAATTTAACAATCATGGCCTCCTCAGTGCCACCAGAAGAGCACACTTCTTTTATAATGTGGGATGTAAAAAAAGGCCACCGTACCCCAAGTATTTGTAAAAGCCCTTTAAAGCCAGTTAACACACAGTTACCTAAATGCAAGGGCAGCTTCTCACTGCCTTGCACCAGAGACAGCGGCAAGTTGGTGAGGCAGTGCTGGACAGAACTCGATGCTGGCATCCCGATCCTACACTTTCTCCATGACAGGTTCCTGATAGACTTTGTGCTTTCTGCTCAGACAGTTCATTGGCTTTACTCTCTTCCCAAATACCCTTTTAGCTATGCTGTACCGCTCATTGCAATGCCTTGGATACAATTCGGCTGAGGAATGGTTGGTTTTCTTACTCTAAAGCTAAGAAGCTGACGCTCATGTTTTACTGTGGTTTTATAATTTGTTTTATAACTATTATTATTATTATTATTATTATTATTATTATTATTCTACCTCTGGAGCACAGCAGGTCATATTTTATTCAGGTGGCGCTTTAAGATGCAACACTTTAAAAAGTGGCAAAAGCTCTGCCCCCAAGGAGTTTGGAAGGGTGCTTATCAGCCTGGCCCAGCCAGGCCACCAGTCCCTGGCACTGGGTCCCCAGACGCTCTTCAGTGGCAGTGTCGCTTCTGATAAGAAGCCAAGCTCGCTCCCATCCTCTCAGGCCACGGATCCCTGTGATGAATTCTGAGTTGCGTAAAGTAGTGGGCAGCTGACACGGATGGGAGTCCAGCTGAGGTCCCATTCCAAAGCGCTGCCTCACAACCATCAGTGAAGGACACCCAGGGGCCACTGGGAGGCGGGGAGCACGTGACGTGGTTTTGCGGGGATGGCAGTTGTCAGCACCAGGCCAAGGGCTGATCCTGCCCTGAGGGGTGGCACTTACCTGAGATCAGGGTTGCGAAGAGCAAGGCGCATGGTGCACAGGCCGGTCCCTCCAATTCCAATCAAGATGAACAGAGGAATCAGTTGTGATAAACAGAACATTTTGAGATCAAAAGCCGAAGTTGAAAACCGGAATAAGTCGCCTAAGACAGTGTGCGTGGGAGAGGTCAACTACGAATGACAGCAGATTCAGGTGGAAGGCCATGTTGATCTGTCATAGTCATAATAAATAACAAGATGAAAGATGAAAAGATATTTTTTAATAATTCCAGTGGCACCTTAAAGATCAACTCAATAGTATAAGTTTTCAAGGTATGAGCTTTCGTGTGTAATACACACTTCGTCAGATACTTCAGCCTTATAACTGTTGAGGACTGTAATGACAGTTAGTTCCACAGGGAAGGGCAAGGGATTCTTAAAGGGATAGATGACCAAAATTAGCTTCTAATTGCATTCTATACAAGATCTTAAAGTAGCTGTCTTATTGCAGAAGAATTTTAGAAATACACTTGAAAGAGAAGTTGCTGAATTACAACTCATTACCAAACTAAAAACTATGGAGAGACCTGGTCTGAATGGAGATATTGGATTCATGTCCCATTATACATACTAAAGCTAATTAACTGGAATTATTAAAAAAGATATTTTCATCTTTCATCTTGTTATATATTCCGTATGACACCTGCATACAAACAAGCAACTTCCTTGGGCAGACAACGTCTGCTCCCAGGTTGCTAACTAATACTTTTTAAGTCTCCCGCTGCAATTTTTATTTATGAGAGAATTTCTAACCTGCCTTTCTTCCAAGGATTCCAGGGGAGCTTACATTATAATAAAACGCAAGAATTACAATTGCCAGCAAGGGCTGCCCAGCCTCTCTTACAGTTTCAACAGCAGATTTTGCAATATCAGTTGGGATATCCCCACCCCCCAACAACAGTGTGGGGATAGGAAGTTCTTTAAAACGTAATTTTGGTTCTATGTGGATTTATTTTTTTATTTCACAAGATTTAGATACTGCTTGATTGTAATAAAACCTTAAAGTGGTTTACAAAAAGAATAAGAATCAGTAGAAAGCTGTGAAATCAGCTGTTTAAAACATTCAAAACATAATTAAAATCAATCCCAAACTAAAACCCAGATTAAAGCACATGTCAACATTCTACACGTCCTGATGGGCTTGCCTAACCTAAACAAAACTGTTTTCAGCAGGCACTAAAAAGAGTACAGTGAAGGCATCTCTGATGTCAATAGGCAGGGAGTTCTGAAGTGTGGATGCTGTCACACAAAAAAACTGATTTCTTACCATAGCTGTCAAGCGTCCCTTATTTGGTGGGGCAGTCTCTTATCCTAGTGCCATGTCCCGCTGCTGTCCCTTATTGATGATGTCCCTTAAATTTCCTGGGTTTCAAAGGAAGCAGCTCCTCTCCCTCCCTCCCTGCCAGCCAGGGAGGAGGGAGGCTCCAACTGTGTTGCTTGGCTGCGTTGCTCACCCAATAAGGAGTCTAAGAACAACTGGGGGGTGGAGCTTGCATGCCTTGTGCGCGTTGCCTGGGGACTCGCCTTTGCTCAGCGCTTCCCAGTGGAGAGGTGACGGTGGTTTTCCTTGCTGCATCCCCTTTGCCAGGTTGCTGCGCTGTGGGAACTACCGCTTGAGGCTTCGTTTAGCTGCTGGCTGGGCTTTCTGCCTTTGGCTCGGAGGGGCTCAGAAGTTTAACATACCTGTGTTCGGAACATCCCTTATTGGGGCTGCTGAGAAAACAAAGAAAAAAGTATAAATTACAGCAAAAAAGTAAAAAGTAAGAAAAAACATACAAAATAAAACAGTTAAAAACACAATAATGTTCCATAACCTATCTTCCTTACTCTTATTTCCCCAGACCTCCTCATACCTCCCTTCTTTGTATTCCAATTCAGTTTGTTGGTTCAGCAAATCCTTACCATTAATCTTTTACCCAATTGTTAACCTTTTTTTTCATGTCTCTTAAAGCATTACAGCTAAAAACCTCTTAATTTCTATCCAACATCCTTCTAAAGTTCCTTAATTTTACAATATTTCTGTAAATAGTCCTTAAATTTTTTCCAGTCTTCTTTCACCGACTCTTCTCCCTGGTCTCGGATTCTGCCAGTCATTTCCGCCAATTCCATGTAGTCAATCACCTTCATCTGCCATTCTTCCAAAGTGGGTAGATCTTGTGTCTTCCAATACTTTGCGATAAGTATTCTTGCTGCTGTTGTAGCATACATGAAAAAGGTTCTGTCCTTCTTTGGCACCAGTTGGCCGACAATGCCCAAGAGAAAGGCCTCTGGTTTCTTCAGAAAGGTATATTTAAATACCTTTTTCAGTTCATTATATATCATTTCCCAGAAAGCCTTAATCTTTGGGCACGTCCACCAAAGGTGAAAGAATGTACCTTCAGTTTCTTTACATTTCCAACATTTATTATCGGGCAAATGATAAATTTTTGCAAGCTTGACTGGGGTCATGTACCACCTGTATATCATTTTCATAATATTCTCTCTTAAGGCATTACATGCCGTAAACTTCATACCTGTGGTCCATAACTGTTCCCAGTCAGCGAACATAATGTTATGTCCAACATCTTGTGCCCATTTAATCATAGCAGATTTCACCGTTTCATCCTGAGTATTCCATTTCAACAGCAAGTTATACATTCTTGACAAATTTTTAGTTTTGGGTTCTAACAATTCTGTTTCTAATTTTGACTTTTCCACTTGGAAGCCTATTTTCTTATCCAAGTTATATGCCTCCATTATCTGATAGTAGTGGAGCCAATCTCTCACTTTATTTTTAATTTTTCAAAACTCTGCAGTCTCAATTTATCTCCTTCTTGCTCCAAAATTTCCCAATATGTCGGCCATTTGGCCTCCATATTGAGCCTTTTCAGAGCTTTTGCTTCCATTGGTGACAGCCACCTTGGGGTTTTATTTTCCAATAAGTCTTTGTATCTTATCCAGACATTAAACAATGCTTTCCTAACAATATGATTTTTGAATGCTTTGTGTGCTTTGACCTTATCATACCATAAATATGCATGCCATCCAAATACATTGTTAAAACCTTCTAAATCCAAAATGTCTGTGTTTTCAAGAAGTAGCCATTCTTTCAGCCAGCAAAAAGCTGCTGATTCATAATAAAGTTTAAGGTCTGGCAGGGCAAATCCACCTCTTTCCTTGGCGTCAGTTAATATCTTAAATTTTATTCTGGGCTTCTTGCCCTGCCAGACAAATCTAGAAATATCTCTCTGCCACTTCTTGAAACAGTCCATCTTATCTACAATTTGTAATGTCTGAAACAAAAACAACATTCTAGGCAATACATTCATCTTTATCACAGCAATACGGCCCAGCAACGAGAGTTTCAAATTTGACCAAATTTCTAAATCCTTTTTCACTTCCGTCCAACATTTTTCGTAATTATCTTTAAATAAGTTCCCATTTTTGGCTGTCATATTAATCCCCAAGTATTTCACTTTCTTTACCACATTCAATCCTGTCTCATTCTGAAACCTCTCTCTTTCAATCGGTGTTAAGTTTTTCTCTAAAACCTTAGTTTTTAACTTGTTCAATTTAAAACCTGCCACCTGACCAAATTCCTGAATTAATTCTAAAACTCTTTTAGTACTAGATTCTGGCTCCTGTAACGTCAATACTAGGTCATCTGCAAATGCTCTCAATTTGTACTGTTTAGCTCCGACCTGTATGCCCTTAACCAACCGGTCCTTTCTAATCATATTTAGCAAAACCTCCAGGACCGATATAAAAAGCAGTGGGGAAATTGGGCACCCCTGTCGTGTCCCTTTTTCTATCTTAAATTCTTCCGTAACCACATTATTTACAATTAATTTAGCCTTTTGTTCAGAGTATATTGCACCTATACCATTTTCAAAACCTTGGCCTACCCCCATCCCATGCAGATTCTTCTTCATAAAACTCCAAGAGATATTATCAAAAGCTTTCTCCGCGTCAACAAATATCAATACTGCTTTGGTGTTTATATTCACTTCTAATTTTTCCAAAATATCAATTATATTCCTCAAGTTATCAGACAGATGTCGTCCCGGAGAAAGCCCGCTTGGTCTTTATGAATCTCTTTCATCAATATTTTTTCAATCTCTTGGCCAAAATGTCTGCAAAAATTTTGTAATCCACATTAAGTAACGATATAGGGCGATAGTTCTTAAGCTGAGTCTTTTCAGTCTCTGTTTTCGGTATAAGTGTGATGTACGCCTCTTTCCACGATTCTGGTGCCCTTTTCCCCTCCAGTATTTCATTGCAGACTTCCTTCAAAGGTTGCAGTAACCACTCTTTCAAAGATCTATAGTATCTGGAAGTCAGCCCGTCCGGTCCTGGAGATTTGCCCAATTGCATATTTTGTATGGCACCTTCTACTTCCTGTTCAGATATTTTATAGTTCAGCATTAATTTACTTTCTTGAGAGATTTTTGTAGGCCATTTGTCTTCAAAAATTGGTCTATGTCCATTTCCTTCTGTGGCCCTTGTGTGTATAATTGTTTAAAGTACTTCTGGAAGCAATTTCTAATCTCATTTGGATTATGTATACTCTTTCCTTCCACTTCTAAATTTATAATAGTATTTAATTTTTGTCTTTTTTTCATTTGCCAGGCCAACAGTTTTCCACATTTATTAGCTGATTCAAATATTTTTGTCTCATTTGTTTGATTTTCCATTCTATTTCCTGATTCATCATTTCCATATATTGTACTTGATATAATTTTATTTCTCTCAAAATCTCCTGGGACTTTGGTTTTGCTCTCAATTTCTTCTCTCCTTCTTTTATTTTTTCCAAGATTTTATCTTTCTTTTCATTTTGACTTCTCTTCTTTATTGCATTCTGTTGTATCAAAAACCCTCTCATCACAGCTTTGCTTGCGTCCCAGATTACTCTTTTTTCTACATTGGTATTCATATTTATTTCAAAATAATCTCTCAAAGTCTTTTGGGCCTTTTTGTAAACTTCTTCATCTCTAAATAAGGTGTCATTCATCCTCCATCTAAAGGATCCGGTTGTTGTTTGTTTCATCTCCATCCTTACAGCATTATGGTCGGAACAAGTTTTTGGGCAGATTTCTACCTTCTTTATCTTTGGTGCCATTCCTCTAGTTATCCATATTTGGTCAATTCTAGTCCATGTCATCTTGGCTTCAGAAAAAAGGTTCCTTCTCTTCCCAGGGGTTCTTTACCCTCCAGATGTCCACTAAGTCCATATTGTCTGTCATCTCAAAAATGTTTTCGGTAGTCTACCATCCTTGGTGACTACCTGTCTTTGAGCCTTGTCCATATTTGTAGATACTACTCCATTCATGTCCCCCATCAGAATCAAATTATAGTCCAAATGATCCAATAAAGTCTCATGCAACTTTTTATAGAATTCAGATTTCCCCTCGTTCGGTGCATAAATTCCCACGATTAAGAATTTCTCTCCTTGTAGTTGAATTTCAATTGCCAAAAATCTTCCTTGATCATCTTTAAAGATAAATTTCGGTAAAAGTCTCTCCTTTGCATAAATCACGACTCCTCTTTTTTTTAACTTTGTCAGATGAGACAAACTCCTGTCCTAATCTTTTATTAATCAATAACTTCCTATGTGCCCTTGTTATATGTGTCTCTTGTAGACAAATCAAGTCCAATTGTTCTTTTTTTAATAAATGAAACACACTTTTTCTTTTTCGCGGAGAATTCAAACCGTTACAATTCCAGCTTAATAGTTGCAGAGCCATGGTGGGGGCTACTTCACTTTACCTCCAACTGCCCCAAGTGCCGCTTCTTGTTCTGTGGGTAGTATCACTTTTTCTGGACCGTGCAGTCCAAAAGATAAATTTGATATGTCTAGTATGCCTTTTGGTTCTTCTTCAGATTCCCCTTCTTTCAGTAGATCTTCCTCGTGGTCTTTCAAGAATCTGTCTTTTTCCTCAGTTGATTTTATTTTTATCTTTCTCCTTTATATTTGAAGGACAGGCCTTGCGGAAATTCCCACCTGAAAAGAATTCTGTTTCTTTTCAATAAGGTCACTAGGTCTCCATAATTGGACCTTAAGTCCAGCAAATGCTTTGGGATGTCCTTAAAAATCACTAGACTTGAGTCATCAATTTCCAAAGTTTTTTTGATAGTGCAAATTCAGAATTTTATCTCTCTCTTCTTTTGTTCGAAAGGTAATCAAACAGTCTCTCACCTTGCCCTTGCCTTGTCTTCTTCCGAGCCTAAATGCATTCACTATCTTAAATTCTTCCTTCCCGGGTCCAATTGCCAAAAATCTGTAAATTCCTGTGTAAGAAAGTCAGCCAAATTATCTTTCTCCCGCTCTGGAACAGCCCTAATTCTCAGATTTCTCTGTCTATCTTTCAATTCAAACCTGATCCCTTATTTTCGAGGCTGCTGGTCCCTTATTTTCAAATCTGTAAGTTGACAGCTATGTTTCTTACAGATGCAGAGCGAATATTCCAAGACAGAAGGATGCCAACCACAACAGTGCAAGTTCTACAGACTGAAGCAGTCCAGTGGGCGTAGATCTTGCAAGTAAACTGGTCCCAAGCTGTTGAAGGCTTTATATCCTAATAGTAACACACTGAACTTGGCCTGGTAGCAAATTGGCAAGCAGTGGAGGTCTGTGAGCAGTAATATGCTGATGGGGGTCTCACTCCTGTCAGCAATTGTTCCACAGCATTATGCACTAACTGCAACATCCAGATCAAGAACAAGAAATGCCCTGTTAGGAGTGCATTGCAGCAAGTCTGGAAGTAACCAGTGCACGGACTGCTGTGGCCAAGATTTTCCAGTCCAGGAATGGTCGTAGCCACTGAGGCTGCCTGGACCTCCAGGGACAAAGCACCCGCAGACCGTGAACCTGCATCTTCAGGGGAGTGCAACCCCACACAAGAGAGGCAACTGAGCAGTTTCTTGGACACAGGAGCCACTCATCTACTGGGCCTCCATCTTGTCAGGATTCAAGCTCAGCTTGTCTTTCCTCTCCTGAGTCAGATGGAAAAATAGAGCTGAGTGTCATCAGCATACTCATCAGACCTTGCCCCAAAACTCCTAATGGCCACTCCCAGCAGCTTCATATAGATATTCAATAGCATTGGGAATAAGTGCCCTGTGGCACCCCATAACGCCACCTCCAGGGGTCTGGAAAGCATTCTCCCAATGCTGCTCTCTGGTCTCGGTCTCAGAGGTAGGACCAGAACCATGGTAACACAGCACCTCCAAGTCCCACCTCAGGAGGATACCATGTCAATGCTATCAAAAGCTTAAGAGATTTTAAGAAGGACTGGGAACCATTTATGTACATCAGATGACAAGGAAATAAGCAGCTATCCTATTTTTAAAAGACATCTGAAGCAGCCCTGTTTAGGGAAGTTTTTAATATTTAATGCTGTATTGTTTTTAACACTCGATTGGGAGCCACCCAGAGTGGCTGGGGAAACTCAGTCAGATGGGCAGGGTATAAATAAATTATTATTATTATTATTATTATTATTATTATTATTATTATATCTGCAGAATCAATGTAAAGAAGTGGACACACTTGCAGGGTTTGATTAAACACTTGCACTCAACAAAACAAACTAATAAAATAAATGTAGAAATAGAAATATGAGGTTAGAATGATAAGAAAAGAGTAATAATTATCTTAAAGAATAAGAAATAACTAATAAGCAGGGTGAGATAAAGCACCAGAAAAGGTAGTTGAGGGAAGTCATGGGGGGATTTGGGGATTTATATTCTATTTCCCCCCCTTTTGTGTGAAATACGATAAAATTGAAAAACTTAATAAAATCATTAAACAACAAACAAACTTAAGAGCACTTCGAAAAGGAAGCTGTGATTATTAAGACTAAGTCATGTCAGACAAACCTCATTTCTTTTTTGATGGGGTAACCAGCTTGGTGGATCAGGGGAATGCTGGGGATATAGCGTATCTTGATCTCAGTAAGGCTTTTGATAAAGTCCCCCATTATATTCTTGCAGAGAAACTGATAAAATGTGGGTTGAACGAGGTAACTGTTAGGTGGATTTGTAGCATAATGGAGTCAACAATTTAGAAGGCAGGTCCAGGAAGGAAAGAAAACCCCTACTGGTATAAATGGGAAATACCAGAGTTGCTCCTAGCATACAAATTCAAATATGTGTGAGTGTGGACTACTCTGGTCTAATCAGAATGGGATTAACAGCTAGATAATGTTAAAATATAGACAAGCCATGGTGGTGGGGGGGGGCTTACGTCTGCCCCCACCGCCTCTCCTACCCTTCTCCAAAATGTACCATCTGACTTGCTCTGATAATATACGGCTTGCGCTTCTGCTGTTAGTTTCAGCTTGATAAAACACAAGCAGCGTCCACTATGGCAGGAGTCTGAGAATTCACACAACCCAAGATAATATTTGTTGTAATCCTAACACTACAACTAAAATCAGAAGAAGTATTATTATTTATGGCCTCCAGATGGCAGCACTGCACACAGTCTTTACAGGTTTGCTGAGCCTCCACCCAGTTGTCTGTCTACAGATTTTCACTCTGTAACCAACAAAATCAAGGAGGGAAGCTTAGACCAATGCTGAGAGCACCTGTTTTGCACCTAGAAGGTCCCAAATTTAGTCTCTGGAATCTCCAGCTGAAAGACGCAATTGCAGGGAAAGAATTTCCGTCTCTGCCTGGAAAGTCCCTGCCAGTCAGGCATTGCTTGGTGGCAGGCTTATTTATTTAAACATATCTATGCCGAATACAACATTTAAAGCATAAATTAAACACCAGAGATCAAAACATTGGAGATGCAAAGACTGTTGGTTTCTGAGTAATTTGGTAAAAGAATAAAATGAGAATTCCTTGGATGCATAGATCCAGGTTTGGTGAGAGAGACCCAGCAGAGATTTAAAATCACAAAACTTGCAGCAAAGTAGAGTGTGGAAATATAGGCTGTTAGTTTATCATATTCCCTTCTAAGTTTCTTCCAAAATTTCCCACTTCCCCTCAACATAGAAAGAGACCACACGTTTGGTAAGTAAAAAATGGTTTACTTACAAAGTCCTCAAATATCATATTCATGTCCTTTTCCATACAGCAGCAATAAAAGACAGGTGGTACAACTTAATTTCAAAATTGGTTTCTAAATGTTTCTAAATTATTTGCATAGAAACAAGACGGCTTGCTAAAGCCATGTGGTCTGGGCTTGGAGCAACCAGCCCAGACATTCTTACTGGTTGGTTCACCTGGTGGAAAGAGAAAAAGAACGAAGGGTTTGGTAACCCTTCCTCCCAAGGTGAGGGTATGTCACCTAGCTAAGCCTGGGAGGACAGCTTACTCTGTGGTCTTAACCCATTCAACTTTAATTAGATTTAAGCATGTTGATTATATGAGGCTAGATACTGTATATCCCAGAAAAGCTTCCTGGAATAAAACAATTTTATTCAGACACCTGGAAGTTAGCAGGTATGGGTCGCTTTCAACCCTTTCCAGTAGTATCTGATCAGGCAGGGTTCTTACCTTGCATGGAGTCACGTTTTTGCTCCAAATATGTTTTTTGCCATCTCTGTTTGCAGCTGTTCCATTAAACTGCTGGCTCTGCCGCTGTTCCATTTTGTCAAATCACTGGCTCTGTTTTTCCATCATCAACTCCACCTGTTTGCTATTGCTATTCCTCCCTCCATTTCACTTCAGACACACAACACTCAGAGGTCCTCCTGCAGGAAACGTGAATCCTACTTCTAACACCAGTGTTGCACACCAACCCAATCTCCTAGTGGTGAGATATTCCAGGGGTTCCAGGTGCTTACCAAGAGCCTGGTTTCCTGGGACTGAAAGTCAGCAGAGACTGTGGTGTCCTTAGGGTAATATTGTGTGTGTGTGTGTGTGTGTGTGTGTGTATAGGGATGCAGGTGGCGCTGTGTTCTAAACCACTGAGCCTCTTGGGCTTGCCGATCAGAAGATCGGCGGTTCGAATCACCGCGATGGGGTGAGCTCCCGTTGCTCAGTCCCAACTCCTGCCAACCTAGCAGTTCGAAAGTGCAAATAGATAAATAGGTACCACTCTGGCGGGAAGGTAAAACGGCGTTTCTGTGTGCTGCTCTGGTCTTGGTGTTCCGTTGCGCCAGAAGAGGCTTAGTTATTCTGGCAACATGACCCAGAAAAACTGTCTGCGGACAAACGTCTACTCCTTCGGCCTGTAATGCGAGATGAGCGCTGCAACCCCAGAATCGTTTGCGACTGGACTTAACTGTCAGGGGTCCTTTACCTTTACAGTGGTGCCCCGCAAGACGAATGCCTCGCAAGACGAAAAACTCGCTAGACAAAAGGGTTTTCCGTTTTTTGAGTCGTTCCGCAAGACGAATTTCCCTATGGGCTTGCTTCGCAAGACGAAACGTCTTGCGAGTTCTTGCGAGTTAGTTTCCTTTTTCTTAAAGCCGCTAAGCCGTTAATAGCCGCTAAGCCGCTAAGCCGCTAATAGCCGTGCTTCGCAAGACGAAAAAACCGCAAGACGAAGAGACTCGCAGAACGGATTAATTTAGTCTTGCGAGGCACCACTGTACCTTTTTATGTATGTATGTATGTGCGTGCACGTACACACACACAACTGAGCCAAGAATGAGGTGCTCACAGCATTAACACTCCAAAAGGTCTCACTTCTCCCTTAGTCAGTCTTAGATTCCAGCAGAAATCAAGCATGGGTCTTTGTCCAGCTTTGCAGACTGCTTTCTTGCTGCTCACATCACACGCCACAACTCTAGCTCTTGTATTCCTAACTACCAGCCAGGGATGGGGAAGGGGATCAAGCAACTTCTTTGGTTATGCCAATCATGGTCCTTATGTGGCTGGCTAATTGTTTTACAATTCCCTAGATAACGGCACTGGTTTGGTGAGCTTGGTCTTGTACCTTGGACTCAGAGGCATTACGTAGACTGATACCCCTCTCCCCCCAAAGCTGCAACAATATAAAATAAGCAGTTTATTATTTTGAGTGTGCATGTGTGTATAAATGGATAATGATACATTATTTATAAATTTTGTTAAATAAAATAAAATAATAAATGCTGACATGTTCTAACCTCTTTTTAGCTTGTTGCTGATATTGTTTCTAAAATGATTCAAATTGTTTTTAACTGTTTTTAATGATAGTTTTAATATTTATTGTAAATTGCTTAGCGGCTTTGCTACAGTCAACATACATACATACATCATTTTATTTTTATGCTGCCTTCCACAGTTAAAACCATGCTCAAGGTGGCTTACAACATGGGGGAAAATACACAATTCAAAACACATAAACAATAAATAAAACATCAAAAAGTACACAACCAACTTGAACAATTTCCACATCATAATAATAAAAATGCAAACAAAAAACCACAAACAAAACAGCAACACCCCCCAACAAAACCACCTAAGCACCCTCAGAATTAAGTAGTATATAAATTTTATTCAGTTGTTTCTTGATGCTAAACATATACTTATTTCTGCGCAAAAAAACAACAACAAAAAAACCCCCAGAAAAAAGCCAAATTCCAGTGTGAGGAGGGGCAGTGGGCCACTGTGTCGACTCCTCCCCACACTTTAGCTGCATATGCGTCGCCCCCCAAAAGAGAGGCAGTTCCCTGTGAACAGATTCTGATGGATTTGACCAACTTCTATTCATCAGACAGTCCTCAGGAGGGCAGGGCGCCCTCGGAGTCCGTCTCTGGGCTTGCTCTCCTGCAGAGGCTTGCCCGTGTTGCCATGGCTACCCTGCCACATTGCAAGCTGATGTGACCAGCCTGCTCTCCAGTGCCAACCCCACAACCGCCCTCAGTTGCTTTTGGGCAGCGCTTCTGGTTCCCAGGACAGTCCAGACCTAGAGCGGTGGATCTGAGGTCAGTCTTTAATTGCGTTAAATTCTGGAAGGGGAAGAGAGAGGAAACCTGGTCTCCTATTTGAAGGGTTCCAGAAGACAACTCTGTGGGAGTGTTTCCTGCAGGACTTGTGGGGGGGAGTGTGAGCAGGGATAGGCAAATCTGTCCGTTTTGGTTTCTCACACCCAGTTTCTCATTGTACCAAACTTAAATTCATTTCCCTGCACTTCCAAATCTGTTTCTGGGTGCTTGTTCTTTTTTAAAAATATCCTCTAGAAAATTCATCAGCGCCTTAGCGTGCATTTCCCATAATATGCACCATTCTTTCCCCTAATACAGTGCATTTTGTATGTTATTTCTATGGCTACATGCATTGTTATGCACAAGTTGCCTCTGTGCATTTTCCTATGCATGATTTTTGCATTGCAGAATTCAGAGAAGCGTGAATTTTCGAGAATATCTGTGTTTCAGTTTGCATGTTGTGTGAAACTAAATAGAATCGAACTTCTCCCCCAACCCCATGAGCAAGCAGCCCCCTTAGCTAGACAGATCTGGAGTTTGGCTGCTTTAAAGTGTATATGAGACGGCATTTGATTATGAGGCCTTGTTTGCTTAAAATTTAGGATCAGAATGAATTTTAGTATATGTAGGTTTTGATCTTGGCATTGCCCCAGGTGCCTTTGGGAAGGGATTCAGTTACAAACTACATGTAAATCCAGCAGTGTGCATTTGTGGGAGGTGGAATAAATCTATATTGATGGAAGATAAGTCTATCAGTGCCTACTAACAACACTGGCTCTAAAATGGGATCAGGTACGTTCCCAGAGGACGATGGCTTGATGAGTGCCTATTTGCTATGACAATTATATATCTAGGTTTTGAGGCAGTCTACCTCTGGTGGCCAGTTGCCACTAAATTGGCCTTCCACCTTCCTGTTTGTGGGCTGCCTGGTCTCTGAGGACGTGAGATGCTAGGAGGAACAGCGCCTCCTTGGGCTCTGGAGCCAACCATAACCCAAGTGAATGGAAGCAGAACCAAAACACATTCAAAATGCTTTGGGCACACTACCTCAGCATTACGTGGCACAGTTAATTAAGTACATTACCAATCAGCTTTCCTTGACCTGATGCCTTCCTATCGGCCTCAGCCAGGACAGCGGTTGTAACCCAGAACATCTGGAGGGCGTCAGGTTGGCAAAGGCTGATATAGATAAGAATCAGTATTTTGCATCACAACTTGGGTTTTTTAAAAAAATTAAAAATTGATTGGCATTTATATTTTGTTTTTGTTTTGCAACCGGAAAAACAAAGCATTTGTCTCTATTACAGGCCAAATTCTGCAGATGTTCATCTATATAATTCTATAGAGAGTTTCCAGCATTGAATTCATTCAACCATGGGTGAGTATTTGAGTATAGGGAGCATATCAAGGTGGGGAGAAGGAGGAGGAGGACATTAGATACAGGTGTACAGGTGAGGGGACGGAGAGGATCACAATCCGTAATCCATCTCCCTGCTCATCTTCTTAACGCCAGAAGAACAATGGTTCAGGCGGATTAAATGCAGTGCCAAACACAGAGCTTCATTCTCACCTTTAAACCAGGGATGAGGAACCTGAGGCCCTCCAGATGTTGTTGGACTACAACTTCCATCATCCCCAGCTGTTGGCCATGCTGATGGGAGTTGAAGACAAGCAACATCTGGAGGGCCACAAGTTCCCTATCGCAGCTTGAACTGTGGAGGGGCAGCCCAGGAGGGGCCCATTGTAATCCAGTGGCAGACGCTGCAGTCCCATGTGCACGTTCTAGAGAGTAAGGCCTCGTCCACACCAAACATGGACCTTTCTGTGGTGGCTCCCCATTTGTGGAATGCTCTCCCCAGGGAGGCTCATTGGGCACCTTCCTTTTATATATCTTTAGGCGCCAGGTGAAAACGTTTATCTGTAACCAGGCTTATCAATCAATCTGTGGCCTTTTAAATGTGTGCGGCAGGGCTATCAGTTTGTTCTCGTTTGTCTTTGTTATATACCATATTTTTACGGGTATAAGACTAGGTTTCCCCCCTAAAAATTAATGTCCTAAATTTGGGGGCATCTTATACACAGGGGCCATCTCCCCTCCATTTTCTTAAATCAGAGTCCCCAAAAACAGGGGGCACCTTATACATGGGGGCGTCCTATAGACGGGAAAATATGGTATTTTGCATTCTCATTTTGGTTTTTTATGTTGTAAGCCACCCTGTGTTATTTGGATGAAAGGTGGTATACAAACTTATTAAATAATAACAATAATAACAATGCGTTTAAAGCACCAGGATACCACTTTACCCGTCGTGGCTTCCACCAAAGAATCCTGAGAACTAGAGCTTGCTAAGGGTGTTGAGAGTTGTTAGAGGACACTTATTCTCCTCACGGAGCTACAATTATCAGAATACCCTGGGAAGAGGGACTGATTATCAAATGAAAGGGGATTAGACAAATTAATGGCCTAAACCACAGAGCCTAGGGCTTGCCGATCGGAAGGTCGGTGGTTCGAATCCCCGCGACGGGGTGATCTCCCGTTGCTCAGTCCCTGCTCCTGCCAACCTAGCAGTTTGAAAGCACATCAAAGTGCAAGTAGATAAATAGGTACCGCTCCAGCGGGAAGGTAAATGGCGTTTCCATGCGCTGCTCTGGTTTTGCCAGAAGCAGCTTAGTCATGCTGGCCACATGACCTGGAAAAACTTTCTGTGGACAAACGTCAGCTCCCTTGGCCAGTAAAGCGAGATGAGCGCCGCAACCCCAGAGTTGTTCGCGACTGGATAACTGTCAGGGCTCCTTTACCTTTACCTTTTAACTTACAATGGGAAAGTGGAATTAATACCTTTGAATGCCAGTCGTGGGTAGAAGCTACTGCCTTCACGCCCAGTTTATGGGCTGAACCAAGGTATTTTTCTGCCTGAGGATAAGATGGCAGTCCTGTTGGACGGGCAGCTGAATCTTACGTTAACTGTGGTGATGGGATGCTGGAGGGCAGTGAGACTTACCTAGTGGGTGTGTCTCAGGCTGCAGAGCCCACCACTTTGTGTGAAATTGTGTAAAATTGAAACACCCCATTCTGTCCCCGCCCAGCCCCCGTTCCACCCTTTTAGTGACATCTTTTATGATGTTTCAGGGTCACTTTAAGGGTCCAGCTCTGTGCATGTGTGCACAATTGTGCACATGTTGGTTGCACCTAAAACGGGGAATGCTTGCTGTTCTGTCCTCCAGCATCTTGATGCCTGAGGCAGCTGCTTCATTTGGCCTAATGGTAGGGCTGGCCCTTTCCAGGGGCATTTGTACGGCCACTGTAGGATACAAGATGCTAGATTATTATTATTCTATATTTCTTTTTACTCTGCCTTATTCCCTGACGGGACTCAATGAGTCTTTGGTCTGATTCAGCTGCAGGGCTCTTCTGGTCTTAAGAGTTGCTAAGAGGCTCGTTCTTCATGGTTCAGCTTCTTTTTGGGGGCCTCTAACTGTTAAATCTACACACAGCTTCATGGTTTGCCAGCCCCCAAGTCTTGCACCCTGTTCCACTGCTGGCTAACAAAATACTCAGAGCAGAGACCAAGAGGGAAAAGGCTGAATTGGCAAGATCTCCTGGGCAATTGGTGCCTCACAATATGGACACCCTTGCCCTTGACGTCACCCGTGATGTCACCATGACCTTATAAAGTCTGGGCAAAATAACTTAGCCAAAGGATGCTTCAAGGAACAGAGGCAAGTCCCTGGGTGGAAGAGGCAGTGGACCAACAGGGCTGTCCGAGAGAATAACATCAATGTAAACATCCACCTGCTATCTGGCCATAGGAATAGGACTATTAAGGTAACTCATTTATTGTTTGAAAAATGCATATACCCCAATTGAAATATGTTTCCAAGGTGGCTCATGTGAGGTAGGGGCGAGGTCATTGTTAAGCTCTTATTGAATATATGGCAGGGTTAGCTGCTTTGTAGGCCCAGAACAAGAGGCTGTTTACCGAAGAACAAGTTAACAAACAAATCCATAGGAAAAGGAAAGTAACTACCAGAGCAAGCTGAAAGGGTAGAGACTTGGCTCCAACTCATAGTAAAGGGGGACAATGTTTAGGTTTATCACTTCCCATTACTACAATAATCTGTTGCACAGAATAGGTTCTTTAAAAGCTGCCTTATACTCATCTAGCCAGAGCCGGCCCTACCATTAGGCTGCCTCAGGCAGCTGGTTTTACGGTTCACAAAAGGGCAGCACATTGTTAGTGGAAGAAGCACTTGTAGGATTTTCTGCCTTGGGTGCAAACTTAACTTGAATGGCTTTGGACACTGTGCACCTTGAATTGGCGTTGTGTGTGTGATTTGTTGCTTCCCTTCAGATGCAGCCCTTATCCTGCATCTACCTCAGGGTTGTCTACACTGACCAGTAGCAACTCCCCAGAGTTTCAGGAAGGGGGATTTCATGCAAATCAGGTGCATTTCATGCAAATCAGATTTCATGCAAATCAGGTGCATGCAAATCAGGTACATTACCACCTGGGTGCAGTGACACAGGAAACAGGTGTGACGTCGTCGTATCCTTAAAATAGTCACACCTAGTATTTTCCACAATAAGGCAGAGGTTTACTCTGACAGTATAATTTGCAAGGAGAGAGAGAGATTTAAAGTTGTCTGGAATGTATACTTTCTGCCTTGGAAACCTTGCCCTCCAGTCCTAAATGTGTGTGCCTGCTGATGGATGTTGGGTGATGGAAGAGAACTCTGCACATGCTCAGAGGTGTTTTTCTTCTGACAAGTTTTAAAGCATTTCTCGGGCGCAGGGAAATAATATGTTTCCTGTGAACTCATTTCACCTGCAGTCAATCAGCTTGCTCTCTTCATTGCTCCAACTGTCCGACGACTTTATTTCATTTTTTATAATTTGGTTGCTGTGCAGTTATTGTTGCTTTAATGTTCTCTTTTATTACCTTTGCTTGTTTAGCCTGGTATTTAATTTATGAGAAGCTCCACTCTCAGATCAGCAACCAGATGACGCAGGTGATAAAAAAACTGCTTGTAAAAAAAGAAAGTCAGTCAGTCATCCTGCAGAACCCATGGCTGCGAAAACTGTCTCTCTAATTGTATTTCAGATATCCCTAAGTTTTTATTTGTCCCCTTCCAGGCAAGGAAAGTATGCCCATTGTTAAGTATCCCAGGACAGTTGACCCTCTTTGGTATGAATGGGATAGGAAGGCCCAGAAATGTGGATTAAGGCACACCGTTTACGCGGTCAATGGCGATCGGTACACTGGCGAATGGCTGGACAACCTAAAACACGGTAAGGACAATCTGGAGCAAGAATAGTAGAATATGTTGCAGGATATTCCAGGCAAAAAAACAGCAGCCTGGAGAGGCCCAGCGATTCCCTCAAATAAAAAAGTCTACAGTTTGTCTGAGACTGCATGCAAGAGGACTTAATTAGTAGCCACACAAACTATTTCAGGAGGCTGCAAGGGCAGCTGGGAGAAAAACACAAGGCTGTTCCTTCATATTTTGCAAATGTAAAAACCAGCCTCAGGTTGGATCCCTCTCCAATGCATGTTGAGGCAAGCAGGTCCCTTGTGAGCAGGGGCAGAGGAAGGGGGGTGCGGTGTGGGTGGGTCGCCCCGGGTGTCACCACTGAGGAGGTGACAAAATGCTGGGCGGCACTTACTGTGGGGCCTTGCAGCGCGCCCGAGCCATGCGACTCTCCTGGGAGTGACGCAGTGGCTTGGGCGCCCGCAGGCTCTGCGCTAACCCCAAACGGTCCGCCTAATGCCTCCCCCCTCAGCTGTAGGGCGGTTGAGTGGGAGGAGGCAGGCAGACTCCTTGGAGGCCCCGCGGAGCATCCTGCCCCGCTGGCCCCCCTGCGGGCGGCTGGCCTCGCCCCTTTGCGCAGGGCACAGGTGCCTCCCCAGGTGCCTGAACAGCTTGTTCCGCTGCTGCTTGGGAGAAGACATGTAAAGAGATCCACCTTTAAATGAGTAAAGCCAGAGCATGAAAACAACCCCCCTCACTTGCAATCTGCTATTCACAACAGGTAAATTGCTTCTGAAAAGGAGGATGTGATTAACTGCCATGGCTAATAATAATAATAATAATAATAATAATAATAATTTATTATTTATACCCCGGCCTTCTGGCTGGGCTTCCCCAGTCACTCTGGGCAGCGTCCAACAAAATTCAGTGGTACCTCGGGTTACATACGCTTCAGGTTACAGACTCCGCTAACCCAGAAATAGTACCTCAGGTTAAGAACTTTGCTTCAGGATGAGAACAGAAATCGTGCTCCGGCGGCGTGGTGGCAGCAGGAGGCCCCATTAGCTAAAGTGGTGCTTCAGGTTAAGAACAGTTTCAGGTTAAGAACGGACCTCCGGAACAAATTAAGTACTTAACCCGAGGTTCCACTGTATTAAAATACAGTAATGCATCAAACATTAAAAGCTTCCCTAGCTGCTAATAGACCTAGCAGGGAGTCATTGGCCTTTTTAGCTCCGAGCAAGTGCTGCGGGTGCCGTCCCCGCAAGCAACTTCTCTTCCCTCTCACTTGCCTCACTCCCCTTTCCTGACTGAGAGCCACACACACCTTGTGCACACACACCTTGCTTTCCCAAGGGATAGATATAGACAGATCAGTAGAATTGATCTGACCCCTGAAGAGCACATAGAACTGAAAGAGGAAGTGTGGAAGAGAGACGCTCTTCCAACTTCCTCCTTCAGCACTAGGTAACTTTTCAAGAGAGAGAAAGGTACCGTCAACCACCTTGAGGCCAAGGGGGCAGTAAGATAGGCTCAAAAGCTTAGCAGGTGTCAGGGCAGCGGCTCTCATTTTTCCCCCTCTGGACCACACTTTCAGAATAAAAATTTACTCGTGCCACACCAATCTTTTTATTGATAAGATATACCATGGAAAACAAAAAGAAACAACTCCTAGCAGTGCTAGGAGTGCACAGAGCACAACTGCATTATAAAATGATCACGAGACACCCAGAAAGTATAAAACATGAATCATTCCCAAAATAGAATTATAAACGAGCCTCTTATATACATACCTTAAATATGTACACAAACTCAATGAGAGGTGTAAGCTTGCCGTATCACTTGATGATCTCACTCCTGTTTTGAAAAGATATCTGTCCATATTCTGCAAATAAATAAAATAACAAGTTGATACTGTACTATGCGACACTGAAATTCTTGAATGTTCATTTGCTTGTCCTGGAATCTTCCAGCCACACTTGCCACCCTCTCCGGCTGCCACACCAGTGCTGTGCATTGCGCCCCTTGAGAACCACGGGGTCAGGGGAAGAAGACCTCAAGGGCGCCATCACACGCCTGGGACACTGCACTGGTGACCCCTTTCCTATGTCCAGGGCGGTGCCTTTGTAAATCATTTTTCTTTTTCTTTTTACAATCAAGCGGTATATAAATTTTATGAAATGAATGAATGAATGAATAAATAAATAAATATCATGCAGCGATGTTGAGGACAACCTCCTCTGTAGGTGGGTGATTTGGGCTCACAGCAGTCTTCCATGGATTTGCTTCATGCACTTTTCTCAAAACTAGATAACTATTCATTTATCTACTGTAGTTTGGAAACGATTGGCTCAAGTAAATTAAAACCATAATGTACGGGCAGTTTTATTGGTCACGAGAGAAAGTCTGTGCTACCAGTTCCTGCCTTTTGTCCCCATGGCCAGGCAAGGGCACGCAGACATGGAAGAGGACAGGGGCCATCTACAGCGGAGACTGGAAATTTGGAAAACGGGATGGATATGGGACATACAGCCTCCCTGATCCCATCACAAAAGACTACAAGAAAGTGTACTCGGGTTGGTGGAAGAATGACAAAATGTGGGTAAGTCGTGCTCTTTTGCAATGATGTATGCGAATGTATGCCTTTAAAAGTGAGCCAAGGGCCAGAATCTGATCAGCATTAATATCAGAAATAGGGGGTGGGGGGGAATTGCCAAAGCTCTGAGCTGCTGCATTCTTCTGCCTGTTACAATAGACTCCTGCTGAAATTCACTAAGTGCCTTGTTCCTTTTTCTGAGGTGAAAATTTAAAGCTCTGTTGCCTCCCCCCTTCAAATGGTGTGTGCGCACTGCGTCATGTGATGGATTATGTGGGGCACGGCTTAACAACCTCCCCCAATATTTCATTTAAGTTGGCACACCCGCTTTTAATTCCAGGAGCCTCATGGCTTCCTTAATTCTGTTCCCGTCTCTGAGTGTCAGGAAGAGGGCAGGCCATGAGGGGAGTGAACACAGCCAGGTACCTCTGTATACTTTGTCCTCACACTTTGGGAGGTGGTGTGGATTCAGCCCAGAAAGTAGGGGTGGAGGAGAAATTCATAGAATCATAGATGGAAGGCACCCCAAGTTCATCTAGTCCAGCCCTCAGCAATGCTGGAATCTCAACTAAAGCATCCTTGGCAGACGACCATCCAACCTCTGCTGGAAAACCTCCCAGGAAAGAGAGTCCAACACCTTCTGAGGGAGCCTACTTCGCTGCTGAATGGCTCTTACCATCGGAAAGTTTTTTTTTTTTTTTTAATGATATTTATTCCAAATTTAAAGTTACAAAAAAGAAAAAGAAAAACCATACAAAATACAAAGAAAACTTTAGCCATAACAAAGCGAAAAATGAACAAGTAAAAAAGAACAATAAGATAGAATAAAAAAGACTTAACAAAAAATATAAAAATACATTAAGTTGAAATAAAACAAAAACAGATTAAACCTTTACATAGCCTTTTCCCTTTACTTATTTCCATGACCTCCTCTCACCTCCCAATTTTGTATTCTAGTTCAGATCGTGTTTCCAGCAAATCCTTCTAACCTTATTTTCATTTACGTATTTTAAAATTAAAATAATGTAATTAAACCTCCTCTATTTCATCAATTTCATCAACTCATTTTTGCTTAGTCCATTATATCATATCTACCAGAACGACCTAATATTCTTTTTCCAACCTCTTTCTAACATTCTTTTATATTGCAGTATTTTTGAAGGTATATTTTGAATTTTTTCCAATCTTCTTCCATCGACCCTTCTCCCTGGTCTCGAATTCTGCCGGTCATCTCAGCCAGTTCCATGTAGTCCATCACTTTCATCTGCCATTCTTCTCGGGTGGGCAATTCTTGTGTCTTCCAGTACTTCCCGATGAGTATTCTTGCTGCTGTTGTAGCATACATAAAGAAAGTTCTATCCTCCCTTCGCACCAATTGGCCGACCATGCCCAGAAGAAAGGCCTCTGGTTTCTTCAGAAAGGTATATTTAAATACCTTTTTCAATTCATTATATATCATTTCCCAGAAAGCCTTAATCCTTGGGCATGTCCACCAAAGGTGAAAAAATGTACCCTCAGTCTCTTTACATTTCCAACATTTACTATCTGGCAAATGATAGATTTTTGCTAGCTTGACTGGGGTTAAGTACCACCTGTAAATCATTTTCATTATATTTTCTCTTAAGGCATTACAAGCCGTAAATTTCATACCTGTGGTCCATAACTGTTCCCAGTCAGCAAACATAATGTTATGTCCAAAATTTTGTGCCCATTTAATCATAACAGATTAACCGCTTCATCCTGAGTATTCCATTTCAACAGCAAGTTATACATTCTTGATAAATTCTTAGTTTTAGGATCTAACAATTCTGTTTCCAATTTCGATTTTTCCTCCTGGAAACCAATCTTCTTATCTAAATTATAAGCCTCCCTTATTTGATAATAATGAAGCCAGTCTCGAACTTTAGTTTTTAATTTGTCAAAGCTCTGCAGCTTTAATCTATCTCCATCTTGTTCTAAAATTTCACAGTATTTTGGCCAATTTGTCTCCATATTAGTTTTTTTCAGAGCCTTAGCCTCCATTGGTGACAGCCACCTTGGTGTTTTACTTTCCAACAAATCCTTATATCTCACCCAGACATTAAACAATGCTTTCCTGACAATATGGTTCTTAAAGGCCTTATGTGCTTTAACCTTGTCATACCATAAGTATGCATGCCATCCAAAGACATTGTTAAAACCTTCTAAATCCAAAATGTCCGTGTTTTCAAGAAGCAGCCAATCTTTCAGCCAGCAAAATGCGGCTGATTCATAATAAAGTTTAAGATCTGGCAGGGCAAATCCACCTCTTTCTTTAGCATCAGTTAAAATCTTAAATTTTATTCTTGGCTTCTTGCCCTGCCAGACAAATCTCGAAATATCTCTCTGCCATTTCTTGAAACAGTCCATCTTGTCCAAAATCTGCAATGTTTGAAACAAAAACAACATCCTAGGCAATACATTCATCTTTATCACAGCAATTCGGCCCAACAATGATAACTTCAATTTTGACCATATTTCCAAATCCTTTTTCACTTCCATCCAACATTTTTCATAATTATCTTTAAATAAATTCACATTTTTAGCAGTCATATGAACCCCTAGATATTTCACTTTCTTAACCAATATTAATCCTGTCTCCTTCTGAAACCTCTGTTTCTCAATCTCTGTAAGATTTTTCTCTAACACCTTGGTTTTCACCTTATTCAACTTAAATCCTGCTGCTTGACCAAATTCTTGAATTAATTGCAATACTCTTTTGGTACTGGATTCTGGCTCCTGTAATGTCAAAACCAAATCATCAGCAAAAGCTTTCAATTTATACTGTTTGGCTCCGAGTTGTATACCTTTAACCAATTGGTCTTTCCTGATCATATTAAGCAGAACCTCCAGGACCGATATAAAAAGCAATGGGGAGATTGGGCAACCCTGTCTTGTTCCTTTCTCAATCTTAAACTCTTCTGTAACTACGTTGTTTACAATCAACTTAGCTTTTTGTTCTGAGTAAATTGCACCTATACTGTTTTCAAAGCCTTGGCCTACCCCCATTCCCTGTAAATTTTTCTTCATAAAACTCCAATAAATATTATCAAAGGCTTTCTCCGCATCCACAAATATTAGAACTGCTTTAGTGTTAATATTAACTTGTAATTTTTCTAAAATGTTAATTATATTCCTCGTGTTATCTGACAAATGCCTCCCCGGGAGAAAGCCCGCTTGGTCCTTATGGATTTCTTTCGCCAATACCTTTTTTAATCTTTTAGCCATAATTTCTGCAAAAATTTTGTAATCCACATTAAGTAGAGATATGGGACGATAGTTCTTAAGCTGTGTCTTTTCCGCTTCTGTTTTCAGTATAACTGTAATATAAGCTTCTTTCCACGACTCGGGTGCCTTCCCTCCCCCCCTAATATTTCATTGCAAACTTCTTTCAAAGGCTGCATTAACCATTCTTTCAAAGATTTATAATACTTTGCAGTCAGACCATCTGGCCCTGGAGATTTGCCCAATTTCATGTTCTGAATGGCTCCTTCCACCTCTTGGTCAGTTATTATACAGTTTAGCATTGATTTACTCTCTTGAGAGATTTTTTGTAATCCATTTGTTCTCAAAAACCGATCAATGTCTATTTCTTTCTGAGTCTCCTGCGTATATAACTGTTTAAAGTACTTCTGAAAACACTTTCTAATCTCCGCAGGGTTCTGTATGCTCTTTCCTTCTACTACCAAGTTCGTAATAGTATTAAGCTTTTGTCTTTTTTTCATTTGCCATGCCAGCAGTTTCCCACACTTGTTCGCTGATTCAAATGTCTTTTATCTCATCTGTTTGATCTTCCATTCTATTTCCTGATTTGTCAGTTTCATATATTGTACTTGATATAACTTTATCTCTTTTAGAATCTCCTGTGAATTCGGTTTTATCCTCAGTCTCTTTTCTCCATCCTTTATTTTCTCCAAGATTTTTTCCCTCTTCTCATTTTGGACTCTTTTCCTAATTGCATTTTGTTGTATCAGGAACCCTCTCATAACTGCTTTACTTGCATCCCAAATCACTCTTTTTTCGGTCGTAGTGTTCATGTTTATCTCAAAATAGTCTCTCAAGTTTTTCTGGGCCTTTTTGATAATTTCCTCGTTCCTAAGCAGGGAGTCATTCATCCTTACCATCAGAAAGTTCTTCCTGGTGTTTAGTCAGAATCTCCTTTCATGTAACTTGAAGCCTTTGGTTTCGGTCCTAGCCTCTGGAACAGGGCAGCCATTTAGATATAATAATAATAATTTTTTTATTTATATCCCGCCCTCCCCAGCCAAAGCCAGGCTCAGGGCGGCCAACAACAATAAAATAATACAACATTTTATGTGAAGAAGGCCATCCTATCTCCTCTCAACCTCCTCTTTTCCAGGCTAAACAGACCCAGCTCCTTCATCCGCTCCTCATGAGACTTGATTTCCAGACCCCTGATCACCCTCCTCTGCATATGTTCCATCTTGTCAATATCCTCCTTCAATTGTGGTGCTCAGAAATTCAAACCATTTCGGATTTAAAGGTGAACCCAGCTAGCTTGCACTTTCCAAAACAATTTGTTGAACCGCAACCCAGGCATCCTTCAAAATCTGCACTTCCCCTAAGGTTGCAGTGCAGTTCTCCAGCCCACTAGTGTCCACAAACACACATATACCGTATTTTTTGCTCTATAAGATGCACCAGACCACAAGACGCACCTAGTTTTTAGAGGAGGAAAACAAGAAAAAAAATATTCTGAATCTCAGAAGCCAGCGATCCCTCTTGCTGTTCTGGCTTCTGGGATAACTGCGCAGCCTGCATTCGCTCCATAAGACGCACACACATTTCCCCTTACTTTTTAGGAGGGAAAAAGTGAGTCTTATAGAGCAAAAAATACGGTACTTGTGTGCGTAAAGATGTGTCTATTGGTGAAGACAGCATTATAGCAAGGGAAAAAAATATCTGTTAGGCAAACTTGCATACAAAAAGGTGAGTTTTATGAGGACATTAAAAAAACAACAACCACAAAGTTGGCATGGAGAAATGAGAAGCTGAGATTGACAAAAATTGACAGATTTGTCCTGCTTCCAGAAGTGGGGCGGGGAGCAAATCAAATGGGCATCAGCAACAAGTATTGACTTTTTAAAGAAAGTTAAACATTTTAAAGAGAAAGCTTGCTGTTGTGATCATCCACATGAATATCTTTTGATTTTAGGGATACGGAATAAAATTTTACTCAGATATGGAGTATTACGAAGGGGAATGGGCCGTTGGGAAGAGAAGCGGCTGGGGCCGGATGTACTACAAGGACGGCTCCATCTATGAAGGCCAGTGGTCTGAGGACAAGCCAAGCGGGCAAGGCATGTTCCGCTTGAGTAAGTACCGCCCTGCTGCGTCCATGATGCTTGAGAGGTCTGGTCCTCTATGCCTTTGGGCAGTGGTTAGAACGGGCCCCAGCCCTTCCCACCCCCCAGAACAGAACTTGGGGCACGTTAAGGCTGGCCAGATGGTGCCACCGCCGACATTCTCAGCTCTCTTTGCTCAGATAGACTGCTGGTGCCGCTGCTGCTCAAAAGGTGGCCTGCGCAATGACAACAACACAACGGCTTGTTGCTGTCTGTGCCACATATCTCCATTCACCCTGCCTCAGCTCACACCAGTAGTCTTTTGAAGACTTAATGGGTTTTAGTGGTTTCATGAACAGGGCCCCTGCGCACAGAAGCAAAAATCACGTAAGTTGGGAGCACCCTGGAGGATGTGCAGAAAAGTGGGGGCGATGGCTGTGCTACCCCGCACATCGGTGTAAAAAACAACAACACCCCTGCTGAGCCCCCACTCTCTTTGGGGCTTCCTCCACCCTCACTGATACCCTCTTCAGGCTCTGGGGAAATTTATGTTTAAGTTTCCTGTCCCCACGTGTATATGCAGTCACATGTGTGTCGATCAAACGTCAGTGGGAGACACCCGTAAAACCCAAACTCTCCTTGCCATGCCATTCTGGCTAAGGCTCTGGGGGCCACACTACCCCCCTTCTGGGTGGCATCCTGAGGGTCACAGGGCAAAGTGGGCGGAGCGGCAAATGTAAGTTTTTGCCTTTGCACAGTAGGCCAGTTTCTCCAACTGCTCTTCCGTCCAGGGAGGCCGGAGTTCATGGATGTATTCCAGCCAGGCAAAAATGTTTGGGGCCAGTGAGGGAGCAAGGCCTGGGGAGAATCCCAAGGGCAAGAGATCAAGGCCTGGAGAGGCGCATTGGTCTCCTGGGCCAGAGGCTGCAAGCCCTGCGCTACCACCTTGAAAGCATGCCGTGCTTGGCTGAGCCAATGTGGTGTTGGGGTTAGCAGGCTGGACTAATTAGAGCCATCAAGACCTGGGGTCAAATCCCACTAAGTCATAACAAAGGTAGCTTGGGACCTCTGGGTCGATTGCTCCTTCTCATCTTAACCCCATCTCTCAGGGTTGTTGTGCAGGTAGAATGTGGGACAGACCCATATATGCTTTACTGACCTCCTGAGAGGAAAGGGAGGATTAAAATGTCCTTAAAAATTATTATTGTGCCATGCTGAGCAATCACATAATTTACCGCTGTTTTAATAGCTGGCGGTATGTTTACACGAACTGTTAAAGCAACAGTTTGGTAGTCCTGCCCAGGTTATGCTGAGGGCAGGTACACTTAATTACACGGCTGTCCAGGATCTGTTTGTATCTAACTTCCAGCATCAGGAAATTGGTGAGATTTAGAGTCTTGGTGGTTATCTAGAAATGTCTTTAGTTTCTAAAAGGACAGGTAATAACTGTGCCTTGACAGATTTCCAGAGGATTCAGAATTGATATCACTTTACCTGAAACACTTCCTCAGCAGAGGTGCAAATTCACTTTGCATGTGCTCAGAGGTGCTCTTGTTATAATATCACCTATTCCAATACTGAGGCAAGGCATTGAAAAGAAGATTATGGGGTTAAAATTAATACCTGCTGGGATGTTCTGGGTGTTACGAATATGATGGATTTTAAATCACCACTGCCACCACCACAAATAATTGGTCCTCCAGAGACATTGCCCAATTGATCATGAACTGGCTGGATTTTTCCTAAGGGTAAAATTAGCTAATTAATAGATTATTATTTTCCTGCACCTGCGGGTTTAATATAGTCAGCTCTGTAACTGGAAATTTTGCAAGGCAGGGGGTAAATGCGCCTTCTGTTAGGTTCGCGATGGACAACCATCCAAGATCAAATAGCTGGTATTGGCTGCTTGCCCAGAAAGGGTAAACTGAAACGTAGGATTCGTGCAGTTTTGCTGGCTCCTCCCTTTCTTGCAAAAGGATTTAAGAGAGTTAACCACAGCATCCAAACAGTGAAGGGCACAGCTTGGTGGGGCCCTTGCGACGGACATGTACTGCCCCATTGATGGAATTCCTTCCCCAGATAAATTTGCCTGGCACCCACATGAATATATTTCCGGTACCAGGCAAATGCTTTTCTTTCTCCACCCTTAATGTTTTCATAAACTGTCTTGGAAGCATCACCAAAGAGCAGTATATGAATCCTTCCGAATAAGCAAAGAGGGAGGGAGCTCCTGCTCTCCAGTCTGTTCTCAGAACTGCCCCATCCAGAATTCCACCATACCTAGGAGCTTGTGAGCAAAAGGGCTTCTCTGCAGTCCGAGTTGCCTCCTGACCATTGAGTCAGAAGCAGGTTCTGTTCTGTCCATTTCAGCGGGGTATTTACTTCCAAGAAAAAAGCACACCAAGAACTCAGGCCGACAGGGCCCTGTTTCGATGTATTCACCTTCATCAGCTAATTTTTAAAGGATTGTGTAAGTTTGAAGACTTTTGGATGAATATATCCTGTTATTTTCCACGTTTCTCAGGGATAACAACTACGTGTGGGTAGATCAACGTGTATCTTGAGCTTTTCTGTGCGTTTTCAATTTGGAAGCCAGGCACGAAGTGCTTCAGGGGCAAAGTCTACAGCCACAATGACCTGCCCCAGTGGGGGGGGGGGGGACTAGACCATGATAGAACCATTTGCGTGTTGAGTCCCACAATGCCACCCCCCAAAAAATTCACACTTCACACATCAATTTTTGTTTAAGGTTTTTGGCATAATTTTGGCCACAACTTTATTCAAAATACAAAAAATGTGAGTGGTTGCTTAGGCATTGGTTATGACTATCTGTCCTTGCCCTCAGGGACAGAGCTGGCCTTCCGGACACCAGCGGAAGCCAGCGTGGGAAACAAGTATTGGGTGAGAAAATGAAGCTGGGTATCAGTCCCTCACTTCTCACCCTCATGTTCCTGTGGGGCTTGCACGGCCCAAGTCCGATTCCAGGGACAAGGACGAAAAGAATGGCAAGCCCCTGGATTCCTTTAACGGAATTCCCTTTCCGCATCATTTGGAGGGATAGGCACTTACCCCTCCAAGCACCAATTTAACCAATGCCTAACCGCCAACCTTACAAGTTGTGACGATTTGCTACGCAGTAGGCAAAAACCAAATGGCACCAGCCAATCAGCCAGATGGCAAAATTCCTACCAGGCCCCCGCTCCAAGGCGGACGACCCCATGACAGGCATAGCAAGGTCAAGCGATCAAGAAAAAACCACCCTATTAAAGGGAGGGAGGGCGGGTGATCCGGTGCAAAATGGCCAAGAGGACGTCCAACGTCTGGCCCCTGTATTTAAAGACTCTGACCCCTCCTCCAAATTGGCAACAATCAAAACTCCCCAGCAACCCAATTTTAACCACTTAAAGGCTTGGGTTCCTCACAAAATCTGCCCAGTAACGGCAGGGTGGCTTGTTCCCCAACCGCAACACGTGCTCTCTGTTAGGGAGAACACGCTTTGCGTGTTGAGTCCCACAATGCCACCCCCCAAAAAATTCACACTTCACACATCAATTTTTGTTTAAGGTTTTTGGCATAATTTTGGCCACAACTTTATTCAAAATACAAAAAATGTGAGTGGTTGCTTAGGCATTGGTTATGACTATCTGTCCTTGCCCTCAGGGACAGAGCTGGCCTTCCGGACACCAACGGAAGCCAGCGTGGGAAACAAGTATTGGGTGAGAAAATGAAGCTGGGTATCAGTCCCTCACTTCTCACCCTCATGTTCCTGTGGGGCTTGCACGGCCCAAGTCCGATTCCAGGGACAAGGACGAAAAGAATGGCAAGCCCCTGGATTCCTTTAACGGAATTCCCTTTCCGCATCATTTGGAGGGATAGGCACTTACCCCTCCAAGCACCAATTTAACCAATGCCTAACCGCCATGGAGCCCACAGCTCACCGCCAAACCACTCACAGACCCAACCAAGCCCTCAGCTTGGCCACCACTGCACCCAGCCAAGCCTCATTCCCTGAGGCAGAAAGATGCGCGCCATCAGCTCTGAAAAAGGATGCAGCCTGAAAAGAATCTCAGGATGGGAAATCACATCTCCACCCAGCTCAAAAATCTTTTAGACACAGCAGAATTGATGCGCTTCCTGGCCCTTTCAGTGGCAGCTGGGCAACGACTACCCTTCCAAACACGTCGTTGCAAAAGCTTTGACCAAAATATTTTTGCTGTCGGCACCACTGCCCGCAGCTTCTCCAGGTCACCCAAAATTGCAGCACGTAGTGAAAAAACAGTCCATGGAAACCAGGTCGTTCTCACCCAGCTGCACCCCAACAGCAGTGGGCGGCCCTTCCAGCAGCACCTGCCTCCGAATCAGCGGCAGGAATTCTGGCTGGCGCATTCCCCGTCTGGACAGCCAAAGCAACTGCACATGTGGAGGAAGGCCGAGACCCGGTCCCAAACCGGACTGCCGTGCACTGATGCTGTGCCCCACCATCCAGATGCGGACAGCTGCTAAACCTAAGATAAAACAAGCAAAAATTGTAAGACACCAATAATGTTAACGAACATAACCTTTGAATGCATTCGATTTCCAATGACCTGTATTTTATTTCCACTGCCTTATTAACACGCTTTCCGGCCTTCTCGGTGGTAGTTTGTCTAGGCATTGGTTCCCGACTAGCTGCACCTGACCTCAGCAGGGCAGCACTGACGACTGGGCCCCACCATATCGTCAGTACCAGCAAACATTGTGGGGGAGCAATGAATCCCAAGGCAATCGCATCCCGCCAGGTGTCGTTCCACATAGGGGAAAGATGCACCCCATCTGCCCTAAAGAGAGCAACAGCCTTGAAGAAAAATAGCAGGGTGCAATATTACAGAACCACCTAAAGCAAGGACCTATTTTATTTTATTTGTTATTTTATTTTATTTACTTTATTTATTTTATTCTATTGTCCACCGCCTTATTAACATGCTTTCTGGCCTGCTCGGTGGTAGTTTGTCTAGGCATTGGTTCCTGACTGGCTGCACCTGACCTCAGCAGGGCAGCACTGACGACTGGGCCCCACCATATCGTCAGTACCAGTAAACAGCGTGGGGGAGCAATGAACCAGGATCAGACTCAAGCTCACCCCCAAATGCTCCCAGGGACTCTTGCGTGCCCCTACCCCTCGAAAGGGGTCGACAAAAGCATGGTGAATCCTTGGATTCCCTTAATGGAATATCTTTGCGCATTGGAGGGGACAGGTGCTCCAACTTCCCCTCCAGACCACCTTGAACCAATGCCTTAAATTATTTTGAGTCCTGGGAGAGCTGCCATCAACTCAATCCAAGCCCTCTTGCATGCAGGAATGCAAACTTATGCTGGAGGAAGACAGCAAACATTCTCGCCCAGCTGTACCACCAGCACTGCGGGAGGACCTGCACAGGTCACACTCGACCGCACCAAAGGAAGGATCTCCTCCCAAAGCATTCCCATCTGGACATCCAGTATATGTTCACATGGGCAGGAAGACTGAGATGGCGCCCCAGTCCAAACTCGTCAACCTGCTTGCCAGCCTAGTGTACAATGCTGTGGCCCAAATGTGCACAGCTGCTCCTATGAAAAAAGGAAATAACAGACAGGCATCAGCACAGACATCATTGTGACACTTCCTGATATAACCCTTGTCAGCGTCAGACTTCCAATGACCCGTATTCACAATCCTGTCTACTGACAGGCCCCCAGTGTGCAGCCTTTGCAGCAGCACCCAATCGTAAGGAATGAGGCGTGTTCAGCGGTAAGCAAGCCGCAGGCCGTAATAACTGGTGCACGACGTAAGCACATTGATGCCTGGCTAACGGGAACCCATTTTCATGCACTAGGAGCGGGCCAGCCCCCAGGGAATGAAAAGCCAAATATTCTGTTATCCATAACCGGGCAAGGGCCCTCCTCACCTGTGGCGGGAAGCCTGATTGTGGCACTCCTGCCCACTAAGTCTGTTTTAGAGTTCCCAACTCTAATGACAAGCTCCAAAGGATAAGGAAAAGTCCTGAAGCAATAAGCCTCCAGACTCTCAGCCCCATGCTGGCTCCAACAACCATTTTCCCAAGCCTCAGTGCGAAAATGCAATGGACTACTGAAAGGAGTCTCGCCTTGATCTTTAACCAGCAGACAAGTTTTAACTTGTTGCAGATACTGCATAAGTAAAAATTGACCGGCTTCCTGCCCACTGTCCTATGAGGTTGGAGCCTATTCCAACCTTCCAAGGCCATGCGCACTACAAACTTTATACAAGGGTCTCTGAAAAATAAAGCTTCAGTGTAACAGACATTGCAGCGGACTGAATTCTGATAGTTATAACGCACGCCCAATCTGCAGCAGGTGGACCAAATACTGCGGATCTGCTCAGAGGATGGGGGCCAGTTCATCTGAATGGCCGAGGACTGCCAGCTTAAGGCTAAGAAATCCATCCAGGCCTTCTCATAAGAGCTAAAAGCAGAAGGGGAAATGGAAGCTGCTGCTCTCTGTAATTACTAATTGTTGTCAAAATGCCACAGGTGGTCTGGAAAAGTCTGGCAATAGCTGAGTCTGGAGCCCAGGATCTGAAGCACTTCATCTGAAAATGGGATAGAGTGTCAGCGACATCATTAGAGGATCCTGTAATTTGGAGAGTAGAAAGCACAATATTAAACCTTAAGCGGCGCAGCTCGAAAGCATGAACGGAGGGGCGGAGACTGTGCTAGAGCGTGAGGACTGTTTTGCTAAGACGCTCACCACTACCTGGTTATCAGACCAAAAGCAGATCCAATGGTCACTGAACTCCTCGGGCCACATGTGAACTGCTACTACAATGGGGAAAACTCAAGAAAAGTTATGTCACATGATTGCCTCACCACACCGGGCTTGAGGCCATAGCTTTGCACACCAGCATCCCTTGAAATAAAAACCAAAGGGCAAAGATCCAGCAGCACCAGCATGAACCTGAAAATCCCTGTGCGGGTTCAAGGTATCCTGCCATGGCGAACTCCAGAGAAGCGGACACGGAGCAATGGATCCAAACTACAAGAAAGAAGATTCCACCTAAACATTAGGAAGAACTTCCTGACAGTAAGAGCTGTTCGACAGTGGAATTTGCTGCCAAGGAGTGTGGTGGAGTCTCCTTCTTTGGAGGTCTTTAAGCAGAGGCTTGACAACCATATGTCAGGAGTGCTCTGATGGTGTTTCCTGCTTGGCAGGGGTTGGACTCGATGGCCCTTGTGGTCTCTTCCAACTCTGTGATTCTATGATTCTACTATTGCATACATTCAGGAATTGCTACCATCGCCTGATATCTGCCTTCACCACACTTGGTAGGCGTACACAAAGGTAAGGGGACCTCAGGCCGCAGGCAGCCTGGCCTAGTGGGAAGATTAATTAAGAGACCCAGCAAGATCGGATCTGATGAAGCATCACTTGCTACAGAGGAAGTATTACAAAATAACTTCCTTCAAGGCAGACAGCTTCTCCATAGGCAAGTGGTATGTTTTAGCAACGATATCCAACTGGATCCCTAAATAAAATGGGAATATGGGCAAAAGGTATTGAGCTATTGCTTGCCAGCTTCCAGCCCCCGCTTGGGCAGGGGGCATCTTGTGCTGCCATCATGATATGTAAATTTACAGGGCCGAGGCTGGCCAGAACCCTTAAAGAAGTCCCGACCGACAAAGCTGCCGCCGAGCCAGCTTCCTTTTCAGACACACACTCTGTGCAATGCAAAAACACACTCCATGCAGTGCACACACACTCCATGCAATGCAACTACACACTCCGTGCAATGCAACTACACACTCCGTGCAATGCAACTACACACTCCGTGCAATGCACACACAAACCCTCTGTGCAATGCAACTACACACTCCGTTCAATGCAACTACACACTCCGTGCAATGCACACACAAACCCTCCGTGCAATGCAACTACACACTCCGTTCAATGCAAAACACACTCCATGCAATGCAACTACACTCCATGCAATGCAACTACACCCTCCGTTCAATGCACACACTCCGTGCAATGCAAAAAAAAAACAAAAAAAAAAACAAACCACTCTGTGCAATGCAACTACACCCTCCATGCAATGCATACACACACACTCCGTGCAATGCACACACACTCTGTGCAATGCAACCACACCTTCCGTACAATGCAACAACACACTCCGTGCAATGCAACTACACCCTCCGTGCAATGCACACACACCCTCCATGCAATGCACACACGCTCCATGCAATGCAACTGCAAATCTCTCATGCAATGCAATGCATTTGCAGCCCGTGCAGCGCCGTGCCCTGCAACACACAAACTGCAATGCGGGCACGCAAAGGTGCTTTCTCCCGCTTGCATATTGCAAACGTGGCGCCCGTTACATCCCTCGCAGTGAGGTAACCACCGAAAGGACTTAAGTGTCCAGGTAGAGCAATGGGGGGAGCATGCAGCTGTCCCATACAGGGACCAATCCTGCAACCCAGGCATTACCAGCACTATGCGCTGACCCAGTGAAACCAATGCTTCATGGACCACATGGGGACACTATTCAGGCCGGAAACGCTTCCAGGCCATTGAATTCTAGGGCAAAGCCCTAGGATCACCTGCTAGGCCAGGCATAAATGTTTCCAGTGAAATAGCAGAGTTGAGGTAGCCCACAGCTTGTCCAGGTACCCCTGCTTGCCCTTTTAGAGGGAAGCACCCTTTCAAGAAACCCAAAGTTCTTTTATCACAAATGGGCCTAACTACCCAGCAACAGAATAGCCCAAAAGGAGCAGTTTGTTTTGTTTTGTTATAACAATGGCTAAGAGGGGGATATGAACCCTGTCTCCCAGGTCCTAGTCCTACACTTTAGCCACTAAGCCACAATGGCTCATCTCTAAAATGGCAGTCGCCACTATCAGGGCAAAACAAACTTAAAGAAAATAAACTTGTTCAGAAACAGCATAGTTCAAGAGCATATACAGAGTGCTCATAGTCCTTGGAGGCACAGGGAGCCTCTGGGGCCCTCTGTCTGCCTCAGATATACATTAGCAGCAACTGGGCCTGCAAGCAGATACATTCCTATAGCGAGAATGAGTCACGTGTCAGAGACTTAACAATTAACTGCTACCTGTAGCAGACTTAGGCTTGGAAGTTATGTGCAGGCCGAATAGGCCTCCCTGCTTCTGCTCTTGAGAATCTTAGTCTCATAGCAATATTAAAGGAACTCAAATTAGTGCTCCCACCCAAGGCTAGCTTAAAATTTGGCCAACAGCACTGCACACACTCAAAATAAAGCCAACCTTCGGGGATACTATAAACGAAAGTGATTCCAGCTAAGCTGGGAACAGCCCTGATTAGCCCCACAATTTCAACAAGAGAAATGGGGCAAACCTTTTTGCGAAAGAAAGCCCCTAACGGGGGCTCTCTCCGTATTGGGAAAGGCAAGCCACAGTTACAGGGAGAATCTTCCCACAGGGCAGGGTAAGGGGTGGGGTGGGAAATCGAACAGGAAAAGGGGGGAATTAAATTATTTAAGGGACTAGAGAGGATTAAAAAGAAAGGGGAAATAAAGAAATAAAGAAATGTAACCAGACAATGAGAAGATTGTCCAAGCGCTCCATGTGATCCGGTGCAAAATGGCCAAGAGGACGTCCAACGTCTGGCCCCTGTATTTAAAGACTCTGACCCCTCCTCCAAATTGGCAACAATCAAAACTCCCCAGCAACCCAATTTTAACCACTTAAAGGCTTGGGTTCCTCACAAAATCTGCCCAGTAACGGCAGGGTGGCTTGTTCCCCCAACCGCAACACGTGCTCTCTGTTAGGGAGAACACGCTTTGTTAAGAGATGCTGCAGGGCCTTGTGAAAACACAAGCCAGCTTCTCTCTCTCTCTCTCTCTCTCTCTCTGTGTGTGTGTGTGTGTGTGAGAGAGAGAGAGAATCCCACAAAAATCTTGTGTCAATTGCAGAAAATGAAAACCGGTATGAAGGCTCCTGGAAGGACGGGAAGAGACACGGTCCAGGAAAGTTCATCTACTTGGACACGGGGCAACTTTATGAAGGCTACTGGGTGGCAGACATTCCCCGTTGTGGAACCATGATTGATTTTGGCCGCGACGAAGCCCCTGCACCAACTCAGTATCCCATCCCAAAGGTAATCTCTAGGTTACAGGCTCCCCGCAGGCCCAAAGGCCAGAACGTGCGTAAGGGTAGGTTCCACTGTCTCTTCCTGCAAGCAGAGAGGGAAGAGCAATTTTAGTCTGTGCTCCAGCTGCCCCAAGACTTGCCCACCTCAGCTTCTTTGGCCTCTTAAGCATGGAGAGTGCAAATAGCTGGATGTGGGGAAGCTTTTCTGGTGAAGGGCAGTGGACCCACAGGAAAAGTCAGCTGATGGTGGGAGCCAAAAGTAGGCTGGGTCAGAAGCAAAGTAGATGGGAGTCTGCAGCCAGGTAGGGCAGGATGACCCAAAGGAAGCAGAGAAGCAGCTTTTTCTAAACAAACTAATTGTCTTTTCCAGTCTATTTAATTTTTTAAAAAACAAACAAAGATCAGAATCTGATGCTTATTCGTGTTATAATCTTATGTAAATCACTTTCTGAGACAGTATATAAGTGCTGTAAATGAATGAAGGAATGAAGTGGGGAAAAACCCATCCATTCGTTTCTATGGCAACAGAACTCACTTTTTAAAGATGCGAATGGGGGATACTTACCTGTGAGCACCTAAGGCCACTACCTTAACAAAAGAACTGGGCTGTCCAGTGCAGCAAGCGTCCTCCTATAGATTCTAGCCTCCCACAGGCATGGAAGGGACCCACGGGAGTCATCCTGACCCCCCCAAAAACCTGTAACAATCTATATGTGTGTGTGTGAAAGACAGGGAGAGTGTGCTGTAACTCTGTGTGGTGCATGTGTTTGTATTAGTAACAATGGGGTGAGGTGGGGGAATAGAGGGGTGTGCATTTTTTTCTCCTTTTGCCAGGTGTGTGTGTTTTATTGCTATTTTGCCACACCCGCTTTTGCTCTGCAAACCATTGCCATGCAGCTCCCAGAAGGTGGCCAGTTTTCAGTCTGGCCTTGTGGCTGAAACTGATTCCCCATCCCTGGAATGGGGCTTAAAAGGCTATGTGGGGAGCTGGAAGGTTGCCAGTTTAAGTATTGACTAGGAGGACTTGCAGTGCTTCCATAGGCTAGCCCCTCTTTCTTCCCCTGGCATTTCCCACCCTCATTCTGTTCGAAGAGCAGTAAGAGGACTGTCCTGTATTTGGAGTTATCCTCTGTTTGAAGGGTTGCTCAGTCTGAGTCCAGTTTAAAGGCAGAAAGTACTATGGAGCCCCAGGGTCCCATCAGCAGAGAGCAGACTGGTCCGCCTCTCCCAGCCACAGCCTTCCCCACTATGCAGAAAGGCATTGCAATTTCTATTTAGAGTGCAGTAATTATTTTATTACTGTGGCCTAATTATTTTATTTTATTTTATTTTATTTTATTATTTCAGTAGTAATTATTTTTTTACTGTGGTCTAAACCACAGAGCCTAGGGCTTGCTGATCAGAAGGTCGGCGGTTCAAATCCCCACGACGGGCTGAGCTCCTGTTGCTTGGTCCCAGCTCCTGCCAACGTAGCAGTTCGAAAGCACGTCAAAGTGCAAGTAGATAAATAGGTACCGCTCCGGCGGGAAGGTAAACAGCGTTTCCATGCGCTGCTCTGGTTCTCCAGAAGCAGCTTAGTCATGCTGGCCACATGACCCGGAAGCTGTACGCCGGCTCCCTCGGCCTACAGAGTGAGATGAGCGCCACAACCCCAGAGTCGTCCATGACTGGACTTAACGGTCAGGGGTCCCTTTACCTAATTATTTCTAAGTTGGCATCTGTATATTTAAATTAGCATATGAAAGTTTTATGCAAATCTGTCTCCCTTTTTGATTGTTTTTTGGCAATGTATTAAATTGCAAAAAAAAACACCATGTTTTTTTCAGGTTGAACTAGCGGACCCAGAGGGTGTGTTGGAAAATGCTATTGTGTTGCTAGAAAATGCTGAAGAAGCGAATTCTCAGCCTCAGAAGGAACGATGACGGCTGACAATCCTGCCCTCCAAAGCTGGGGTTCCTTCCCGTTGAAGGCTGAGCAGCAATGTACAAAGAGTTCTTTCCCAAGAGATTCCCAAGTATTCCCATTGCGATCCCTTCTCTGTTCCTGGTTATGCAAGAGCCCCTTTGCTCGCTAGTTTAGCAGCTGCAGCAACACAGAGGGAAGAGGGACATGGTAGAGACCTTGTGAGTTCAAAAATACAAGATACCGCACATTTCTTTGCAAGTTGCTTACTCTGGGTTCTTGAAGCAGCGAGTTGCCCTTTGCACTTCCCAGAGCCGGTCCTGATGTTAGTGGCACACACCTCAGATGGCAGGTGCTGAGTGGAGAAGAGGGGCTTGAATATCTCCAAGGAAGGAGGGTCTGTAATTCCTTCCTGAGTGAAGCTCTGGCACAAACTGGGGATACAAAGCAAAGGGAAGATTTGGGGTGATGACTGCAATTCTCTCCTCTTCCTGAATTCAGAAAAGCTTCTGTCTTATTTTGAACCACCTTTTTGTACCATCAAGGAGAGAGGCTTTGAAACTGGGGATAAATATGATTGACACTGTAGCCTGTAACCCACCACAGCAGGGGGGTGGGGGTGGCAAAGAGAGTGACAGCCACAAAAGGCACAAATTGTGTTGTCAAGGAGAGATGTCTAAAAGAGTCCCTGATAGATTCTCTCCATCATGATCGCTTCTTATTTCAAGACTCTCTAAAATACACATTTTGAACCAAAGCTATTCATAGTATCACGTTCTCCCTTCTCCAATTAAGGAAACCTTCACAGAAAAGGAAGAAGGAAAAAGAGAGAGAAATCTTCGGAAGCCAATGGTGTATCTTCATTAGAAGCAAATGAACTTGCTTAATTTGCTAGTGTGCGGGTTGACACCAATCAACAGATACAGCTGTAGGCTCCATCAGAATGGTTCTGGCACCAGCAAGACAGCTTCTTATTGCTGTTAGCATAATGTTAGCAAGAGAATTTCCCCCCAACTTGGTCCCCCCCCCAATATGTTTTGGACTACAGCTCCCCTCAGCCCAACATCAGGAGGGGCACAGACTCTTCCCCCTTGGTCAACAACCTGCCCACTGCTAACTTAAAATGGAGTCATAATACACACACCTGTCTTTTTGTGTGAGGATGTTGCTATTTTTAAAACGTTTTATCGTTTTCAATTTTACAAAATTTGAACATTGACATTTACCAAATCACAAACCATACATCTAACATCAACTTCCCTCCCACCCCCCTTCCATAGTTTGTTTTAATTACCTTTTACTGCTGCATATTGGGGTTATTCCATATCCCCCCCCCGTTTTATCTCAATCTCCTTTATACTGCTGAATTTAATCTTGCTAACATCCTGATTTGTTTACAATAGTTTTTTCAAATATTCTACAATTTCCCCCCCAATCTTCCTTAAAAGATTTTTCTTCCTGGTCTCTTATTCTACTAGTTAAACTAGCCATTGCTGCAAATTATTCTGAAGGGGGACACATAACTCTATACCCTCAAGCATCTCTCTGATGAAAACAGGAACATCCTAAGGAAAAACGGGACATTCCAGGATCAAATCAGAAACTGGGGTGGCTTCTATAAATCCAGGACTGGCCCTGGAAAATAGGGACACTTGGAGGGTCTGCAAATATAACTCCTTATTTAGACTGTAATCTCCTCAGGGCAGAGACCTGCCACACTTTCCTCCCCTTTTGGCTGATGTAAACTAACACTAGCTTGGTTCATACAGAAAAACAAGCCATGATCTAGTGTTACAAGAATGAGCTTTCAAGGGGATGGTGGGCTTCTTTCTCCCCTCCACTCCTGGACCCCAAACCTGCCACACCTGGTTTGAGGCAAGTCATATGCTTGTCAAAACTGGGAAACTGGTTTGTGATCCTGAGAAACCAGGAACAAAATTTAGAATGAATCCCTGGCCTGCCATGATGTCTGAATCAGACTGTTCAGCCTTGGGTTTTTATCCCAGTTTAAAGCACCCTGCACAGGGTTTTTTTTTTTTTAAAAAATGTTTAATTTATTTTTATTAAATATTTTCTTGCTTTACAAAAGTACATGCCTTGTCTCTTTTTTTCAGGTTGTACAGTTTCTTACAAATAAGTTACATTTGTTGTGAGACATTAGTGTAAAGTATAAGGTTGGGAAAGAAGGGGAGGAGAGGAGAGGAGGGGGGAGGCTTATTTTTTTATATCAGAGGTCAGTAAACTTTTTCAGCAGGGGGCCGGTCCACTGTCCCTCTGACCTTGTGGGGGGCCGGACTATATTTTGAAGGGGAAAAAATATATGAACGAATTCCTATGCCCCACAAATAATCCAGAGATGCATTTTAAATAAAAGCACACATTCTACTCATGTGAAAACACGCTGATTCCTGGACCGTCCGCAGGCCAGATTGAGAAGGCGATTGGGTCAGTTCTGGCCCCCAGGCCTTAGTTTGCCTACCCATGTTTTATATAGTGTGTGTGTGTGGGGGGGGTTGTGTTAGTGTCAACTGGGTAGGTTCTCTTTCTATTTGTTTACAGTGGTACCTCGGGTTAAGAACTTAATTCATTCCGGAGGTCCATACTTAACCTGAAACTGTTCTTAACCTGAAGCACCACTTTAGTTAATGGGGCCTCCTGCTGCTGCCGCGCTGCCGGAGCACGATTTCTGTTCTCATCCTGAAGCAAAGTTCTTAACCGGAGGTACTATTTCTGCGTTAGTGGAGTCTGTAACCTGAAGCGTATGTAACCTGAAGCGTATGTAACCTGAGGTACCAATGTATTACAGTTCGTTGGTAGAGGGAGGGATTGGGGCCCCAGGGTGTCGTTGGTTGCAGTGGGGTTTATTTGCATTTGTGGGGGGGGGGCTTGTTGGGTCAGGTAAGCCAGATTGATTCGTATACTGTCAGTGGGTTCCTATTGTTGTCTTGTTGGGCAAGATTGGAGCCATACTGGGGTGAAGGCATCCTCTTCTATTTGTTCCTGTGTCATTTTCAGTTTGTTGGTTAGTTTTTCTAGTAGGGCTGTTTCCCATACAATTTGGTACCATTGGTCCATGCTTACTGCTGACAGGTCTCTCCAGTGCCTGGCTATGAGGCTTCTGGCTGCTGAGAGTAGGTGGGTTATGAGCTCTGTATAATGTGAATGGCCATTACAATCTTGGAAGGTGTTCAGTAGGGCCAGTCCTGGGGTGACTTCTAATACCCATTTAGTTAATTTGCAAGCACCCTGCACAATTGATGATGATGTACAAAGCAGCAGAAATTCTTCCTCCGTTGTTGAGCTGCTGGACATTATGAGCCCCAAAAAGAAAAGAAAAATACAGATATTCCTCCCCAGAAGAAAGAGACTGCATACAAAATGCACAGAGAGTAAACTGGAAAAATAATTTTAATTTTCTAGTTTCATTTTTAGTCATCTTAGCAATTATTTTCAAACTAGAATAGGTAAAAATCCTTCAACAGAAAAGTGATTAAAAAACAAGCAACCAGCCCACCCAAACCAGGTAGTACGCACCACAGAGCCAAGTCTACTTATTATGACAGTTGTCAATTCTGTCCTTCCCAAGATACATCAAATAATATTTGTGCACATGGTGATAAAATCCCACTGAACTTGCAAAGGAACGCCCCCCCAATCTTTGGCAAAACCATCCAGTATGGCTCCATAAAAATTTGCACATTTGAAAAATCTCTCCCCCCCCCGCCCCCGTTGCTAACACATCTATACACTCATGTAAAAAGAGTTACATTTATGAATAAGTTACCATCATAATTGATTAATTACGGCTAGAACTCTGTGTGTGTTTGTCTAGACCAGGAGTGAAGAAACCTTTCCAATCCAAGGAGTATATTTACTCATGGACACCCCCTTCCCCTCCCTCCCTTTCTCCCTCCCATCCATCCACACAGACAGACAGAGGTGCTTCCTCACCATTCAAGGACATATTCCAGCCAGGCAGAAGCACAGCAGGATGGGTGAGGAGTGGGGCCTGTGGGGGGAGCCCACACAGCCTGTTCTGGAAGCCCACCTTTGGCCCCTGGACCAGATTCTGCCCCCTCCTGGCTCAGATTGCCCAGGCACATTTTGCACAGCTTCTGGGGAAATGAGAGAAGTCCACATTCCAGTCCTATACCCCAAGAGGTGGACTTATTAAAAAGCACCACCAGAGCCACCGCTTTGACCTTGTGAACCAGGGACGGGGAGCCTGTGGGCCTCCAGCTGTTGCTGGACTACAACTCCCATCACCCCTGACTACTGGCCTTGCTGACGGGCTGATGGGACTTGGAGTCCAATATCTGGAACACCCCAGACTCCCCCACCCCAGATTTTGCATTACATTTCAGGACAGCTTACAGCACGACCCCAAGTCATCTTGAATTCAGGGGGCATCTGGCCTCAGGCAAGTGTTTAGGATTGCAGCCTCAGTCCTTCCAGCACAGGATTTCAAGGTACTCTTCATTCTGGATTTAGTGATGTCAGTTTGCTAACCAGATCTGCTCAGAAGTTGAGTCCCAGTGAAATTTTCAAGCGTGCTCCCATGTAAGTGGGGTCAGGATTGCAGCTGCAGCAGATGGGCTTTAAACCACTCCTGCGCCACGAATGCTGTAATGCCTTGGCTGCCTGGCCTGGTGTAGAGATCCCCTGCCTTGGGAGTAAGGGTGACCCAGGGGGTGCCTGGTGTGTGCGAGAAACTCAGTGCAAAATAAATTTCAGGTGAACTAGGTCAGGATTCAGGGAGGCCCTTTTTCACGTGCCTCGTCGAGAGGTAGAGGGTAGCAATTCTGCTTGTGGGACGCTGTCCCCAGGGAGGCTTGCCTGGCGTCTTCATTACATATTTTTAGGCGCCAGACAAAAACATTTCTCTTCAACAAGGCATTTGGCTGATTAACGTTCTAGGGCTTTTTCAATCTGTTTGTTTTGTTGTTCTATTATGTATTTTGCATTCTCATTTTGTATTTTTCTGTTGTGAACCACCCTGGGATCTTCAGATGAAGGGCAGCATACAACTTTAATTAATTTAATAATAATAATAATAATAATAATAATAATAATAATAATAGCAGAGGACCTCCATCACTGACGGGCAGCTGGCTCTTGATGTGAGCTTTCACTGGGCCAAAAGGGATGCGCGGGGGTGGGGTGGGGCATGGCTCTCAGTAGAGGAAGGTCCAGCCTTTTGTAGAAGAAATATTGATTATAGCTGTTGTCAAGCTCAGGCTTTGAAGAGGCAAAGTCACAGGTCCAATCACCAGCGCCTCCAATTAAAAGATTACCAGGAGATGGGAAAGGCCAGGTGGTTGGCAAAGAGAGCCACTGCCAGCCAGAGCAGGCAATACTGGGCTAGATGGACCAAAGGTCTGACTCAAAACAAGGCATGTCCAGGCACCTAGGTTCCCAGGTCCTGTGTGTATTGCTGGCCTTGTATAAAGCAGCAACTTTTGCATCACCCCTTTGGTGCAGCGTCTTCGGGTGCCAAGCACCTGAGGCAAATTCCAGGTTCCGCTGACTATCAATATATTCAGCAACAACCTCAAGGTGAACAAAGGGGAGAATCAAGAGTCCCCCGTTATCTTGGGGCTCTTTGCAACTCGCTTTGCTGTTGGGTTTCAGCTCCAAAGAGGCTTACCATCACCCAGTTGTGCAAATAAGCCGTTAAAACATTGCTACATGGCATGAAGAACAGCAACAGAACTACTATGGTTTTGTGTTGAAGTCTGCATTCCAAACACCCTGCATTTCTTTTTTAAAAAAGGTTACAGCCTTAATCTGAAAGGCAAGAGCTCATTAAGACGATCTCAACGCCTTCAAAATACACGCCATATTGGCTCACTGGTCTCTTGCAGTGTAAAAGGGAGTGAGCTCATACAGCATCTTGAAATCAGAGTCTTTTTTGTCCCCCACCCTCCAATATTCATCATGAAAGAGGGGAAGGGGCTTCCTGAAATCAACAGAAGCCCCTGGCAGCACCTTCAAAATTAACAGATTCATCAGGTGTATGAAAAGGCCACTGACACAGGTAGGTACACATACGTTGCGTGCAGAAGGAAAGCAGGAATTAATCACTATTTTAAAGTGAAGCCCAAAGACCGACACACTGCTGGCTACAGCCCCCTGCCGTATCCTTTTTCAGAGGACAGATGTGTACCAGACAACCCCATCCATCACTTGTTTTGCCTCGACTCTCTCTGAAGAAAGATTATATATTTCTTCCCTCTGCATCCGTCTCTTCAAACATGAGGTTTGTGGCTTCTGCCAAAACTAAACTGTCAAACATTTTACAATACAGGGCTGTGACCCAATTCGCAAGGTGCAGTGCGTCGTACAGAGCTGCTGCCCTTCAGATTTTTCGGGCTGCAACTCGCACCAGTGAAGACATCGCTTGGCCATGTTGGCTCAGCAGTTGGTGAGAGCTGTGGTCTGAAACATCTCCAAGCTACCTGGCTGCTGTTGGCTGGCTTAGCAAGGCCGTGCAGGTCTCTTCGTCCCGGAGAGAAGCCAGCAGCCACTTTCCTCCTCCCTGGTCCATTTCGCTGCAGACCTACTGCTCTCGGCTAGAGGTCATGGTTAGAAAGAGGGCTGAACCCCAAGGCTCCGTGTGGGCGACATGCTCAGCCAAACCGTGGCTTGGCTCAGCGTGGCAGCACAAAGGACAGGGGAGAGCAAAGCGGGTGCAAGCTCGTCTCCTGGAAGTTTGGGCTGTGTGTCCTGTGAACGTGCTCTTTCGGTTGTGTTTGCTGCAGGCTAACATGGCTCCTCCTAAGCTCTTTAGGAAGCTAAAGAATGCATATATAACACTGTCCAAACTCCTTCAACCCCCAGCTACACAGATGATATAGAGCTAGGATTAAAAAAAACCCGCACAGACTGGAGGAAGGAAGAAGGGTCCGTTTCCTGGTCACTGCTGCAATTTCTCATTGCCGCTAAAAGGGATGGGCCAGGCAACCAGCAAGCTTGGCAAAAAAGATGGGCACCTGCTTCTCCTTTTGGGTAACGGGAGTCTGGGGAGTAGGACGAGACCTGCAGCTTCCCTCAGTTGCTCTGCTGGGGAAGGTTTCTCCTCCTGGGCTCATCTCCTCCCTTTTTGCTTTCTCTGCAAAACCCAGCCTAGGAGAGGAATGTGCGAGATCCACAGAGCGGATCCCACAAGCACCAGCCATATTCTACAACAGCCTTCGTTGGTAAATTGTCATGAATGCAAAAAATAAAAAATCTCGGAAGAGCACTAGGAGAGGGAGAGAAATGGAATGAGTTCAGGTGGCTTCTAAAAGAACATAGAAAGAGTCATTTCAACTAGCTCTGTATTGTCTACATCAGTGGTCCCCCCCCCGCTCCCTTGAAAATTGCGGAACATCTTGACATGATTTTTCTGCCTGTTGTAGCAATCATAATGCACTGTGCTAAATGCTGTAAGAGTTTTACTTGCAGTTTTATTGTCACTTTCCCTGCCCTTATATATTGCATTTAATGGTATTGCGATTTGATTCCAAAGAATGCAAATTGTAATACAAGAAAATGCAGTATATAAGAAATAAAAGCAGCCACAAAAATACATATTCAATGCGACGCATCCTGTCACAAAGCCACAGCTGCAGAACCACCTGAACAGAATCTGCGAACCCCTGATCTACGCTGCCCAGGAGAGGATCTCTGGGGTTTTAAGCAGCAACGCCTGGAGGTGTCAGGGATTGAAGCTGCAGCCTTCTGCATGCAAGGCAAGTGTTCTTCCACAGAGCTAAGGTCCCTCCCCAACTTGAGTACATAAAAAATTGATGCTGGTACCTACTGATTTCAAGTATTTTCCCAGCCCTGTATAGGGAAGTTTACTAGCTCAGTGAAGATGCACATATTGTAATACAGGGCGTCTCCTTTTTAGTACAGGTGGGGACTATCTAAATCCGACTCTTGCATTTTCCAATATCTCTCTCATCGCGATGAGGGCCATTTTGTTTGTGAAAAAAATATGGTTAACGATGAGGGCTAGAGACTTTAAAAAGAAAAAGAATATGTAAGCGAGTCAGCACAGCCAAGGGTCAGGAATGATGGGAGCTGTAGCTTAGCAACATCTGGAGGGCTTCTGGTTCCTCGCCCCTTTTCTAGACGCAACACCGTCACACAAAGAACACAGTACTTTGATAACACACACACACATCCTGAAATAACCCTCCAATTCAAACACATCCCGCATTCCAGGCTCCCATCACAAGCACTGAAGACATTTGCCCAGAGAAGAACTCTGAGCCCAGCAGTGTTTTGACACTCCAAAAATGAAGCAATGAGGATTGCCCCTTAAGAATAAAATAAAAATAGAACACAAAAATACATTTCAAAGCCTTCTTGATAAACACTTCTATACAGAGAGACTTCAATGTGCCAAAAGTAAACGCACATCAGTTCCAAAAGATTAATGTTCCTAAAGAACCTGAAAATATTTTCCAAGACACCACAGAAGAGGTTGCATAAGGAAGAAAAAAAATACAGCTAGTAGATTTCAGATTCCACCCACGGCCCTTACTGCAGAGAAGGGGAGCATGTGGCCCTCCGGATGCTGATGCACTCCAGCTCCTGCCAGCCCCAGCCAGAATGCCCAATGGGCAGGGCAGCTGTAGTCAAACAGCATCTAGAAGGCCAGAGTCCCTTCGGCAAATTACAGATTAGAATCTGATTCATTCGTTATTATTTTTATTTTAAAGTGGCATATAAATGATATATAAATTAGGTACTCTCGTTTTGTAACCATTTGTTGATCCAAACATTTCCCCAAGATATTTTAAAAATTAATATATATTCACTTCTGGAGCCAAGTGAATGGTCTAGAAACATCTGTGGTTACAGCAGACTTCCTCCCTCAACCTGACGCCTTCTAGATACTACAGTTCCCATTATCCCCGACTGTAGTCCAACAGTCTCTGGAGGGCAGCTTTGCTCCAGCGTTCACTTCAGTAGTAAAAGTGCTTCACTTCTGCAAGTTAACCTGCTGCGGGAGTAAACTGCCAAAGCAAGATCCACCCGGTACCCTCAGGTGCCGAGGGGAAATGCAAGGCACTTTGGAAGAGAAGAAAAAACAGACCCAAAACAAAAAGTCCCCAATTTCTTCAAACTGGACGACAGCAACGCTGATGAGCTGGTCCAGACCCACTTAGAACTGTCTTTCAAGCATCCCAGGCAGAAATAAACAGCAGTTAATTAGTCCCAGATAGTCCAGCAGTAATTTTAACACCAAACTTCCGCTTCAAAGTGCAAACCCTGTTAAGTCCAGCAGTAAATTGGGGGGGGGGGGGAAGAGAGAGAGAGAGAGAGAGAGAGAGAGAGAGAGAGAGAGAGAAGACAAAGCACATCCACTGTCTCCCTTCTCTCTTGCCCGCAAAGGGCACAGCACACACCAAAGCAAACACCAGGAATCTGAGGAAGCCGACTGCAGTTCCTGGAAGCTTCTGTCATAATAAATGTGTTGGTTGCTTTAGGCAGCCACAACACCGTTTGTTGCTTTGCTGCCAATACATGAACATGGGTCCCTCTGGAAAAAAGGTTTTAAGGAATTGCTTTAGGCAGAATCTGACAAGGGATCCATCCTGTACAGGCAGCCTCCACCCACACCTGGAGCCACCCCCAGATGTCAGTCCAACAGCATCTGGAAGGCACCAGATGTTAGCGAAGGTTGCTGTGGGTCATCAGGGGGTTAAGCCAAACCTTTGGGAACAACCCACAATACCTACCGTAACCAAGTATGTGCAACAGAAACAATCACATATTCATATTTTCTTCCTGTTTACCATGGCCTCCTTTATCTCTTCCTTGCTGTTTCCCCATGCCTGTTTTGGGCTGAAAAGCCCCGTGGCAAAGGGGCCTGCCCACCCAGGGCTCTCTAAAGCACCATGTACATAGGTCCAATGACCTTAGCTCAGTGGCAGAGCATCAATCCCCGCCATCTGGGACTGGCACAGACTTCTGTTTGAAACCCTGGGACTCTGGAAGGCTGTTGCCAGGAAGAGGGGGCCAAACTGAAAACTACTCTGCCCAGTGACAAGGCAGCTTCCTGCATTAATTTCTTTGCTTTAAATTAAACACTGCATTTCAAATCCCCAACATGACTCACAACAACAGTTGGGTTATAGTGTTCCTAGGGAAGCCATGCTGGGAGCTGAGCCTGGCCCTCAGGAACAGGCAGAAGAAGACTTTGGCTCGTAAGCCAAACACACTTTCTCCCAAAGTAAAACAAGGGCCTTGGGTCTACGGGTGGGAAGCACAGGACCAAGGGTCTGCACACACTACAGAAACAGAACCGGTTTGCCAAGGCTATTTTAACCAAGGCAGTGAAAATGGTTGCTATTTGCAGCGCAGCTGCCGTGGTGGTCAAGTGATGCCATTACTAGCTGCCACTGCAAGAGTCCTGTATAAAAGTTCTAGCATAACAAAACCTCCAAGCAACAAGACTCAAAAGGAATTTGGGGCACTTCCAAAATGCAAATGCCTTAATGAAGGGAACAATTAACTTCTGCCCCAGGGACAGCGCTCTTGCTGCCAAGGTATTCTCCATTCTAACCTGGGGTTGGGGGTGGGGTCAGGATCACACTTACTTTCCCCAATAACCCAGGGGTGGGGTGGGAGCCTGGGGGCTTCCTGATGATGTCACTGGACTCCCATCATCCTTCCTGACCATTGGGCCGTGCTGGCTGAGGCTGATGGGCGCGCTGGTCTCTCCATCCCTGTTCTACAATCTTCTATGCTTATGTGCAAATAAGCTCATTATGTTCAAAGAGGCTCACTCAAAGGTTAGGATGTGCTGGCCTGGAATATAAATGAGCTGGATATATTTAAAACAAACAAAAGCCAAAATGTGTTCAAAGATGACCCATGTTTTTCGGGAAAGAACGCCAATTACTGTATAAATCCTGCTAACTTAAAGCCAATGTGCTCAGTTTCTCCTATTCAATTCTGCTTCAACTCAAGTGAACTGAAGAGTTAAATAGGGTGCTCATCCTGCAGCCTAGAAATCTCTCTCTCTCTCTCTCTCTCTCTCTCTCTCAAAAGTCATGGTACTTGGAAACTGAATTTTCTGGCTAAGAGCTTTTCTGTCCTCCAGGGAGATGTTGCCTACACAGCTCTGTGTCCACTTCTTACTTGTCTCCTGGGGTTTTAAGAAACCCAGGATCACGCCAAAAACAAAAGATTGCTCCTCGATTCTCTCAGGCAGGTTTGAATTCAGGTTGTTGCAGCATGAATCTGAGAAACAAACAATCCCCCCCTCAAATGCTAGTTACTAAACATGTCAAAGTAAAATGCTGCACTTCCTTACAAACCTCTTAACTTCCTCCCTTCTCCCCACAGGCCCACCCCCCAACCTGAGAGCACAGAATGTCCATTTCCCCTCATGATGAATCAGTGTCTAAAGACAAGGATCTGGACCACAGGACGGGAGGCGGCAGGAGGAGAGATTCCGAATTCCTCTCTCCAGCACCTGAACCTCCAGGTGCCAGTCCTTCAAAACACTGCAAGAACAGCACATTGAATCATTACTGTTATTTTTTAAAAGAACTAGAGAGCTAGGATGCAGTACTACTAATCTGTCTTTCCAGGCCAGCCAAATTCACGAAGAAGGGAGTCAACAGAACACAGGAGAAACATTTGGGCTGGCTTTAAAAAACAAAACAACAAAAAAACTTTCATAGTTTGAGTATCTATGCAAAATGGCTGCCCGGAGGTGGGAGGGTGTCGCCTCTGTGGTCCAGCTGATCCTGGAGCCGCGCGAACTCGGCCAGTTCGTTCAGTTCCTGGAACTGGCGGTCTGTCTTGTGAGTTACCAAGGACCGGTAGAAGTGGACCGCAAACACTATGAAAATCAGCCCGAAGGGAACCATGATGGAGGTCGAGGTGATGGCAGCAGCCTCGCCGGCAGAGAAGCTCTCAGTAACGTTGCTGGGCTTCCCACCTTCGACGGGGCTCTTCTTCTTCAACGGGTGGAACTTCACCCAGCAGAGGAGGACCACCTCGGCCAGGAAAAGCAGAGTCCCAATGACGGTGGAGAAAGCCCAGGCTAGCTCGATGTGGCGGTGCATGCGCTCGTGGGGGGACTCCTTGACCGAGTTGAGGTTGTGGACGTTGCTGACGGCCTCGATGTTTGGGAGGATGCAGGTGCTGACCATCAGGGCGAAGAGGTGGACGGCCACCAGCACCGTCGTGCAGGCACTGAAGGCAATCAGGAGCCCCGGTGGGTAGTCGTGGTCAGCATCTAGCTGGACTTCCACCATGGCCACCTGGGAGGCAGGGGAGAGAAAAGGCAGCAAGAGGTCACAGTTCAGCCCTTGGACCTAAGCCAGGGGTTCTCAAACTTTTTTCTCTGGGGCACGATTTCCGGATAACAATTTGCTTGCACCACACTGAATTGTTTTATTGCTAAGGAAGGCATTGGGAAACAGAAAGATGCAACTCCTGGCTGTGCTTGGTTTATAACAAGGAACACAACGACTTTATAATATGGTCATGAGACATCCAGAAAGGATAGAACAACATGAATCATTCCCAAAATCCCTGTTCACAACACTATGGAGATAGCTGATGATTAAGGATAAATAAGTTTTTTTTAAAAAAAACGAAAAGATGGTAATATAATGGAATGTGTACTAGAAACAACTAGGAGAATAAAGCAGCAACAAGAGGAAACCTTGGATGCACCAAGAACAGAGTGTGGGAGACCAATTTTTGGAAAAATTGTATTAAATTCGTAAAATTTGGAAAAATAAATAAAAAGAATTTGGAAACTGGTCGGCCGGGCTGCCTTCTCTGCAACCCCCACCATGCTGCCCCAGCCATGCTGCGAATAAGAGGCGCTGCTGGTCTCCTCCCACCCATGTTCATGGTGTACATCTTTATTCCTCCCTTGTTCCTGATGTACATCTTTGCTCACCTCTTCTTCCTGGGGAGGAAGGCATTTGGTGGTTTGCCTCAGGCGCCAGCAATGTCTTGGGCTGACCCTACCTTTGTCCAGCAGGCCAGCTCCCACGCATGCCTCTCTGTCCATTTGGGTAAGCGAGAGGAATTGCCAGAGCTCGAAGACACACTCCAGCCTGGGAAATGCACTCAAGGAAGGTCCAGTGCAGAGCTAGCAAAGGGCGTGGCCTGCAGGGAGTCCGGAGGGCCAAGAAAAGGGGCCTCAGGGGCCGCATCCAGGCCAGAGCATGAAACCTGGGCTGTGCCAGAGCCTGGCGTGGAGGCATGCCATGTTCCAAAGAGGCTGCAGTTTGGTCAGTGGCCGGAGAGAAGAGTGCTGGGACTTCCCCTCCCTTTGAGTTGAAATGACAGAAAGGAGGATATTTACATAGCTGAAAGCGGCTCTCGCACGTGTCTTGCATTGCGCCTCAGAAGATACCACACCCAACCATCTTCCACGCCATGTGCTTTCTCTCATTCCCAGCTGCATTTGCCAGCCTGGACTACAACTCCCGCCAGCCAGCACAGCTGCAGTCCCAAAACATCTGGAGGGCACCAGGTTGGCAAAGGCTGCTTTCTGCAAAGGAAGCCACACATCAAGCAAACTTAAGGAATACTTTCCCATTACCCATTAACACAACCTTTTTCTGCTTTGAAAGCTCCACAGTGAAGGGCTAAGAATTGTCTCTTTCGCCAGAGCTGGCACAGAAGCTGGGTTTATCAAAGGCAGTGCCCCTCCCAGTGCAGAGAGGGAATATTTGGCATTCCACAAGGGCCCCTCCTGCCCATCCAGCAAGGCAGGGAGGTCCTGGTGGAGGGTGGAACAGGAGGGGGCAAGGTTTGCTTTGTAAGTTTCTAGCACGGCATCTCCTGGACTTCCAAACAGCCTGGAAACCTTAAGTAAATGCCAGGAGATCGCTCACTTATGGAATACCACTGCCGGAAGTATAAGAAGGTGGCAAAACAAATGGGGAGCCTTCCTGGAACTATGGAACTCCCTGCCCAGGGATGTTTGCTTGCCATCCTCCCAACTGGCTTTCAAACAGCAAGTGGAAACCTTTTTCATCCAAGGCGTTTCCCAGCGTAATTATGTTCTTGAGTTAAGCAGTAATCAGTTGCCCTTTTTAAAAAATTGCCTTTAAAACTTATACTTCCCATTTGTTTGTTTGATTTATATACTATCCTTCATCAAAAGATTTCAGGGCGATTCAAAATGGCACTCAGTTTTACCCAAACACCTTCCAAAATCTGCTCTTTGATTTCAGGAACTATCATGCGAAAACTTTTATACATACATATAAATGATCTTTATTAAGTTTTCATTTGCAAAATACCACAAGAGCACCAGCCAGGCTCAACGAATCAAAGTCTGAATCAAAGTCTCTTTTCCATGCAAACCAGAAAGTGACTTCTCCAGACAACAGAACAGCTCTTTCCCCCCCTTATCTCTGTGGCTACAATCTCCTGGGGGACATGGACATCATTAGACAGTTGAATGCGCATGCGTACTCTGTCTGGTTCCCTCCCTCGCTCCCCTCTCCACCTTCGCGCGGCCCCGGGTGCTGGCAACTCACGCTATGCCACTGCCCTATTGACAGAAATGGGCCATGTTCCCTTTGCTTGCACAATACCTTTATTTTGTATGCAAGCTTCTCCAAATGTGCTTTGTATGCCAAACTACCCATTCAGACCCCTTGCCCTCAGTCCCCTCACTATGGAATCAGCATCTCAAATGTGAAATGGAGGAAAGCCTTTACAGCTCTGTGGTTCCACGCTATTGCCAGATGCCCTATGAAGAGAGAGTTTGCCCATGTGGGGTAATGTACCTGAAGATTTACCCTCCTCCTTACTTGTTTGTCCAATCTATGAGCACTTAAGAGCAGTCTTGTTTAAAGATTTACATCTCTCAGTTGAGAGATAGATTGGATATTTGATTTAACTTTTTATTAGGGGACAGGTCGCCCTATACCTCTGAAAAAGTGGTCTGATTTGCTTCTAGAGTGGCAGTTTGGAAGGAGAAAACTTGCGGGGATGACAAGTTAAATTCTTCAGGGGAGCAAACTCTTATCAGACAGAATATCTGGTTTGAATAATTATTTTAACTGTGTCATATATTCAATTCCGGTTTTTATTCTGTTTTATGTATTTTGTAATAGCTAAGGCTAGACAAACAAACGATTTCTGTAAATCTGCTGATACTAATACTTCAGATTCTGGTTTTAAACTTGCTCCAAAAATGTGCAATGGTGGCCCTTGCAGCCAAAAGGAAATGCAAAATCTGCTCATGGTGTTTAGGTTCCCTATTCCAGTCTTTGAACAGACGCAGAAGGGCCAATTCTGCAGACAGGATAACCACTTGTGAAGTTGTTGTAGATGACTCCTCAAAAACTTTCCTCCAATATTTTTGGATTTCTGCCTGGGAGAAGCTTTGGAAAACAGGAATGAAATTTCCAGCATGTTAGGTCTTAAAAGAAAATATTGCAAGGTGATATCTAGATGGTATTTAACCCCAAAGAAGCTAGCTCAAATATACAAAAATGGATCAAACAGGTGTTGGAAATTTAAGGACTGTGAAGGGTCATTCTATGATATGAGATGGACCTTTAGAATCTTTTAAACAAGACTGGAAATGGGACTTGACGTGTAAGAAAATAACAGAATATATTAAGAAACGTGTTAAAAAGGATGAAATTAGATAAGATGGAACCTTAAAAGGCAACTGTGTGTAATTTGGGTAATAAATATTGACGTTGGGTGAGCAGGAAGTCACTAGTTTTGTTGAATGGGAATATAATTTTTGAGTAACAAATATTACTTGTTATATGGAGAAAAAAAGAATATTTTTTAAACAACCTCTGATCTGGAGCTTGAAACTGAAGTTGCACCTCCCATCATGGTTTATCATGGAAAACCTCAGGAGTTGTCCAAATGCATAACGAGCGGAGAAACAAATCGCTTTCCAAAATATATAGGGGACTAAAATTTATTAGTTGCCATGTGCCGAAACTACCAGGTGACACAGACAAAACACTGATCAAAACATAAAACAGCAAATACAGCTTTTAATAAAACACAGCGGAGTCCAAGTACTACAGAGCTAAAGAAGCCCTGCTTTTAGAGCCCCAAAGCCCAATCGCCACCAGATAAACTGAGGACAAGGTAGTTAATATTGAAACCATTAACGTAATAAAAGATGTTAAAATGGATAAAATGCCCAAAAGGAGGCTGTCTGCCTTTTCGGCGATCAATGATTTAGGGGGTTGAATTATATGACCTCTGCGTCACCTTCCTGCTCTAGAATTCTATGCTTCAATGAATCACATTCGGTTCCTTTAAAATGTTCTATATTTTATTGGAGGAAGGAAGAATGTAGGATATTGGGGGGGGGGAGGGGCTGCATCATAGCGCACATCCTTTTTAAAAACAAAACAAGGCCAGCCTCCAGTTGGCTAAACAGCAACCATTTCTCCCTCTTACAGGAACAGGACTCCTTGCCAACGACTCGCGCTCACTTCCATGTGGAACAACAAGTATTATACAATGAAACCCTCCAGTTGGCATAACGGGGCCTCCCAACCGGCAGCGCCAGCTGAGAAAGTAGAAAACACTTCTTAAGGACAATTTTGGGCAGAAACGTTTGCTGGTGCCTTGGACAAAAGCCAGCGTCACTTTGCTTGAAGAGGGGTTTGGGATGTGACGCACTTATCACAAGGGCGCCCAAGGGAAGCAGGCAGAAACCATTTCCAACCACAGACAATAATTGGCTGCGCAGAGTAAAAAGCACAGGAAACTGAAACCTCCCAAAACTGACGCAGGCAGATGCTTCCGTTGTTTCTGCTGAGAAAAACCAACAAGCTCTTTGGTGATTTGGAAGAACCCAAGTAGACCTCATTCCCAGAGGCTGGATAACTCTGTACTCCAAAGAATGAGGTTACCTGGCTGGCTTAAGCCAATGGTCTTTGACTGGTGGGAAAGGATCTTCTACTGCAGGGTGCGGCGTAGAACATCCAGTCTGCAGGCCAGATTAAGCCCCCCCTCAGTCGTCCCCTTTTGGCTCACAGGGCCATTTTGGCCAAGCTACAATGTCCTATATGCAGTGGACCAAAGGGACCTGAACTGGGCACCATACAACACTCAAAGATTAGCTTTGTTGGGGCTTACATAGCTCCATACGCAGTGCTGTGCAAGTCTCAAAACAGGTCACCTGGCAACATGTGAAGTCAGGTGACTGACAGGAGGGTGGCCCTGCTCACCTGTAAAAGTTGGCCCGTGGCACATGGAGAGAGCCAGCTCCTGCTGTCTGCTCTACTGGGCTGTGACCTGATCTAAGGCAAATCACAACAGCAGCAATACAGCTATACAAACATATGATTAATAAAAACAGAAATAAGGTCCCCAGTGCATGTCTGGGTGCATCTAGGATGCAAAAAGCTGAAGGATACTAGTTCAGGGCAAAGAAAACAGACATAGACTGCTACTTTATCAAGTCTGCCCACATCTCGCTTGAATGGAGAGCAGAGTTGGAAGCTGCTAATGATTTCAATCAGAAGACATATAAAGCTTTTAGCTGGTTTAATCGACGGGTTCCCCCTGACTCTCTCCCTCCCCCCCCCCAGGGATCTTTCAATGCTGCTGCTTCAGGGAATGAAAAAATCAATTGAAGACAGCTTCTCTTTCCAAGAAAGACCCGCTGCTTTGGTTTCTGAAACACAAAAATCCCTCGCACTTCCTTCCACATCTCAGAAACAAAATGAACAAAAACAAAACTCCGGGGGAACAAGACTAGATTTTGCTTTGGACATTTAAATCTAAACAGACTAACTAAGCAACTCATCAGTCAGAAGGGAGGCAATTCACCAACTGAAACTTCTCGAAACCAGCTTTAAGGGAGAGGCATTTACTTGGAAAAGGAGAACCCAGCCAACTGACAAGGAAGTTAATCAGAAACCAAAGTTACATTCTGGGTCCCACTTGCCCCTTGGCTCCCTACTGCAAGACTTGGGAGCAAGTCAATGGCCATCAACGTCAATTAACCACCAAAGCCCTCCAGTGCTTGGGGGTCCTGGGTGTCTAAAGCTCAACTTCCTCCCACATGAACCTTGTCTTGGGCAATACACATCTTGATTGTTCTCTGTCCCAAGCAGCAAAATCCCTTGGACCAGGAATATCTTATCAGGAACAGGGTGCTTTGGGTAGCATCACCATTTATCCTTTTTCATGGTTTCTCCAGGAAGGCTTGCCTGTGACTGAATTTCACGTTCTCTCAAGTTCTTTTTTGTGCAAATCTTCTAGATCTTTAACATTGCTGCAGGGTTTGTTTTTTAAAAAACTGCAACTCTACTGTTTTAACGTTGTATTATTGTTCGGTTTTCTGAAGCAGAAATAATTTCACATTAATGTTCTCATCCTAAGCACATTTTCTCTTAAGTAAGTTTTGCCTGATTTCGATGCAGTTAGCTTTCCTGCAAGAACGCTTAGGGTGGATCTACAAACAGGGAAAACACTATAAATATGTCATAAATTAATTTGTTATGACAAAAGAAAAAAACCCTATGTAAAATCATATAAAGTTTTGTGCTCAACAGTGCCATCTGGTGTTACATGTTTATAACACATTTAAAACATCGTTTTTGACTAATGTAGCTGAGTCCCTAGTGTTACGGTCATGAACTTCCTGTTCGTGACTGCAATTGTATGGGAAGAGTGCCTTCAAGTGAGCAGAGGGGTTAACCAATGGGGGAACACGGTGTGCACACACACATGTGTGAGAACTTATGGTGGTGGTGGGGAACAGGACATGTTCCCTTCATTCTGATCCTTTGGAATTGCCCATACCTTCCAATTAGGCCAAAAGCATTCATCAATTGCACTATGAGAGTCTTTTCACAGATATAACTTGAGTACATTAAATAGCCTCTAGTCCCTTTCATAACATGGCACATACTCATCCGGCGCAGTACAGTCTACGTTGAATGGCAGCGATTCTCTAGAGGTTCAGACCACAGCATGTGAACGCACATGCTTCCCAACTGGAGATGTTGAGAATTGCATCTGGGATGTTCCGCATGCTGCTCTAACGCTGTACTCCAGCCTGCAACTAAACAATTCAGTGGGGAAGCACATCATTTGAAGAAAGAAGGTCCCATGGTCAATTCTCTGCCTTTGCAGTTTAAAATCAGGTATTGGGGAGGGGGGAGTCCCCCAGGTTGAGTCTTTTCCTCTTAGGCCACTTTCTCAGGCACCGCACATCTCCTGGGGAGGAGTAATCTCTGCAACAACCACCTATGTGCCAAACGAATTATATCAGGGGTCAGCCTTGATGGGGTTTTAGTAAAACAAAAAACCATCAGCTGCAACTTCTGCCAGTCAGAGTTAGAAAAATTTATTATTATTATTATTATTTGCATACCACCCTTCATCCAAAGAACAAGGGGCTCTGTGAACATTCTGAGCCTAGATGCTTGTCTGTGGTACTGGAACTGAACTGAGATCACAATCCTGCCTTTTACACAAAGGTCCCCCTCCCAGTTCCTTTTCTTGATTTTGGTGGAAAGAGTCATTTAGCTGTTGCTATTTAAACAACTGGGAGTCAAGATGCCTTTGGTGATCTACTTACTGCAAATCACCATGAGATCTACAGGTAGATCCTCATCTACCTTCCTCCCATCCCTGCGCTAGAACATTAGGTAAGGGGGGAAAGCACAGCCCAGATCCATTGCTCTTCGCCTGCCCTTATAAAACATGCATCCGGGAAAGAGCTCTCGTGCAACACTTGGAACGAAGGGGTTTTTAAATGGTTGCACAGCTGTGAAATTAAAATGCTTTGCTCCAGAGACATCACATGTTCAGCTTGCGGCTCCCAAGGCAACACAAGTCACCCGTCAATCAAGCAGACGCCAGCCTTCTGCAAAGACCCTTCAAGAGCCACAACCTGTTTTTAGCTGTTGAAGAACAACTGACATTTATCTGGCCAGTAGCAAGCTGCCATGCAGAAGAGGCTGTGCTGTGAAACAGCATCCTCGTGTGTTTTCTTCCCGTTTTGAGAGTTGCAGTATTTTCTTTTTTTTAAAGTCAGTAAGTTGCAATTCAAACCCCCCCTTAAAAAAAAAGCCTGCACAGCATTTTAAAAACAGAATAAGAGGTCTGAAGAGCTGACAAGCTTCCCCCCCCATTCATTTTTGAAGGCAGTTTGCTAAACAAGGCGCAGCAGCCCACAATACCATCCACTGGGCTTCTGCTACAGCAAACCTAAAAACTAGTTAATAGGTGCAATTAGCCAACTAAACCTAACATAGCAGATTGAATTTGAATTCATTATCTCACACCACCTGCACAGCAGCCTTCTAAGGTTGGGTAGTGATGTGAGCTTTTTTTTCGGGGGGGGGGTGTCCTGTGCAAACTTGGGTTATATGCACAAAGAAATTGCACTGGAAATTGTTCAGTTTGCACAGGAAAACTTTCTGGTGCCCAAGAGGAGGAGGTGAGAACCTCAGGTGGGGGGGGGGTGGAGCAGGGGGGGGCAAACACAGCTCTCAGTTTCCGCTCTCTGTTGAGCTTTTGAGATTCTCTCCCCCCCCCCCCCTGCTCTGCTCTGGGCCTTCTACCTGGCTGGTATGTTCTGAATGGGGATAATGTTTCTTTGTTTGCCTTGAGGGAGGGGGCCTCTGAAAAGGGTCTCAATCTGTCCATTTTTGCCTCTGGCCCCACAGACCACTGGCTCCCCATGTATCCCTGGAAAGGTGCCCAGAAGGGAATGCCACCCTGCAGCTTAAAAAATGCTCCCCTAGAGAGCGATCTAGTTTCCCATTTTTATTTTACCTGAATTTAGTAAACAAAGCTAAAACTCCGGAGCTGCCAGCCTCGCCTGATGTTGCATTTGCTGTTGGCAGGCACTCATTGCTGCTGATGAAATAGAAGAACGTTTTCTGCAGAAAAATTAAGCCCTGGAAAATTTTCCACCCACATTACTGAAGGCAGGTCAGTATTTTTATCCTCATACAGCAAATGGGGAGGTTGAAGCTAACAGAAAGCGTGAGGAGAGTCCTGCCTAAAATAGTGCACTGACTTTGCAGCAAGGATGAGATTCGATTAGTTCATCCTCTTAGCTACGATGCCTTGCCAATTTGACTTCTGTGGGGCTAATTCCCTGGGGCCGCAGCCCAAATCTTACGCCTCTGCGTTTCAGGGATGACAAACGAAAATCAAAACATCTTTTTCCTCTAACTGCTTTTGTGTCTGAGATTTGTCCAGAATAGCTGCTGGCAGAACAAATTTTGGTCCATTATCCCCTTCCTAATCACACAAACGGATGCCAAGGGTTTATACACCATCCACCTTAGCCAATGGTGCAAAACAGCAGATGTACTTTGTGCCGCCCCCAGCCCCACTTTTTGGAATTCTTTGCGGGGAGATTTAGTCAGCAGAAGCTCCCATGAGACATAATATATGCTAAGACCCCAGTTCAAATTACGCCAAAGTCAGCCTTCATCAACTGGTGCTCTTTAAATATTTTGGCCTGCAACTGCCATGAACTGATTTGGTGGGCAGACGCCAGCCTCTCTTCTTCATCTTTTGCAATGGGGGGGGGCAGCATACTGGGGTAATGAACAGCAAGTACTTTGAATGCTACAGGCACATTGGCAAGTCACAATAAGTCAAAGCTGTCTGCTTTTCATTGTTAACTGGGAACAAGCAATGGGCTGTTAGCTACAAACCCTTCCCCATTATGTTACCTGGGAGAGATTCTGACTCGCCACAGCCAAGTGGGTAGTGCAAAGAAAGTTATGGAAAGAGAAGGTTTAAGTACAGACCTAAGTAATAACTGAACATTTGCAGTCTCATTACTATGCCCCGTTTGTGGAATTCCCTCCCAGAGACAAAATGTTTGTTATGATCTGTTTTATTTTTTAGACAGCAAATGTAAACTGCTGTACAACTCAATTGCAGCAGCATGGGCTGAATTTTAGCAGCATGCTTTGGTTTCACTGAAGGTTGCTTCAGGGCCACTGGGGTGGAAATGCACAGGCTTTAATTAAAGCAGTATAAATGCAGCTACTGTAGATGCAAGACCTCAAGGTTAGGGGAAGTTGGGCAACCAATTAACATGATGGCTGTCCATGTCCCTCTGCCCATTTTCCACAGTTCACAAAGCACAACAGCTTAGAAAAGAAGGGTGTGCGTGGCACAGTTAACTTGTCATCCTGGAGGCTTATTCACACTGCAGATAACGGCGCAGCAGGCAAACACTTTTGTGCATTTCCTTGCTCACTGACCAAAAGGGCGCAATGCCCCAAGGTTGGAAGATTACGCTAACAGTCTCGGCTACTTTGGGTCCCAGATGCTGTTGGAAGCACGCCCCCCCCCCTTAACCAACAGTCAGGGATGATGACATCTGGGCACTTAGGCAGAATCTGTAACAATACAACTACAAATCGTTCCACACCAGGACAACACCAGTAACATTGACAAAGAATTTATCTCTATCACTCAAAGCAGCTTCACTTACAAAATGGTTCACTGTACACATTAGGAAACGTGCAGCATAAGTTATGAATAATTATTACTATTATTAGCACAGGAAACCTAGAAAGTTGCCTTATATCAAGTCAGACACTTGGTCCATCTAGTTCAGTTATGCTGGTACTGACTGGCAACAGCTCCTAGGGTTTCAGGCAGGGGGCACTTGCAGCCCTAGGGACAGAACCAGATGCCAAGGAACTGAACCCAAGGCCTTCTACATGCAAAGCCATGTTCTGCCACTGAGCCCTTTCCCCAAAACACCCATCCTCATTGGGAAATGTGGGGGTGGAGAAGGGGTCCACTTCTATCCCTGTGGGTAATCGTGTCTCTGCAGCTACACTCAAAACAAGGCTGGCAACAGTTCACTCCTACTATGGGAGGAAAGTTCAAGGAGATGCAAATCTTCCTCTCTCGTGGCATCATGAAGAACCAACCGCATTCCTACATGCACACTTTCCTCCTTTTGCTCACACTGAAGTGCAAATTGCACAACACCCCCCTGCACGATTACTGAGAAGTCTAAGGAAGTTCGGTGGAATTTACTGCTGTGTAAATGTGGATAGTTTTGCAAGGCGAGTGTCTGGAACTGGCATAGATCAACGGACTAAGAGAGTGGCTGGGTGTTCATATTCACATGCAGGTACCTAGTCCTGCCCTGTTGACTCCTATGGGAGGGCTGCAGCTTGGGGCCAGAGCATCTGCGCCCCCCCCTTCTCTCCCAGACATCTCCAGGCAGGGGAAGAAGGCCTAAGAGTGGCTGCTGTTCAGAGCAGGCAGTATGGAGCTCTGTGGATAAATGGCCCGATTCTGAATAAAACATGAGGAGGGGCAGGTAAGCCCTGCTCTGCATAATCGATCACAAAATGTGGTGCACACACCCAATTTGAATGGTAATGTGCATCAATGGGGGGGGGGCTTCCTCAAATTTTTTTTTTTTTGGAGGGGGGCTATTTCGACCCCTTGGAGTTGGCTTCTACGGAGGTATAAGGCAGTTTCCTAAGCCTCACCGCAGCGCTATCAGTTAACTCGGGATCGGTCTAACAAGCATTGCACAAATTCAAAAGTTGCGGGAGGGAAGCTGGGGCAACTGGGGAGCAAAACTCTTGGCCGGCCTTGCACGGTTTAATTCTCGATGGACGGGCTGGGATAAAGTTCCAACCTAATTGCCCCCCTCGCACAAAGGTAGGCCGGGCGTTGTCCTCTCCAGCAGGGAAGAGGATGCCAGGGCAGAGAGACTGAGCAGTTTGTCGAAAGCACCTACTGCGCTCTCGGCTTAACTGCTTCCTCCGCCGGCACCACTCGCGCGCGGGCCAGAGCCGAACTCGGAGCAGAGCATTCACACGTTCGCGGAGCGGAAGGGGGCAGGCAGCGGTTCTCCGCCGGAGGGCGCCCCCAAAGGAGCTCCCCTCCCGGCAGGGACAGGGAAAGAGGGCGGTCCAGGGCGGCGGGTGGGGGAGCGCTCACCATGGCGAAGCCGGAGAGCAGCGCCGAGGTGCGGCTGGAGGCTTTGAGCTTGGCCCGGCTGAGGTAGAGCTTCCGCCAGGACAGCGCCTGCATGGAGTGCTCGTTGAGGCTCATGGGGAGCTCCGGCGGGGCGCGGCGCGCAACGCGGACCTCCGGCGGCTGCTCGGCCTCCTCCGGCTGCTGCTTCGCCCCGCTCGCCCTCGCCGCCGCCGCCGCAGGGCCCCGCCGCGCGCGCCTCAGCTGCCCCCCATGGCGCCCGGCTCGGTGCGCCTCCGTCCGTCACTCCGCCTCGCTGCGCCCCGGCCGCCTCTCCGCAGCGCCTCCCTCCGGGGCTGGGCCAAGACCGGATGCGGCCCGCTGCTGCCAAGTTCCCCTCGCAGGCCCCTCCTGCACGGAGGGAGGGAGCCAGCGAGCGAGCGAAGGGCCGCCTGGCAGCCAACCGGCCTGCCGGCGCCAGGGAGCCTTTTACGCACCCAGATGCGCCCGGGCGCACGCGGGCCAGTCTCAGGCAGCGCAGGAAAGCACCGGCCCTCGGCCCCTTCTGGGGCATTAGTGGCTGGCCCTCTGCAGCGAGCTGCGACTGTACAGGGAGGCTCCATTTAGCCGGCCTGCCCTGTTGGGTCGGATCCAAGGAGTCCAGGGTTGAGGGGCAGCGCGGCTCTCTCGAGGTCGCGGTGCTCTGAACTCCCATCAACCCCAGTCGGGGCACAGGAGTGATGGGAGTTGTAGTGAAGCGGCCTCCCTCGGGGAGCAGGTAGTGGTAGTCAACCTGGCGCCCTCCAGATGTGCTGGACTCTGGCTCCCATCGGCACCGGCCAGCCAACTGGTCAGGCTGGCAAAGGCTGATAGGGAGCGTAACGGGCTCTCCCCGTGGCCGACCGAATGCGCGCAAAGAAGGGCGCCCGATTCTCATCACCGTCGCTCCCCGTCGGGTACACTGCCTTTGAACATGGATGTTCCATTTAGGCAACATGGCTCACTGGCATTCAGCCCAGCTCTCCTCCATGAATTTGCCGCACCTATGCCCGATTAAGATTTCAAGGTGCAATTATGGTATTTCAGGACACGGCAGAGGGTTGGGGTGAGTGCATATCCTGGCCGCGGTGCCATCCGAGAAAAAGCCCCAATGACCGACATGTGTCATTTATTTTAGACTTTTTAAAAGGGGGAGGGGGAGCCACTATAGGAATCCGCGGGGAAAGCTATTTTTCGTTGTTCAACGCTTCTCGTTGCCTTTTACAGACTCTTACAAAATGAAAGAGGAGCCGGCATACAAATGGAGCTCTTTCACATTGCCCTCTCCATTTGGCATAGTGCTGGGATTGTGAAGAAACGCGGGCTCCGAAAACCATGGCTACGGCACGCACTGGAGATTTTAATGAGCTGCTACTTTCTCGCCCCCCGCTCAGCTGGTGGCCGGGGAGGGCAGGCCGACCCTTCATTCTCACCCTGTGGCAGAATGGGGAACAAGTTCAGCGGGAGCAAAAGCTGCTGGAACAGGTTTAATTGCCTGTCTGGAGCTTCCAGCGACCATCCTTGGGGGCGGCTGCTCTGCGGAAGGCGATGGCTCCCCACGTGGCCGGTGATGCCGCCTGGGCAAGATCCTGGGCCAGTTTATTCGGGACCCCAATCAGCAGAATGGCACTGCAGGGCTTGTGCATCATCATTTGAAGTGAGGTGACACACACTGCAGCCTCAGGAGAGGTAACCCTGAAGTAATTAAGTCCAGAGTTCTTACTGCACCACTGTCTTCAGGGCTGCAGCATTTACAACAGAATCCTCTGCACATTTACTGAGAAGCAAATTCCACTGTGGCCCTAGTAACAATGCAATCCCAATAATATATTCAGAAGAAAATCATATTGAATTCAGATAGGCTTACTCCCCAGTAAGCAGGTTTAGGGCCATGGACACAACTGAACTCTTTAAAATGTGTCCCTACTTAAGCAGGGAGGTGTTTTAATTTAAAATAAAAAAAACCTTTAAAACACTACCAGTAGCAAGCATTTTCTCAAGAGGCCTTGGGGCGGGGGGGGGGGGGGGTAGGTTTGCCACATCAAAGGACCCTCTTCTAAGAAAGATGCTAATCACAACATATGTGCTTTTTTTCTTTAAAAAATGTTTAGGGGTACTCTCATTTTGACTCAAGAAAATCACCATTTTATAGTTCAAATAGGGAAAAATAAATACAGTAAATGGACAAAAGTACAAAGATTCACAAAATGTTTAGGGGTATGCGTACCCCCAGAAAAAAAGCACTGTGTGCATTTATCTAAAAACTAAAGTATGCATGCATCTTGTTTTGGAAACAATTGTTTTTACAAACATTGCAAAAACAAACTAAAGATTAATTTGTTTGACTGAAACCCACATGCTTAATCAACTAAGATTTCTTTAATGGGCCACAGTCTTAATATTCATGTTCCAATGTTCTGGATGTTTTCATCAATTATGACAGGGGCAGCCTGAGGTGAAACAGGAAGGTGGCACCCTGTGCAGGGACTGCACACTGCCCTTGCCAAAGCCTTGCATGGCCAAAGCCTTGCTCACTGGGATGGCACTGCTTCTGCTGCTGGGACGATGCCTGAGAGATTGTGCAAGGCCTCTGGGAGATCTTGCAGGGCTCTCATGAGATCTTGCTGGAAGCAACCACCGCGATGGGGGGGGGCAGTGGGGTGTGTGCCCCTTAGGTTATTATTATTTATTAAATTTGGATACTGCCCTTCATCTGCATATCTTGGGGTGGTTCACAGCATAAAAATACAAGATAAAAATACAAAATACATAAGAAAACAAAACAAATAACCCCATTCCCCCCCAAACACATTTAAAAGGGTATAGGATGTTAATCAGCCCAAAGCCTGGTCGAAGAGGAATGTTTTTGCCTGTTGCCTAAAGGTGTCTAATGGAAGGCGCTAGCTGAACTTTCCTAGGGAGAGCTTTCCACAAACTGGAAGCCACTGCAGAAAAGGCCTGTTTTCTGTTACCACCCTCCATACCTCTTGTGGGAGAGGCACACAACGGGCCTCAGGTTATGATGGCAAGGTCCGGGTAGGTTCATATGGGCTGGGGCGGTCCTTGAGATGTTGCAATCCTGAGCCACTTAAGGCTTTATAGGTCCAAACCAGCACTTTTAATTGGGCCCAGAAAATAATCAGCAGCCGGGCCAGGATTGGTGTGATACGTTTCTGAACCATCTTCAGAGGCCGTCCTATGCACGATGTGTTGCAGTAATCTATCCTTGAGATTACCAGAGCATAGAAAGAAATTAGGCTATCCCTGTCCAGGTAAGGGTGCAGCTGGGCCACCAGCCCAAGATGATGGAAGGCACTCTGCGCCTCAAGTGACAGCAAAGGACCCAGAAGTACCACCAAGCTACATATCTGCTCCTTCAGAGGGACTGTAACCCCATAAACAGCAGGCAACCCCCCTTCCGTACAGGCCAGGCCAGGGAACTGCCCACTAACAGTGCCTCAGTTTTACCTGGCTGCGTCTGTCTGCCTCAAGGACAGTCTGGTCCTGAATTATAGTATCTTTAATTCTCACCTTTTGATTTATCCTCCAGTTCATCTCTGTGATTACACTCTTGTGAGATATGCTCTTGTATTATGCAAACTGGAGAAATGGCTCTCCATTCATGGCCCAGAATCTGAGTTTTGCCCTTCTGGAAAGGTGGAAGCAAACCTCAGCCTTTGCCTGACTGAGGGGAAAAGCGGGTGCAACGCTTGCTAGGAAACACGTGAATTTATAAGGAAACAACATAGGCCTCTTGTTTCAGAAATGCTATCTTTACACAGAGGCAAATCCAGGCACATAGATCTGATCAACAGACTCAAAACTCAGATGAGAATTTATTTGTAGCCAACAGGTGATAATAAATCAATGGGTGGCAGGTGTTTCCTTAGAAGATTAAAGTATTAAACAGTTTAAAAATAAATATACCTCCAAGTGGTATATCACACACAGACACACAATCACTTAATTTAATTTAAAAAAAAAACACCCAAGAAAAATAAAACAAAAGCATAACAACATGTACTGTAAAAACATTTAAAACAAAACTTCAAGCACACAAAATGGGATTTAAGCGCACAAAACTCTGATTTTATGGCAGAGGTGAGGGCATTCTGTGGTATAGGAGCAGCAGCAGAAAATGCCTGTTTTTGGGGCCCTGCCCTATGAAATTCTGTAGGGTTTGGTGCTGCAGCTAGAATTTCCCCAAATGACCTAAGTGATCTTACAAGCCTGTGCAGGGACAGGTGGTCATCCAGGTAACCCGGCTCCAAGTTGTTCAGAGCTTTTTATACATTTACTGGACATGGCTGCTCATCATCTGCATTATCTAGCCCTGTTATTTACAAATGTAACACTGTTCCATAACTTAATGTAAGCCACATCATGGGTTCCCCTGCTTTCATATATGCCATCTGCCAGCAGTGCCCTTACATCAGTTCAGACCATTAGATCAATATTGTCAGCATCTCTCCAGGGTTTCAGATAGGGAGTCTTTTTAAGTTCTACTTGGGAGATGCTGGAGAGAGAACTTGAAGCTTTCTCCATGCAAAGCAGATGCTCTAGCACTGAGCCACAACCCTTTTCCGTTTGTCCCTCCCGCAGAGGACAAGCCTACAGAAAATAATAAAGGATTGAATCTGACATTAGAAATGGCAGTGCCCAAAAACAAGCAAACATTTCAAGCACTGGGACATTATGTTTCTGATCTTTAAGATGGTCATCCATGAACTTCAGAGTGAAACTTCAGCAAGAAACTGCCAGGATGGTAACTTACCAAAAAGTTTGGTACTATTCATTAGGGTCCGAATGGAGGCAATAGGTTCTTGCCCTGCTATAGGGCAATGCAAAGATGGTTGTGTTGCCACCAACACTTGTCATAAAAGGTTTGTGTGCTTATTTTGCACACATTGCTAAGCAAACGGTCTGAGATTGTGCTTTTTGAATTTTATTGCCATTTAACTCCAGCATTTACATTTCACACCCTTTAAATCCATGTGCAGTATATGCATGCCTGTCAACTGAGATTCACACTGCATGTAGCTGATGCAGTGGACCCTAGTATTACAAATGTTTATGCCATAATAAATTTAAGGTACTGTACTACAAGCCTCTTTTTAATCTTTTGTTAAACACCACATTTATCCTCCTCAAACAAGGTACAGTGGTAACTCGGGTTACGTACTTAATTCGTTCCGGAGGTCCGTACTTAACCTGAAACTGTCCTTAACCTGAAGCACCACTTTAGCTAATGGGGCCTCCCGCTGCTGCCACACCGCCGAAGCACAATTTCTGTTCTCATCCTGAAGCAAAGTTCTTAACCTGAAGCACTATTTCTGGGTTAGCGGAGTATGTAACCTGAAGCGTATGTAACCCAAGGTACCACTGTATATGAGGAGTGCTGTGATGCACGTGTATCATTATGCAAAAATTTAAAATGAAATCATGCCTTTTTCTTCAGAACTACTCGTTTATTCACAAGCAAATTCATGCAGATTAACTAGCTACCATCCAAGACACATTTACCTGGGAGTTCCAACTAAGTGACATCTATCCATGTTATAGTGACTAACACAACAGCTAATCAATTCTTATCATGTATTGTTTCTTATTTTTTATTTATTAATAAACCAAATATCAAGAACTTACTGTTGAAAGCAGCATAAGGTTGGGCATTATCTGTGAACTTGTTCCAAAACATTGCAAAAAAATACCTATTTTCCCATAAACCTGAGGCTGGTTTATATGTACCCTTTTGTAATAAATTAGCTGAATCATGGTCAGTATAGACCAAATCTCAATCAATTCAGATATAGAAGGATATACGCTCCCCCCCCCCCATTTTTAGCTAGTATAATAATAACAACCACCACCACCTTGCTTCCATCAAGGTTGAACACTATTTATTTATCATTTTCCAGAATAATATATTTTAGATATCCAAGCAAAAATTCTTAAGGTTCCAAGGGGATATGATATCTTAACATGTAAAAAGATATAAGCCTGAACAGATTTCCAGAATAATTCTATTTGAGAATTCCAAACGATATGCATGTAATTTGCTTTATTTAATCCAAATCTTCAACACTTATCCAATCCTAATTATACATTAAATTCAATTTATATGGCATTAAATATCATTGATAAAGGGTTTAAAAACAGTTCTTTAGGTCTGCTGAAATTTTATGAGAATGGAAGTTGTCCCAAATCCTGCTCCGTTTAGTGTGTTGCAACACACTTCATGCCATCATCTCAGTAGTCCTTACAACAACCTGGGGAGTGGGCTACCATCACCACCTTCATTCCTTTGCCATGCTGCAAACAGGAGGGCCACAGCTGAGAGCAGATTACCTGAGATCACCTGACAGAGGTGAAGTGTCAATAACTTCCTGGTTTCCAGCTCAGCCTCTGCCTGCACACAGATGCTCTTCCTTTCCAGGGGGGCATTGAGGGGGAGTTTTATGGGGGAAGGAATCACTCCTCTCCTCCAAACTGACACCAGATGATCCGTAGAAGACAGAACTTGCCCTATGGACCTCTAAGAGCACATTGTGCCGCTGAGGCTTCCCTGGAAAACAACAGATTCAGTTTGGGAGGTGGGATTCTCTCTCACAGCCCAATACCCCCCCCACGCCAGGCCGTCTGGTGCCCCTGGATTATGGGATGCAGCGCCTGTTAAAAAGAGCGCGCGAAAAACCTCTTTGCAGATTGCCAGTTCTCTCGTTCACTCGGCCCAGGAAGAGATAAGAAATACAGGAGATCCCCCCCCCCCAATGCAGCTTCCACTTCCTGGCGGCTTCTGGGTCTCTCTGCCAGCCCGGCTGCCAGCCCCTCATCTCTCCCCAGTCCGCCCTCCTTGGCCTCTCTCTCCGCCCTCCCCAAGGCAGATGCTGCCAGGGACCCCGCCACCTCTCCAGGACCCTTGCAGAGCGCAGGCTGCCCTTTTCTCCAGCCCCCTCCGCCGCCCCCCACCCCAGCCCTACACTCACGTGTACGTCCCCATGCACACGCGCAGCCTGCAGCGCCTGCGTGCTTGGGCGCACTCGTGACCCGCCAGCATCCTTCGCCAACATGCGCGCCGGGAAGGACCGGCCGCGGTCCTGCGCGGAGGGCGCCCCAAGCGCGGCTCTCCCGCGCCGCCGCCTCCCCCCCCCCGCCCCAGTGTTTACGTTCCGGGGGCTGCCATGACGCCTGCGCACGCCCTCCCCCTTCCTGCCCGCCCCTCCCTCTCTCCCTCCCAGTATTCTCAATGCTGGGAAATGATTGTTGAAGGACTTTTTGCATAAGAAATACACACAACAAAAAACACAACAACAACCCCAAAGCGCCCCCCCCTTCACCGTCGACCGCCTCGCCTGCTGGGGCTGCCGCTTGCGCAGCTCCAGTGCTTCCTCTGCCCCCCCCCCGCTGCTAAAACACACCCACCCACCCCAGAAGTGCAGATTGCAAAATTTGCAAAAGGGGGAGGGAGAGGGGAAAAACTTTGCAGAGACCCGGATGGCCTTCTGGAGGGGTGGGGGGCTGGCTGCGGGTTTGTTTCTAGAGGCGCTCGGAGGTGGGGGGATCCCCCCCTCCCAGGGTTTCCCCTTCTCTTTCGTTTTGCAAACCTTGTGTGTGTTTTGGGCCAACCCCCCCGGCAGGAAGAGCCCCGGCCGAACCTTTGCAGCAGGACCCAAAGGAGGAACTGTTGACAATTAAGAGATGAAACTCTTCAAAAGATGGAGGCAGAGAAAGACTCTGGAAGAAGATTGGTGTGTAGTGATATGTTGTTATTATTATGGTGGCGGTGGTGGTTTGGGGAGCAGGTTGCGTTGGGGGGCGGAGAGGGGGGGTTGTTTTCAAGCGATTTTGCGGAGATGGTTTGTACGTGGAGAGCGAGAGGCTGTTTGCAGGGCGGAGGGGAGCTGCTGGCGTCTGTGTTTGGGGCTTTAAACCCCGGGCATTGTTGCTGGGTGTGTTTTAAAGTGTGCTTTGCAGGAAAACGGCGGCACCTCTCAAGTGTGATGGGGGGCACAGCTGGTGCATTGCATCTCCCCCCCCCATCTCCTCCTGCGACCCCTAGATCATGCGAGCAAAGGAGAAGAGCCCAGGAAGCTCCTCTTGCAAGTTGGGCTCAAACACGCTTTGGGGGTTGTTGCTGCCCCCGTAGCCCAGCCAGCGTGTTTGTTGCTGTGTGTGCCTCTCTTTAAAAAAATTGGGGGGGGGGTTTAACTCCTTCCTGGCCCCCTTTTCCCCAAACCTTGACTGAAAACACTGCTGCCCCTCACCCCACTCTCAGCGTTGGTTTGTTTTGTTTTAATGCACTGAATGCCACGCTAGGTTTTGAAGAAACGGGGGTGTATTGTGGGGGGTTTGCAAAAGTCGGGGGAGGCTCTAGCCCATAAATCCCATGTTACATAATGCAATGTGTTTTTTAAGAGGCTGGCTTCCGGTGTGACTAGGGAAACAGTTGGATTATGTAAATGTGTGCCCGGGCTTGCCTGTTTTGCGTTTCTTCCTGCGAAAGAGTTGCTGGTTTTTCGTTTCCAACGTACGGGCAAGAAAACCCCGCCATCGTGGGAGGAGCGGGCTGCCTAATAAACTCACCCCCACATGGCTGGTTTTCCTTGTTGCTCGTTTGAATGTGCAGTTTGCTTCTGCGCCCCCCGCTTGCCTTGCCGGGTGAGATTTGCCCACCTGGCCCTTCATGACCTGACGTCTCAGCCCAGCCCTGGCCACGGGGAGAGTCAGCAGGCCTTCAGGCTGGACTACCGACTTGCAACATTCACGACTGAGTACCGTTCACACGCACACGCGTCCCCTGTTAATTTAGGGTTAGGAATCCTCAATCGGGGTTGAGGGGTAGACCGCGCTCCAGTTGCAGAATACATTTTGGTTGCATTTTGGAAACTAGGCTGTGAAAACTGGGCTGTCCCCGTCCCCATGAGCAATGCGCTGCAAAAGCCACCTTCTGCCTTGCACGCTGCAAGCCCTCGGGGCCCATCCTTTCCCCTCCACGCTGACTTGCGCGTAGGACCTTATTTTGGTATATTTATTTTTGTGTCTACGTGTGGCTCTTTCCCTGCAACGACCGAACTTCTGGTCTGTCTGCCCAGAGCGCACACAAGAGAGTATGTTTCGCTCCCGGCCGCCCTTCAAACGAAGCGCTACCTCTACACGTTTTGCCCGTGTGTGCATCGACGCACACGTGTATGTGTTCTCACCACCACCACCACCACCTTCCCCGTCCTGCAGCGGTCGATCGGCAGGAGGCTGTACGACGAGGACGAGGACCTCTCCGACGTGGAGGAGATCGTCAGCATCCGCGGCTTCAACCTGGAGGAGAAACTGAGGAGCAAAATGTACCGCGGAGACTTCGTGCGACCCATGGAGGGGAAAGGTAACCCGGGGCGCCTCTCCAAGGCCTGGGCCCCAGCGCCGGCTTGGGAGACCTGGGCGCGCCCGCCTGTGCGCGTCGGGGGGCGGGGAAGGGGTTTCCCTACCTGCCTGGCGGAAACCCCCGACGGCTTCTTGGCCCACGTGCAAATTGCCTGGTGAAGTTCGTATTTCCCGCCAGCATCCCCTATTCTAGGGGATCCGGTGACGAGGAGCAAGAGGGGAGGAGGAGAGCGGGCTGGGAGAAGAAGAGGCAACGGCTGGGTGACTCACGCCAGGGGAGCCCGGCCGGGAAGCGAACCTGCTGCAGACGTGCGCTTCGCGGGGCGCGCGTCCCTTGACATGCCGATGGCAGCTTGGAAAGGCAGTGCATGGAAATGAATAGAGAGAGGTTTTTTAGAGGAAGTGAAATGATTTTGCACCACCGATTTCTACCCCAGCCGCAGCCTCCCCGCCCGGATATGTCCACAGCGGATGGCGGAGTTGACCTGGCCTGCCTTGACGCCCCTGTTGCAGTGGAAGCAGCAAGGCTCTTGCACCCAGCCTGCTCCCTCCTGCCTGTCGGGGGACCTTGGGCCTCCCAGGTGCACGCTCCTCTTCAATTCGGAGGTCTTGTGCACGCTTCCTGAACGGGTTTGGACGATGCTGGTAGCAACTAGTTTCTTCCCCCCAGTAGGTTGCAGGATTGGCCTTGGTGTTAAGGCTTGGGGTACCTGTTTGGGTTAAGTGTTATGCAAGCAACTTACGGTCCAGTTCTTACTTCTTTATATAATTTTTTGCCACTCTCCCAAGCAATCCGCTTGTATGTCTTCCTTTGTGAATCTTTTTTCCTCTTTTCATGGAATGGCTCCTACAATGTAAGGCCCATTTAACTCAGTTATTATAATATGTAAATCTATATGTAAAAAAAAATAATTATAGTGTTTTTCAGTGGAATTTTTTTGTTTCATAAGTTCATCAGTACAGTAACATGGAATGGGTGCCAATTCCAAATTCCCTGCTTTTCCATTTTAGAATATTCAACAATAAATATAAATCACACTCCGGTATAGTTTTCGGTGACTTTCCTCCCTGCTCTTCTGCAGTTTCTTATTTTTCTATCAAATTCTTACTGCATATCTTAATTTATCCTTTTTACCCATTTATCCTTTCTAATTCCCTTAGTATATTTACTGCTCGTTTATATCATTCCTTCTAATGTTTTCAGTTGTTTACAGTTTGTTTTCATATATTCAATAAATTCCCCCCATTTTGCTACAAAGAGTTTATCATCCTGTTCTCTTAATCTTCTGGTAAGTTTAATCATCTCTGCATATTCCATCAATTTTAGTTGCCAGTCATCTCTTTTTGGGGTCAGTTCCTCTTTCCAGTTTTGTGCATATATCATTCGGGCAGCCATGGTAGCATACATAAATAGATTTTTCTGATCTTTCGGCACCAAGAATACCTAAAAGGAAAGCTGCTGGTTTTCAAACAAAAGTTATTTTAAGCATTTTTTTCAATTCATTATAAATAATTTCCCAGAAGGCTTTTGCCACCTTACAGGACCACCACACGTGAAAAAAGTACTCTCTCTCTCTTTACATTTCCAACATACCAGTATATTGGATTTAGACTTACACATTTTTTCCAGCTTGGTAAGCGTCAAATACCATCTATACATCATCTTCATGTAGTCTTCTTTTAACGTGTAGCATGCTGTAAATTTTAAATCTCCTTTCCAAAGTCTTTCCCACGCTGCCATATCAATATTATAGTCTATATCCGTTGCCCAGTGTATCATTGATGATTTAACCATTTCAACCTTTGTTTCCCATTCTAATAATAATTTATACATTTTAGACATTACCTTTTGGCTTTTCTTTAGCAGGTCTTTTTCTAATTGTGAGGTTTGAGTTGTAAAGCCAATTTTTTAATCAATCTTAAAAGTCTCATTTAGTTGATGATATTGTAGCCAATTTGTTAAGAATCCACTTATTTCTTTAAAAAAAAGTTAGTTTACTCTCCCCTTCCTTCTCTATTAACAACTCCCTATAAGTTACCCAGTCCTCTTCCATGTTCTTTTCCCCCCACCGCTATGGCTTCTACTGGTGAAAGCCCCATTGGTGTTTTCTTTTCCAGCAAGTTTTTATATTTATCCCATACTTTGTATAGATGTTTTCTAATTATATGTTGGTGAAACTTTCATGGATTCCAGTTTTCCCATGCCACAAATATGCATACCAGCAAAATTTATTATCATGTCCTTCAAGATCCAAAATCTGCAAGTTCTTCAATAAAAACCACTCCTTTAACCAGCAAAGACAGAATGCCTCATATTATAGTCTTAAGTCTGTTCTGGAGAAGCCACCTTTCTTTCACATCAATCAAATTTTTTTGAGCCCTATCTGAAAAAAATGGCTTCACATAGTGGTTTGTTGGCAATAGATGCACCAGAGAAAAACCCCTGGGCAAGGTTCACACATAACGCTAGTTTAATAAGCTGATAGGATGGATAAATAAATAAATAAAAATAAAATAAAAGCATTATGTGTGAACCAGCCTAACCTACCTCACAGGGTGGTTGTGAGGATACAGTGGAGGGGGAAGAACTGTCTTCAGCTTGGAAGGAAGGTGGAAGGTGTAGTCAACAAGGCCCCATCTGCACTAAACATTTAAAGCAGTATCATATTATTTTAAACCAGTGCTTTTTTGGCAGGGGGACGCATACAGTGGTACTTCAGGATACATACGCTTCAGGTTACATACTCTTCAGGTTACAGACTCCGCTAACCCATAAATAATGCTTCAGGTTAAGAACTTTGCTTCAGGATAAGAACAAAAATCTTGCACTGGTGGTGTGGCAGCAGCAGGAGGCCCCATTAGCTAAAGTGGTGCTTCAGGTTAAGAACAGTTTCAGGTTAAGAACGGACCTCTGGAACGAATTAAGTACTTAACCTGAGGTACCACTGTACTCCTAAACATTTTGTGAATCTTAAGTTTGGCCTCACTGAGGGGTAGTATTTTAATATAAGTAGGAAAATGAGAGTACGCCTAAACATGTTTTTAGAAAAAAAGCACTGGTTAAGCCACTCTAGGAACTGAAGCTCTGCGAGGGGGACTCTTAGCACCCTTAGGAAACTATACTTCCCAGGATCCATGGGGGTGTGTGGAAGTGCAGCCTGTTAAAAAGTGATGTCATAGCGCTTTAACGGTATTGTGCAGATAGGGCCCAAGTTGTCTTCATGCTTTGGTTGTTGACTTCCTGGAAGCCTTTTGGAAACTGGGCTAGATGGATCTTTTGTTGCTCTCTCATGTCTTTTCCCCTCTCTCGTATTTTTCCTCCAACCAGATTTCACTTTTGAGTATGTGCAGCGAGAAGCACTTAGAGTCCCCCTCATCTTCCGAAGTAAGGATGGACTGGGAATTAAGTAAGACAGTACTTCTAATGTTTAACAATAGACCTCTGTTTCAATTGGATGCGTAGCTTGCCCCGTCTCAAGGGCCTGGGGTGGGGAATAAAGGCCGCCGGTGGCCTTTCTGAATGAAACATACACACAAGGGCACACAAGGGCCGGCTTTTGGGGGATATGCAAAGGAAGCAAATCCCGAAATAGAGGGGCTGGCTACGTTTCGGAGTTTGCCTCCTTTGGAGAGTCTGCAAAACCTGAGTCTGGTCTTCCAGAAGCAAGGCAGAGAAGAGTTTTTCAGATGGTGTGGCATCCCTTTTTAAAGTACCGTATTTTTCACTCTATAGGATGCACTTTTTCCCCTTCAAAAATGAAGGGGAAATGTGTGTGCGTCCTATGGAGCGAAGACGCCACAGCCCCGCGACCCTCTCCCGGCTGGAGAGGTGACGCGCGGCTATGGCAGGAGCCTCTCCGCTGCTCCCTGACCTGCTCTTTGGGGCTGGTGGTGGTCTTCCCCCCGCCAGCCCCAAAGAGCAGGTCGAAAGGAACCTGAAGCCTGGAGAGCGAGAGGGGTCGGTGTGCACTGACCCCTCTCGCTCTCCAGGCTTCAGGTAGCCGCCTGAACGCACCTTAAACGGCACCTTGTTTTAGAGCGGGAAAACAAGAGGGGGAAAGTTCTCCCCCTCTCTGCGCAGCGCCTCCTGCCGCTTCGCTGAAGGGGCGCTGGGCTGAGAGGGGGAGAATTTTTTTTTCTTGCTCTCCCCCCTCTAAAACAAATTGCATCCTATTGTCCGGTGCATCCTATGGTGCGAAAAATATGGTATCTCTTCTCTTGCCTTGGGAACACTTTCATTCTCATGAAATGGAATTGCCCTCAAGGTGTCATCAGACTTGAGCTCCCATTACCACAACCCAACATTGGCAGTGGACAGGGAAGACAGGAGCTGTTCTTCCAACAAGAGCTGGAGGTTCATGGGTCCCCCTTACTAAGCAAATAACCGCTGCTGGCCTCATAAGCCTAGAGGTAGTGGCTGAAGTGTCTGAGCTGTGAACAAGGAAGTCTTAACATTCAAATCCTGGTTGTGCCATCCGTAAAGTAGGTGGGCTACTCAAAACGTGGCCCCCAAATCTTCAGTCTAATATGGGGGAAACCAGTGCTGACCTGCTTAACAGGTCTGCAGTAGGAGAACTAAGTGTCTGTAACATCCTTCAAGTGCTCTAAAAAGGGGTGACATGTATACACAATATTATTATGAGTTTTTTTTGGGGGGGGCAGAATCCACCATTAGCTTTTTGTGACAAATCCCAGCCACCAGGTCGTTCTTCTCATCCCTGAAATGGCTACGTTTAAAATGGACAAAACACATTTTTACAACCCTGAGTTGGCCTGTGGAACTCACTGCCACAGGTCCAGTGAGGCCCAGTAGCCTAAACTGGCTTTTGAGAAAAGAAAACATTAATAAATGGACAGTCAATCTGCAACCCCAATACCCAGAAGCGTAGCTCCCATGCTCAGAGATTATATATCTGCCTGAGCATCTGATCTGAAGAATTAAGAAGCAAGGAGGGGGATCTTAATGCCCTCATTGGGAGCTTTTGTGTGGCATGTAGCCAGCCATGGTCAGAAGGCAGGTTGCAGCGCTGAGGGAGAGTGGGGCAGCCCAAGATGGCAGTTCTTGTGTAAATTTCCTCTTGTCTGTGTTTACCTCCCTGAATTCAAATTGATCCCCTCCTTCCTTTGCTGATTTCAGGATGCCGGACCCAGATTTCACTGTACGAGATGTCAAGCTGCTAGTTGGTGAGTTTGGTTTAGATACGCCGCTTTTCTAAGGGGGTTTCGGAGACAAAAAGAGAAATTACCTCTGTTGAAGACTGTGTCCAAAAGTATTCAGATGCCCACATATTCCTTGTATAAACTGTACAAAAATGACTAGTTCAAACAACTGTATTTGCCTGGTGTACCCACAAATAACCTATGTGACTCCGTTGTCTACCTGTCCCTACCTGTGTTAAATTAAGCCTCCATATTCAAAGGTAGTGTATCTGAGTATTAGATTCTGGAGACACAACTATGGTTTCTTTCATGCCTTTCTTGTGGGCTTCCTGGAAATACTTGGCTTGATCCTCAGGTCACATCAGCATTCTTGTTGTGCCACATAATAGCCTGAAAGGGTTTGGGGTGAGGAGGATAATATCTCTTTCTGTTACGAAAGTTTTCCTGTAGTGTCACCTGGCGCAAACTTTTATTTACTGTGGGCGACCGGAGTCATGGCTGCTCACAAGCCTGTTGTCCCTACCATGGCATTTCCCCACTAGGCCACATTGCCTGGGGCAGATGGGCGTTGTCCAAAACACCCAGAGGAGACCAGGTTGGTGAAGACTAATTGAAGCAGTAGGTGCAACTATTTTGCTAAGGATAATGGCGGTCCATTTGCAGGACAACACAGAGACCCAAAGGCAGCTATGTCCTAGAACTCTGCAGTGCCCAGGGTCTCTGCCCAATACATACAGAATAAGGATTTTATTGATCCAAATGAAAGTCAAACACTTGCTTGTTAGCCACGACATTAAGTGTTTTTTCCTAGGCCAGAAATAAGATGCCCGCCACTTAGCTAGAGGGCACATGTAATCTGACAGTTTTTTCATACTGTAAGGAGGTGAGTTCTTCCCAGGTGGGGTTGGTGTCAGATGGGGATCTGTTGTTGAGCCGCTGTTTTGTTCACGTGTGTGTCTTTTCTTTTAAATATATAGCATTGCACTGTAAACTTCTTAAATGTATGAAGGCCTTGCTGGATTCATTATGCAGAAAGTTGCTAAAAGAAGTTGAAAGGACATATTGAACACTAATCTGTATAAATGATGCACATTTGTATACATATGCAGAATTGTACATAAGTTATTCTTCTGCTAGCCATGTAGATACACAGAAGCCTTACCGCAGAGTACAGTCATACCTTGGGTTACAGACGCTTTAGGTTGCGCGTTTTTGGGTTACGGATGCTCCGAAACCCGGAAGTACCAGAACGGGTTAATTCCGGGTTTTGGTGCATGTGCAGAACCACTAAATCGCGCTATGCGTAGAAGTGCCGAATTGCAACCCACGCGTGCGCAGACGCTGCAGGTTGTGGGCGCTGCGGGTTGCGAATGTGCCTCCCACACAGATCAATTTCGCAACCCGAGGATCCATTGTACTTCTTCTTTCTTGCCAGCTTAGGCTTCTGGAGATTGGCAGATACCATCCAGATACTTTCAAGCCTATCTGTTTAACCATGCGGGCTGAAAACTTGCTTTGAAAACGAAACATTCCTGAAAGATAGAAAGCTGAGATCCAGTGTTACGTTTTGCACTTGGCTGTTGTAAGCACAGTTATGTATCACAGCATAATGTCGCTAGTGCTGTTGCATTGTGGGAGCATATCCCAAGATGCTGTGCTTGTGCTGGGAGAAGAGTGGCTTTATGGAACAGACTCCCCCGGAAGGTTGTGGACTCTCCTTCCTTGGCGGTTTTAAAGCAAAGTTTAGATGGCCATTGGTCAGGGATGCTTTAGCTGAGATTCCTGCAATTGCAGGGGGTTGGACTAGATGACCCTCAGAGACCTTCCCAACTTTCATCCTATGATTCTATGGTTTATGTAAGTTGAGTTTCTCTTGAACTAGGTTAAACCTGGGACAAGAGCAGCAGGGAATGGCTGGCTTGATTTTGCTTGCTGTAGTGCCCCCACTGCTGGTGGTGAAAGGGTAGCATTGCAGCTTCTGGCCTGGCAGACGTTAGATCACAAATGGAGCCGATAGGCTCCCATCTGGCTCTCTAAAGGTCCTGATCCTCACCTGCCTCCTTAGTGTCCAAGCTGTTGCACTATCTGCTTGCTTGCAGGACAAGTGTCTCTGGCAGAGAATGGCTGACAACATTTGTACATGGCAAATGAGGACCTTTTGGGACCCTCAGCAGCAGGTGTGGGGCACACAGATATGTGCTTGGCACTCTGCGAAATGTGGCCCCTGTCAGTGCCCATTTTTAGTGTTAGGTCAGAGGTTTTGTGTGTGTGTTAAGATTGCATCTAATCCATCAGCCTGAGCCAACATGATAAATGTAGACGTGGCATACTTTTTAACAACAAAGCAAAGTGAAATAGAACAAAATCCTTAGCACAGGACCGCTGGGTGGGATGCAAGTGTTTCAATTCCTCGTGCCACTCTTTTTTGCAGAGAAAAATGCTTGCATTACTTCCTTTTAGCCTCACAACAACCCTGTAGGGCGGGTCTGGGTGAGAGGGAGAGTGAGCTTGAAGATCTGAGCTAGCTGCAGCCCTTGGAAGGATGCCTTAATGACTGAGGTCTCGTGTGTGTGGTCTCTCTTTCTTGCTTTTAGGATCAAGTTTATTAGCTAGAAGCCTTTCCATCTCTGGGCCACAGCAAGGAGTTAATGGCACCACTTGGATTTAACAAGCTAGAGTAATTGTCTCTTTCCTTTTAAAGGGAAGTTTTAACGGTTTTCTCTCGTCTTTGGGGGGGGGGGAAAGATGCCCACTCCTTTTTCCTTTCCTCTCCCCTGATGCCACAATCAGAGCCCTGGCAAGCTTCTCTTGCCATTGTGAGCCTGGTCCACCTGCCTGATGTGCAGGGAGCTGTGAAGCCTTAGGGAAAAGCTGGCTGCTGAATCATTTTCTAAACCTAGTAACTAGGATTTCAGCTTTTTGCCCTGCAAAGTCTTTCCTGTGTGAACTGCTCTGTGGGCCCTTGTTCTGTGTGTCTGAATTCTGGGGCTTTTTTCATGAAGGAGGAGCCTTGCTTACTGCTGAAATACAGTGGTACCTCGGGTTACAGGTGTTTCAGGTTACAGACGCTTCAGGTTACACACTCTGCTAACCCAGAAATAGTATCTCGGGTTAAGAACTTTGCTTCAGGATGAAAACAGAAATCGCACGGCATTAGCTAAAGTGGTGCTTCAGGTTAAGAACAGTTTCAGGTTAAGAACGGACCTCCAGAACGAATTAAGTTCTTAACCCGAGGTACCACTGTAATGGAAGTGGATTCTCCTTGGATAACTTGCTTATTATTGCTCCCGTTGTGGTTTTCAGTCCCATCAGGAAATGCTTTCCATGTCGATTTGGCTGCAGAACCCCAGAGCATTTGACCCCTTGAACTGCAATGAATTCTGGGGGTGTGGGGAGAAGACACTGCTTAAGGGTTATCAGGTCATGCTGTTGCCCCATTTCTGAGAGAGAGCAGGACCTGGGATACACTACCCCCCTCCCCAAAATGGGTTGACCTTGTGAGCCTCAGGCTTGCATTCTGTCTCCTCCTGTTCCTCCTCTTGCTTTCAGAGGTGGAATGCCTCCTTTCCTGAGCTACTGCCAAAGCATGGTTTGCAGTTTCCTCCAAACCCAGTAGTTTGCACAAACTGCACTTAACTTGAGAAATGGGGCCAGCAAATGTTTCCGCAGGCTGCTCTCCCCCTGAGCAACACATTCCTCAAACTGAAGAACTGAATCAGCATTGCAGGGCTTGGCCCTGAGGAGCCATCAGACCTGGGCATCCTTGCCCTGGGACTAGAGGTCCCCACAGCCTGGGGTGCTGGATTTATTTCAGATGCCCTCACCTCTCACAGGGCCACAGCAGCAGCAGAGACGGTGGCAGGAGCTTCAGCGCATCTTGCCCGACTAGCTGCCCATGAGGCTACTGGGGAGGAGGGAGCAGCACATGTAAATGCCTGCGTGGATCGGCACCTGATGGAGATTCAGCTCCCATGCAGGCTACAGATCTTTCCCAAGCTACGGCCTTCCTTTCTGACACCTGGAAACAGATCTGCAAAGGATGCTGTTGGTTGGTTGTGTCACCAGATCCCTGCTGGGCTAGAGTTCTTGGTTTATCTGCAGTTGAGATCAAGCCAACAGCATAGTGACACGCTGGCCCCTGCTGCCAGCACCCTGGTTTGAGCCCTCTGTTGTCTCCCCAAAGCTCATCTGCCCAGCAGTTGATGCCTCTTCCAGCTGCTCCCATTCCCATTGCCTCTTCTTCATTTTGCTTTGGGGCTGATTCTCCAGCTCTACCCAAGATACCTGCCTACTCCCTAGTAGTAAAGGTACCCCTGACCATTAGGTCCAGTCGCGGACGACTCTGGGGTTGTAGTGCTCATCTTGCTCTTTAGGCCGAGGAAGCTGGCATTTGTCCACAGACAGCTTCTGGGTCATGTGGCCAGCATGACTAAGCAGCTTCTGGTGAAACCAGAGCAGCGCATGGAAACACCGTTTACCTTCCTGCCAGAGCGGTACCTATTTATCTACTTTGACGTGCTTTTGAACTGCTAGGTGGGCAGGAGCAGGGACCGAACAATGGGAACTCACCCCGTCGCGGGGATTCGAACCGCCAACCTTCCGATCGGCAAGCCCTAGGTTCAGTGGTTTAGACCACAGTGCCACCTGCGTTCAAATCCCTAGTAGTACATTTCAGCAAAAGAATCCCAATGCTATCACAAATCAGCCAGGCTCCTGACACTCATTGCTCTGGCTTCTAAAATCTTGGTAGCTGGGATTAACTGACACAAAAATGCTTAACATTGTTTTGGCTGCCTTGCATTTTACGGATTAAGGTTGTATTGACATGTTCAAAGACGTCATGGTGTTGCATGGTTGCTAGCGAGCTAATTGTGCTTCTGGTGAAATACACCTGGTTTGCAAGGCAGGACATACTGTGGCTGCATTCACATATAGAACATGAAGCCAGGAGTGGCTGACATGACGCATTCCAGATGTTGGAATGCAACTTACATCAAGCCGGCCAGCATGGCTAGTGGGTAGAAGTGGTAGGACTTTTAGCCCATGCCATCTGGAAGAGCACCGTGTTGGCTACCCCTGTGCTAAACGGTGGCTTATTTAAGAAACCACAGATAGCCTCACAGACGATCAAACAAGTGGAAGTCGGTTTCTCTGAAGATTGGTTTGCTTTCCAGCGGCAGTGGCTGGACAAACAATGGTTAGTCTCCTGGGCATGGAAACAAACCACCCTTTGCCCTAAACAAATCATGGCTTAGTGTTGTGCGTGGGCCAGGCCACTGATGTGCCCAACGAGGTTATGTGCCTCAGTATTGTCATCGTGTTTCATGCCCAGTGGTGAGTCTTAGCTTATGGTGTTTGTGCTGAAATAGGTGTGTGCTTTGGGCACACTCCGGTATACTTGTGAAGTGTCCCCTTGTTCTTCATTGATAATTGCTTGTGCTTTTTTGCTCACATTAATACTAAATACATTTCGTGCATTAAACTATGTTTTACAGTTAAAACTATGAACATGCAGGAGGCAGTGATGGCCACCAGCCTAAGTAGCTTTAAAAGAGGGCTATTGAAGGCTCCTTGCTATGATAGCTGTCCTTCTGAATACTGTTGCTGGAAAACACAGGAAGGGGAGGGTGCTGCTCTTGTGGGCTTCCCCCAGCCATCTGGTTGGCCGCTGTGAGCGCAGGATGCTGGACTAGGTGGCCATTGCCCTGATCCAGCAGGGCTCTCGGCTCACGTTCATGGCTGATTACTTGACCCAGTGCTGTCACGTGGATAACAAGGGCAAAGAGAGGGCATGTCGTTTCCCAAAAATGGTTCTGATCAGCTGTGGTCAACTTCCTGACTCGAGTGAAAAGCACTTAAGTCAAAGGTGTTTGTCAAGGCAAAGAGCTTCAGTTTTGGGCTTGTGCGTTATGAATCATTTATGGCAGGGGTCAGCTAACTTTTTCAGCCGTGGGCCAGTCCACTGTCCCTTAGACCTTGTGGGGGGCCGGACTATATATATTTTTTTGGGGGGGGGAATGAACGAATTCCTATGCCCCACAAATAACCCAGTGATGCCTTTTAAATAAAAGCACACATTCTACTCATGTAAAAACACACTGATTCCCGGACCGTCCATGGGCCGGATTTAGAAGGAGATTGGGCCGGATCCAGCCCCCGGGCCTTAGTTTGCCTACCCATGATCTATGGCCAGATTCCTCAAACTGTTGATAGCTGAGGCACATACTGTCTCCTGAATTGAAAGTGGAGGCTCGGGTTCACTCATTCACTAGAAGCTTATTTTTAGCATGTGTAGGAGGATGAATTTTCCTTTGCTCCCTCATCCTCCCAGTGGTTTTGCATGAATCACTGATCATATTGGATGGAGGCAGACCTAGAGCAATGACTTGTTCCAAGAACTAGCTGGGAACTTGCCTTTTGCAGCTAGGTAAATTCTGCTGGGTCTTTGGCTCACTTGGTTATTTCTGTTGCAATCACATCTTATGCTGAAGGTGCAGAGTTGGGCCCAATATCTCCTAGCAGAGCTGCTAAATGCACCTGTCTGAAAACCTGGAGAGCCCCTGCTAGTCAGTGCACAAAATTCTGAGCTAGGTGAACCATGGTCTGGCTTGGGATAAGGCTGTTTCCTTACACCAAGGAAGTGTAGCTGTGTTGCTTAGTGGTTAGAGTGCAGGACTAGAACCTGGGAGATCAGGGTTCAAATCCATACTCAGCCATGAAGCTCGCTGGGTGACCTTGGGCCAGTCAATGACTCTCAGCCTGGCCCACCTCACAAGGTTGTTGTGAGGATAAAAGAGGAGGGGGAGAACCATGTACATCGCCCTGAGCTCCTTGGAGGAAAAATGGGCTATAATAAACAAATGACTTCACAATCATGCAGAGACAGTCTTCTGACAAGTCTCTTGCTTGTGTGTTATGGTGTTGGGAGTGACTGAGTCATCCAGCAGAGAAATAACCACCAACAGTTGCAGAGAAATATCCATCCAAGCTGGTTAGAGAGAAGTGTGGCCTGAATGATAAACCACGCAAAGTGATTATGGGCTGCCTCCTTCATTTGTTGGCAAGTTGGGCTTTTAAATTAATGTACCAGTTTTATATCTAGCAACCTGCTACCGGGTCATGGAATGTCTGGTCTAAGGCCTGGTTGACTGAGGTGGATAAAACGATACTACAGACTGAAAGTGGAAGATGGCGTATCAGCATGCTTCCTTGCAAGTTTTTTTAAAATAAAAAACAAAGCCCAATTTTTTTTAAGTACATAGAAAGTTCGCATAGCAAGGGGTGTGGTGTTCTGAAACATTTCTTCCTGCTGTGCTAAAGTTCTGCTTGCAGGGAATTTTTTCTTTATGGAAGGGAAGATTCTACCCCCTTCCTTTATTTTTAGGATTTTAATCTGAAGCAATAAAGTTCACTCTTATCATCTTGGGGTTCTTCCCCTGAAGAATAATGTCCCAACCTCCTTTGATTGATCTGTTTACCCATGTTCTTTGATACCATTCGTTGGGTGCAAATCTGCATTCTACTTATTTTTTACCTCTCTTTTGCTTTTCCTGCAATAAACAGGACCAGTTGAGAAGATGCTTCCCACTTGCCCCAGGATTGTACCTGGGGTTAAGACTGGGAATTGACCTCTGACTCTCCCCTCTGCTCCTCCCCTTCCTCCTCGTCTTGTCCCTCACTGCAGGGACAAGGGATTGGGGGACAGTGTATGATTATTTGAACATGCGGTCTCCCTGCTACTGCAAAATAAAACCTACTTTTTGGTGGTTTGCTTCAAAGTGGGGGATATCATCTGAATAGGCTCCTGGAAAGGCAATTAAGGAGCAAGGAGGTGGCCCTATTTATCAGCCTTCTGTATAAGAACATAGGAAGAGCTGTGCTGGATCAGCCCAGTGGCTCATTCAGTCCAGCATCCTGTTCTCACAGTGGCCAACCAGATGCCCATGGGAAACAGGGAAACAAAGCAGGATTTGAGCACAAGCGTACCTTCCTTTCCCATGGTTCCCAGCTGTGGAGTCGTGGTTCGTTTATCATAGTTTATCTCCTGAAACCATAGTTTGTCTCCTTCTCTTAAGGTTTTCGAGACTTGGTGTAGTTATTTTAAACATCGTGCAGGGAATAAAAACTTGGTTGTCCTTCTCCTCACCCTTTCCACATGTCCAAAATCATTTTACAGGGAGCCGTCGGATTGTGGATGTAATGGACGTCAACACACAAAAGGGCACAGAGATGAGCATGTCCCAGTTTGTGCGATATTACGAAACCCCGGAGGCGGAACGCAAGAAGTTGTACAACGTGATCAGCCTTGAGTTCAGCCACACGAAGCTGGCAAACATCGTCAAGCGCCCCAATGTGGTAAGCTGAGACCTCTTTGGGTGGTTATTGCACTTAGGGTACATTGGGGCAGTTTGGTCCTTTTAGACCAGGGAGTAACCTGACCCTCTAGGTCAGCGGTTCTCAACCTGTGGGTCCAGACGTTTTTGGACCACAACTCCCATCATCTCTGAGCTCTGGCCTTGCTAGCTAGGGGTGATGGGAGTTGTAGTCCAACAACATCTGGGGACCCACAGGTTGAGAAAGGCTGCTCTAGGTGTTGTTGGGTCACATCTTCCCTGACCATTCCCCATTCTGACTGGGGCTGATGGGAGTTGGGGGACCCCCAACACCGGGAGTGCCAAAGGTGCCCAATTCCTGGTTTATCCCCTAGTCTTAGTGGTCTTACTGAAGGTCCTCCTTTTTAGATGTCAGTGTACGTTGCTTCACTTACTCTGCAATGTGGTGAGCCAGCCCTGCTGTATTTTGGGAGATCTTCCTGTTGGTCCTGCTGAGCCAGTCAATGGGCATCTGCCCAAAAGTCCTATACTGAAAGCAGTGTGTATGTGTGTGTGTTTGTTCAGTGAACACAACAGAAGAACCTATTGGATCTGACCCGTGGCCCCTCTAGTCCAGCATCCTCTTCTTACATTGGCCCACCGAATGCTGGTGGGAAACCAGTGAGCAGATCGAGAGAGCAAGAGCAACTCTTGCCCTCCCCTGGTTTCCAGCAACTGTTATTTGGAAGTCAGAGCACATATAAATAAATATAGAACAATAGCCCAGACTTTGGAACTGCCTCCCTAGAGAAGTTAGAATGGCTCTTTCCTTTTTGGGAACTGACTGCTGGTGGCGGGCCGGTTTATTATTATTATTATTACTGTAATTAACTATGTTTTAGATTATCTATCCATCTACCTGTTTGTTTAATTGTTTTTCCCCCTGTGTTTTCAGCTGTTCTTATTTTTAATATCTGTAAGCTGCCTTGAGTCCCTGTCAGGGGGAAAAAGGCAGGATATAAATAAAATTACAATAGTTATAATAATGCAAAGCCAGCGTATCTAGTAGCCATCGATAGCCCTCTCTGCCATGAGCTTGTCCAGGGGTCAGCAAACTTTTTCAGCAGGGGGCCAGTCCACTGTCCCTCAGACCTTGTGGGGGGCCGGACCATTGTGTGACTGTTTGCTGTGTAAAAATGGACTTAGTAATCTGTCCTGAATCTTCCAACCTTCAGTTGCGTTGGGTGCTCAGGAGTTTTAGTGCTATGAGAGAAGAGGAAAGCTCTTCCCTGTCCACTTTCTCCATGCCAGGCATAATTTTAGAAACTTTTGTCATGCTGCGTCTTACTCCCAACTTAGTTTTCTCCAAACTGAAAAGGCCCCAGAGCTGCAGCCTTTCCTTGCAGGGGAGTCACTCCCCCCCCCCCCAAAGATCATTTTGCTTGCAGTTTCCTGAACTTTTCCCCCAACTCATCAATATCCTTTTTGAGTTGAAGCGACCAGAACGGTACACAGGACTTCAAATATGGTCACACCATGGAATGATTTGTAGTAGGGCTGTGATTGTAATCCGTTAGATTAATCAGTTAAAATTATTGACTAAAATGCACCCTCAATTAATTGGGAAACACATTTTTTAAAGAAGTTTATATTTAAAATATAATTTTAATGTAACAATTGCAGATAGCAGGGGCCCTCTTAGAAGAGGCATTCCCAACCTCTCCATCCTGTCTGAAGAGGATTTTTTTATAAAATTATTATTTTATAATGTGATTGTAATATAGCTTTTATTAATTTCTCAAAAGCATTTTACCCTGTTCTTCACCCAAAAAGCTTGAGTAGCTTAGTAATGACAGGGATCCACTTAAACATATGCATGTTTCTGCTTTCCTCTTCCCTTGAAATGATTATTCTAATCATATGTAAATATATACAGGTTTGATTGATTGATTTCCTCCATTAAAACTTATTTTTATTGACTGACCTTGCCGTGCTCTCTTGGCTTGTATGTTTCTATGCTTCATGCTAACAGGGCTACTCTGAAGTAGGTAAGCAGCGGCTATGTGCCCTGTCTCTCGTCTTCCTCTTTTAGTTCTATCCTGCCTTATTTTTAGGGATCATCCAATGGAACTGATTGGCAGTAGGCACAGGACCAAGGGAATTATTTCTCTATGCACCACACAGTGCATAATCAACTTAACACAGTTCATCGTCCCACGATTTTGTTGTGGCTGCTAGTGGCAGGCTTGCAAACAGCCACTTGGCTATTGGATAAATTCACAGGGGACTGTCCTGTCGATGGCTGTTAGGCGTAATTGCTAGGATTGGAACCTGTAGTGGCTGATAACTGGATTAGTGGAACTTTTAATGCCTTCCCTTCCCCGCACCAGGATTTGTTTCATGCTTGTAAAGGTTTCTCCATTGAGAAAGAGCAGCTATTTCTATGGATCAGTGGAGAATCATAATGGCTGCAGTAGAACCTTCATGCCTGGGTAACTGAATACTACTTGCTGGGAATGATGGTGGGAGAGGACTGTGGTCTTCATGGAGCATCTAATTGGTCACTGGGGGAAGCAGGATGCAAGCCTAGATGGACATTTGAGTCCAATCTAGCTGGGCTCTTCTTATGAGCCTTTATGGCTGCCTCCCTGTTTGATGTCTTCCTACACCCTGTCAATTGTTGCAGATGGATTGCTGAACCTGGGGGACGGGGACGGGGGACGGGGACGGACCTGTGGTGTGATCCAGCGCAGGCATGGCCTACTTGATGATGTGCACATCCACCTCGTCTGCCTGATACCAGTCAATGGGAACTTTGTTCTAAGTCTCCCCAAACCTCTGTGCACAGTCTTGCAAATTCACATTCCAAAAGATGTCCCAAAATTTCATGTCCCCTAAATAAATAAATAAACGTTTGCCCTAACAAAATCCTGAGAATGGTGCACAAGTTGTTGTGTACAAATGTGACATTGTGAGATCTAAGCCAGCCTCAGAAAACCATGGAACTGTACAGTAACCGTGAGAGGAATGTAATCTTTGTAATTCACATTTCTGGCAGAATTCAGCGTTGCGTGTTGCAGAATGTGGATTGCTTGGGGTGGCAGAGTTTTGGTTTCTTTTTCCGCCTGCACACACATAGCTTTGCCAGTATCCCTTCCTTGCTCTGAGATCTTTCTCCAACATTTCCTGACTTAACTGGTTCCTTTGGATGCCCTTTTAGGTAGACTTGGTCGACTGGGTGGATAACATGTGGCCTCGGCATCTGAAGGAGAGACAGACAGACGCCACCAATACCATCTCAGAGATGAAGTATCCAAAAGTAAAAAAGTAAGTTGATTTTGCTTCATTATGAACCACTCCCTGTGGAATCTCCTGCTGGTGTGAAGCTTCGGCTTCGGATGAAATTTGAACCGAGCTACGCCACCAGCAGAATCATATAGTGTGGCTCTTGTTGGGCTGGAATTATTTTGGGATGCAAGGCGGGGATTGCATGTTTGAATGTTCTCTGTGTCAGTGATGGAACACAGGCAGGACAAGGTTCCCAGGGACCCCAAGAGCTGTTTGCAGAGGTGCAAGGCATCACCGGTGAAAAGACTAGCCCAGCACAAAGTTTGGTTGTGGTCAGTTTGAGGTGGGAGTCACCGATGTGGGACCTGAGGGCAGAGTGGCGCCCCTGAGGTGTTTCCCTGGTGCCCGTGATGCCTATTAGCCTGCCTCCCACCCTGCCTTTTTTATTGTGATGTGGTGAAGAGCGTTACCTCCTCAGCCCGAAAAGTACACAGAACTGCATAGCAGGGGACTAGATGACCCTTAGGATCCTTTCCAACTCTACAGTTCAGTGATTCGATGCAGTTAGAAGAGTGGTACGCATTTGGTGATTCTGGAATAATCATTGGCTTGTAAAATGCTGTTTTATTTATATTTTACGATGCCCCAAGGGATTTGGTGATGGCTGAGTGTCTGGGCACATCTGCCGATATGTTCGAGAGGTACTGGCCATTCAGAAGGGCCTCTGGCTCTGGTTGTAACCTTAGATAGGAGTTGGGCAAGCAGAATATCTTAGCAAAGTTTATTATTTAGTATTATTTATTCTGTCTAAGGAGCATGGAGCCAGGTCATGCTTTGGAACCCTTCCTCAAGCCTCTATAGGAATCTAGTTCAGTTTTTGAGATTTCAGCTGCACCACTTTTATAACCACGAAAGCTAGAAATGTGGGAAGTGTGGCATTGTTTTAAAGAAAGCTTAGATTCTCAGGAAGCTCATGTTCTGTGCTTTTGTCTGCATTTCCAAGGAACTGAAGCATACAAGACGCCTTGCTAATGTGTGCGCCTGTAGTTCTGTGTTCTTTTTCTAAATCTAAATCTAACGCTGGTCCAATTTTCTCAAATGGAAAGCAGACCAGCAAAAAAGCAAAAGAGAAATGAAAAGTGATGGTGGTTTTTGTAAACATAGATGGTGCCATCCAGTGCAGATGTTGATTTTGGCTGCGAACTGTAAAGTTCTGTGCTGGGGATGAAGTTAGCGATTGTTCCATCTGCTGTACCAGTTCAGAGATGATGCTTGAGAAGGAGCTGGAGAATGAACTGGATCTGTTCCATTAACTCTTTTGAGGATGGTGCTTCTTTCCCCCATCTCCTCCTTCCTTTCATTGATGTTTTGAATATTGTTGTGAATTGCTTCCAACAGGCAGTGAGTGACTTGCTTCCTGTGAAAGGCAAGGACCCCCAGATTATGGGACAACTGCCACTGTGTTGTTGGGGGAAAACAAATGAATGAAAAAGTGTCTGCAAACCTGGTGGCCTCAGGGCACAGAGAAGGTGGATGTCTGTGTTTTGGTAGCGCTGTCTTTCTCTTCAGTACCAGTCGGCCTCTGCTGGGGGTGGAACATCTATGTCAAGTATGATCACATCAGTCACTTCTCATGGCTTAGCTTTACATGTAGAGGCTGTGGAAAGCCTTGCGGTTTGCACTCCCCTCCCTTCTTTTGCACACAAGAGGAGGAGATAAACTTGCACTTTCAATTTCAAAGTAGCTGGAGCTCCCCATTACATCCGGACTTGAGGAATGCTTGTTAATGTAAGATTGTTTTTGTTTACATGGGAAGATTTATATACTGTTTAATGAAAAATAAACAAGCTTATAAGCATACTTATAAGCATGCTTACAATTTTGCCTTGCTTCCTAACTAGAGCCTAAAACCTGGGTGGGCAACCTGGGGCCCTCCAGCCGGGCCAGTGGTTGGGGATGATGGAAATTGTAGCCGAACAATATCTGGAGGGCCACAGAATAGCCATCCCTGAGCTAAACCTACCAGGGGATTCTGGTTAGTCTTGAAGAACACCGCAGGAGGGGAGGGTGAGTGCCCAGCTTCTACCCATAATGCTAAATGAGGGGTGTGGAAGCTGTGGCCCCCTCCCAGTGTAGTTGGACTCCACCTCCAATCATCGCTGACCGTTGGTCATCCTGGATGGGGCTGCTGCGTGTTGGAGGCTCATTGGTTCGCCATCCCTAGGTTAAGCTGCTATTGAGTGTTATCTGAAATGGCTCTTCCTCTCGAGTCACGTTAAAAGCAAACTTTTCAGGTGTAAGTGTGAACCTTGCCCCCAATTTTTACTGAGAAATAAAGTGTTCCTCAGCTTCAGCCTAAGGGACGCGGGTGGCGCTGTTGGTTAAACCACTGAGCCTAGGGCTTGCTGAACAGAAGGTCGGCGGTTTGAATCCTCGCAGTGGGGTGAGCTCCCGTTGCTCGGTCCCTGCTCCTGCCAACCTAGCAGTTTGAAAGCACATCAAAGTGCAAGTAGATCAATAGGTACCGCTCCGGCAGGAAGGTAAACGGCGTTTCCGTGCGCTGCTCTGGTTTGCCAGAAGCGGCTTAGTCATGCTGGCCACATGACCCGGAAGCTGTAGGCCGGCTCCCTCGGCCAATAAAGCAAGATGAGTGCTGCAACCCCAGAGTCGGCCATGACTGGACCTAATGGTCAGGGGTCCCTTTACCTTTACAGCTTCAGCCTTCAGAGTTTTGGGGAGCACAGCAAACTAAGTTCCATATTTACTAGGGGCTTCCATCCCTGCTCACGTTGATTGCCACCCCATGCCCCAAAGGTTTACCTAAAACTTCCCCAACGACTCCCCCCAATTCTGAGATCCCCCAGCTGTTGGCCCTGCACACAGAGGAGAGGGGAATGAAGAGGACGGAGTCTTCGTCTCCACACTGCTACTTGACAGAAGGAGGTTTGAAATGGCAGCAGACTATGGGCGGAGAGACTTCAGCCTGTGGCAGCAGTGGCAAACATGGGGAGCTTGGGAAGGCCTTCATGGGCTGACCACCCGGCTGCCCGGTCACTTGCCCCTCCAGACAACCTGTACCTTTGCTCTCTCGGCCACCTGGGCCACCCACTTGCTCAGATCCCAGGCTTTCTATGCCCCTGTTGTGTGTGCATGCTCCATAACTGAGCCAAGGGTGTGACAACCTGTGCAACATGGGAAGCCCTTAGCAACTTGGGACTTATTTGCCTTCAATATCGCCTTACCCCACATGTGCCCACTCAGACGCTTCAGTCGGCAGAATGGGCTGCCACATAATACCCGTCCCACTTTTGTAAGAACTTGGTTGTTTAGTGTGGCAGCATCTACACTTTGGAACTCCCTACATATTGAGATCAAGCAGATACCTTCACTGTACTCTTTTTGGTGCCTGCTTAAAACATTTTTGTTTCGACAAGCCTGCCCAGATGGCTAGAAAGCTGAGGTAATTCTTAACCTGTATTTTGACTTTTGGATGTTTTAAAGCAGGGGTGCCCAAACTTTTTTCAAAGAGGGCCAGATTTGATGAAATGAACATGCATGAGGACTGGCCAAAGTTGCTGAGCTTTTTCTAGGATTAAACTTGTTGATCTTTTTTAAGGATTTGTCCCCAATAAACAAACTGCCACAGGGGCTGGAGAAAACCAACCGGCGGGCCAGATTAGGCCGCCAAAACAGACTTTGGACATGTCTGTTTTAAAGTATGGCTGTGAATTCTTCTCAATTTTTTTTGTTTTATCTTTTTGTAAACCAAAAAAAACAAAAACAAAACACACAACTCAATCAAGCAGTATATGAATCTTATGAAAGAAAAGAAAAGGGAAGGCCAATCTGGGCCATTTTCTTGCTTGTTCTTCTAGCCTGCCTGCTTGGCTCGCTCACTCCGCAGACGTTGTTATTATTTATTAAATGTACATACCACCCTTCATTTGAGGATCAGAGTGTGGCTTAGAGCAGAAAAACACAAAAATGCATGACATAATAACGAACACAATAATTCCCTCGCCTACTGGCCACCTACTGGCAGCCATGCAAACTGCAGCATGGCAACTTTTTCCTTTAAAAAAAAAAATCTCAGAAAGGAAATACAGTGGTACCTCGGGTTACATATGCTTCAGGTTACAGACTCCACTAACCCAGAAGTAGTACCTCGGGTTAAGAACTTTGCTTCAGGAAATCGTGCTTCGGCTGCGCAGCGGCAGCAGGAGGCCCCATTAGCTAGAGTGGTACTTCAGGTTAAGAACAGTTTCAGGTTAAGAACGGACCTCCGGAATGAATTAAGTACTTAACCCGAGGTACACTGTATTTGTAAGGCAGCAGACCAGTGCTGTGTTGGGCTTTCCTTGCTTTCCCAGCTATGCTTGTGTGATCATTTAGTGGCTGGATTTGCAGGATTTGCAGTTTAAGAGACTGTGCAGGTCCTCCTGCGGTGGGAGCTGCGGCCTTGATAGTGAAACCCAAAGGATGAGGGCAGGAATGCCATCTGGATTATCCTGGCCCTTCAAGGGCGTCCCTGTTCTTGATGCCAGACCTGAATGTGGTTTTTATTATGGGAAGGTGTCTTGGGGCACCTGCTGGAAACATTCCTGCATAGACAAGCCTACCCAGATGCTTAGAAAGTTGAGGTAATTCTTAATCTGGTTAAGTATTTCAACCTTCAAAGTTTCTTTCGGAAATCAAAAGAAATAAAGATCATCAAGTTCGAGACAAAACAAAATGTTTTTCTCTCTTTTGTGGTTGGCTGTCTTAACTGTATTTTATTCTGAAATTGTTCTATGGGTCTTTGGACCGCAATAAAGATTTATTATTATTAAGTATTCCAACCTTCAGATGTTTTAAAGTATGGCTGTGAATTCGTCTCTGTTTTCTTGTTTTATCCTTTTGTAAATTGCTTTGAGGGTTGTGGTTTTTCGCAATCAAGCAGCGTATGAATCTTATGAAATAAATAAATACTATAAATATTCCAAATAATAATAATATACACCTGGATTACAAAGTTTGTACATAACTTGACATCTTTGCAGGCTCGTAGCCAAAACTCCTATGGTCTAAGTGGGGAAGGAATCATTGCAGAACAGCTGGATTATAAATATAGGTCGCTTAAAAAGTTATTACTGGTACTCTGTGTTACTATTTAGGGAGCAGTTGGTTAGAACAAGGCCTTCCCACTTCCCTTTATATCTTTGCAGCTAGCAGGGCTGGGGCCTTCCAAATGTTGTTGGATTCCCGCACAGCCAGAGGTTAGGGATTTTGGGAATCAACTCCGACAAGATCTGAAGGGCTGTGGGTTCTCCACCCCTGGGCTAGAGGCTGATGTTTTTCAGTGCAAGCGGAACATGATTTTTCCTTTCTTCCTTTTCTTCTCTTCCCCCCCTTCCCTTTCTTTCATTAAACTTGCTAGTAATTGCTATATAGTCATTTTTAAAATTTATTTACGATTTTAAATGCAAGCTGAACGTTGAGGGGGGGTTCCCCCCCCCCCCGAATATCCCTGATTTTGTTACAGGTCCACCTGAACTGCTGCCTGGTTCTTTTGGGGCCTAGTCTCACCACCTCAGGCCTTAAATGGTGGCATCAGCTGTAAACGGCAGGTGTGCCCTTTGCCTGGTGGCGCCAATGTGTGCCCTTTAAGGTAGAAATGTGAGAGAAAAATGTAGGCACCGTGAGACCCTACAAACTGCATCTGTTGATTTTATTGAATGAAAATGGTTGACTGCTCCAAAGCAGTTTTGAATATGTACAGAACATGTTATGTTAAACCACATGTATATAAACCTATATGAAACAGCAGAAACCGCATTCTTTGGAAAGAGGGAAACAGTGGCTTTGTTTCCCAGGCCTATGAACCCTTATTACTTGGACAAATGGAGAGTGAATTCAGGTTCCTTTCTGTGTTTTGATAAACTGGTGCATCCAAAGGACTTGGGCCGGTAGCAGCACTGACCAGGCAGATGTCTTTAATTGTGTAGACGCAGAATGTTTTGTCTATGCTACAGGAGATTAAAACCTCTTCACATGTTAGCACATCCCTCCACAGAAGGTTCTCACTCAGCCATGATGCTCGTGAGCATAAGAAGGGTCTACTGGGTCAGGCTGATAGCCCATCTAGTCCTGTATCCTGTTCTCACAGTGGCCAACCAGACACCTGTGGAGCAGAACATGAGCACGAGAGAGAGTTCTCTCCCCTCTTGAAGTTGTGGAGGCAGAGCACATCATGGCTGGCAGTCGTTCATAGTCTTCTCCTCCATGAATTTGTTTCCCATACTATTTGGTACCACTGGTCCATGCTTACTCCTGACAGGTCTCTCCAGTGTCTGGTTATGGTGTTTCTGGCTGCTGAAAGTAGGTGGGTTATGAGTGCTTTGTGGTGTAAATGGGCATTGTTGTCTTGGAATATGTTTAGTGGGGCCAATTCTGGCGTGATGTCTAATACTTTCTTAGTTATTTTACATATTTCTCGTATGGCTGTTGTCCAGAATAGTTGGATTTTGGGACACTCCCACCACATGTGGAGGTATGTGCCTGTGGAGGTGCACCCTTTCCAGCATTTTGGTGAGGTTCCTGGGCGTATTAGTGCTATTGTGCAATCTTTTTTTAAAGCCTTCCAGGTTGGTCGTCATCACTTCCTCCTCAGGGAGCAAGTTCTATAGTTTAACTATGTGCTGCACAAAGAAGTACTTTCCTTTATCTGCCCTAAGTCTTCAAAAACTCAGCTTCACAAGTTCTAGTGTTAGGGAGAAACACTTTTCTCTATCCACTTTCTCCATGCCAGGCATAATTTTATAATCTCTTACCGTAGGCTATTCACTCCCTTAGCCTAACCTACCTCACAGGTCTCTTTGCAAAGATCAAATCCAGCAGACAGAGAGTGAGAGACCCACATTCTGTATTTACTCAAATCTAATGCTCACCTTTTTTGGCCAAATTACGTTGCGAAAATTAAGGTGTGTATTAGATTCGATGGCACATACACATTCGCCAGCAAATACGTTTTTGGTTTCAAAGTTCTGAAAATTATGATTTGGGGGCAGGGAGGTGTGAGTGTCCTTTGCATGTGTGTGTTGTGGGAGGGAGAGGGGCTGCTGAGCTGGATAAGGACACTCTTTCTCCAAACCCTGGGGGTACGGATGTTAGCTGTTGTTCAGTGGGGAGTGTCCCCCCCCCATCCCATCCACTTCTCACCTCTTTTTTCTCTCCAAACAAAGGCAAGAGCAGTGGGAGAGAGGATATGCTTTGAGCAAGATGGGCTTGTCCTTTGCAGCAGAGGCAGGAAGACCAGTACAGTGGTACCTCGGGTTAAGAACTTAATTCGTTCTGGAGGTCCGTTCTTCACTTGAAACTGTTCTTAACCTGAAGCACCACTTTAGCTAATGGGGCCTCCTGCTGCTGCTGCGCCGCTGGAGCACGATTTCTGTTCTCATCCTGAAGCAAAGTTCTTAACCCGAGGTACTATTTCTGGCTTAGCGGAGTCTGTAACCTGAAGCGTCTCTAACCCGAGGTACCACTGTACCAGAAACGTTATTGTCGGTTAACTCTTGCTTTGCTTTGTATTTCTGTACTTAAGCTTAGGTGGATTTTTTTTTTTTTGTAGTAATTGAATTTATTGAATGGTTGGTTTTTGCCATTTTTGAATTTACCAACATGTATGTCATATATTTGTATTTTCAATGCTCTGTGTGTGATATTTTGAATGTTTGCTGTAAGACACTTCAGGCATAGCTAATTGTGGAAAAGCGTCATATAAGTAAACTCAATCGACTTATGCATCCCTTAAATCCTGCACTGTGGAACTGGCCACCCTAAATCATATTTATGCTGCCATGTTTTCCCTCTGAACTACAGGATAGTTCAGAAACAAAGGCCACACTCCCCTCACCTGATGGTTGCCGAAATCCACAGTTTTGCTCATGGCAGTTTGTTGCTGCCTCACAGTTCATTGTGGCAGTTAAGGCAAAATCACCATTTTTTTGTTTCCCTTCACTGCAGGCTAATAGCAGGGTGTGTGTGTGTGCCTAGCTTTTTCGATTGCTTGTCTTTTTATCATACTGTTTCCTTGAAGAGAGGCTAAGGGTGATTCACCCCTGCTTTTAATTTCACAACAACCTTGTGAGGTAGGTTAGGGTGAGAGCACAGAATGGCCCAAGGCCAACCAGTGAGCTTCCACAGCTGAAAGGGGATTTGAACCCGAGTCTCAACGCCCTATTTCAACACTGCAGCCCCTACACTAGGTTGGCAGCTTAGATAATGTAATGGGCTCCCCCTGGAATGATGGGCTAGAACTTGCCAGTGGCTAATATGGAACCCTAGTACTGGAAATGTTACCCTTCCCTCCTCAAGATTGGAGACAGTGCAGTGCTGTGGTGCCAGCTCACTTGTTCAGCTTTCTTGCCCTGTCCTGAAGTATCAGTGTATGTTGCTCTTGGCACCTGTTCCGACATAAATATGCCCCTCTTTCTACCCTTACCATACCAGGTAGGTTGGACGAAGACCCTGTCTACTGTCCTTGTATGAAAACCATGTCCATGTACGAATTAGCACAAATCTTATTGCGGAGATAATCATTCAGGGCAAGCCTGAATGCATGCGCAGAGAGAAGCTGTGTGTTACTGTTGCTGTCTGGCGTGGTGCAGCAAAAAGCAGGGGTGAGAAATCAGAAGGAATTTCCTGTAGCAGTCAGGTCATGTGTGAAGTGGCCCTCCAAGATCTTCAGGGTGCTAAAAAAATACAGTTACCGTATTTTTCACTCTATAGGACACACTTTTTCCCCTTCAAAAATGAAGGGGAAATGTGTGTGCGTCCTATGGAGCGAAGACGCCATAGCCCTGCGACCCTTTCCCGGCTGGAGAGGTGACGCGCGGATATGGCTCTCCGCTGCGCCTTTCCGCTGCTCCCTGACCTGCTCTTTGGGGCTGGTGGTGGTCTTCCCCCCGCCAGCCCCAAAGAGCAGGTCGAAAGGAACCTGAAGCCTGGAGAGCGAGAGGGGTCAGTGCACACCGATCCCTCTCGCTCTCCAGGCCTCCAGGTAGCCGCCTGAACGCACCTTAAACGGCACCTTGTTTTAGAGCGGGAAAACAAGAGGGAAGTTCTCCCCTCTCTGCGCAGCACCTCCTGCCGCTTCGCTGAAGGGGCACTGGGCAGAGAGGGGGGAGATTTTTTTTTTCTTGTTCTCCCCCCTCTAAAACAAAGTGCGTCCTATTGTCCGGTGCGTCCTATGGTGCGAAAAATACGGTAACTTCTCTGCAAAATAGGAATTTGAATTCAATATACTGTCTCTCAACACGGCACTCTGGGGTTAATGATTTCCCCCTCTAGATATTTTGTTGTTGGAGACACAATTCTGTAAGTGGTAATTACTGCTACAGCTCATAATACGTTGTTCTGGAGCATTCTCCTATTTGAATAACAGTGTTGCGCCCATCTGATACAGTGGACGCTCGGGTTGCGAACGTGATCCATGCGGGAGGCACGTTCACAACCCGCAGGGTTCGCAACCCGCAGTGCGCACGCGTGGGTCACGATTCAGCGCTTATGCGCAAAACACCAACAACCGGAAGTAACCTGTTCCAGTACTTCCGGGTTTGGCGCAGTGCGCAACCTAAACATGCGCAATCTGAAGCGTTTGTAACCCAAGGTATGACTGTACTGTCTTTATATGTGTAGGTGAACTAGCTATGGCAGATGTTATGCATCGGGTTTAACACATTTTATGTTACAAGGCGCGTTTTATTTAATAGCAGACCTTTTTGTGGTACTGGTGTGATCCCCCCCCCCAAAAAAAATTATTGTTATTGTTTAGCTTGAAAAGTTCCAATTTAAAGGGTAGTTAATGATTAACAACAATTTGGTGTTTCAGTTCTGTTTGTGAGGGTCAGTGAAAGTACTAATTTCCTCCAGTTTATGTTTGTAAGATTAAAAAATGACCCTGATAGTAAGTGGCAGTGCTTCTGCAAAATTTCTTGACTGTCCTGTGGGATTATTTGTGTCTTTTATATGCTCGTGGAGGGGAGAAGCCCTGGCATTTCAAATGTGTGTGAACATGAGGATAAGCACAGAGAAACCATGTGAAGAATCCCAGACTTGAAGCAAAACATTGTGTGTGTAAGGGCCCCCATAACTGAGCCCCTCACAACCAATTAATAAATGAACCTATCACGTCTCTCGCCTCATAAATACTCCATGCCTCATATTAGTGCCAAGAGAGCAGCTACAAACGTATGTTTAATTATGGGGAAAAACCAAAACCTCAAATCCTCTCTCTGTAGTTTTGCCATAGTTTTATGATGCTGGATTTTAGACTTGTGCTTTTCCAACCCCCCTGACGCGCTCTCTTAGAAGGAAGGAAGGAGTTACACTTTCCTCATTGGCCTGAACAAAAGAAAAAAGGAAAAAAGAAATCCCACTGAGACCAGGGAGCCATCTGCTAGGAATTGGGAGTGGTTTTATAGTCTGATCTCAGAGGTAGGGGTGGCCTTGTAAGGCCAGAGGCCAGAGGCTGGGCTGAAACTCCAGCCGGAGGCGAGGAACTGATCGGAGGGTAATGATTGTGTTTGTCTGTCCATTGGCTTATTCGCTTGTGCACATGCTTTCTCTAGGAGTTTGGCTGAACATGTGTGGCTTTTACTTCTCTCGTAGCAGGCCCAGTTTTCCTTCTGCATCTCTCTGTCCCTCATGTGAGACACTTCTTTCCACTGCATATACCTGCCGGGGAGTTTTCTTTGTCAGTTGGTGTTGATCAATTCATCCCTCTGTGTTGGTTTCCCCATGATGGTTCTGTGTCTTCCCCCTTGCTTTTCCCTTTTTGCTCCCTTACACATCTGTGTCCACTATCTTTCCTATTTTTCTGCACATGTTGTTACATTTTACCCGTGAATTGGTGCATTTCTGGGAACTTGTCCGGAATTATTTGCTGATGAGGTTGATTTTGGCCACAGTGGGCCAGGAACAATTCTTCTGGAAACACCTGGGAATTGAGATGGTACCACAGAAATCGGTTCTTACACAATTCAAAAGAGGGACGCATTTCACTGTTTTAAAACATTGTACAGTGGTACCTCTGGATGCGAATGGGATCCGTTCCGGAATCCCGTTTGCATCCTGAAGTGAACGCAACCCGCGCACGTGATTCACCACTTCTGCGCATGCGCATGACGTCATTTTGAGTATCTGTGCATACGCGAGCGGCAAAACCCGGAAGTAACGTGCTCCATTACTTCCGGGTCGCTGCAGAGCGCAACCCGAAAACGCTCAACCCGAAGCTACTTCAACCCGAGGTATGACTGTACATACAATAGCTGGGTGTATAACAGAAATTTCTTGCTATCCCATATGTTGCCAGTTTGTGTTGTCCAAGGCAGTTGCCTGTGCCTTTTCTTCTGCTGTGCCTATCCATTTCCTGTGGCGATTCTGTGCCCCATTTTCCACAGCATTGTGGGTTTCCGTTTCTGTTTCTTGTGCAGTTATGCAAATCTGTGGCATACATTCATCATGTCACAGTGAGACTTCAGTATGGTCGAAGGAATTGTACATAGCATCTCTCAGGGAGATTTAAAAAAAAAAATTATAAAGGCAATCTTTAGAAGAGCATCAGACAAGGAAATCTCTGCCCACACATTTATGGGGACAACACAGGAAGAAAATAACACCCACAAAGCTTAGAGATAGCCTTTTTGGTGCTTTAATGGAGTGTATGCAAAGTGACACAGCAATTATTTCTAATTTGGGTGCAATTAAAGCGGTTGACACAAATGCTGCCTGAATCCCCTCAGCTAAGTAGCAGCACAGAAAATTCCCCAGTAAACCCCACCCCACCCTGTATCTTACTGTTCACCACCTTCCAAATTTTTATTGACCTAACAAAAAAGAAATTACAAAATGCAACAGCTCAGTGGCTGAGCATCTTTCTAGTCCATGGCAAAGTCACAAACTGAACTTTCTAGGGAGAAAATGAGGCATCAGAAAATACGTGGCCTCAGAAAATGCAAGATGGCTGTTGAAATTTAATGAAATTATCAAGGGATGGGCAGTGGAATTTAAATCTTGCATTTTTACTGGGGCTGCAATTTTTTTTTTTTATAAAAAAGCATTTTTTATTTTTTTTTGCAAGAGTTTGCAGTTCAAGGAGCTGGAAGCCCCATGATTCTGCCTATCCTCTCCCCCCCCCCCCAAGCTCCCCATGTCTTCTTAAGTCCTTAGGGCTCTGCATTATTTTAAACACGTTGCTCTCAGCCTATTGCAGGCAGTGGGAGAGCTTCACCTAGATGTGGGTTGAACTGAGGAAGTTTCCTTTTTTCCAAAATGGACTCTCAAGCAATTTCATGCGGCAGAGAAAAGCCCCTTTGAGAAGTTGAGCCTCCTTCTCCCAGAGCAAAGGCAAGTCCGTTTTGTGATGAGAAACCTGCTTGCCAAGGCTGGAGTGGGATGTCAGATTAGCCTCCGCAGCAGAAGCTGCTGTGAGTGGAGCATGTGACTGCAGCGCTATGTTGGGAGGAAGCGGTAGAGGTCAACGCAAAGGCATTTCGCCAGAGACTGCATGGCGGATGAGAGCTTTTTCAGATCCCTAACCCTTTCATCAGCCGCCGATAGCGAACAGAGGAGCGTCAGATTAATAATGGAAATTTCAGGACAGAGTAGTTTATTTGCTCTCTGTTGCTGAGGGAGAATGAAGGGCTTCTGAAGGCCCTTTAAATATATTTTATTAATCCATCTGTGTGAGGGGAAATTTGCTATTCTTGAGACTGGATGTTCAACTTTGGGATGAGGCTAGGGGAACACTCAAGAAATTCCCTTGTTGCAGAACAAGGAAATCTGGCTGTCTCCTTTTGTTGGCGCTGCTTCAAGTTTCAAATGTTGTGAGGATTCCATTCAGACTGAAATGGTCGAGTTGCAGTCCACACAAACAGGCTAACAAACCGAAAGGTCTGTGGGTTAATGGTATAGCACATGCTTTTCACATAGAAGACCCCAGATTCAGTTTCTGGCCATTTAAGTTCAAGGCTGTCTAGTGGCAAGTGCGGTTTCAAAAGATCTCTCTGCCTGTCTGGGTTTAGAGAAGTACAGTAGTTTCTGAGTGCTCACAGTGCTTCACATTCTCAATCCTCAGAATAGCCTTGTAAGGTAGGCTTGGATTAATACTCTCATAGCATTTCTAGAGCAATCCTAATGGTGTCGATTCAGAATTAAGCTCCATGCAGCACGTTCAGTGGGACTTACTCCCTGATAAGTTTATACAGAATCGCGGCTCTGGAGGGTTCATGGAAGATTTGAACTAGGACTTTTCTGGCGGACACACCGGGCCACAACACTAAAAAAGGTTTGGCTGTTAGAAATGTAGGCTACATTAATAAATTGTACGTGAATAGCTTATTAATTTATCATTTTCAATTTTGTCCTTAAGATGATTGAAAATAATACAGCTTTGAATTTGGGGTTGTTGCTTGTTTGTAACTTTTAAATCATTTGAAAACTAAAAGAGTCGTCCCTTGTGATTGATTTTGTTAAAAGTTAGTTTACACATTCTTTTTCTTGTAGATGGACGTCAAAAGAAAGAATAGTATGGTTTTCATTTCAGCTGGGAATGTAAAATAATAAAGTGGGGATAGAGAAGGACAGCTTATCTAGAAAATGTGGAGGAATAAAGGACTCAAATTTTTAAAAGTGGTATGTGGAGGTCACAGTCCAACCTAGTTATGCCTGTTTCAGCCTGCCGATTTTGAGCTTCAGCATGTCCGGCTCTGTGTTGGATTGTCGCCTGAGAGTCTTAACAGCTTCTTTGGGATTCTGTAATATTTATTCCCCCTCTTTCCCCCCACCAAGGAGGAAAGATTTAAGTGTCTAAAATATCCCCTGGATGAAGCAGGAAAATTAATCTCCGTCTTGCCTTCAAAGTGCAGTTGAAATTCTGGAGTGGGGAAACAAATGAGGCTTGTAATTGTACAAGGAAAGCATTTTAATTGCAAGGCAGGGGTGCAAGGAGGGTTGGTGAGTTTCCCCCTCCCTTTTCCCGAATTCTGCAAATTTACTGTCTTCATGACAGCATTGCGTGTCAACTCCCGGCACTGGATGGGGTTGCTAGGCAGCAGGTTCTTCCATATCCCAAGACTTTCTGATTTGCCAGCCTTCCTGAGGCACATGGTAAGCCTCTTTCCAGCCTACCGAGGGACTTTTGCATGCTGCTTGCATACTGTCGAGATCTTGCACCTGAAATGTGATGAAAGGGGGAGGAAAGCACTGCTTGTTGGAGGCTTGGGGGGGGGGATGAGGGGGACTGGAGAGGGGATTTGCTTTTTGGCGCTGCATCCTCAGTCTGGTGCAGAAGGTTGGGGAAATAACTGTATGTAAAAAGGACGAGGCTGGGATACAAACCCTGAACCAGCAACCGGAACAAGGAAAAGAGGTTAGTGGGTTAAGTGGCGTGCATTTCCTGCCTTTGCGAAGGTGCCTCTTGTAAACCTAAGAATGGAGGCAGTAATTCAGCCATTAGATATGGATGGAGGCTGGAGAATCAAGTGGAGCCGTTGGGGGGTGGGGTGGCGGACGCTCTGTGCCTCTGCAGCCGCCCTGCTGTAAAACTGCTCCCAAACTCTTACAAAGGTGAATTGGGGAACGAATGGATTTAGTACTTTGCAAATTCCATCTGTGGATCCTTTCTCACGTTCTCTCATGGCCAGAATCTTAGAAGATAATAAAAAACAGGAGCAGCTAAGCACAGCTCATTTTTCTATTGATACTCTTGTCTTTGCCATCCCTTGCGAAAGCAACGCTGGTCATGAGTAAGCATCCACCTTGGTTTAGGTTCAAGCAGAACTGTTTCAAACTTTGTTATTGAACCGCATTTGAAAAGAGCTGGAAGAGAAGCTCTTCCTGCCCACCCAGAGCTAAGAATCACATTGGAACACAGAGCCAAGGGCTGTGCACGTAGATAGCCAGTTTCATTTCTCCGCTTTGGGGTGGAGGGCTCTGTCGTCGTCCCCCCACAGATATTCCACTAAGAAACCCAGAACTGCCTAGACGGGTTTTTCTTCCAGAATCCAGTTGTTTTAGAACCCATTCAGAGGATTAATGGAATGTATTCTTGCGAGACCCTTAACGTTTATGCAGTTACTACTAAACATTAATTTGTGGGAGATTGCTTTTGTTTCCTATGGTTGGTTGGATTTTTTAAAATGTTTATGTGCTTTGCAGGTACTGTCTGATGAGTGTGAAAGGATGCTTCACAGATTTTCACATTGATTTTGGGGGCACTTCAGTTTGGTATCATGTCTTCCGTGGAGGGAAGGTAAGTGGATGTGACACCTTTGGAGGAGGGGAAGGGGAAGGAGGGGAGACCCCTTATTTGCAGCTCAGTAGCCTCTGATTTTATGCTCTTCATCAGATCCTTGTAATTGCTTATGCTCGGATTTTGGTCAGTAGAAAATGCTAAGATAGGAAGAATATCTTGCTGTGGTTTGTGAAACAAAAATGGAGCATTGTAATGTGCTTATTTGTTTATTACACTTATTCCCAGCTTCTTAATTTCTCCTGGGGGGCTGTGGGGACCTATAAAAAAACAACTCATGACATTAAAATAAATAATTTTACACCAACAACTCATTATTAAAGCAAAATACCAACAAATAATAATCAACTATCACCATTTCTCAAATATCTGGTGAAAGAGAATGTGCTTGGCTTCAGAAACTGAGAAATATATATTCTGTTAACCTAGTTCCAATAGGATCTCTCTCTGTTCTCAACTCTCAGGACAGGTGATTTATTTTGACACACACGGATGTGGGTGGCGCTGTGGGTTAAACCACAGAGCCTAGGACTTGCTGATCAGAAGGTCGGCGGTTCGAATCCCCGCAACGGGGTGAGCTCCCGTTGCTCGGTCCCTGCTCCTGCCAACCTAGCAGTTCGAAAGCACATCAAAGTGCAAGTAGATAAATAGGTACCACTCCGGCGGGAAGGTAAACGGAGTTTCCGTGCGCTGCTCTGGTTCGCCAGAAGCGGCTTAGTCATGCTGGCCACATGACCCGGAAGCTGCACGGCGGCTCCCTCGGCCAATAAAGCGAGATGAGCGCCGCAACCCCAGTCGGTCATGACTGGACCAAATGGTCAGGGGTCCCTTTACCTTTATTAGGATTCAACTAAATGTTTATATATGCTGGTTGTTCTGCAACTAGAATTGCAGGTCCCTTTCTTGAGATCAAATCACAAGGTCTCAGAGGCCAAGTGCCACTCAATTTTTCTGCCCCATTTCTTACCACTGTTGGGGTTGTAATGACTTATGGGCTGCAGTTTAAGTGTGCTCTGGCCTTCCATCCCGCTCAGTCAAAAACTGAAGAAGTTGAGCATCTCTTCTGCAGAGCAGAAGTGCGGTTGGCTTCTTGCGCTCAACTTGATTTCAATTCTTGGGAATTGCTTGCCTAAAACTCGTACATTACTTGGGTGCAGATTTGGCATCAGGAGCTCTGCAAGGCTGGTTTAGACGTATTTAGCCATATCGGGCTCCATTGAACATACAGTATTTTTTTGTGTTCCACCATTAACTGGACAACACAAGCCCCTAGTAGATCTGGAACACACTGGGTGATCTTAAACCTTAGTTTCCCCCCTGTCTCTTGAGACAGACGGATGCCAATAAAATAAAAAGGCCCACAAAAAGTGGTGAAGAAAGTACCTAGCTACACAATAGAACAGTGTGGGGAAAGGTTCAAGTATGCAGCATGAAACAGACATACCTGTTGGCTAGAGCAGGCATGAAAGGTGTGAATATTGTGAAGCTGGTAGAGCCACTGGCATGCCAAGACAAAATGCCGCCCAAATCAGGTGGTAAACTCCATCTAGGGCTAAATATTGGCATGAGACCAATTGGTTTATTTATTTATTTTTAAAGACTTCTGTACTGCTTTTCCAGTTGCTTATCTCACAAAGTGGTTTACAATCAGTAAAATACATTGGGGGAAATATCAGTGATACAGCAGTGAAACTAAAAGTTGTATTGCATTCAATAACAGCAAGACGTAGGCACACTGACTGGTCATGGCAGGACTCTGGGATCATGATACAACTAGCCAAGAATTACCATAAGGGAAAGCTGAACAGAATTTCCAAGAGAGATTTCTGGAAGTCCTTCTGATCAAGGCACAGCCCTTTTGCAAGGGTCTTTTGGGGGGAAACCTTGAAGCAGGAAACATTCAAGTGTGAAAAACGTTTATTCTGCACCTCCTTGGATAATGATGAGAAACCCTGAGGAAATGTTTATTGGGGTATGAGAAGAGATTCCCCTGATTCTAGTTTTTCATTTTTATTTCTAGATCTTCTGGCTGATCCCTCCAACTTTGCAGAACCTAGAACTCTATGAGGAATGGGTTCTCTCAGGGAAGCAAAGTGATATCTTTCTGGGGGACAGGGTGGAGCTATGCCAAAGAATTGAACTGAAACAAGGGCACACCTTCTTCATTCCTTCAGGTAATGCAAAGCCGTGTCCTTCTCCTTGCATGTTTTTGGGACTAGAACATATTCGTGGAAGGCCGTCACTTGATCCAGACCTGAACCATTGCTGGATCTACAGCAGGTTGTTGCTTCCTGCAAGTAGAAAAGTAGCAAGCCTGGGAGAAAGCTGCATGCCTGGCTCCTTGCATGCAGGACTGTTTTTTTCTGTTTCCAGGGAGTTCTTAGAAGCAGCGAAGTATTGAAAAACAATGTGTGCCTTCCTTGCGGTCTGAAATAGTGTGGTTTGTTTCAGCCTCCCGATTGTGCTACATGCATCCTCCAGACCTGTGAGCCTCTAATCCAGTGTTCCTGAGGCCTCTGGCTGCTCAGTTTGGGGAGGGAAGGTGTTGAGCCAGCCTCTGAGCTAAAGCCGGCCGGTAGTAGTGCTCTGTTCACATAGTAAGGCCAGAGGGCCAAACTTCCGATAGGCATCCCAGCTCTGGCTAGCCCCAAGGCTTCATGCTGCCTGCTAAAAGGAGGCAATGATGTTGCACACTCCTCTTCTGTCCTGTGCTTGAAGTCTGGGGGTTTTGGGTCCTGTACACACCTGTTCCTAGGTAGCCTACTAGGCGAAGTCACAGCCTCCAGCTTTGAGGTTCTTTGTTCAAGCCTTGAGGATATGGACAACAATATTACAGGCCCTTCAGTTTTTATAGTGAAAACACCATGACTGGGGGAATTTTAGCACATTCTGTGGTCACTGAAACTACACACTACTTAAGACAGCATTTATTATACTTACCTGGGGGTTGGAGGGCGTACCACGCAACAGCTGCCTAGTCTCTGACTGAGCACATGAAGATCCTAGTGTGCTCTTGTGTGTTGTATGCAGCTTTAGGAAAGAATCTGCATGCTGACATGTTTATCACACAAACCCCCCATTTTGTTCTCTCCCCTTAAATCCTTCGCCCCATTCACCTTTCAGTGTTTTTTACTTTGCCAGATGGTTTTTCCCAGGGTGTGTGTTCTTTTCCCGATGTCTTTCATTTTCTCCCCACCTTTCTAGGGTGGATACATGCTGTCTATACTCCAGTAGATTCCTTGGTGTTTGGTGGAAACATCCTGCATAGTTTTAACGTTCCCATGCAGCTTCACATCTATGAGATCGAGGATAGAACGAGGGTAAGGATGCTCAAATATATCTGACTGTTCACTCATGCAATAACAGTTCTTTTTGAAAGGCAAGACACAGAAGGTACCAAGATGCTTGGAAAAAGACAGGTAACATAGCCTGTTGGTCTGTGGCCTCATGGATGGAGAAACAACTCCCAAATCTTTGGGGCAGGGTAGAGAAGAAGCACAGTTGAGGTCTAGGACAGAGCAGCAGGCTGCATTGGAGCAGGCTGGAGACCAGGAGCAGACTTGGGTCCACCTGGTGCTTCCCAACTGATGTTAAATACCATCTTTTGAGCCCTGGTTTTTGCCATCCTCAGGCAGAGGAGGGATTCTGGCCAAACCCCAGGAGTTGCAGGCCATGGGCAGCTTGATGAGCACTTTTGAACCTTCATTGACATGACATGTTGGTGGCAATGTTCAGGGGAGCTAAGGAGTGACTTTGTGTGAGTTAGTGAGGTGAGCTTTCAGTAGCACCCCAGCAGCTGCAGAAATGAGATGCTGTTTTTGGTTCCTTCCCTTGCTCAACGGAATATGGGTGGGCTGCATTCCTTGCCCTGCAATGCACTCTACCTAGACTAGTCCTATTCATTCTCGTTCTGGCTTGGAGTCCTCATTTCCCATGGTGCATCCTCGTAGCTTATCCCTGTCATTTATGTCATATCCCCACCAGGCCTTCTTTGCAGGTCTGTTGCCCCAGGACATCATTTTTGCAAAATTTTGTTTGACTGGGGAGGGGGTTGATGTTGTAAATTCTGCCTGCCAGCTGGCACAGGGCCACACTCCACCCCTTGGTTTTGATGGTTCCTCAACACTTGGCTTTGTGGGCTTCCTCTCCACTGTGTGCGTGTGGTGCCCCCTGCTTTCCCCAGCTGCGTCATCTAGTGGGCCTTTCATGCCAGTTGAAACATGGAAGGTGACACTGTCCTGCTCCACCTTTTTAGGAGGTGTTTGAGAGAAGGATCTACCCACTGGAACACAGGAGGTGACCCTTCTGCCTCATTTTCCAGAGGTGCCATGTTAAATTGATAGGACTTTGTTGCTAATTTCTACACAACACAATTCAGAGAAGTTTGCTGTGCTTCAGAGGACAGGTGGGGCAAGTGCTTGGGGCTGTTGAAGTGTATGCATCACATGCAGGTAGTAGACAGGTGTGTAGGGTGCACTGCATCTCTCCCAAATTTACTTGTATGGCACACAGACTGCTGGGAGAACCCATAGAACCCCATATTCCATTGTTTTGGTTGTTCCTTTTTTAAAAAAGTATGTTTATTTCGTTCAGACTTGTCTTGAGAATCTTGAAACATGAAAGGAGGGTAACTAGTGTTTTTTCAAAAGATAAATTAATCTAATCTGAATCTGAACAGCCCCAAGTCTCCCCTCCGCCATGGATTCATTGCATGGCCTTGGTCAAGCCTCTCTCTCTCTCTGCCTCAGTTTCCAGTATGTACAACTTGGAACAATAGAGACCTATGTAACATGAGAAGGGTGTTATGAGGGTGAACACAGAATGAATGGAGCCATGCTTACTGATGTACCCTGTGATGGGCAGCCTAGTTCTGCTCAATCTACCTTTCCGTTTTGTTAAACTACAATTCTTGTTGTCTCTTGATGTGTATTTAAATTTATAAAGCAAGAGTGCATCCTTAGGCTCTCCTGATATTAATGGCACTGCTAATCTGCACAAATGATCCTAATTATGCACTGTTGCTTAAGAAAGCGACCAGCGCCGTGCTGAATCAGACTACAGGCTCCTCCAGGCATCCTGTTTTTCAGCATTCATTCCGGTTTGCTTGCACAAAGCTTATGTGGTGGTTAGACTTCTCTGTCTTTATTTAACATTCATTTTACTTGTTTGCAGGCCGTTAACATATATTCCTCTTAATCATTTGTTCATCCCACACTTTTCAATGTATCTCCCTGTCACTTTCCACAGAGCAAAATGTCCTAGTTTTTTAAAGTTGATCTGCTATGCTAGGGCAATAGAGCACTTTAGTCCCCTTGAAATGTGCAGACCCAAAGTTCTGGTCTTCAGTTGAATATCTCCTGCAAAACACTGACAGCCTGGAAGCGCCCTTAAATACTGTACTCTGTCCAGGATCCCCAACAACCAGCAGGCATCTGATGGTCCACTTTGGGGAGGCTTCAGTCTGGCTTCTGCCCACCCCTGGCCCAGGCAGTGTTTTCTCAAATGGAGCCACAGTCACTGTGTGTAGATGCTGAGGACTTCTCACTGAGCCACTGAATTTCTGTTTTGCATGTTGGGCCTCCTGCAAGTGAGATCAGGGGTCTTCAGTATGGGGTGGGGTGGGGGCAGATTGTGAAAAGCACAGCCCCAAGAGCACCATGGTGACCTAGTTCACTGGCTCTCCAATTGGCCTTCAGCTACAGCCTAGAGATCTTTGATATGTGCTGGGTCTACTCTTTTAAGTGTGTGCCTTAAACCTGCATAACAAAAGCAGGAGCAAAGCCACGGCCTGGCAGACCCAGCAGACAGGAAGCAACACTTTACTGCAAAGTAAAGCGCTTTACTCTGCCACACCAGCTGAGAGGCGGCAGGGTCTTAGGCCTTTCAGGCAGGAAATGACCATTTACTTTGCAGAAAAGGCTTTACTTTGCAGTAAAGTGCTGCTTCCTGTCTGCTGGGTCTGCAAGGCCAACTGGGCAGTGCATTCTCTATATATTACAGGGTGAAAAAATATGAAACCTTTATTTCAGTCTGGAGTTCATACCGATAAGAGAAAAAGATACCATTATATTGCCCACTCCTGCCACCAAGTCCTGTCTCTAGGCTGTAGCTGAAGGCCAGTCGTGGCTTTGTTTTTCACAGTCTGCCCCCCACCCCAGGCTGAAGCCCAAAATGCCTCTGCATAGCAAGTTGACTACTAGTTAGCATGGAGTTGAATTTTCTTGACATATTATAGTAGTAAAAACCCTGTAAGCTGACTCGTTGGCTCGCTTGCCTGTAAACTTCCAGTTCTAAGGATTGATCAGTATTGTATTTGCCGTGGTGAGATGTGGGTGTTAAAAACACCCACATTGAAAGACAAAAAATAGAATAAAGACAAGAATAGAATAAAATGGTGGCAGCAAGTGAAAACCTTTTATGAAGAGGGAAAGTTTCTGGATGTTAAAGCAGATTAAGCTACTTATAAGCTGCCCTGTTTGTGAGGAAGTACAGCAGCAAAAATGTGGTATCAGCTTCCTGGGAATCTTGGCTGTCATTTTTAATATACAAAATATTTTAAAAAGCAACCCCGCTTTCCTCCCTCCTTCGCACGAAGATCGCAGCATAACAATACAGTGGTACCTCAGGTTACATACGCTTCAGGTTACAGACTCTGCTAACCCAGAAGTATTACCTCAGGTTAAGAACTTTGCCTCAGGATGAGAACAGAAATCATGCTCCGGCGGCTCAGCGGCAGCAGGAGGCCCCATTAGCTAAAGTGGTGCTTCAGGTTGAGAACAGTTTCAGGTTAAGAACGGACCTCCGGAACGAATTAAGTTCTTAACCCGAGGTACCACTGTACAAGATGAGACTATATGCTTAGCAATGTATGGGCAATGCCTGCTGAGATCTCAGAAACCAGGCAGGTGACTGGATCAGATCTCTAGTGGATGAGGAGCCTCAGGGTTTTAGTTAACGGTAGCTCTTTCCTCCATTAGTGACTGGTAAAACTAGAATAAATTATACTGATAAGAGAAATCGCACCAATATACTCAGTTTTGCTTGCTTGCAAATGCCGTGCAGAATTTGGATTGAGCAGATTTTGGGGGGGTATGTTTTTATTTATTTTCAAGAATAATACCTAGTTATAGAATAATAAAAATGCCTTCAGCTGTACAGATAGTGCAGAATTGAAAACAACAACAACATTTTAGCACAGAGTACTAAGTAGCTTATCTAATTGGAAGGAAGCCCTACTCAGATTGTTAGGGGCTCATGTGCAAGCAGTTGTGATTAGCCCTCTTGGTTCTTCCTGTGCAGATCATATCCTGTAACGTTTTCTTCGTTCAGAACATTGCAACAGAGTCTCTGGCTTTTCAGCTGAACTTCCTTGATGGACTCCATTTAGGCACATGGCTTTCTTTCAAGTACTTAAGTGTGTGTGTGTGTGTGTGTGTGTGTGTGTGTGTCCGTGTCCAGCAGCGGAAGGAGATTTCCTGGTGCTATTCACAAAGCAATTCTTGCCAGCACAAAGAGAGAGTGTCATGCAAGCCTGGCTTTGCTCCACCTTCTTTTTAAATGGCAAAGATGTGCTTCAGCCATTTGATTGTACTTTGATTGTTGGTGTTCAAAGCCCCCACCCCAATTTTCTCTTTCTTTTAATGGAGGGAGGAGACTGGTATTGTCTCAGCACATCGCTGAGACTGTAATGCTGATTAATAGCCTGATCATACGTGATGATGTTCGTCTAGGACCTAGAATCTAGATTAATTTCTCACATCTTGAGGGTTGGGAAGAGTTTGGAAGAGATAGACTAAGAGCTGGGGTGGGCAGAGCGTAATGGTTAAGAGCATGAGTCCCGTGCCATGAGCTTGCTCAGTTGCCTTAGGCTACCCACTCCCTCTTGGCCTTGCCCTTCCCACCTTGAAAATATGGGGCTCATACAAGGATAAAGGTAAAGGACCCCTGACAGTTAAGTCCGGTCACAAACAACTCTGGGGTTGCGGTGCTCATCTCGCTTTATTGGCCGAGGGAGCCAACGTTTGTCCACAGACAGTTTTTTCGGGTCATGTTGCCAGTATGACTAAGCCGCTTCTGGCGAACCAGAGCAGTGCACGAAAATGCTGTTTACCTTCCCGCCGGAGCGGTACCTATTTATCTACTTGCACTTTTGGGTGTGCTTTCGAACTGCTAGGTTGGTAGGAGCTGGGACCAAAGAACGGGAGCTCACCTCGTTGTGGGGGTTCGAACCGCCAACCTTCCAATCGGCAAGCCCTAGGCTCAGTGGTTTACGCCACAGCGCCACCCGCGTCCCTTCATACAGGGATAGTTATTTATTATATTTTCATTTTCAGGGTGGTTTACAACAGGAATAAAACAATTTGAAGTGCTTCATAAGTATGAAAAGTTGTTGTTGTTGTTGTTGTTGTTGTTATTATTATTATTATTATTATTATTATTCGCTAGAGGTCTGAACTGATCCTTCTGTTGGGCTTTTGAAATAAGACCAAGGGCTGCAGGCTGCTCACCACTGACACAGCACATTTTGAAGTGATTGTCAGCCCTTCAAATTCTGTTCAGTAACAAATGGGTCTCGGGTGCAACTCAAACAAGGCTGGCATCGTGTGCTCCAGAAAGCAGGCCTCTAGTGACGTTGTGCTCAGCGCGGTAATGATAGGGGCCATTTTGCAGCAGCAGACACTTCCAAACGCTATTCAGGGGATGTTGCAGTAATTTAATCTGGATTTGACCAAAGCATATGTGACAGAGGCCAGATCCTGCTGGTCTCACTTAACCACATCATTATGTCAGTCTGGCCTAAAAAAAGAGAAAGAGAAAGTCTTGTGATGTTTATGAGTCTTACTCTCAGCTGATGATTGAGTGAGTGGCTGGTTTTTTTTAAAGGGTTAAGGAGGCAATCCTATGAGAACTGATCTGTATCAAGCAGTAGCTAGAGGTGTCGGCTAAAAAATGCAACACTTGTGGTGTGTGGGTGTGGATGTAAATAGATTTTTTTTGGTAAAAACCCCTGAAATATCTTTTAACATTTCACTTTGAACTCTGGAAGCTATCCTTCCCCAGTGTGGATACATTTCCTCCCATAATGTTCAGAAATAATTTGAAAAAACCTTTGGCGGGTTGTAAATTATTGATCACAGAACTTACCACTGGAAAGAATCAATTAAATCATTGCCTCCAAGCGCCTTCTAGGGTGGGCTTTTTTCCTTTGGTAGATGATATATTGGAATATTTAATGATACCGCTTTGGTTCTGCAGTTTACTGCATTTCCTAATTAATGGCCTGTCTTTGTGCTATAGAGCTTGCAAGGCGGCTCACAGTATTGAAAAGCAATTGCAGTGCAGTAAACCTGCAATTTACGTGGGGGTTACACTCCGGGATATTGCCTAAAGCTGAAACTGCATAGAGTCAAAACGCATTGGGTGCAGTGGCGGGTGGGGTTGCCAAAGTGTTTTTCCAGACACCCACCCACTTTTTGACTTCCCTCTTTTTAAATTGTTAAATATGTTTTGCCAAGTGTGCGAAGCTGAATGCACACAAGTTACATGTGTGCAAGTTGTGGGCTTATTATATTCATTTATTTATATGTATAATCCCGCCTTTCTGTCATTTTGAAACTTAAAAGTACCATCCCTGAGAAGAGGGCTTTTACATACTCAGGTTCAGCAAGGTCGCGGTATCATCTTCCTTCCGATCATATCCTGGGACCAGCAGGCCCTAAAATGCAATAAAACCCAAAAGCACTGCTAAAAAAATATTCCAGAATTGCAAATGTAAGAAACAGCAGCTCACCTCCCTCACCCCCCCAAAAAACCCTCAAATCGCCGCATCATTCATCAAATGATCGGACAAATAAAACAGTTTTAACTAACTGCCCACAAAAAGCCAGCCAGGTTGGTGTCACACAGATGTGAGCCTTTCTGCCTCCGGCCCAAGCACCTTCTGTTCCAGGATGCTGCTTCCCACATCAGCCTGCAAGATGCTGATTCATCCAGGGCACGATGGCAACATCCCTCCTCCATTGCTTCGCTCTCAGCAACTAATCAGTGATGCACTGGAGCTTCCAATTTGCCATCATGTTTAATTGCTGCTGATAGAGCTCTCTGCTTTGTAGCAACCTTCCTCAGAGGCTGACACCTCTTGTCAGCCCAGTGTGGCCAGTGGCTTGGGAGGATGGTGGTTGTGATCCTGAGCACCCACTTAGGGAAGGCTGCTTTATAGAAATACAACTTGATTTACTGGACGAGAGCTGAGAGCTCATTGAGTCCAGGATTCTGATCCTAGCAGTGGCCAGCTAGAGGAAGCTTCCAGCAAGGCACGAGGGCATCTGCTCCCCTCCACTGTTACGGTTCCTGTCTGGCAGGGCGCGTTGTCTTCTATTCACAGCACATGCACCGGCCGTCTCTCGCTTTTGATGGTTTTGCAGAGCACAGGGCACATTTCAATGAGATATCAAATTAGAGACATCGAGGGAATTGGCTGTGGGATGGAGCCTGGATCGCGAGGCCATTAGGAACTCAAATTGACGATTCGGAATTGATCGTCCATGGCACGGGAGCACTGCATGCCTTGTGACTGCCTTGTCTTACGCATTTGAATTTTATTTCATTTTATTTTTTACGCTGGTAAAACGGCTGAATTTGGTGACGCTCAGAAACCTGTCAGCGAAAATGTTGAGCAAATGATGTCTTTAATATTCCCCAGGCATCTGGCTGAAAACCTTTGGAAGGCCGAGGGGTGGAACGGGCGGCTTCCTGTTTGTAAGTCAAATTCTTTGCCAATTTTGTTTCCTGCAGTGCTCTCTAAAGAAAAAGAAAAGAAATAAACATTAATAATTTGAGTTCCTCTTATGAACATCCCTCTTTTAACATGGCTGGTTTCCCTTGTGTTTGACTATTGCAGTGAGCAAGCTGGTATGTCACTGAAATCCTAGGCAAGGCGGCAGCAGCCAAGGTGGTGCCCTTAAGATATGGTTGGAGCACAACACCTGCGCTGGTTGGGACAGGTGGGAGTTGTAATCCCACAGCATATTGAGGGCACCCTGTTGGCTACTTCTGCCATAGAAAGCTGAAACCCCAGGCTTGAAGGCTGATGAAAGTTGCAGATATTGCTGGGATGGTTGGCCTGTATTCTGGGAACCTCACTATTAGTGGGGCAGAACTTGTTCAGTGGTGGAGCATGTGCAGAGGTGCTGTTTGTGGTATCTCCAGTTAAAAGTCTCAGATACCAAGTGATGGGGAAGACTGAGAAACCCAAGAGCCACTGCCAGTCAGCATAGGTGGACAATACTGGCTAGGTGCCAGGTCGCCTCCCAGTTAGGCATTTGCCTGGGTCCCGAAACTGCCAGTGGGCTCACTGCCATCACAGCGCTACCATTTCCACTAAGAAGACCAGGTGTGGTCTGTGCAAATTTTCGGTTTGCATGTCCTGTCTCTCTTGGGTGAGGGGAAAGCACTGATAGGACTGTGCCCTTGGAGCAAGCACCACCTATGGACAAATAGTCTGATCTGATGTAAGGCAGCTTCCTATAGCCCAAACCTATAAATTTCCCATTGATAGAGCATGTTCACTCAGGTGGTATGAGATCATGGGAGGGGCTTCTGGGGAATGGATGTGCTCCCTGCACAATCTCCTCAAGGTGTAGCTTGGTAGCCAGGGGCGCCAAATTGAATAAAATATTGGGGGGACCCAGGTAAGCCCTGCCCCGATCCTATGCACCGTATGCCTCTAGCTTGTCTGTCTCCTCTTTCTTCCCCATAGGCCCCATGTGGAGTCCAAAGACATTCTGGGCACAGGTCAAGGTGTCACTAGATACCTGCATGCCACTTTCCAGTCACTGGTTAAAAAAGCAACCCTTAAAAAAAAATCATTAAAAATGGGAGGGGCAAAGGGCCTGGGCATACACCAAGGAGCAGTATGAGGTTGCCATGGTACCACATTGGGAAACGCAGGTATAAGCTGTCCTGAGTGGCCATTTTGCTTAGAATATACGTAGAACCCAAATGTTGTTGGCTGTGTCCCCAATACATTTCTCCTGCATTCTGAGTCAGAATGCAGAAAAGCAATGAGAGAAATATGCATTATTATTATTATTATTATTATTATTATTATTACTATTATTACTACTACTACTACTGCTACCCCACCCATCTGGCTAGGTTGGCCCAGCCACTGTGGGCAGCTTCCAACACATTTTAAAAAAATCAAATATTAAAAACTTTCCTATACAGGGCTGCCTTCAGACATCTTCTAAAAGTTGTATAGTTACTTATCTCCTTGGCATCTGATGGGAGGGTGTTCCATAGGGCAGGTGTCACTGCCCAGAAGGCCCTCTGCCTGGTTCCCTGCAACTTCACTTCTCGCAGTGAGGGAACCACCAGAAGCCCCTTGGAGCTGGACCTCAGTTTCCGGGCTGAAGGATGGGAGTGGAGACGCTGCTTCAGGCTGTTTAGGACCTTAAAGGTCAGCACCATCACTTTGAACTTGTTCGGAAACGTACTGGGAGCCAGTGTAGATCCTTTAGGATCCGACGGCCACTCCCAGTCACCAGTCTGGCTGCCACATTCTGGAATGCTGATTGCAGGTGTGACTTTAAATGGAACTATGGATAAAACACCAGGGCTTAGATGGAAACATTTTAAAAGCAGGCCGGGCTGGAAACAGACGTCAATGGTACTGAATAAATACCAATATCCCAGCTTGCTGCAGAGCAGAAAGAGAGAGAGGGGAAGCATGGTTATTCCATCCCTGCTGCTCAAAGTTGCCTTTGGCTCTTTTGCAACTGTCACCTAGCAGCAGCAGTTCCACCAAGCTCCCTGCACTGTTTCCATTCCAACTGGTTATTATAAGTTTAAAAATTACAGTAGTGCTCCGGAGCTTGTTCCTTTCCTCCTCCATCCCCATTCCCTTTTCCTTTTATGTCATCTATTGTAGATGGTTTTTCATTGATCTGTAACACTGCTCTGGAAGTGTTGGGTTTGTTTGTTTTTTGGGTTTTTTTGCTAAAGGTTGGGATAAAACACATTATAAATAAATGAGCCCAATGCACTGTGCATATATCTCTAGTATATTCTGGCTAAGTCTTCACCTGCCACCTTTAGAAAAGTTACCGATGAAAAGGGGTGTGTGTGAAAAAAGGAGTAAGAGCAGTTAGAAATAAGTGATGCAGAAAGAGTAGTGAGTCCAGTAATATTCTTACAGGGCAGCACTGGGAAAACTATCCACATTGGGTTCTTTTCAACTAACCTTTACTCATCGTAGACCTCAGAAATGAATATTCATCCCTAAGGTTTGCTCCTGCTCTGGAGGGTAGGACTTGAACAAATGGCTTCAAGATTTAAGAAAGGAGATTCTGGATAAACATCAGGAAAAGCTTTCTGTCAGTAAGAGGTGTTAGAGAGTGGAACTGTCTCCTTTGGGAGGTTGTGGGCTCTCCTTCCTTGGAGGTTTTTAAGCAGAGGTTGGATGGTTATCTGTCATGGATGCTTTAGCTGAGATTCCTTCAATTGCAGGGGATTGGACCAGATGACCTTGGGGTCTCTTCCAATTCTAGGATTCTATAATTCTAAGCCAACATTTTAAATCTGGCCATAGGTGATGTGCCAAGGTGTCTCTAGGAAGAGAAGAAAAGGTACTGTGAGGGAAAATTTGCAGACTGCTTTATGTATACTACACCCTTTTTCTCTTTGTGGAAATCAAGGTGGTGGTATGTATTGTGTTCCCATCTTGCCTTTCATGAAAGGCAGAATTGCTGTATTGGGAAGTGTGGTCATTACTGTGTCTGTGCAAAAACAGCAACCACAAAGCGGCTCGCTATGACTAGCAAAGTGGCAATCACGATGACTGGAATTTATTGTCTACCACTGGAATGGGCTGTGATGTCCATTTAATTCTATGGAAGAAAGTTGAAAGCAGTTGCAGCCTAGCCGCCCCTGACTTCCTGTGAAGTGTGCCTCCTACAGGAGAGGAAGGTGCACTACACCAGCAACCAAGAGTGAATAAAGCAAACTGGCAATTTATGCATATATATTTACAAATTGCTGATTGGGAATTGATGCCAAAATAGAGTGACCAGTTCAAGGCCAAGCAGTGAGTTTGCTTGAGCTGTGGGTTCCCCCAGAGCCAAATCTAATGCTCTGTCCACTGGATGACACCAGCTCTTGATTGAATGTGTAAGCTGTTACATCGACTGTGTATCTCACTTCTCAATAATCTGAAGTGCCTGCTTTATGACACGCACCTTCGCTGTTCCTTACAACAACCTTGTGAGGCGAGTCCATGAGACTTCTCATTTTACCAGTGGGAAAGCAGAGACTGAGAAGGGATAACATGCCATGCGTAGGACCAGGATTTGAACCCACAACCCCACTAGCGCCGAGTTCATTTGTAGAAACCTTTAACACATGTTAACCACCGCATCTGGCGACAATAGCGACTGAGGAAGCAGCAATATGGTTTCTTCATGATAGTAATAGAATTAGTAATATATTTTTATAAATTCTAATCTCAGTGCTTGAGGTTTGCTTGCGCTTTTTCTAAGAAGAACCGAAGCCCCTGCGCTCCCCCCCTTTATTATTGTTGTTAAATGTCTTCGCTTCTAGGGCTGCTTAGTCTGCTGCAGAGTACAATGCTGGAGAGAGCCCAGCCACTCAACATTGTGATTTGCTCTGAGGCCTATATTTACATCCATGGGGTGGGGGGTGGAATAAGCATTTGCAGATGGCAGGTAGTTTTGTGTCATGGGCCCTCGGTCTTTTAAGTAGATACCAGTCCCCATGATATTTAGGAACACAGAGGGTGGGTCTCTGCCAAAGCTTCACTCTTCCCCAGAATCTAAGGTCCTTTCCTTTTTTCCTCTGAAACGAGTCACCTCTGCCCAGCACCTTTCTCTGCTGTGTGAGTGAGTGTGAGAGAGGGAGAATGAATGATGTCACAACATGGGCGGTACTATGCGGTACAGAAGGAAAAAAACTCAGCACCCCAAGGGATCCACTTTTGACGGCATCCCTGCATTTGATATAACGGGAGTCTTCCTGGATCAGATCAAAGGGGCATCCTGTTTCCCACAATGGCTAGCCAAATGCCTCCGGAAAAGCCCACACATAAATACAGTCATCCCCACTTAACTTGTCCCCAGTGCCTGACACTGAGAGGTATACTGTCTCTGATGCTGGATGTTCTGCCTCGCTGCCGTGGCTGATAATAATTAATAGACCTCTCCTGCTCTTCCATGAAATTGCCTAGTCGTCTTTCAAAGCCAGTGGACACCACCCACAACCTGTTGGGGCGAATTCCGTCTATTAATATGTGTTGTGTGAAGAGGCGCCTTCCGACATGTACTTCAGTTCTCATTCTGTTGGCAGTGTGTGCATGTGGCTGTGCAAAAATGGGAGGTAACTCTTAGGTCATCTAGCAACATACACATTCTCAACTTGAATCCTCTGGAGACTAACATGTGCACCACCATTTCTGTGCTTAGAAATGGGAAGAGTAATATATCAAATTAAAGTTATATTTTGTGTGTGTGTGTGTTTTGTGGGTGGGAAAGAATCCATGGTGAGGATTCCACCCTCCCCTTTCATCCCCCTTCCTCTCACCCCTCTCCCCTCCCAGGAAGGTGTAAAATTAGTGAACCACAAAATGAAGCGCTAGCTCCCGGAAGGCAGGCCAGGCTGCTCATTGTGTATGCAGAAGGCATCCATCTCTCTCAGCTCCCGCCCTCTCTTCCTCTCCTCCCGCTCCTGCAAAGGCAGCTTGTGCTCTCGATAAGATGATAACAGGCTTGAGGAGCAGCAAACTTCCCTGTCTCCCAGATTGACCGATGTTTTCCCCTTTTGCTTTCAGGTGCAAGCCAAGTTCCGTTACCCTTTCTACTATGAGATGTGTTGGTATGTTCTGGAGAGATACGTGTTTTGCGTGACCCAGCGCTCCCACCTCAGCAAAGAGTATCTGAAAGAATCAATGTTAATTGGTGAGTGAATTCTTTTGCAGCTAATAATCAGAGTGAACAGGCAGGGAGATGGAACGGCACCCTTCCTTTTTGCTTCTGTGCACAAACGGGTCGAAAATCATAACGGTGAAGAACTGTGGAGATTGAACTGAATTATTCTATCATTTCCTAAAGGAGCAAGTGTGTGGCTTGAACCTCAGGCGTTTTATCCAGCACACCAAGTTCCCCCAGGAAATGATATTTCTCAAGGTCTTCTGCAAGCAAGCGAAAAAACACATTCAGATCTGTATACTCTTGTGTTTCTGCAGGTTTTGAATCCTCCCAAAGAAATGAGGGTTAACTGGGTGCCGTTGACACATGGGAGCAGGAGGGTTAGGGTGGCATCCCAGGGCACACACCTAAATTCTGCACAAAGGAAGTACATTTTTCAGCACTTGGAATAAATTATGTAGCTAGTTCAACTTTGCATGCTTAATTTGCATAACATATAGCCAGTTTATACACTTTGCAGAATTACGTGGTAGAGCTTTTCATAGACTGGATCAAATGAGGCTGCAGTTTTGGGTGGGTGAGTGGTGGTAGTCTGTGGGAGAAAGCTGAATGCCCTTCTTGGCCACATAGGGTGGGCTTGCAATTAGCTGTGGAGCTTGCAATTATCTGTGGAGCATAGGCAGCTGTCTTACGCCCAATTTGTCCACCTAGCCCAGAGTTGTCCCATGTCGACTGGTAACACCTCTCTAGTGATAAAAGCAGATATCTCTACCACTAAAGGTAAAGGTAAAGGGACCCCTGACCATTAGGTCCAGTTGTGGCCGACTCTGGGGTTGCGGCCGAGGGAGCCGGCGTTTGTCCACAGACAGCTTTCTGCGTCATGTGGCCATCATGACTAAGCCACTTCTGGCGAACCAGAGCAGCGCACGGTAACGCCGTTTACCTTCCCGCCGGAGCGGTACCTATTTATCTACTTGCACTTTACCGGCTACTAATCCTTGTAAACTGGAGATGGCATAGATTGAAGCATCTTCTTCAGACAGTGCTGGTATTTTACCACTGAGCTATGGTCCCTGGCAGAGGCAAGTATAGACCAGGTCTGCAAGGTGCATGCACCATTCACAGAGAACAGTTATCAGTGCGCAGATGAGATGTAAATGGATGAGGTCATCCACTCCTGTTTTCTACTGCTTCCTGTTTTTCAGGAACTGTGGGCCCACTGCCACCTAGTGACATCCTCCAGGATGGCAGGTCTCTTCCTTCAGTCAGCAATCATATGTGGAAGCCAAATGGGGTAGTGTGACCATCAACCTTGCATGCACCATCACTCGTGTGTGTGAAAGGCTGTCTTAAGTGCTCTCCAGTTTAAAACAAAATGCCCGCCAGGTGCACAGGAAAATAGCCTAGCCTAATCAAGAGCCAGTGTGGCATAATAGTAATAGAGTGTTGGTCTAGGATCTGGGAGAGTAGGATTTGAATCCCCACTCAGCCATGAAGCTCACTGGGTGACCTTGGGCCAGTCTCCATCTCTTAGCCTAAGCTACCTCACAGGTGGTTTGTGGGGATGAAATGGGGAGGAGGAGAACCATGTTCACCCCTTGAGATCCTTGGAAGATAAAAGATGGTATATAAATGTAATAAATAAACAAGCATACTAGTGATGGTCTAGGGACTGTCCTTGGCTATTGCCTTTGAGCTGCCAAGGCCAGCTTTCTGTGCAACTGAGTCCTACCTTCAGGGTGTTAAAAATTCTTCTTATCTGTCTCAGATACAACAAGGAAACGCAGCTTAGATAGCTTCTCATCGGATTCCTGGGTAGACATGGATGACGAATCGTGTGATGTCCACACCCGGGAAGAGAAGGACGACTGTCTGGAAAAAATCCCCAAGGCCTTGGTGGACGGATCGTCTTCTCCCAACAGTATACATTCAGAAGGGAAGGAGGTTTCAGGGAGGAAGCAAAAATCTACAGCCACCCACTTCCTCAAAAGGACTTTGTCCAATGAGTCGGAAGAAAGTGTAAAATCTACACCGGCAGACTATCCCAAAACTCCCACGGGCTCCCCAGCTACAGAGGTTTCGGCGAAATGGACTCACCTGACAGAGTTTGAACTGAAGGGTTTGAAAGCCCTTGTTGAAAAACTTGAATCCCTTCCAGAGAATAAGAAATGTATACCTGAAGGCATCGAGGATCCGCAGTCTCTGCTGGAGGATATGAAGGTGTGTAGATGTTTTGCTTCTAAAAATGGTAAGCTCTGTGATGTCAGGAGGCTGTCCAAATAGCCTGTAGTTGGGAATCCATCTTGAGAATAGGCCCTGATTTCTGTTCACTTCACATACCTTACATAGAAAACCCACAAGGAAGAAGAATGTGTTTGGTGTAGTCATATGGTGATAATCCCAGAGTTCTCCTCTACTCAGCTTTGTAAAGAGTGAATAGCTTGTCTCTCAGAGCAAGAAAGGAAGGGCTATTTCAGAACCCAGTGAGGGCCTATCCTACTGATCTTCACATCCAGAAGCAACAATTCCCTGTATGTAGCCATAGCTTCAACAGTTTTCTGCTGCTCTTCTTTCTAGTCCATCTCTCTGTGGTGGACAGAAGCCACCTGGGAAAGAGTGAAGTGGAGTGGAACGTCTTCTGTTAATGTTCTCACAGAAAAAGCACTTCATTTGTAGAGGTTCAGAAGCTGCCACTATTTTGGCTTCTTCAACAGCTCTTGCACATAGACCAAAACCAGGAGTAAAGCACATTAAACGGAGCTGAATGGCAAAAAGAAGGGAAGTCTCTGGGTATGTGCCCTGAGGGTAGGGGGTGGGGAGACACACACAAGACTATAGAATTCCTTTCCACTTCAGTGGAATCCTCAAAGCCTCTGGCTGGGGTGGGAGACCTGCTTTGGATGCGACTTGGTTCTTTTTCAGGTACACAGCCCAGCAAATACTATATGTATCTAAGAGTTTAGCTTTTCGAGGTCTTATCTTCATGAGTTCATGTTATGGGTACTGGGAGAGCTCTTAACTGCATATCTCAGCCTTGAAAATTAGTCTGCAAAAGTTAAGAACCCAAAGAACTGGCTTGTTTCCTTTCTGCTTCTGCATTGCCAAGTGACGTTACAGTGATGACCGGGGAGCCACATGTATGACAGAAGAAAGGTGGGATATAAATTTAAGAAAAATAGGAAGGGGGGGTGAAGAGAGAGGAAGAGAGCTGGAATTGACCCTTCTTCAATTTGCCAAATACTTCTCTTGCCTGGTTAGTATCCTGAAAGTAATTCTTACTCCTCATAGGCAGTGCTATTTTTTCTAGAAAAATAGGTGCCAGAACTCACATGAACGCCTCCCTGGTTCTCTTAGAATGGCAATGGCACCCACCTGAGAGGTGCCGAAAGTGAGTTCCAGCGAGTTCCCCCTGACAATAGCCCTGATCATAGGTGATCAGACAAGATAAAATGGGTTATGTCAGGGGAACAAAGAATAAATGTGGGCAGCAGTAGTCATTAGGTTTCATTTACATTTTGGGTAAGGACATGTGAGAGGCTTTGTTAGGTTTTGGGAGAGGTCATTCCAGAAGCTTCAAAGAAGGGCTGAGTTTTGAGATGAGGTGGTGGACTCAGCCAGTATCAGGTGATGCTGGTGGGGGCTGTCATTAGGGATGCTGGGAATTCTAGTCCAGCCCCACCTGGAGGGCCTTGGCTTCCCATCCTTGGCCCCAGGAGTGTGTGGAACATGATCCAGGTGAGAGGGGCCTGGGCAAAGTTGCTTAGTTTTGAACTGTTGGAAACTGTACCACTGCAGATCTCACAAGGTGGGTCAGGGTTGGTTCTTCAAATGCTCCCACCCATCAGAATCTCCCCGCACACATGAGCGTTAAGCACTGGAGGTAGGTATCCTTCTCTCACCTCAGTTAGCTAAATGACTAATAACTAATGTGAATTCGTATATTGCTATCAGTATGTGTGGCATTTTACAGAGCACCAAAAAGAAGACAGGTCCCTGCCCCAAGGACTTTACAGAAAATGTGGGTTTTGATGAGGGATTTGCAAGGGTAGGATAGAGAAAAAGAGGCACCAGGAAGGAGTTATTAACCTTTCCTGCACACTATCAATAACGGCAGTGTTTGAGACAGGATGGTGTGAATTGCAACACAACCCCTAGCTTGATTCTTTCTATGTTGGGGACAAGGAACTGCATCCTTTAGATGTGTTAACTGTTTGTGTACGTGGAGATTTTAAACAGCAAAGCAGGCACCATGCAATGAGCGATTTCCCCCGTGTGTGGTGCAGTTCTCTTATGGAACTGTATCACATCCCCCCAGCCCGGGTGTTTAAATACAATAAGAAAACACTTAATGAGGCACTACTACCAGTTGCTCTTAAAACACTTTTAAATTTGATTTAGAAACTCATGATACGTGTAGGAAACTGAGGTTTTGTAGTGATTAGGGGCAGGTGGACGCTGCAGAAAGCTGATTCAGCTGTAATAATTTTCAGGGTGGCGCTGTGGGCTAAAGCACTGAGCCTCTTGGGCTTGCCGGTCAGAAGGTCGGCAGTTCGAATCCCCGCGACGGGGTGAGCCCCCGTTGCTCGGTCCCTGCTCCTGCCAACCTAGCAGTTCGAAAGCACCTCAAAGTGCACGTAGATGAATAGGTACCGCTCCGGCGGGAAGGTAAACGGTGTTTCCGTGCGCTGCTCTGGTTCGCCAGAAGCGGCTTAGTCCTGCTGGCCACATGACCCGGAAGCTGTACGCCGGCTCCCTCGGCCAATAAAGCGAGATCAGCACCGCAACCCCAGAGTTGGCCACGACTGGACCTAATGGTCAGGGGTCCCTTTACCTTTACTAGCTGTGTGTTAGTCTGTTGCAGTAGAAATGACAACGGGTCTTGTGGCACCTTAAAAGACTGACCAATTTATTAAGGCGTAAGCTATCATAGATGACTAGAGTCCACTCTTGCTTCTGACAGATTGTTGTCCGCTTAAAGCTAATGCCTTAACGAATTTGTTAATCTTTCTTGAGTAAGTTCTGTTTGCCTTGATGTCAGGCACTTACGCTGAATGCTAGAAAACATGGGTTGTGTCTGTGAAAACGAGCTCTGCTGCATGAAAAAGTGTCTCTCATCTGTGTAATTGCCCATGTCCTATTTTCCCCAGACAATATCAATGTTGGTTGCTGCAGTGTAAAGAAGATTGAAGGATGTGGGGTTGGAATTCTCACAATGTGCTTTTTGTGTTCATATCAAGATCCCTTTCCCTGTCTCCATTCTTCCCCGATCTCCTATCAGCACAATCCTCTACATGTCTGCTGATCATCATTAATAGTGCTCACTGCTAGGAAAATGAACATTATTTATAAAGATGTATTTGAAAAAATAAATTCGAGAGGGGTGGCTGTATATTAATCTCTTGCCGCAAAACCAATGAAGACTTATGGCACAGCACCTTAGAGACTGAACACACTTTCATAAACCATAGTCTCCGTCAACAAGAAATTTACAAGTAAAAAACCTGTTATAGTCAGGTTTATTATAAAGAAATTTAAAGAAATCTTAAGTTGATTTAATCACAGGCCTGGAAGTTGATTACTTGGTTGGTCAGTGAAAATCTGCACATGTATTATGTGCAGATAATAGGTACCTATGGGACCGCCTCTACTGCTATGCCCCACAGAGGACCTTAAGGTCCATATATAGCAACACCCTAGAGGTCCCGGGCCCTAAGGAAGTTAGATTAGCCTCAACTAGAGCCAAGGCCTTTTCAACACTGGCTCCAGCCTGGTGGAATGCTCTGTCTCATGAGACCAGGGCCCTGCGGGATCTGATTTCTTTGCGCAGGGCCTATAAGACAGAGTTGTTCCACCTGGCCTTTGGCTTAGAATCAGTTTGATTCCCTCCCCTCCCCCTCTTTCTTTTTCCTTTCTCCTCCTGTGAAGAGGCTGCATCCTAATGTTTTAATGTTGTATCTTAATCTTTTAAATTGTATTTTAATTAACTTGTTTTTATTATTGGTTGTTAGCCGCTCTGAGCCCGGTCTTGGCTGGGGAGGGCGGGGTATAAATAAATTATTATTATTATTATTATTATTATTATTATTATTATTATTATTATTACATTTGAGAAAAATACCAGTTTTAAAGCAGCCTTCCCCAGCTTGGTGCCTGCCAGAAGCTTGGTTCTAATGGGAGTTGTAGCCCAAAACATCTGGAAGTTTGGGGGAAGACTGTTCTAAAGGAAAAGGCATACTTTGTTAAAAGTAAGGAGCCATACAATTGCTCCAGTTAAAAATGACTGTTTCAGCAATTTAACCCCCCTCTGCTTCTTAGGTTGTAATAAGGCATTCGTTATATCATTCCTGAAAGCTTCCTGAGCGATCTCCACCTCACATCCACAAAATGAGAATTGCGAGGTGAAACTTCCACATCTTTATTTCCAAGCTGCAAAGCAGAAAATAACATTTAACCTTTTCAGTACATTTTTCTGATTTTCTTCCCTTTGGCAAGTCATGGTGTGCCAGGTCTTTGCGCACACAGCCCTTAATTAGCCTCTTTTCTTTTTGAAACAGAACATCCTGAAGGAGCATGCAGACGATGACCAAAATCTTGCCATTTCTGGGGTCCCAGTGGTATCATGGCCGAAGAAAAACGCAAAGGTAGGGTGTTTGAAGTTGAATTTGTCTAAAAATAGCCATTTCCATGCCTTTTTCTCTCCCCAACTTTGACACTTCTTGGTAGGATTGCTCTTGGTAGGAGCCTGGCCAGTAAGTAGTTACTCACCTGGGTAAACACTCATGCCTTGTACAGTGGTACCTCGGGTTAAGTACTTAATTCGTTCCGGAGGTCTGTTCTTAACCTGAAACTGTTCTTAACCTGAAGCACCACTTTAGCTAATGGGGCCTCCTGCTGCCGCCACGCCGCCAAAGCACGATTTCTGTTCTTATCCTGAAGCAAAGTTCTTAACCTGAAGCACTATTTCTGGGTTAGCAGAGTCTGTAACCTGAAGCGTGTGTAACCTGAAGCGTATGTAACCCGAGGTACCACTGTAGTTGGGCAGCGCTGCTGGTTTTTATCAGGCATCACTTTCCAGGCTGCAGCATTTATTGGTAGTTGAAGAACACACAAGGTAGGATCGTATCCAGATCACCATTCTATAGCAAAAGGGCATGAGAGGATTGTGTCTATTAAGGAGCACTTTCCCAAGGGGTTAGCAAAGAGCTTTTCAACCTTTTAAAGTCCATGGCTCCCTTGACCTACTACTCCTGCGGCACCCCTGTGGGGCTCAGGAGCTCAGTTATGTCACCTCTTACCTGCAGTGCTGGCAGCCTCTCGCCCTTTTTCAAAAAGCCTCCCTTGTGGAGTGTTCCCTCTGCCTCCTCTCCCCTCCTCTTCCATTAGGAGTCCAGGCAGCCACTGCTGCCATGCTTGGTATCTGAGCTGCTCCCCCTGCCCCAAAGAGAGGTACCGCCTCAAACTGCCCCACAGAGGCCTGGGAAGCACCCCCTGGCTAGCCCCAGAGGCACCATTTGCCCGGGGAACTTGTAGCCATGGCTGCTGCAACAAACAGCCACACAAGCCTTTGGGAGGCAGAGACGTGAGAGGGCATCAGAGGAGGGAGGGAAGGAAAGAGGGACAGAGGCCAGTGTTGCCCCCGGCACCCCTGACCACCCTTGAAGGAACCACAGGGTGCCATGGCACAGTGGTTGAAAACCACCGAGTTAGCGTGTTGCAGCAAAAACAACAAAGTGCCTTATGGTGCCACTACACATCTCACTGTGACATAAGCTTTTGTGGAGTAGGAACTGGTTCATCCGATGTCTGAAGTATAATGCTCAGTTGGCAGGTACTGGAAAAAATGTAGACGTTAAATGGCAATCAAACTTAAAAAGTACAATCTCTGACAATTCAGTTAGAGTTAAAATGTATGCAAGGTAAGAATCCACAGCAGCAGTAATAGGTCATTTTAGCATTGCTGAGTTAAATGGGACAGAAAACCCTTTTCTCTCTTCAGACCTACATTTAGTCAAGGTCAGGAATGCTCAGATTATATTATCATAAATCCCTGCTGTTGTGAAGGATCACAAATGTAACTTAGTGGGTGAAGGTTCAGGCATTCTGATACTGAGTTGATGCTGGGTGAAGTGTCAGGGAGCAGGGATGTGAGAGTCATTTGACAATATGAGCAATGAATACTTAAAGGGGTTCCTGGTTATTAGAGGTTAGTTTGTGTTCCTTCTAAATTTGTTCCAATATTATGTCAGTGGCCCGCTGATGAGAGAACATGGGCCCCACATTTTTTTAGGGGGTGCTTCCTTGTCAGGCTATGTAAAAGCTTATTAAATCAACTGATTTTGAGAGGATTTTGCTTTTAAAACAATGTCATTGAACTTTGGTCCAATGACATTGAACCAACCTTTGATTTAGGTGCATATAGGCCAACTTTTTACATAGTTCATCAGTTCAGCTGACTGGATCACATTGACACCATACATTCAAACACTTGGCTTTCCCCAAAGAATCTGCTCACAGAGCTACAGTTCTAAGCACCCTTAAGAAACTGCAGTTCCCAAGACTCTTGCAGGAAGTCATGTGATTTAAATGTGATCCTGTTGGAACACAAACAGATCATTTAAAAATTAAGTGCAACTGACAGAATAATTTTGGGCCAAGGGAGATGCTAAGGAACCATAATTTTCAGATTGGAAAGTGGGAAGGGTACAGTTTAAGGGTTTTGTGGGCTACTCTCAAGGAGAATCATGCCAAAGAATTTTTTGTTGGGGTGCCTCGTCTGGTTTTCCCATAACCATTTCCACCCACTCGCTGACCACACTCCGTGTGTAAGCTGCCACAAAGAGTTGCTTCTCAGAGAAGAGCTAGCCATACCTTCTGCCATGGATTGTAAAAACTGGAGGAAGTTGGGGGGTGCAGGTGTTGTTGAGGATATTAGTAAATCTATTCAAGAGGCAGGATACACCTTGCTCATTAAGGAGAGGGGCTTGCTCCCACTTCTTCCTCTCTCATAAGAGAATCAGTGCCAACCAAAAGGTTTAAGCAGAGGAGACTGCCATGACCATGGCTGCCTGCTTGCTTAATTTCAGGAAAATAAGACCAGCTTAAGTGGAAAGTGCATGCAGAGCACACCAGCTAAGTGTGAGAAGTTTGCACCGGAAAAATGCTAGTCCAACTCTCACCTCAGTTACACAAACATACTTGAGTGGCTTCTGATCGGTTACTGTTTTCTTAGCCTAAATATGCTGCAATACAGGGCTAACAGTGGCCTACCTTACAAAGGGTTATGAAGCTTAAAATATCTGAAGTGCTGTGAATGTAGATTGTAGGGCCCTCAGGGCAGAGACTGGCCCTTTTATCTTCCTTATAGGTTTTTAAGCTGAGGTTGGATGGCCATCTGTCCTGGAGTGGGTTGAGCTAGATAACCCTTGGGGTACCTTCACACTTTACAATGATTCCATGATTCTGCTGGTTGACTGAAAAGTAAGCCTGGCTAAGCTTGATGGGGGTTACTCTGAAGTAAATGTACTGTTGTTGGTTTTTGTTTTTAAGCACAGATAAAGCTAATACTCTGAAGTAATTCCTTTCTGACCTTAGTGTGCGGCACCCACTTACATAGTAGAAGTCTTACCAACTTATTATTAGATTCCCCCCCACCCCACCCCCCAAAAAGACCATGTGCTCAGGAAAAGTTCTTTTAAAAATATTTATTTTCATCAAATGAAATACTGCTGCTTCCAATTGTTCTGAAAACCATCTAGAGGGGAAACATTCATTAAAAACTCAGGAAAGATAAGGAGGAAGCTTGGGGTGGAGGAACAGTGCAGCTTCAGGAGGTTTCTTTTTTTGGGGGGGGGTGGGTTGTCCACCTAAAATGAAGTCCTATTGACCCCAAGATAAGATGCGAGGCTCCCCCTCTTCCTGGCAGCCAATGGCGAGGCTCCCCCCGCGAGCCCCGGCCTTCTCGGCTTGCCATTGGCCCGGCCTGCGGGGGCCCGCCCCTTCCTGGTTCGGCCTCATGCATATGCATGAGTTCCCTCCCTCCGTGTGGCGAGCGAGAGGCGAGGCGAGCCGAGTGGCGGCGGCTCCCCGCCATGCCCGCCTCCCGCCCCTCCTGCCTGGGCCCGCCATGAGAGGAGGATGGCCATGTCGGTGAGCCCCGACGAGGACGACTACGACTCGGAGCGGGAGCCCGAGCACGACCAGGTCGGCGGGGCCGGGGGCGGGGGCGGGGGCGGGGGCTTCTCAAAGGCAAAGTTTGAAGGGGGGGAGGGGGCTTTCCAAGAAGGCCCAGTGTCCCTCTGTGCAAGATGCAGGGGGGGGGGAGGGCGTCGTCGGGGGGGGGGGGGAGACAATGTAGCCCCAGAGAAGCCCTGCCTGCATCCCCCCTCCCCTCCCCCTCCCCTTGCCAGGAAGGAAGCCTCCAAACGGGGGGGGGGGCGGGGAGCATCCCTCCTTGTGTCAGCATAAAGCAAAGGGGGGGGGGCTTTTGTGCTCCAAGAAAGGGCTCCTCGGGGAACTTCATCTCGCCCCCTTGTTGAAAGAAAGGAGAGGAAGTCAGAAAGAGGTGTATTTAACCCCAGGCACCCATTGTTGGTGTGGCTTTGAAATTGACATTTTATGCAGCCTTTTGCTAATCGAAAGGTTTGTTGATTGAGCTGGGGGGGGGGCGGGGAGGACGTAGATCCCAGGTGCTGTTTTATATGGATGAGCTGCGCCTATGGGGAGGGTGAATGGATCTGAGCTGCTCCATATAATAGGGCTTCCATTCAGCTCTGGGACTAATCCTGTCCCAAGTGCTGGCTTTGCTCCGCTCTCTCCAGTTTACAAAACAGCAGCTTGTGGCACTTAAAAGTTAACAAATGTTTTTGTGGCATGAAGTTTTGCAGGCTACAAGCCTACTGCTTCTGAGTCCATCATATTAAGGGAGTGAACCCAGGAACAAGGCACATTGAACATAGTTGGGTTTGCTTATGATGAAACATGCATAGGCTGAGCACAGTGTACCTTGCTGCCTTATTCACATTTATGCATAAGCAAGTTGCACTGATTTCAGCAAACTTTACTCTCTGGCAAGGATTGCTGCCCATTTACTTGGACAGCCTGATCTTATGCATGGTCTGTACTTCTCTGCACATTTTCTGAGGAACAAGGCACTCTGAACACAGTGGAGTTTGCTTCCAAATAAACCTGCTGCAACATGTACTCAGGCCCAGAAATTCTCACATCACTGTAAACGTCTTTTAAATTGTCACAGGACCTGCTGTTGCGTATTGAAGACTAATGGCATATGGCCTTGAACAATTTTGAATTGCTCTGCATTTATGTAATTTACCACACCTATTAACAACAGTTCTCAGTGTGGCTTACCACACATATTAATTGATATAAGACCAGCGCTAAAATAAAAAAGAACAACAAAGTAAAATAGAAATAATATATTCAGTCGCTTCAACAAAAAGCCACCAAATGCCCTGGCAATTAACAAGGTTTCTACTTTGCAGCTAAACACCATTAAGGTGGGTGTCGGGCAAATGAGTGTTGAGGTGGGAGTTTCAGGGATGAGGAGTTGCCACCCGCAGACCCTGTCACTGGTAACCACAAAGTTCTAGGTCTCAAGTGAGTAATGTAAGCAGTCAGGTAGCCAGGGTTTATGTGCTGATTGACAGCTGGAATTGGAAGTGAGTGTTACTGTTGTGTAATTTTTAGCAACATAGAAGATCAGGCCCTCTGTGCAGTGGATGGATTTGACACACTTAATAAACTGGTTAGAAGACTTTCCTTTGTTCTATATAATCATCATCGTCATCTGCTTCAAATGTGTTGTGAAATTGTATAGATCTTCTTGAACAACTCCCCCAAATCAACGTCTTTTTAAACAAGTCTTTTTAATAGCAAAATAACTTCTAAATTGTTGCTTCAGATGGTCATGAGAGTGGGGATGAAAAATGAACTGATCATTAAATAACCCAGAGCATGTGTTATAGGGGATTAATTTTACTCCATTGTAGACCTACTTCAGAAATATGAAAGAAGCACAGGGGCTGGTGTGTGTGTGTGTGTGTGTGTGCGTGCATGCACACACATAGACACTTTCAGACACTTCAGGCATTGCAGGAGATTGGACTAGAGTTGGGGTCTCTTCCAACTCTACAATTCTAATTCACACATGATATTTTCAGACCTACATTTAAAAGAGTAAAGTGAAGGGAAACCTTTGCTTGCAAATCTGCATTATGTATCCTGTGGAGTCAGACCATTGGTCTGGCTAATTCAGTGCTGTCCAGAGTGTCTGATGGGGGCCTCTCCCAGCCCTACCTGGGAGATGGAGCCCATGCAAAGCATCTGCTCTCCCACTGAGCTATGGCTTACTTGCTGCAGTTGCTTACCCAATGTACAGTCAGTAGCAGTCATAGTCAGCTACTGTGCAATGTATGAACAGGCTGCTCTTATGCTGTGTTAACATAGGTTTTACATTTTTCTTTTTTTCCTTCCTGCTGGGCGCCACTGCTCCAATTCTGTTTGTTGCCTTGACTAATGGTCTGTGGTAGTTACCTTGCTTCTGTAACAGTGATGAGTCGCAGTTTTAAAATAACTGCCTGGGGCTTCCCTGAAAGAGGAACATTCTTTCACTTAATAAAATGTAAAATGAAACTTGTAACAACTTCTACTTTAATGGCTCATTTTATGTCGTGTACCCAAAATGCAATTTTGTGCATGTTTACTCAGAAGTAAGTCCCTCTGTGTTCAGTGGCGCTTACTTCCAAGTAAGTGTGTCTTGAATAGAAGTTCTGATCTAAATAATAAAGAGCCCCGTAACACCTTTAACCTGGGGTCCACTTCATCAGAAGCAAGTATAATCCTCATCTGGCAGGTATTTGGGGAGAATGTTGGAAGTTAAATGGCAACAGAATGCTAAAAAGATGGCCTGACAATTCTGTTGGAGCTCAGTAAGAAAGGCGACCCATCCCAACAGTTGTAACTGGTGGTGCCTTTAAAATCAGTCGCCTACCAGGACATCAACTTGGCTTAGGATTGCTGTAAAAGGAAATTCCAGTGTGAAATTGCTGAATTACATTTTCCAAGAAATTCAGTTTGGATGGGGATGATGGTTTCCTCTTCCATTACAGGTGTTAATTTACCTAGCAATGGTAAGATGTTTGGGCCATCACCAATTACTGCCATTGTGAAAGGTCACTGTTTTAATGTTGCCTGCATTTAGCTGTGGCTGTGTTGTCACAGACCATCGATTCCACGAAAGCTTAAGCCAGACTTCACATGGTTTTACCTCCTGGAAATAGGAGTCTCTAAATGTCCGTTGTTGGCCTATATGATGTCTAGGGACTTTTGTGTCAGACTGGCACTGGGTGCTTAGACTCATGGCCTAACCTACCTTGCAGGGATGTGGTGACAATAAAAGTGGGCAGAGAGGCATGGAAGCTGCTCTGAGTGATTTTGAGAAAAGGTTGGATAAACGATGTAGTAAATAAAAGAGGTGTAGAATCACGAACCATAGTTTGCATGATGTGAGCGTGATTTTACCCACTTCACTAAAGGATTCTATGAGTATTGAAAAGTCCTCTCACCCCACAGTGATGCTTTACTCTCCCAATTAACAATTAAAGGCTTGGGCAAGCAAAAATAGTCTGGTGCTTAAGCAAAGATGGTGCCGGGAGTCCTTTCACAAACAGGGAGCCACCCCTGAGAAGGCCTGTCTTTGTGCTGCTGCCACTTTCTGTACCTCCCTTGAAAGAGGCATGCAGAGAAGGGCCTTGGTATGATAAGGTTCATATGGGAAGAGGTGGCCCCTGAAATATTGAGTCCCTGAGCTGCATAAAACTTTATAGGTCAAAACCAGCACTTGGAGTTGAGCTGGGAAATTAATTGGTAGCCTGTGCAGTGATGCCAATTTAGTGTTGTAAATTCATACTGCCTTATTCCGGTCAGCAATCTGGCTGCTGAATTCTGCACTAGCTGCAGTTTCCAAGCAGTCTTCAAAGGCTGTCCCAGGTAGAGCACGTTGTAGAAGTCTAACCTAGCGGTTACCAGAAAGTAAACACCAGAAGATAGGGCCACCAGTCTAAGCTGGTTAAAGATACTCTGGGCCACCATTGCCATTTGTGCCTTGTGCGACAGTAATAGACCCAGAAGTACCCCCAGGCAACAGAGCACCTCCTTCAGGGGAAGTGTAACACCCTTCTGAACAAGCTGAACCTCACCTGTCCCGGCTAGGGAACCACTTGCTAAGAGCGCCTCAGGTAAAGGTAAAGGTACCCCTGCCCGTACGGGCCAGTCGTGTCCGACTCTAGGGTTGTGCGCCCATCTCACTTAAGAGGCCGGGGGCCAGCGCTGTCCGAAGACACTTCCAGGTCACGTGGCCAGCGTGACGAAGCTGCTCTGGCGAGCCAGCACCAGCGCAGCACATGGAAACGCCGTTTACCTTCCCGCTATAAAGCGGTACCTATTTATCTACTTGCACTTAGGGGTGCTTTCGAACTGCTAGGTGGGCAGGAGCTGGGACCGAAAGACGGGAGCTCACCCCGCCGCAGGGATTCGAACTGCCGACCATACAATCGGCAAGTCCTAGGCACTGAGGTTTCACCCACAGCACCACCTGCGTCCCGCCTCAGCCTTACCTAAATTAAGCTTTAGTTCATTGGCTCCCATCCAGTCCATTACCAGTGCCAGGCCCCAGTCTAGCACATCCATTGGTACGTGTGCAGACATAAAGGAGAAGCAGAGCCATTTTTCATCCACATACCGCTGACAATGTATCCCAAAACGCTGGATGACCCCACTCAGTGGTTTCATGTTAACAGCATAGGGGGTAAAATTGCCCCCTGTGAGGCCCCTGAACAACTCTCCCCAAGCACCACTATTAGGGAGTGGGCATCCAGGAAGCAGTACACTCCAGAGGGATTCTGGAAGCTGCTGAGAGATCAAGGAGAATCCGAGAGAGACACTTCCCAATTTCTCTCCCGACAAAGATAGTCATGCAGGGTAACCAAAGCAATTTCCAGGCCAAAACTTGACCCAAATCTTAATTTAAATGGCCAGCACTGGTGGGCCTTGGCAGGGTTTGAGGACCCCAGAAAATTCTGAAGGATGCCTTGTTCTGGTGCCCGGCCTTAAGTAAGCCAGTTCCTTGCAGCCTCTGTCCCTGTATCTGCAAACTAGGGATAATGATTAGAATATGATTATCCTTGCTCATAAGGTAAGGATTGAGAAATAGGGTATGAGAAATACTTGGAACGTTGCTGTTTAAACATTGCTGTTGCTTGCCATTCCCAGAACCGGGCCGTCGGGAGACCCAAAGGAAAATTGGGCCCTGCCTCAGCCGTGAAGCTCGCGGCGAATCGAACAACTGCAGGAGCACGGAGGAGGAGGACGCGATGTCGCAAGTGCGAGGCCTGCCTGCGCACAGAGTGTGGCGAGTGTCACTTCTGCAAGGACATGAAGAAGTTTGGTGGGCCTGGCAGGATGAAGCAGTCGTGCATTATGAGGCAGTGCATTGCGGTAAGCCTATTGCCTGATCGTCTTGTGCAGTGATTGAGAATCACCTTTAGGTGACAAGCCTGGAAATGTTCTGGCAAAATTGGTGCTCACAGACCACAAATGATGAAGTTAGGAGGTAGGCTAGTACAAATGCAGGCAAATAATAATTATAAAAATTTACATAATAAAAATTTAATAAACGTTTACAGATTTTTAAAAAGTGCTAGAAACAGGGAAAAAACAATAGTTAAAAAACAATTAAATAGTGATAGAACTATCCTTATCTATTAAAACCATACAAATAACAACAATTAAAATGCACCACACCAGCCCTTTCATTAGAAGCAATCAGTTCCCAAAACCTATTGGAACAAAAAAGTCTTCACCTGCTGGCAGGACGACAAGGAGGAGGAAGCCAGTCTGCCTTCTTCAGGGAGGGGTTCCAAAGTCTGGGAGCAGTCACCAAGAAGGCCCTCTCCCACATCCCCACCAGGTGTGCCTGTTCAGGGGGCCCAGGGCAGGTTCACATGGGAAAAGATGGACCCTCAGTTAGCCTGGACCTAAGCTGTATAAGGGCTTTATAGGTCACAAGGAGCATTTTGAATTGTGCTGGGAAACAGACCAGTAGCCATTGGAGCTGTTGTAGCAAGTGAGTTATGTGCTCATATATTTATTATTATTATTATAATTTATTGCATTTTAACGTTTTTTTAAAAAACTGCTTTCCTAACGTGTCTGAGTTTGCACTGAGTGTTCTTTTGTAGAACTTGAATTTCCTCACTGGAGAAAGGCAGAGAGCTGTTACCGGGACTTCTCGGTTTCTTGATTGCAAAGCATAGGAACGTAGGAAGCTGCCACAGAGCTTGATCCATATAGCTCAGTTCTGTCTACCCTGACTAGCAGTGTCTCCCCAGGGCTTCAGGTAGAGTCACCCCCGGCCCTAACTTGGAGATGCCAGGGATTGAACTGGGGACCTCCTGCATGCAAAACAGGTGCTCTACCACTGAACTGCAGCCCCTTCCCCTTAAAAGTGCTCCATTGAACAGAGCAATGGCGTTACACCTCTGGGTACAAATTCTGTTCAGCCATGGACTCTCTGGATCAACTTGTCCTGTGTTGCTCCTCTATGAAACCATCACAATAATAGCTTTTTTCCTGCTTATTAGGATAGCGGGGTGGGGGTGGCGGGTCTGGTTAAATGAGAGATTGCACCGAAAGCAGTGTTTCTCAAACTTGGTTCCCCAGCTGTTGTTAGACTACAAGTCCCATCATCCCTAGCTAGTAGGACTAGTGGTCAGGGATGATGGGAGTAGAGCTGGACAATACCTGGTTTTCAACATCACGATATATCACCAGCTACAGTAAAAACAGTGATATGCTGATATATCGCAATGTCTGAAATGTATCTCGGCTGCTTCCTCCTCCCCACGCACAGTTCCCTATCCCTGCTAAAGAGCACAATCTTGCTGGGGAAATCTCCTGGGCGTTTGTTGGGGGCTGTCTTGAGGAGACAAGTTCCTGTTCATATCAGTGGTGCTTGCCCAAGGGTGAGTTCCAGTGGCTCCTTCGAAGCAATATCACAACTGTTGTGCAACTTTGCCTTATCTTTGTGTTCTTTTCTTCTTGAATAATCCCAGTCTTTAAAGCTACTTGTCTCTCTAGTGAGCGATTTCAGTCCATGTTCCATTATCTGATGTAGGGTTTTATTCATGTGAATTACCTTCTAAAAGCATCTGCTTTTTAGAACTCTCCAAGCTGTAGAATCGGCTTACAGAAAAGGGGTGATTTATAATCCTTTCTTTTAATCATTATTGCTTTTCCACTGACAGCGCCTTTGTTTCTTTTCCTCCCCCCTCCCTTTCGTCATAAGACTTGTAACAGATTGCAGCCGCCCATGTTTGCATTTGTGTCTCCATAATGTAAAGGCAATTAATTAAGTGACCTTCAGCACCACCTGAGTTGCTGGGCACAGGGATGTTGCAGAAAGCAGAAGAAATGTAGTGTCTTGTACAAAACCTGCCAATGGTCACATCCCTGCATGCTAGGAATCCTTAACTGACATCCTTGGATTATAACTAAGGCTGCAGCCTTGAATTAATTTTACAGCATAGTCTTATACATGCCCACTCAGAAGAAAGTCTCATTGAACTTCCTGGGGCTTATTCCCAGGTAAGGGGTTATAGGATTGCAGGCTAAAAAGGTCTCCCTTATTAAAAGTAATATTTATTAAAACTGCAAATGCTACCCACTATCCTAAAATAGGCCACTCTAATCTGAGTGGTCTGTTTTCATAATCTTAAACAATGAAAGTAAATTGTATTATGCTGGTCAGTGTTTTGTTACACTTTCATGTATAGATAGTCCCCTGTTTACACACCTTCAATATGTGTGTGACCATGTATATACATGCATCGTGCAGAACCTGGAAGTGACCTGGAAACGTCATAAAGACATCACTAAAAGGGTGGAGTGTTTGCAGGTCTTTTCAATTATATGTGATTTCACCAACACTTGCAGTGCCTCGGAGCGTAACCCCTGAGTAAACTGGGTGATACCTGTACTTTTAAAAATGATAATTTTAGAAAGAGAGGCATTATCCTCCTCTTCCCCACCAAAGGAGGCATGCCTCTTCAAGTATATTGCTTAATTCACTGGCTCATATTTCTGCAATTAAAAGAGCTGGCGTGGTGTAGCAGACTGTGGAACTAGGACCAGGAAAGCCCACAGACCAAAAAACCGTCCTAGATACTTTACAGTGGTACCTCGGGTTAATTCGTTCCGGAGGTCTGTTCTTAACCTGAAACTGTTCTTAACCTGAGGCACCACTTTAGCTAATGGGGCCTCCCGCTGCCGCCGCGCCGCTGGAGCATGACTTCTGTTCTCATCCTGAAGCAAAGTTCTTAACCCGAGGTACTATTTCTGGCTTAGCGAAGTCTGTAACCTGAAGCGTCTGTAACCCGAGGTACCACTGTAAAACCAAGAGAAAAAGATAAATATGTATAAAACATTTGCCTACTTCTAAAAGGCCATAGACACTTAGGACTGGCCAAAGCACTGGTCACAGAGGGAAATTTTTACCAGGTGCCTAAGGAACTATAACGGAGGCTCCAAGCGAGCCTCCCTGGAGAGAACATTCCACAAGCGGGGAGCCACTGCAGTAAAGGCCCGTTCTCGTGTCGCCACCCTCCAGACCTCTCATGGAAGAGGCCCACAAAGAAGGGCCTCGGGGGATAATCACAGAGTCCAGATCGGTTCCTGTGGGGAGAGGTGGTCCTTGAGCTTTTTCAAGAGCTCACTTAATGGTTTTGGCCTTTAGAACATACTATGGCAACAGATTTCATAGACTGGAAGTCTCTCCCTAGAGAAGCTCGACAAGCTCCCTCTTTGCTGTCCTTCTGCCAGCAGGTGAAGACATTCATGTTCCAACAGGTTTGGGGGAAATGGTTGCTTTTAATGAAGGGGCTGGTGTTGTGCTGTTTTTATTATAATGATTGGTATGGCTTTCATAGATTTTATATGTGTGTATAGTTTTACTTTGATCAATGTTTAATTGCTTTTTAATTATTTTTTCTATGTTTTTCTGATTTTCAGTTTTATATTTAAGCCGTCTTGTGTCCCATTAAAGAAAAAGGCGGGGTGTAAATACTTGACTGTTGTATGTGTGAAGAAGCCCTTCTGATTTCGCTTGCTTTAAACTGCCCTCCAGGACTGGAGTATCTCTCTTTTATTGACTGACAGTCAGCTCTCAGTTCTTGAGATCTTTCCTCCAGGATGTCCATTGCCTTGGCAAGGGCAGACGCAAGAGGCAGGGTGCATCAGTTGGGACCCCTAGCTCGGGCTACAGAAGCAATTGGAGCAGAATCATAGAACTGTATAAGCATAGAGTTGGAATTGGAAGGGACCCATGGGTCATCTGGTCCAACCGCCTGCAATGCAGGCAGAACTGCCTTTCTAACAGTTGCTTTCCAGAACAGCCAACTTTAAGTTGCTCAGAACAGTGGCCCAACACAGAGCCTAAGTGAGCCCCGCACCACCCCAGCTCTGAGCTGGAAGCCAGGCTGTGGGGGCTAGTTTTTGCAACAGCGGAATCTCCCGCCTCAGCAGAAGGCGCAGAGCTTGGCATGTTTTCGTGGTCTCATTTCAGAGGTTGGGGACAAGGCCCTGCCCCACCCCAGATTTGCCAGCCTCTGTTCCTCTGTGTGTGATGTTACGATAACGCCTTGGCGGACATAGAATCAAAGAATCAGAAACACGTTTGGCTTCTCAGGCCTTTACAAGAACCAGCTGCAGAAAGTGTTGCAGGCCGAGCAGATGGAGAGGTTTCACAGGTGTCTGTGCTGATAGGTTGCTGCCTGTTTCCTGATCTCTGCTCCTTTCCTCCTGTTTGTGTGTGTTTAGCCAGTGCTGCCCCACACGGCTGTGTGCCTGGTGTGTGGGGAAGCAGGGAAAGAAGATACGGTGGAGGAGGAGGAGGGCAAGTTCAACCTCATGCTTATGGAGTGTTCCATCTGCAATGAAATCATACACCCAGGATGCCTCAAGGTAAGGGCTCTCTGAGGTGGGGTCCAGAAGCTGCACCAAAACAGGCCTTACCTCACGGTTGCATTTGTTGTGTTCTTCGCAAAATGATGGCATGTTTGGCAGTCCTTTCCTTTTACCTGCAGCCACCACAGCCTACAACCTGCCCAACCACCCATAGTTCAGTAGCCATGCATGGCAGCAAGGTCAACCCAATGCTCTGTTGCCTGAAGCCAAAAGACCAGTAGGGCTCAGGGGAAGCCAGATTACCCTCCTGCTTCTGCAGTCCTGAGCCAACAGCAAAAAGCAGAATTTTGAACACACAAGTAATGGATAGAATTGTCTGCCACAAGATGTGGTGATGGGCATTGGTGCCGATGGATTTAAAATAGGACTGGACAAAATTATGGAGGAGGAGACTATCCGCCATAATTAAATGGAACCTCCATGTTTGGGGGCAGTGTCCCAGGTGCTAGGGACATCCAGTGGAGCATTGCTTTGCCCTTTCTGAAGACGCCTCGTTGGCCATTCTGGAGATGCTGATGGATCTTTGCCTCTGACCCAGCCGGGCTCTTTTAATATTCAGGAGTTCTCTGGCATTATCTTCTCTGCTCAAAGGGCTCTGTCTGCTATGGTGCATAAAATGGCAGATTCTTGGATCTGATGCCTAAAAACATTAAAGGGGAAAATGGCACGTCAGCCGCCCAGACCCAGACAGGCAGGTTTAGGGCAGGGTTCTGGGCCAGCCTGCCTGTAATTACGCTTGCTTGTAATTACCCCCATACGATGAATGCTTGGATCATCACTGCAAGGTGGTGTGGTGGTGCAAATTAGTTTACCATTCAGAATAAAATTATTATTTGTTAGGCACAAGGAAGAATTTCCCAGTTAGATTTCTTGGATCTGTTGTATGCTCCAACCCTCCCTTGCTAGCCTTGTTATCCTCTCCCATAATATTACCGTATTTTTCGTCCCATAGGATGCACCTAATTTTTTGGGGGGGAAATAAAGGAAATTTCCCCCCTTTATTTCCCCCCCAAAACCAGGTCGGGGAACAGCGGGATGGCGGCGCTGCGCCTCCCCGCTGTCCCCCGAGCTTGTGGGGCTGGCCGATGTCTGCCCGGCGTGCGTGGCACTCTGCTTCAGGGCACCCTGCGCGCCGGGCGGCAGGCTGCTATACGCAGCGTGGGGAGCCCCGTGGGAACTCCTGCGGGCTCGCCAGGCTTGCTGATAGCTTCCTGAAGACTGGAGAGCGAGAGGGGTCGGTGCGCACCGACCCCTCTCGCTCTCCAAGCTTCAGCGAAAGCCTGTATTCGCCCCATAGGACGCACACAGATTTCCCCTTCATTTCTGGAGGGGAAAAAGTGCGTCCTATAGGGCAAAAAATACGGTAGTTTGGGAAGCCTTTCTTTTATTTGTTGTGAAGATCTCTTGATATAGTTTATAGACAAGACTTTAGAATCCAGGAAAATCCCCACGTGGGTGTAGAAGTAAGGTTTTCAGAGATTGGGGAGAAGGGCAGGGTTTATTTGTGCTTATGCTAGATGAAGCAGAATAAATTATATGAAAGATTCAGAATGTAGTTGACTGACATGAATTGTAAATTACCAGCACACTTTTCAAAGAGCATTTTCTTTAAAAAGTGCCAAGCCCTGCCTGCCTGTATATTGGGAGCTGATCTGTGGCTTCCTGTTGTGTGTCTTTTTCCTCCCAGGTGCGGGAATCAGACGGCGTCGTCAACGAAGAGCTGCCCAACTGCTGGGAATGCCCAAAGTGCAACCACGCTGGCAAAACTGGGAAAGTGAGTTTCACTGGAATTGTGTTCTCTGGAAGGGAGCTGTGCTTTTTCCTTCCTCTTTTTTTTTACACATGCTAAATTGCTAATCTCACTGCTGAGCAGGAGCAGCTGCCAATGTGCTCAAGGTTTCTCCCCTTGCTTCACAATGCAGCCGGGAGATGAGTCACCACAGGCAAGATATCTTGGGGGAAAGTTTTGTCTGCTGCTACTGATCTTCTCCACTGAGCAACCCCAGAGATGTTTCAAGGAATCCCTCCCCCAGATTATGCTCTTTGCTTTCTCCCACAAAAAATGAGAAACCGGTCAGACCTTCAGTGTGTGTGTGTAAGAGTAATATAAATATAAAACTACACATGCATTAAGGACAACTCTTTTTCCATTCCATATTAACAGCTGTGAAGGTTTCAAGATTTGAAGATATACTCTGACTTGTCTTTCTACTATTATTTTAGTTTTGTTTTTGTAAAGCGACTATATATAAAACCTTACTTATTAAACATATATCTCTGTGGTGTTTAAAATGTGCCCCCCCAAACTAATTTAACACACTTCATTCACTTCTGGCCAGAGGCAGACAAGGGGAAAGGAGGCACAGGTTGTGTCTCTCTAACCCTTTCCGAATCCCAACCCTGTAGCTTTAACTTCCCCTGTAGAGTTTTATATATAACTGCAATTTCATCTTGTGCAGGGGTTCAGTTCCAAGGGTTCCTCATATACTTGAACTGCCCCATGTGAGCATCCTAACCCTTCCCACAGCTGGTGCACTGAGTGGGCCTTTCTTTGTAAGCAAGGCAGAGAGCTTGAAAGCTCTCTTCACACCAGGAAAGTGTTGCATGGTTTTAATCCGTGCAAATTCAACTGTGCAAGATTGCAATCGCACAAATTAAATGTGTGTAAGATCTGATCTTAAAGTGTCCTTCCCCCTCAACCCAGGAGCTAGCGGGTGGAGCCAACTGTTGCTGGCCCTTTAGCTCTGGCTTGAGTACAGAAAAAGGGAGTCACTGAACATAATGCTAGAGAGAGCTGACAAGATTCCCTCTAACTCTATAATAATGTGGGCACAGGCGCTTGGGAAGGAATCAATGGGTTGAATTTCTGCTGCCACTTATAAGCTGTGATGCAGGGTGGAAATTTTGTGTTTCATAATATCATTAGTGACAGTAAATGGCTGCCAATTGCAAATACAGTATTTGGTGAACTTGGCCGTTTCAGTCATAATTAATATTTTTCAGCTGAACTATCCTTTTGCTTTTGCCTCTAAAGTCTTTACAAGTATTCCAGTAAATTTCACTGGGTGTGGATGCCAGCAATATTTTTAAAGCTTTGTTTACTAAGTGAAATCACTTTCTAGAGGCAGGGTGGGAAGCCTGTGCCCCCCCCCCCCGATAGTGCTGACCAGCAACTTCCATCCACATCTGGAGGGTCAGAGGTTTTCCCCCTCCCATTTCCAGAAAGCCCACGTTACTACCTATAAGCCACGACGCAAAAGCATAAGATATAAAGTTTGCTTGTGTGCTTTGTCTCTCTGGCGTACAAGCAAAAGCGCGGACCAGGGTTCAAGTACGCGTCAAACCTGCCCGGCTCTCTGCTGAAAGAGCAGAAGATCAACCGAGAGAACAAAGAGGTTGTCCCAGACGCCACCAAGCGGAAAGTCGAGTGCGAGGAGCCCCCTCGGAAGAAGTCCGATGACCATCCCAAGAAGTCTCCTGTTGATCCTCTTTTGAGGAGGAAGTCTGAGGAAGTCCACCCACGGAGGAAACGGAAATTTGAGAAGCCCCAAGAGCCTGCCATGAGGAAGCGGGTACGTGTTCTGCGTGTGTGTGGGGGGGGTTATTGGGCCTCTTTGGGAGACCTTAGAGGTGGGAAGTGGCCTTGTGAGCGAGGCCTGGTGGAAATGCTCCCAGCCTGCTTGCCCACCTCTGTGATCAACGCCAGCTATTATGTGACATGTCGGAACCGACAAACCTGCTTGTGGGATCTTGCTGTCAGGCAGGTGTCTTGAGATAGCAAGCCAAAGTGCTGCAGCAAAAGCCATAATAGTGAAGCTCGGTCTTTGAGCATTCAAACACATGAGTGCTTCACTGATGTTACCTTGTTGCAGTACCTACAACAGCCCTGTAAGTTAGATCAGTATTCTCCATGTTGCAGAAGTCGGGCCGTTAGGCAGAGTGGCTTTTTGAAGGCCCCTGCAGAGGCAAGGAGACCAGCCAGGGTCTTCTGATTCAGTGATCCAGCCTCTTGGGCTGCAACCCTGGGCACATGCTTACCTTTCAACTTGCTTCTTAGCAGACATGCATGGGATCCAATGGTTAACCACTATTGCTAATAATTATTTGACCTCTGCCCTTTCCCTCCTTACTTTAACTATTTTATCATCATTGTTTTAAAGGCAGTTGTATCTCATTTATAGCTCTGCTCTACATGATACTAATTTTTATACAACATGTTGCATAGATGTTGGGGAGATGCTGTATGAATGGTAATACGTTAAAAAAAATTAACTATTTAAAAACAAATGATGCAGTGCCTGCTCCCTTATGCTCCAGGGGAAAGCGGGAAAGACTCTGGCTGTTGCTAACGATCCATTCAGTTTCTAGAATTAGGGAGGCCCCCAAACGATAAACTTATACTTTATGATGTTCTTTGGAAGACAGACAGTGAAGAGGGACCTTAGGTCTGTGTTAGAGAGCAGGTATTGCATTCGAAAGGTCCAAGGTTCAGTACTCAGCATCTCCAGTTTAGAAGAAAAGAAATCAAATAACAAGTGATGGGAAAGGGACCCCAACGAGGCACTGCCAGTCAGTGTAGGCATCACTGGCCTGGGATGCAATAGCTTCCTGCATTGCTAAGATTACAGCCCATTCCTAAAACAAATCTCCTTTCCTGTCTCAGCCACTAGGTGGCACTTATGGGTCTTTTCAGACTGCTACTGCGAATCTCCCTCTTTCCCTTCCTTTCCAGTAGCTGTTTTCTTCCTTTGAAGGTGCCCTGTGCAGTCCCAACTCAATGTGCATCTTTGGGGTCACACATTTTTTTAGTGTGTTTTTCCTGGGTGTTCTGTGGACATGGAAAGGTGAAAAGGCCCTTCCCTACATCCTGCTTTGAGGATTTCACAAGAGATCAGAGGATACCATCCATCCTCTCTATCTCCCTCCACTATCACATCCTTGGAGCTCTTATAAATGTTTCCCATTCCATTAACATCATTTTTTAACCATTCCTAAATACCGGGTCCTGGTGTGACTGAGTGGCAAAGATTTGTGATCTAGGAAGCTCTCCGTTCAAATGTCACCTTGCCTGAAAACTCCTGAGGTAGCCTTGAGCAAGCCAGTGGTGATTTTAAGTGTCTTAACTATTAAGCGGCACAATTTAAAAAAGCAGCCTTGCCCACAGGCTTATAGTCAGCTTCATTATCTCCTTCCATTTACACTGTAGATGTTGATGTTCATACTATCCAATATTTTCAGCTGTTTAATTTTTTTAATCTGTATTCTAAGAAATAAATACGGTAAATCATGTATTTTACACCTGAATTGTAAAACCCTTGGACTGCAGTTCTTCCTGCAGGTTACCTAAATCCCCTTGGATTCTATGGGAATTAAATACAGTGGTGCCTCGCAAGACGAAATTAATCCGTTCCGCGAGTATCTTCGTCTAGCGGTTTTTTCGTCTTGCGAAGCAACCCTATTAGCGGCTTAGCGGATTAGCGCTATTAGCGGTTTAGTGGCTATTAAAGGCTTAGCGGCTTAGCGGCTTAGCTGCTAAAAGGCTATTAAAGGCTTAGCGGCTTAGAAAAGGGGGGGGGGGAAGCGAAAAAAAATCTCAAGACTCGCAAGACATTTTCGTCTTGCGAAACAAGCCCATAGGGAAATTCGTCCTGCGAAGCGCATTGAAAAACGGAAAACCCTTTCGTCTAGCGGGTTTTCCGTCTTGCGAGGCATTCGTCTTGCGGGGCACCACTGTAGTTCATTGGTGTACAGGATTGCAGTCCTTGGTCACTGAAACGTCATACAGAAATGTTATGTACTGTGTGTGTGTGTTAGCTAAGTTGTCTATACTAAGTCTTGTCTCTTTGCTCTCTCCCACCCCACAATCCCTTTCTGACCACAGTTAAAACTAGGCAAAGAAGAGAAGCTGTTCAGGAAAAAGGTACTACATTAAATGGTGTAGATTTCTTCCATTACTTCACTCACCTATCCAGTGACTTACTGTGACTATTCTGGAAATGGCAGGTTTGGATCTTAAATTGGGGAGGGGGGGGCAGCTGGTGTGTCTTCTGCAGCTCTGCCTACACACCTGGAATCTTAGGTTTGATTAATTATTGGTTCTTGCAACATGGAGATATGGTTAGCAATGAAATTCAACCCCCCTCCCTGCGAAAAAGAAAAGCAGGCCTGCTGTTTTACTCTGCCTCTGTGGAAACCTCGCAGGCCTATGGTAAAATGTCAACCTGAGTTAGAAAATTGTGATTTGGATGCAGAATGCCCATCATATAACTAATTTGTTGTGTGTCCTTCCTCCACATCTACTTAGAGCATGTTTTGGATGACATTTATAGTTGAGGGAATTTCTTGAGAATCTCAAGGCCCACCTGCACCACTGACTTAATGCTGGTGGAGCTGTGAAAGCTTGGGCTGTATAATACGAAACTAAAATTCTGAGGGCCTTTTGTTGGAAGTGCAGGTGATCTTTTTAAGGGCCCAAGCTTTCTTCACAAAGCTACAGTTGCCCCTGAAAGGAAAGGACCCCTTGAAAGCAGTTTTGGTCTATAGGGTCGAGGGGTGCCCATTGCCTGTGTACTGAGCCAGAATCTTCCCTTTGCAGAGGCGATCGTGGAAGGCCACAGATGACCGAGCTGCCCTGGTCAAGCCAGTCCGGCGCTTCAAGCAGGAGCCTGAGGAGGACCTCCCAGAGGAGCCTCCCAAAAGCAAGGAGAGTGACCAGTCTCGCTCCAGCTCCCCCACGGCGGGGCCAAGCTCAGAGGGCGCAGAGTCCCGAGACAAGAAGAAGTTCAAGATCCGGCGGAAAACCCGCCTCCCAAACAAGGAGCTGAGCAAGGAGCTGAGCAAAGAGCTCAACCAGGAGATCCAGAAGACGGAGAACAGCCTTGCCAATGAGAATCACCAGCCCATCAAGTCTGAGCCGGAGAGTGAGAACGAGGAGCCCAAGCGGGTGCTGGGCCCTGAGCGGCCTCACCGCTTCAGCAAAGGCTTGAATGGAACCCCCCGAGAACTCCGGCACCAGCTCTTGTCCAGCCTCCGGAGCAGCACCCCCCGGGCAGCTGCCCGGCCTCCCCGCTCCCTCTCGCCCCCCAAGTGCATTCAGATGGAACGTCACGTCATCCGGCCGCCCCCCATCAGCCCACCCCCAGACTCGCTCCCCCTGGATGATGGGGAGGCCCACGTCATGCAAAGGGAAGTCTGGATGGCTGTCTTCAGCTACCTCAGCCACAGCGAACTCTGTCTCTGCATGCGGGTTTGCAAGACCTGGAACAGATGGTAAGGGGCAGCGGAGGTGTTTGCGTCTTGGTGGTGGGAAGGGTACAAGTTCTAGAGAGCAGGATTGCCAGGGCCATGACATTTGGAAAAATAAAACTCAAGGAAAGATTCCAGTGCCACCTGCAGAATCTTGTAGATCTTGGCTTTGTTTCATAAAAGGGGGGTTTCTAATAATAATTTATTATTTATACCCCGCCCATCTGGCTGGGTTTCCCAGAAGACTAAAATACAATAACCTCTAGACATCTTGATTTCTTTTAAAAGGTGCAGGTGAGATGCTGTGGTCATATTTCTAATATCTGAGTTTGATGGACACTGATAATGGCTTTGGAGAGGGTTTGGTTGGGTGTTCCAGGGAATTAAATTCCTGCTCACTTATTTCTTAAAATCCAGTGTGATTCAGTTTCTGGAACGTTGCAATAATTATCCAGGTATCCCTGAAGATATCATGGGCTCCATTCATGCAAAGTCCATGATAGGGAGCCTGTGACCCTCTAGATTTTGCTGGACCACCTTTCGCACTGTCCTTAACCAGTTCTTTCCCCCCCCCAAATAAAAAATAAAAAATAAATGTTTAGGGGTACTCTCATTTTCATACTCATTAAAATACTGCCCCTCAATGAGGCCAAACATAGATTCACAAAATGTTTAGGGGTATGCGTACCCCCAGAAAAAGCACTGCCCTTGACTATTAAGCATATTGACTGTGTCCAGTAGGAGTTGGGAGTCCCAACAAAATCTGGAAGGCAACAAGCTCCCAGCCCGTGTGTTAGGTGTTTACCACATGTTCAAGGAAGTCCAGGTATCTGTATCCACATCAGCATTTTGAAAAATTCCTATCCTATTTATAAACTTTTTTTCTGATGCAAAACTCAAGCTGCTCGTTGTAGGCTTCCCATTTCCCCTGGTTTTGTTGTGTAGGTCTCTCTGTCCCAAGTGCCAGACCAGCTTTCTTATGAAACCTTCTTCCTGATCTGCTTAGGTGCTGTGATAAAAGACTGTGGACCAAAATAGACCTAAACCACTGTAAATCCATCACCCCTCTCATGCTCAGTGGTATTATTAGGAGGCAGCCGGTCACGCTTGATTTAAGTGGGACAAACATATCGAAAAAGCAGCTGAGCTGGCTCATCAACAGGCTCCCAGGTAGGTCTGCAGTGACTACAATGCGCCGAGGGAATCATACCACATCTCCTATCTTTTGCAGGAAAGAGGCCTAAATGAACATTATTCTCTTCTCTACCTTGCTGAGGCCCAGAGATGGACATCGCAGCCTCAGAGCCCAGTTAACTGCTTTTAATGTTTCAGATAGTAATACTGTCTGGGTTCCTGAGTGGCTACAGTCTGGCCCTGGTAGAACAGGCTGCACAGGAAATGTTGTGTCAGACCTAGGCAGGAGGGGGAAGCAGAGCCCGATACGTTAAAGGTGGCTCATGACAAGGCCTACATTTGTTCCTTTCGATAAACTCGGGAAGTTGTATGTGTTTTGTACAAGAACAACATTTTAGTGTCCTAACGACCTGCCTCTAAGCTTGGCCATTATTTATGTTCACCTGCAATATTATTTCAGCTGTTAATTTATTGTCCTCTGGAGAAAGGTACTAGGAATACTTTCGAAAGCAGAGCCTGGTAGCCTGTGGCCCTCCAGATATTCTTGGACTCAAGCTCCCATCAGCCAGCATGGCCTGTGGCTTAAGTTGATGGAAGTCGTAGTCCAACAGCATCTAAAGCGGCACAGGTTTGTCATTGCTGCTTGTCATCCTGTTGGTTGTGTGAAGCAGGAACCTTTTCAACCTCTTATTGTAAAACTAAAACGCCTCCCCTCCCCCCCCTGCAGCACTCCACAAAGAAATATTTGCTCAGTGTGCTGTGTGTTCACTTCCCTTTCTCTTCCCTAGGTCTCCGAGATCTGCTATTGTCAGGGTGCTCGTGGATTGCAGTGTCTGCTCTCTGCAGTTCTAGTTGTCCACTCCTCCGAACACTGGATGCGCAGTGGGTGGAAGGCTTAAAAGATGCACAAATGAGAGATCTTTTGTCACCACCAACTGACAACAGGCCAGGTATATCCTCTTCCTTTCTGAAGAGGAACAGCTTCCTTTGTATTTGGGCCAACACGCAGAAGAAAAACCATAAATGTGGTAGTGGGTTAGGTGCAGGATTCAAATGTTTCATGAGAATTCTATGATTGCCTTTCAGCTATACCAGTTCTACTGATTGTGTTTCTGTGTGTATTATGTTCCTGTGTAAAATTCAATTTTATGTACCCACTTATAAAAACCCATTTTTCAAAAATCTCGTATTTGGGGCAGCTGTCTACATGCAGTTTTCTCATTTGGAAGTCTAGGGACTTTTTGGAAATGCCTCTACTTCTTCCATTGTATTTTAGGCATTTGTATATCTCATATAGCTCAGCCTGATGTATTCAGTGGTTAGACAATTTAATTACAAAAATAAACATTTCTCTCTCCTTTCCCTCCCCCCGGGTCCTCGCTTCTTGTATAGGCCAAATTGACAACCGGAGCAAGCTGCGCCACATCACAGAGCTGTGCCTGTCTGGCTTGGACATCACTGACGCTTCCCTGCGTTTGATTATCCGGCACATGCCTCTACTGTCCAAGCTCAACCTCAGTTACTGCAACCACATGACAGATCAGTCTATTAACCTGCTAACAGCTGTGGGAACCACCACACGGGACTCCCTAACCGAAGTTATTTTGCAAGGTATGAGATTGGGGATGGAGGGGTGCTAATGGACAGGTCAGATTCAGCTGCCTAATTTTAAGGGCCCTGTGATGAAGGTTGAAATGCTGCCTTAAAGAGCAGAACAGCCCACTCATCATTTGATGTTCAGCTCCATATGCAGTCCCAGCACCACCTCAATCTGGTGCTTCCTTTACATTACACACCATCGCTGGAGAATACGTGATCCACTGGATGTCAGCATGGCCTGTGGTCATGGATGGTGAGAATGGGAATCCAAGAAAATGAGACAAGAGGTTTTCAAAGTGCCTAAGAAGTTTGTTCTTCTAACACTCAACATTTCTTAAGGGGAGATGGGAATCCTTCAGGGGCAATTCCTTTTTGTTGGAACAAGGGGATGAGGGAGACTGGAGGCCATTTTCCAAAGTCTGTTGGGCATTAGCAACCACAGCAAACCAATTTTGTGCAGTGGAGGACCTCTCTCGTTTTCTTGTACCCAGTGCGTTATTTTCATTGTTTTGATTTTTGGGAGTTGGGATCCAGCAACATTTGGCGTACCTTACTATACACCTTTCTCTGTAGTGGAAGCAGAGCCACAGATAAGAATAGGGTAGAGAATGCCTTGTTTCCTTCAGTTCCCTTGTTGTTGGCCCTTAGCACATAATTTCAGATAGCTGAGACACCTTTTCTGACTTAAGGCCACAGAATGAGGACAGGAAATGCCACCCAATAATCCTGCCATCAGAGAGATGTTTCTGGCAGCAGACAGTGTGTGAGGTACCGTATTTTTTGCGCTATAAGACTCACTTTTTCCCTCCTAAAAAGTAAGGGGAAATGTGTGTGCGTCTTATGGAGCGAATGCAGGCTGCGCAGCTATCCCAGAAGCCAGAACAGCAAAAGGGATCGCTGCTTTCACTGCGCAGCGATCCCTCTTGCTGTTCTGGCTTCTGAGATTCAGAATATTTTTTTTCTTGTTTTCCTTCTCCAAAAACTAGGTGCGTCTTGTGGTCTGGTGCGTCTTATAGAGCGAAAAATACGGTATTTTGTGGAAAACTTTTGTAACCACCTTTGAGCCTTATAAAGTGGGAGGCAAGTGTTCCAAGTAAGACTACCTTTCCTTTCCTTCACTCTCACCCCTCCTCATTGCTTCATGTTTTTGTTTATCTATCTATATGCTGTTCTGAATGTGGCTCCTGATTTAGAAGAGGCAGCAAGGCCAGAGCAGTACAATCGTACCTCTGAAGTCAAACAGAATCCATTCCGGAAGCCTGTTCGACTTCCAGAGTGCAACTTCTGATTGGCTGCAGGAAGCCCCGTCAGACATTCGGCTTGCAAAAGAACATTCAAAAACCGGAACAATCACTTCCAGTTTTCGATCATTTGGGAGCCAGAACTCTTGACTCCCACGGCATTCGGGAGCCGAGGTACGATTGTAATCCATATGGATGCAACAGGTAGCCTCCTCAGAGGGATTCTGCAGTGGCTGTGATTGGATTATTCAGTTGCAGCCCATGCAAAAACACATCTAAGCTTCATAGCCCTAGCAAAGGCCTCTTAAGAGTTTAAGAATGGCTCTCCTAAAGCCAACCTTCCTCCTATTTTTTGTCTCCCCGACAGACTGCAATAAGGTGACAGACCAATGTCTCTCCTATTTCAAGCGGTGTGGGAGCATCTGCCGGATTGATCTGAGGTACTGCAAGCAAGTGACCAAGGAAGGTTGTGAGCAGTTCATCGCAGAGATGTCTGTGAGCATTCAGTTTAGTCAAGTGGAAGAGAAACTGCTGCAGAAGTTGAGTTAGTGTTTACTGGGGCAAGTTTGTAAATAACCAGGAGCTGAAAAAAGGACTCCAGGAGACCACAGAAGGAATTTTATTTTCAATTGGGAGATGTGGAATATGCCAAGTTGGGGGACTGTTTGGGCTGTACAGGAACATGTGGTGTTGAAACCACCCACAAAGGTTCTAGCCTGGATGGGATCTTTTGACACTTTGCCCAGATTCTTTACATACCTTCCTCTGGTGACAGCAAAGGATTCATGCCTAGAAGAACACTGAGGAACACCTATTTATATACCACAGCTGGAGCATGTGTAAATTTTTAAAGCATTTTTGAAAATGTCAAAAGCAATGTTAATTCTGGGGTTATTAAGGTGGGCCATTACCTGTTTTTCTGCCTTTTGAACTTTTTTGTTACATCCAACGTTATGCAGAACTATTTTTGTACAAATTTGTTTAAAAAAGTTATTTATGCAGTTACTGAATGCATTGCAAGTGTTTGGTCATTGGTTTCATATTGCCAAGTTTTATCTTGAGATAGAAGAGAATTTGAACTTCTTACCACTTAAATTACCTGCTGAGAGTTATACCCCAATTGGGATGGGGGAGGGGGGAGTAGGTTAATCCTCTGAAATGAAAAAGCATGTTTAATGGAAGTTTTATATACTGCTTTGTATAACACTGTAAGCATGTTGTGGAGAAAAGGAGGTGTAAAATACAGATTAAGAACAAACAAGTTGCCAAGTTTTCCCCTGTATAAAAAAACACATTTTCTCGACTGAAACTTCCAATTACAGCTGTGCATATGGGAAGGCATTAAAATACTCTCATACTTGCTGTAAAAAGTCCATTTATATGACTTAAAATCAAACAGTTTCAGGGTTTGAGTGAGTTCTTGTTGTCCATATTTAACCTGGTTAATTTCTGATTGTCACGAAAGGGGGGGATTTCAGTATTGATAAGTGCCATTGTTGTAAAGTGGTGGTGAAAACCCCCAACCTTCTTTCCCGATACAGTTTTACCTCTGTTGAATTTGTATAAATGATTGTACAAAAATGGAGAGGTGACCTGTGCATTATGTTCAAATTGGGTATTGAGCAGGAAACTGCTTGTGCTGCTGGGGCAAGAGAGAATCACACCCTTAATGCCACTTCTGCCTTGGGCTGGCAACTGGAAGCTAGTTTGGCCTAGCGGCTATGACAACAGGCCTGCTATTCGGCTCTGTGGGGTATTTTAAGAGAACAGTGCCCAACAGGCAGCTCTGAACATCCCTGGATTTAATTTTTTACCAAAATGACTTTTTGTACATCTGACTACAGGAAGGTGACCTAGTTCTCTGGTTGATATGCAACTCATGTCTGCCTTGTAGTAATACTGACTGGGATTCCTTCCTTCAATGGATGTATAGCTTTCTATCTGCTAAAGACACCCACACACCCCTCAGTAGTCTGTGCTGGGGACAGTTTAGGAGCTTGGCCTTCCTGGCTCCCCAATCCCATGGGCTGCTTCAGCCAGGCGCAAAAGAAAAAAAGTCAATGCCAGATAACAAAATGTTTTATTAAGTCAACAGCCATTGTTCAGAATGTTAGGGGTATGCTACATTCTCTTTGTGTATGTACTCCCTGAACAAGGACTTGATCAGCTGATTTTCTGCACCTTATCTTTAAAAAAGATCTTTCTAAAAATAAAGCCATATTATCTTGCTCCCTTCTGAAAAATAAAGTATGAAAGTCATACATTCTGTCTTGGCTGGAGACTGAATGGTACTCCATCCCACTCAGTCTCAGAGCCTTCCCAGTTACTTAGTTCCCGCAAACATTAAAATTTACTCTTGTGCGCACAAGCTTTACACTATCTGCTTTTGAGAAGCAAAACAGCAATACCTGCCTACTGTGCAATGAAGGAACTTTTAACTCCTTGTTAAGACATTCTGGGCCAGATTGACAGGATTGCCATTCTTCCTACAGAGGTGAGGCAGGACTTTAGGAAGAGGATAAAGACTTTTATCAAAATATTGCCATGTTTCAGGTTTTTCCTCTCACAGCTCAAATTCAGTAAGGTTCTAATAGTAAAGTATTTGGTACTGTGCAACCCCAAGAATGGGAGTAATGTGTTTCTTTCTCTCTGCACCATTTGAACCTGATCCTAGAGCTGAAGCTTCACATTTCCATACTCATTTCCACCAGATATGCTTTAGCTATGTCTTCCAGGAAACTGGAATGAAGGTATTCTGCAAGAAAAACACTGAAATAGCTGTTCAGTAAACTTGGTAGTGCTTCTGAACAAAGGAAGCCATGATTCCTATTAAGGATTTGTTTTCTCTGAAGAAACCTTTCTACTTGGCTGTTCTGTTACTCCATACTCATTTCACTGTAGGAAATTTCTAACATGTCAGAACTTATGAATAATCAAAACTGAATGGGTCACCTTAGAAGCAAGTATGGGGTAGGGTAGCTTTAGGTACTATGATTAAGGCTACTGCGCTTCATTGGGTACATGTGGAATTGGGACTAGAGCCCCTTTGCCTGAATAAAAAACATTCACCAATCTGTCTGCTTGAGATGGGTGTGAGTGGTACATTTGAGGGCCCACTTGCATTTCATTTAACATTTAAAAGACTGCAGCTAACTATTCCTTGGGATGGTACACTTACTTTTAAATGCACTTGGGCATCCTCACTCCTGCTGCTTGCTAGAAAGGCAGCACCCTACTTCCTGGCCTTTCCACTGGGTAATGTGCTATATTCTTCAGAAGAGAGCAATGAGTAATGCTAGATTTGCTGCTGCATGTTAGAGTCAACCAGTTTCTGGTTTTATCCAGTAACACAGCTCTATCCTTAACAAGGCATCTGTCTGCCTGAGCAGAAGTACATTGGTCAAGCTCCTAAGCTTCTGTTCAGGATGCTATGAATTATTGGAACTGAGGCCTACCATGGGGCATCCAGACACGACTACCGTGGTCTGTGCCTCAGCCCCAGAGAAAGCGCACTGAGAAGCCTCTGATTTTGGTCTCCCACATTCATGACTTGAAGACGTGCACGGCTCTTACAACATACTGTCGGCAGATGGGACATTCGCTCATTCGCTTGCCGCATTTCGTGCAGGTGACCATGTGGCCGCACTCCAAAAGCACGCAATCAATCACTGTGTCCATGCAGATCCTGCAGAGGTTGTCGTCCTCATCGTTCAGTTGAGGTTTCTCCCCCACTGCCAAGAACCAACAGAACCCATGTTAGGGAGGCATGCCATGACATAGGTCTTTTCAATTAGTAACCCCACACAAAGAATATTAAGCCAAGCTGCTTTAGTGCAGACTTGTTTATGCTAGACAAAGAAGGAATATTATAACTGCAACTTTAAAGCAGCGTGGAACTGTAGTTCTACACTGATGGTCCATTTTTTGCATTAACAAAACATCAGGGCAGCCCCTAAGATGAAGGGCAAAGAGGGCTGTAACAATAAGCAACATGCCCACCCCCAAACAGAGAATAAGTACACCTACAAGTCCTGTGATTTGCTTCATTCTCCCTGTAGAGCCTGCTCACTTTTTCCACCAGCTCCCATTTTTCACAGCATCCCGAGTAGTTGACAAAGTTGCGAGCAAGTATTTCCTTCAGCTGGCGAACATTTAGCCCTTCAATATCATCCAGGCTTGAAATATCAGATAGTGAGGCTCTTGCACGCTTCCTGGACTGCCCTGGAGTCTAAAATTCATAAGACATCTATTAGCAAAGAAGCAGGCAGCATTAACTCTGTTTGCCTAAGGGGAAAGGGGAGGCCTGGCACACATTAAATATGCATTTGTTTTAGAATGTTTCCAAGTCTTAAATTATTTTAAGAATTTTCATTTACGAATCTTGTATCGCTACATCAAATTAGGAAGTTCATTCTCTTTTTTTTAAGTGACTCCAAGACCTAAATTTCACCGGGTGATTCACTTCTTACCTGCTCTGCATTTTCCTCCTCTTCACCAAGGTTTGCCAAGAGTCTCTCACTTTGTCCCTACACCCACAAGAGTATAAGCAAAATCCATATTAGGGCAATACCTTTAACAAAAGATTCCCAAATAGCATGCAAGCTTTTCGATTCTCCAAATTTTTCATCTAGGCTAGATGTTAAAGCAGCACAGGGGCAGGGGAGAGAAGAGTCAGCTGTTGGCAGCGCCACTGATTTTCCGGTAGCGGAGGAAGGGATCTTGCCAATTGCTCTAGGTAGGACTTTGCAAATTAGAAAAATGTCCTTCCTAGAGTGGGACAGCACTCTTTAAGAGTTCCTTTCTGGCTAGCTCTTGACAGGCAGGGCTTCAACAGGTTTGTTGGCCACCTTGTGCCAGTCAATGGCAAGCCTCATTCCTTCCTTCTTTTCTATCTGTATTCTGACTACCTATGTGGAAAGCAACACGATGGCTAGAAACAATTACAGTATAGAAAACTTTATGGAATAACACAAAACTATCAAACTGAAGTCTCTGAAAGCCCTTGAATATGTCACGGTGCCAGACTTTACCCAGCGGAGATCAAGCTTGTAAAGCTTTGTATAATTGGCAAATGTCCAATTCTGATGTCCAAACTCTGAACAGTGTTTCCGGATGGCAACTACTGTTTCATTCGGTTCTTCATCAGCCAATTACTTCAACACTCATATGAGCACTGTTCCAGAGTATCTTTCATTCTCGTATATTATATCAATTCTAAAAAAGACTGGTTAATGAAGATGTTACACATCTTTCTACTTACAAGTTTTTGTTGAACTAATTGGCTGATGAACTGAACAAAACAGTAGTTGCCATCTGGAAACACTGTTCAGCAGAGTTCAGAGTTGGACATCAGAATTGGACATTTGCCAATTATCCAAAGCTTTACAAGCTTGATCTCCGCTGGGTAAAGTCTGGCACTGTGACTTATTCAAGGACTTTCAGAGACTTCAGTGTGATAGTTTTGATGTTTTGCATTATTCCATAAAGTTTTCTATACTGTAATTGTTTCTGGCCATCGTGTTGCTTTCGATATTGCTGAGTTACGTTTTTTGTTTACTTACTACTTACTACCTATGTGGAAAAGCAGAGAAAGAGTGAAGTCCTCTCTGGTGACTTGTTCAGGGATGGGTTGGAGATGAGATGGATAAGCACGAGTAGCAGGGGAACCTGGCAGAAAGCTGTGTGTCACCCATCATGATTTTCTAGTAAACATTAGTTGGATCTGACTGTCCCTGGTGGCACACATGCATAGTGCCACAGACAAGGAAGCACTTTCGTGGGCTCCAGTGGGTCATTCTGTCATTTCAGGAGGTTCGCCACAAGTGGAGGCTGTTGTTCCCAGCACCGCTGAAGGGTCAGGAAATTTGGGAGTGGGAAGATGCAAGTCTCATGGGCTGGTGGATTCAGCACAGAGACCACTTTGCACAAAGGAAAGCATGTATATATAAAGTATATAGACCACCTGATTGCAAGAAAACCTCAAAGCGATTTACAAAAAGAATACAACATTTAGGATTATCAATACAAGTCAATTAAAAACATTCAAAAGATAATTAAAATCAACAGTAAGCTAAAAAGATTAAAGAGAGAACTTTCTACAAAACAAACATGTTTTAAGCAGGGATTTGTCACTGATAAGTTCAATATTCAAATCCGCCTCTGATCTTAGTCTTAAGATAGAATGGGAGCAAACATTCAAATAAAGGCATTTAGGGGCTATGTCAATATTAGGTTGCATCACAGCCTGCTGAGAACAAGAAACATAACAATAGTTGACAATTTCTGGAACTACAGAAACTGACTTCTACAATTCCTCTTTCTCTCCTCCAGATTACCACCACCTCCTGTGTCAGCAAGAGAAAAACACATGGATGCATTTTGCTATCTGTACTGTAATTAAGATGCAGAGCCAGAGGATCAGCTTCCAGGCCAAGCTCCACCCCCATTCCACCCTAGGTACAGAGGGGCAGAAAGAGCCCAACTGCCCCACCCAATACACACTACCATACCTGTATCTGTAATTCATTTCCTGTGCTCTCATGCCTATGTGCGAAGTCTCCCTGAGAGGATGATACAGAACCTGACAGAGAAATAGGATGTGTAGAAAAACTAGAAGTCTGTGATCGTGCTGAATACAAGCTGCTAGTGTCTGTATCCTCTTCAGAAGCCAATCCATGATGGCACAGTACAAGATCTACCAAGTCTTCCTTTTCTCGACAAGTATCTGTAGGGATATTTCGAAGTATCAGGTACTGGCGCAAATCTTTGACTTTCAAACGCATTAGCTGCGGACGCTGGAATGCTGTCTCCTGCAACAACTGACATGTGGAGCATCTTCGGAGGGTCTCTTGCAAGACTGAACACATGGAGCAGAAATCCTTCTTGCACTCACAACAGACATGCTAAGTGCACACACAGAAGAGAAACAAGCCAGAAGAATGTTAACACAATTGTCACCAGTACCCAGACATCTTCTTTCCTCCAAGCATTATTTACATACACTTTAATAAACCTACAAATACATCAAGCAGATTCATAACACAGAAATATTGGGATTTACAATGTATACTACAAGCTGAGCCAGACTTCTTTCCTTGCCCCGGTCCAGCAATAGGCTTTTTGGGCCAAAGACGGGGGGTGGGGGAAGGCAGAGACATACAGCCCTCAAGTGACGGAAAGTGCTATATACTCACCCTTTTTCTGAACACAGAGAATGTGAGGCCACAAGATTTACAGACTAGATTAGATCCCCCTGCTGCTGAAGAGGTATACACGGTGAAGTCTGTACTTGGTGCAAATCTAAAGGGATTTGCTCCACCCCCAAATCCAGGTTGTTGGCCACGAACAGCTCCTGTCCCCATGACTTCATTCAACAACCCACAACAGGAAGCCCACATGGATGTCGCTCCCGCCTGTAAGACACAAACACAAGCCAACATGGTCAGCTAGTAATTCTCCTGAATTTAGGAGCCTCTCCTGACCAAAAGGAAAACAAACACGCCTCTCTCAGTGCTAAACTTGTGGTAGTGCTAACATCATGAGAGCCACATAACCAAAGAAGAAAGTAGAGTATCCCTGCTACAGATAGGCTACCTTGAGGAAAGGAATTAGGATCCCCCTTAACAAAACAGCAAAAACTGCATATTTGTTGCACAGGAAGCCTATTTTCAAAAGGGCCCCAGCTCTGCAGAAAGCATTCTGGAAGAAGTACTTTGTTTTGTTTCTGTAGCAATCATTCTAGGAGCACAGTACACCATTTCCAGAATGTTGGCAACTGAACAATTGTCATGATAGATGTAGAAAAAGGAGAAAACCTGTTTCAGTCCCACTGCACAAATTGTGAGAGACTAGTACAGCAACACCTAGACAGCAAAACTAGCAACTATCAAAACCATCTTTTCCTTTTTTATTTTAAGAAAAATGCACACCACCTTTGTTCCCTTGTCCTCATAATCCTATCTATAATTTATAACCTGCACTTCTCACTTCAAAAGTTCAAGAAAGCTACATAAAGCTATAGTTCAGTGATAAAGCTCATCTAGATTTCAAACTACCTTATTTTTCCGTGTATAACTCGCCCCTGTGTATAACACGACCCCTATTTTTTGGGACTCAAAACTTAGGAAATGGGGGAAGCTTGCCCAGAGCTGTTGAGCTTTTTTTGGGGGGGGGGGGGACTGCCGACAATCGCTCACCCAACGCTGCCAATCACACTCATCCATGAAGCCACTAATCGTATGCCCGCTTGCCAGCCAGCAGCCGACAATCACACGACCGATTGCCACAGCAGCCAATCGCCAGCAGACCTGGCCACAGCAACCATTCACACACACACCCCAACGCTGCTGACAATCTCCTGCTCGAGGCAGCAAGACGACCCCAAATTTTTAGCATTGCTTTTTAATAAAAAAAACCTTGTCTTAGACACGGAAAAATATGGTATGCCCACAGAACATCTGACCCCTAAACTGGAACAAATGACCATATTTGTGGTGGTGCATCACACCAGGTCAAAAACATTGTGTGCTATATCCCATATGATTTCTCTTCATACAATTCACATAAAAATATATTCCTTTATTCACTTACGAATTTTATAGAAGGTCAATCAGAGGACTTTTAAATTAGACGATAGTTAAGTTTGTTACTAGAGGATAGTTTTATATGAACCAGCAGTGAGAAAGTTATGGGCTACTTTTTTGACCCAACATAATGTCAACTACCAAGCAGATTTTTTAAAAAATCTAAATGGAGAACTTTACCAAATTAAATTTTGATCATTTGATTAATTGTGTGCCAGGTAATACAGCTTTTCTGAAGGGGGAAAGAGAGAGAGAGAGAGAGAGAGAGAGAGAGAGAGAGAGAAAGAAAGAAAGAAAGAAAGAAAGAAAGAGGTACATACGTACGTACATACGTACACTGCCTTTTCCCCTGATGGGACTCAAAAGCAGTTTACAGATAAAAAAAACAGATAAAAACAGAAAAATCAAGGTTCCTGGACCATTCTCATTATTCCTTCATCTAAACCTCCTTTCTTCGAAATAACTGTTCCCGTCTTTCAGAGTGCATATTCTCATTTGTGTGTCCCATTAAGCACCCAGCTTACATTTCAAGGAACAGCCTCTTTCTCTGCTAGACATCTAGACTAGAGATGACTGAGACTGATTTCACTGAGAAAAGCAAAAAATGAATGGTGCTTGCACACTTAATTCTTGAGCCCTGGGTACCAAACTGATTCCAGGGGACAGCATCGCTTGAGGGATCACAGTTGATGCCAAAAGGGCTAAAATCCAATCTAAAATGGCATCTGGCATTCTGCTAAGAAGCACCATGCTCTTCTCAGCAACATTTACATAAGCCGAGTTTGCAAGATCAGAATAGTATTTAAGCTAATAACTATTTTAGCAAAAGAAAATGTGTGTGAAAAACTGCCAGCATATAAACCCGAAAAAAAAAAGACACAGCAAGTCAGGCAACCAACTTCCTGTTTCTTCCTAGACTTTTATTTTTTTATTTTACACACAGTAGTTATTGCCTTGAAGGATGTGTTAAGTTAACCATTCCAATGTAACTCAAACAGCCCAGCACTTTCCAAGGCAACATTTACGTCTGAGGGCATAATTGGTTGGAAATGCATCCTATGCAATGCAGGTAGGTTACAGCTGAGCATATAATTGCTATAAATACTTGCCATTTGCTGAAGTGCGGCTTGCACAAGAAAACACTATTCATGGATTGGGCCTTGAACTGGTTTTGCCTATACTACAAACCATTGTGTGAGTTTAAATAAACTCTTCTAACAAGACCACATCAAAATAAGCTGCATCACAATCCATGGGTAGACACAACAAAATAAAAGTGTGTGGTGGTGGACATTTTTGACAGGTAGGAAAAGAGTGATGTTTCAGTTACCTCAGCTATGTAATTTTACAAGGCTATAAAAATTCCAGAAACCAAAACATTTTATAGTATTTTCCTAGCTATGATCCCAGGAATAAAAAACTTATCTTAATATTGCGTAAATGCACACGCAAGCACACACACTAAACCAAGTGAACTGTTAGCTCCCGAAAGGTTGTGAGATTTAGAAAAGAGATTTAAATTAATCACATTTAAGTTTGGGCTCTTTTCTTATTTCTGAGCCAAAGCAGTAGAATTCAAACAGAATTAATACAGATCATGACTTATAGCCAAGAAGAAAGAACCTGACTATATCCAAGTGTTTTGAGATCAGGTCCCTTTGAACTTCATGACAGAGAAAGGTATTTAGTTAAACTGAACACATTATAACTCTTGCACAGTTCACTTAATTTTTATTTTAGTTAAAAGCACCCAATTTTTGTGGTAGTTTGATGCAAATGTATTGGAATCTTATACTTTCCAGGATTAGCCCTCCCAATACAATGACAAGAACATGTGCCAAATGAATACAGTGGTGCCTCGCAAGACGAAAAGAATCCGTTCTGGGAGTCTCTTCGTCTAGCGGTTTTTTCGTCTTGCGAAGCAAGCCCATTGATGGGATTAGCGGATTAGCGCTATTAGCGGCTTTTAGCGGCTTTTAGCGGCTTTTAGCGGCTTTTAGCAGCTTATCAGCTTATCGGATAAGCAGATAAGCGGCTTAGCGACTTAGAAAAGAGGGGGAAAGGAAAAAAAACCCAGGAACTCGCAAGACATTTTCGTCTTGCGAAGCAAGCCCATAGCAGATTCGTTTTGCGAGGCACCTCCAAAACGGAAAACTCTTTCGTCTAGCGAGTTTTCCGTCTTGCGAGGCATTCGTCTTGCGGGGCACCACTGTACACAGAATACTGTAACATATATTCTATGAAAAACTTGTACTATACGTGTAGCCCTATATAGAGCACATTGCAATAATGCAAGCCAAAGATTACCAACATACAGACATCAGTGGCCAGGCTATCCCAGTTCAGAAATGGTCAAAGCTGGTAAATTGCACTTCTAACCACTGAGGTCAGCTGTGCCTCTACCAACATAGATGGATCCTCAAACTATAAACTTGTAGTACAGTGGTACCTCAGTTTTCGAGTGTCTCAGAAGCCAAACATTTTGGTTTTCAAACGCCGAAAACCCAGAAGTACTTGCTTCCGTTTTCAAACATGCCTCGGAAGTCAAACGGCTTCTTCTGCGTGTTTTTCCATTTTTCCAATTGAACTTGCAGCCAGCCCTTTGCGCCTCGGTATTTGAACATTTTGGAAATCTAATTGTTTTCCAGAACAGATTACATTCGAGAACTGAGGTACCACTGTACTTACAGCTGTTGAACCATAACCCTCTCAATCACCTTTCTCAAAAAGGTGATTTGCAATCGGGAGGTAGTTGTCACAAAGCAATGGGTTTTGATAACTTCCACTGGACATTTTACAGTAAAGTGCAGTGAGCGCTAATGTAGCAACAAAACTGCTGTAGAGGTGCTCAAGTGCCTTGCAAACAAGTCACTGTGGGCTTCCAAAGAGTCTAAAATCCCATTCCCTATAGATATTAACAAGCCCCGGATAATACAAAAAGCTCAACTGGGCAGCTACTTCAAGATGCGATGGAGACAGAGAAGTGGGCCTTCTTCACAGTGCTCAACACCACACAGCAGCCACAATTATGCTGTTGTGCTTGGTCATTTGCTGCAGGCACTCTAGCCATCATCCAGTCTATTTCATCACCAGTTATTACTTGCTATACCAAGGTTGCCACGGGTTCCACAGTGCCCAGGGTAGCAAGATGGATAGTACACTAGCAACAACCCTAGTTTATTGTCTCCTTGGCCCAACACCAACTGAAGGTCTTCAAAGCCAGTTCCAAGTCAGAAGAGTTTCCTGGTAGAGATGGAAGTCCTATGGACCACAGTAACGTGTCCTGCAGTCTGTGTTAATGCTGTACTAAGCATCTGGGTCAGAACAATTCCCACTTCACACAACCAGGTCTCAGAAGCACATGCCAAATCAGCACCTTCATCCATGATCAAATCATGGCTAAGTGGGGTCTTATTATGTACTGACATAATCTTAAAGAGCAGTGCACATAGGCTGGTGTGCACAGCACAAGAGCAACCAGGAACCCAGCAATTCCATGAAGGCATTTTTATCAGAAACCCATTTGCTGAGGTGTGGCTCTTTATCCTAGTTGCTATAATAGCCAATTATATCATGTCTGTACATATTTTACTGGATTTTACATACTTCTTCTAAACTCTGATGTTGTATACCATTGGAAACTTTTCTTAAAAAGTGAAAGCAAAAATGAAAGATCTTGTCAGGCTTCTTAAGAAACCTGTAAAGGAGGCGTAGCACTGTTACATCAAAAGCTGCAGGAAGCTTAAAAACAAGCTACACAGGACAGGGCAAATGGGATTAAATTCCAAAGACGGGCTTTAGGTGAGCCGCCCTCAAGAGTTACCCAAGGACTCAGTGTTCTCCTGTCCTCTGGCAAGATTTAGATAATTTCTCTTACGTATACTTAAGCCAAATTTAAAAGGGGTTGATAGAATGTTAATCAGGCAAGCCTTTGGGACATCCAAGTTCCACCAACTCCACATCCTTATATTTTGCCCAATATTAAAAAACTGGGAGAAGGTGCCTATAGGCTACCAGGAATCAACAGAACTTGAAAGAGGAAAGGAGGTAGAGATGAGATATTCTCCTGCTGCAACCTCCTTAGTGAGCAGGACAGTAATTATCTACAGATTAACGTCCAAATTCCTAAGACTCTGATGCTGGTTGTACACCAACAAGTTTTTCTCTTTTTGAGATGGGTATACCTATAAAATTAACTTATATCAATTCAGTAATATTTGCATTCAAGTCTGACTCAGGTACTGGAAGGTGGTGGGCCTTTATGTCTTGCAAAAATCACTTAAATGGAAGCACATTCCTATGTTCTTCTGTTAATCCAGAGCAGCTATTCACCTCTGTCACCAAATTTGGATTAGACCTGTCTTCATCCAAAAACATTATGATTAAACAACACAATCAATGGCTCTTGGCTCTACAGAACAATGCTAATGAAGGTGAATAACTTTGAAAAAACCTAGAGGTGAAAAACTACATGTGTAACATGGAGCGTAAGCACTACCCCTGCAGGATTCAAGAAAACTCTCAAGTTTTGTTCTCATCACCACATGGTGCATGCACTTAGTTGGCACCAAGATGTTTAGGAACAGTAAGAGCTGTTCAGCAGTGGAACAGTCTGCAACGAGAGGTGGTAGACTCTCCTTCCTTAGAGGTTTTAAACATAGGTTGGATGGCCATCTGTCATGGATGCTTTAGCTGAGATTCCTGCATTGAATGCACTTGGACTAGATGACCCTTGGGATCCCTTCCAACTCTAAGATTCTATGATTCTATCATCCAACTGCCAGGTTTTTTTTTGGGGGGGGGAGGCTTTCCTCCTCCAGTTGCCACCTCCACAGCACCTGCAAAATCATTTGGCCCCAAGAAAAAGCAGTAATAGATTCTTCCAAACAAATTTCCTTTTCCATTTTATTCTAATGTATTAATTGATAGTTATTATCGCAATGATCTTATGTAAACTACTTTATGCGGTCCCCCTGAAAAATGGTATAGTATATAACTACCTTAAATAAATAGTACATTAACACAACAGCAAAACAGGAAATCACACAGCAGGGGGGAAAGTATTTCCCTTTGCTAAGAGAAAGACTACGCTCCACAGCTCTGGAGCCAACACAGAAAAAGCTCTGCTCCTCAGAGATAACACACTTATTGGGCTAGGAAACATAACCGGGACATTGGCTTCATGGGCAGATCCTAATACACTAGGTGGGTAAATATTATATGGGAAAGGTGCTTCTAAAGCTGCTCAGGAGCAAGATATTATAGGGCCTTTAAGGTCAAAAGAAACACCTTGAACTGGGCTCAAAACAAACAGAAAAGATGCACACAGCTCTCACCAACAAACAGGAGCATTCTGTTTATTACATGTACAACAGTTTATAAATAACAATTCCACCCACTCCTTCCCTCGAGTTCAGCCTACCCTATTTTAACTTTTACAACAAATGTAATAGAGTTTTATAGCACCTTGAAGTGGCACTTTGGCGCACTGTTTAGTTTCTCTCTCCACCTCGGTGTTATGCATGTTTTAGGGCTGCAACATTTAAACTGGTTAATAATTAAGAATATTTGATCAAATAAGAACATACCACAATTCATTTGGCAGTCCTTTTTTAAGTTGTTGATTTTACTAGTACAGAAATTATAAAAAATGGTGACAGGCAGGTGGCACTTTAAAGAAGAGTGCTCCTCTTTTTCCTGCACACAGGAGGGAACAGATGGAATTCTCATTCCCTCCTTTGTTAGATTCCAGCAAGCCACTAACTTCTGTGGGCTTATTTAAACACTGTTATATTCACATGCACATTTATTCATACTTAATTGATCAGCTAATACATATTTGATTATTTGGTTAACAGTGAAATCCTGTGCGTTTACTCAAAAGTAATGTTGTGTTCAGTGGTATTTACTCCCAAGTAAACATGCACTCTCTGATTTCTTTAATCAGCTGAACAGCCCTTGTGTGTATATATCATATGCTACACACAAAGGATACTTATTACATTTATATGAATGGTTTTTCTAGAACCTTGGTTATATCTTGTTTTCTGCTGCTATTTTAAACTGGCTTTGCTTATCAACGTTGTTTTTTGTTTTTTTAGATTAATAAGAAATCACAGATTGCATTATCTTTCTCCATTATGCTGATCTTATGTACACCTTGCATTTTTTTTAAGAAAAAAGGCAGAGTATAAAGAGCTGCTAAAAATATATCTGAGGAGAAAACTTCCAGTGTGGGATGAAGTGAGTTCTGGTCCACAACCCATTCTGTCACAACAAGACTGCATTCCTACACATGCACTTCCTTGGGAATAAACCCCACCAAAACCATTGATTTCCTACTTCCAACTAAACATGCATAGCCTACGTTGGCCTGTGCCAACCTGGTGCTAATTCAAAACACCAGGTTGGCATAGGCTGGAATCCTACACACATACTTCCCAGTAAGTGGGCAGCAATTCTGCACACAGACACTCATCTGGGAGTAATCCCCACTAAACCCAGTAAAACGAGGCTACAATTCTGTAACCACCTAAACTGGGAGTAAGCTCAGATCTGGGCAGATCCACACCAGTGTCAGAAAGTCAAATATATAAGCTAATTGCCAAATGGCACCTTAAACCTAGGCTATGGTTGCCACTCAGTTATGTAGCTCATGAGGTGACCTTGGGCCAGTCACAGCCTCTTAACCTACCTCACAGGGTCATTGTTGGGATTAAATAAGATGGGGCTGAACCGTGTACTCCTTGGAGAAAAAGGTGGGATATAAATGAAATACATAAGCTCTCGTGCTTATCTGCTTAAGAAAGCTGGAGGGGCTAGTCAGATGGAGATATCAGTCGCCAACCTGGCATCTAGAGATCTCCACAGGGTCGCAATTGGACCTGCGCCAGTCACAAATGAACCTGCCATCAGGGGAATTGCTTACACTGATCATCACCATACAAATAAAACATATCCAACACCCATTATCCCCCCTCTAAATAATTCTGGAAACTGTAGCTTGTTAAGGGTGTTGTGAATTGTATTTCAGTTCGCAAGATTCTTCTCAAGGGAAGTCCATGAGATTTAGATGTGTGGCAAATGTGCTTTTAAATTTTATTTTATTTTATTTGTTTCATAAAATTTATATAATGCTTGATTGTAAAAAAACAACCCTCAAGTGTTTACAAAACATAAACCAGTAAAATTTAGAAAAAATCACAACCATACTTTAAAGTTAAAATACTAAAGCAGATCAAAATTACCTCAATTTTCTAAACAACTACATAGGTGATAATGTTTCTAGCAGGTGCCAAAGAGAGCAGTGAAGCTGCCTGTTTGATCTCAACAGGCAGCAAGTTCCAAAGTGTAGGTGCTGCCATACTAACAAGGTCTTACAAATGTGGAACAAGTATTATATGTCACCCATAGTAGTGTCAATTCCACCTACTGAAGCAGTCAAGTGGGCACATGTTGGGTAAGGCGATCTCTTAGGTAAACCAGTCCCAAGCTGCTAAGGGCTTTATATGCTTGACCTTGGCCAAGTAGCAAATCGGCAACCAATGCAGAGCACAGGTGAGGTATGCCTCCGTCCTGTCAGCACTTGCATTCTGCACTCACTGCAGCTTCCGGCTCAAGCACAAGGGAAGCCCCACACAGAATGCACTGCAGTAATCCAGTCCTGATGGTGCAGATCTGTGCTACGCTGTACACAGGACAGACCCACTGAAACCAGTGGAGTTAAGTAAGCCACAGCTAACTGAAGTCGGTTTATTTTAATGCGTCTCCTCCAAGAATGACTTCCTCAGGCAAAAACATTTAAGAAAAAACCAGCCCTGGTGGATGCAGCCCAGAGAGTCTTCCTTCTCTGCGGGCGCTTGTGTGTGTCCCCTGGGGGTCCAGCTGTCTGACTTCACCCCCCAAAGGCACACACTCCCATTCTATCCCGAGCCAAACGGAGGCCAAAGATCGATCTGGATTATGTTGTCACAGACACCCGAGTAAACATGCCGGAGGAGTGCGCTGTCAAAGTCTTCTGGAGGCGCCACAGGACTCCCGGGATTCTGCCGGATAAAGGGGCCTCCACCCCCCTCCTCCCGGGGGGCAGCAAGGCGCCCTTTTAACCCCCCCCCCATTGACAGGCGAGCGCGGGGGGGGGCTGTTACCGTTACTTCGTCGCCTTCAAGCAAAGGCTCCGCCCCTAGCCAGCCCCGCCTCTTCCCTGGCTGCCCCCTCCAAAATGGAAGACAACCCCCCTTCCCTCAAAAAAACACACCCCACCTACCTGCCTCCCCACCTCCACTCCCCCCTCCCCACTTTCCAGGGTGTCCCTCAAACCTGCCCCCCCTCCCCGGGTCGCACCTTCATGGCCGCTTCGGCGCCTCCTTCCTTCGCCTCAGCGGAGCCGGTCTTGCGGGGGAGGGGCGCCGGCCTCCCCAACGGTCTCCCTCGCGCCGCCGCCTTGATATGCGCATGCGCCGCACCCCTCCTTTCCGCGGAGAGGGGCCTGGCGCCGGGACCACCCACCGAGCCGAGGTCGGGAGGGCCCCGGGAAGGACTCGGCTCGCCTCCCCAACAAGCGCCACCCCGCCTCCCCATTGGCTGCCCTTGGAGCCCAATCAGAAGGCAGCGAGAAGGGGTCCGCTCCGCAGCGCCACCAATCAGAGGGAGGACGTTCCATTTGCCTTCCCCTGAAAGGGGAGATTAAGAGAAGGGGCGGAGGAAGAGTCTATATTCCACTGGGAGAGGGAGGGAGGAAAGAGGAAGTAATGGCTATGACGTCACAGCTCATTCTTTTCTAATGGGATCTGTTCGTTTGCTCTGTAATATCTTTGAGAAATAGATGGGGGGGGGGGAGACAATTGACAGTGGTAAGACCTCCATAGCTCTCTTCGGTAAGTCACTGTAAATAAATTCACGATTTAAAGCGGCAACTCTAACTCCACTTAGCATGGGCATGGGAGCAATCCCCGATTGAATGCAACATTATTTACATCTTGGGTCGGCATTATTAGGACTGGGCGTTGAGGGATTCTCTCCATCCTTCCGCCAAAGTCCACAGCTGAAGTGCACCTTGATTGCATTAAAAAAAAACCACACACAAAAAAAACAACGCGCGCGCACACATACATGCATGCATACATAACGGGAATATATTTTATTGCACTGCCGAACAGAACAAAACGGCATCTGCCTTTTTCAGTAGCCCTGGTGTGAATTCTGCAGTGGGAATATAGATGCAATCAATTGCACATTTATAAATACTACTGCTTTACAACGCGTCTTGGGGGAGCTGCTAGCTGTTGGCAAATCTGGAGGCCTTGTGCAAATGGCCCTGCTCGTGGGGTGGACGGCTGCCTAGCAGTGCTGTCAGGATGAGGGCGGGCCCTTCCCATAGGCCGCGAGTGGGAAATGTGCAGCCCTGATTTTCACATTGCAGAGCCTTTGGTAAGATAAGGGTGGCCTGGTTCCTTCCCCTAGCAATCCACTGACAGGGAGGGAGAGATATAGAAGCAGGTGTCAGAAAGAGAATTACTCTTATTTTCATTTCTATACTGCTTTATATTTTTAATAAAATAATCTCAAAGCAGTTTATAGCACATTATAGCATTAGGCAATGTTGGGGTTTGCTGACCGGGCCCAAGCTGTCTTGGTCACTGAAAAGCCAATAAATGCCACAGACGGAGGAGATTCCCATTATCACTCGTTTATTCAGCTGAGTAAAACAGAGCAGGAGAGCCACACTCACCAGTGTGATGGTGAAATCGCCCCAAATAGCCTTTGTTCATACTTTTTATAGGCATTCCCCCTTTCGAGGTTCCTTGCGCTGATCAAAACAGGACACCCTTGAAGGGGAGAGTTGCCTGACAGAGGGAGGTGTCCGCCTGGCAGAGGGAGGTGCAATCGCCTAGCAACGTTATCTGGTTTTCACATATTTGTGGCTCATCCTCCTAAATTCCAAAGCAGGCAGTTTTTTACAGAAGCAAAATGGCATCATTTAGGCTAACCCCCCCCCAAAAAAGACAAAAACAGGCCTCTGTGGCTTTTCCTGAGACCCCACAAAACAGTGTCCCAGAGAATCGTGGAAATTGCAATGTGACAAAGCAGAGAGAGGGAGCAGTTCTGTCCCACAGCAGCTGTTCCAGCTGAGTTGATCATGTGTGCCAGAGTAAACAAAGAGGTTCCAGTCACCACTTGCTCGGATGAAGGGCTGCTGGGACAGTTGCTGCAGCTCTGTCTAAATACAAGACACGATTGCCTATGGACATCTCAAGCCTTAAACTGTACATTTAAAAGAATGCATGCCATCTTTGTAGTGCTTGGAGTTAAATTTGCTCTTTGCTGTTCTGGTACAGCCAAAAGGAACACTATATTTTCTTATCGAAAAATAAGCTGGTGGTATTGCCAAGTCTATTTCCTGAGGAGCAAGACTCAGGTATCAAGCAACAATAAATAACACTGGGAAACAGTGTTTCCCAGTTCTAACCTAATTTCGTTCTAACCTAATTTCTAACCTGCAGTTCTAACCTAATTTCGTTGTGCTGATTTCATATCTAAAGTTGGTTTTGTTCTGTAAACTCTAGTTTTTTTGCAATTCATGTTTTTCCACTTTTTGCCATAATCTTTGCTTTTCACAATGCAAGAATTCAATATTTTATTAAACACATAGCCAAAGTAGTACAATATGAGTATAAATGTAAGTGACTTACATAGCATTGAACATGACATGTATAGTATTTAAAATGACATGTATATCTATGTACATAAATATGTATATGTTGGAGGTATGCAAAAAAATGTATTCCTTTAGGATACACAGTATACTGGGGAACATTTTTTTTTCCATTTTCTGTTGCATGGTCTGATCTGAAAAATACAAATATTTAGGCTACAAAACTATAAAAATAAAGAAAAATTAAGTTTGCAAAACAATAATTACCATGTGGTTAGGGTAGATCAATGTGTCAGTGCCCACTTATCCCCAGTGTAAATATGACATATCAGCAAAAGTCGGAAATTGAAAGATAACTATAGCATGTACATGAAAATCGATTTCAGATTTGAAATCAGCATTGAAAGAACATATAAGAACAGTTGAAAAATCTCATGCAACAGAAAATGAAAAAAAAAAAATGTTCCCCAGTTTAATCCTAGATAATACTGGAGAACATGATATGCTCTGCTAAAGCAAGTCAACTTCAGTATAAAGCCAGTCAGTCCACATGCTAAACTCTGGTTGAGCTAAAAGAGAAGCTTTTAATCTTGCAATTGTGTCCCAATGCAGGCACGTTGGAAGTGGTGTTCCCAATCTAGTTGTACAAGCAAGCAGAGGTGAACATCAATAACAAAATCCTGTAGAAGAAATATGGTGTGGCTGTTTGGGTAAACTTTCCACAACTGGTAGTTTATTGATCTGTTTATGACATTCCTACCCCACCTTTCCTCCAAGCAGCTCAAGGTCCTTCTCCCCATTTTATCCTCACAACAACCCTGTGAGGCAGGCTGGCTGAGAGGGAGTCAGACTGGGCCAAGGTAACCCTGTGAGCCTCGTGGGGATTTGAACCCTGGTCTCCCGGGTCCTAGTCCAGTGCTCTAACCACTCCACCACACGGGCTCTCCTAGAACCTGGGCATGGTGGCTGTGGGTTCTAGTCTAGCAATGGTGGTTGCCCAGCAGCAGAATGTGCAACCGTTTGAACTGAGGTTCTCTGATCCTCAGCATGTACAGGTGTACATAGATTTGTGGTGCTTACCCTTTGCTATTTTTGAGAAAAATACGGCTTCCAATGAACTCCTGGCAGTAAGTGAACATGGCCATTTCCAGTGGACTTAGCTCCTGGGGTCTAGTCTAGGTGTGCTGGGAGTGGCACGGGCATTGGGAGATGAAGGCGTGTGGCCCTGACCATGGCATAGAGCAGGGGGACCTCACACCCAGAGGCTGAATGTGGCCCTCCAGAGATATCTAGCTGGTCCTTGGGATGGTCCTGTGGCCACCTCCCTTCCCATTCCACCAGGGAACCCCTTCTCTGGCCCTGCCCTGCAGATATTTTGCCTGGGTGTGCCCTTGAGCGGTGATGATGCCTCTTGCTTCCTGCATGGGGGATGGAGAGGGGTGTGAGGCGGTGCCTTAGAAAATATGAGAGAACAAGGTGTGTCTGAGGATGTGCTCAGCCCAGGAATTTGTTTTCAGGACAAGAGCTGAAATTTGTGTAAAATTGTTTTACACACCAAGCTGTTCCATTTTATTAAATTTTCAAAAGTTTAGAATATATAGTTCAATACATAAATTTGTCTTTTCCTGACTTCCCATCCCATTTTCTATGGTGTTTGAATGTCTCCTCCTTTGCTGCACAGTACCTTCTATTTCTTATATCAGCACTTCAGTGCTATATATATTCTCTAATTCCTTCTGTTGCTCATATTTTAAATCCTGCTCTCGAGTTCATTAAGCTATAATATTTCCCACAATAGTCCACAAAGGGCACAAAACAAGCAGCCCTCAGCTTTTGTGCCTGGGGTCTGGGTTGTGGGGCCAGTGGGTCCTTGTGCACTGAGTACCGGCATCTCTTTTCCTAGAAAAGGAGCACTGATGACAATGCTATTAATTTGTGGTTTATATGATTTGGTGGTTCTTGAATACTATTTCCCCCCTGTTTATTTTTATTCCTTTGTTCCCAAGCTGTGGGATGAAAATACTCAATTCAGAGTGGGCAATGAATATTGTAAAAAATGAACAGTTTGTTATAAAACCATTAAAATGATACACTAAGCAAAAACCAGGTGACATTCAAGACCTTTGTTAGAAACCCAGAAGCTGCTGGTCATCCTAAACCTTTTGTTAAAGTTCAATTCCTCTCTCTCCTCAGTATCCCAGCACCACTGGATGTTGCTGAGCCCGTTGGCATTTTGCTGGAGGGCTTCAGCCATGAAGAACTCCAGGTCCAGCTGGCTTCTGTCCTAGCTGGCCTGAAGAGCTGGAAAAAATGGGTCCTGATCCCCACCGTCTGTACCAATGACCTTCCTGCGAACTTTGCCATTGCCTTGGTTACAAGCAGAGGCCAGGGAAACGCTACAGCTGCTTCTCAGCACTATGGATGAACCCGCTGAGATGGCCACCTTGGACCTCCTTTTGTGCCCCGACACCTTGGACCAGGGATTATGTGCCCTGGTGAGGTAAGAGGAAGAGCACAGTGATCTTCAAACATTATGGCAAACAAGCAGAACTCATTCATTGCATGGTGTGAGAATGTGCTTCTCTTTGCTCTGCTTTCTGGGGTGCCTTTCCCTTTGCTCATAAGATCCTGTTTGTTACACATTTCAGGGGCTTCAGCAGTGGGTGCCAGTGAGGGATTCCTGGATTGGCGGCATACATCATTTCAGCTCTGAAGAATAAGCGCTTTGCCGGGGTGCCAGAAGTCACTGCAGCCATCTTTCTGGAGGTGAAGGGAACAGGCGTTGAAGGAAGAGTGCGGACAAGTGGGTAGAGCAAAGAGCCCCCTTCTCTGTATCTGCCTAATGTGGGCTGCGGAGTCTTTCTCCTGTGTCTTTCCCAGAGGGAAATGCCCTCCCAGGAGCAGAAGAAGGTCTCCTAGGGTCCTCAGCAGCTGCTTGGAGCGGCTGATCTTGCTGAGCCTAGCCATAGCTTCTGCATTCCTTGATTTGATTCAGAAAATAGGCAGAAAAATAATCTCTGGGGTGTTTCAGGGCATCACCTTTAGAAATCAATTCAGCTGCCACGGTTTCTTCCAAGGAACCTCAGGAATTGTAATTTGGTGGAAGTATTGAGAATATTCTCATCTACATAAAGCAATCCAATAACATTATTTTCTGGGTGGTTTAAAGGACTACTGTTCCCAAGGTTCCCCATTTAAAAGGTTCTCCATTCTCCTGATGCAGATAACAGGCACCCATCCCAGTTTAGATTGGGAGCGAAGAATTAAAGGCCCCCTCCTTTCCTCACCAGGTCCTCCTGGTGTCATAGCTCCTTTTTCCCCCTAAGGGTTGTCTCCACCGTTAGTCATCTTCAGAGTAGACCCATAGGAATCAATGTACATGACTCCTCTAGTTCTACTCATTTCAGTGGCTCTAATCAGAGCAGAACTTAGTTGCGTAGAACTCTAAAGTGTATAGTAAAACTACAGGTGGTGGATAAAGCGAAAACCTGTATTAACCGCCGTCTGAAAAGTGCTTTGTGGGGGCAAGGGAAGTGCCTATAACACTCTCCTCCCCGGTCTCCTCACTGGTAAGCGTCTTTCTCTTTGGGGTTCTTTAGCTGCTCAAGAACCGCCTGGGCATCCAGCCCTGCAAGGAAACCCTGGTGCAGTTCCTCCGTTGGCTGGAGCACAGGAACAAGGAAGTGCAGAAGCTCAGCCTGCGAGGATTAGCTCTGCTGCTGGAAGCGACTCCCAGAAGGAAGGATGGAGGGAGCAATCTAAGGTTGTTTAAAGCAAACCTTCTAAATTTGCTCTTCCAGAACCAAGAGATGAACCGAAATGCAGCTATTCTCCAAAATTGCATGCCTCCAAATTTTGTGATTCAGTTCCTTCATGCAAAAAATGTCCTCAGAAATGCTGATCAGAAGGAAGTGAACACAAATGCACTTGAGACACACATTCAAACAACTAAACCTAAAAATAATAATGAACAAATATAGAAAAATGAAAAAAAATACAAATGCAAAAAATATGTATCAAAGTAATATACAGAAATTTATGCAAGACGAATAATAAACAATATGTATATACCATATTTCAGTTCTTCTTTTCTTCCAATTGACTTACTTCATCCTCAGCACAGTTCTATTTTCATTTTTGGTTAACTTATTTAACCGTATCTTCTTTTGCAGAAGTTAATCAAAACAAGTCCAAGTATTAATTTGAGGGCACTGCTTTTTAAGGTATTCTCTATATGTCTATGTAATACTGACAATGGAAGAAGACATGTTCCATTGTTTCCTGCTGCCCAGAGCCACATGGACATTTCCTCTCCTTGTATGGTGTCTTCCTATATCAGCCTTCCTGAATAGCTGAGGGGAGGGCCTGACAATGGGCCAGAGTAAAAGCCCTTTGCTGTTTGGGGATTTCAAGGTTGGATATGTATAGCATTTGGGAGGTGAGGTATCTTCTGGTTTCATTGATTAGAAATTTTGGGGACCTGGCTAGATCTGCCGGACAATGTGTGTCTTCCACACGCTGTTTAATTTATTTATTTTTGCTTGCTCATACCCCATGTCAAGTAGAATCTGTGGGCTAAAGCCTACAGTAGTTATTATATTTTTCACTGCATGTTGAACGTAGTGGCTGTGGGCTTTTCTGCTTCCTGATGAGCAAAGGGCTGCACCCAGATATTTGAAGCAGGTGATCTGCTCGATCTTGTGACCATCGATGTACCATGTACGTAGTTTGGGCCTCTTGGCAAAAACCATGATTTTGGTTTTCTGGTAATTGAGTTCCAATTGGCTCTCCTTACAATATGCTGCCAGTGTTTTCATGGCTCTTTTAAGGCCTGTCAGTGATCTTGAGAGGGTAGCTGCATCATCTGCGTAAAGCAGCACCAGAATATGCTTTCCTGTGAGTATTGGAGGGTGAGAATTTGTATTATGAAGGTAGGAATGTTAGGGTGTCGTCCTACTCTTGAGTAGGACCCTGGCAGAGACACATGCCCGACTGGCATGTTCTCTCCCTCCTGGTCAATCGTTCGGGAGCTTCAAAAGCTTTCTTTTGAAAGCGGTATCAGCGACTGATACCGACAGACATCAGCACACTTAGAGATCCGCAGAGTTTGCGCAGTCCGTGTAACAGAACTCAGTAGCTCAGCATTTGGCTAATCTACATTTATTTACATATACAGTGGTACCTCAGGTTACAGACGCTTCAGGTTATAGACTCCGCTAACCCAGAAATAGTACCTCGGGTTAAGAACTTTGCTTCAGGATGAGAACAGAAATTGTGCTCCAGTGGCGCGGCAGCAGCAGGAGGCCCCATTAGCTAAAGTGGTGCTTCAGGTTAAGAACAGTTTCAGGTTAAGTACGCACCTCCTGAACGAATTAAGTTCTTAACCCGAGGTACCACTGTAAAACACTCGGAGCATTCTGACTTAGCTCCTTCCTCTTTCTCATCAGGCAGTAAAGAGAGAGAACAAAGGACAATAGTCCCACATCACGGTACACAGCAACACAAACATCCTGTCTCCGTCACTTCCCACTTTGTGGAATGAAAACATACACCGTCATGTGACAGACAACAACCCCATGACTGCAAGCACCTGGAATGAATCTTCAGCAAGGAAATCACGTCATTTATATAAAAATTGAGGGAAGGAGCCAACCCATGATGACGCCTGGGCTGAGGATGTTGACCCCAAGAGCCCAAAGAGAGCCCCCTGCCTCCCAATCCCCAGGAGAGTGAAGGAGAAGAGACCAACAGCGCAAGACGCATGTGGGTGTTTTGCTATGGAACTCTGCATGCTCTCCCTGGCTAGCGATTGCTCAGCAAGGCACGGAGAAGGGGGTCACTGATGCTGCAGTCGCTGGAGTCACGGAGGCTGGGGGCTCTCTTTGGGCTTGGTCACTTGGCCCAGCAGCTGCACTGCAAGCCCCAGGGTGCCTTGCTGAGCAATCGCTCACCAGGGAGAGCATGCAGAGCTCCGGCAGCCCGCAGGGCCACCCCCTAGCGAAGGAGAAGAGAACGTTGGTGCGAGGTTGGGAGAGGATAGGGAAGAGCAGGCTGGACTCGGGGATACCTCGCGGTTCTCCTTCCGTGGGGAGGGCGCACCGGGGCTGGAGTTTGGCAGAGTTGCAGAGAACTGAAGGCGAATGGGAGCAGATGGTGAGGTGCCAACCAATAGGAATTGCGCCAAGGTACAACTGTATATTGAAATAAGTGTGTTGAATCAAAAGTCTTAATAAAGCATCCTTAAACAATGAAAAGGTAACAATCATTTCATTTCCTACACCCTTTATTTTACACCACTGTAAATTGTAAAAAATAATTGGTGTTTGCTATTTAGATCAATCCGTATAGCTTATTGAGTAGATCACGAGACCCTTAATCTCAGAGCCGTCCTTTGAGCCCCACGTAGAGCAAAAGATTCCTGTAGGGGCTGGACTTGAAGACCCTCGTGGTCCTGTCTAACTCTTCATGATTGTGTAATTTAAGGGCATTGCTGTCAAGTGAAATCATTCTCTGCGCACTCAAACACAGTTCAAACACATTCAAAGGTTTTAATAAAAAATAATCTTTATTAAATAGTTTTCCAGATGAAATACAATAAATGATTGATTGATTGATGAAAAAGTGCTTTTTCTCCTGAGATGCTAACTTTCTCTCTGCTAGTGTTGACTAGTGTTGTGTGGAGGGAAATGCAGCCCCTGGGCTGAAAAATGTCCCCCTCCTGCCCCCTTGGGTCTCTTTGTGACGTCACAGGCAGACCATACATAGACAGGGCTGGGGAAACTAGGCCTCAAGGGGGAGCACTTGTTAATAAATACATGATGACTGAGGAGCCCCCCCCCTTGTGACACGTGTGGCATGTGGACTCCATGGCACCCTCAGAAACCCTTCTTAGCACCCACCAAGGCCCCCTTACCCTCCCATTTTTAAAAAGTTTCCCCAAAATCTGTTAGTTTTACATTCAACTTTAATGGGCTTAAAAGCAATTTTGCAGGAAGAACCACAGGTCAGTGGCAGAAACTCAGGGATCTATCCTGCTTATTCAGTCAGAGTTTAGAAGATTGAACTGGTGAGGAGAATGAAGAATCATAGAAGGAACCCAAGGGTCATCTAGTCCAACCCCAAATGCTGTGATCACACACACCAGGCCTTCCAAAGCTGAAGCCCACCTCCCACCAAATGGCCATTATTATTATTATTATTATTATTATTAGCCCATCTTCCGTAGATTTCAGGGATGGGGCTGATGGGAGTTGGAGTCCCAACAATCTCTGCTGGACACCAGGCTCCCCATCCCTGGCCTATAAGATAACCAGCATCATAACCCTAGTTAAGTATTTCCTACCATACCTTGAACTGGTCGTTGGGTCACAGCTTGTTCCAAGGCTCTGGGTTGCTCTTTTTGTCCCAGGCAGGCAGAGAAACGTGACAAGAGGCAGGCAGCAAGGAGTACATCTTTGGAAGAAGAAGAAAAACATACAGCATAAAGCGTAATGCTCTGCCCGACTCTTGGCACATGGTTCCCACCAAATTTAACAATCATGGCCTCCTCAGTGCCACCAGAAGAGCACTCTTCTTTTATAATGTGGGATGTAAAAAAAGGCCACTGTACCCCAAGTATTTGTAAAAGCCCTTTAAAGCCAGTTAACACACAGTTACATAAATGCAAGGGCAGCTTCTCACTGCCTTGCACCAGAGACAGCGGCAAGTTGGTGAGGCAGTGCTGGACAGAACTCGTTGCTGGCATCCCGATCCTACACTTTCTCCATGACAGGTTCCTGATAGACTTTGTGCTTTCTGCTCAGACAGTTCATTGGCTTTACTCTCTTCCCAAATACCCTTTTAACTATGCTGTACCGCTCATTGCAATGCCTTGGATACAATTCGGCTGAGGAATGGTTGGTTTTCTTACTCTAAAGCTAAGAAGCTGACGCTCATGTTTTACTGTGGTTTTATAATTTGTTTTATAACCATTATTATTATTATTATTATTATTATTATTATTATTATTCTACCTCTGGAGCACAGCAGGTCATATTTTATTCAGGTTGCGCTTTAAGATGCAACACTTAAAGAAGTGGCAAAAGCTCTGCCCCCAAGGAGTTTGGAAGGGTGCTTATCAGCCTGGCCCAGCCAGGCCACCAGTCCCTGCCACTGGGTCCAGCTCTGCCCCCAAGGAGCTTGGAAGGGTGCTTATCAGCCTGGCCCAGCCAGGTCACCAGTCCCTGCCACTGGGTCCAGCTCTGCCCCCAAGGAGCTAGGAAGGGTGCTTATCAGCCTGGCCCAGCCAGGCCACCAGTCCCTGCCACTGGGTCCCCAGACGCTCTTCAGTAGCAGTGTCGCTTCTGATAAGAAGCCAAGCTCGCTCCCATCCTCTCAGGCCACGGATCCCTGTGATGAATTCTGAGTTGCGTAAAGTAGTGGGCAGCTGACACGGATGGGAGTCCAGCTGAGGTCCCATTCCAAAGCGCTGCCTGGCATCCATCAGTGAAGGACACCCAGCGCCACTGGGAGGCGGGGAGCACGTGACGTGGTTTTGCGGGGATGGCAGTTGTCAGCACCAGGCCAAGGGCTGATCCTGCCCTGAGGGGTGGCACTTACCTGACATCAGGGTTGCGAAGAGCAAGGCGCATGGTGCACAGGCCGGTCCCTCCGATTCCAATCAAGACGAACAGAGGAATCAGCTGTGATAAACCGAACGTTTTGAGATCAAAAGCCGAAGTTGAAAACCGGAATAAGTCGCCTAAGACAGTGTGCGTGGGAGAGGTCAACTACGAATGACACCAGATTCAGGTGGAAGGCCATGTTGATCTGTCATAGTCATAATAAATAACAAGATGAAAAGAACTTTTTAAATAATTCCAGTGGCACCTTAAAGATCAACTCAATATAAGTTTTCAAGGTATGAGCTTTTGTGTGTAATACACACTTTGTCAGATACTTCAGCCTTAGAACTCTTGAAGACTGTTACGGCAGTTGGTTCCACAGGGAAGGGCAAGGGATTCTTAAAGGGATAGATGACCAAAATTAGCTTTAGGATGTATAATGGGACATGAATCCAATATCTCCATTCAGACCAGGTCTCTCCATAGTTTTTAGTTTGGTAATGAGTTGTAATTCAGCAACTTCTCTTTCAAGTGTATTTCTAAAATTCTTCTGCAATAAGACAGCTACTTTAAGATCTTGTATAGAATGCAATTAGAAGCTAATTTTGGTCATCTATCCCTTTAAGAATCCCTGGCCCTTCCCTGTGCCTCCCCAGCTGCTGCCATTGTCTGTGGCTTGACTGTGATGCCACAAACACATTTGGCAGCTGAGCGGGTATAAATGTGGGCCAAGGCGCAAGCCTCGGCAGTTGCCCTCCCCAGAGAGAAATGGGCAGCTCGGTGGCACTCAGCCCTGGTGGTCTCCTGCCCCGTGGCAGCAAGCTGAAAAGCAGAAGGAGGCAATCGCCTGGTGCTGGGATGCTGTGGAGCAAGGAGAACAAAGTTGACTTGCTGGTGGGATCGCTACCTGAAGGCGACGGATACTCAGCTCTGAAGCTGGTTGATATCTGGCAATGGACCTGGCGAGGCTGCAGCTGGTGGGTGGTTGTTGGAAGAGTTTGCGTTCAGGCTAGTGGATGCCGTGAGGCTATGCTGGCTGAGATGGATGCAAAGTGGTTTGGAAGCCTTGTTTGTTAACAGGCAGCCAAACAGAGGAGGAGTCTGGGGGGACGCTGTTGGATGGGGGCCATCCCACTCACCTGTTTGCCTTTGCCTTACAGGGATGTCCGGAGCCGGTGAGGTTTTCCCCAAGTCCACAGTCATGAAGAGAACCGCAGGACGTCCCTATTTACATTGGAGAAATGAATGCGAAATACTGGCAGCGAACAATGGACAAGGCCGTGGCCGTACCTGAGAGAAGGAGCTTTGAAGGAAGACTGCAGGCGGACATCTGCTGCATTGCAAGTGATGGGGCAGTGGGGAGAGAGAAGAAAATGAGGGAGGAAACATTAGGGCACATTAGGCGCACCGTCCACTGGAAGTGCTATGAAGACGCTTTGAACAGGGATGGCTTCCCCTCAGGGATTCTGGGAACTGTAGGTGGTTAAGGGGACAGAGAGTTGTTAGGCGGGTTAGGTTTAGGTTTAGGCTTAGGGTTAGGGTTAGGGTTAGGATTAGTCTTAGGTTTAGGGTAGGGGTAGGGGTAGGGATAGGGTTAGGAGTAGGGTAGGGGTAGGGGTAGGGTTGAGTTGGGGTAGTGTTAGGGTTAGGGTTCCCTTCTTGTCAGGGAACTTTGGGAATTGTAGTTCTAGTTAAGGGTTAGGGTTAGAGTTAGCGTCAGGGGTAGGGTTCCCTTCTTGTCAGGGAACTCTGGGAATTTTAGCTCTGGTTAGGGAGTAGGGTTGGGGTTCCCTTCTTACCAGGGAACTCTGGGAATTGTTGCTCTAGTTAAAGGTTAAGGGTTAGCGTTAGGGTTAGAGTTAGGGTTAGGGTTAGCGTTAGCGTCAGGGGTAGGGGTAGGGGTAGAGTTCCCTTTTTGCCAGGGAACTCTGGGATTGTAGCTCTGGGAGGGGAACAGGGGGTCTCCTAACAACTCTCTGCACCCTTTTCAGACTATAGCTCCCAGATTCTTTGGGGGAAGAAGCCATGAGTGTTTAAAGCGGCTTCATAGCACATGAAATGGTGTACATGTGGCCCTGGCCTCCCTCACCCCACTGCCCCTTATTATTGAGGAATTGAAAAGATTTCCCCATGCAAATCTCTCAGAAACAATGTATTTCATCTGGAAAACTATTTAATAAAGATTACTTTTTATTAATAAAATGAATCTGGGAGCTATAGCTTGGGTCTTTGGGTTTGATGCTTTTGTAACTGGATCTGTAATGGCTTTTCGTCAAATACAACAAATGATTGATTGATTGATTGACTGATTGATTGATTGATTGATTGACTGATTTGTGAAAAAGTGCTTTTTTACTGAGATATTAACTTTGTCTCTGCATGCCATTCCTTGAACAGCAAAGCTTTCCCAGGCTTTCCAATAAAGAGTAAGGAGCTGAGGAAGCAAAGGAGGAGGGAGATGAGGAGGATGTAGGTGAGTGTCCGGTTGTTGGCTTTAACGATTGGAGTCTCCCTGTGCTTGATAAAAATCCCAAGAACTAAAAGTGTGATCCATGAGAAAGCAATAGTCAAGGTAGCTAAGATGATCCCTAAATCTTCTTTGTAAGAGAGGTAACTTAGAACCTTACCAATGCATCTAGTTTGGTCCTTGTTTGGATATTGGTCTTCTGGACATTTGACACAGGCATCCATATCTGAAAACAACAAAGAGCTGTTCAAATATTTCTATAGGTTGTGCTGCATAATTCTAATAATCTAATTTAGTGCAAGAGTTTGCTGTTGATGATGGTTTTTGATATTTTTGATATAAACTCTGATTGAAATCAATGTAGAAAATCAGTTTCCTCCAAGAGCACCTGGTCATCAACTTGGATGGCTTTAAAAGAGGATTGGACAAATTAATACAGAATAGGGCTATCAATGAGGCAATATGCATCTGAATACCAGCTCCTGGAAATAACACAAGGAAGAGGGGTCTTGTGTTTGGTTTGTATGTTCAAGGGATGTGAATTCTCAAAGCAAATACGATATGTTACAGAAGATGAATGATATCACAATACACAATTGTTGCCTACCCTTCCAGCCAGATATCATTCCTTCTGGACATGGAGCACAGTCATAACAGCAAAATTTCTCTCCTTCCTTCTTTTTCCTGCTGTAGCCAGGATGGCAGTTCTCACTGCACACAGAAAGGGGCAGCACCTGCACAGAATAATGTAAAGGGACTTGGATTAGTGCTCTTCATTCATTCAGCTCTACAAAGAGAATTAAGTTGGGAAGATGAACCATTTGGCCCAATTCCTAAAAGAACCATGTAAGGTGCATTGCAGATATTATATTGTGCAGCTTGAAGCAACGGGAAATATACATCCCAATAATTCCATATCCGGTGTAGGGATCAGATGGGATTACCATGAGGAATTATAAAATATACATCAAGCCATCGTGTACACGATGAACGCATTGTGTTGACTGGGTTTGATATATTGATGACAATTTCTGATTAAATCCCATAATATTCTACATTCATGCCCTTTTCATGCCTTTTTCCTCTACTGTCCATTTCTCTCTCTTCACAAGTCACGTACACACTTAGGCAGGCATCCTGGGTCCTCAAAGATAATGGGCAGTTTCGTCGATGTAGCTTTTCTTATATATTAATCTTAGGATGTTAATCTTAGGGCCGGGAAACAGGTTTCACATTAAGGTGATAATGGTCACTGTCCTCCTGGCCATCCTTCTTATCATGTGTACTGATTGTTTATGACCTCCGGGGTTGCTGTATTCGCTCCTTCGTAGTATTCATTCATTTACCCAAAAGTATGTATGCCTAAGTAGTGTTTATAGTTTAACTTTGTCCCCACTTGAGGTTTGTTTAAATGCTCAGAGGAAATCTGATTGGTTCTTATGAACACTCTGTAAAAAGTTCTTTTGTGAATAAAACGGCCTGGGCCGGGGGCTGCACACAGACAGGCACAGAGAGACAATTATACGCACCCTTCCCAGAGTCTTTCTGGTTTAAGCCTCTGTGTGTATTCTTCTTAATGAGTGTTCAGTCCTTCCTTTACTTTGTGAACGCCTCAATCCGGTGCCTATCCCCACAGACTCAGAATCTTATAAGAAATTAAAAATAATTCCAAACTGACCTACACTCATACCTTGTGTTGCATCCGCTTCACGTTGCGTCCCACAGCAACCCGGAAATACCAGAATGGGTTACTTCTGGGTTTCGCCACTTGTACATGTGCAGAAGCACTAAATCGAGTCATGCACCTGCGCAGATGCAGCGCTTCGAGTTGTGGGCATTTTGCGTTACGGACAGGCCTCAGGAACGGATCCCGTCCATAACACGAGGTACCACTGTATAAGCAAAGATCTCTCTCTCTTCTTACAGCCTCCATTTTGCCTGCAGCTGTTTGCTCTCCCTCCAGGAGACCGTTTTACACACCTTTACCCACACAGAGCCTGGGAACAAAGACTCAAGCCACCACCCTTTCAAGATGGCAAATTTTCAATTCAATCGCCTCCCATGTGATCTAAAGTTAAATATCTCATCAGAGCTGCCAGAGAACAATCACATTTAATTATTGAATATGATGCTCCTCAGATAATGATGAACCTCGATTGAAAGAGCACTGAATAACGAGACAACATAGTGCTAAGATTACTTTAGTGAACTTCCCAAAGTTGTCCTTATAGTTGTCATCTGGTTTATGTAGGTGGCCACTTGTGAATATCAATCAATCAATCAATCAATCAATCAATCAATCAATCGATCAATCATAGAATCATATATTTGTATAGTTGGAAGGGACCCTGAGGGTTACCCTGCAAGATGACCCTGAGGACCCCTTCCATCTCTACAATTCTAGAACTCTATAATTTTAAAGTATTGCTTTCTAATTACCTGCCATGATTGCACACTGTGAAATGTCAGTCTGACCCTTTCTTCCAATCCCCTATGTTTGAATATGGATTTGTAGATGGCGTTCAAAGCATGCGCCACAGCATAGACAGCATTGTAGACATTGTAGCTGTGGCCAGTCATGTCCATTTCAAACAGAATGCCAGGAAGGCTCTCCAGCTTCTCCTCCCCAGTGTAGATGATGTCATTTTCATTTCCCTCCTCTGACTCTTCAGACATTTTTAATAAACAGTCGAATGCCTGTTTCCAAAACTCCTGGATAAAGCCATCTCGTTTTGCCCAGAAAGGGCTCAGCTTCTGAATGAACCTTTGGAATCCTGATGGCTGATTTGAGTGGACTGTGATGGATATGGAACCGTGAAATGCTTGTACCTCCCAATTCTTCTGTATAGAGTGTGATGCAAAATCCCAGTGGGATGTAATAATCCACACTTTGCCCAGAATTGGAAAAGAGAATCAGGGTGATACAAATATCAACATTCTTAGAACTTGAAAGGATAGAGGTTCTCCATAAACAATGAACACAGTTGGGTTTTCCTCAAAGACCATTGCATAGGTTCCTAAATGCTGTATAGCAAAGTCTATCATCTCATCCACATAATTTATTTTTGGTATTCTTATCATAACAGATACCATTAGGGGAAAGGATTGGGACCATTGTCCTTAAAAACCTGTCCCCTCTGTCATCTTCCACAGCCCAAAGCCCAGTCCATGTCCACTTAAAATGCTGAAGTAATCGCACAATCCCTGTGTACTGGTGGGCTTCATTTGGGACCATCTGATACAAAAATGGGAAGAACTTTTTGACAGCTTTTAGTGGCAGAAATGATCCATAAGTCAGCTGAAATAAAATTATTAATCATTTGTGATTCGAGGACCCGATCCCCGCTTGGGGAATAAAGACACGTGGACACAGTATGTAAGTTAATGGGTAAGGAAAAGGCCACAACTTTATTGATTATAGCATGTGAGAAGGTATTGGCTTAGGCATTGGACCCCCAGAACATTAGACTCCACCCACTCGGAGAGGGGTGAGCCCAAAGGGGGTTTATTCACCAGAAGGTGGAGCCTGTTGATGCTAATACAACTATAGGCTCTCTCCTGATGTCACCGAGGGTCGTGCCATGGCATTGGATAGGATCCACGACCGCCGGATTCCTTTAGCGGAACACCCAAAATTGTCGGGGAAGGCGATGGCCACACCTTGCCCCCCGAAACACCAACAACACATTCCAATGCCTAACCGCCAAATACCACGAAAGTTGTGACGATTGCTACGAGGTAGGCGAAAAAAACCAAGAGGCCGGGCCAATTTAGCCACTTGGAAAAAACTCCTACCAGGCCCCCTGGTTAAACAGGGCGTCCAACCGGAGGTCCATAGCAAAGTCTCAGGAAAAGCTAATCTAAAGAGAGTGGAGGGTGGGTGACTCAAAGAAAATGTGTGTGCAATGGCGGGGGTGGCTGGCGCGGCCGCATTTGAACGGCAAGCCACGCGCCCGCCGAGCTTCCCTATTGGGTGCCCAACCGGGGAGGGGCGTGGCGCGCCAGCCCCTGGAGTTGAAGCAGGGGGCGGCGCGCCCCCTGCATGACGCGGGAATCATTTCCCGCTCACAACCCCTCCCCTCCGGGAGGAGGAGAAGCCTTTTCAGATGGGTTATAAGCGTTTACATCATAGATTTACTTATTAGAAAACAGTGCTGTAGTCCATCTCATTCAATGTCCTGTGAAAATTCAGATGGGAGGATCCTGCATGAGAACCTGACTATCTTTGGTCAGGAGCCACACTGAGCCTCTTTTCTCAGGCAGCAGTTTAGGAAGGCTGCTGTCACAAAAATGCCCCACTGGGCTGTTTGTCTGAGCTCCCTACACTGTCCCATCAGAGCCCCAGCTACACTAATCAATCACTTCCACTCCCTGTTTCCAGAACCTGTAGAAGTAATATCTGAGTTGTGTGTTTGGGGACATTGCAGACAGATGCAATTGGAAGATTCCTGTAGGGTTCTTGACCAGCCTGAAGACTTTGGGACTCAGTGAAGATTTCCTGGTGTGGCTTATCTCTTGCTGAGAGAATTGGAGTTAGTTAAAATATGTCGTGAGAATAAGTAGGTTCTGTTTGGCATCATGAAGGCCCAACAGAGACTCCATTTCCCCAGGGTCTTGCAAAAGAACAATGTCAAACAAAACTGATGATCTCCTTCTACTGGTCCACAATAGAAAGTGTCCTTTCATACTGTATTACAGTGTGGTACGCTGGTTTGACAGCCACGGACAGAAAGTCCCTACAGAGGGTGGTGAATACAGCACATGGTATCATGGGATGTCTCCTGAGTTCACTAGATGACATCGCAGGAGACCGCTGCCTCGGAAGAGCGAGGAATTTTTTTGGGATGACTCACACCCCGGCCAGCACCTCTTTAATCTCCTACCTTCGGGCAGGAGATACAGAAGTACAGTCAGCCACACCAACAGATTAAAGAACAGTTTTTATCCGTGGGCTGTTGGGCTGCTGAATGGAAAAATAATAGTGGTGCAATTGACTTCCAACAAGCACACAGAGTGTGAACAAGACGGAGTATATGTGGGGGAGGGGCGGAGTGGGGCTTGTTTAACTTCACTGCACACAGGTGGTGTAATGACAATAAAGGTTGTTTATTATTATTATTATTATTATTATTATTATTCGTTTCCTGTCTTCTGAATTGTTATCTATCCCCCACAGGCTTTTGTCACCTCCAAATTGATAAGGATTCTCTCCACCCTTTTGTCTCAGCAATCAATATTTTTTTTTGAGAAACAACACCTTCAAAACAAAGTCCTGAAGTATCCCAGTTGTCCAACACGTTCTCTATCCATCAGATTGTATAATCATCTAGCCCATATTTCTCTCATTCAGTAACTAAAAATCATGGCGAACACTGTCAGAGAGTTTCCTGAAACCAAGATGGTGTGCCATACTTGTGAAACCTCCATGCCCTCATGCACACAACTTGCCTGTGGAGTCTTGTGGATTGCTGAAATGATGGCCATGTTGGCAGAGACTTCAGAGATACATCCCCCAATGAAAGCTATCAGATTGTTTTGGTTGTCACATTTGAAGTTGGGGACAAACCTATGTTCTGTGGAGAGCAGGCTGAGGGTGGCCTTGTAGGTCATCCTTGCAGTGTAGTAGCTATTGAGGATACGAAACCCCAGAGAGATATTGGATAAGATGTTGGGATTCTCATTGATTTCTTTGACAGCAAATGCTAAGGCCAGAACGTGCTGGTAGTTCTTTGGCACTGATCTGCAAGAAAAGTAGCAGCTGTTTAATAAAACCACAGCTATAACAACAACAACAACAACAACAACAACAACAACAACAACAACAACTTGTGCACTTCATCATCACATCTCTACAGGTTTCTAGGATTAAACTGTAGTTTATAACTGCACAAGATTATATACCAAAGTACAAAAATAAGACCTCTGAAATAAATATTTCTCCAGTCAATTAATTATCTAAATGCTCATACAGTTCCAGGACTTTTTAATGCTTAATAAAACATTACTATCAGGGAACTGCCATCAGAGCTAGAGGCGGAGGGAAGGCTCCAGAGGGATGCAGGAGAGGGTCCCAATAGGGAGAGAGGCAGCCCATCTGCTGGGGAAGAAAATCAGCGTAACACCAGTGGAGAAGGGGGGCAGATGGGGGGATCGGAGAGGAGGCTCCAAGACTCCTCGCCGGAGACCAGCGGAGAGAGTACGGGTACTCCGCTGCCCACACCCTCCCTGCGCAGAAGACTTCCGCGCAGGGAGAGTAGGAGGACACTTGGCGTCAAACAACTTTTATGCTGGAAAAGGTTCAAGAAACGCCCACTGACGGATTCTGCCAGCGACTGAGACAGTCACGATGCTGGAGGCTGTTCAGTCAGAAAGGGTTTAACCAGGTAACCTCGCCAGCAGTGGCGGCAACTTACGCACGAGCAACCCCTAAATCCATTACAGCAATCCGTCAGTCACCGACGTTGCTTGTGCGCAGCTCCAGAGAGGCAGCACCATGAGCCAGACCAGAGGAGCCGGAGAGACGGAGCAAGCAGCTGCAGTGCAAGGTCTGGTAGAGAGAAACCGAGATTTGGAACAGCATGTAGCTCTCCTGACGGCGCGGCTGGACGAAAGACGAGCTCAGGATGCTCAGGTCAGACCCACCCCCATCGCAAGGAAGGTACCGGGGCTGGTACACAAGTTTGGGGGGAAACCCCAGGACTACAATGCGTTCCGAACAGAAATAGAGTACGCTTTGGAACTGCAGCATGATGACTTTGTTAACAATGAGCAAAGGGTAGCCTACATTGTGGGGCATCTGGAGGATGGGGCAAGAGAATGGATCAGGCCCCTTCTGGCGACGCAAAATCATGCCTTGAAGGACCTTAAGAAATTCTTTCAGGCGATGGATGCGATGTATTCCAGTGAAGTCCAGCAAAGTGTGACTCGGCGAGAACTGATGGGGTGCAAGCAGGGAGCCAGTCAGTTAGAGACTACTGGTTGCGCTTTGCAATGTTGATCCACCGTCTCGGGTGGGATCTGGACTCTGAACCTATTCAAATGTTGTTTGAGGAGGGGTTGTCCCCAACGGTGAAGGACGAGCTGTCCCGCGCGCCCCGCCCACAGTCGATGGATCAGCTGACCAAGGCTGTGCTTGCGATTGGAGTGAGGCAGGAAGCGCGGGCTCAGGAGAAACGCGAAGTGAGAGGGGAACGTTGCCATGACTACCGCATTCCTGAAATACCAAGACAGCTTTCCCAGGCGGCTGAGCCAATGGAAATAGATAGCGCGCGTGAGGTTTCAAACTCCAGTGAAGGTCGCAAGAGGGAGGGGAAGGATTGGAAAACCACCAAGAAGTGTTTCCTCTGCCAACGGCCGGGACATTTTGCAAGGGTCTGCCCTCAAAGAAAGGCCTGGCAAGGGATGGTGGGGGCTGCTGGCTGTGAGGAGAAGGGGGATGAAGGGCAGGCGCAGGGAAACGACAACGCCTGGCTGCCAACCAGAGGGGCCAGCAGCCAGGCCAGCAACCAATAGAAGTGCCCCAGCCTGACCCCCCCCCAGGGCAGCGATAGCCATAGCAGTGGTGCTAGAACTCCCGAATGGGACCCAATCAAGGTTGAGGGGATGCTGGATTCGGGCAGCTCCTGCAATTTCTTCAGCAGGGACTTCGCTTTGGAGCACCAAATACACTTGCTACCCCTGGATTTTCCCTTGCAAGTGACCACCATCGATGGCAGGGAACTTCTGGGAGGGAAAGTGACACACCAGACCCCGCCAATGCGAATGAGGGTTTCCAGGCACACGGAGACCATTGCCTTTCACGTGGCCACACTGGCAGGACCCCCAATAATACTGGGAATGAGCTGGCTGGCACTGCA